CTTGGACCGCCATGATTCACTATACTCACTAGGTACACGACCCTTCGAACTTCGGGATTATCAGCACCTACACACAAGAACGATTTATCACTAGTGATCCCGTTTTCAGCATGATATAGAGCTATCATTTCTGTCTGCTTGCAACTCTCCTTTCTGTAATTCCCTTATTGTGATTTTTATGTTCAGCGGCAGCGTCCCTAACAATGTCCCGGTTCCTTGCTCTAGCCGATGTAACATCATCTGTGCCTCTCCCTGCTACTTCACGTCTGGCTTGAGAGGCTTCTTTTGAAATTAGTCGACTCGAGTGGTTGTCTTCCTTTGCGATTGATTTGTTATACATTGCTTCTCCCTCCATACGCGAACTCTGCAAGAGATCTTTCTCCTTACGTGAATCAAGGTCCTTCAACGATTCATTGTCGTTATGACTTCCAAGACCACCTTTCCTCGAAAAAAGATCATTCACGTAGATTGGTGAAACAGGGTTGACAAAAGGTGACATGCGGGTTCCATTTTCCCTCGCAGTGGCAGCAACCGGCAGTGAAGCGTCGGCTGTTGAAGTTGCCCTAGCCTTCAAACTTGACTGCTCGCCCACAATAATAGAAGTGTTGGAAGTAGATACTGGCCTTGACGAGGTCACGTAAGTTTTTAATTCTCCTGGTGTTGGTCTTGCTGAGCTAGACGTAGATGCCTCTCTCTCTCGTGTTAAGTTGGAGCTTACTAAACCAACTGATCCCGAGTTGGATTTTCGGTGTGCTGTCTTGCGGGCAGTGTAGTTTTGTCGGGGAGAGGGAACAATGCTTTCCGCCTCGGCGCCATTAGGTTTTGGCCTCGAAGATGAAATTTTAGTCATACCATCATTGCTACTGATGCCACAGTTTTGCTTTGAAAGAAATGTTGGTACTTGTATACGAGGCTCGTGGTCGGATTCACCTTCCGACAAAAGGCTATATGTTCCTCCGTTTCGATAATTTGGTACCTTTGATGGAGGCTTTTCTGATGTTTTAACGGGCGCATTTTCTTGCAATATGGCTGATTTCATCTTTCCTTCTGATATTGCTAGCGGAAAAGGTTCATCATCGGACGATAATGACAAATCGATGATTTTCTTATCACATTTCTCGAAGATTCTCTTGGGGCTTTCCTGGCGCTTCACTCTGACCTTCTCGTCACTCTCATCGTCCTCGGTAAGATCGATGACTTTAGATAAAGCCGCTCCGCTGCGACTTTCATCCACAGGACGTGATACATTGGTACCTCCAGGCATTTTGAGATCGGTGTCTTCGAAGCTGATCTCGTCTTAGACCAACTCCTTCCGCCTGTCGATTCGATATGCTACCTGTCGAGAAAGCAGGTTTTGACAAAAGATATGCGATTCATGACAGAAAAATATCTTTTATTTGAGGCAGATTTTGTTCCGTAATTGTCGTACGAGTTGATAAGCTTCAGGGGAAAGACTTCAATTCAAGTAACGTGATTTAATGCAAATATTAAACAGTGAATGGATCAGAATGGGTTGAAAAGAGTGCAAGTAAAAAGTATTATAAGGTTATGTATGATACAAAAGATGAGGAGATGAGAGATGAGAGATGAGGATGGATTGAAGATGACCTAGAGTTGCAATCTAAATATCATACTTCGGAAATACCTAGTGCTTGTATTTCCAAAGATATACTAGGTAAGATTACCTAGTAGGTAGTTGATCGTTTTATCCGTCAACCATACACGATTTGTCACTCTCTTCGCGTCTCGCTGGCTGCTGCTATCCACCGTCAGTGATCTTATTTCCATGAGGCTCGAAGTTGTACAATATTGGTGATGTTAGGTGATGTGAAGATGAGAGTAATTGAAAAATTATCGTAAAGATATGTTTTACCTACAATAAAAGAGAAGTTGTTTGTTTGCTGTTTGAGTGATGTTGGTTTTTTATTCCTTATTGTGAGGTTGTGGTTGCACGAACAAAATTTACATATTACCTAAGCAATCAGTGAGTTTCATAGTAAGTTATATCTACTAGGTACTGCAGATATAACTACTGCATAAATTTCAAAATGTTAGTAAATATATCATCTTCGCTCTCTCTTCCTTGATCCGCTGAATGTATAGAGTATAAACCTATCTCACCAGTGTGATCATAGTGAGGCTCAGTTCAAAACGAAACAAATATCTGTACAATTTGAGCAATGATTTTTTTTATATCAAAGTTTAAGCAGTTGCTGATCATTCCTTTCCTTCGTTGTTGAGTTAAAATCTTTTTGTTTACAGTCTTCATATCCTCCCTCATTACTAGCAAAGTTGGACTAGGGATGATTCCTGATGAAGATCACCAGGAGAGAACAAAAATCATTATCAATGCATAGTATATCATGTCACTCAAGTGTGTTCTATTTAGACAGATAGAGAACATCGGTCGTTGATGGAAAGAATTTCGTTGTGCAACTTTGCTTTCCTTGTGGAAGTCTATCTATTATATACGAGACAGTAGGAGCAGTAGTACACCGTGGGATTATTGATGTAATAAAGTCATCTCCCCCCTCACTTTGTCCGTCCACTGTTGTTAATCTTCGGAAACGATTGATCGTATCACGTGAAATGATACACGACCCTCATCACCAAAATATCACGTTGCTATCCGGTGCATACCGAAAAAGCGGAGAACTTGCACCATCCACCTCCATTATTTACTGCTGTCAAACTTCATCCTGAGAATTTCATGGCGAACATTCTGCTCCACAATGGCGTAAACGTCAGTTTATTGGGTGGAAAAATATCTCAAGTTTATCCGTGATCTTGCAGGGATAACCATACAGCTGTCAAGGAATATATTGCCGTTCTGATTGAACTTGTCGCCTGCCGAGTTAGGAATCTACCAAAGACTTGGCATATGTGGGACTCGACGTACACTAATTCATGTAGTTGCCGGATTTCGGTAGAACCATATTCCGATCGTTCAAGAAATTAATATCCCCAATGCAATGCCAATGTTACTACCCCTCTTCGGATCATGTTCGGGCTCAGAATCGTTCCACTGCTGTCAATCTATTGGGCGGCTTAGAGATACAGTTTGCTAAACCACCCTCGGTACAAATGACCCCAGACTGTCTGGCTGGCAGTGGGTCGCTTCGGACGGAATGCATACATATAAATATATATAGAGCTTGATCCTAAATATCCTTTCCTGGATCAAGCAATACGATTTCCTTCTTGTCTGCTGCACCATGTTGTTGCAATCACTATTTGCATGGGCGCTGGCTATTGGGCCATGCATCGCCCAAAACAGTACAAATAGCACATGGCCAATACACAACAATGGTCTGACTACGCAAGTTGAGTGGGACCACTATAGTCTGATGGTCGACGGGCAACGTTTCTTTCTATGGTCTGGGGAGTTTCATTACTGGCGGATCCCGGTACCTGAACTTTGGGTTGATGTCCTTCAAAAAGTTAAGGCTGCTGGTAGGTTGGGTTTTCCATTGGCTGCAAAAATTGTAACTCACTATGCCGCCAGGTTTTAACACGTTTGCCATCTATACGCATTGGTACTTTCATAATCCAAACCCTAACACGCTGGACTTCGAAAATGCGGCACACAATTTCACCAAGATTTTTGATCTCGCCAAGGAATTGGGAATGTTCGTGGTGTTCCGTCCGGGGCCCTATGTTAATGCCGAGTCTAACGCCGGAGCGTTCCCGTTATGGCTGACCACCGGAGCTTATGGGGCTCTGAGAAATAATGATGAAAGATACACTGAAGCTTGGACACCTTTCTGGGAAAAGGTTGCCTCCATTGTCGCACCGTATCAATTCACGAATGGAGGCAATGTTCTCACGTATCAAATTGAGAATGAGCTGGGCTCACAATGGCGTGGCACTCCATCAAACAAAGTACCCAATTTATCTTCCGTTGAGTACATGGAAGCATTGGAAGCCTCAGCACGAGCACACGGTATCACGATACCATTCCAGGCCAACGATCCCAATCTTAATTCGGATTCGTGGTCGAAAGACTTCTATGATGGTTATGGATCCGTGGACATCTACGGCATGGATTCTTATCCAGCGTGCTGGACCTGTAATTTGACCGAATGCGATTCCACGAATGGAGCATACAAAGCCTTCAACGTCATCGATTACTATGACCACTTCGAAGCAATTTCACCAACCCAGCCGTCATTTCTCCCGGAGTTTCAAGGCGGTAGTTTCAATCCTTGGGGTGGTCCCGAAGGAGGATGTCCAGAAAACTCCCCTGCCGACTTCGCGAATCTTTTCTATCGTAACAACGTTGGTCAGAGAGTGACAGCTATGAGTCTCTACATGATTTACGGAGGAACGAATTGGGGTTGGTTAGCTGCTCCTGTCGTGGCAACCAGTTACGATTATTCAAGTCCAATATCTGAAAACAGAATGATCAATGACAAGTATGCGGAGACCAAATTATTTGGCCACTTCCTTCGTGTGGCGAAAGATTTGACAAAGACCGACCGAATCGGAACCGGCAAAACTGCATCGACCAATCCAAATGTTGTTTATTCCGAAATTCGCAACCCAGATACTAATGCTGCATTCTACGTTACGATCCACAAAGAATCTACAGTTGGAACCAGAGAAGAATTTTACATCAACGCTAACACTTCCAAAGGCGCATTCAAAATTCCTCAGAAGGCTGCGTCAATCGTTTTGAATGGTTTCCAATCTAAGATTATTGTCACTGATTTCAATTTCGGTTCCCACTCCCTTTTGTACTCCACAGCTGAAGTCCTATCTCATTCCATCGTGGATGATCAAGATATTCTAGCTCTCTGGATGCCAACTGGTGAAGCTGGTGAGTTTGTTGTCACTGGCGCGAAGTCCGGAAGCGTTTCTAGTTGCGGAGGCTGCTCCTCCGTCGGGTTTTATCCACAGGGCGATGACCTTCTCGTGACCATTTCGCAATCCAAAGGCATCAGTGTTTTGACATTCGATGATGGTCTTCGTGTTCTCGTTATGGACAGGTCATTCGCATATGAATTTTGGGTTCCAGTTTTAACAGCTGATCCATTCAGTCCCGCGAATGAGACCGTCTTCGTTCAAGGCCCAAGCCTAGTCAGAAGCGCTGCCTATTCCTCAGATGGTTCGACTTTAGATCTCACCGGAGATAACAATGGAACTTCAACACAAATTCAGGTCTTCCCACCGAAGTCTGTCAGCAAAGTCACTTGGAACGGCCAAGTCATCACTACGGAGAAGACAGATTACGATAGCTTGATCGGTAGCCTTACTGGCCCTGCCCTTGATTCTTTGACTTTACCGACTATCTCGGGCTGGAAAGCCAATGACAGCTTACCGGAACGTTTACCAACTTATGATGATAGCTGGTGGGTTGCTGCTGATCACATGAATACTTCAAACCCAACCAAACCAGAAACGCTTCCTGTGCTCTACATTGATGACTACGGATATCATGTTGGTAATCATCTCTGGCGCGGAAGATTCGAGGGTTCAGCAAGCGGAGTATATCTCAGTGTCACTGGGGGTCGTGCCTTTGGATACAGTGCATGGTTGAATGGCGAGTTCATCGGCTCATATCTAGGAGCTGCTTACCCAGATACTGGAAAATTGACATTATCGTTCAGCAACGTAACTGTCAACTCAAACTCCACAAACATCCTTCTTGTCCTTCAAGACAACTCTGGTCACGACGAAACAAGTGAAGCACTCAATCCTCGCGGAATCAACAACGCAACTCTAATTAGTTCTTCTACCAAGAATTTCACATCCTGGAAAGTAACTGGTACAGCCGGTAAGCCAGATACAGCAATTGACCCTGTCCGCGGTATTCTCTCAGAAGGTGGTCTCTACGCAGAACGTCTCGGATGGCACCTGCCCGATTTCGACGACAGTGAATGGTCCTCCGCATCCCCAAGCAACGTATCCTCTTCAGCCGGCGTAACATTCTACCGCACGACCGTTTCCCTAGCCATTCCTACCGGCCTCGACGTGGCAATCTCCTTTACTCTTAAGGCATCTCCTTCCAACGCAGCTCTTCGCGTTCTCCTCTTCGTAAACGGATACCAATATGGAAGATTCAGTCCTTGGATTGGAAATCAAGTTGAATTCCCAGTACCACCTGGAATCTTGAATTATGATGGGGATAACGTTATTGGATTGAGTGTTTGGAGACAGGAAGAGGGGGACGAGAGTATGGGTGTTAATGTTGGGTGGAAGGTTACCGAGGCTTTTGCAAGTAGTTTTGAGCCGATCTTCGATGCGGCTTACTTGCAGCCTGGGTGGACCGACGAGAGATTACAATATGCTTGAGGTGGGTTAAATAACCGCTTAATGGCCGTAACGATGTTTACGATTTGATGTAAGATTAAGGAAAAGTCTATTGTATTATTTGAATATATTCTAAATGCAAAAGTTCTTTGCAACACATTTTATTCCCTACTGCTATTGTTCTAAATGCGATTTTGGTTCTACAATGCTTGCCTGTTTGAGTCGTTCCAACAAGGTGTGATTTCTACAAACTCATATAAGGTTACTCAAAGTAGCTCTTTGAAAGAGTAAAAAATCTTTTGCTCCCATGTAGCTTCAGTTACTAGCTTAATTAGGAAGGCGGTAACATGAGGCAGAAACTTTGGTAAAACCACTTCAACTCAACTCAGTTTGTAATAAAATGCGCAACCTCATAATCTTTAATCTAGATCTTTTTTTCAACGTGTTTATTGCCCTAGGCTTTTGAATCTTGAAGTTTTATAGGTTTTGAATTTTTATAGGTCTTGAATCCCTATAGACTATATAGGCTTCAATTTTTTGTAATTCAGAGACATATCTGGTTCACAGTTGCTGTCATGAATTTTATTTTATAAAATCACGCTTTTATTGATACCTGATCCTGTCATGGTTGTCTATTTACAAACCACTGCTATACTATCCAATATATTTTACCGTCCTCATTACTCCTTTCCACTATCCCATCCTCCTGCAATCAATATCCGGACACCACGATAAGTAAGCTCCATTAAAAGAAATCCTAGCACTTGTACATCAAAACTCCCTTCACCATTTATTATCCAAAGCATTCTTTCGATCGTACCCCTGATTTGGCAATGAATAGCTTGATCGTAACCAGCCCTAGCTAACAATGCACTCATATCTTTAGTAAACATCGTGTTGTCTTTATTAATATCCTCTACGTTCTCACCAAACTCGTCCTTTAGTCTGTCCCTCCCTTCTTTCAAACGCTCGGCGTCCTCGGAATAATTTTCTTCCAGAGCTTCAACTCCCTTTCGCCATTGGTCGCGTTCTTTATAGAATGCGACAATATATGCCGCATCGCCTATAGCTCCCCTATTTTCTAGAAGGTTTCCTTCAGACTGTCCTATCACGATTTCGAGTTGATCTTTGTATCCTTTAATTTCATTTTATCTCTTCTGTCTCCCTTTGTCGAGTTCTTCTTTGGTGGGTATGGATAGGCCTATACATTCTGGACAAAATGATGCCTCCTCAACTGGCAGACCCATGTCACTTTGGCCACAGCATCCTAATTCAAAGTCCCCAAATTTCCCCTTATTCTCTGCTTCTGGACACATTCCATTTCTGATACTTTCATGGCGGCACACGTGCAAGTATCGTCTCCTGAAGCACATGGTTGGCAAGCTTTGACAAGTTTGTTAATGGTATGCGGTGGTGTATTGTAAGACAGTTGAAAAAGGCCTGCTGTTTGTGCTTGATATTTCGAGTTCCTGATCGTTGGCGATGAAAGGGAAAGAAACAAAAGTAAAAGGGAATGCCTATCTCTTTTATAAGCATCTTGGGCGATGCTTGCGACGCATTTTGAAATGGAAAACATTTCGTATTAATCATGATATGATTATGAAAATGAAAGATATCTATATTCATGGGTCGGGTTCAGAATCATGAATATACGACCAACTTCACTGAAGTATATTCCTAAGCGATTAATGTAGAAATCAAATCTATCACTCGACGCGAATGTGTAATTTTGCGCGTCTTATGAAGTCAGAGCCAAGTAGAAATGATTCGCAGTCAGTGGTGGTAGTATGGAGATGCCATTATCAACCTTCTGAATCACCTATTATATGGTGCCATTGAAGTGAAGATGGATGAATTTCAATGATAATTTTACGAAATGACACTTCCTACCACTCATAAATTAAAGGAATTATCCAGTCAGAGTAAATAAAACCTGATATTGCACGAATCAAAATAACTGTTCGGCAGTCTATGACTTGTGCAAATGGAAATATCGTATAAGAGGTAGTAACGATTATATGATTCGAAATTCTGTGAACGAGGTTTGACTCACACACTTTCGGGACTAAGAATAACAGTGAATTCACTGCGCTCCCTGTAGTTATTTTTCTCGCCCGTTGGGACCTACCATCAGCTTGTGCTGTGTAGTCTATCAGACACTTATAATTTGAAGCTGCTTCAATTCAGTTAGTTATGAATTTTGAGGCTATGTGGAGTTGGTTATTTTGAAAGTATGATCTGGGTATCAAATTCTGTATTAAAGTATGGGGTAGATTTCATGTGGTTCTTAGAACCCCTGAATCTGAATCTGAATATAAATATGAATCTTAAGCTCTACTTGAAATGATGTAGATGACGTAGTATATCCTCACTTCAGATTCGTCATTAAGGCACCAAAAGCACCGCAAATCTGAAAGAAAATTCGAAATAGTTAGAATATAAAGGCTCTGTATGCGAAGGTAAGCACCCTCTAAAATATAACTGTTTCTTTTCTGTGTAGTAAATTCTTTCCCTCAAAAACCTTGAATCCGCCAAATCTCTCATGAGTATAACTCTGTTTCTCTATTTCAATAAACCTAACGCCATCTGATACTCTATCTCTATCAACGATCTGCTTTAACCTTCCTAATAAAATTCATCACCCATTTCCTTTCTTCAATTGATTCCATCCCTAACCTCTCTTCTTCGAACATCCATTTATGACCGAGAGCCTTGGGCATAAAGATCTTGATTTCAGGAACTTTTATTCTCCTTCTCGGAAGGGGTTTCGCTTCCACTTCTCCCGGATGTGTTCGACGAGTTCCGGCATTACTATTCTCGTCCTCCGCAATTTCCTCCACACAATTCTCGAAGCAAGCATTCAGAACCTCTTTACACCTCCCAATATCTTCTTTAGTAATCAATCCTATCTCTCTACCCTGCAAAACAATTTCCCTTAAATTTCTAAACCTCATATTTTCCCTCAGAGTCCTACCAATATCTCCCCAATTCCAAGCATGAGCAGGAATATGCAAAGATTGAACCACATCCAAAGGATCCCCAAAATCCCAATCCATCTCTCTACACCCATCACGAAAAATACTAGACCTGCTACCACTAGACCCAGCATCCGCTTCAATGACCCCAACAATCTTATTCATCGCCGCATTACCTCCCATCAACGCATCTACTACCACCACACTATCAACCTCCGGGTCAAAAAACGGATAATGAATTTTTTCAGTATCTTCTGTACCGAGAATATAAAAGCTCGGATGGTGTTTATAGTGGATTTTTCTTGCGTTCCGACTTTCCCGATTGATGCGGAAGGTTACGGGACTGGGTGAGCGACTACTTATGTGATCTGAGGATATGGTGATACCAATTGTACGGGAGCGTGAGTAGTTCCATATTCTGCGGCGGATTTTCGAGGGGAGATTTTGGAAAGTGGTAGTTTGGTGGTTATGGGGGTGGGTAGTTGGGGTGTTAAGGATGTAGGTGAAGGAAAATCGGGGATCTTGGATGCTGGGGTTGGTGGTTGGTTGAGCTGGAGCTGGAGCTGGAGCTGGATCTTGAGCTTGAGGGGTTGGTGTGGGCATAATAGGCTTGTTATAAGGGAATGTATATTTCCTTGGAGGCTTGGCGGAAGACGAGTTATGCTTGCGTGGAGCGGGATTGGCGAATGCTTTATAAGGTGAGATATAACTGCGAGTTGTTTGGGATCGAACCCATCTACGAGCAAAATATTTATGGGAGGATTTGTCTTTCATGTCTAGGGAACGTTAGATTATTATGAATAGTTTCCATTTCTTTATGTTGTACCAACACTGACCATCTTTCTTTGTAGATCTCATATTCAGATAGATGTGTGAAAATGAAGATAAGTGGAGTTAAAGGTGAGCAAGTGTGTGGAGGTAGCTTTGTCAGGAACTTTGTTTCTTCACCTTCAGCTTTCACGTCTAGCTTGAGATGTTTCTAGGAGAATGAAGTTTCTGGATGTCGCTAGATTGCGTGTGTAGTCTTAGCAAATTAAGGATAGATTGAGGTTCAAGACCTCGGGAGTATAAGTAATGAGAATAATTGTAAGCGAAAGCCGTATTACCGAGAAATTTGTGAATCGGTTAAGGTAGTGAGTGAATCTTCCCCACCGAGCAGAAGAGAACGAAAACGAAAAGAGGCGCGATGCAGTTAATTCGAAGGCTGGTCAAACGCAACAATGAGCTACATCTCTCTTCTACCTAAATATCCCTATATCAAATCAATAAGGAACTTGGAGCTGGAGATGTTTGAATAGAGAAAGACTAGCGCAAAAATAATTGGTACTTTTGATTTCATTGTCATCTTGTGCTGATATCGACCAAACTCATTCTTTGCTTAAGTGTTGCCACCAAAATGAAGAAGGTGCGACTCGATTCCACTTATATTATCCCATCTCATCACATCACATCCTATCCCAACTAAACTCACTCTTCTCAAGACGACCAGGCAAAGAAATAGCTGATGATCAAAACTCCAAAGATACACATACCTACCTTAGGTAGCTAGTTACTAACCCCTTCCACAGCTCTAAAAAGCTTCTATTACATTTTAAAAGATTCCATCCTTCCAACTCCAATCCCTACAAGCACGTTCTCGATTCAAGATATATCACATATTACGCTCCCATCCCTGCAATTTTACCGAGCCAAATTTACTCCATCGTGCGATGAGAAGAGGCTTAGCTTAATCCAACCGTCTCGCTTAGAAAAGGTCATACGTGATGTGATATATGAGGATCATTAGATACGGCAGAAAAACAAACAGTGCGGTGAAAAGAGCGAATAATCTCGCTTGTGATATGATGAAAGCCGCAGGGAGATATATGGAGAGTTTAGATATTACTGGAAATAGTATGATATACAATAGTATTATTTTTGCCAGGAAGGAAGCAAACAATGCCATGATTGTAGGGCCGCTGGTTCCACTCATTGAAAAGTGAAAAATTGTTTCCTGCAGTGAATATAGTCACCAAATCAAATTTTGATATCTAATCAGGGTATCCTCTACCTCGGACGTTGCAACCTTGTGAGCTAAGAATTTACAAACTTTTTCGCATGTCTCTCTTCTCCACCGGATGTCCCAAACGCCATCATGAAAAATATCACAGAAATATGAAGCTTGTCTTCATCCGCAGGGGGTGTTTATCACGAGTGATGTGTGTATGAATATGATGCTCATTCGAGAAAGAAAATTTTGCACTTTGTCAAAAATAGATATTATTGATGATTACTATCCCTAACGTTAACATGTGGTATTCGAGCAAAATCTGAACAAATTAGAAATCACTCGAATAAACCTAGCATCTTTTCCATTCTCACAACCACCACTCATCCATCCACCCACAAAACCAACCTAATAAGCAACCATACTAGTTAATCCATCCATCTCCCTTTGGAAATTCCTGTGCTGCGAAATATTATACGTAAACGCGTCCAAGAAATTCTTAGCACCCTTCACCATATTCAATCCCTCCTCGGATTTACCCACACCCTCGGCCGTCACAACACCATGCGAATCCACCACTTCGCCAGAAGTACTAAATGTCATACCTTCAACTTCACATGCGGCTCGTACGAGTTTTACACCTTCACCTGTGGCTCCAATAGCCTTACAATGACCGAACGCTTCGCGGATCCAGTGGATTACTCGTCCTTGTTTGAGTAAAGTAGAAACGTGTTCGCCGCCAGGAATGTAGATAGCGTCGAACAATGTACTTCTCATACCTTCGAAGTGATGATCTGCACTTACGCTCTTGACGCTAGAACTGTTGATTGGTTGTCTCTTGGGACCGATGGTAAATGGAAGAGCGCCGGCTGCGGTCAGTGCTCCCTTTACGGCTTCGTATTCGAGGAAATTGAAGCCATCGGCAATAATAATTGCAACCATACGAGATTTAATCGTAGCTGGTAAGCCTAGAGCTTCGGGAGTAAAATCAAATTGTGAAAGGCCTTTTGTCTTTTTACCGTGATTGGGACGTCCCGCTTTAGTAGGGGTAGGGGCACCAGCTTTCTCAGCTACGGCTTGTGCTAGGTAGAGATCAATATCTGTTAGTCGTTCAACCATACGTTCATATACGACAGGATCATCGCAGTGATCAAGCTCGAAGCTTAGAGCATTGATAATGTGAGACTTTTCAACCTCAGAAACTGAGTTCCAGAATAATTGAGCTTGGTTGTAGTGTTCCTTGAATTTTGAGGAGCTGAGACGTTGTTTCATGGCTGCAATCTTCTGAGGGTATTCGTAGTAGGCGCCCTCTGATTGCTTTGCTGGGGGAATGACAGTATCTCGATTCGGCCAGTAATTAATCTTGCCTTTGGTGATTCGGTGTCGCATTTGACCGTCTCGGTGGTTGTTCATAACAGGGCATACTGGTCGGTTTATAGGGAGCTCTTGCCAATTTACACCTAAGCGTGAAAGTTGGGTATCAAAGTAAGAGAAGTTACGGCCTTGAAGAAGAGGATCATCTGAAAAGCCAATGCCAGGCACAAGATGTGCGGTGCAAAAAGCAGCTTGCTCTGTTTGTGAGAAAAACTCATCAACATTCTTGTTGAGCTCCAGTTCTCCAATGTATCTGACGGGGATAATATCTTCAGGCCAAACTTTAGTCGCGTCCAAGATGTCAAAGTCAAATTCATCTTGACGACTTTCCTCGCAAACTTGAATTCCGAACTTCCATTTGGGGTATGATCCACTTTCAATAGCTGTCCAGAGGTCTTTGCGGTGAAAATCCGGATCTTGACCAGCGATCTTTAATGCCTCATCCCAAACTAGAGAATGAACCCCTAGAGTTGGGGTGAAGTGGAATTTTACGAATGATCGTTTGCCTTCGGCATTTATTAAAGTATATGTATTGACGCCGAACCCTTGCATCATCCTATAAGACCTTGGAATTCCTCGATCTGACATGGCCCACATAAACATGTGAGTAGCTTCGGTGTGTAAGAATTGGAAATCCCAAAAGTTATTATGTGCCGATTGGGCTTGAGGGATTTCATTATCAGGTTCCGGCTCTGTGAAAAGTCAGTAACCATGGATGTATGTTTGGGAAAGAAGTACTTACTTCCGGCATGAATGATATCGGGAAATTTAAAAGCATCTTGAATGAAGAAAACCGGAATGTCGTTTCCAACAATATCCCAATTACCCTCGTCAGTATAAAATTTGACAGCAAAACCTCGCACATCTCTGACTGTATCAGCACTTCCACGAGAACCTAATACTGTCGAAAAGCGGACGAAAACTGGGGTCGTGCGAGAGGTATCTGTAAGAACCCCGGCACTTGTAACATCCTATACTTCATGTCAGCCCCGATTTTTAGGAATGATTTTCAAGATCAAGATACCTACATTAGCACTCTCGTAAAGTTTGAAGTTACCAAAAGCTCCAGCACCACGTGCATGGACAACTCGTTCTGGTATGCGTTCATGATCGAACTTCATAATCTTCTCCCTTCCAAAGTTATCCTCTAGCAATAACGGACCTTGGCGATCACCATCCGAAGCAGATAGCCATTTATCATGATTACCAGATTTAACACCAAAGTCACTGGTAAGACACTCGTTTTTACTGGGTTCTCTGATTTCTGGCTGCATATCTGCAACCTTCTTGTTAGACGACATAGCTGAAGCTACCGCTTCTCCAGCTTTTTGCATCGTAACACCAACAACTGACTGCATTATTTCGGTTTTGATAGTAGTTGGGTATGAAAAGGGTGAAAATAATCAGGTCAAAAGAATGAAGAAAGTAGAATGAAAAGATAGGCAAATATGTAAATCTCGATATCCTACCGAGAATGCCATAACATCCTAATGATATTACATCATGGATCTGAAGCGGGGTTTTCTATTATTTATAAGGTGACGCAACAGCGCAACTCCGCGCCAATAAGGTTAATGGCATTGAGCATCTTTCGTATAATCTTTATTTCTTATATGAAGATCGAACAAGTATCAAAAATATTCTAGACATTAGGATTCAATTGTATGGTCGCAAGTTTTAGGAGCTTGTGCTCCTTTTTTTAACCGGGTAGGTAATGGATGCGGTAGTTGAAAATACCTCAATGAGGTTAGTGGTTGATGTCATAAACGGTAGGAAACGAGTGTTAGTCAGCTGTCATTTATCCAATTAAATCATTCAAATCATTCAAATTTTAATAAATTTCCAAATAAAAATTAATAAAATTAACAATTATCAAATAATAAATAATAAATTTTATATTTCTTTAAAGAGAGTAGATGATTTCTGACATAGAAATATACTTTCGTTAAGCCCCGGCGCTTTTCAAGCCGGAGCTAGGATGGGAGGACTAAAAAGTTTTATAATATAATTAGATATTGGGTCTGAGGTCCCAACAATTACAAGTCGGACATCCCTTCTATGGTGTAATGGTTAGCACGTCGGATTTTGATTCCGGAGATATTGGTTCGATTCCTATTAGAAGGTTCTTCAAGAACTTTCTTTCATTCCATATTCAGTTTGAAGCTGAGATCAGAGGGTTGCTTTTTTGTCATTTTTCCGCGTGTCTAACGTTATTTTTTTTTGGTGGTTCCATATGTTTTTCTCGCTTAGACAATGCTAGCCAAGATTACGAAGATCCATAAGTGGGTCTGGATGGCCAAAGCTTATCAATTATTAATCAAATGCACGTGATGGTACCATCCAACACAGCACCGCTTCAGCTAACCATCAGCTTAGAACCCCTTTCTAATTTGTCCATCTTTTCTGTATATATATTCTGTATCACTTTGTACGATACACCCTCATGCAAGAGCCGCCCCGAAAACGTGTACGAGCGCGAAATGCATGCGACAGTTGCCGTAAGCGGAAGAGGAAGTGTGACGGCGCAGCACCATGTGCTGAATGTGTAGGCTATGAATATCCATGTAGCTTTTCTATCAAAACAACCACGGTTAGCCCTACGAATAAAGCAAATTCACCTCACGATTCAATATTCAATGGAAGACAACCTCACAATAGTACTACAACTAGTACATCAAGTGCTGAACCCTCGCCCCTTACAATAAATGGAGAAAATAGTTCAAATTTGGCTTTTGTGATTAACGCAAAATCAGAAGAAAACTCAGCGAAATTATCTGCCGAAGAGAGCACCAAGAAAAGCACTACTATCAATGAATCCTCGAATGATTTATCGATTTTGGAGCCAGACAAATGCAGATTTACCAGCGCAAATAGTGCCATTGCCTTCCCGAGATGTCTAGGAATGGAAATGGAGATGGTAACACCTCCACGTCTTCATAGTTACGCATGGAATGCCGGGATTCGCACAGAAGCACCGAGACCAAATTATATGCGTTTGCATGAGTTTTGTTGTTGGGGATTTGCATCCTCAGCAATTGATGTCTATTTTGAACAAATCAACCCCGTTTTTGGAATGCTAGAAAGGGAAGGGTTTCGGCACAAGTGTGAGGTTTTCTGGAAAGATGACACGGGAAGTGTTGGATTCGAGGCACTTATCTGTGGAGTTGTGTCTCTGGGTTCTTTATTTTCGAGACGGACTGGATGTGTGCTCGAGTGTAATATCTTCGAGCATGGTCGATGCTTACTGGAGCAGGGATCACAGAGGCATGGAGATATGTCTCTTGACCATGTGATGGCATGGACTTTACGAGCTCTTTACCTCCGGTCGACAAGTCGTCCCAATTTGTCTTCATTGGCAATATTTACGACGGTCCACTTAGCTGAATCAATTGGCCTTCATCGAGAATTGGATAGCGTCGTCTTCGCCGTTGATGGATCGAGGAAGGTTTTTACTCCCGACATATTAGAACTACGTCGAAGGGTCTTTTGGATTGTGATGTCATTGAATCAATTATTCGCTGCCGAATATGGACGTTCGAAAGTTTCCTTGGAAAATGTGAGATGCCGAAAACCGATCGCCAAGGAAGGAGATTCTATCAGCGACTTGATTGCAATGACAGAACTACTATCTTCATGCTCTGACCCATGCGTTGACCCTGATTCTTTGCGAATATCAATCGAAAACTTGTCGATCTTACCGTGTAATAATCCAGGATTAGCCCTAATCAAAGCAGATGTTGTCTTGTGTCTGTCTCGAAGGCTTCACCTGACGTATTCAAAGTTCTCTTCAGGTGTCTTGAACACTATCATGGTGATTCTCCGCGCCGCCTTTAAGGAATCACAAAAGCTTTCAGAAAGAACACTACCCTGGTGGAATGTGATCAGCGTCCCATTCAACACAGTTTGTCTTCTCTTGTCTATTAACACACGCCAAAGTATATCCCACCTACCCCAAGCAATGCATACCCTAGAAACTGTTAGCAAATTATGGGACACCCATCTGTCAAGAGAGGCGCTACAAACTGCGCAAATGTTGGTTAATCGATTCGTCGAGATAAAACGCGAAGATCAGGTGGTTCTGGAATCCCTTCATCGGACTGTTGATCACCCTTACGCGTCTTCGAGTAATCAGAATTGGACAGGGACCTTTGGTAATGATCTATTTGAGGGGTTCAATGGACAGGACTTTGGCTGGGCACAGTTTTTCGGCGACGCTGTGGGTTAAGTGAGCTTGGGCGTCTTTGCAATATCATCTTTCCAATCCCAAACCATTTATATACATCTCATTCTATTGCGGATAACTCACGTAATTATAAAAATTCGTTGAAAGACCGTGGACGTGTCATAATAATAACTATTAGAGTAATTTGTACGTACTTCAGACATCTTCGACAGCAATTAGTAAATGATGGAAACATGAACAATTTATGTGTCTATCTTTAATAATCCCCACTTCTCCATGAAAAGATCGACTGGTGGACCTCTTCCGCAATATCCACTCCATCCACCTATCCATTACACACTTCGAGTGAGCATCAGATTTATTAAAATAATTCCAGTTTTTCTAATAGCGAGAATTCATCTCTACAAATATACTTCATGAGGTTAATCAAATCCACTTTTTCCTAACTTTATATAATTCTGGCGATTATATCATCAGGACCTGATGTCGGAAAGTTAATGGTGGCAAGCGAGATGGGTGTCGCTTCATCAAAATATAATAATTGTATCCATACCGTTATTCTTTCCAAAGGAGCTCGTAGAGATTGATTATACGTTTTCAGCTGCTCTATATATATTCTCGGTGTCCTTCACTACCTGCTTATAGTATTTTTCACCAACGTATTTATTTGTACTCATTACTAACAGTAATTAATTCAAAAAGAGAAGGAACTTCTTAGTATTACTACTGCTATAAATAGTATAAATATATCTTTCATTTCTCAAATGGACAATCATCTGAATATACATACTTTACATTTTCCAATCGATATTCATATAAACTTCATAAATGCCGAAAAAGACCGATCACCCTCATAACCTTAACCGACCATCGATTCGATCGAGAGCTGTTAGATCGAGTTATTCCAATCAAGGATATTAAGCTAATTCTTCCAAGCTGTCGGTTGGAGTTGACGAGGATGAAGAGGTCAATATTTTTAGCGAACACTAATATGGGATTGCACTTGAGAAGAATGGCCTTGGGAGTACATAGATAATCTTAAAAATTATCTACCATCCCAAAACCTCAAGTTCGTAAGAGACAAGAAATCATAGAGCATTATAATAACTCGAGAAGAAGGCCGTGAAGTAAAAGCATCCAGTAGTCGGTAGTGAAGATAAGAGCAGCAATGAACTCATCACACTTAAGGTGGAGAATATTCAAAAGACCTTTGATCATCCCGGATGTTTAAAGATCGAGATCGTTTATATTTCATACGTTATTCGAGGTCAATATTCAAATCATCTAATAAGCTTTTGATGATATTTATTCTCCAGATTCCGACTGAGAAGCATATATTATTATAAATTCCTAGGAGTTTTAAACTCCTTATTCATTCCATGATATCAGATGATAATCCCACATCGCCAAAATTTTTCCTAGCTAGCTTAGAATTCTTCTGCCTTTTAAGATCAGATGATTAAATAGCATTGTTAAAAACATCGCAATCCTAGGTATGCAGGTACTTGCCCTTCCCATCGCCTATCTCAAAAAAAAAATCCCTTCACTCCCCATCATCTCCCCAAAACCCCCTCCACAACTTCCGCCACCCCAATAATCTTCTCCTCTTCACAAACTCTCCCCACAATCTGTATCCCCACTGGCGCATCATCATATATCTCCGCATCATATGCCGTCCAATTTCTCGAATCCTTCTCGCTAACCGGTACATAAGCATGAAGTTCATCCATATGCTTATCCGCATGCGTGATTGGAATCACCAATGCTGTATAATCAAGCAGATTGAGTACTTCCGTATATGCTAATTTTTATTAGCATCAGCTCGCATCACATTATTTACACAAGTTTGTTTAAAGAATATACCGAGATGTACCCATTTTCCAGGTATAACGGCAGCATGAGGTGCTGCTGGCATCAATACTGCATCAACCATATTCCCATCTGCATCTGCTGTACTATTCCAGTAATCAGAGTATGCTTGCCTATAATCTCGCAGTTGCAGTGCTCGATCTTGGTATTCGAGAAGAGACATTGGTGATTTTAACGTGTAGAAGTCTTGTAAATCATTGATTAATGGTTCCCCGGATAACGCTAACTGCTGCTGGATATGTTGGGAACCATCCGCGTTCATTATAGCTGGCTGTAGGAATATTAGTTGCTGGACATATACATGGAAAAAATGGAACAACATGCGTGAAGTCGCTCTGGTATACTATGAGATGGTGGACACCAATCTACGACCTGAATCTATTATTAGCACGCACGTGTGTAATCATACACCACAACAAAGGCATACCTCATGTCCTGCATGTTTCAAAGCATTGACAACTATTTCCAGTGCACGCGTAACAGGCGGATGAGGTTGTATCATTCCATCCCACGAAAATATGCCAAATTTGAGCCTTTTTCTGGCTTTGAGTCTATCCTCCTTACGCCAAGGAATTGGAACAACAGCGGGATCGCGAAGCCAAGGTGAGGTCGAGAGGAGACTGCTCATGACTAATTCTAGACCTTCGAGTGAGCGTGAAAGGAAACCTACGGAGGAGGGGATTAGTGTTTGCCCAGGGTTCTGCGGAAGAGTAATCAGTATGAATAGTGAGTTTTGAGGAACGGCTAGGAGACAATAGCGTGTTGGACGAACAGTATTAGCAACTCCTCTGTAGGAAAATCGATTATGGCTGGGCTTAATGCCGTAAATGCCGCAAAATGCAGCGGGGACACGAACAGAACCTGCTGAACTGCTGTTAATCAAGAGTTCAGAGTTATGAAGAAGGGAATGATATACCGATATCGGTACCCATTCCCAGTGAACTTCCGCCCGTCGAAATAAGTGCTGCTTCGCCTGTAATAATGCCTTAGACCATGGACGTTCACACCGAGAAAGAATTGTCAAATACCTCCAGAAGAGCCTCCACAGGACAAAAGTCGATTGACTGGATTAAGTGTCTGGCCGATGATATTATTTATAGTTTCATCATACTAGATACCAATTATCATAATGCTACTTCAGCTCAACCAAAAATCAAAGCTTACGAGAACAGTTTGTGGCAAGCTGGTCTATCAGTTGTCAGCTTAAGTATATATGCTCCAGAAGTTGTGGGAGATACATACCTTACAGAAAACCACAGCACCTTGTCCTTCCAAATCTGAAATAACCTGACTTTCTACCGCTTCCACCTTAGTACTATCACCATCTCCTTCAAAAGTGCCAATCCATCCAACATAACCCATGGTAGTATCTGAACCTTTGACATGGAATTGATCTTTAACACTTATTGGAAGACCATGAAGAAATCCCTTTACCGACCCCCGGCCCTTTTCAAAAGATTTATCTAACTTCCTAGCCTTTTCCAAAGCTTCGGGTATCATTATATTGAGCAAGCAAGGATTCTATTTGAGTGAGTTGCATATCTCTTTTGAAACATTTTAAATGGGAGCACAATTCAGAATAGGATGGATCGGAATGATGGAACTTACAATTTGGTGGGCAATACAAGAAATCTTGCAAGAAGCCCGTACACATTGAACAGCGGTCCATTCTCCATTCCAAATCCTCCTTAGTATTGAAATTGGATCATGGTTTAGGTATTCTTGTTCAAATCGATCCAGATATTTGCAAATAAAAGGTCCCGTGATGCTCCGCTGCATTCTCGCATATGAGAGATCACTCGGCGAAAGTCTCCAGTCAAAGGGAATTTTTTTCATAATAAAAGTGGTTCTTTCTGCTGCTAGTGTTCCCCAGGAGTAAGACATTATGTCTTCGTTCGGCAACAGTAGAAATTGCTATGTACTTATTGGTGAGGTTCGATCTAAGAGAAGAGATATTGTAGGACTGTAGCACCACAGAAAAAGAGCATTTCAAGAAAAAAAAAAATCCTGTATGTAAAGGGAAGTGAATAAAATATCACTTATCGCATGTTGTGTGATTGAGCTGCCATATGTGAATAAATGTCGGACATGGTTGCACCGCAGTTTGAGAGGTGAATATCCATCTGATGACAGTCAAGGCTAGGTTAACCGACTCTTGCCATGATTGGCCAGACTCAATAACGTGGATTGAATTGCATAATATCTGTGACATGCTGCAGCACGATTGTATATCAAAACAAAGTTTCCACCCATTTCCTCATCAAAGGGGTTGAAGGAAATCAACCTTATTAACATTTATTAATACCATTCATCAAAATTATTGGGATATACTTGAAGTGGAAGTTGCCAGCAACCTGTTAGTTTCATCTCTCGAATCGTACTATCCTTCCTCAATCTGAGTCTGCATCATCATCCAATTCTTCAAACCGTCCTTGCTGTAACGCTTCCTCCATAGGATTCTTCGCAGTGATGATTCCATTCTTCTTCAATCTGTTGATACGTTAGCTTAATGAATGTATATATAGAAGAGCTCTAGAATACCGTTCGAACAATACGAATAATTTTTCAGCCTCCCTCTCTTTCTCCTCCTGACTCATCTCTGGCATATCAATCTTCTCTTCAGCTTCGAGAAGTTGTCCAGTGATAGGATTGACTGCTTTCCCACTATCATGGCTGGATCTTGCCTTACCATCATCATTATCGTTTTCTTTACTCCATGCTTCGAGAGCATTCTCTGGGATGGGAATATTGCGCTGGAATAGGAAACCAGAGGCGAACCCATAGCCAAGATTTTGAACAAACGTGCTGGCGTCTTTATCAGACAGCTCAAATAGCAATGCTGAAATAGATTCCCGAACTTGAGGCGCCATGGGACTTGTAGATAATTGAATCAAGCGAGCAGACAATGATTCCCCTCGGCCTATAGGTTGCTCACGATCCTTATCACTTGGAAGCAACCGGGTTTGCAAGAACTTATGAACTTCCGAAGGGCCGATCTCGTACAATCTACGAATGAGGGTAAGCAGTGGTGAGACAAGTTGCTCAAGTTCCTCGTCCTTGTATTCATTGATGGAATGATCCAGGAGTTCAAGAAATTTTTGGACATGGGAGTGCGGATTTGCTCTAGGAAATAACACGCTAATATTTCCGGGATCTTCAAGAGGGAGGTTGATAAGGGTGTTGATAAGTTGCGAGATGGGGGATTCGAGGGGCGTGTTTGGAATTATTTCTCTTTTATCAAGAATTGATAAGATGTGAGGTAGTGCTTGCGAAAAGCTGGAGTTTCGTTGTGGACAGAAATGTGTGATATTGAAAAGAAGTTTGAGCGATTCGGCAAGAGCCATATCCTCCATTGGATCTAATTGCTTGACTTTTTTCTGCTTCGCATTGTGCAGTCTTGCATGGTTGGCAATATTATGTGAAATAGCGTCCGCTAAATGACAATGGTCGATGAGATTCTCAATATTGATGGTTGTACCGTAGGTTGTAAGGAAGATAATCCTAGATAATAAAAACTCATCGTCAACGGACCCATTTCTATCTTTGAGTAGAGTGCAAGCCTTTGCATCATAACCTAAGGTAACCAATGTTTGTCGTGTGTCTGGCTTTAAGAGCAGAGCGTTTGCGAGGCATCGGAGCGCATTTCGAGAAGTGAATTTTGAGGGGCTATTGAAGGCATGCTTTGAAAGAGTCTCGATGCCCTATCGCGAGAATTAGAAATCCCTTGCGCAAAGATATGTGTCACTTACCTCTCTGGTAAAGATTGGATCTGCATTGGCGGGGTCACGGCCATACACCTTCAATTGCTCCAGGAGTGCATCTCGTTCTGCATAGAGGAATGAGTATATTTAATTTCTGAAGACTAATATAGACTTACGGTGCGGCAGAAGGCTAATGTTCTCCAAATCCGCCTTGAGACTTTCTACGATATTGGTGACATCCGCCAATTTTGCTACCCATGATTGTTAGCAAGCTATACCATAAACCACTTCGCATCCACAGATATACCTTCGCCGGTTAATCCCTGGGAAGATAAAGATGTTCGGGTACTTGAGATGGACATATTTAACGCTTAGAGCCGAACTGAAGCTTCACAAGGTCGTATCAGTCTTGTATGATGCTCCCAGACTGTGCATCCACCGTAAGAATTCGATTTCGGAGCCACTTGGGGAAAACCTCACGCCACTGCTGGTTCGCCTGAGCCCGCTACCCAAATTTCCTTCACGATTCTATTGGCAGATGATGCAGTCGCCAAACAAGATTCAACTATGGGATTCTAATGTTTCAAGCTCTCTGAGCCGACCGTATTACAGGTTTATGCTGATGCTGTGCTTTGCATCAATTGTCTGAAATCCGTTTGATTGGTACTGCGCTGCAACTTTGACTCGGATTGTGCAAGAAGAACCACAACATGTAACACTCAGAATTCAGGCAATGGAGTGGATGGAAAGGGCAATCGTTGCATAACCATCTGGGAATCGCGAAAGGTTCGGGTGGTGTGGAATTTCAGCGAGACCTTGGGATAATGCGTCTATTTTGACATGGAGGATGAGTAGGCCTTATGATACAAGAAGTCAAGAGTGAAATTATTACTCGGACAAACTGGTAAATTTTGTGCCAACGAGATAGTTTTGCATGGAAATCCTGTTGAATTTATCAATTGGGGGAACATTCGAAGAATACACTCTACACTTTACTACTGCATTTGCCCCAGCCTCGAATTCTGCCACAATATCGCCACTTTAGGTTAGTGCAGATAAATTTGTTAGCGGTGTAATCGCTTGGCAGTCACAATATCAAAATCAATTGACTCCTTGATATCGATTTAGTTACATGGACCGAATGGATATTATCCAGAAACTTTTCTACTCGGGATCAAAGACAAGTAAGATATGATGGACACGATGCCAAATGAGAAAGGTTATTCGAAGCCTGGCTGTTATGTCTCCCTGCTTTATGATCTTTCTTCATACACAGCAAACTCTTAGGCACAACTTTGACTGCACCACAACGATTCTGATAGACAAATTCGAGTCTACTTTTCACTCAAGCAAACTAAAAACAGTTTTAGCTAAAAGAAAGAAAGGCGTACAGATTCATCATATTAGTCCGCCAACACCATCCATCGATAAACCCCTATCGATATTTTGCTTTTTAGACATCCTGCCGGAAAATCTAGCTCATTTCTTTCAGCTAAACCAACAATATTCTGTGCGGTTGAAATCAAGATTTTCAAGCATATAAGCTGAGTATCTTCGATTTATGGATCGGCCTCAGTTTCCGACATCCTTTCGGTACATTTCGTTTCTTACCCTTTACATGCCATCACCTAGATCCATCGCAGCTGTTACCCAACCATTGAAAGACCATTCCAAAACCATTTCAAAACCTTTCACGAGTTGTGGAAAAATGACATCTTCCATGCAATTCTCTTTCATACAAACACTACGCCTAGCAGCGCTACGTTTCCTGATCATGACCAGGGAGTTAAATTCAAACCTGTCAAATTTACAGCATATGGGATCTTCAAAGTCTATGAAATTTATTATCAAAACGCTTAGCTGAGGACCGTTAAGCAACTACATTTTGATCCTAAGGTTGTCGCTCAGCTCGGTGGTACTGGTGTAGTGGGAACAGGGGCAGCCGTGTCATGATTAGCGAACATGAATGCCCATGAAAGGAAACCGAAATGCAGTAGTCTCCTCATGGTATGCCCATAGATTCCTCTTAATAAATTACAATCCTCAACTACGCGTAATACAACTCACCAGTTGAGGACCTTCCATCGTCAACGGATTTGAAACCACTTTTTCAGGATCCTGTAATGCCAAACTATCGCCCATCCTGGTACAGTGAGTCTGTCTCTTTCCTGTGTAGATTTGGGCCTTTAATAAATCATTCCGGTAAAATCCTCGAATCGATTTATGCATAGTCATTGTTCCACTCCAACGGGATGCACTGCTGGTGATTAGGTCAGAAGACTGGTCTAAAATCGAGTAATCTGCCCCACATCTGATGTTGTCATCATATTTAAGACATCCTTTTGTTTTCCGCAAGTCTAAAACAGGTGGTGATTTACACAATTCCGTCATAATACGGGGACTATCATTGCAGACAAGAGAGAAGGTGACTGTTACTAATCCCGTGCAATATTTAGGCTAATCTCCATCACCGGTTCCCGATATACGTGCCGAGTATAGTACATTTTCAGACGGCATTATTTCATCTCATCTAGCTAAATACTTCAATGAAATCTTGGAAGGATATCCTTGTATCTGGAATTTGCCAATGAGGGGAAAGACCGACAAGCTAGACTCAAAAGATCCATTTCCATCGCCGATATCAAGGCCCCGTGGTGATATTTTATTGATTCTTGCTCTGCCATACCTTAAGATTGGATCCTGGATTGCTTTTGCTAGCCCACAATGTGTTTTCTGCCGCTCCAGTCTTCCTATCTGACCATGCCATTCGAATTTATATATGGGCTCAAAAGACACCATAATAGTCATACCTCACAGACTCCAACAACAGCGACGAATCTGGTCATCGACATTTACACTCTACCGGTGGTATGAAAGGACTCCCTTGGCACAAAAACAGCTCAAGCATATGCTCATATAGATAACTACTTGAGGAACTGACAACGAATTCACACTCACTCACCCAATGTTCACGACTATGACTACTGTCTCTGATGCGGTCGCAAAACAGAAGAAAGAGAACATTCTGTTCTCGCCGGAGGCCAGAATATTGGAGGTTGCAGCTACAACCGATACACTTACCATAGGACTTATTAATCAAAGTTCTTCAAACACCGTCTATGCATATATTACTGGTCTTGCCATTAACAACAACTATGCTGTGGTGCTCCTTCAAGCTGACGGTTCGACCCTGTATTATCCTACAAATCCATCATCTAATGGATCTGCCTTGAAAGAAGACTGCGCCATTTCGCTAGGAGCTCCTGGCTCTACTACAACAGTCACTATTCCATACATTGCAGGCGGTCGGATTTGGTTCTCCGTTGGGAGTACTTTGACATTTCTGCTCAATTCCGGAATTGTGGGGCCTGGATTGGTTGAACCTTCAGTCAGCAACACCTCTGATCCCAACTACTTGAAGAACTGGGATTTTTGTGAATTTACATACAATAGCGACGAGGTTTTTGCAAATATTACCTATGTGGACTTTGTGTGCCTTCCCATCTCTTTGACACTGAACAGTACAAGCGGTGCAGTGAAACATGTTGGAGGTTTGCCTTCAAATGGATTGGCTACAGTCTGCAATGGTCTAATAACACAAAATGCGATTGACGGCGCCGGCTGGGACCAACTCATTATTAGGAACGATGGTATAAACTTGAGAGCCCTCAACCCAACTCAGGGCATGGTCTTTAATCCAGCACTTTTCCAAAACTATTGGACTAGCTACGTCAATGCTGTTTGGGCTAAATATGTCAGCACTCCCCTAACTGTCAATACTCAAGCATCATGGGGAGATGTCCTTGGCTTGACATCCAGCCTCGCTTCCTTGTCGTTCAGTAGCATCGGCTCCTTCACAAAACCATCGGCCGCCGATATATTTAGCGGCGCGTCAGGGGCTTTTGCAGCCCAGCCTGTCAACACCGATCAGCTTTTGAATATTGGCGCACGTCTCGACGCTGCACTCAATCGTTCAACTCTTTTGATCGACTCCTTCCAGCCGAACAATGAAGTGGTTTCAACATACTACAAAAACGCAATTACAAACCACTATGCAAGAATTGTCCACGCTGCAAACGTCGATGGTCTCGGTTACTGATTTCCATATGACGATGTCACACCTGATGGAGGTGTAAACCAATGCGGCGCCATAAATGATTCAATGCCCGCTTCTTTGATCGTAACGGTCGGCGGCAACAATGCATATGCACAAAGCAAGGTGGGTACAGTCGAAAATGATGATTCTGCCAACGAAAACTCTCTTGGCACTTCCCGTGGAAATCACTCAGCTCCGGGAGAAGAACAAAACATGCCACCACACTTGAATGCAGCTTAGGGAATTAAATCTGGAAAGACAGCCACGATTTCATTCACGAAGCTTTCTCGTTTCCTGGACTGGTTCTTGGGAAAGCACTTGGCAGTAACTCACTAGACGTTGCCATCTCATCGTCGCAAATCTTCGCCCATAACCTAAAATCAATCCCCCGTTTCTACTTCCACGCTTCTCAGGACTTCTCTGCCAATTTCTGATAATTCTAGGCATATCCTCTTCCCTTGTGCTTTGAGACTCATTCTTTTGGATATAATTCGTATTTTGTTCACTTATTTCATCTCTGTCGCTACCAACATCTCCCGTTTTATCATCAATCTTTATAAATGGTTAGGTTTATCAATCTGAGGTTTTGGAATTCCACTGTGTATGTTACCAAAAGGAGGGGTGGGTGGATTATGGAGAAGATTGTGGTGGGCCTATAGTGGGTCCACCATCCGGTCTACACAATTCAATGAAATCATGGAACATTTGTAAGATCATTGTTATCTGGGTGAAATTCGTGACACAATTTCTGAGTACGGTGTGCGTATTGTGCTTGGAGCCGCATATTATCCAACTGTTGGTACCGTCCTTGCTCCTTCCGTGGCAAGAGATAACGTTTTCAAAACTTTTTCTTTTTCATTACGAGGTTATCAGTTAAACTGCTCTTTTCGGCGGATGGCGGGGGCTTCCCTGAGCTTCATCCTAGGAAAGCTTAACCTGCCAGATCACTGCACAGGATAACTAATTAGTCCCCGAGTATGTACCGATTTACAACCAATGAAAGGCTAGTGAATAGGCATGAACCCTAGCTATTAGGCCATAGCTTGTCCCAAAGTTCTCGATGGGGAGTATCCACTTTGTAAGACTGGTATCCACCCACCTCATCCTTACAAAAAGATGGCTGAACAATTGTTGGTTGTTGAAGGGTGACGAGGTTCTTCCCCGATCATGTTTATCCGATAACCTGAAGTATACTTTAAACATGCAGGGGAATGGTGGAATTCAGAAGCCACTACTCCGTAATCCCCACGTGGACCGTTTATTCGCTTTAGGAAGGCCAGAAGATAGGGCAAGTGCTTTTGTTCCAATAAAATCAACCCGGCAAGGAAAACGATGATCGCTATCAAAGAATCAGAGCCCAGACACAATCGTAGATATATAACCTCAACGTTTAACCCAAGGTTGTGAAGTCCTTGGCAGACCTTCAATTGTTCTCATTCCTTCGCTCCAAACTACGTCTAAAGATGTATCTTTCCACAGTCGTTGCTACGAACGCCTTGTTGGCATCGGCTACGGCTGCCAACCTCATTACCGATATCAATCAAATCCAGAAGTACTGGGGAGAAATGACTCCTTATGCTGATAACGAAGAGGATTATTTCGGTGTAGAATATGTCGGACTTCCAGAAGGTTGTCAAGTTGTACGTTTCTGTCTATAATGATGCTTACAAGCCGACTAACAATATCGAGGAATCGGTGCAGGTCCTCCAAAGACATGCGGAGCGTTTTCAGACCGATTCTGTAGACGATGGTGCGAATGATGAGCGTTTTGCTGAGAAGGTTTCCAATTTCACCTCAACGTCTTCCAATGCGACTTTCACAGGCCCTCTTTCTTTTTTGAACTCTTATAAGTACCCTATGGTCGACAATGGTCTTTTGACTGGAGTGGGCGCAATTACCGAATTTACTGCTGGTGTTTCGTTTTGGAATCGTTACGGCAGAATTTTATATGGTGCATCCGCTGGACAACTTGCCTACGATCCTCTACACGCCAACGGCACTGCACGCCCCAAGGTCACCTTACGCACAACCTCACAATCAAGAATCGAGAACAGCCAAATTAACTGGGCATTAGGATTTTTTGGTCCTAGTTATTCCGCCATCCCAGATCCTACTTTTGAAAACGTGACCACAGGATTCGATGTGGTGATAATCACTGAAGGAGGAAGCGACAATAATAATACCTTGGCATCATATTACGGTTGTTCCAATGACAACACTGACGGAATTTGGAACATTGGAGATTATGACATTTACACTTATCTTCCCAAATATTTGAGCAGTGCGACCAAAAGATTACAAAAATATGCACCTTCTGGTTTCGAATTAACATATAACGATACTTATGCTATGCAAAGTATCTGTGCATATGAGCATGCATACATTGGCATGAGTGCCTTCTGCGGGCTATTCACCGAGGATGAGTGGGCCGGGTTTGAGAGTACATTAGATATGATATGTAAGTTTGCACCTCCATTGATTTTCATGCGCCTCCTGTGCTGAAAAATGCCCACAGACTGGTACGATTATTCGTATGGAAATCCCACGGGACGGGCTCAAGGAATCGGCTATGTCCAAGAGCTCCTCGCGCGTCTCCAACATCAATACATTCCCTTCTCAAATTCCTCCGTAAACTCCACCCTGGACGATAATCCAACCACATTCCCATTGGACCAAAAGTTCTACGCCGATTTCTCCCACGACGACATCATCATCTCCGTTTTGGCAGCAATGGGTATGGATTATTTCAGAGAGGCCCCAAGCCTTACACAATACCCACCCAACCCAGATAGAAATTTCATCATCTCTCACATGACTCCCTTCGGCGCTCGTCTCGTGACGGAGACCATCGGCTGCAGCTCCGCCGACCCATTCCCTGAAAGGACTTCAAAGGTTCATTATACACCTACTCAATATGGCTATGACTCTGCCAATGCCACGAACAAATTTATTAGAATGAGACTCAATCACGGTATCCTTCCATTAGATTCGATTCGAGGCGGTGCGTGCAAGGGCAGAATAGATGGAATGTGTGAAATGGAAAAGTTCTTGGGGAGTCAAAGTAATGCCACCGCGATGGCAAACTATGATTATGTCTGCTTTGGAAACTATACCATTGCGAATATTACGAGTGGGGAGGACTATGATGGTACTTTGTTTGAATAGTTGAGCAATATGGCCCCCACTTTTTTGAACATAATTTTAGATCTGATTGTAGATTAACAGTCCTCTTTAGATTAGAAATCTTGTTGTATAAATAGATCTTAGAAATCTGGAATAAAGTTTGGATTCTGCGTTTTGTCCATTCGATGGTGCACGAGGCCTTTTAAACTACCTCCACTGCAATCCCCACGCAATAGTTGATTGAATGCGATCCATATCATCAAGCTCACCTATCCTATTTTATATGTTCGCTATTCCAATCATTTTATTTGCGTGCTAATTTTAACCCTTTTTATTTTGTATCTAGAGCTCAAACGAGAAAGGTTGAATCAATGAATATAATGTCTTAAAAAGGCCTTTCCTTTTTAATTTGGAAGTGCCGAAGATGACCATTTACCCCAAATGTCTGAACGGCAAGGGCATGAAAAAGACCTTAATTTGACCCAGATGTGTGTCTAGTTCATGCACTACTGTATTACAATTGCATGCTGCGGTAAAGCAATAAATATGCTCCGATGGGAGCCTATAGACCTACCACATATATTCATTACTACGTGTTTCATTTATTCTCAATACTTTCTACCCAATGGTCGAATGACAAAGTACTCCCCTAATTGATTAGACCACACTCTCGCTTTAGGCCCCGCAAAATTCCCTTTATCAATGCATTCTCACCATTGTGTCTCTCCAGATATATACATATCGCCTGACACTCCAAAGTCGCTCTGCGTTCAACCCACCAGACCAGTTTCTGGATTTTTAAATACCAATGTGCCAGTAGAATCAGGGCTCTAGGATCTCTCGCTTTCAAGAGAATTTTAAATTGTGCCGACATGGTGGTCAAGAATCCGAAGAAAGATAATAGGGCTGATCGATTGCACTCAATTTTCATAATCCGCTCAAGAGATACAATCGCCAAGTAATATGCATTGTTCATGGAGGTAGAATTCTCGTCTAAATCGAAGAGTTCGACAAAGTGAGAGGGGAAGGATGAAAGATTAAGTTTCTCATCACTTCTGTAGTGAACCATGTCATACTCGACAGACATGACATGAAAAATGCTATCTTCGCGCGTCGGATCTGTGAGCTCAAAAATAACGGTCTTACACTCGCTCATACGCAGCCAGTCGAGGTCATTGTCTGCATATGGAGTAAGTGGCCATGCTTCATAGGGCGAGGAAGCTTCGATCGATGACAAAGCTACGATGCCAAGAAGTGCCGCCGTGGCCCATAAAGCATCCTTGTCGCTGTATGCAATGGGCCCGCAGAGTTTCTGATTAAAGAGAGATGCGGCACGAGCTAGGTGATATATTTCTGCTGATGTGCGCTGCGATGATCCTGCTTCCTGGATAGTAAGGTATCGATCGTGGCAGGCAGTTAGAGATTGAAGGGTATGCATAAGGAATGGATAATTGCAGGCCATTGGGATGGCAAATTCTTCAAACACCCCGGCACCAGTTGGTGTCCCCAATGAACCGACAGTTCGACGTCGAAAGCGGTCTAATCGATAGAGGCTCTGTCTATCCAACTCAAAAAACGAGACGCCCTCGCCGATAGAAAAAGACGGTTCTAAAGTGGTAGGGATGTTGGGTTTCCCTGAACTTGAAGTGCGAGTGATAGGCCAGGAGGATTCTCTAAGTTTTTGTGGTATTCTTATGGTTGAAGATGTTCCAGAACAGGCTATCTCCAAATCCGGAATTCTTGGGTCATAATTACATGCATATCCGTAATCGCTACACTTTAAGCAACTAGGTCTTGCCTCGTCGCACTGAAGACCATTATTTTGATCAGTCAATTATACGAAGCCGGAAAGCCCAGAATATTATCTTACCTTGACTCTCCTTAATTTACAATTTCGACATCCTTTCCGTGATTTTTTATGAACTCTCCGCTTTCGCTGGCTAACTTTCATAGCATCGGCTTCCGTATTGGTCGACATGATTAAGGTCGGTCACCAGGTCGTTTAGAGTAATTGTTTGGCGTAATCCTGTTATTATCGACTGCAGTGATTTCATGTAGGAATTGAGGGAGTTTTTGAATGAATACGACAGAAGGAAAGATACGCGAGGTGATGAAGGGGAAGATGCTTCATGACGATAAATATAGATATATCCTTCTTTGCCCCACCATCCTTCTCCACTTCTGACTCTCGCGCTAACCATATTTCGTATTCACAGCCAAACTAGTCCATATATAGTCTAGGATATCGCAGCATGCATAATTAGAGGTCGATCACTTCAGTCTAATCCCGAATCGAGTTCCATCCATCTCCACGACTGCTCTGAAGCATCAAAAAATATAACATAGGATGATGAAATAATTCCTTGTGTACGTCAATAATGGCGTCAATGGACCTATGTGCACGCATTTATCCTTGTGAGGGACTCTTCGAGATTGCATGTTGCCTTAAGATGATTATGCTATACAAAAATAATCCGCGGGTTGCGTATATCCATAGGTAATCCACCCCGTGGGTTATCTATTAGATCTATAATCTGTCCCGCGGATCATTTATTTGGATTTTGGATAATTCGTGGGACAGATTGTTTATGGAAATTTATAGGTAAATGGATTATTTTGGGATTATCTGTAAATAACCTGTAAATAACCTGTAAATAATCCGCAAATCCGTAAATCCGTTGTGTGGATTATTTATTCGGATTTTCCAATAACCCTCCCCGCAAATGGGTTATCCGTGGATTACCTATCAAAGTATAATCCGCCCCGCGGTGCCTTGTTGCGCAGCCTAATGAGAAGGGAGTTGATTATAAATGCTGTGAGTTTCTCGTCATAGAAGGGCAATATATAAACCCTTTCCTTCCCACCTTAAGCCAGCAACCAAACAATATATCTTACTTCCATTGATCTCGCATACTACATTAACTTAACCATGTCTTCAGTAACTGAGACTCCCCTTCCAGCCACTATGAAGGCACTTTACGTCGAATCTCAAGGCCAACCTTTCATCGTCAAGACCGTCCCAACACCCCAACCTAGTCCGGGGAGTCTTGTCGTCAAAGTCCTCGCTACAGACATTGATCCGGAAATAAACCAGATTATGAACGGGGAGCTCCCCTATCTCTACGTACCTACGCCTCTCATTCCAGGCGGTCGTGCTATTGGTCGTGTCGCAGCCACTGGTCCAGACACTACCACTTTATCTGTCGGCCAGCTCGTGGCCATCGAGCCTTTTGTTCGCGGTCGCGATAATTCTGATGTCCAAATACTATGGGGAGTTGGCGTATTTGGACAAGACCCCAAAGCAAAGAAACTCATCGAGGTTTGGCGTAATGGCGTAACAGCCGAATATGTGAAGGCCCCACTTGAGAATGTTTATGCGCTAAATGAGAAACGGCTCCTGGGAAATCCTGCAGAGGGAGGTCTTGGTTATTCTCTTGGAGACCTTACTATACTTTCTCGACATCTAGTAGCCTATGGAGGATTTCGAGGAATTGATCTCAAACCTGGAGAGACTGTCATTGTGGCGCCTGCTACAGGTGCGTTCAGCAGTGCTGCAGTCCAAGTAGCATCAGCCCTGGGCGCACGTGTCATTGCCGTTGGTAGGAACTTGTCTAAACTGCAGAAACTTGCAGCAGCGAATCAACGCGTCGAAATTGTGCAGACCTCTGGTAATTTCGAGGAAGATCTTGCGAAAATCAAAGCCTCTGGTCCAATTGATGCATATTTGGATTTGTCGCCCAAGGAAGCGAATGGCTCGAGCTATATCAGAGCTTGTTTGATGTCGTTGAGGAATTATGGAAGAGCATCACTGATGGGAGTACCGAGTAATGATATTGATATTCCATACATGATGGCTGTTATGAACAACCTTACGATTCGGGGACAGTATATGTATGAGAGAGAAGATGTAAAAGGACTGATTAAGCTTGTTGAGAGTGGCTTATTGAAGATCGGAAAAGCTGGTGGCAATGAAATCGTTGGTGAATTTTCAATCGAGCAATGGGATGAAGGGCTGAAAGTCGCGGTTCAGAACCCTGAGCCTGGAAAGATGGCAATAATGTATCCTTAGTTTGAGATCTTACTTGAGAGACTTTTTACTTTAGTATACAGATGCATATATCTAACCTCTTTCACCTAAATTACTACTATACTCATAGCCAATTACTCATATCCTTTCTCGACCGCAACCTCTAATGCTGTCGTCCCCATGTCATCTAGGATATCTAATTTTACACCCTGATGTTCAAATAACCGTTAAGCTCGCCACTCGATATTAACCGTGATAAGTAGAGGCGTACTTGCCCCAGGCTCTTTGGTCCATTTTGTATCAACTTCAGCACCTGCTTTCAATAATTCAAGAATCATATTGAGATATTTTTCCTAGTGGCATATAGTAAAGCCGCAGTGAGCATCCCTTAATGTTTGTACAGATTCTCCCGTTTCATGATGTAATTTATAAAAAAAGTGATGGCAGGAAATTCCTCAACATCTTCGGTTTTCCCAATTTGCGCCATGTATCCACCAACTTTTACATGGAGAATACATACGGAATGGAAACCTAACTTGATAAATCGAGACTCCATTACTATGCGTCCATGAGCAGATATCAGAGGTGCAAGTTGAGTGGATATTACTTGGAGTGATTTGGGATTGGGAGGAATTGATGTCGTTTGGATTATTGAGACGTGTAGCAATTTTCATGTAAGGATTTGGGAAATTGATTGGCGGCTAGGGTTAGGTTTATGGAATTTAGAGAATCTATCTTTAAGATTTGAGATATTTTTATCTGAGGTTTGATCGCTTGAAGGAAAGAATTCGAGGTTATCTGATCGTGGCTCTTGACAGTTGAGAAACTGGTGTATCCAGGGGGAAAATGGCTGGGGTCGGGCTGCGCTGCTAAATCTATAGACGGCCATGGAGAGTCAGCAACTCATGACACTAGAAAATGCTATCCCATTCAGCCTTTGGCTTTAATGAGCAAAGATGATTCAAGCCCGGTTTCTATGTAAGATCCAAATGGTCAAACATAGATGGATTATTTATGGAAAGTCTATATTGCCAGAGTTCACCAAGGTGTAGTATCTAAATTTCATCCGATTATCATGCGACGGTACATTGTAACTGCATCTAGTACCGGACTGCAGTCTAGAGATAACAGATTTTTCATTGTTGGATCCTATTCAAAACAATAAATATGGTCGAATGAGTTTTCTAGGAATCAGACCCTGAAATATCCGAATCGCATTGCAGTCAAGAATATTGTATTAATTGAAATGGCAGATATAAATTTGATCTTTTAATTCCACAAAGGGAGACCGGAAAGAAGAAGAAGCGGGCTCAATCATGTACCTTCCCAAGGGGAAAAGAAAACTGCTTCAGGATAATTATAGATACTTCGATATGCCCTGAACTGTACAAGAAAGAACGGCGCAATGTACTCTCAAATGTCCCTATAGTCATATCACAGCCATCCTCAAGTATATCTCACTAAAGGAAAGATGGATGACCGCTCTACATGGAAGAAATGCAACAGGAAGAAAAATGCGGAAGCCTCCGTATGCGACCCATTAGCACGAGGAAAGGAGAACTCTTCGAAGAGCGTCCTGAATCCACTTATAACTCGACCAAAGCATTTTGAATAGATTATCGTCACAAAAAACTCGATTCAACTCCGTGTTCAGTCCACTTTAAACACTTCCCTAGAGTGAGTTGACGAGAATCCATGCGATCAAGTAGTGATACTGCTATCCGCTTTCAAGCAGAATCTCTCTTTTAAGAAATTTACTTGTAAAAAGCCGAAAATTAATCCACCAAATTTTTGCGATAAATGGATACTTCTGATGCTTCCTCGTTGGAGTGATATCCGAGAATATTGCTCGCTCGCTTTGACTTCAAGGCCGACCAATCAACACAAGTTCTATACGAACATCACTATGTCCGAGTCAACCCAACGTAGACCACCTGATTTTTCGCTGAAAGTGTTTGTGTCACCTATTAAAGTAGACATGTAAAATATGCAACGTATGAAGGTAGTACCTTGAAGGGAAGCTGACAGCATACATGGTTATGATGCATGCTGACACGACAACTCAAACACAACACTTGATTGCTTACAGAGTACACTCATCTCAATAGAAGCAAAGCAGCTCTCTCTTACTACCCAATTACGATCATGGCATACTAGCTAGATATTCAAATTGAAAAAGGGCAATATCAACCAGTGAGTGTCGCACGGCACGTAGACCCGAGTCATCAGCACTTTATAACTCGGCCTCCACCTACCTCGGCTACCCCCCGCAGTGTATCAGCGGCAGAAATAAAAAGGTGTTGTGATCCCCAGGGCTGGACCTTACATCTCATCTCGAGAAGAGACATCTCGTCTCCAATAAAAAAGTTCCATGTCACAAGAATTGAAACAGCGGTCCCCAACTTTTGGATAAAGGGCTAAAACCTGCACAAGATTGTCGTCGGGAACACATTCCCCCGACAACATAAACATAAAAACCCTATCTCATGTGGGATTCGCCTCAGGGATCACAAAGCATAAAAATATTTCATACTCCGTAGCCAGATGGTGCAGATCCATGTCCATGTAAGAAGCTTTCTGCGGCGCGTGTGCATGCATTGATTGGGACACCATGTCGCTCAGCCGCTAAGCTTCTAAGCTCACCTCAGTTTCCCACCGACACGGTGTTCGAAACTCTCCGGAGCAGTGTGTAATTCGGAATCTAGGATGCAGAACTCGGGCCCGAGGCGGAAACGTTTTCGATTCGTTCGTTTGCTGCTTTCAGGTTCGCGATGCTATGTAGGTAGTTCGTATACATAATACTCTGTACGATACAGTATTATTATTTCTAAAAGGGGAATGCAATACGTTATACGTTGGATGCATGCGAAAAGCTTGGTTGAGCGGTAGAAATACAATATAGCTATCGTAAAACTCTCCACTGAAAGGATCTGTCTAAGAGCAGCATGCTAGCCTAAATTAGACGATCCTCGGATCTCGCATTCGCATTTGATTTGATGGTTGGGGTTGTTTGACTTTTCACATTCGCGCGATTGATAAATATCGTGGATATTAATATATCTAAAATTCTAAATAAGTTTTAACTTGCTCACCTCCAAATCAGATAATGCACCCGACGGTAATTCGGCACTTCTTTTATTTAGCATCCTACATCGATTGTGGTTAACGTTGGCACTGTCTAGTTCTATCCCCTGGCGATACGAGGGCAATTCCCGCGATGATCAGGGTAAGGATTCGTCAGTTATATAATCATTGTATTAGTTTATGGTCCGTGATGTCATTTATTGTTCTAGATGGATGTAGCGGATAGAGCGGGTGGCTCTGGAGAACGTTGTCACTATCACTCATCATGACTGATCATGAGAAGGAAAAAATTCTTTTGTACAGATTCAAAACGGCTAAGGTTCTCTACTAATTTCATAACTCAAGAACGCACCGAGAGCATCCGAGCCTTAAAGTTATGAAAAAGCAAAACGATCCACTTATATCACGATTCATAGCGGCTAGACACTAAAATCCTTGTATATGCCGGACAAGCATTAACTCCGCACCGTAATCCCTCTCATTGGTGTAATGCAACGTCCTATCTCAGGGACATCCGGCCGATAGGTAAGCAACGATGTTACTAATCAACTGGTGGCTGCTTGGTATCTACCGAAATACTGGCTGTTTTCCTCTTTTCGAGAATGGGGAATATGATTACAGCCCGAGCCTCACAGTATTTTATTTCTTGTTACACACAACACCCACCCAAAAAGATAGTAAAGACCCGATTCACTGAGGTAAGATCCATTTGTCTTGCAGATCCTACGATGGAGCCGAGAACTTGTGGCATCATTCTGTTAAAACATAGCACTTCACTACCAAAGATAGAGAAGATAAGGTATCTTCTATTGGATACGCTCGGAGTGTAGTTTCTCTCCACTCTAGAGCAAATTAAGACTACTGTAGAGTTTTGCGCTGAGACCCTAGAGTAGTTCTTTGGCTGACTAGCCCTCTTGAAAAATAAAAGAATACTACTCACACCTGTTCATCCGTACTTCCAAGTTCGAGAAGCTGAGTGGCAGCAAATCCTAAATTTACAAAGTGTATACCAATACAAGCCAGCCTAAATCCCAGCGCTGACATTTCATGTCATCGAAGAACGCCATGGTATCGCCCCCCATTTCCCAAACTCCGTAGCCAGTAAATCGTGACCTCGTCAAATAATTTTCTGTCTCTCGTAAGACGTAACACACCTCCACTCAAACCAAGTCGTCTCCCAATTCTTAGGGCCGTGAAACAAGATTCTTCGTCTCAAATATTGCACAATTCCCGGCTATAAAATTCATCCTCAGCAGAAAATGAATACCCACTCAAGTCATTAAAATCCAAGTCAAAGATGGTGTCGCAAGGTTCCAGGTAAGGCGATCGGTCAAAGTAGCTGCTGGTAGCTTGCTTGTTCAACAATAATGTGTTCAGATCGTGGAACGGCGCTTCTGAAAAGTCGCCGAGAGGCGAATTGGGGGAGAGATAGGGGTCTTTTTGCAAGGTGTCTAAGTATGGTGAGGAGGATGAAGAAGAATCTGTTTGATAGGAATTTTCAGAAGATGTTAACGGTGAGTGCGCTTGGTAGGCAGGCGAAAACGACGAGACTGTAGACTGAAAGGGTGAGTTCGCCTGGTAAGTAGGCGAGAACGATGATACTGTAGAGGCAGATAATGTAGATTGTTCTTGATAATGATAAGGCTGTATCGTTAGACCGGGTGCTCGGCGGCTGTCCAAAGCTGCAGGGTTTCGACCGCTGAATGAGGTCCCCGTAGAAAATTTTGATGGTAAGTTATTCATCATATTTCCATGGGGCATATTGACGCTTGGGTTTTGACTCGTCCTTGCTGATCTCATCGAAGCCTCATGTGACAAACTAGAAGTGTCGGGTCTTTGATCGATGGCTACCGATCTTGATATTGGTGCTGGTGATGGAAGGCTTTTGGGTGATTGAAGCTGGAGCGGAATGGAAGGCTTGGTTGTGTTGAAATATTCTTTCTCGGACGTCGGAGGGAAATGACTCGAGTAACTTGGGGGAGGGAGCTCGACGGGTGATTCAACCTGGAATTCGGGCAAGGATTCGGCGCATTTGAGTTGTTGTTCTGATGAAAGCTCCTCTGTAGACGTGTTACCCTCCGTCTGAACCTCCTTTTTGACTTTGGACATTTCTTCTGCCGACAATCGCGTCAATAGAGCTGGCGCATCTTCAATAAAACACTCTGGGAGACCAGGTGCATTACGTATGCAGCCAAGTGCCTGAGCTATATCATGAATGACTACAGGCCCCTTTCCACCATCCTTCATCCGAGGCTCTGATAAGGTCCATTCCTCTCTACTCTTTACCATTCGCCAGAGCTTGTCTATAACAAGTACCATTGCTTGGTAAGTATTCTCTAGGGATTCTGTGTATCTGAATGCTTACGTCAGATACTATTCATACGATGAAATTAAATTACTTACCCTGGAGGATACTTTTTGTCCTCCGTGTGCTTTCCGTTGCCGGCCTCACATACCACATTGGCATCAACACACGCATTGCAAGCAATGTCTCTTTCAATGTCACACTATTATACCATTAGAATCTTGGTAGGGATATTCTCATGCTTTGATATGCGTACTTTTATCTTTTTATTGCGACAACGCTCACATGCTCTCGTGGCACGTTTATTTCTCTTGCCACTTTCGTTTGGAGACGTGGGACTTGAATGTTCACTTGAGGTGCCATCTCTCTTGCGCTTTCGTACGTGCTGTTTTGACCCTTTCGGGGGTTTTATGTCATTTGAAATAGTCATCTTGAAGTATCCAAGATCTTCGGACTTAGTGCTAAGTAGTGAAGTAGATTGCTGGTCAAAAATATAATCTAAAAGTTGATAAGGTCGTAACGGGTCAAGCTTATTATTGGATGTAAAGAGGCTTTCAAAAAGGAAAGCTAGACAAAGCGTTTATGAGTATATAGTTCAAGTTAAGGAATTGTAAAGGGTGAAAAATGTGTCCGAGGATTGCATGCAGTATGCGAGAAATGCATCAATTGGAAGGTCGACTGTCAATTATATGAAAATAATTAAATAATGGATCCCCAAGTGCTAGGCGCCATTCGTTAGGTACAGTACCTAGTGACGGACCTGAAAGGAATCCTAGACCCGTCGACCGAAGCGGCGGGTGATAAGTTTTTGATTATGTGAGGTGAAAGTAGGTGGCTAACCTAGACCATGACCCTAGTCATTCGGATTGAAATTGTAAAGTCCGCGCAGCGAAAGAAGTTAAAATAGGTAATCATACCACGATTCTCCGAAGCTCCTACACTCCGTGAAGTAGATTGGCACAAATGGATTGCGGGATATGTGTTTTTTTCGTGTATTCAGGTTCGACGTCTAGGATCTGTGAATACTGGGGGTTATCTGAAGGAACGTGTTTTGCTTGCATTACTCCAAAATGTTGGAATGAAGGGGGTGAAAAAGGGAAATCGTCTTATTCTACGTTCACTAGTCTCACAAAACGTTTTAACAGGCCTAGATACGGTCGTATACGTACTGTAGTGATTTTGGTAATAACATTATGGATTAGGACCATTAGAGTATGAGTTCTAATATGCAGAGGAAGTGTCAACTGTAACTACCTTTTGAGTTTGATGGTAGTGCTAGAGTCATGACATAAAGCGCAGAAAAGCTCGAGTGGATAACTACTGCCGCTTTAGTCTTTTCGGAGACATCCAGGTGTGGTGGGTGGGTGTGTAGTCTCGGCATGTAATCTTGTAAGCATAAATAAGTATTACTGATCCATTTTCATCTCAAATCACGGTCACCGGTGAATTTTTAAACATGAGCATATACTGTATAGGGATATCTTGACGTCTATGGAGGCTTGAGAAGCTTCAAAAGCTTCGAGAACCCAAATTGGTCTCCTCCCCCCAAGCATTGTCCATGAATTAGGTTGATGATGACAAAAAACATCTGTACAGGGGAAATGACAGGTGGGTAACTAAATTGCACAACATTAAGATACCCTATATCCGAAAGATTAAGGCACTTCTTTCACAATTATTCGGGTTTTGGGTTTTGTTTTCCTTTTTTCCCTTCTTTTTTTTTTTTTTAATTGGAACCATCCCATGATTCTACAGGGCTGAGAAATCGTTACCCAACCGCGGGAAATCTGAGGGTGGAGCTGTGCCTCTAGATTTTCATGGAAAATCATAAATGTCCGCAATAACCGTTTAACTATCATCCGAATCCGTCTCGGATAGAGCTGAATCTGAGAGGAATTATCTAATATCTGCCACCTCTTCTTCAATTGAGTCATGATTATATACTAGTGGCAAACAACACATTGAGAGTCGACATCATCAACATCGGTAGGTATCTATTTTGTGTGTGTCACAGCAGGAGAACCCACTACACTACATCTACGGAGTAAAGAACACTAATTTTGATATCAAGATACATATTATCATGATCACTATGGGTCTGACTGACACACAGAAGAGCCGAGTTAACAAGCTTCTAGAACAACATATCACTAATCGATTCTGGTTGATATACTCCGTAAGCAAACTATGGGTTTCGGATCCCTGATTAGTCTGCTCCTTTACAAGTTTGTTTAACTACAAACTGGACCTCAGTGCGTGTTGTGTCATTCCCATCGTTGTGGTCATCATTAAGTCGAAATGCATATATACACCTACCTAACCTCATTGGATAAACTTTCTGCAACTCTAAAATCTTGATAAAATTTGTCGGGATTTCTAATGCACCGCGACCCGTTTCCGACAAGAAAGCAAACCCCAGAGGCCCGTCATCCTGGATAAACGGTCGTTCCTCTATGTCAGTGATATCACAGATAAAGATCTCATGCGAAATGCTTGCAGGGCACGCGATTGAAGCTCCCCGCAACTTACGAGATGGTCCCCGATGTCTTTCTCTTCCACATGGCAATTCATCAAAATACTCCATCAAAACAAATCGCGCAGATCACTGATGGAAATGCGGCGTAACAACCATGTCCTAGAGTCTCCTGATTTTTGATGTGACCGGAAGTAGCAGATTCCGTCTGCCGACATGACGACGCACGCTAACGCAGTAGGATTGTGGAAATATATTTTCGAAAGGGGCTCGGATTATTCGCACTTTTCCATGGCTGTACGAAACGAATGAGCTGCAATCCCAGATGATTTTCACAAATACTCGCCGCAAGGGCCTATATCCGGTCGAAGTTCAAGCTATTCTTAAACTATTCCACAGAAGTTGACCTTCCCCGCGTAAGAATATAGTCATGTTGACAGAATGGTATCATCCACCAGGCAGCATCACTGAAGGTTCATCCCAGGTTCTCAGTCCTCACACCGTCTTACCAATTCAACCTTATTGTTTATCAATAATATCAATGGATTTCGTAATCGACAACGTCGAATGACTGAGACGTTGTAAAGCAGCCTTCCTATCTCAAAACGCTCATGCTCAGTGGCTTATCCCACCTCTTATTCAAGGCTTGGTGTAGCATTCATCGCCTCAACAGGAATACAACCATACGCCTATCAACCAAATGCCAAGTGCTAAATGATCAAGGCATGGCCAATGCACCGCATTCAGCTCAGAAGTCAATTTGGTGTCAACCTCCACCACCAAGAACTTGAGAGACGAATGAGCTATTCATTTGGCATCGCCATTTTGCCCAAGAGCGATACTACTTGGCAAGTCAGGTTGTGTTCTAGGATACGTGCCTGAGCAGCTTGTCTAGTGGAGTACTCTCCGCTCAAAAGAACTAACTATAGCTCTTGGGTGGTTCTTCCACAAACTACTACGCCAGAACCAGTGCAACTCAAAATCTCAACGATTTCCATATGGCCATGGTGCTATGAACCTTATCAATCTGGTGCTCGTGCGGCCATATATTATAGCAGATTTTGTCAATACAAAACTACTATTCCCATTGTAGTTTAGCATCTTGTCGTACGTCCTTGAAATGAAGTGTGCTATACTTTCTAGCCACACGAATAGAAGTATGGGGTTCTCAAGAAGGTGAACAACACGTCAGAATATATCGCTGTTTTCTATTATCTACGCTGATATTTGTGGCATTTAATTGCTCAAGGTTTAATAATTACAAAACCTCCAAGACCCAACCTTGCAAGTCCTGACAGGATGGGGTTGAAAGAAAGCGTCGTCGCCCAAAAGCTAAAGTCACTTAAATCCAGACTATTTGGATGTTTGGTCACTCATACTCAGCATCGTTAAACTGGAAGACACATCCGTTATTTATCAGGTTCTATTATTGAATATGAAATGTACCTAATGAACCAGCATTAGTAAGCGCATAACAGCAGCTACTTTGTAGGGTCTGCTTAAGGGTCCCGCAATTCATCCCCAGGTTTCTTTCGGTACTTGAATTGACAAGGGTCTGTAGGCCAGTGCCTTCAAATACCGGAGCTACATAGAAGAGCGGGTACGTCAAACCAAGTAAGGCAATGTCGAAGTCCGGCTTCATTTGACTTTGTCACAACAACTTTTGTTTGGGTTATCCACATTTAAGACTCCCTCGCTAACTCCCCAAGCACGTCGATCAGACTAAATGGTTACTTTTCGCACCGGAAATACCTTAGGGCTGTCGAGACCTTGAACCCGCTATTTGGTTCTCGATCTGGCTATAACCACCCCACACGAGAATTTACCATGGTCTCCACAACTATGTCGATCGAATGATGTTGCCAGTGTTCGAGTGACCAGCAAATCTGCAACTTGGCACTAGAATACAGGATATTCCTACTATATTCAGGCATGTACTAGCTTCCGAGTAGCGGCCATTTTGGTGGCATACGCACAAGTATCTTAAAGTCTGGGGAGATAGGAATTGGAAAAAGAAACATGGAAGCTCAGGGCACCGCACGCGATGCGCAACAAAATATTTGTCCCAGAATTCCTATAATCCGATTGGATCTCCCTCAAATGACCTTGAAGCTATGAGCATGGAAAAGTCTCCAAAAATATGGGAATTCAAAAAACCCCATACTTGACGATCTGCAACAAAATATATGTTACACAGGTTTAGGTTGTGGACTCCACATAATAACGTGGCCTTGCGAGCGAACTAAACTAAGTCGACGGGAGCTGAATAGCTACTATGCCGATCTCGATGGTTGATTTTAGAAGGTTCTCAATGAAGCATGGGACCTTGAAAGAATCTAACTTATGCAACAGTTTGAAATCTGTATCGTTGAACACTACATCATTCGATGACTGGGCTACCTGTTGTACTTATTGAACGTTTTAAACGACTTGTCAGCAAATCATGGTCGCCTCTGTTATCATTCAATCTTACAAAACGAAATAAACCCTTAACTTTTGTCCGGTATGGTATTGTTGGATCTACGTTGATTTCCGACACAACACCAGCAGTTCAAGCCCCTAGATTTTGATTCTAGAATAACAAGAGTACATTCTGAGAGTGACGGGTTAGAATCTAAAATATTTTGGTTTGCTGCCAAATCCTATTCGGAGAAGATCTATCTCAAGTACCGATCCCTTTATGTTTTAATTGGTATCTCATGTCTGCAAGATACATTTTTGCCATCATCGAGAAGAAATAAAACGTGGTTTCTTAGGCGAACTACGTATCTTGTATATGAAAATAGGTATGTGAACATGGGTTGCCGATTTTTCAACTTCATTTACATCCCTCCTTTCCTTTTCTCTGCTTCTTTTTTCGGCACTTTCGGTCCACAGTCTTTATCCCGCTGTAACATTCTGCTAGTCTTTGACCCTTTCCTTACAGAAGTTGTGAAGTGGTATGAGCGGTACTAAAACAAAAAAAAAGTATTGAGCGGTGGACTAATTCACCAAAGTGGACGAAAAGCGATGAACGGAAATGGTTCAGGAGAGAATAACTCGCGGTACTCGTTTTGAATCATTGGTATGGCAATCCACCCTTTCCACGTTTGGTTTTATTAGGAATAGAGGCAAATAAACAAGTGTGATACCTCGTCCTAATAAATCACAAAGTTCTCAGACGTCTCAATCTCTAGTACCCCAATATTATGAGATCGTCGCCTCTTCCTCATGTATGCCCTTCACCATACTCCATCCCAAGATACCAATGAGTTCTTTTTCTTCGCTTTTGTTTTATCAACATATTTCATTCGAGCACTTGATATTTCTAGTACACACAGATTCTGCATATCTTGCGGTACAACACCCCATGATCCTCTAAGTATCTGACCTATCACCAAGGCTTCTAACTGTTTTGATTGCTTATCACAATAAGGAATTCTTGCTTTTGTTTTCTTTTTCTATACTTTATCTGCTTAGATATGATCCACGTGGAATTTTGAAGCTGGTGGTGTATGGAGTCTAACATTTACTTAAGCTAACTCAATCATTCACATTGTTGAAAAGATTCGAACCTAGTCCTCATTTTGTACCTGTAGCAGAAAGCTTCAATTGGCACGGTCTTACTCAAAGAGCAGCAATACCTCAACGGTAAAAATAGCAGGAAACGAGGCTTGCCACATGGTCATTCCAGCTCAGATGTGCCTATTCATGGGATGCGTGGGCAAAAGAAGCGAGTTTTATCAGATCTTTCTCGGTGCTTGGCTGAAAAATAGACATAACAGCATGTGTATATCATTAGCATGTGTATATCATCAGCATGCGTATTTCATGAAGACTTGCAAGTACTGATGTTTTCGCAGATGGAAGCTCGGCCATATGTGTTTGCATTTTACATCAGTTAGGAAGGAAAATCTGGTGATTGCTGCTCTTGAGGATTTTATGGAATAACATCTCGTTCGAACGTTCTTCGCGACTTTGAAGTCGAGGAACTTAACGGTTTAAGAATCAGATGGGAGAAGTAATAAACTCGTTTTAGCTATAAAAACCCGTCAATAAGGTTAAGAATTGCCTGGAAAGTAATATCTTTGATGCATGTGGACCGGAATTGAAAACCCAGTCTGAGATTCTTTCTGCAGGAAGCAATAAGTTCTGAATTAAGGATTCTGCAACCGTCATTTTCATATGATATATAGGACTGTAATAGATACTTATTCTTTACATTCATGATTCGACGCATGCATATTCAATCGTGAACCTCCTGTAGGAGGGTTGTATCACTCAACAAGAGACACAAATCATCCGCAGCTTTACCGCTATTTCATCATGATCAGAATTACCATGCTCATTACCATGCTCAGATATGACGGAGGGAACAACCTCCTATCGTGAGTGTCGTTTTACCAAGGCACACAAAAAATTAATGCCCTAGCATTTCTCATTAATCAGAAGGATGTCGAAAAGCTGTTGATACTCCATGTCCACTCCTTGCTTGCTAGGTTCCTCTATTCTTTACTGCTCAAATGATACCTAAGATAGTTTTACCAAACACATCTGCGCCTCTTTTTCAGCTACAAAATGCGTTTTTGAGAATTGATCAGGCTGACGATAGATTAACCTTGAGTAAAGTAAATCCAACAGCTAGTAGCAACTGCATACCAGCTGAGGATTTATAAAAGGCAAGTGAAGTCCCCAACCGGAAAATCCAAAATTACTCAAGGAAGATATATGCGAAAGCATATTAATTACTCTTATTTATAAATTCGCATTAGTGAGGAAGTACAAAAAGCTTGAGATTTGAATACAAATGATTGCCTAAAAATTCCGCCCCTTTAATTATCGACTAACATTTCGGAATATTGAATACATACTGCAGAATGAAGTGGATAAAACAGTACTTAATTAGTAAATAAATTTATAACTAATAACCAGTGCTATATGCTATATACTTTGAGTCTTTGATGCACAATGAAGGAGTGCCTAGTAGTTTGCGATGATCCTTAGAAATTTTAATTTCAATATCCGAACGAAAACTTCTCGTCATGAGTCGCGATGCCAAAAGCTATCATCCTCATCATCATCATCATGCTGTACCTTGAGTCTCTTCCCAACCATCTTCTCTTTCCCTTCTAATCTAATTTTATATCCGGACCAAGAAACTATTTTAAATATAAATATTATGCCTTTTCCTCAAATTTACCTCCACTGGTGTTCCCGCAATTCAGGTCTCTCTTTTCTTTCTTTTTTTTTTTTTTTTAGAAAAATAACAAAAGCAGAAAATAGTCCTCCTTCCATGATTTTCAAGAGGACCTCCTGTGGAGTGTTGCTGTGCAGAATCTCTAGTCAGAAATATCTGTACACAGAAATCGGAGGGGAAGGTTCTATATCCCCGCCCTGGTGTCCTTTCTTTTACTCCCAGTTTCCTTACTTCTTTCTGGTATCTTATTTCTTTTTCGTTTAGTATGTATCGCTCCTTCTTCCTTCTTCTTTCTTCTTTTAACCACAACAACGAAAACATAAACCCAACCCAACCTAACCTAACTCATCCTAACCAAACCTAAATCCAAAACCCAAAACCCAAAACCCAAAACCCAAAACCCAAAACCCAAGAACCAAAGAACCAAAGAAAACCAATTCACTCCCACAAATGAAACCACCGGAGATTTCACCACACTCACAAATTATACCAACACCTCTTTCTCATTCCCTAATCCATTTAATCCATCCATCTATCTATCCATCCATCTATCTATCCATCCATGGATTCATCCATAAATTTCACACCCACACCCAAATCTATACCCAAATCCAAACCCATAACTCCAAAGTTCCTACCCACAACTCTCCACCTCAAACCCAACACCATACCAATCCCCCAAACCATCTATACCCATCCATCCCCGTCACCAAACCACAAAAAGCAAACCCATTTTCCATTTCGCACTCCCTACATGAATGAGCAGACAAGCACATACATAAACCCCCAAAAGCCACAAAAACAACACAATCAAACCCACCCCCCCAACCTCCCAAAAACTCCCCCAAGCATTCAAACCAGCAAAGCAAACCTACCCTACCAACCCCAACACAACTCCCACAACCACCACCATCCTCCAATCCCCCTCAAACGACGAAGCAGCACTTTGTCCTTGTCCTTGTCCTTGTCTTTGAGTATTAAAATTAACATTACCATTAACATTAACCTTACCATTAATAAAACCACCAGGAATACTTTTCGCACCAAATGATGTGGTGGAATTAGTGAGAGAATCGAGGTGAGGAGGAATTGGAATATTATTATTATCTCCATGTGTATGGACTGATCTGAGATGTTGAGATATGGCCATAGTGTGTGTTGTGATGTCTTTATGGGGGAGAAAATGTGGAGGGATATGTGATTTGGTGGGAGAAAAGACTATCATGGCGGGGATTAGGAGAGGGAAGATGAGTGATTGGAGGCGCATTTGGATTTTTGATGGGGGAAAGAGCTTGCTTGCTTGTTTGGGTATGGTTGATTGGATTTTGCTAGGTTTTATTTGTGCGCATGTTCTCTTGAGATTATTTGGATGAACCGAAAATATGGTTGTTGCTTCTAAAGGAAGTAGAAATTTTTATGTAGCAAGAATGATTGAAAGTAGACAAATATGTTTTAGTTATAGAATAATCACATACAGGCAATTCGCTGGGATGATTTACTTGGAAGGCGCGTAATTCTTAGTCACTGTGAATGCTGTACTAAATATTCAGAATTCATTCCTAAGAATGGCTGAACGTGAATAATTTCCCATGTCGATATATTAGGAAAATTCCAGTCCATATTTAAAATCTGATTGCAACTAATGCATGACTAGAAAGAGTCTAATGATTCATACTTCACTCACTGGAATTGCAGTAAGGGAGTGGATTTCGAGAATCTATGTATCATGTGACTATATCCCTCAGATTGGAATGTTGACTTTTTGGGATACCTTTGTAGAGCGAAAATTTATGAATAGCTGTGTAAATTGTAGAACATTTATTGAGAGACTATGAAACAACGAGATGTATACATGAATCATGCAACCCGACAGGCACATTAAAAATATAGACCGGTCTAAGATCACGTGGAATATTCTGGCCTGGTTGAAGAGATTATCAAGTAGTTGGTATCCGCTTGATAAATCAACTTTTTGCTTCGACCTTTTGCCATAGAAGAAAATGCAATAGAACGAACTGGCGAATTTTGAAAAAGCTTCTTCGAAACCAAGGTAACGTACGCTCGAACCCCTAAACATTCAAAGCATGATTCGAATTTTCCAAAGTCGAGTTTGATTCGTACCAGAAACTTTCTGTGTTTCTCGGCTCATAAGATCTTAGAATCATACTCCGTACTCTTGGATTTCAAATGATTTGAATTGTTCTCATATTACCTACAACGAATGATACTCGGATTTGAGCTTGGCGGCGGGTTCAATGTGCCGATGTCTGTGCTCATGACAATTTGTAAGTCGGAGATATCAATCATGAAAGGACCAAGATCCGCGTCTTGAAGAGTCGGATAATCTAGAATTCAAGATCTTTATAAGCAACGGTTCGGTGGTTCTGTGTTGGGAATCTTGGGATGCGGGGGAAAATGGAGGGTTCAAACGAACAAACCCACCGTGGCCGGCGGTTGAACAAATAAAATAAAATAATTAATAATGAGGAGATTAAAGGAAAACTTGATTAAGCAAGCACACCTCTTCGTATGCCCGAATGAAGCCTAAAGGTTGTAGCTAAAAGCTGGTAGTAACTAGAAGTTGTTCCGTGTAGACGAAACACACGTGATTGTTGACACGTGTTTGAGCGAGAATTTGCATGAATCTAAAGTCAAGACTCCTCGTTTCAAGGTATCAATATCTCACACTTATTAGCTTTAGAAGTGAAAGAATTGGATACGGATTGACTAGAGCTCTGTGGACGATACATGTCTTCACACTTGTGAAACTTATGCATGTGGGCTCATTGACGCAATACTTGATGAATTTTAATCAAGATCTGCATGTTCTGTGGGCTGTCAAGAATTTAGCAAGGTGATGCAGTACACGATTAATTGACAAAGTACGTGTTCATCGTTCCTTGAAGGATATCGATCAGTCCGTATCGTAGCGTGGTTAGGACGACTCGAAAAATGGAACCAAAGGCTGTGTATGTAGTTGAAGTCGATTAGAACTTCCTTCCCACATAGCGCGGCTCATCCCAATATTACTCGCACTCACAGCCTTGTAAGCTTTTAGAATTTCTAAAATTAGATACAATTTTCCATATGGGATACGGGTCCAACCTTTTGTATCTCCGTATTGAATACGGAGTAGGAGATGTTCCCTCCCTGCTCCCGACCCCCGACTCCGACTTTCGAGTTCCTCTCTACCGACTTGTTTCACAGTATTTCGTGCGATATCAAATTATAAACGATCATATCTGATACAATACTGTATGAGCCAACGCCTGTCAAAATGATTAGATACATTGTTGCCAATAATAGAACACACATACACAAGATGGTTAAGTGGACGAAATAACTTGTCTTACCCATGAGGATTAAATTTTGAAGACACCCCCGTTATCATAAACTTTTCTGAGCTGACGAATTTTGATGACTGACCGAGCGATATAAAGGTAATTGACTTGGCTCATCCTTTGACTGAGATGATTAAGATGAATGTGATGGAGATGTGATTTACTTGTAGCGTGGTGTTGTGGGTGATATGTCCGCTGGGTTGGGTTGTATTGAATTCATGGTTCGTGAAATGAGCTTTTCTTGGCGGAAGTTGTCAAGATTAAAGAAATTCATTCATTACATATCGATTCTTGTGAGAAAAGGAACGGAAGTACTGACTTAAGTCCATGATCCCTTTCCCGTACAATAGAGACGGTTTCATAGTACTTTCAACTTGTCCTTTCTCCATTTATATCTATTTTTCGACTCGTCGAACAGGTAACTAAGTCCGTATTCATAACACTGAAAGATAGCGTAGGTTGATTGGAGACATTAATTTGATGACATTGATGAAGTAATAACATTTTCCGAGATCTAGGATCTAAATGAGTACTCTGTATAGCCTCCTTGGTTGTTGTGGGTAAGAGCATAGCAAAGTACACCCGTGGGAGAGGAGGTGTTGGCTTTGGTTTTGGTTTTGTTATGGGTTATGGTTGTGGTTGTGGTTATGGTTTTGGTTTGGATGTTGCACAGCCTCGTTACAAGTTATTAGTAGAAATTCCATAACAAGCTCTGAGCCTGCCTGTGCCTGTGCCTGTGACCCTTTCTAATGATCGATCAATCAGTCAGTCACTCAGTCAGTCACTCAGTCAGTCAATCAATCAATCAATCATACCTATTCTATTGGTAGTTCTCTCTATGAAATTTCATTTGTGAGCCAACCATCAACCCTCCAACTGTCAACCACCAACAAACCCTCCCAGACCCTTTACAACCTTTTTTTTTTTTTTAACTTCATACCTACAATTGATTGATAATACGTACAAGTCGTAAACTTGCACTGCAAGAACCGCTGTACCTTATTTTACCTTGATTTTTTACATTCCTTGTCATCACATCCCCCCATCTCTCTTCTCTTTACTCATTTTCATTCACTCACTCACACTTCCACTTCCACCTCCGCTTCCCATTTTCCGATTCCTTCTTCACCTAGACCATATTCGACTTTTAGAAACTTAAATTTTTCACGCACTGGTCTGCTACCTAGATTCTTAGATTTCTAGATCTCCTTCGGGCAAATCCAACTATCCACAAATTGTCACAACTTCGCACATCGGTCGACCTTCCATGTCCGTCACAACCCATTTGAATACTTTGATACCCATTTGAGCGAGCGAGAGATACAGTCACGATTAGACTTAAATAAATCACTTCCTTTCGATAAGATACCCTTGTCTGCATTCACCAACATTGGCCCGTAGATCTACTGTAAGATCCTGCAACCACAGTCGCCATTTTCCTACATTTTACCCGCTGCGATACAACCACGAATTTACGCACTCCCCCCTTACCAACACGACTACATATCATACGTATACATACATAGAAGGGATAGACATACATTAAGACTATAGGAGAGTCCAGAAGCAGGCTGGGATTCGAATAAAACCTACGCTGGCGACGACCGGGCTCGAGTTGTCGAGCTGTTCAGCAGTCCATCGACAACCACAATCGCAATCATGTTCATCAATACAACATGTAATGCGACGCTGGATGATATGCGAAGTAAGAGTTTTCTTCAATCAAAAAATAAGGAAAGATGCTGATGATGATGGTAGTTGGAAAGTCAGAAGAAGTCTTGGTGGGAAATTTAACATTCCATGAGTTAGGAATATTTGTTTCTTCGTCGACTGCCTTGATCGCCATTCTTCTATCGTTGTATCTCATGTGGATGCATGCTTTGCACTATACGAAGCCTTACGAGCAACGGCAGTACGTGTCCCCATATATGGAGCATATGATATACTAATTCTCTACAGCATCATACGCATCCTTTTTATGGTTCCCATTTACTCAGTGGCGTCCTTCCTTAGTTTCTGGCAATACTGGCATGAGATATATTATAGTGTGATATCAGAGTGCTATGAAGCATTCGCAATCGCGTCCTTCTTTGCTCTTTTATGCCACTACATTGCCCCGGATCTTCACAACCAAAAAATTTATTTTCGAACCGCAGTGCCAAAGCCATGGGTCTGGCCTGTTACTTGGATGAAAAAGTTTTGTGGCGGTGATAAAGGCCCTTGGAGGACACCAAGAAGTGGTTTGACATGGTTTAACATTATTTGGGCTGGTGTCTATCAATATTGTTTTATTCGAGTTACCATGACTGTTTTGGCTGTTGTCACTCAATATTTTGGCAAATATTGTGATTCTTCGGATTCTCCAGTATTTGCTCACATCTGGGTAATTACCACTTTCTCCATTTGCTTGTAATTCCGCTAACCATTCCTAGATTCTTGTTATCGAGGGTGCCGCGGTATCCATCGCAATGTACTGCCTTATCCAATTTTACATTCAGTTACGGGCTGATCTTGCTCCACATAAGCCTTTCCTCAAAGTTGCTGCTATCAAATCAGTGATCTTCTTATCCTTCTGGCAGAGCTTTGCCATCAGCATTCTGATGTCGTCTACTATTGGCATTGTCGAGCCAACCAAATATTTAGCTTACCCTGACCTCAAGATTGGCATCCCGAACTTATTACTCTGTATTGAAATGGCTATCTTCTCGATTTTGCATTTGTTCGCGTTTCCTTGGAGACCCTATGCATCAGATGCAACCCCGGTTAGATACCCAAGCTCACCTGGAGGTGGTTTAGAGCCTATTGGTCCCAAACAAGGTGGTCCTCTTGGCCTTCTGGCTTTCGCTGACGCTATGAACCCATGGGATTTGGTCAAGGCATTTGCTCGTAGTATGCGTTGGTTGTTCGTAGGTGTCAAAACTCGCGAGGCGGACTCTTCATATAAACCAGCAACTTTCAATAATGACAATGACATGTCCCTCCAATCTGGAAACTCGGAACCCGACACATCTTATAAAGGACGGGATGACGGCTTACCAATTGCCAACGAATACGGGAACAATACCTTCAGTAGTAGTAAAGGGGTTATGGAAGGTGAGGAAGGAGTTGGTCTAATTGATAATGCACAACCTAACCCTACAAACCTCAATCATTCAGGCTACATTCCAGCAGCTCAACGTTACACCCCTGAAGGACTGGATACCACCACGAATGGTGCGCGGTATAACTACAACCCGGACCGCCTGGTCGCCAACAATCCGACTCCCGCCTCAATGCAGAGACAGGAATATCCGGCCGGAATGGCAGTAACCGGTGAACCAGAAGCATACTTAACTCAAGTAGCACAACCACCATATGTTGCACGGCCCTCATCACCATATGGCGTGCGACAATTATCGCAACCAGAAGCGTTCCTCGAAGAGAAACGAGCTAAGCGAGCTGCCGAAAGAGCCGCACGAGATCGAGCCGATGAGGAAGCACATGAACAGGGCGCGGCACCATCAGAACTGTGGTCTAATTCAAGAGGACCGATGCAGCCCCATGAACCGCCGAGTCATGTCCATAACGCTTTATGGGGATCCCAAGCGCAACCACAACGGAGGGAAGATGATTATTGATTGGAAAGAGTTACGGCCTCTTGTATAAAACTTTTTTTTTTTATTACAAACAAATCCGATATCGCGCCTCGCCGAAAAAGAGAAGCTTTAATGGGTACTTCCTGCATGTAAAACTGGGACTGGGACTGGAGGTAAATTTTCATGGAAAGGGCGTTCAACGGTGTTTTGATGAGGGAAATTTACGATTTCATGCGCTTGCGCCAACATACATTCGTGTGGCATCTGCCTGCCATCTTTTGGGGGAATGGGCAGCATTTGGCTGTTGCGCTGGTTGCATTGCGTATGGTAGCTGTATAATCAGTGCCAGGTCGATGCTTATTTGTCAGATGTTATTTGTGAATAGCTCAAAAGGCTTAGGGTATTGGAATATGGTAATTATTGAGCCGGATTCATGTGGAATACCAGGTTATGGCGTTATCAATATTGACGGTTACTTTGGATTCAAGGCCCAATGGGTAGCGCGGCAACTCGAGGGAAAGAAGAATGGAGGGCAATGGAAACTGTGTGTGATAGTCAGAATACCGAACTGCTCGATGAGCTTCAAAAATTACCGATTTTTACTTTTGAAAATATTGCGATCTTCTTAGTGGCTGGCTGGCAAGTGCCATAACTTGAGAAATCACTCTTTATGATGAACCACACGGCATTTAAGTATACAATAAGCATTCGAAAAGAAGAGTGGGCTAAGTGAACTGCTCCTTTGGTATACAGCCTTTCGGCTTATAAATATAAGCAAAACAGGCGCTTGGTCACTCTAATCGAGTCCATTCAGGGCAGATAATATTGTCCATTGTATACCGATTATGACGTGCAGCCTATGCGGGCATCTTTCACCTAATCTGCATGCCACTATTCTCCACAGTCTCGCACTTGTACCGTGCGGAACAGCTGCAGTAGCACATTTGGAATTTAAATAAAGTCCGCCGCGAGTAGTTAGTTTACTGACCTGATAAATTTCTGACTTGTGTATGCAGATAGGATTCGATATGTCATGATGAAGCGAAGCTAGATGAAAATTACCGAGCAGCTAAAAGCTGATGAGACCCCTTCTGATTGGTTGATAGATTGTGCGTGTTCTGTTTTTGGAATAGGCTCAGGTACCGTGTGACTAGCTTTGGATTTAGCTTCTAGAGGCGTTTCTTTATGCTGGTTTGTTCAGCCTTATTTGTACATGTACTGTTTGTTTGGGATTGTGATCGTGATTTTAATTGTGTGTGATGAATGACTTTTTGTCGCCGGGGGGGGGGGGGGGGGTTTCTCTTTTTGGAAGAGGGGCGGGTTTCAGCTAATTAATGATGATCTGGATGATGATGATTTCGTGAAAGGATCGGGATTCAGATCATGGATTTTATACGTTCATGGACATCTCGCAATTAATATTATTTGCAGAATTCCTTTATCCCCTCTTTTCTGCTGCAAGCCCAATGAGCATGGAAATTGTCGCGGGGATGTAAATCTTAAACTTTTTGATGTCAATTTTTTGAGTTTACGTATCGGTACCAGCTCACCAATCTAGCGACTGGCAGGGTGGAGCGGCCAATTGTGCAGTACACCTTTTCTTGTGTGGGTGCTGCAATCGCAAGTGTCGTGGCATGAGCTTATGGGTATAAGATGTGGAGTCCTGCTAGCACAGCGCTCGATTCATACCACAGTGGACTAGGTTTGCAAATGTGGTGGGGTTAATGAGGGGTATGGTGAGGGAAATGTTGATTTGTTGCACATCGCGTTTTGGTACCCCACCGTTTAGTACTGTGTGTTTGATATGGTGGGTGGGGGTTGCTATTGAGGGGGGGAGGAAGAGGGGAAGAGGGGAAGAGCGGAGGAAAGAGAGATGCTTTGTTGCATATCGCGGTTTCGTGCCCCACGGTTTAGTATGTTGTGATATGGTTGGTGGGTTGGGTGGGGGGAAGTTGTTGGGGAGAGGATGGCTAAAGAGGAGGTTTGTTGCATATCGTGATTTGGGTGCCCCACGGTTTAGTGCTTGGTGATTTCATTTGATTTCATTTGTCTGGCCAAGGTTAAAGAACTGAAAGGGTGTTCAATATGCGTATCTGAATATCGATTGAATCAGCCGATGGATAATAGGCAGTGAGCGGCATGAAGTTATTCGGCATCCCTAATTCCATGGTCAGATGGCAGTAGCCGATGTCGGCTGGAATATTGAGATGTGCAACAAGACTGTTTTAATAAGACGGACTGGTTTTTAATGCGCCGGGTTTCGCAATTGCGTCATGATATTTCTGTTGGTGCCAGGGGGTGATGTTTATTGGCGAAGAGAAAACAAGGGAGCTGAGGATAAATAGCTAATTTGATGTTGAACGGTTAAAAGCTTGGTTCTATAGAGAGAATTCCCTAGAAAGATACAGGTCGTAAATTGTCTGAATTCTTGTTGGTAATGCGAAACTGGAATGGAAGTGTGGAATGCAGATTGGGCATGGAAGGGATGTAATTGCACGGCCATACATTCCAACCATGGGATTAAACGTTCACTCAGGATTCCATCTTTTATCTTTCCCTTCAAAAAACACATCCAACTCCTTTATGAAAACTCAACAATCATAGTAAGATACTGGGAAGAACAATCTCCTACAATCAAACAAAGTATAATCCATCTATCCATCCATCCATCTATCTCAAAAACATCGCATCAATATCAACATCACCGCCATGCACCTCCTCCAACCCCGTCTCATCATCCTCCTACTCTTCTCCCTCTCAACCCAAATATTCGCCTCTCTAACCGTATGTTCTCATCCCCATCCCCACCCTCCTAATAATCCTTCACTTTCTCAATCTAATCCAACCCAACCTAAACAAAATCATCACAACCACAAAATAACTAACTAAAAGTACCCCAACCTCTAGGAACGCAAACTCTGCATCAAAAATGGAGAAGTATGTCACCTCACAGGCGAATCATGCTGTGATGGATTCAAGTGTGCGCTCGCGCATGGGGGGAAGGCAAATGTGGGGTATTGTACTGAGAGTGGGTTTTTGTTGCAGGATTATTATCAGGTTAGGTTGCCTTGATTTGGTTGGGTGGTTTTGGGGGGTGGTTGTGTGATGGGGGTTTGGGAGGGGGGAGGGATAGGTATAGATAGGTATATGGGGAATAAATGGGTTCGCGTTGGTGAGTTGGAATTTAAGGAAAGGAAGGGGTTGATGGGGCCGGAAGCGGGGGATTTGGATATGCGATGTATGGTTGGGTATTGATTGATGTTATGCTGTAGGGGCTTTTGGGTTGTGTGCTTAAAGTGTGGTTTCATTTGGGTTTTAGGTTCGTTTTGAAGGGGTCTGTCTTGGTGGGGGAGTGAGAGTCAGAGTTCGTTATATTGTTATTTTCATTGTCATTGCACTTCACATCAATCACTTAGGGAATTTGGTTCTTAAAATTTGGTTACTAAAAATACATTAAATTGAAATGAAGTATGTTTGTGACCCGGACTACAGTTTACTGCCTTTGATGGATTATGAAAAAGGATATACCTACAAACGGGACGAGATCTGATACTTACAAAAGAGAAAATTTGCGGAAATCACTAGCTATACCGTCCCCGGTGTTAAACCTCCTGTTTTTTTCCATTCCTTTTTTCCTCTATTTTGCGTTTTTCGCCGCGGCTTCCAATCTAAGTTTTTTCAACAAAGCTTCTAAGTTCTTTTTCTCTTCTTCCTCCTTACGTTTCCGCTCTTGCTCCTGGCGATGCTTCTCCAAATTTCTCCCATGTTCTTCCTCCTGATCCTTCTTACGTTTTTCGGCGCGGACTCTAATTCCATAGTAGTAAGCTTGGGTGGGAAGACCAATAGCCATGAGTACTTCAATGATGGAGAATTCGTCTACAGTCTTGTGAAGATGTTCTTTGCAGAATTCTTTTAATAGGTTTTCGTCTACTGTGCTGGCGAAATGGACGATGGTTCTGCAGACGGTGATCCAGTGGTATACTTCCTCGTCGTCGAGGGTTGATTTGTGTTGTCTGTATTCGATGGTCTTTTTAACTTTTTCCATGTCGGTTTCTAGGTTGCAGATGGAATATATAAGTCTTTGCGTGAAACGGTTTTCATTCAGAGATGGACTTGAGAGCATTATTACAAGTTTGTCAACGGATACTTGTTCCATGATGGTGTCTATGGCGTAATTATCACTAACGTCTTTTATCTCCTCTTCTCTTTCATCCTCTACTAATCTCTCTAGATACATAGCTTCTACCATTGCAAGCCTACTGTGTGTTCTCAACGATTTTGAAAATGCTTCTTCTGTCATGTAGTGAGGGGGATGAATCGTTGCAATTTGGTTTTCAAAAGTCCAGACGAAGGCCATAAAGTTTCTAATCGTGCGGGCATCAAACCCCTTTTGCCCATTACCGATATGAACGTGAATATCCGCGCTTAAATCACACTTAGTCCTGTAAACTTTGTTGAGAATTTGAAGCACAGATCTTACCTTTAGTTTATTTTCTTCGTTGTAAACGTATGCTGGACTTTGGATTTCAATTGGCCACCAATAGTAGTTAATATTCTCTGGATCGCCGGAGCCATGAATGATGGTACGATCCATGGAGATTACCCAGAGATTTAAATCATTGATTTGAGGGTCTTCGGATTTCGAGGGATCTTCCTGCTCGAATTCAGCAATAGCTGGAAGTCCATTCTCGGTTAGGACTTTGGCAATGCCTTCTTGTAAAGCATGTAATTGCTCGTGCCATTCTGGACCCCAGTCTTCTTGTTCCTCGTCCTCCCCCACTATAGTTGGAGGGCATATGTAAGGAAGAAATTCATTTGGGTAATTCGACGGTCTCGTGATTCCGTGTACCGGTCGAGGATCATTCGGTTTAGGATCGAGGTACTGATCTGGTACCGATGCGATGGCAAATTCGAGTTCGAAACCAAATGTTATTTCGATTGGGATAGTTGGGGGAAGAACTTCTTCACTTTCCATTATTGTGGTTGTGTTAAAGTAGAGCTGGTTTATTCTTCAATACCTCTTGTGGTACGTGCTAGTAAGGAAATATTCTCGAAGAATCCTAAACCCTCAAACATTCAAGAGTACAATGCTCTGTTTTATAGCAGAAGTAAACCCTTTGTGTGCATGAAAGTCCTTCTAGTGTTTTTTTCTTTGGTTAAATATGAACAACGATAAACAGTTAAGAGAGCATTGTACGAGGATTGTTCAATTGGTATACCAGCAATAGAATATCTTTGTACTTAGGAATGCTTGACAAAGGTAATGAATCGAATTTTGTTCACCACCACGGGGAGGTATCCCGCAATCTTGAGCTTATGGTAGCTACACTCATTGCATCCAGAGGATCGTTGTAGAATATGAGAACTAGTCTTTGATGATAGCGAAAGACCATCCATGAACTACCTGTAGTATTGATCTCGTATCATCGGCCGGTTGAAGTGATTTGTCTAGAAGTAGGAAATGTATACATGTATTCCCGCCAATTCTAATTCAAGAGGCCCATCGTACATTTTGTATAGGAAAGGTTAGCCTCGAGATTTAAATACAGTTTACAATTGGTCAATCTGGATTGAGGTCCTGAAGGTTCAGCTAGGTCACCAGTCCCGAGTATATCCTCGTTTCAAAATCTACTTCACTATCCTATATCCATTCTAGCCATTTAGATAAAACTTAGGACACACCCGAGGTGTTCTTTCGCAGAATCGGGTAAAAAAATCCGGAGGTCGCGAATGATATCATTGACGATAGACAGAAGTGGTGGGACGTTGAATATATCATCTTATTGATCATGAGACTTCTATGTGGTCAACTCGAGGCTGCGCACACAGGGTTAATACAATGTTCTACCCTACGATGTAACTTTTGATTTCATCGTTTTTCCCGAATATGGAGAGATTCGTTCGTATGTTCTGTGGCTTTCTTGAACCTGTGACTTGCTGTGTGCAATTGTGGTGTTCTTTACGACTTGGCATGGCATGTCACGAGGTTGATTCTCTGTCCCAAGCACACGTGACATATACTCCGTATCAATGGCCGGAGTGCTACTATCGCATTCTTCCCTGGTTCAATGTGAATTTAAATAGTAACATAAGTTCAGACCGACCACAAGTGGATTTACGAATTTCTCCACGGAATACTCAATCTATGCGCCATGTCTTTGGAGCTATCGAACTTATGCAGTGGTAAAGGTGTGACGACAGGGTTCAGAATGCAGTTTTTTACATCTGCATTAGTCAGATTCACAGCTTGGCAGCTTTCAGCTTACTGGGGCTGGAATCCTGATAAATAAATTGATCATCTGCCCACAAAGATGCTTCTCAAGCGTCAAGAATCAGAGGTTCTCTCAGGAAAAATGGCAAGTTCTGGCAATGACTATCCGTATGAGCGTCTACGTGGCCCACGTCGAGCAGAAACATTACCCGTCCGGTTTGATGAAAACCTCACACAAATACCAGAAATTGGTGTTCACCGCCGGCGTGATCGAGGACAGCGCCATGTTGCTGGGATACCTCCTTCGCGAGGTGTCCGAGCTGTCGTAGATGATGACAATGATCAGTACAATATCTATGATGATCAGCGGACAACCAGACAACCTTACCGCACAATTTCTCCAAGTCCACCACGACTACCACCGCCGAGAATTGCTCACAGCCGTCCCAGAAGTCCGTCTATTCAATCCACGACTTCTATCGATCGTCGTAGAGACCGTGAATATGTTCAACCTGACTACTATACGGCCTACCAGCCAACATCGCATCACAGACCAGTCCCTCCTCCTGAAGTCTTTAAAGAAAGAATTGACGACGAGTATTACTTGGACAGAACGACTACAAGAGAATCACCTTACTACACTCGTCGTACAAGGTCACGAAGCAGGCGGCGGCATTCTAGATCCAGGTCTCGCACTCGCACTCGACGTCGATACACTAGGTCCCGTAGTTCAAGTTATGACAGAGTGCCTAATCATTATAGCTATGAAGTAAAATATGGGGTTCCTGAGACTAGGACCGCGGAAACTGATTTTGGACTATCTATGCCCGAGCCTGAGACTTATTCTTTCAGGCTTTCGCGTCATAATAAAGATTCTCTGCCATTAGAAAATACCATTGGCTCAAACTCAGGCTATTCCGAAAAAGAAAATCAATTGCGTCCATTGCAATCGTATAAAGGTTTGACTATAAAACGCCCTGAAGTTGATAGGATACTGCGATCTCATTATACAGGAGACGGTATCATGGGAGGGATGCATTCTGTTGAGTTCACCGTAGCTCCTGGGCAAGCTGCATCTGCCGGGAGATCTCCTGTACCACTTTTCAATTGGGTGTAAGTTACTTGATACATTTCTTATTTTACAATACTGACTAAATTCTTAAGTCGATTTGAGGATGCGTCTATGGACTTCGATGGCTTCCTAGTATGTTTATCCAATGAGGATAAAAGGTACTTCTTGATAGCTGATGATTTTATCAGAATGGAATACTGAGTCTTGACGGACTGAAAGAAGGCGAAAGAATTGGAATTTCTAAATTACTAGACCGCGTGAAAAGAAGGTATGACAAAACACTGCAGGTTTCTGGCCGCGCAAAAGTCAAGCGTATGATTCCAAAGCTTCTACAAGAACCACTACGAGATGAAACTCCCTCCGCGTCATCTAAAGCAAGGAAACTTACATGGATTTGTCTACCGTATTTTTGTCTCCAAAAATATACTCCGTCAAATGTGCAGCCATCATCACACCCCCCACTCACTTTGATGCAAACACGTCAATCTATGACACCAAAAGAGCGGGATCTGAGACAGGCCGTATGCCATCTCCCAGACACACCAGCGGGGTCTTGCTTCCATATTGGGCAAGCTTGGTTTCTCATCCTAGACGATTGTATTTAGAGCCGCCGATCATCTTTGGAACATAGGAAGCTGACTTACTCTTAGCTTCTATTATTTCATGCGCTGGATTATCCGCACTACAATCAAACAAAGAATCTATTTCGATCCTTCCATATCGGAACGATAATCCTGATTCACCAATACGAACACTTCTCGTTTCAGATTCAGGCTCTTCCTTGTGGTCATTTCCCATTGAAGAATGTAAAACATGGATTGTGAGAATCTCTGTTGCATTTTACAGCCTCTGGTATAGTAGCTAAAATTCACTTAGGACTTTGTAAAACATTTCTTCGAACTATGGCCAATTGGACTTGGATTCGAGTTTTCGTACGGCGGTAAAACCATCACCTCAAAAGATTGGCCAAAGATATTCAAGCAAGCGCAAAGCTCAAGAGTTTGTCTTGAATTTAAAGCTAGGTAAGGTCCCTGAGATGGGATATGTTTGAAAGGTGGCTGATACGTGCCAGTTGGAAATCAAAAAAGGCTGCAGCGGGTATTTTGAACTCACCAAGAGGTTCGGTTGTGGGACTTAGTCAGAGTGGGAGCCAGAACTCTGAAAAAGATGGCCCTGATACTTCTATGGCAACCAAAAAAGCTGTTTCGCATGAATTCCACGTGTTCAACTGGATGAATACACAAATCGAAATGCCCACTAGTGCAAAGACCCCCAAAGACTCGACAGCCTCTAATCTCGTCGCAGGTGTCAACGAAATTTTACTGCATGATGACCTAAAGGAGATCGATGACTACCTTATGCAGAAAACTAATATTAGCGAGCGACTTACCTACAGGGCTTGCCCAAGTCATACAAGAAAGCAATTTTATGATATTTTGCATGAGGTTGAAAGTAAAATTCAGGCCGACCAATCACTAAGGGCGACATATGAATTACAGGTGGAACTCGCCAATGCTGCAGATACTCTATTTGAGTTCTTTCTACCACCACAAGAATCAGGCCCTACCACTGAAAAGTATTGGGGTCCATTATATGAGATAATTATAGTGAGTCTATCTTTGTCGGCTACATTTGAGCTAAGCTAATCAATAGGCAATGCTTCCATATGGTCTAATCCAGTTGGATGGGTCTTCAAAAAAGGATGATTCTAACACGGCGCCACATATGCTTTCTGAAAGAGCTTTGAGTATAGATACAAGAGATGTCAAGGACATTGTAGAGTGGATGGAGCTCATAGGAAGACGAACGGAGCCATTCAAGGAGCTCCTATCTGAAGTACCAATTGCGGCACGATGCGAAATCAATATCTCCGAGAAGTTACCTCGAGCATGGTTACATCTTCTCATGGCATTGGCTTTTACAAAAGACATGGCCGGTCCATGGCTCACGCACATGAATCTATGTATAGAGCTCAAAAATGAAGGCATGAGGGAAACTATCCAGAATCTATCGAAATATCAGCTTTCGGACTACGTCGTTTTTTCCCCATTCGATTTGGTTTCCCTCATAAGTTCCCAGCTTTCACAAGATTTAACAGGCTCATGTCCAGATATCTGCGAGACCTACATAGACTACATGACATCTCTGGTATGTATTTTATGATTAGCGAATTGCAAACCATCTAACAATCCACAAGGAATTTGATATCGAGGCAGATCCAATCAACCGAGAACACCAAGGTAAAATAACTGATCTCAAACAAGAAATTTCTGTTATTCTAGAAACGCTAGAAACTCAAAGAGAAGTCCTCAACGACGCTCAGTACTCTCAATCGCGGCAGAATATTGAAATTGACAGAGTGAACCGAGTTTCTCCCGCACCTAAATACGAGTATAAAACATCAACATTTGTTGAACCTCGTACCACGAATCACATGGGTTATGAGCGAACGGGTCATTATAAAGAAAAATACGAAGATTTGGAGGCTAAAATCTCAGGTCCTGAAATGGATCGGTTACCTTCCAATAATCCCCGTGGAGTACAAGGACTCCTCTTTCGTGAAAGTCTAGCGCTCATCGAAGAACGTATCGAAGTATTCCGGGATATCAATGATCGTGCTAATTATCTCGAGAATTGGGTAATACTTCTCTTTTCCTTAAAGTGCCCTCATATATCAGAAAATACCACTAACATAACGACATAGAACCTTCGCAGCATCGACACAAACAAAGACAGACAAGAAACTGCCGTCTACGCCTTCACAATCGTAACTATCATCTTCCTTCCCCTCAGCACCGTCGCATCTATCCTGGGCATGAATACCAACGACGTACGCAATATGGATCTCACGCAATGGATTTTCTGGGTGATTGCAATTCCCCTAACAATAATCATCATAGCTTTAGTATTAATATGGTCTGATGAATGGTATAATTTCTGGAGCGGATTCAGTAATCTCTGGGGAAAGAAAGCGAAAACAAAACGTAAATATGTACGCCTCCCGGAGGAATATCCAAGGATTGAGGGAAGAAGCGGACTAGGATTGGATATGGTGCCGTCGGCTAGAGTAAGTGAGATTTACCCTGAGGCCAGGAGATTAAGGAGATCGCATACATTATTTGGAGGCGGGGAGTACGGAAAGGAAGATTATTAGTGAGATTTGGTACTTGGATCTGTCTCTGAATTTGGTTGGGTTACGTATACATATATTTGGCCTTTCTTCTGGTTAGGATATGTTATGTCATCTTTAGTATCTACTTGATATATATATCTTACCATCCATCCTCATCAATATTTTCAGTCTCATTTTCCGAGTTATTTTATACAAGTAATCTGTATATACCCTCGGAATATTATCTACCAAAAGGAAAAGACTGCCACATTTGGAAACTGAAGATAGGATAATATTGACATCATCTGGTGCTTCGCGGTATCTGCTAGATGCTTCCGTCAAATGACTATCCATTTGCGTGTCTTTAGATAGTGCATTCATTAATTTGGTAGAATTCAAATTGCCGCTAGAAGGATACAAAATGTTCATCACTAAGCATATCAATATTCAGATAGCCATCTGCTTCGTCACCTTTTCGATATTGGGAAAGTATGAATCACGGTTCACTATTCCAGAGACTTTAAAACATGAGATTTCCTCGTTCTCGAATCGAATTATTATTCTTAATTTTTCATTTCCATTCCCTAAATAATCTCAGTAGGTGCCGAAGTAAATCCCTTCAAAAGCTACGAAGTATCTCCAAAACCCCGGCCTGACTAGCCAAAAAATATATGCAAGAATGTAATCAGCCCACCGCCTCTGCTCTGCCAAATCCTCGCATCCAGCGTTGAAAAAAACACAATCATATCATGATATGGACCCATCAACCTTCATTTCCCATTTATATCCCATATACCATCCAACGCCATGCGATGTCTGAGCACGCTTTGCCGTCCCCCAGTCCGTAACACCGTAAAATCATGTAAATCTATCTGCGACAAGTAGACTCAATTTCCGACTCCATATCCAACATTATGATCCGCCTCTCGAGTCTTACAAGCCCTATTCCTCTTTATTTTCTATCACCACCGAGTTCTTGTTGACTCCAAATAACTTCCTCACATCTTCTTCTGCCTCTCTCGCTACAATTCCCGCCCAATGTTCCATCAACCCCTCACAAACCCCCTCATTCCAATTCACCAAGCTATCTCCCCACTGACAAGCCACCCACAAAACATTCTCCCAAACATTCTTTTCCAAATCCACTTTAAACCTATCAATCGTACTTTGTCTATCCCCCCACATTCTACTCTTCTTATTTTCCGCTTTCCCTATCCAAATCATCATTTCCACAGGCGATAATTTAATAATATTATGATGCATAAACACCACTTCGGGTCTATGTTCCGGATCATCGATTCGAAACAACGGATGTTCTTTTCCAGTCTTTTCTTCTTGGAGATACGTGGAATAATCATTCGATGGGTTATGTTGCACCATACTTGCAGTTTGATATCCATCTGGTGAATTATGGCCGACGACTCCGGTTCGCTGGCGAACTTGGAAGTAGCTCTTCTCGAGTGCAATGGCGGCGTATAACCATGTTTCTTTGTCGCCTTCTCCAGGGTCGCATTGGGTTAGTAGGGGGTAGTAGAATGAGGGTCCGAAGATGTTGTAGTAGAGGGCGAGGAGGAGAACGTCGCTGTGCGTGCGTTTGGAGATGATTACTTGGCCGGATTCGGTGGTGCCGATGGAGAGGAGGGACGGGGCGGGAATATCGATGACTTGGAAATAATAGGGAGATGTGGTAGCTAACCAGAAATCTGGCCACTATGAGATTATTAGCATATTATTTCTCACAAAGAAGAAAAAATCAAGTAGCGTCAAAATTCCTTACCAAGACATAACCTGTATCCTTATAGACTTTTGCCTCCATCCATTCGATCGGATCGACAATCGGAAAATTATCCGCATCCAAAAATAATACATCCTCAAAACTACTCAACATGACCGCGAAAATCTTATACTGATATCTCGCAATTGTGAGGTTTTCATATTGCGGAATCATAACACAACGGGCATTAAGAGATGGCAACACTACTTCGCAAGTATGTTTATTGTAATCCTCTGGATTCGGCATAAAAACCTCCACTGGTAACGTGGAATTTGTTCTTCGCAGCATGCGAATGGAAACCAGTAATGCGCCGGTGAATTTTCCGCCTGCTACCGTTACGATGCCCTTGGATCCAGGTGTATAAGGGACTAAATGTGAAGAGTTCCGTATCATATCCACCACATTCTCGTGCGCGATCCTCGCGGCTTGAATCTGTTCTTCGGATACAGGTGTGACATCTCGACGTTCGGTTTCGTTTGTGGCTGCTTCGATTGCTACCGTTTTACCTGGACATGCGGCTGGTTCTGTGAGCTGTGGGGGTGCGATTTGGTGCAATTTGCGGACTAATTTTGATATTTCGATTTCTCCTTTCGTCGAACTGCTTGCGTCATTGAGATGCGTCGAATCGTCGGGTGTGGTATGTGTGATGTGAGTGGTACTAATGGTAAAGCTAGTGAGGGGTTCCTGAAGGAAAACAGGAGTTTCTAAAGACCATAATTGGTCTCGAAAGACGAAATAGGCGACGAAGATGGCGATGATTATTATGGTTATCTTCTTGGACACAGAGGTGGCTAACATCTTGAGAAGCTTAAGGTTTGCTGTTGTAGAAGATGCGAATACACATTGAGAAAAAAAAGATCAATACCGATAAGGATTGGGGATGTCCGCAGTGAATATGAAAAGTCACCCGTACCGTAAATACAGGGATGTGGGCGGAGCTAAAGTAAGATTTCATAGGTACTAAAGGAAGCATAATCCTCAGTGGAGCGCCATAAAGCCCGCGTTATCGACGGATGGTGATTGAGGAAATGAGGAAAGGAGACATGTATTAAATTAGGTTCAAACTAGAACTGAACAGCCCTAGCCAAAAGCTCTTTATCTAGTGTTATCACATTAGATAGCAGCCTATTCCTATCAGATATCATACCTTCTTTTTGATTTTCACATGATGAGATGAGGTCGATGGTTCTGGCACAGCTGTTTGTGATAATTCATTCATAACTGTGTAACCTAACTCACTGGAGCCATAAAATTAATCCACTGTCAAAAGAAGGTTTTTTATGGCACCGAAGTTCTGGGTATGAGATACGAAATGATGCTAGGCGATGACAGAGCTACACTAAAAGATAGGGGAACGCGAGAAACTAAGCGCTTTCAGTATAATGTTAATTTTTATCCTTACTAGTCGTCGATCATTCAATATTTTACTTGGCAAAGATTCATCGTTTTAGATTTTGAGAATTTTTCATTGCTTGTCATCTCATCTCATCTCATCTCGGCTTTTACTATATCTGACGAAAGCCCCAAATCTGTAATTACCTAGAATAAGGGAGGGTACAGTAATCTTCCGTGGCAGGATGATTAGACAATGCTCTAATCCGTGAATTGGCAAGCTGACTAATTCTTTATTTAAGATGAGGTTGATTTATGACTTGAGCTAAAAGACACTATATACCTACATACAGTAGGTATTCAATAATGGGGATTATCACAGTGGATCATTACTCACGCAGATAGATATACCAACCAAAGTTTGACACAACGGCATTGCAGGAATACCACTCAAATCAAACAACCACAAGTCATCAAAAATTGTGCTAATTATTATATTTGGCTTTGCAATCTCCGAGGTAAATATTGGCACATCCTCTTATCATCTTCCAGCCAGCGTAGGATTTGCAATCCCTCTTTTCGATACAAAGAGATCTTTTCGAGAGGATTTTTGCGTAAATTTAGATGAGGATAATGAGGCTCGGTCTACTTGGAAGATACTAAGCTCACATGAAGCAAGCGCTCACATCCTGGATATTACCCACTGTGCATGAATCCTAATATTCACGTTTTCTTCTTCCTTCGACGTCGCACGACAGATGGAAAGGAAATTAGATCTGCTTTTTTATGTGATGTTTTCAAGCATCTGTCTTGCTATCACATCTATCACATCTATCACATCTATCAGGAAATATCAGGCTAATTGAAATATTGAGAATTGTGAATGATCAAATTTGTTGGAGCCAAAAGCATACTTATCAGGTACTTACTACTTACTAATAAGATTTACGAGTGTCTGATCGGTAAAATATCGAATAATTATCCGATTGTGATGTGTGATGAGACATTACAAAAGCGCATTGAATTCATTGTGGGATGGATCTATACATCCACAATGCAAAACCAATGCAAAACCAATGGAATTTTACCAGGGGTGTCATTTAGGTGGCTTTTTACAATGCAAGCGAAATTGATGACATTTATCGTACCTGCCTTTCGAAGCTACTGCAACAAATCAAATGTTCTTTCTCCTTCCCCTTTTCCGTTCTCGAGGTAAAGATCCATACATGGGTTAATTAAATAAGCTTTGGATCCACGGAAGGACAGGGCCGATCATTAAACTTGGGATGAATTGTTGCGAATGTGTTTTCACTTCACAAAATATCATTTGAATATAGGTACTCAAAGGTATGTACTAAGTAGTACATAGCTTATTAATAAGCCTTCCGTGGTAACGAAGTCCTGGGTCGTATTTGCGGTTCGACAATATCTGCGGGACAGATGACAGCTTTTTCCTGTCGTCGATAGTAAGTGATCCAGTGATCAATTTTTTTCTTTTCGAGTCAACATAAATCCACGAATACAATGTAGCTAATTGATGGTAAATGTTTTCAATATGCCACCTCGTTTAGTAATAGAAATTCAACAGAGTGGAAAGTACCCCTCCTTGAACCGCCCTCGGGTAAATTTACTACAAATTCTCCATCTACAGCAAAACAAAAAAAAAAAAAAAAGCTGGAACTCCATCTACATATTGCCTTCCATAATATCCTCAAAGATCAACAAACTAGCTCTTTTACGCAGCAACAAACTCTTCAAACCATCATGCATTCATCCAATCTAGACTTTCCGGCTTCCCATCTTTACACCAGTGTGATATCTCAATACAGGTACAGATGAGAAAATTTTCCTAATAACCCATCTTTTATTCCACGTCTGAAAACACTTATCTTCCTCCTCGCTTTGGCTGTGGGAATACACCTTTTAGGCCGTATAGTCCGCCTGCAACAGGAGGGGGGATTATAATTCTAGCGGGCGGCCGGGCTTGAATAGGGGCTGGAGGATTGGGAGGAGGTTGAGCGGCTTGGGGTGGTTGTATAGGCTGTATATTTTTTGGCGGAGTGGCTTGTTTTTTAGGCGGAGGGTTATGAGGAGATTGGGCAGGTTGAGGTGATTGTATAGCCTTTAAATTTTGTAGTGGAGTGGCTTGTTTTCCAGGCGGCGGACGACTATGGGAACGTGATGGAGCCTCTCTAGGCGATGAATTAGAAGTCTCGCGTACTCCAGTTCTTAATGGTGGGACTATAAGTGGAGGACGTATTGATAGCGCGTGAATTCTACTAGAATGGTTTTGAGAACGCTGACCAGGTCCTCTCCGTTCCTTCCCCCGATGTCGACGATCATGAAGAAATGCAATAATGCAAACAACGCTTACAACGACAACCACGAGGATAATACCAGTTGTCATATGTGATGACATATTCAAAGTATTTCAGAGTTGATTATGCTTGAGTTACTTGTTTGAACTATTTTGATTTATTGTGGAAAAAAGATTGATTATATATAGAATTTTAAACTTCCTTTTCCATGAGCACTGACAAGCAGGCAATGTGTGTATGTTAGGTTTTCTTTGAACTATGCTCTATGTTGTTCAATTTTACACATCAAGAAGTATGGTTAGGGCAAACTGCCTCCAAAGTTTTGTGTTACTTGTTTTTCGGGAGGTATGCAACACATCATGATTCATAAAATGTTGGTCAATAGACGACATTCTGAGCAAACATCTATTAATTCCGCTCTTTGATCAAACTTTTAGAGGAGACTAGAGATAGAAAAGAAAGATTGAGTAAGATGCTTGCTCTAATAATTATCATCCTAGAGATCAAGAAAGTTGCCTAGATTATAGATGGGAAGGGGTAAATTAGTTCATCGATATCTGTAAAGGGTGATCATGTCTTCCACCAGCATACAATTACCGGCCTTTTAAATCTATTTAACTTATTCCGCGTTGAGTTATTGATGGGTTTTTTTCTCCTTTATCCTATGATAGCAGATATTTGCATCATTAGTACTTTCCCAGGATCCCTCATTTCATTCAAAGTCCAGGAAGAATCAAAACAAGCACATCAATTCTCGTCTTATCACCTTAAGCCCCAACCTAGGATACCATAAAAAGTACCTTCATCGCTACCAATTGATAAGCACGAATGCTATTTTAGTAGCCTTCAGGATAGTAACCTGTATTTAATCTGATGATTTGCATCGGAGGGGGAAGATAAAGTTGGGATTAGATAAGTGACATTCATCAAATTTCTGCGATTTTTCTCTGTTAACAGGGAATAGCTTCACTTTTGCATACTTTTTTAATATCATTTTCCAAAAACTAGTGAATGATCTATTAGTTACTGATTATACGAGACTCATTTCTTTTCTCATTCTGCGATTCTTAAGAATCACGATGTTTATTTCATTATTCACATTATTTATTTATTTATATTGGATCCTATGTTTTTAGTAATTCTAAAAATATTTATTATTCAATAATCTAAACTAGATTCCTCCTAAAGAAATTTCAAAAAGCGCAAGCTATCTATTTCCTCCCTAACAATCTAATACTCACCATCCATCCATCAGAAAGACAAAAAGCATGAAAATCACTCCACTCGAAGATTCTTGCAAGCTCAAGCCAACAATAAAAAAACATCATATTACTTCTTCCGAGAAACCCTTTGTAAATCTGCCTCTAGTGCTCTATTATCGGAATCGACGATGGAGCGAGTAACCATTTTTTGAAACCTAATGGTTCGTTTAGAAAGGGTCATGATGATTTTGAGTATGTAAAGTAGGATGTACATGCTAATAAGCATATAGGCAATCATGAAAATGGTTAAGAGATCCATTTTTTGAGATTTTGTTGGTTGGTTTGGATGTGGATGGGTAGTTTTTTGTGGGGGGTGGCTAGATGGTTTTAATAGTTTTTTTGAGTGTTGCTTTAATATTGTTTTAATATTGTTCACACAATGATTATAAGGTTTTATTGTCGGATTCTCCTCTGAAAAGTATTATTGATGTTTAGGATTTTGCTATTTGGTACTTGTTCTGCTTTGAGTGCACCTGGCTCGCTTTCTAGAGCTTTAGAGATGATGTGTCTAGGCAGCCGCGGCTCAAGTGCAGTCACAAGTCATAAACGGTCCTCCTGTATCTCGCGCGGAACAGGATGATGAACAAGCGCGATTTTAGAATGAAGATACGTACGGGTATATCATCATGTTAATTCTTGTCTAAAAGTAATCCAAGTGGAAGCTAAGCGAATTTAGCTCTATGTTGATAATCAGCCAACACGCCAGCAATTGCCACTAGCGATTACTAGTGTATCCTTAGTATTTATTTAATTTGTCATCATTAGATGAAACCTCCCTTGTGAACTTGTACGATCGTATAAACTGGGATTTGGGACAGATACAGGTATTTTTGCAGTTGCTCGGGTTTCAATCCATACGTCCGGTAGTAATTTCTGGGAAATGTATCAATGAAGATATAAACTGATTTCAGAATATATCAAGCTCTAGACGATCTATCTATCCGCAATTTTTCAGGATGATCATCTATCATAATACATGTATATAACCGCATAACGGCAGTTAGAAACATACTACCTTCTAGCTCTCGTCCCAATAATCATGGGACAAAATCACAAATCAACACGATTACCGTACCCATAAGGTGAGATATACATCATAAGCACCTCTACAGCCTTAACATTCTGAGAGATTTACTCTAGACGGCTTTGAAACTTGGGTAATAGAAAACTCAGCATAAACTCAGCACTGCCTATACAACTAACTGGGTATTGAATGCATTCTCTTAAGACATAGTATACATATATCCTCTGATGACTTAAATTTTAGATAGCAATATATGCTGAACAATCTGCTACGTATCCACCACTTACATACTCCACTTTCCATAAACTCACTGTATAACTCCTTTCCTATACCCAAGCATCCACGTCAGCGTTTATATCACCCCCTATTAAATTACACCACAAGCAGCGGAAAAGTATTGCATCTCCAGCGTATCCCCCGTCCCCAATCCGGTTTTGTCTCAACAGCAACATCCAAACCAACTATTTACCATCCACATAACCTAGCACACATCAAACATATTAAACCAGCAAAACCAGCAAAACCACCATATAAGATTTACAAGAACCCAAACCACCACAAATCTCGCAGATTTAAAGTCCCCTCAATTGCATTCAACTTCAATCCTTTGACATAGTCAGAAATATGAAATTTATTTGCGGTCGAGGATCAAACGAAACGACCAAGTGACCATATCATCGAGCCTCGAATCTGGTATGTTCTTATCTCGAACCGAAAGTGTTAGATTACTATCTCAAAAGTTGAGGGGTAATCAGTGGCATCGCCATATCTAGACCTGAGACCACCGAATTATAGCCAGCATGCTGGGCCAGCTACTGAGGGAAGCATGTTAGAGTGAAAAGAGATAGATAGTAAGCTGAGGAAAGCAATTACTATCTACATCAAAAACTACAAACTCTTGAAAGCCAAGCTCAGTCTTCAATATTCCATTCATCAATTTACTATTTTGGCAGGCGTGTGAATTATTGATACGATTGGAGCTGCATATGAAATTGCCAGTTCCTGCTTTAATTTCACTGAGTCATAAAATGGCTAGAGATAATACTCGTGTAGCGTTCTATCATCAAGGTTGGTCAATATTGTTTCGACTGTCCGGCGTCTGTCCGGCACCGTTTTTTCTTGGTTGCGATAACCTTCTTGCTGCTGCGCTGGTCAGTTTCTTGGAGATACTTCAAAAGCTTGAGTTACGCCACTTACCTCGTTTGCGATCAGATGTTTGGAACTCGCAATGATCCCGACTCCTTGTATACCTTTTACAGATTCAGCAGCAAGCTAGCCAGCAAGATATGGATCATTAGAAAAGCTCTCACAATTCCTTCCTCCTAGCACCATTCTCCAAGGGCAGTCGATTGCTAGGCCCAAGCTAACGTTTACCTCCTTGACTCGAAACGTCAAACCAATATAGTGAGCACGATCATATACTAGTCATTTATTCCATCTATCCAATCCTTAGTCCTGAGAATCACATTGGTTAAGATCCTATCCCACCCCACCAAATAGTGTACAGCGCAACGTTGTTCTTGCTGAGGATATTGGGTATTTTAAGTTTTCTCATGACCTGGCTCTGGAGATGAATCGCGGCAGCCCAACCCTAAGCTTTTATCATTCTCATAAGATAAAACCATTGCCATATATACATCCGTCGTAAACTATCTCTGAATATGTTAGCGGAGGTAAAACTAACATATATATATATGGCCCCAGTTCCCTACAAGATATTTGTACAACTTACTCTATCACCACTTCCGAGATATAGGTGAAGTGTGACTGTGCTTTGTATTGCTTCAACTAGCATTGCAGCCTTACTTCTTCCAGATGGCACCACATGCACATCTCAACTTAGTACCCCTATTAATCTTTCCGCTACAACTATCGCTCGCGCCTCTGGTATTGTACCATACCGTTTGTTCTTGCCCCACGTGCACCTGCTGCTCCAGTCCCCCCCACCCCTCACCTATTCCTAGCTCCAACCCCCCAAATATCCAATTCATTCACACAACACAATCAACCATAATATCATCATACCATTAAACTCCCCATCTCAATCCCTACCCCTATCACCACACCAGCGCACATTCCAATCTACACAATCAGCACTCTATATGTAAAAACTCCTCTCTAACCACGCCAAACCAGCTTCCCGAAGACTGTAATAGAAAATATATAGATACATTCCTTATCTCTGCTTGCAGCTAGACTTCAAAAGATTCTTCCGCTGTATTTTTGTGACTTCGGATCTAGAAGATTTTAGGTATTAGCTAGCTGGAGTCTAATAAGTTGATGCTGATTCCCGCATCCTTATTTAATATTTAAGAATAATCCCTAAGAATATATAACCTAACCCATTCATACAATCCCACAATCAAAAAACTAACTATCAAATATACCTACCAACCAACCAGCCAACAATAAATCCCCCCCCCCCTAAAAACCCCAGCTCTAATCCTAACCCCAACCCCAGCTCTAACACTAAATACCCATAATTTACAAGCCGATTTCCTCTAACTACCAGCTACCAACCAATACCACCCACACAAAACAAAACAAAACAAAACAAAACAATAATACAATACATTAAACCAATAACCCTCTCAATTACAAATTAAACACAAGATTAAACAAGATTCTATACAAAATTCCCATAAAATATCGTTTTTAAAATAATCACCACTGACATCTCAAATTAATTTTTTTTCAAACCTTTCAAGTTTATATAAAATAACTAATTAATTATATTAACAATTAATTATATATATATAAACAATTCAATTTAATTCTATCTGATTTTTTTTTCTAAAAAAAAAACTACTAATAATTATTATTTCATTTTTGATATTTATGTTAAAAGGAATGACCTCACACAGGGAATAGTGGGAAGTGTTACGAGGTTTGCCGTCTAGATCACGTGGAAGTGCTCTAGGCTCTCGAGGTGGTTTATAACTAGGCGTCAAGCAGGGACTTAAAGTAATGACAATAATGCAATTCGTAACTAATAGTAGAGTATACTAAATGATTGATCTTGAGCACGAAGCTCTATACAAAGGAAATCCATCTTGATTATATAGACCATCGTGGCATGCGTCCCAGTGCTCCCAGTTGTCCCAGTTGTACTGGGACAGCTGAGCCTACTGGGATCCTCATATCACATGATGCTAATCACGTGATGTTAGGTATGTGAGATCCGTCGTAACAGGAAGCTGATAGGGCAGAACTGAGGTAATATTGGTCTAGTAGGTTAATCTCTCTTCTAAGTTCTATGTGACGGAAAAGTCGTAAACGGAGTCAATTCAATTACTTAGAATCTAAAACTAAAGAACTAAGAAGATTCTAAGTAAGAAGGTCTTTATATACAGGGCTAGTGCACGTGAGCCACTAATGGGTAACAACCGTCACGTAACATTCTACGGAAGTGCGAAGCTCTCTTACAGAGAGCTTCTCAATCTAGTCCTAATAGGACTAGTGCCCTGTGCACGTGCTACGCAGGAACCATTCACTTTAACAATTTATTTATTTTGAAAAAAAAGTTATTTTTCATAATATAACAAATATAAATATTTAATAAATAAATAATTAACACCAGCTAGCAATAAATCAATCAATCAATCAATTATTCACACATCACTCACCCACCTGAACTATTTATATTTCCAATCCCTCGGCTTTATCATTCAATGACTGCTGTATGCGTATGAATTATTGATAAACAGATAAATTAGAAAATAAATAAGTTTTGAGTTTAAGATTCTGCTTGGGGTTGAGTTTCACTAGAAATTCATCATGACATCTTTACTTTAGATCTCCTTTCGATGATATGTATGTATATAAGCACAAGAGCACATGTCAAAAGTCTACATGAAGAAAACTAGGCCGAAAAAAACGAGCCAAATCGAGAGAAGTATGTTTTTATTAAACAGTCCAACTCGAAGAAATGCCCAATCCTATTTAATTTTCCAGTACCCTACGCTTTGATACACAATACCTAACTTGATGGAAATGCCAGCGTGTTCCCCTCCCTCCTCATGAATATGCTATTCCCTTAGAAGCTCCATCGCATTTGCAAACCGCTGATTCATTCATCCAGCTATTCACCCATTCATCCATCCATCCAAAATATTATGTTTTCTTCTTATTCCTCATTTCAAATATCTAGTGAGAAGGTATATGAGTAGGAAATTGATGTGCCGGACATCTCTCACTCGTTATAGTGGTAGACCTGTAATATCATATGTTAGTAAAAAGAGCGTATCATGTAGGAACAAAAGATGAGAAACAAAGGATGAAAATACCTTATAATTAGGCAAACCAAAAGCATCCCAACCCAATCTCTTTGCCATTTTCGCAAAACCTTCCGTTTCTATTAAATGATAAAAAGCAAAAGGTGGGAACATGGCTCCATCACGATGTACCTCTGCCTTAACCATTAATGCTGTTCCTCCTACTCCATCAAGTGGGATGATGGCCCTGGAATCTCCAGAATCTTCGGCAAGATATGCCATCAATGGTCGGTATGTAGCCATATCAGCATAACCCTCTAATAAAATATCATCAGGTCCCATTGATTCCCCAAGTTTTCGTGCAACATCACTATCCTGCCAGCTGTTGAAATCATAGGCGCGTTCTGACATTCTTTTATCTTTGCTATCGTAATATCTTTGGAAACAATTTGGCACAATGATGGCTTTGTCGTGAGAAGCCAAATCTTGAATCAAACTCGGAGGAGTCTCAACGATATCCGAATCTAACCACAGAACCCAAGACACGGAAGGCCCAAGAGTAGTGAAAAGGAGAGAATTTCTGGCTCTTGACATTGCAGCTCTTCTTGCCTTTTGATTCTCCATCTTATGTCTTTCAGCTTCTGATTGAGATACAAGAGGTGGATCGAAGTCTTGTCGTTCAATAATAATACTCGCGAATCGATTCTTTTCCGGTCCAGACTTTTGAGTTTTCGTAACCTGCTCCTGCAAAGCTGCTGTAGCGGCATTTCCTTCTTTATTCTTTGGAATGATAAAAGCGAGAGTAATGAGCTCATGCGGATATGAAAGCTTCAATAGGTTATCCCAATAATCTTGATAAAATCTTGCCAAAGGTGTCAAGATGAGAACCATCTCTCGATTTCCTAAAGGATCGGCGGTACTGGTGACATTATTCATATGGTAATGAATGACAGGTGGTGGTATGCGTTTCCCACTCTTCGTAGCCTCATTCTGTTTCCGAAAGGGAGATGTGGGTGGTGAGAGAGGATTGGATGCTGCGCTTGCTCTTCTTAATTGCGATGCTGCGTCGTCGACATTTGATGGTGAGAATAGAAATACGAAAATGATGATACATAAGACCACACCCACGATCAATGTGAGCGGGTTCGTACGCCGTAAAGACCGGACTGGGCCCATGGCGCCGTTGTACTGTTCGAAGGGTTGTCCTCAATCGATAATTATGAAAGTCTAGGAGCGCATTTGTTGACTTTGAGTTACAGGAATAAAAGAGGGTTGATTTTGTTCGAGATTATTATGTAGATGGGTAGGTGGTGTAAGTATTCGGTTCGTTGTCGCAGATGTTAGAGGGAGATTAAATTAACCCAACAATCTCTCCAAAGAGGAATTGATGAGATTGGTTGATTTAAGTGAGTACCTTTTCTCCAGTACTTGTAGAATATGTTAAAAAGTAAGAAAAAACGAGTGTTGAAGTTAGATGATACAGATGTTTTGATGCGAACTTACTCTTAATAAAGTTGTGATATCATTGGTTGAAATTTAGTAAGAGGGTCAATTTTTAATGATCTGGATGATCTGGACAGAATTAAAGTTAAGAGCAGGCTCAAGCTCAAGGTATGTGTCTATGGAGCAGGTATTTCTGCAATCATAAAATTATTCTCATCATACATAATGTATATACCTATATATATAGTCATTCAAATCATCAAATTACCTAAGATGAGAATAACTCTTGAACAATAAAACCGAGAATAGTTGATGGTAATGTTGATGTTGATGTTGAGGATGGGAATTATCCATACTCGGATAGGGGTATAATCTACGTGTAGAAATACCTAGTACCTCAATCCAAAGAGTAGAGTACTAATACATTCAGAACTTCCATTGAACCTTCTATGTTCCATTTCCATGTTCTCGTATTTTCTCCACGTTAGACTGAGTACCTAGTACCGTGATATACCTTTGAGCCCTTAAATTTCTATATGTTACCTTTTAACCTTATAACAGCTACTAGTGAGGAATCCAGACGATGAAATCCAAGCATAGACAAACATCTATCTTTCATCATTGACTTTTTGAAAACATCCACCAGAACAAGAGAAGCACCAAAGAAAAGAAACCTCATGATTCTATTGAATTATCAAATTCTCAAAGATGTTCATTCACATGAAGAAAACAATGCTAGCAATCTTTAAAAAACCAGTCCAGTGACTCTCACACGGGACCTAAGATGGTTTGTTTGAATTTCTACTTTTATCCGTCTCCTCCCGTTGATAAGATTACTTCTCAATTCTGACCCCTTTTCACTCAGAGAAAAATAATATTCTCAAAATCTCTCCTTTCGCTCAAATACCTGTCTCTAGATACTTACTTCGGATTGGTTTCCACTGTACTTCTAGCTGTGGGGAGAATGGGGAACTCAATATCTTCTGCTGTTGAACGTTTTATCAAGGAGTTGTTCATGGATGTGACCCTATTGATGGTAGTTGGATGGCAACTTCACTATTCGCCCAACGGCGCATGAGATTTACAGTAGCCAGTGTAGTAAATATGGGAAGGGAAGGGCGAACTGCCACTATATGGTATATCTTCGTTGGATCTACAGATAGGAGCTATCGATTACCTTCATCATTCTACGCCCTCAGATAAGAATACGTTGTATTGAACCAACCAGGTCTAACCATACACAGTTTTCGACTTCATTCGAGAAACTTCGTCAGAGTTCGAGTAAAATGAACGAAAGCAGGCCCATCCTTAGTATCCGATCGTCATGCAAAACCCAACATGTCGGAATAGTTTCATAAGAATATCTGATGGCTATCTCTTGCTCTCAGATCTACCCAATGATGTGGGACAAGCAATCAACCAGATATCCACTTCTTCATGCTTCCAATCACTGTCATTTTGGTACTGTGTTGTTGGTCCAGCGTTGGTACTTATCTATGTAGGTACGAGTCAGTAGAACCAGTAGAACCTTGGGATATCAAGATTGAGCAAGATAATGCAGCGATATACCTGCAGTGAACGGGGTATTTGAAGTCGACGTTACACAACCTAAGTATTGCGTCAATGGTGGAAAATATTTATCTACTAAGGTTCATGCTTGACCATGTTTATTAGGTTGTTTTTCTTTTTTTCTTTTTTTTTTTTCGTTTCTTTAGTTCTGGTTGTCGTACTGTAGATCATACTGCATGATACCGCGTGGCAGCTCCAGGAACTGTTCGCAAACAGACGACACCGCCATGAACATTTGAGGGGTATGGAATAGTGGAATTGTTGAAACATGATGACATTCGGGTAGAAAGGTAGTTGGAACGGGAGGAGGTTCGAGGCCGCATGATCTGTGACACTGGATAATGTCTGTGAATGAAAGAAAGAGAGAAAGGAAAAGAAAAGCAATGAGACCTGATACAATCTTCACAAATAACACAATAGAGAATATAATGAGTGGCTCATTGTTGTAACCGAGGTTGATATCTATCTACTCCGTAAGCAGTGCTCTGTGGATATGTACATAGTATGTTCTACAGATCAAGTACAGATAAGCCAGACTGCATGCATGATCCGGTCTCAGAAACAAACAATGACAAGACAGGCAAGGCAGCGCAACGCCATCTTTTTTTAATATTTTCCCATTTCATCATTTATCCATGAAGCGGTACCGTAGTCAGTAGGATCAGATGGTAGAATACTGATGCCACCAGTACTTTTAAAGATGGGGTGAAGATGGTCTTGAAAAAGTTGGGATAGCTACGATTGGTTATTTTAATGAATTAAACGCTGCGTTCGTGACGGTCTATGCTTCAATGCGACAAATGGATCATCTTGGGTATCTTTTTGGGTGGAGTTGTCGACTAAGGAATGAATTACTCCAGCCGGAGTGGTGGAGTTCTTTCTGTATTAGAGGATACTGGTTGGTGTACCTAGAGAGATAAATACCTAGACCTTGATAATATTGAGGCATAAAGTGTTGATATTAGAGATAACCCCATAGAATCTTGAGGAGGAGACCGGAGTAACCGCTTGCTTGCAAATGAACTGAGGTTTTTGATAGATTCGAATTCTATGGTTGAGTGATGAGATCAGTCGATGAATTTGGTGGTTATGAGTGAGTAATTCTTCATCTAGACTCTTCAGACTCTGTGTTCTCTGATCTTTAGAATTTCACAGAAAATAGGTACTTACTACTAGAACCAACTACAACTATCTAGTAACTTATATCTCCAGGTTCCTTATTCGATATAAATCCTAGAATATGCTAGGGTCCTATAATAAATATTCCCTTCACCGATACTCCGTATTCAACATTTAATCTATATTCATTCTCATCTTCATATAATAAAATCTTGTTAGTTTATTGATCTACAGAGTAGCTGGGATAGTCCATATCTACCTAGTTCCTTCTACCTAGTACCAAAGTCAAGACCCTTTAATTGATAAACCTCCGAAGGGGAAGGGCAAGGAGAAGGAGAAGGAGAAGGAGAAGGAGAAGGAGGGAATCTCTTTCCCTTGAAACCTTTCTAATAAATTCTAACTGACTAAAACTAACTACCTACCCAGGTAACTAACTAACTAACTTACCGGCCTCCCCAGAAGAGACGAACGCCATGGATAAGTTAAAAGATTTCCTAGGTTCATAAGAAACGATTCCCCAACTTTAATAATCATCATCATAACCATGAATATGTCCATAACCACAACCAAAACTACAACTACAACCACGACCACAACCATGACCATGAACATGATGATATCCGCATGAACATGAGAATGAACATGAGCATGTACATGAACTAGATGATAACAAACATTTTCGCTTCTTCTACAATAATTTCGACCTTCCACCTTTGTTAAAGAAGAGGGAAAGAGAGGGTTTTTATAAGAACAGGATACCTTCTCAATTTTCTCCCTTTTTATTTATCCCTCCATTCTTCATTCCTTTTGCGCTGGTATCGCGAAACTTCGAAAAAAAAACTACGGTAACATCGAAGCAACATAAGCCGTTCCCAAACAATATTCGATTTCAGCTCAACCTGGGAATAATATTTATCAACCAGTAAAGGAACGAACACGTTCAGACTAAAACCAAGGAATCGAATCTCGCGAGTTACTTCTCTATTTCGCTATCGTATTGCAGCAAATAAAAAAAAAGGTCACCCGAAATATTACCCTTACTGTACTTTCTTTATCGTACATTCACCAGACTACTCTGTACAGCCGTTCCATGCCGTTATTGGGTCCTCACAAAGGGTCGCAGTAAATCATGGAACCCGTGCCTGAACTCCACTCCCTTGAGGAATTCAGAGCATCTCCTGTACCAAGATTACGATTACAAGAATCTGCTCTTTACGACACTCAAAATCCGATAAAGGATCGAGAACAATTTGCGAGACCTCAAACTCTTCGAAGAACTACAGAACCAATACCTCAATCACCCCGCTCCCCAGGATGGTCATCCCCTGTCACTCCTTCAATCCCTTTTCGTCCTCGAAATACTTCACCATATGCGAGAGGCCATTTTAGATCAAGATCAAACGGTAGTGTTTTGGCACCTCCAATGTCGCGAGCACAATCATTACCAGGAGTAAATGGTGCTGGTCACCTACTCATGTCTCCTCAAAGACCCGCAAGTCCTTTAGGTTCACCAGCTCGAGTTCGCATACCTAGAAAACCCGCAGATGAAGTGTTTCCAGGGTTTCCAAATCGTGCTTTGATCAATATTAGTGAGGGTAAGCAGCCAGCTTTCGATGAGGATACTTCAAAAATGTCGGATCGAAGTGCCTCCCCAATCTTAGGTATACCTTCCAACGGTAGTTATACACGCGTTCGAAGACCAGCTTCCCCTTTAAGACACATCACAACAACGGGTCCCTTTATTAGTGGCGCAACACCCACGACACCATCCTCTTCGACTTCATCCCCTTCATACAATACAACGAAATTCGGCGAATGCTATCTCACCTCGAACATTTCCACCAGTTCCTTGTATTACCCTGGTTCATACACATCTTCATCCGTTCCTTCTACACCTACTTCTACAAGATCTCGCAGCCCGAGTATATCCAGCTTGGAAACAATACCTGATACACCGGATGCAGAAGAAGCTGCCATAGAAGCAGATAGGATTGCTCAGTTAAAAGCTGCAGCAGATGCGGCAGATGGAGCCGAATGTGAAGATGCCAAATCAAGAGGACTTGACACTTCTGGGGGACGTGGTAGAGGTCTAGGAGGATTTGGTTCACGAGATAAGAGAAAACGTTGGAGTGTTTGTGGAGCTGAAAGAAGAGGTGATTTGAATCTAGATACGATCTGGGAGGATTGAGATTGTTGAATCACGATACCATGATGATGAATGGCCTATGAATGAATCGATTCACGAGAAGATTATGGTCAGAAGAAATCAGTTGTTGATAGGATGCGTTGTTCAAATTACACGGCTTCAGTACAAAATTCCGATTCGTCCCTGCTGTACTCCACAGTCGAATTGTCTAGATGTGCATATCTAGGAAAAATCGGATTACTGAAAAAAGTCGCTCAGTATCTTCCCTTGCTCATACATTATTGTACGATACCCCTTTAGCATTTTTGGGGGAATGGTTTCATTTCCCACGGAGCATTATATTCGGAGTTATTGGGGAAGGGGGAGGGGTTTGATAGCATTGCAAAGGATGTTGGAATTTTTTTATCCTAAATTGTAAATAGGATTAATGCAAGTGGCATGAATTAATTAGATTGAATGACAATCAAGAAGCTACCACAAAAGGGTGAGAATTTTGGTTTGTGAGGTTGTGAAGTTGTGTTGCTTTATTTTTTTTTTCAACCTTACCTTGCCTTGCCTTACTTCGGTAAATTTTTATGTTTGTCTGACCCCTTGCTCTTTTTAACATTTAACACACCCCTTTTTTTCTGGATTTGGGGGTTTTAATTTTTTGGATTTTGGATTTTGGATTCCCCTCGCTTCGCTTCGCATCGCGCGGTGAGACTGGGAAGTTAGGAGGTATGAATATCTATCTATCTATCTAGCTACCAAGGAGTAGGAGTAGAACTAGGTCTGAAAGTAGGAGTAAGAGTAAGAGTAAGAGTAGGAAGGAAGGAGTAAGAATGATAATATTGATATTGGGGTTTATGTGAGGTTGAGATTGGTGTGAGGTTGATGTGAGATTGGGATTGGGATTTAGATTTAGGATTTTCCATCTATAAAGAGGAGAGGAATATCCTTTGGGATTTTTTGAGATTTTTTGAGATTGTTGAGAAAAGTGGACTTGGAATTGGAATTGGAATACATACTCTCGCTTTACTACAGTTACAATCTTTTGAGTTTGAGTTTGAATTTTGATCATTCATTTATTCATTCTTTCATCTGGGGCTCGGACTCGGACATTGTCTTGTGAGGGAGGTTTAATTGAGAGTTGGTTTTTACACTTTTTTTTTAATCTCATTATCTTACTTTACTTGCTCCTCGTGCGGAGAAGAGTATCGTTGTTCTTTTGGTATTTGGATCGGAGGTTGAGATAAAAGTTGAAAGTCGAAAGTTGAAAGGCAAAAGGCAATATGCATCTCCTCACTCTAGTCGCCGCTGTAGCTCTCCTGTCGAATTTTATCTTGGCTATTCCTCAATTGGGTGGAAGTGGGAGTGGGAATGGGAATGGGAATATTGTATGTGGATTCTCTTCTTATCTTTTGTGTTTTTTTTTTTTTTTTTTTTTTGAGATTTGGAGGGCTTTGGTTTTGATTTCAGGCTTTGGATTTTGGGGAGATATAAATATACTAATCTTTCCTCCAGGAAGAAATCCAACATAAACGATGGGGTTGGCCTTGGAGTACTGACTCTGACTCAGATTCAGATGGAGATGATGGAGATGATGGAGATGACGAGAATAATGATTCGATCGCAGAAACAAGATCACTTCTACCATTTACACATCCGCATCTTGTGGCGGAGGCTACGGGTACAATTGTAGCTGCGGCTGCGACTGCGAGGTTTAGTACGGAGATTTCTGTGGTGGGTGGATTTGGGTTTTCGAGTTCGGTGGTTGAGAGTGGAAGTGAGAGTCAGAGGGTTACTGCTACTTCTACTGCTTCTGCTGCTTCTGCTGCTGTTACAGGTGTAGATGCAAATGCAGGTGCAGGATTGCAAAATAGTATCTCGATTTTAACTACAGTCACGGATCGAATTCTTCCGTCAACACCTCTCTTGTTTAATTCGACGCCAATATCAATATCAACATCCATACCCATACCCATTACTTCAACAACCCTCCTACCACCCTTCACCCAAAACAATACTTCCCTCACACTCTGTCCCGCAAATCCTACGAGTTTCATCACCATTACCGAAAATTGTACGAGTACGTATTGGATTACTGTTTCTGCGGGTGCGGTGGAGGAGAGTAGTACATCTTTATCTTTGGCTTCTATTTCTTATGCGATGATTTTTCCTACGATTACGTCGTTGGCATTGTCGTCGTCGATTTCGGGGGTTCCGGTTGCTTCTGCGGGGGGATTGACGTCTGTGGGGGGAAATTCGACGGGGTTTTGGACGAGTACGTCGATTCCAAGGGTGATGAGTAGTTCTGCTGCTGTATCGACGCAACCTTCTATTTCGGGGGTTGCTTCGGGTGGTTTTGTTTCTGTGGGGGCGAATTCGACGGGTGTTTGGACGTCGTCGAGTGCTGCTAGGGCTAGTGCTAGTTCTAGTGTGGTGATGAGTATTGGTTTGAGTACTGCGTTAGGGAATCGTAGTAGTACTGGGGGAGTGAGTAGTTCTTTGGTGGCTAGTGAGACTTTGGGGTTGGTTTCGTCCTCTGGATTGGGTGGGGTTACTACTAATTCTTCTTCTTTTGCCTCTTCTTCCATTGAAGCATCTTCATCGTCATTAAGGGAATCGATAACTTCGACTTCAATTTCAACTGGAGAATTAGTATCGACTACGATTTTATTTTCTACTAGTACACTGAGTTATCCTCATTCATCTTCTTCCTCATTATTATCATCATCAACCCTCCTCTCCCTCTCCTCCATACTCTCACTTTCAACCACAACCACGCCATCCAACCCCTCAACCCTCACACTCACAGTCACCCCTAACCCCATCGCAACCGGAACCACAAGTCTCCACCCAACCACCACAATCCAATTCACCACCACCATAACCAGTATCCAAAGCAGCGGGACACCGAATCTCGCCGCCGTACATTGCGGTTTACATGGTTTACCCGTTGGAGATTATTTTCTCGCTGAGTTTGTGGAGGAGAAAGCTGGGGTACCGGTTACTTTGAGAGGATGCTGGGAGTTTTGTTTTGTGAGTTTTCTTCCTTTCTTCCTTTCTTTCGCTTTTGTTTTGTAGTTTCGGATTCATCACTTTCCCAGGAATCATCCCTCTCATTTCCCTGCGAATTCTTCCCTTCCCAATCTACTACTCTGTATATGTAATTAGGTACTAACAGGTATTTCTCATCAATAGGGCGTATATGGTATAGATAAAGGATGCGAATCGTATTCGTTTTATCCGGAACCGGGAACGGGTGCTCCGAGGTGTGATATTTTCGGGGGGAGCGTGGCCCAGAGTTTGGATAGTATTATTCCTGGTGTGCCGAATGTGTGGTTTGATTTGGAGTGTGGGGATCCGGGGTTGTTGGGTTGAGAGGAAGAGGAAGAGGAAGGGATAGGATGGGAGGAATTGGGAAAGCAAAAGGAAGTAAAAGAGATGAATAATTAATAATCGACGGAAGAAAGAGAGAGAGAGAGAAATCATATATCAACCTCGTAATAATATTATATCCTATTATACTTTTATACTGTTATTCTTTCTTTCATATCTTTTGATTATTATATTTATATTATTTTGTTTGAAATAAATCTAAAACATTACTAAAGATTTAAAAGATTTAAAAGATTTTGATTTTTCAATTTTATTATTTAAATTAGTATTATTATAATTTGTTATCAGGAACTATTATACTTTATTTGTTTTATAATTATAAAAGATACTGAAATTAAATCTATGATGATTTATTTATAATAAAATCCCTTTCTTTATGAATTTCATTTGAGAGACTAAATAATTAAAAACAATTATTCTTTCCAAAATCACAAATACTCTTTCTGTGACCACTAACAAACACAAATTCAAACCTTCGAAAACCTGAAACTGAGAATTCCAATATTCAGTATCCATATTGTCCACAAACCAAACTATACTAAAACCATCATATCACGCCCCGCACTTCAAGAACCTACTCTACGATCACCATGCATACTATCCTGCTAATTACATCTTACTATCCTAACGGCAGTTGTTATCGTGCGTGGAATGCAAGTTATATATGGTGCGTTTGTATCTTGGTATTCGCAGTCAGCTTAAGATTCTATAGCTAGGAACCTGGTACAAAATAGGTCAAGACTCTGTCTCATTTCCAACACATGGGATTGGCATGTCATTCAATCTTTCTCAGCCTCATATTCTTGTTCATGCTAGAATTCATGCTGCTGATAAATCATCTTGAGATCTGCAATCGAAGCGCACATGCTAGTCAAGAATACCAATAAGGCCCTCCCCCTTAAGGTTTCTAAGCTTCTTTCAATCTATGGATATGATGCTGTAGTTTCTAAAACTATATTTCTAGAGCTAGGTTTCCTTACTGGATGGAATGTTGGGTTCGTGAAATCTTCCGACGATTTTGGTTATTTCTACAAGATCGATAATGGAGAAATGGGGGCGGAAAGATTTAGCTAAATAGCTGCTTATGGGATAGTATTTGAGTTAGCTAGACCTCGAAAGAGCTGAATGTTAGAAATTACTAATAGTTTTGATTTTAGGGAAGGTGGCGCTGGTGTTGTGGCATTTTCATACTTCGATGCACCCTTTGATGCATTACAACGTCGGGTATATAAAGATTGAACCACTTTATTCTGGGATTTGGAGACTGTTAACTCTACATCAATTGTAGAAGCAAGTAGCAACGCCTACTCGGCTGAGGTTTATGACGGACCTGGCTTACACGATGATTTCTCTGATGCAATAGTTCTCAATGTGAGTTTTTGAAAGATGTAGACACTCCAATTATCTGGCATCTTCTTCAGATTGCCGCACAGTGTAAAAACACAATCGTTGTCATCCAAAATGCAGGGATACGTCTCGTCGATCACTTGGTGGACCATTCAAAATGTTACAGCCATCTTTTATGCACACTTAGCTGATAAAGAATCTGAACGCGTTGTTGTGTCGCTTCTGTACAACGATGAAAACTTCTCTGGGAAGTTGCATTACACCGTGGCTAGGAACGAGTCTGAGTAGGGCGCATTACTCCATCTATTCTCTCCTGAAGGCAAATATAGCCTTTTCCCCCAGAGTGATTTTAGCGAGGGGTCTTTGTTGACTGTCGAGCATTTGATTGAGAAAACATCACTCCCAGGTACGAGCTTGGATTTGGCCTTTCGTACACTAAATTCGACTTTTCAAATCTGGTCATTGAGAATGAGCATCCAGGAACAGCGGTTCTTACCCAACTGGCCCTATCAAACCTGGTGGGTGAGTCGACCTGTGGGATTACTATCTTATTGTCACTGTTGAAGTTACGAACACAGGATGTCGACAACGAGCAGCCAGGAGGCTTGCCAGCTATATTTAGGAATTCTAGGTGCGCTAGTCAAGCAACTCCGCGGTTTCGAGAAAGTGAATATCAAAATCGGCAATACAAGGATATTTGAATTCAAATTGACCTGACAAAAACTGTCGGTGTGGAATACGATAGCATAAGAATGAAAGGTGCAGAGCGGGAAGCATTTGAATATGTTGGAAATTTTAGCAGAAGCTTGCCTCTAATTGGAGATATCATTATTAATCCCCTATATAACGGTAAATGTGGAGACAGCAACTTTGATAATGGTACGGAAACAATTTACAGCGTATCCTTGGCGGTATTTACACTCACGTTATTGTCTACTCCTCTTGGGTCTGCCTTTCGTGTAGAAATATCATATTCTCATCCTATCGAGGGCGGGTGGTAATTTTGCTTTACTACTCCAACCCGAATTCTGCAATACCGCAGGCAATCTCTAGCTTTCACGACCCTTCAAGATTGCAATAGACCCAAACCCACAAACGCAACCACTACCGCTCCCCCACAAAGCGTCCAAATTCCCTTATCCCATCCTCTCGGTCCCTGCGTGGCAACCCATGTATCCGTCACGCATACAAGAGTCCACGCCGTTGTCAAAACCCCCATCTCCTCCATCTTCCCCTTGTGAAAGAACCAAAACAGCGCTCCTGCAGCCGCCAAGTCTCGTATACCCAGGAATATCATTGCTTTTTCGGTTATGGACTTGCCTTCTGGTGTGGTAGGTATGACCCCAAGAGATTCCGCAGCAACGGGTGGTGCGAGGATGGCCAAGCTTCCCAGGGCGAAGACGGTGGTTGTGAGGCCAAGGCCAACGTGGCGCCACGTTAAAGGGTTGAGAAGGCGGTTTGGGAAAGCCATGACAGAATTGAGTTTGGAGAGAGAATTTTGGATTCGGTAGATGGAGATGTGAGAGGTTTGGATGGAAGAATTTACGGATGAGAGAGCTTGTGGATAGAGTAAAGTAGAGTTGAGGAATTAGCTCTTGGATGATTGAGACGTTGAGGAAAGTAAAGAGTGATAACCATTGACACGTTGTTTAGATGTTCAAGGGTTGAAATTGCCGGAAAGATCGCGATGTGAATCTTGGGAGAAATCATCGGGGCGGTTTGCATACTTGTATGAACTGCCGATAGAATGTGTGGGGCAGACGTGGTGTCTGTACGGAGTAATAGAGACATCCTGCAAGCAAGTTCTGCTTTTGCACTAAAGCTCATTGGGAGACACTTCGCTTAAGAGCCTTGCCAAGACCAAGAGTGAAAGCACGAGTCTGACAAACCCCTGCGATTAGGGGTGTGCGACAACCAATTGCGTGGCAAGATGTCTCTGATGTTGGCATATCTGTTTTACTTCTGCAGAGCGTTTAGAAATACGCAGAATGCTTTATATTCCATATCACCGAGTTTGCTTCGTCTGCTCCTGGTAATGATTTCATGCCCCTCCCTAATACTTGTACCGAGTCTTTTATGTAGCATTCCTAATCCGGCCTCTTAAGCTAATCGACATGACGCAAGCCTTCAAGATACCCTGTTCGTGGCCGGCTTTCTCAAGTTTGCACGACTGCAAGCTCGATGCATGATCTAGACTTAAAATATCTCCTTCAAAAGTGAGGCCATAACCATTCCGATTACAAACCATTACGATTACAAACCATTACGATTACAAACCAATCGGATCACTAATCACCTCCGACTTCTAATCACTAATTACCTCCAACGTCGACTACCAATCACCTTAATCACCTTCAAGATCTTACGGTAATTCACAAAGTCACGATGTCAGATAGAACAGCACTTTCTGGCGGCAACTTTACGGCCACAAGACACTCCACGACTTATGACTATATTTCCCCAGTCAAGCTGGACTTTGCTGGAAAAAATATTCTGATCACAGGGGCAGCGTGGCAGGACGGAGTTGGATATGCTACAGCTACAGCCTTTGTACGCGCAGGAGTTTCAGCGATAGCATTAGCTGATCTCTACGGTGTATCAGATGATCTTGTCATGAAGCTTAAGCTGGCTGCTACGCAAGCCGGACGTTCAGAGCCTGTGGTGCTGAGCTGCACCGTTGACATCTCAAAGCAAGACAGTGTTCAAAAAATGTATGAAATCGTATCAGAGAGGTTTGGTGGACGTCTGGATATCGTCGTCAACAATGCAGCTCATATGGAACCATACAAGCCGTTACTCGATTCCGATCCAGATATATACTGGCGAACTTGGGAGGTCAACGTTCACGGACTCCTGAATATTACTCGTGCATTCCTTCCCATGCAGCTTTTGACTCGTTCAAGCAACAATGGTTTATGCACAATGATCAATGTATCCTCTTCAGGTGCATTGAGCGCTCGTCCTGGAAGCGCGAGCTATCGAAGCTCAAAGCTTGCGATTTTGAGGTTGACCGAGTCTCTACAGTTGGAATATAGCGATCAAGGACTTCTGACCTTTTGTGTCAATCCAGGCGCGATCAAGACGAAGATTACTGAGACTGTGCCTGAGACGGTGCGGAATTTATTTCCTGATCAACCAGAGATCGCTGGAGATACGATTGCATGGTTAGCTGCTGAACGTAAGGAGTGGCTCGGTGGAAGGTACGTGAGCTGTCCATGGGATATGGAAGAGTTTATGAAGAAGAAGGATGAGATTATCGAAAAGGATCTCCTTAAAACGAGAATGGCATTCTGAGTTGAGGCTCTCCTTCGCCACGGCGAATTATGGGCGAATAATCCAGACTTGGCTACCCCCTCTTGGGGCTTTTGATGATTTCATGTGATAACTGTCCGCGTCCATAATATGGTTGGATGATTTAGCATGGATATCTACTTAATAGTGTCCATCAAATGACTGAACAAAGTTATTCATCTTCTGTTTTAGTGTATCTTACAATTTGGTAAATCAGTACCGACATGTGTGAATGCTTCAAACCTGAGTCCACCTGGAAAGAAGTAGCTTGCTTGCTTTCGGTGTTAAAGAAATGGAGGGCGAGGGGCAGAAAGAGATTGGCGCAGACGGGGTTTCAGTGCTATAAGTGTAGTACCCCACTTTCAGATTATCCCACTTTTAGACCACCCTTTCATATCAAAAATAACGATTTATACCTATTAGTAATTTTTTAATTTATATATATGTATATTTTCCTGAAATTTTAATCACGAATTAATTGTTTTGTAACGATACTGTACTGGAGGCAGCGGCTGCCTGAGGTTTTGTCAGTTGGTAGTTATAGGTTAAGGCTTTATCTGTGACGCCTCACACCTCCAGGTCACGTGGCATGCCCGTTTGTATTTAATCATAGGAAAACTCGCTACTCTTGTTTTCCTTCTTCTTTTCTCCTTAGCTTAGTATTTTCTAATACAAGATACTTTACCCAGTATTCTTGAGTGTGAAATTATCATTGGTATTCATTTGGAAGTGAAGTCGTTACTAGATCAAGTAGAATGTAGGTAAACTAATTGATAACTAAATTGAGCACGAAGCTTCTATATTATGAAACTACTATAATTATATAATGAATCCTTTCCTGGAGCCTTGGGGAGCCTACGCTTTTGGGGGCTTTATCACATGATTCCTATTGGCCTCAAGACACTAGTCCTGGGACGACTCTTATCCTAGGATAATATAGCTCCTAGGATAATTGTCCTGGGACAAATATTATCCTAGGACACTTGTCCTATGCCTTTATGATTGCCTAATCGTTTATCCTAAAATAATTATTATCCTGGGACACATTCTATCCTAGGACACTTGTCCTAGGATTCCTTATCGATAAGGAAACCACGGTAAACAACAGCCTAAACCTCGGTACTTGTTTTTATTGTATTATAATTGTCGTGGTTCGTGACATGTTTATATAATAATAAATTTTAAAAATTTCAAAATGTTTATGATTTTTCTCAACGAGATATTAATAGTTGAATTTTTAAATTTCAACTTATATACAAAATTAAGAAAGTATAATATTTTTCAAAATTATTAAACAAAATTTTTAATACTTTAAATGTGTAAATATTAATTTACTTCAAGTGTTAAAGTGGGGTGTTCAGTAAAAGGCTACATGGCTGACCGTAGAAGTGGATGATTAATTACCATATCCTTATATCGAAACAAATCTTTATATGGAGACGCATCCTTATGCGAAGACACATCCTTATATCGAGACACATCCTTATATCGAAACACATCCTTATATCGAGTCATGTTTCTGCCAGTGCATCAAGAGAACGTGATCAAAATGTAGCCCTGTTTCTCGATACAATGATTCTTTTGCCTCGTAATAGATGGGATTTATCAGCATTTCCACTTCTAGCAGCATATCGAGACGTCAGGTTATGTACGAAGTGGGTCGAAACGAGCAAATGAAGCAAGCAGCAGCACCAATGTAGTAGAAGAAAGCGGATGGAAGAAAATCAAGCTTGGTCTACAAATGTGCGGAAAAAAGTTTGTTTCCGGTTGATTCGTAATACTGATAACAAATCCAGTTCTGCAGGGACTGTGTCTTGTATCGATTCCTGAGTGGGAGGCATTTCTACCGGCCCCGGTAAGTAAGGTTTCCCAGCCAAAAGCCCCGAATTGAGGGTTAATAAGCTACGAACAGAAATATAAATAGTTCTCTTATGTCTCCCAAAGCATCATTACCAAAAAATCAAAACCCAAATATCTCCTCCCCCTCAATCACAATGTCCCGATACGCAGAAGTCCATCTGAATCCGAATGGCCCCGGGGATGCTCGTCCCACAGCTATTCAAATTATCAAGGACGAAGAGGCGGAGGGCAAGCTAGCTGGGAAAGTTATTGTCATCACAGGCACTTCGGCTGGAATAGGGATCGAGACAGCACGTGCTCTGTCTTTGACTGGCGCAAAGCTGTTGTTGACCGCACGAGACTTGAACAAAGCCAAGACTGCTTTGGATGGAATCCTCGTACCTGGACGGGTTGAACTTGTCAAGATGGATAACAATTCCCTGAGCAGTGTACGTGCCGCCGCAAAAGACATTCTCCAGAAGTCGAATAACCAAGTCAACATCCTTATCAACAACGCCGGTATCATGGCTCTGCCCAAGCTGGAGCTCACGGAAGACGGTTTTGAAAAGCAATTTGGAGTCGATCATCTCGCTCATTTTCTCCTCTTTGAGCTCTTGAAGCCAGCTCTCCTCGACAGCGCCAGCCCTGAATTCTCATCTCGAGTCGTTAATCTCGCTTCTTCTGCTCACCACGTAGCACCGATCAACGAATCGGGCAACTACAATTTTGAGAAGACTGAATACAATGAATGGGTTGCATATGGGCAAGCAAAAACCGCTAACATCTATATGGCCAACGAAATCGAGCGACGCTACGGATCGCGAAGGCTTCATGCTACAAGCGTTCATCCTGGAGTGATTGCCTCAACGGGGCTCATGCAGTACATGGACCCTGCAATCAAGGAAGAAATGAAAAAGGATAAAAAGGCGTACAACATCATGAAGACGGCAGAACAGGGTGCTGCGACGACAGTGTGGGCTGCCATCGGACAAGAATGGGAAAAGAAGGGTGGAGAATATCTTGCTGAGTGCGGAAAGACAACCCGTGGGAATGACAATCACGAGGTTACGGGTGTAGGGTTTGCAGGGTATGCTTACGATCCTGAGGCTGAGGCTCGACTTTGGAAGGATTCGTTGATAATGGTGGGTTTGACAGACGATCAATAAATTAAAGGGGTTCTTTTCTCTTGATCCAGGAACATCCGCCATTAATCTTTCTGTTAATATCATACAATGAATATTAAACCAGTTGTACTCTAACTATTTTTTTGCTTATTTAAATTCTGTGATCCTATTCACCTCAATAATCTCTGCGGCTTATATCACTGACCCACTCCATATTGTGACCAGACCTGCACATCACAAGCCCTAGGCTTTTTTATTCCTTATTCGTTATACTTTATTATACTTATATTTGTTACGGGATATGGCGCAATATTTTCATTCCGAAATCAACTACAGTGATTCCGAAGGAAGCTAGCTCAATGGCCTAGTTAATTCATCAATAAGTTTAAGTTTAAAATGAACTAATTCATTTGCGAATATACTCAATATATAAACAAATTTCGAAATATTCTAACTCATTCCAAAATATTTTTGTGTATAATTATATTAATTCAACGAATGAATTAAAATTTATAAAGGATTGAAGTCTAGAGAAAGTACGCACAATCTATAAAGATTCAAAGTTTATAAGAATTCAAGATCTGATATTTCAAATAAGGAAGAAAAGCAATAGGAGCCCACTATGAGATTGAAAATATCAAAACTTCAGATTTTCGTATCAACTAGCTCATTTGCAACGTAATATATTTCGAAGTGAGCTAAGTAGATTTCGGAATACCTATGTTGCGCAATGTCACGTAACATGATTATTAGTACACATATCGGCTTTCTTAGCAGCCATGAAAAACTGTCTAATAGTTATAGACGAATAGGCAGCTAGAAATCTTAAGGCGAAAAAGGACAGATAACTCCATTAATGTTACCAAACACGCAAGCCTGGCCTGCATTAATACCCATACCTCGCCTCCGCAGTTCCATATGCCCCATACTTCTGATTAAGTATCTCTTCAATAGTAACCTTTGGTAGAGTGGCTCTTTGGTCTCGTTCAAATCCCACGTAACCCTTTCCCCTTACAAATGTAGCTAATGACTCTCCCTGCCCTTCTTGTTCTGCTAGCTGCAAAAAGAATTCTGCATGCCCTGGTCCAGAAGTGTGATGCATTGCCTTTCCCTCTGGCGTACGCTCGTCGGCGAAGTAGAAGCGGTAGCCTTCAGCAGCGAAGCCAGGTGTTGCAACCATTGTCTGAATCAAGTACCAAGCACTAGATTTTCCGATCCCAAGCAAGAGGAACTGTGGGAAGATCTAAGAAGCTAAGCTAGTGTTACTTTTTTCAATACAAGAATACGACTCACAAATGTATTTCCATTATTACCCGTATAGATGAAAGTCTTCTTTATAGTACGAGGGAGCTTCTTGAACCCTTCCACGGCGGCTTGGGCGGCTGCGTAGGCGCTCACAGTGTTGATTGCAAGATCCTTTTGGAAGTTTTCGAGGGATGCAGAAACAGGATTTGCGGGATCGGGGCTCATGGACCACGAGTAAGCTAAGCTGGAGTCAGTTATCGTTATATTAAGTCTTTGATTTTGATCTTTGAAGTGAGACATCTAATTGGTGACACTGGCCTGGGCATAGAATGCCAACGAAAAAAATTTATAGGAGTTGACTCACGATTGTATACCACAACGTTTGGCGTTCCTAATTCCTTCTCGACTCTCTCGAAAACACTCTTTATAGTGCTTGGATTGCTGAAATCTGCAGTCAGGCACAGGTCCGAATGCGTTCTTACCTCGTCCTTAATAGTTCGTGCGACGGATGCAACCTTGTATCCTTTACTCTTGAACAGCTCGACGGACGAAGCTCCAACGTTCCCCCCTGCGCCCAGGAAGAGTAGTACTTTGTGGGCCATAATCAAAAGCGACCCGGATACAAGTAACGTTTGCTGGAGATTTGTAGATTTGAAGAGAATGTGAGAAGAAGAATCTATAATTCCATAAGGGCATGTATCCGATTTTTGTAGCTGAGGCTAGCCTCAATGCAGTTGAGCTGGGTTGGCACCTGTGTCCACTGTCGAGGAAATAGGGCTCCAAGGAGTACAGATTCGACCAGCCAGCTGCGTAGTCAAGGTCAGAGCGCCAGCTTCTTTCTTGCGGGAGGAGAATGGAAACCGGGATGTACAGAGCCAGTCTGTCAAATTGGAACATTAACCTGTAACCGAGGCATCAATCTGTATCGTCCTTTCTGAGAGACAAATACCGTAATAATCTTATCTCGATATAAGGATATCCTATGCGATGCGGTCAACTTCAGCTTACTTAGGAGAAAAAAAAAAGGCTGGAAATGGCCAATGTGTCACAGCACTAAATTTGGTGATGGCGCACGTACCATTTCGCGTGGTCAATTTCGGCCTGTTTTTCCTTCCACAATGGGTGCAATGACTCGCTTAACTCTTTTGAAAGCTTGAGCTGGCAGGAGCAGGGTATGGATAGCGATGATCATCGATGCCATTTTAATAGCGCCGGAAGTGTCACACTCAAGAATACTGGGTAAAGTATCTTGTATTAGAAAATACTAAGCTAAGGAGAAAAGAAGAAGGAAAACAAGAGTAGAGAGTTTTCCTATGATTAAATACAAACGGGGCATGCCACGTGACCCGGAGGTGTGAGGCGTCACAGGAAGACTACTTTAATTATATACTCTATACATATGAAGAGAGTATGGATTTATTAAGATTTCATTACTTTTATTTCTTTTAAATTTAGATCAATAAAGATGTGACGGAAATCCCTGCTTTCCTCCCACCCTTATTATATAAGAAACCTCAGGTACATTAACCATGTCCACACATGATACGATTACTCGAGATTAGTATGCGATTTAGGTGACCTGAGGATCAGATCCGGACAAGTACTAGGTATCAATGGTTATCGGTAAAGTAAGATCATTGGAGAAATAAATATGACTTCTTTTTGCCTAGCCATTGCGGCTAGGCCATTCATTTGTGTATATATAGAGTATCTATCCCCATCTACAGGTGCTCTTCACCTGTAGATTCTAAGTTAAATACAATTGCTGGTCTATAAACACCCTTTTGGTCACAAAAGAAAATAAGAATTCTGAAATCTACTCACTGTACACTAAGCGAAAACATAACAAAATCTCTACGAAAATTATATTCTCTTATATAAAATTTAATATTAAATAATCTTATTAATATTAAATAAAATTAATTTAAAATTTTAAATATAATAATTAATTATAGAATTATACTAGAAAAATAAAATTTATTTTTGATTATTTTTATTTAAAAGTTATTGTTAAAAGGAATGACCTCACATAGAGAATAATGGGAAGCTGATAGGGCAGAACTGAGGTAGTATTGATCTGGTAGGTTAATCTCTCTTTTAAGTTCTATGGAAATGCGAAGCTCTCTTATAGAGAGCTTCTCAATCTAGTCCTAATAGGACTAGTGCCCTGTGCACGTGCTACGCAGGAACCATTCACTTTAACATAAATATATAATCTTTTTAATCTTTTTTATTTTAAAATATAATTAAATTAATAAAAAAATATAAATTATCAAAATATAAAACAATAATTATTATTATTATAATTTATGTTAAAAGGAATGACCTCACACAGGGAATATGTCACGATTCACCATTAGGATTGATGGTGTTACGATGGTAGCAAACTGATTAATTAGGAGAGCTTAGGCCTTGTGCAAACACGATCAGATTTCATCGAATTAGTATGTGATCTTGATCACCTTAAGATCGTATGCGCATACACCATCAGAAATCATGTAATAAAGAGCCCTAAAGAGCCAGAAAGCTCCTGAAGGCTCTTTTCTTCGATCATTATATAATCAGAGTAGTTTCATAGTTTAGGAGCTTCGTGCTCAACTTAATTATCAATTAGTTTACCTACATTCTACTTGACCTAGTAACGAATTCACTTTCAAGTGAATACCAGTGATAAAACCTTAACCCATAACTACCAACCGACGAACCTTAGGCAGCTGCTGCCTCCAGTATAGTATCGTTACATTATATCTCTGATAAATATTTCTAGTAATATAAATTATTGAAATAATTGAATTTTGGTGTGAAATGAGTATTAGTGTTAAAAGGAATAGAAGTTACCGGTACTAATCACGTGTCGTGATTAGTAATACGGTTACCTAAACAGGCTAGATTAGACGAACCATAAGCAGGCATATTGGTCCCCTCCGAGGATACCAAGAGGAGATCTTAATATGCCTACAGACGTAGTAATATAGTCAATATAGAGGCCTCTTCCACCCAATCTTTTAATAGGTTATGAGCCCGGTTAGCATGGCCTCTGGACATAATTGACGCGATCATTATCACAATCCAACTCGCGGAGTTGAAGAGTGCGCGGCACTACCTTACGATCAGCACGCGGTGCTGTGATCACTACTACCATCAACTCGCGGAGTTGAAAGAGCACGCGGTGCTACTTACGAATAAAACGTACGCGGTACGACAGAAAACACGCGGTGCAAATTATACTTATATTTACAATCTGTGTGGATTTATCTATACAGAAAAAGGGGAAGAAAAACCTTGCAAATTCTCTGCATAGATACCAAGATGGACGAAATCAAAGAGCAAACGAAAAGCATCCCGAACCTCACCCAAGAGACCCACGATCGATGGTTTCGACAAATGAAAATACAATTGAAAGGAAAGGATTGGTTCTATACGATTGAGTCTACATTGCAAGAGCATGCTAAGGTTGGAGGAGTTGGGATGGAAGTCGATGGTACCGAAGTTTTCCCGATCCTCGAAGGAAGCAAAGTCGTGAACATCAGGCTTAACCTCGATAAGAAGGCCAAATATTTGAAAGATGAAGCTAGTGCACTATCGTACATGTGCAGATCACTCAGTGACGACGATGAAGCGCTTGTTGATGAGTACGATACAGCACGAACATTATGGAACTACCTGAAGTCAAAGTACTCAAGAACTAGTGATATCACAGCCAATTCGTACTTAACAATGATCCAAACATTTACCTTCAAGCCTACTAGCCATCCAGAGATGACTGTTATTGAAGCCTGGGATAAACTGAAAGAATACCGACGCAAGCTTGGTGCTGCCAACCCCGCATTCAAGGATTCATACAGAGACGAAGCTCTATTTTTAGTTCTGACTAGAAGCCTACCAAGCGAATACCAAACAACAATCGATGCTATGAGCGTTCAAAGCACGCTAGCAGTGGAAGACAAGATCAAATATCTCACAGCTAAAGAACTCAGCATTCAAGAGACAGAACAAGCCCATACTGCTAGCGGAAAGTACGTAATCCCAAATCGACGAGGAGAACGCAGAGGATCAAGCCCATTTGCAAAGCAAGAACAAGACGATGAAGCCAAAACCTATGTTTGCCACCTGTGTGAGCACGAAGGGCACTTTCTACGTGATTGCAAAGATCTCACACTCGCACAAGCTCTGATCCGCAAACACTATAAAGCCCAGCAACGGAAAGCAACACTTAGAAAGACAACCAAAGTGTCATTTCCTAAGAAAAGAAGTAATCAAGCTCATCTTGCAGATGGCGAAAGTCTTTTAGTTGATCTCGATTCATCAGAAAGCGAAGAAGAGTCTGATGACGAAGAGTGCCATGTCTCTAAAGAACTCATTCGTAAGACCACCCCTTCTCGTTGGTACGCAGATACCGGCGCTTCCTCACACATGTCTGATCAACTTTCACTCTTTAGAGATATCAAGAAGATAAAGAGAAAGACGATAAAAGTTGGTGGGGGAGTTATGTACTGTGATCGGATAGGTACTGCTGCAATGGAGCTAGGAAATGGTGGTATGGTTTTACTCTCAAAGACGTTGTATGTACCGGGATTAGGAGTCAATCTCCTCTCCGGCAAGAAGATCTGTGAAGCTGGACTCAAGGGCAGGTTCAATTCAGATCGTATGTACTTTCGAAAGAATGGAATAAATATCATCAAAGCAAAAATGGATAGAGGAATTTATATGATCTCGGATATCGCGAAAGGATATGAAGATGTCGCTCTACAGAGCACAGAGATTATTAGTGATATTGAATCGAACGAGATCACTCTAGACACCTCCTTAGACAAGAACAAAAAGGATCTAGAAACTTATCTACTATGGCACAGACGATTTAACCATCTTGGCCCAGAGAAAATACGGAATCTCCATAAAGTTACTACACTGGGAAAGCCGATCAAAGTCCCATCCAAAATCCCTGTATGCGAAGTGTGTGCGCTCACCAAGATGAAGAATCTAATCCCAAAACAACTCAGTCCTCACAAGACGAAAAGATTAGAGCTTATTCATTTTGATATCGCTGGCCCATTCCCAAGGTCTTTACGAGGAAACCGCTATTTCCTATTGATCATAGACAGCTGGACAAGAGTGAATTGGATTTTGACCTTGAAGACAAAAGATGAAGCTATACCGAGATTGAAGAAATGGAAAACCGAATTAGAACTTGGCATTGGTGATGAGATAGTAGCCGCTCGAACTGATAATGCACCAGAGCTAATCCAAGCCGTTAAGGAGTGGAACTCTGGGACCCGATCAGAACTGACTACCGTAGCATCATCTCATCAAAATGGAACTGCTGAAAGAAACATCGGCACTGCCGAAGCCGATATGAGAGCTATGCTAAAGGAAGCTGGATTGCCATTGGAATTCTGGGACGAAGCTGTTGAATATGATGCACACTGCAGGAATAGAACGAACACTGGACCGATCATTGACGACAGCGTTGTAAGCCCAATCGAAGCGTTTACTGGATCAACCCCCGACATCACCCATTGTAGAGTCTGGGGGAGCAAGTGTTATGCATATATCAATCCAAAGACAATCCCGAAGGACCAACGGCACGACAAATTACGAGATACAGCTCGAGTAGGCATCTTTATGGGATACTCGCACACGACCAATAAGCATGTTAAGGTGTACTCGCCAGAGCTAGGCTACACTGTACGAGCAAGCCGAGTGACTATAGACGAATCCAAAAAGGGCGGAGACTTAGACCTAAGAATAAGAAACTCTGTATCAGGACCCCAAGGTACAAAAAATATCATCCCTGATAGGAGACCCAGAGGTAGACCTCACAAGGTACAAGAAGTACAAGAATCCCCACTCGAATCCTTACAAGATACTGCTACCCCTGAACCCCCGAAAGTAGTAATTCCCAGCGCATCTAAAGTAGACAATATCCAGCAATTCAACGAAGACAGTGAAGGGAATATCATCGAAATCGATCCATCCACAGACCCAATACTATCTCCAGGAACAAAAGAGATAGACATACTAGATACTGCACCTGTAACCAATCAATCCTCAACCGAAACCTCAACTACACCTATGGATATAGACACCCCTGAAAGATACTCTTTTCGGAAACGCAAGCGAGACGATAGTGAGCCAGATGAGCATGTCCAGAAACTGATAAGAGCAATGATAGCGATACTCTCAGCAGACCCTGATGGAAGTGCTATCGAACATGCTATGATCTCCATACCCCTTACATCTAGGATCGACCCGAGCGTTAAAACAAAACTATCCGAAAACCTTCAAGTGATCTTAGGGAGCTCTACAGACGAGGATACAGCTTTCCCCGCAGAACAGATTCTAGGAATCCCTATTCCTAACACATATAATCAGGCAGTCTCGGACCCTGAATATGGTGAAAAATGGAAGCGAGCTATCGAAGAGGAAATCAGCTCATTGATTGCAAATGGTACCTGGGAAGAGTATATTCTGCCGAAAGGAGGGAATCTTGTTTCAACAAAATGGGTATTCACAATAAAGACGAAGGACAACAAGGTCGAGAGATTCAAAGCACGGCTGGTAGCAAGAGGGTTTAGTCAAGTTCTCGGAAAAGACTACAATGAGACCTTCGCTCCTACAGTACGACTCGATACACTCCGTTTGTTCTTAGCGATCGTTGCGAAAGAGAACTTGGAATGCTGGCACTTCGATATAAAGAACGCTTTTACAGAATCTCATCTCAAGGAAGAAATATACCTCGCGCCACCTCAAGGAGTCAATGTATCAAATGGGTACGTTTTACGCGCATTGAGAAGTTTATATGGCCTTAAGCAAGCGGGACGAGATTGGAGTCAACTTCTAAAGTCCGAATTGATCAATTGGGGCTTCACTCAGAGTCTCGCTGACCCATGTCTCTATACATTCGCCGCTCGCCAACTCAATTTGCTAGTATATGTTGATGATATAATTGCCTCCTCGACTTCAAAGAATCAACTCGATTGGTTCTCTGTAATACTCTCCTCGCGCTTCAATGCCAAGAACCTGGGGGAGATTAGTAAGATTCTAGGCATTAGAGTTATAAGAGATCGAGCAAACAGATCACTCACATTGGACCAAGAAGAGTATCTGGAAGCTATGCTAACCAAATTCGGAATCTCGCACGCTCAGCACCATGCTAAGAAGATACCCGCTGCCGACTACTCATGTTTACGACCCGCTACTGAAGATGACGAACTGATTGATGTTACTGAATATCAACAAGCCATAGGTAGTCTTATTCACCCAATGGTATACACAAGACCAGACATCTCCTTCGTACTAGGCCGGCTATCACAGTACATGGCAAAGCCAGCAAAATGCCATGGGATAGGAGTAAAGAACCTAATGCGATACCTGAGAGCTACGATCACTCAGAAACTCAAATATGGACCTGAGGGAGTACAGTACCAAATCGCAAAGGAATACAACCTATCAGCAGATACTATAAAAGTCTTCACTGACGCAGATTGGGCAAGTGATCGATATGATCGGAAAAGTATTTCTGGGGGAGTTGCTATGTTTTATGGAGGACCGATATCGTGGGCTAGCAAGAAGCAGAATTCAGTAGCAACGTCAAGTGCTGAGTCCGAATACATATCAATGGCGATGTTCACCAAGCAAGGGAGATGGTTAGCTCAAATGCTCAAAGACCTTGGAAAGGCGGAATACGTATCTACACACGGAGACACTGTTCAGATACTAGGCGACAATCAAGGAGCAATAGCTCTAACCAAGAACCCGCACCTGCATGAGCGATCAAAGCATATTGATATATGCTACCACTTTATCAGGGATCTTACTGAAAAAGAAAAGGTAGTGACTAGCTATATCAATACGTCAGATATGGTAGCAGACGGGATGACCAAACCCCTAGCAAGAGTAGCATTCGAAAGGTTCAAAGAGATGTTAGGATTGAGACAATAGAGATGCGGAGGATTGGGGAGATCGAAGGTGGTAACTCCTATGGGGGAGTGTTAAAAGGAATAGAAGTTACCGGTACTAATCACGTGTCGTGATTAGTAATACGGTTACCTAAACAGGCTAGATTAGACGAACCATAAGCAGGCATATTGGTCCCCTCCGAGGATACCAAGAGGAGATCTTAATATGCCTACAGACGTAGTAATATAGTCAATATAGAGGCCTCTTCCACCCAATCTTTTAATAATTAGGGTAATATAAATAAGTGTATGGTTATTATAAAATGCTTTGATTGTTCAAGTGGGGTACTACAATGAAAGACTATGTGGTCGACCGTAGAAGTGGATGATCAATCACTATATCCTTAGATCAAGACACATCCTTATATCGAGACAAATCCTTATACCGAGACACATCCTTATATCGAGACAAATCCTTATACCGAGACACATCCTTATACTGAGACACATCTCAAGAAACATTTACAAACGCCTGGTGAGTAATTCTCTATCGATATCTGTACATGTTTGTTCGTCTAAAACCTTGTGACGTTTTCGGATGAGACATTGCGCCGAGTCCACCTCGTACATGTACTTCCAGTGACTGGTGCTTTATTCGAAGCTGAAACGAGCTAAACCATCGTTGACACACACCGTAGCTTAACCCAAGTGGGCATCCTCATTCACGCCCCTCATCCACACTTGATCCTGTCCCTCTCACTTGCAAAAGGACATCATGCTTCCGGGCGATGGGATATCTCCGTCTAGGTTAGGCAGTTTCAACACGCATATTTGATTAGTTTACGTGCATGCCAGTTTTACAGCACATTTCTGCTTGTCCGATATTACTTTCTCACATCCTGACATGCTGAACTAATCCGGTATATCCGTAGCCATATAAGTATTCTCAGGTGCGACAACATTTCGGTTGGGCATTTCCATTACATCTTTCAATATCTACAGCCCAGTCTGTACGCATTATCCGGACTACAAATTCACAACAGTCCACTTGATTCGCCATGCCGCTACGCATTGGCTCAATTGATGTATTACATACTTCTCTCCTACCCTTGGGATTGGAAAAAGCAAACTACGAAGGACCAAAGCCTGGTGTTACGACCTTGCCCAAAGGTTTCAAGAAATCCAGCGAGCATCGTGGTTTCAATGCTCCAACAATTTACGAGCGGGATGTTGCAATCCCACTGCGGGACGGAACGAATCTCATTGGCGACGTATTTCGTCCGGCTAATGTCACCGACAAAGTACCAATCATATTGGCCTACAGTCCATATGGGAAAACGGGACAAGGTACGTGGAACTTGAGGTCCATTACAGGGTTTTGATGGAGAGTGGGGGTATTAATGAATTGGGTAGGCTTCGCCGATATAGATATATCTCCCTATCACGCTGGTGTACCACCAAACACGTTGAGTGGTTTTCAGAGTTTTGAAGCCCCCGATCCGGCAGTGTGGACAGCCTTTGGATACGCCATTGTGAACGTTGACGCACGCGGCATATTTAAATCTGGAGGCGAACACAGGTAAGACTTCGCGTTTCTATTCCAGGTCTCTTTGTTGATCTTAAAAGGTGGTTTGGAACAGCCGAAGGCAGGGATGGTTACGACACAGTTGAGTATCTTAGCCAGCTGTCTTGGTGCAACGGGCGTGTAGCTTTGATGGGAAACTCTTGGCTAGCCGGCTGTCAATGGTTCATCGGGGCTGAACGGCCACCGCACTTGACTGCAATTATGCCGCTCGAGGGGGTAAGCGACTTGTATCGTGAGTCATTGTGCCGCGGTGGTGTACCCTGGAAACTGTTCTGGCAATGGTTAGGTTCTGAGACCTTCTTCGGTAAGCATCAATCAGAATTACAAGTATGGATGCTGTTAACAATTCATAGGCGAGAATGGTGGCGAGGATGTAATTGCCATGATTGATCAATACCCATTGATGAATGAGTACTGGGAAGACAAACGAGCAAAGTCACACCTGATACAGGTGCCTGCGTATGTGCTCGCCAGCATGTCTTCGAGTCTGCATACCGTGGGCTCTACCAGAAGTTACGAAGATATTCCGCACGCAAAGAAATGGTGAGCAATTTCATATCGCACCTATTTTCGGTAAGATTTTAAAATAGACCCTGTAGGCTCAGAATCCATCCGACACAAGAATGGTACGACTTATATCAAGAAGATTCCATTCTCGATTTCAAGAAGTTTCTAGATTTCTACATGAAGGATATCCAGAATGATTGGGAGCAAACGCCGAAAGTTCGGGTCTCAGTTCTACGTTACAATCAGGTAACCAGCCCAAGACTGTTAGTCAGAATGCGCTAACGTCCTAGGATCCCATTGTAAACGTCCCATTTTTTAGCTGGCCCGTGCCTGAAGCTGTGTACCGATCCCTCTACTTGCAAGACAAAGGCCAGCTTTCATCCAACACCACCGCAGCAGAACCGATCAGGACAGTGTCATACCAGTCTGACATCCCAGTTCTTGGAATGGACGCCGACTCAGAGGAGGCCGAGTTTAGAATCACTTTCCATGAGACAACGACACTCATTGGAGCCTCGAAGGCTATCCTTTACATGTCAAGTCTCGATAATGACGACATGGACGTTTTCGTGCAGATTCGAAAGACTGACAAAAGTGGCAAGGTTCTGCGTCACAGTAACCTCCCAATCGCAGAATTGTGTCAGCCAGCAGATCAAGATAAGGACCTTTTCAACGTATTACAATATACCGGTCCTACAGGCATCCTAAGAGCAAGCCATCGTGCGTTGGATCCTGTTCTTTCAAAGCCGCACTGGCCGGCTCACGATCACTCCCGTGAAGTGCGCATTGCCCCAGGTGAGATAGTCAAGATGGAGATTGGGTTGTGGGTCAGCGCAATGCAATTTGAAGCTGGAGAGCAATTAGTATTCAAGGTTGCTGGCCATCATATGCTCCTGGCAGAATTCGCTGATACTCGTGGAAAGTTCGCGAACCGTAACAAAGGTCGGCATGTGCTTCACTTTGGTGGTCAATACAATAGCCATATTGAAGTACCGCTCATTACTGGAGCTCTAGGTTAAATTCTGTCATCAGATACTTTCTTACTATGGTGTGGTGCTTGGAATTCAATCAATCTTCCCTAACATGATGCCTTTCTAACTGGCCTGTTTGTGACAATTAACAGCATAAAGGCTTGGCCACACGCAGTGACATAGAGAGAGGTCTTCAGCCAATGTAAACTATGAGAATGTGATGAAAAATAATGATAGCGTATGATCATGATCAGGGATTGGGCTCGTTCGATCCTAAGATCCGCCTCGCGAAGGTATTACAACATGATGTAAGAGGAAATCGTACATATTTCTAGCTACCTCGCGCGGGACCGAGTACTTATTACCACAATAGCTACTCTATCGACTGGCCAGAATTAATAAGAACCTCTTTAGTTGGCCTTTTACTAATATAAGTATAATAAACAAGGAATAAAACAGCTAGTAATAATAAAATGTAGTAAAAAGGAATATATATAGGGCGAGTTAAAAATTTTCTCTAGATTACGAAGAATTCGAGGAATGGCCAGGTGTGACTAACATATCATGCCATGATCAATCATATCAATGCCACCTGTGTTTGCCTTCTGATTGAGCATTCGGATTAGATAACGACCATCTTCGGACACTAGTCTCAAAACCTGCTGTATATACCACATATAAATATTCAATATTGTGGACGACAATATGGGCTGCAATTGGAGAGGAACGAGAAAAGTAGAATGGAGAATATTTTAGAGAATTTTTTATTGAATATAGAAGGATATTCTATAGAAATAATAATGAGATTATTGGTGAAGAATTTGCAAAACACGATTATTTACAACCCTAAGGCAAAGGTTCGATTCTGGTGTGATTCGTTGAAGATGGTAGGCTCTGGTGGGTAGATAGTCGATCAGCAGAAGGATTATTTTCTTTAATTCAGGAATGTATGAAACAAGACTAGTAGATTGCTTTCCGATTTATATCTAAGAGACTCCAACAGTCGAGTTTCTAATACATGAAATCCACGTTATCGGCCTCTCGTTTCTTAGTGCACGCCATCGATTACTTGATTGGATCAAATCATCACATCCTTCTAGTGACCAGCCCCATTTCCTTAGAAATCCGGGAGTGACTTCCCAACTTTCTACTCTCCATGGATCACCCCAGGTAATCAGACATCTACGCCCAGCTGTATAATCATCCTGATCTTCGAAATCCTCGATTCCAGAGCCGCCATTCCCTAGAGAAGACGGCACTGCTGATAAAACGTCACGCATATTTAGTGTACATTCATCAGCATCAGGTATTGGCGTAACATAATCTGGAAATATATCCCCAAAGAGGTCCCGGCACATTTCTTCAGGTACGAAATCCACACCTTTCTGGATGAGGTTGTCTCGAAACTTTGGGAAAGGAAACATATTAATCAAGCCCGTGTGAGCACAATTCATCTGTAATTGCGTCGGATATAGCGAATCAGGGATATCTTGACCAACAATGGGGCGGATGACTGTTAGGCCACCACAAACCTTAGTAGCGAACTGCTTGATAGATGCTGTGAGATTTGATGCCTCCAAAATCAGCGATGTTGTAAGTAGCAGAGACTTATTAGACATTAACGCCCGATAAGAATTGTGTTGAACAAGGTGGATGAGGTGATCAGAGGAAATGGTGGGCATTGCCGATGCGTTGATTTCGGAATCGAGGCTGATGTTGTTTGTAGAAGAGATCGTTGTTGATGCCTCTGATTGTGGCGAAAATGAGACTAAAGCTTGTGTCTCCGCAGAGCTTCTATGTGACGGCGAAAAAGAATTTTCGCCCGATGAATGGTCTGGTGTCACGATTATGTGACATTGTGCTGGGGAAGATTGAAGCCTCATCTCATGCCTTCTTCTAAATTTCATAACCCAGCCAGTAGAGAATTTTGGCGTCGCTAGACCTTGCGACTCGTCTGATTGATCCCATAGCTGCTTGGCTTTACGTCCGATGATTTTGTTTGAGACTTTACCGGACTGAGCCTCCACTTCTTGAAGCCAATCTGTGAGCAAAGTCTCTATCCAAGGCCATTGGCAATTTCGTGTTCGATATCCAAAGTCTGCCGCAACACAGACATCAAGATAAGCGAAGCTGTCGCTGAGGCTCCGACTGACAATGGATTGACTAATATCGTAGCCGAATCGAGACTTAAACCATGCTCTCAAATCAGATTGAGAAGGCTTCGGATTCATTGTCTGGTAGTATCGGCGCAGTGCGATGCGTTGTGAGTGGGAGATTGGGGTCCGAGAAACAACCATGGTTTTTATTGGCTCGTCTATTGCTGAATTGAAGTGTCAAGGATGAAGCGGGAGGATGACCCACTTCGTAGAGGAATAGGTGAATGTTGTAGGGACTTCGGAGAAAGAACTTTTATCCCACGAAAGTGAAAGGGGAGTACGAGGAGAGTCTCAAGGTCCTGTTGTTTCTACCAATGGGGCGTGCTGACCTGATTGTGCGATGGCATCACATTGAGGTGCAGTAGTACGATGCAGGTTGTGAAGATCAAAAAAATGTGGGAATGAATATCCTTATAACGAGTTTGGAACACGTGAAGTAGCGTGAAGCAAGCTGGGTTAGAGTTTAATCGATCAAGACTGGGCATGATATCCTTAAAGACTGCCAAGTTTTAGGCAAACGAAGGGAGGGATTAATAATCGTTATAAGTTTAGAGTTTTTAAGTTGCTCACTATGCGAATGTTTGTGATAACAATACTGCCGACTCGGACTTTCGGTAACAAACAAAATGGTACATAGCCTTTGCGTCTTTCCGCAACGCCAATAAGATAAGAATAATTAAACGCTATGGTATATCCCTATATCGAAATATCTACTCTAAGATTAGCTTGCAGTGGCTCAAGCGTACCAAAATCTCATAATGAAATTTAGATGATTCAAGCATTGTAAATTTCAAGATTTGTCAACAAAAATCATTAAACTTTTATTCAAAATTCCATTCATAAGAGGGGATCAGTTTAATATACATTCGAGTTCTTCAAAGCAGCATGAAAGACAGGAAAAACAACAATATGTAGGTAAAAAATATTTTTTATGTACAATACTTATTATAGGTCGTTCGGTGGCTAGTTTACAAAATTCTATAAGCTGCCTCTCTGTTACGAGGTTTGCCGTCTAGATCACGTGGAAGTGCTCTAGGCTCTCGAGGTGGTTTATAACTAGGCGTCAAGCAGGGACTTAAAGTAATGACAATGATGATATGGAATTCGTAACTAATAGTAGAGTATACTAAATGATTGATCTTGAGCACGAAGCTCTACACAAAGGAAACCATCCTGATTATATAGACCTTCGTCCTCCATTGGATCTCTTGGATCCTGAGAGTTTGTGGACCTTCGATTCGTATGGACCTACGATTTGTATCCCTGAATATGCAGGGTCCATCACGTGACTTTGATCAGACTATATGTCCAAGCTTGCTGAGGGTGGGGAGATCCTACGAACCGATTACCATACAATTTTGTATGTGAATCGGTTTGCTTTTCCACGGGGTCTGAGCTCATATGGACAGGTTGACTGTCATTACGTAACACTCAACTTGCTCTTTTAATTCCATCAAGCAATCTCGTTTCCAAAACACTCCTTATTCAACCCATCTACCTACACCCAACTCAACTTCAACCCGTTCATTCCATTTCTTAACAGTATCGCCCAATCGAAACCATATCTCTTCCACCTCCATGTGAACCTCTTGCCACTTCGGATGCTCATCAATGTTTTGTTTTAACAATGGTCTCTGAAAGCCAAATAAAATCAGCGCTTGTTTGGTATGTTTCTGCTCTAGGTTCTTTACCAATAGCATAATTACTTTCTCTGTGATGCAGCCACTGAGTAATAAACTAACTGTTTTTTCTATAATGAGGGAAATTTACATTTATATTAGGAGATTGAAGAATATGAAAAGACTGATCCTATTCAAGAGACTGATCTTTAGTAAAAGACTTATTATAGGAAAAATTGAAAGGAGTAATTTACAAGTGTTGGGGAATATACTATTTTGGACGTTTCCTGTTTTGTCAAGGCCAATTAGGACCTTCCTCACTCTATTCTAAATTTGGATGCTGTTCCAATAGCAAAGATCAGCTTATATAATTCTAGCAAGGGTCTATTGAGGACCTTCGGCCTTGGAAAAAAAGATGAAGGTGTATGAACGGCTTGTATAGTTGCATTTCCCTTTTCCTTAAATATGATTATAATACCCAAAAGCACTATCCCAGTACAGAACTCTGTCTGGACAAAACCTTCCTATAGTCTAGGATAAATAAGTATACCAGAACAAATCCAAGCCTAGGTAGCCACCTAGTAGAATAATCATCCACAAGCTGAAATATGCACAACCATCATTTATGTATAGCACTAATGGGATGCTATCAATAGTGGGGTTATGGTTCAATACGGGCTGGGTTAGGTGAGTTTCGCCAATGTTCTCCACTTTATATTACGTCAGTCTTTCATTTGGCAAATGAACGCTTTCCAAAGTGGATCAAGCTTGGAAGAAGGTTCTTGATAAGACGAGATCTGATATGTTGTAGCCGCTATGAGAACGGCTGCGGCTTGGCAGATTCTCGTATTATGTAATCTTTCCCATTAAGGGAAAGAGTTAGCATCCTGCTTTATAAGATCACGGCAGCTACGGAAATGCGCCTAGGAATCACTACAATCTTTAGATATAGTTATATGTACATAGCTATTCATAGCCCAGGAGTAACTCCCTGGCGGCCTTTGCCCCAATAGGGGATGTCATGAGAATGGAGGGGCTTCGCCCCCGCTGCCTCTGGCCGTTAAATAATAACACACACACACATAATAATCGTATGGCGATATAGCTATAATAGGAAATCGAATTTGGAAAGATGATATCATAGCCTGATCAGAGTGACGGAAGGTAGTGATAGTTTCGAGTTGCGAAGAATTAATCCAAAACAGTAACAAATGGTATTCTTGGGAATGACAGAGCAATATGTAATATTATAATATAATATATTCAATTACAAATGTCTTTAATATTAAATTTAGTTTCACTTTCTCTATCTCGACTTGTCACACTCAAGAATACTGAGTAAAGTATCTTGTATTAGAAAATACTAAGCTAAGGAGAAAAGAAGAAGGAAAACAAGAGAAGAGAGTTTTCCTGTGATTAAATACAAAAGGGCATGCCACGTGATCCGGAGGTGTGAGGCGTCACACCCACAACAAACATCAAAGCATCAGCATCCAAAACATATAACGTTACCAAGACCTAGACCTCCTCTGAATCTCCCTCACAGCATCATCCACCCCCCTCACCACAACATGCGGCTCCCCACCCACCAACCCACCCCGCCCCCCTCCTATCCACCCAACAAGTTTGCCAACCCACTGCTCTCGCCCCCACAACATCAAACGCATTCCCACTCACAAGCCACACTCCCTCCCAATCCCTGGTGTCCTCTCCACAAACACCCCCTCTCACCTTCCCAACAAAATGCTCATAAACCCTCGGATGGGGTTTATAGCAGCCCACCTCCTCCACCGTAACCAGCTCTTTAAAAACCTGCTTGTATCCCGCAAGCTCGGGTGATTGATTAATAGATTCATAGACCATTTCATACGTACCGTTTGAGAATATATATGGGATAATCTGAGGATCTGTTACCAGATTATCAAGACCTGATTTTACGTCGGGGAAAAGGGTGAGGGAATTGTAGGAGTGCATTATGTGGTTGATGGCTGCTTCTGGGAGGGAGAGTTTGTGTTCGGTTAAGGCGTGGTGGAGTGATGTACGGGTTATTTCTGAGAAGGGTTTGTAGAGTGCTGGGGGTTTGTGAGTTTGATATCTAGGTATTGTTTGGAAGTCTTGAGGGGGAGGGGGTTGATGTTGATGATATTTGGGAGGTTTGTAGGGAGAGGATTGAGAGTGGGAGTGGGACAATTTACTCATGCTGTTCATTCGGAATGTGTATTCTAATTGCTAGAGAAGAAGTAAGAGTTCTTAGAATCCTGTGGATACTGACTGCAAAAGAAGCTATCTAACATACATATCTTCTCCATAACTCAGCAATAGACTGCGCTTTCTCATCGCCAAAATGCAGAGATAATTCTTGAGCGACACTGGAGGTGGAGAGGAGTGTACTGTAGAGATCAAATGCGATGATTGTCTTTTTATCAGACATGACTTGGTGTACTTGTGATTATATTATTGAATATATTATTGAATTGAGAGTTTAAAGAATTCTATGGAATTTTAATATCTTCGCGGAATTGATGAAAATACCTATCTAGTACTCGAGTATATATAAGTTTGTCATATGAGCAGTGAAGTAATACCTAGTAACGTTGTGTATGACGTCTGATATATAATTATATACTGAATGGAATACAAGTGCGGGGTAAAAAATTTCCATCAGGTTACCGAAATCTAAAAAACAAATCCAGGAAAAGCAAAAGACATACAACAGCAGGGATTCGCTGGTGGTCACCCACCCAACTACTAATCTACCGATCTGAGGCTTGTGTATGGCAGAGCGGACGGGATGCCCAATTCTCCTCAGTCTGTGGTCGTATGTGACAGGCCGCATTCTAAAATGATATAAGTTAGAGATTGAGTAACCTTTATGTTTCCGTCAACTCCATCCATTCCATCTAGCCCTCAAACCCCTCACCTACAACGTACTATACTTATACTATAACCACCTACCTACCTACCTACCTACACTTCCACCTAACCCTGCCCACCCACTCCACAAACCTCGCCACATCCTCCCTCTCCCTAAGCAACTCCACCGTATAAAACTCCCTCGCCAACTCCTCATGCCCCGCAACGCGATGTACAAAACTATGACATGCGCGACATATCCATGCTACGTTATTTAATTCTTCCTCGGTATGCCAGCCCCGTTTAAGGACCTTTGCATGGACGAATTTGGGGATGAGGTGGTGGTATGTTAGGGGGATCCAGTCGCGGTTGCAGAGTTCGCAGGCCCGAATTATGGGTTTGGGTTTGGGGGTGTGTGTTGGAGGGGATGGGGTGAGGAGGTGCGTGGTGTAGGTTTCGAGGATTGTGTGCAGGAATTCGGGGAGTGGGGTATATGCTGGGAGGAGGGAGTAGGTTTGGAGGGAGTCGGGGATGCTAGGGGGAAGTGCTTCGCTTATTGTGGTTGAGGTTTCGAGATCGAGGGGGTGGAGATTAGGGTAGATTTTTTGGAGGATTGGATTGCTGGTGTAGGTTTTGTGGGATAATGTTCTGAGTTCGTGTGGGAGATGGGTGAATATTTCGAGGGCGATGTACTAATTTTTGTGTGTAAGTTTTTCGTATTATCTGTCTTTCCGTAGGTAGACAATAAATGGATTTATTAAAAAATAACAAGGAAGATCTAACTTACTTCAATAAAATCGGCGAGCTCGGCTGCATCATTAATCTTCGCTTCATCTATGTTTATATCTTTTGATATAGGTTTAATAGTTCCTTTTCTCCCAGCCTTTGCTTTCCCTCTCGTTTTTCGTTTGGAGGTTTTAGGGTTTGAGACAGATGTGCATTGTTCGATTAGAGGGGTTGATAAACAATCGAGGAAGATGCGAAAATTGGTTTCTTCTTCGTTGGTGAGCATGAGGTGAAATGAGTGATTCGCGAGAGGGGAATTGAGATGGTGATGGGTAGTTATTCGTTAATTTTGGTTATTGGTTATTTGAGATTTTGATTATATGTATTTTAAATTTTTATATAAATGTAGACAAATAATTGTGAGGCTATGAGAAGTTACGGACGCCACTATCGTCGAAGAGTCATGACGGTGAGATGCAGAGGTGGAGTCGCCAAGTAAGATCTTAGGTTACCCAGTTAGTATTTCTAAGTGATTGTCTGCTTTCTCATAAAAACTTCTTCAATTCCCCTCCTTTTCGTCTATCTAAGCCTTGCCCAAAACCACTTGCCCAGAAATCACAAATCTATATTCTTAACAATCCAAGCAAAGTACATTTAGTGCCTTTCAAACTGAGCTCTTCGCTTTGTTTTATAATCGACAGACAGGTCTGCACCTTCCCGCTATCAATCGATTATACCCCTTCTTCGCGTTCCCTCCCGCATCGCATGATGAATATATTCTGCTGAGTATATATACACAAATTAATGGATATGGAAAAGAAGCAGGTTATAATGTAGCGTAGTTTGCTTGTACTGTTATCGGGATTGTGCATTGTGAGAGATGGTATAAAGATGGGAAATGTGTATCATCTACTCTTGAATGAGTGAGATGAGTTTAACTTATGTTGGAGATAGAAATGGGAGGAGTATATAGTGCGAAATAAAACAAAGGGAGGAAAAAGATATTCACTTGATAACAAGCGCGGAGAAAATAGGTAGGTATTCATTAAATGATATTATGTAACTTATATCAGATTGCAGTGGTGTATTGATCAATAATACGCGGTACAGTCGAGGTTTTAGTATAGGGAAGGCAGACAAGATAAGGTAATGGTTTGTCTAAATTCAGTAAGGAGTGCGCTGAGCTAGGTACAAGTTCCATCCATTAATCATCTGAAGTATCATGATAACCTTACTCTCCCCGCTGTTGCATGCAGATCCAGCACACTCACCGATTCTTCCCCTGGACACTACTTCCGCAACGTGGAGAATGGCTCGAGAAGTGGGTGATGGTGTGGCTGAACACCGTGCTTGGATTAGTGTTTGATTGGCCCGATATCACCTGATGAGAATTCCTCATATTGTTGCATATCTGGATTTTTGTTCTTATTGAACATGACATGTCCATCAAGCCTCATGTTCAACAAGCTCATGTTCGTCGTTCAAGGGGCATTAGTCTAATGACAAATAAGAAGCTTGATTTTCTCAAGGTCAAGCGTCTATAGGTGCTCCATGAGAATACTGTCAATTCTGCGGGGTACATAGATAGATCTATTGTCGCACTACTTCTGGCCGAGTGATAAGTACATGCTTGGCACTTTTCCTACAACCCTTGCTGCAGCAAAATCATTGAATTTATTCACAGCTGAAAATCGTCAATAGTCTGCTGTCCCGCATCCTATCCCGTCTTGACACCTGACATTCCAAGTACTAGCGTACCCAATCAGAAACCTCTCCAGACCCTGCAGCGCTTAAGCGCAAGACATACTAGAGCTAAGCGAAATATACAACTTACTATTAGAGGCCCCCATGTTCTGCAGCCGCAATATGTGGTCGTTCATACACTGTGATTAGAATGTGATGTGAAAGGATGAGGTGTGATTAAGGTAGCTGTAGCTAGGACCAACTCAGATCCGGATGCATGTAAGACATGTTATAGAGATCTGGATGAAGATCTAGTTTTGAGACACACGCTACATTAGGCGCGACTTGTTGTCATTAAGGCACGTGGAGATGCAGATCTGAGAAGTGCCAATGGGAGGAGTCCGGAGACTGGTGTCGGGACCCTTCGAATAAGCGGAAAGGCTGAAGGACCGTCGAAAATTCCCAATGTGGAAGTGAATATGACAAAACTCCCGGCGCGATATCAGGACGAAGTATGAGTATGGCATCTCTTTTTGGTAAAGCATTTTGCATTTATGTCCTGCAAACAGAAAAGACCATCACCAGGCAAACTAGGCAAACCAGCCTAACTGTTGCTAGTGATGATGAACGAGACAACATGGTCCAGAAAAGTCCATACATTTTCAGCGCAACATGTATAGTGAATCAATAGCGGAGACCCACCATCGACAACAATTAGAGCACACACGGTGAAGATACAGAGCCACCAAGTCGAAAGAAATAAGGTGTTCTCTGCTACAGACTCAAGTATAAAGAGATGCCATTCGACCTTGGAAAACAACATCTCATCATCAGCTTCTCAATCAACATTCTAATCACTCCAGCATCTAATTCTAATATACCTTTGTGCTTCCAGCATCTACTTCATCAAATCATCATGCAATTCTCCAAGCTTTTCATGGCCGCTATGGTTGGCGTTGCATCGGCCGCTCCTACAGTCATTGAACAAAGAGCAATGACTTCCGCCACCGTCGTCAGCGCCATCAAAAACATTACAATCCTCAGCGGAAACCTTGAGGTCACTGTTCAAGGACTCAACTTAAGTCCAATCTCTATTCTCGACCCATCTACCTTTACAGTATGTGACTGCTCTTCTTCAATGTTAAAAGCAAGACTAACACCTCAAAGCCCATCGTCCTTGGTTTCAATGGTATCATCGCCAGTGTACAAGCGGACATTTCAGCTATGGCATCAAACCCGTAAGAGCTTCTCATATACGGAAAGCCTCAGAGCACAGCCAGATCTAACTTGCAACCAGAATCGGAACCCTTACTGTCAGCGGTCAAACAGATGTCTGCAATGCATTCAGAGATGTAGGTCGCCTTCCTCATTCAATCATAGGATGCAAAGCTAATGAACCCCCAAGTTTGTTAAGGTTCACCAGGATCTTCTATCTGTCCTCATTGGCAAGGCCGGATTGTTGCAATCACTTGGCGGCGCACCCGTTGCGGCAGTTCTTCGCACTCTCGAGGGAGTCGTCGATACCATTGCTTTTGGAATCATCAACGCTGTCCCAACTTGCGACACCGGTGCAAAAGCTCAGGCAGCGAGCCTGAAACAGACGATCGAGAAAGCTGAATGCGCCTACACACCTGCAGGAATACTTGGTATTAGCCTCACCTGCCAGATCCTCCTTGGTCTCAGTTCCTCCTAATCGCATCGCGGTGATTGAATGGATTGAGAATGCTGGACAACACACACAGGACTCTTGATGATAACGACGACGATATGCCGACTCGGTCTCTTGGAATATTGGCCAAATGTACAGATACTCCGGACTACCGGAGAATCTACGAAACCCCCCCTTACGGATACGATTGATTTTGGTGATGATTTTCGAAACTCTCTTTACGGATACGATTGATTTTGGTGACGATTTTAGTGATGATTTTGGTGATGATTTTAGCTAGTTAGATAATGCCCTTAATAAAACCTAGAATTGTTATTCTGCAACTCATGAGTCGTGATTGAAGCTGGAAGCAGTTCAGTGATATAAAGCCCAAATTTTTCTTTCTAATGAAAACCTGCTTCGAGACTAACGAGTACAGAGAAACGAAGTGGAATATTAGGGGGTGACTGAAGGTATAAGGACACTAACTGGTTAGTACTAGCGGCAGCCAAGGAGCCGGATTTCATCCCAGAAGATCGAATAAAGTGCTCCTTTTTCATACCTAAATATATAGTTGTAGATAAAAGTTAGATCGGCTAATAAAGGAGGTTGCTGGTCGCTGTAAAGCGATAAAATGAAGTGCGAGCGCTTATTTAGTAAAGTGCATTTCGGTAAGGTTAAGGTTAATTAAGGTTACCTAGTGTGTGCCATTTCGTAATGGTGATCCAAGCTCTCGATCAATTCTTCGAACAATGAATCGTCAAGGGTATCCCACGCTGTTTGTAAACAAGACTCTAACCTCTGCCGGGTATACTATGTTTGGCTCTTGTCGCTGGCTTCCCTTGCGAATTTCGTACAGTCGTACTTTTAGCTGCCACCAGATACGCAGCTGAACGAATTAGTTACTTTAAGCACTGGTTTTTTTTTTTTACTTTGTGAGTTATATCTAGAGCGATGCTGCGATCTACAACTATGTTTAGCTCAAGAAAGATACTTAGATGTCCCATATTTACACTTAAAGCCCTGGTAAAACTTCGTCAAGTCGTCTTTCTGATGGATTGTTGATTCCTTCTGATATACTCAAGTTGTTATATCGATCTCTCGTATCTTGTTCAATATCGTCAAAATCGAAGATTGATTCCGTGCACAGTCTTAATGTGATTCTTAAAGTGCTGCAAGTGTTTGAAAACAAGATTTTCAGATGGACAAATAAGATAAGTATAGGATAGTTTTTAGAATTTTGAGATATCTTTCAAATGACTATTTATATAATTCATTATTTATAAAAAATGATATAAATCCGTATTTGATATTTCGAAGTATTTTCATCATCTTTAATATATATAATGTTAAAAGGAATGACCTTACACAGGGAATAGTGGGAAGCTGATAGGGCAGAACTGTTACGACGGCGTAACATAACGTAAGTCATGGCGTAATGCGTCTAATGGCGTAATGCGTCTAATTGTGGGGGACCACCCCATCAAAAAAGCAACAATTCAACAATGGTCCGTCGAAAAAGTTTAAAAGTGCAGGAAATGGAATCTCGACTTGCTGAAGCAGTATTAGGAGTTCAAAATGGAAAGTATAAGTCTTCATATGAAGCTGCAAAAGAACTGGGGCTTTCTAAAGATACTGTAACGCGACACATCAAAGGGGGTTCATCACGTTCTAAAGCACATCAATCGCAACAGAAACTTTCTGCTATATAAGAGAATGTACTTCTTAAATGAATAAAACAATTGACAATTAGTAGTTATTCACTAAGCCATCAGTTGTTAAAAGAATTGGTTGAGGAGTTACGTTCAAAACAGACTTATAATTTGGATTGCCCCTCATTTGACTCCCTTGAACTCCCATCACAACACCTTCTTAATCATGAATAGGTTCCACGATTTATCAAACGACATCCTCATCTTACAGTTGTTATTGGCTATCGAATTGAATCTGTAAGAATGGATAGTGCAACCAGGGAAACATGTAGTACTTGGTTTGATGCGTATCAAAAAGCGATTTAGGATTATGGAATTGAGAAGAAAGACGAATACAATATGGATGAATCTGGACATTCAATTGGGACAATGGAATCAATCCGAATTATTATCGATTCTACACTTCGTACAAAACATCAAGCACATCCAGACCGTCAAGAGTGGATTTCAATAATAGAGTGTATTTGTACGGATAGATCCATTCTTCCACCACTCGGGATTTTTAAAAGTAAAAACGTCCTTCAAAATTGGATTCCGAAGGAAGTTCTTGGTAGCTGGTTCTTTTCAGCAAATACAAAGGGCTGGACAAGCAATCTTCATGGATTAGAATGGCTAAAACGCGTTTTCGAACCTGTAACTCGTACAAAAGCAGATGGCAAATATCGGCTTCTCATCTATAATGGCTACGATTCTCATATTAGTGGAAGCTTTATAGCTCACTGCCTTCAAAATCGAATTATACTTCTTATACTTCCTCCTCATACCTCGCATTTGTTTCAGCCACTTGATGTTGCGGTTTTCGGTCCATTGAAAAAACGGCTCACCACAGCACTTTCTGATTTGAATCAAGCTCAACTTGTACGAATACAAAAGATTGAATGGATGGAGGTATATATTAAAGCTCGAGCCGATGTATACCATCATCAAAATATCGAATCGGCATGGCGGGGAGCTAGGTTACATCCATTTAATCCACAGAGAGTGTTCCATACACTGGGTCGAGAGTTTACCCCCAAAGTCGAAATATCCAAAGAACCAATCCAATTTGATATTTTTAATCAAGTCTTCGTCAATAGCTCACCCCTGGATGTAGCAATCTTACAAACAGCAAATAACCTTTTAAATTCAACAATTGAAAATGATACAACTCTTTCAACCCCGGTTCGTCAATACATTCGAAAATTGATGATTGGGAGTGAGCAACTTCGAGCTCAAAGTATTGTTCACCAATACGATGCGAATAATTTACGAGCTATTATGAAGAAATGTACGATATGTAAGAAAGGAAAGAGACTAGTTTTGAAGGGTCATTTTTATATTTCTATACAAGAATTATATGATGTAGTAATAGAAGCCGAAAAAGCTACTAAAGTACAGACAATGAAAAAAGGAAAAGGGAAAGGGAAAGTAATTGAATATAAGACTGAAACTGAAGAGGATATTGGAGAAGAAGTTGAAGATGAATCTGAAAGTGATATTGGAGATTGTATTATAGTTGATTGTTGAGTAATTGAGATTTTAATAGAGTGGTTCCCCGCAATTAGACGCATTACGCCATTAGACGCATTACGCCATGACTTACGTTAACCCGCATCAAGTATTTTGATTTGATTGATTGATTGATTGATTGTGTTTATCGTCATAGGCCGTAGGCCCACGCGCCTTGGCGCGTGATAACCTTAGCCATCTATTCCAGATTTGGACAAATGACGCTCAGAGGAGTATGCCTTTGAGTAGTGTACTAGCTAGCTAGGGAGGGTATTTGTATACAATTTAAGGGGCTAGGGCAGGGTTTACATGATTGCCTTCGCGACAGGTTGAAGCCAATGGCTTAGAGGTTATTATTGTGGTCATCCTCGTCCACTAGATCACTGGCTCTTGATCTCTCTCCCTTCCCCTCATGCTATTAAAACATTGTACTCGAAAACCCTTCATCCCTGATCCCCTTCCCGATACCACCAATCTAATTGCTCCTTATATACCAGAACGTACTGTAATCGCCCACCGTCAGGATTGCCTCGTCATCATTCTGATCATCCTGCCAATAGAAAGCTTATGAAGGAGCACCAATCCTCATATGGCGTAACTATAGCATGCACAGGTAGTGGCTTGTACGGGTGTCCCAGTTCCGTAAGTAGCATACCTCCGCTGAATGAGAGCAGAGTAAGTTTCGTCATCAGCTCAGGTCCTTCAACAGTACTCCTCCGGTGTTCCCGTGTGGAAGGTATATAAATTGTTGCCGTTTCGGTCGTGTCGATCATGGGAGGTATACGATATACAACATATACGCGTCAAAGATGTCGAGCTGTACTCTATGTTCCAGAGGAGCCTCACTCTTAAAAAGTGAGATGATTTCGTAGCGTATTGTCGTAGATGATGGTGTTGCCCTCTGTTTCGTAATAAAGGTAGTGTTGTAGAGAGCGCACCGATAATGCGACTGTCAAAAAACCGCAAACGGGTAAAAACGTCGTGATCGGGCGCCTCTTCCTCTTCCAATTACCACGACTCCATCAAATGACTCAAACTTAGCTCTGCAGACTCTCATAAGAGAGCTGGAGGTTCGTAGGATGCACCGCGTACAGGTGTTGAGTCTTCGCATCCCAACAAGACTAGAGAGTTTTCCTTTGATTAAATACAAACGAGGCATGCCACGTGACCCGGAGGTGGGAGGCGTCACAGAGAACGTCTGAAATGGCAGTGGTATGTCAAGATTACCCAATTAAACAAGGTCTGATATTACCGAAATCCTTTATATATTTCACCCCTATCAGAATTGGGGACTTGGAACTTTTTCTCCTTTGTAATAGTCGGCTACTTGAAAGGCCGACTACTTCGTTGTTAGGGAAAGCGAATCTCCCCGTTTCAATCTTATAATATCAAATACAAGGTTTTGATATTGAAAAGCGAGGGGGACAATTCGCTTTCTGATAATATTCAGTTTCTCCTAAATTATTAATTTACAGACTGCAAACTACTCAGTCTGAATTTTCAAAGGTTATAGGGCTTTCGGGCATCTTCAAACTGTTACCAGAAATGGTTTGAGTTAAAGATGGAGTGCTTGGCGTTCCATCCAAAAGCGGGGTAGGTCGTATGATCACGGTTTTGATATCTTGGCATCTGGTTTTACTTCAGCCGATAAATATTAAGCTCGCTCTGATAGCTTCACTAATTGGCCAGATTATTGTAGCTAAAGAATTCTATACCGCATCTATTGTTACGACGGCGTAACATAACCCGCATCAGGTGACCAATTAGTTAACAGGATCATGTGACAAGTGTCATCTGATCCGAAAGCCGACCGACTTCGTAGGAATCGATCGGCCCTGAGAATCGACCGGCCCTTCAAGAGTCGATCGACTTTTAGAACACGAAGGTCTATATAATTAAGATGGATTTCCTTTGTATAGAGCTTCGTGCTCAAGATCAATCATTTAGTATACTCTACTATTAGTTATGAATTGCAACCATTGATATTACCTTAAGCCCCTGCTTGACGCCTAGTTATAAACCCTTCGAGGATCCAGGCCACTTCCACGTGATCTAGATCGCAAACCTCGTAACATCTATCAACACTATATTTTATCATAGATATAAAATGTCTTTCAACTTTTGGTCTTGAGGAGAGAACCTCGAATGCTTTAAGGGAAATGCTTTGAAGATTTCAAGAGCCTAAGGAAAAGCAAATGCTCTGCGAAAGTATTAGAAGAGACACAATGCTTTTGCATATGGGAGTTTATGAATTTGATACAAAGCGTGGTTCTGATTACACTGATTGTGGATTTATTACTTATGACCTGAAGATTTACCTATGAATGGTGATTTTGGTGTTGATACAAACTTATAATTTCTGAATAACCTATAGCCTAAATGTATAACATACGATTAATATCATGTGCCCAATTATTATCGTAACACAACATTATAGTTCTACCCATACATACGTAGTACAGTGAATCATGGCTTAAAATATGACTTTGTTTACGAGGCTTTCATCAATTCATAACAATCACTCCCGCTCCCCCGCTATCAAATTTCTCGCTTTCCTCAGCTTACAATCTCAACTCCCTCAATCTCTTTACCCTTCTCCCAACCTTTTTAATCACAATTCAGAACCAAGCTTCAAAGATTTATATTACACTTTCCTCATTGTACACAAAGTTCATCATCCTTCGCTTGTTGAACTCGGCATTTTCACATCATATCAAGCATCTGTTTATACTTCGAGCTTCGAGACTTTATCATTGACTTAATATCAATAAGAAGATTACCCGAAGTAATGTATGATCATTTGTGAATACCTATCAATCTAGCTAACTAACAGCTGTAGCAAGCGGATTTAACCTAGCAGACCCTCTAGTATTCTTGCAATCGTGCATCTATCCTTATATCGAGCAAAGAATAGTATAAAATTTGAGAAATTCGCGACAGATTCTTCAATCAAAATCATCAGTTCTTGATACAATGCCTGAGGTGGGTTGCTTGAGTCATCCAGATTTTTGCGCATTCTAAGAAAGACATCACAGGCCGAACAAACCACGAACGGGGATTACGAGTATATCCCAGGTAATCACACTTTTGAGGCAGTCGACTATTTCCGGGTTATATCATGGACAAAAGGAGATGGCAAAATAGTTATAAGGGGCAAGAAGACGATGACAAGAACTATCTTGACAGATTCAAGCGAAGCGAACCTTACTCTTGATGCATGGGACAATATAGAGGTAGAAAACACAAATTTCAGATTGGTAAGAGCCGGTGCCAACTGAGACGACTAAGAACTCATAAACACATGTACAAAAATTTCATAGGCCAGCAAATAATTCAACGTTATTGCCACCTCACAATCACTTTCATGATGATCATCATCCTCGAAAGACACAGTGACAGCGCTCTTGAACCCTGGTATTCCCTCCCGCTTCGCTTGGAACATCGTCTTGCTATCATTCATAGCTTTGAAAATAAAAGCACCGAGCAGTTTGTGCAAATCTTGTGCCACATTTATTACTTGCAAAACCGTTTTTCCGAACGATTTAGAGAGCGTGACCTTCAAGGTAAAGTCCTTGCCTTCGATAATAGGAACGAACAAGCTCACAGTTTTGGAAAATCTGAGAATCGAACCTGCTTTTTCCTTTTTTCTTATTCTGGATTCATCTATACCTTCCAAAAGGCGGGTTCCAAGGTAATACTTTAGCTTGTCCATCTCAGGGTATTTCCCTTCCTTCGCGTCATAAGTCTGTCGCTCGTCGATATTATGTTTCATGCTATAGATAGGGCCGAAAATCACACTTTCTCGGTTATCTGAAATTCCCTTTGATAGTTGAAAGGGGTTTGAATCAATTCCAGAAATTGATGAACAAGTATCTTTAGTTGACGGCCATTGCTTTTCTAGCGTAGACTCTACACTATAGTCTTCTCCGTTCAACTTTGTCTTCAATACACAGGATATACTGGAAGCAGGTAGTGTTACCGCGGCCTCATCTTGGAATTGATCGATTACAGGATAGTGGATTTGATCTGCGAAGTTTGCAATATGATTCGGGAAATCCGCGGCGTTCGGCTGGGCTTTGACACCATCTCCCTTATCATACACAAAATTCATTGTAGTTAGATTCTTGTTCCTCTTATTTGTCCCGTTCAAATGGTGATCTGACTTCCGTTTTGGAGACAATATGGATCGGGAATTTGGCACCACTGAAATGTTAGCGAATGTTTCGCACGTCTTTTTTTCACTTACAATTTTGAATGCTGCTGTTTATTCTCTCGGCAATTTTCTCGTACAGTTTTCCCATAGGAATTGTATCTTTTTCTTTCAAATGTTCCATCACAATCTCGAAATGTGGACCTTCTAATGGTAACCATCCTTCCCAGCTATACAATGATCAGAGTTGTCTTCCAAACCTGGATAGGATTGGTATACTCACATTTTTCTTGCGACAGAGTTTCCGAGGAGAAACAAGCTTCCAAAACCTAACACTTGTGCTATGAGTTTGTATCTCACGCCTGCATCGAGAAGGACCGAAATCTTAGTTTCAAGCTCTGTTCTGTTTATTGTGGTATTTTTTATTATGTTCGAAGGCATCATATGTGCGAGAACACCCGCTTGATAATGTTGCTCATGAAATTCCCGATAGGAAAGCAGTGCAAAGCAAAGAAGTCGCCGTAAAATTCCTTTGTGGATATTATCGGCATTTTTGTTTTCAAGCTGCAGACAGATGAGAATGATTGCTGATTGCGGGTCTACTTCTTGATAACATATAAGTGTTTGAGGAATTTGCAATAACCGTCGTATTTTCGCTTCCCAAGCATCGAAGTCAAAGTGGAGGAGAGTTTCCATATGATATTCATTAGGATCGTATTCGCGAATGTCTCTTAAACATTGATGCGATGTCAATTCGGTATTCTCACACATGTTGTTGATGAATCAGAAAACGAAAATGGAGAAAAGTAGACGGATGTGAGAAATGAGTTGGTAATTGTTGATCCCTAGTGAACTATGCCAGAGTTAAGCACGAAGCTTCTGCTTATGAAGAAAATATAATACTGTATAACCTTGTCGCCCCGCTTTGACCTAATCAACAAGCAGACTTGATAGACTCATATAAAACTCTGTATTTACAGGGATATATCCTTTAAGTATACATCTAACATAGTACAACCACTCTGCTATGTTGTTACGTCATCTAGCTTCTTAGACAATTAAGACCCCCTTCTTTTGGCAGCTGCGGAATAAACGTTTTTACCTGACAACCCATGAATCTCCTACATTTCAACATCATATGGACGATCTCGTCTGATATATCAGGGGATATCAGACTACGTTGATTATGCTTATCCAATCAATCTGGCTGAAATTACACTTTTTGTCGGCGATCATTGTCGATAAGTAAGTATCTGTTAGCGCGGTATAAACTTATACTCAACCCGGTCCGATCCATCAATTCTGGAAACTTGGGTCGCGCTTCCGTAAGTCTCATTTTCGTCTATTCGGTTCCTCCTCTCGTTTTTAATGCCATGATAATGGTACCATATACAGGAACATCAAGTGTAGGTTGTAATGCGCGTCTCGGGGATGGTGGTTTGGACCATCTCATCTTCCGTAATGGACTAATGTCGGAATTGAGCAGGGTTTTCTGCTCGGCAACGTGACACATAATTTTATTCTGCTCGGTTGGCCATAGGAGAAATAATATAATCATATGGTTTTCATTAAACTTACTGATCAAAGATTGGAACTATATTGTTGATTGCCTACTAGAATACTAAAGGATGGTTTAACAATGATCTCTTGTGAAAATTATCATCCGCACTTTTTTTTTACAAGCCTCCCCCCTTAGCTGTAAAATTGAAAAATACTGATTAAATACTCCAATAGGTCTGAACTTGTAGTACTTGAGATGTAAGGATCCCTTTTCTTTCCCTTCATGTCGAGTGTACAGAACTTTATTGAGGGAGCTGAGTAGACTTGACCTATCATTGAATATTGTGGCATCCCTAGTATCGACCCATCCTCCTGCAGCTTCGCCCAATTATGAACAGCGTTGCGAATATACATAGTCGATGAATTCCCCGAAGGTGTCAATGATCTAATAATAGAGATGTGCATAATCAATCGCAAGATTCTTCACCTTTCTTTGTTAAACAAGAGTTGGACAGCCTTTCTCATTGTATTATCACGATCCCAAATTCGTGTAAGTTGAAGGTCGATAATATACTCTGCAGTAATATAATTCTGCCCCATCATATACCATGTTTCAACTTGGAGCCTATAGTGTGCTAAGAAATATCGTATCACAATCACAATTGATGCATGCATTGCTTCGCCCCGTTGTTATCGAGAAACAACAGCTGATAGGTACCTTGAGCTTTCCCTATCATGTAAAATAGGAGGGCCCGTTCGAGCTAGTCCTTTGATTTGATTTCCCGGAGCTTAGTAATTTGCAGATTGATATGTTTCCATTAAGATCTTGGCAATCTTCCAATTGGTAGAGTGATGGTGGAGTAGTTACCATCATTCGTGGAAAGTCCGTTTCAAATCAACGAACTCGCTGTCGAATTATAAGTGGGAGTTTTGACAACGAAGGAAAGCTCCGAGGATAAATTGGGGACGATGTAGGTGTAGGAGCTAGACTTATTCTCACTGGCAACTTAGTTATCATAGGATCTTCATTACTGATCAAAGAATTACAACTCGCCATTGTAGTGAATAGTGTATTGAAGTATCTGGCTTGATATATACTAAAGCGTGTGTAGTGAGGTGAGGGTACCCTGCCATGACATTTCTTTCGGTATGCCAAGAAAGATTAATACGAGGGCTTTATTAAAAATATGCTCTACTTTACTATATTGCAGAAGTTCTGGAACTAAGATGGAAAACTTTTTGTGGGATCTTTCTCGGATCAGTACCGCGAAGCCACTATAACGTAGCATCATATAAAGATCTAAATGACTTTGATCTCATACATTATTAGACCTAGATGTTAATGTAATAGTAAATGAAAGTCCAATCAAGAGGAAAGTGAACGAATATATTAATGCGAGGAGAGCCTCTTGAACGGTATCTCTACGCTTTTGACCATCTTGCCGATGCCATCTCGAGCAGGATTGCATTTGGCTAATCGCCGACCATTCTTTGAAGCAATCTTGGTCACAGCTTCCTTAATGTTAATGCTGTAGAGCTGATACGAAGCTAAGCAATGATCAAGGAAAGACAAAGTCTAGCTGCTGAGATTGGATGGGCAGAATGATATGATTGATGGGTATCATGTCACATAGCACTGCTTACTGATGCAGGAGAAGTTTCTCCAGCTTTAGATGTGGTGTGGTGAGACTCCGATTGGATGGCTGTAAAAGTGTATGTATATGCAAGTCTCAAGGATAAGAGTAGTGTGAAATAGTATTATAATGGCTGATATCGACCAGTATGTATAAAATGTGGTAATATATACTGTAGTGCATGTTTTCCTTATTTCATACGACTTCCCACATGCTGAAACACTGGAATTTGTTGGAATTTATTTAATTCCTTTCCGCAGTACCTTGCCATTTCGGAAGGAATCCATTAAATTCCAGTATTTCCTTATATTTTTAGAAATATACAATATTCTATAGCATACTTAAGATCGTCAGTGGTATATAATTCGATACCATACACTCTATATGTGTCGAAAAATGCATTACGTTTCAATATAGTTGGGGGCCTAGGGATTACACCGTATACTACTTCCATCACTAGCGAGTCTTGATCAAATAAACCTAAGATTCTTTTTCCAGGGTAGTATAGTTAGCGCATATTGATTCATATCAGTGTGTAAAATATCTTTGAATCCCGAATATTTGTGATACAAAGGCTAGAGTGTGTAAAAATTTGAGTTCGAATTTCTAGCTTCTTTTTGTTTTCTTCCCAATCGATTTACTAGCTTACTGTATGCTCTTTGAAATACTACCATGCCACAGTATAACGCTAGAACATTTTTTCTGAGAAAGTGGTGAGTAGTTTTGAATTTGAAACATGGAGAGGCTGCTGCTTTGTTATCGTTTTTTTGGTCTTTATTCAGTTACTCCGTCTTTTGCCCTAGAATAATCCAAAAGTATGTGTGAAGACCTCTGTAGAATTTCTCTAATTTCGCACAGGTAGAGGGCCTTAAAGCTCTTGTATTAGCATTAAGTTTACCAAGTACTGATATTGCCTCTTCCCCAATTGCTTACATGATCAAAAAACCTTGTAACAATATTATGGAAATAATTAATAACTAACAACAAATAACTTGTATTATATCCTAATTGAACATAAGCCAAAACTTCCAGGGTTGAGCCTCGATCATAAATTCTGGATCAATGTTGAATGATTCCAGATGAACAAGATCCTTTAACCTTCATACCTTTCACCCACAACTCTTAGTGCATTTCAAGAACTCGTCCCATATTGGAGCCCCGATATTCAAGATTCCAGCCAATACCAAAATCACATATGCGGAGCCAGAATCCGTACGAAAACCTATCTCCTTTAATATCCAAAAATACCGAACCACCTAGCCCTGCCCAAACGCCCCTCAACTTCCCAGCAGCAGCTCTAACATTGCAATTGAAAGATTCAGAGTAGACCACATTCTTGTTGAAGAAAGATACAATATTAATTAAATTAAGGTCTGTCGAAGTGACTTGTTCCTCCAACTCTTTTACATCGTCGGCGAAGCTTGAAATTGTCTCTTGTATCTTGTTGACCAATAATTGTCCTTTAATTGTATTTTTGTGCTTTTCTAACTCCATGTTGCAAACTGTAAGGAAGGCGCATCTGTTGAGAGTAATATCGGTGCCAAAATAACCCTTTAGCGGCTGGATGTTGATGAGGATTTGGATCTCTGGTGGTACTACTACTATCAAACGGCTGTAGCTGTAGCCGACACCAAGCCAAATATCGAGACCAAACCATAATCCCGCACCTTTATAGTAGTGAGGAGGAATCAGTTTCAAGTCACTCCCGTAGAAGACTTGATAGCGATGCAAGAGTGCTTTGTTATCGTCATTGGTATATGTCTGTGGAACAGGGAGGTTAACCTTGGCGTAATGGGTAGCCTTTTTACCCAATCCTAGTTGCGATGGAGGAGGAAGTGATGGCTCAAGTGATGGTGGACGTGATGGTGGTAGTAATGGTGAGAGTGATGGTGAGAGTGATGGTGAAAATGATGGCCTTCGTGATAAATTTGACACTTCATTGGTGAGGAAGCTTGACCATATTTGAAGGAAGTCGAGTAGCTTAAGTTCTTGCAATTCCCTGTTCTCATTGTAGACCTTAACAATACGACCAACGATAGATCTGTCTCGAAGCTTGTTGGAGATAGTGTATTCCAAGATTCTTGCTACACAGTCTGGCTCGGTGTGATTTCGCGTTCTGAGAAAGAGGATTATTATCATCAAGTCCTCCACTGTATCGAGTTTCTTGAAATCGGGTAATGTCAAGCTGATCGTAGACCCAAATGGATCAATATGCTGTGCTTGGACATTTCCAATCAGCTTGATTGCACGGGTATAGCATTCCGCGCCATTCGATGACAACTTGAGTCTGACTAGCATGGTGATGTTGCGCTAGGTTATCAGATGGATTGATGAAATATCAAAGATATTTTGAATGCAACAGGTAAAAGATATGAAATACTGCCCTGTCTTTGAGCGGATTGGAAGGGCAGCGATATCTGATTAAGGGAAAAGAGAACGGAAGGAGCAACGCTATTGTGCGAGGGAGGCAGGAATCCTCCACGGATATAGCCTAGAAAAAACAGGACCGGGACTTTCAAGTCAATAACACGATGAAGATGTGAGAAAATAAACGTAGGGAATGTTAGAAGCCCGTAGCTACACCTAGTCTTTTGCTTAATAGATTCAATAAATGAGGATTACCAATATTATGGATGCGCGATGGGGCTTACCGTTCCTACGCACTACAAAGCCATAAGGAACTCATTCCAGCCGGAGCTAAGTCGACATGCTCTTAGCACAACGAGATCACACTCTAAAAAATGCAATCAGGAGACTTTGGATGGTTGCACTACAGGGCCCAGCTGTGACAATTTCACTTCTATCCATTATATAAACTTGGCACATAACTGATACTTGGTATGCCAACTAAAGAAGCAAAACTTGAAGATTATACAGGTCTGCAGATCCCGAGATATTCACCGAAAAAATAATATAACGCGAATAGCGATAAATATTAAATAGAAATCGGTAAGCCATTCCGCAAGCATCAAAGCAGAGTACGTCCCAAGCAACAACGTCGGATAAAAATGGTCGCTGCATGATCAAAGGCTCTAAAATTTTCTTCATTAGATTATTTAATCTTCTTTACTGTAATACTAGTTCTATTTGAGCAGTACTTGAACTGGAGATCTTGGATCTCACTATTTTTGGGAACTATCATTGTGTAGAATTAAGCGAGAAAGTGGCAAGAATCAACATCAGATTAGTGAATATCCCAAATCGCCAAAGGAAATGGTGTATTTAATCATTTCTTATCATCGTGAATATTATCAAGTCATGTTAGGATAGTATGTATTGACAATATTCTGTAATAATTGATGATGTAGTTGGAAACTAAAGTATATTCTCCTAGAATGGATACATGGTTCGCTAAAGGCGAGAGTTCCACAAGAATCACCCTCCAGGATATGGCTGTGATGATCCGCAATGGCCTACTCGGCAAGCGGCAGGCGGATGCTATATGACTAGTGGAGATTCATATGCTGAGTGAGTCTTAGTGTTTGCTCGTCAGCACTCTTGAAGCCTTGATTCGGCAATTTTCGGTAGGATCGAGAGATATGTAAATTCACTTGAAACAGGACTGAATAATTGTAATATATTGATGCTTGGCGTTCTTGTGAAGGATGTTATCATTAACCTATAGCATAAAACTCTCTAGGGCCCCGCTGTATTTTGAAGCGTAGCGTTTCATAGGGGTATCAAGGATACTATTTACCATTATACACCTTTAAACCTTCATATTCGCACCTATCGAACTTTTACTCCAAGAAGTATTTCCAGCTCAAACTCAACCATGGCTAACTCTACGTCGGATCAATCTTTTGGGCTTTTACAAAGTCCAATATCCGCCCTTTTACTAAGATCATATCATGAGTTTTATATATATCTTGATATAGCTCTCTTTATACATAAACATACCTTGAACTGGACAGCAACGAAACATCAAATCATAATATTTCTTGCATGCTTTACTGCTTTCTACATCTACCCACTATATAGCACAAGTCGTATTGATGAAGGAGATAAGCTATTCGGCCTCGTTTCCATATGGATCACCAAGAGAATTCCGTTGAACTCCTACAATATCACAACTTCTATACTGGATGAGAAAATATCTAGAAAGATTGGAACCGCTACGGATCCGACCTTGAATTATCACCTTGGCTATGGAAGCCACACCTTTCGATACAAATTTTGGATTTTTCAGGTACTTCATGCTGAATCGACAAGCGGTTCGCAGACCGCCGGGTCTTATGGTCAATCAGGCAAGGCGAAGAATTTGGTTATAAAATGATATGGAATCTTTCCAAAACTGGGAACACGAAGATTTCTATACAATACTGGTCTCGCCAAAATCAACCCCGAAACGAAGTTTGTGCATATTTTTGAGCCAGAAGACCCCTTCAACCGTCGTTTCAAAGCGGCAACATGCTGGAGAGAAATAGAAAAAGTCCGAGCGCGTTCCCTAGAGCATGTATTGATGGATGAAATGCAAAAAGATGAAATCAATAGGGAATTCAACCTCTTTTATTCAGATACAGAAAAGGAGGAAGAATACCTCGCAAAACTAGGACTCAAACACAAGCGGGCATATCTCTTCCACGGGATATGTGGTACGGGGAAAAGTAGTTTGGCGATAGCTTTGGCTACTTCTTACAATCTGAATGTATGCAGCGTCGACTTGAAGAGATATGACCCGGAGGATTTGAAGGTAGTTTTGCGTGGGGTTCCTAAGCGCTCTGTGGTCATTTATGAAGACATCAGACCCAGCACTTTTCGAGAGTACGGTTCGCAGGAAGAAGGATTCCCGCTATCTACCTTCTTGAACTTGCTTGATGGTGTCGCATCTCCCGAAGGACATATCAGCATCATCACGACCAACTACCTGAAAGAGCTTGATGAATTCTCCCATGAGCTGCTCCGGGAAGGCCGAATCAATAGGAAGATCAATTTCACTTGGATTACTCAAGATCAGGCAGCAACAATGTTCATTATTGCTATGTGGATTCCCGAGGCCCATTACAACAGGGAAGATATCTCCAAGCTTGCTAGTGAATTTGGACAGCTCATTCCAGAAGGAAAAATAACCCATTCTGCGGTACTGGAGTACCTTGTTTCTTATAGAGGAGATCCTCAAGGTGTAGTGAATAATGCCGGAAAATGGATACAAGAGTCCGTGAATCAAGAACAGAAAGGAACCGACGACCAGCAAAAATTTGACGATCAGCAAAACACAGGAGAAAATCATGGAAAGAGGCGGAAAAGGAAGAAGAGAAAAGGCAGGCGAAATTGAGAGGAAAGAAAGTCGAGGATTCCGATGGGGATAGAGGGAAGCGTAGAAGAAAACCAAAGACAAGTGGTAAGGATAGTGTTATAAGAACGAGGAGTTTTGTGGCGGTAAGGAGAAGGATGAGGATAGGGCTTGCGAGATTCAATTTCATCCTTATGTCTATTCCAATTAGTTGAAATATGATCAGAGGTCGTCCAAATTTACATTAGTTCCAGTGATTGTGTCTCAAAATTTCCTTCTTTCCCACATCTATGTCTAGCTGCCACCATCACACAATGTAGTAATTGCTAGTTTTTGATATCAACTTGCATCATACTCGATAGCAGGATCAGAAGAGCAACAATAGTTGAGAAAGTTGCTACCAATGGGTAAAAGAAGTATTTCGACTGGCTATAGAGAAGGGCTTCTTACCCAGGCTAAAACCTCATTCTACCGAATGGCTAGACTTGCTAATTCTGAAAAAGGCCTTAGTCCCAAGGCAATGAGACAGCTCTATATGGCATGCGTCACCAGTATAGCTGACTACGGCTCAATTTTATGGTGGAAAGGGCAAAACCAATTCAAGTATATCCTTCAATCCTTGCAAAACCTCGCCCTTCGAAAAATCCTAGGAGTATTCAAAACCTCACCAATAAAACCAATGGAAATAGAAGCCGCATTGTGCCCTCCATGAGTAAGGCTAAATGCTGGAATCAAACAATACGCCTTCAGATTATTGAAAATCTCCCCTTCTCATCCTGTCGAGTTAATAGCTACAAAGCTGGCTACAGAAAAGGAGAATCAAGATGTAGTTGCAACCCCTCAAAGAAAGCAATTAAAACCTACTCAACTCGAAAAGATCAAAAATTCAATTCAGAAAGACTTCGATCCTCTCACTTTAGAAGGAATCCATCACTTCTACTTTCCTCCTTGGAAGAAAGAAGTTCCATATAAAGTCAATATCAGCAAATTAGGAAAAGAAGAAGCTGCGATGATCCACAATCTGGCTTTCAAATATAGGTGCAAAAATACCATTGCAATATACACCGATGCCTCATCCACTTTAGAGGGAATAAGGATTGGGATCGGGATAGCGGTTATCTTACCAAATGGCCGAATTTCACATCAAGAGACTATCAATATAGGTGTGAATCAGCTTGTCTATAATGACGAGCTCCTAGGAGTTACTAAAGCGATCGAATACACAAATTCAATAGCCCAACCAGGAAACAAGTTCAAGATATACTCAGATAATCAAGCAGGATTATTCCGGTTGAAAACCCCCTCCGATTTACCTGGTCAATCATGCCAAATCAAAGCTATAAAAGTTGCGGAAGCTATTCAAAATAAAGGAGCCGAGATCTCTCTCAATTGGGTCCCTGGACATACATCTGTACAAGGAAATGAGCTAGCTGATTCTCTTGCAAAAGAGGCGACCAAAATACCATCCTCATCTCACGAAACCAGTTATGCCTTTATTGGAATGGATATAAAAAGAATGAAATCAGAGAACTGGATAGCCATCCTTAACACTAACAACTTTCATCAACCATCGTCAACATATTCAAGAAACTACCCCTGGAAGATCAGCTCAAAAATCAGAGTTCCAGGAAACATCAAAAGAAGCACAATCTGTGCTCTGTTCCTACTCAAAATTGGACACGGATACTTCAAATCTTATTTGAAACGATTCGGAATCTCCTCTAATGACAGTTGTAGATGTGGGGGAAAGGAATCTCCTGATCATCTTCTACTCAATTGTCCTATATACAAAACGGTAAGGAAAACCCTCAATAAGGATAACCCCACAATCCGACCTACCATGAAATATCTGCTTCATACCAAAGCAGGAATCATCAAAACCCTCGAATTTATCGAGGCGACGAGAATAGCCACCAGATCATGGCATCTCAATAGAATGCATGAAGAAGAAGAGGAAGAAGGCGGAGAAGAAGGGGGTGGACCGGAAGATTGTGATTGAATTGATCAATTATGGTCAATTTGGTCAATTTGGTCAATTTGGTCAATTTGGGCAATCACCCCAATATCAAATTTCATTACATTTCATTTGTTATTCCTCTTATTTGAATACGAGAGTATCTGTAAGGCGGGCTTGGTTCCCTAGTATTAGTTTTCACTTCCCCCATTCAAACATTAGAAGATTGGGGCTTTCAATCTCCCCAACCTGTATTAGCTACGGTCGAATAAGGCCAGCCACCCTCCATTTATTATTGTTAGAAGCCTACAAAGCTCCTAGCCGTCTTAGATAGTCATAAACTCAGTGTAGACGTTAATTTAATCAATCAATCAATCCATTTCAACAAATTTCTTTGTTATAGAAATATCAAAGACACCGAAGGAGATAGAGAAATCTTTATGTTTTGACTCTAGAGTTGACCAATTGTTTTATAATTGTATACGTTTAAGATTATGATAATTACTAGCAATAATAAATAACGACTTACCTTTTGATACTTTAGCCGGGGATTCTCTCTACTACGCGAACGCACAGCCCCAAGGAAGATTGGCTGCCCAGTTTCTTCTAGTCCTTGGCAAATAATTCCACTGATATCCCTCGAGAAAAAACCTTTGCTACCCTTCACATTGTAGAAGGATACTGTGTGAACGAAGTGAATGACTTCAATTCAATTACTACTGTAATAAAGAACTAAGCGAACGCGAAAGAGACTAGCTCTTTTAGTAAGTCTATATAAGACTTACTACTTTCAATATGTAGCTAGCTCTTTAGACAGAATACAATTAGACATACAGGACCTACGCAATCCGTGGGTGCTACGTCTTCCGTATCCTTCTCGTACCAACAGAAATCAAAACCTTCAATCCAGAATTCAAGCCCATAGGAACCCCTTTTTGGCTTACACCATCATCAAAAAGAGCTCATCAACGGGAAGGAGCAATAGTGATTGCTTTTGCAACAAAATCAGAAGCAGAGCTAGCCATTCGGAAACGACTATATATCGCTGGCACTAGTACAAGAGTAGAAAAGTTCTACGAATCCAAACCAACTACACAATGCCAAAAATGCCAAGGATTCGGACATCAGGATACACATTGCAGAAGGGATCCCTCTTGTGGACTATGTGGAGGCAAACATATCACATCAGTACATCTATGTGTAGTCTGCAATATCAGAGGAAAGTTCTGCCAACATCTCGCTGCTAAATGCTCGAACTGCCAAGGAAAGCATACAGCAAATTCAAGAACCTGCGAAATCTATCAAGCAATCCAACAAAAAGCAAATAACACCAACTTATGAGTTACACTAATATTCGAATTCTTCAAATAAATCTTAATAAGAGCTCACAAGCTACAGAGAACGTTCTACAGCTTGCAATAGAACTCAATATCGATCTTATTATGATTCAAGAACCTTGGATTATCAAAAATGGAATCGATTACTCAAATTCAAGATCTATTATACACTCTAATTTCATACAAACACTACCAAGATTCGATTCTAACTTTCGACCTCGTACATTACTATACACTTCAAAAACTCTTCAAGCTACAATCAACCTAGCTCCCGTTTCCCCAATAGATCCTGATATACAAATCTTTAATTGTCAAAATGGAGATAAAACCTTTCAAATTATCAATATATACAACAAGGCTGATCAAGCTAAAGAGAAAGGTTTCACAATTGAAAGATGTTTATATGATATATCTATCACACAAGAAACTATCCTCCTTGGCGACTTCAATGCCCACCACCCATAGTGGGACCCTTTTTCAAAGAAAAGCGGAAACGCTGATCAATTAGCAGAATGGTTTGAAGATCAGAATCTCATTCTTCTAAACGAGCCCGGAATCAGCACTTTCTATCGAACTAATCTCCTTAATCCAAGTGTCCTTGATCTAACACTAGCGTCAGAAGGAATCTCTCCCCAAATTCACAACTGGCAAACCCTTTCAGATACAGGATCCGACCATGCAGGAATACTATTCGAACTGAAAGGAAAAGAAGACTTAAACGCCCTCAATTCAGAATCAACAACTAGATTCAATACAAAGCTAGCCAACTGGGAAAATTTTGAATCAATACTAAAATTGGAATCCCTGTATTCCCCTATTTTTTCTATTTTAGACTCAATAACTTCTACGGAAGAGGACTCACTAAACTTCTTGAAAGAAAGAGACAATTCCCATTCAATTCTAGATCAAGCAGCAAGCGAACTTACAAGGATTATCCAAAAAGCAACAGAAAGGTGTATACCCAAAGTTGTTTCAATCAAAAGAGCTAAACCATGGTGGTCACCCGAGTTGAAAGATCTTCGAAAAGAGCTAGGAAAAGCAAAGCAATCAATCGAATCAAATCGAGAGAACCCTAATCTTAAGGAAGAATATCGAATTGCTAGAAACAAATACTTTCAAGCTATTAAAACAGCAAAAAAGGATCTGTTGGTACGAGAAGGATACGGAAGACGTAGCACCCACGGATTGCGTAGGTCCTGTATGTCTAATTGTATTCTGTCTAAAGAGCTAGCTACATATTGAAAGTAGTAAGTCTTATATAGACTTACTAAAAGAGCTAGTCTCTTTCGCGTTCGCTTAGTTCTTTATTACAGTAGTAATTGAATTGAAGTCATTCACTTCGTTCACACAGATACCCTCTCTTTAAAGAGAACTATACTCCACCATATTCTCGCTATCAGATCACAGTATAACAATTTTGCAATATACTATAAACACTTCAACCATACTATAATCTATACTTATTATTTATATAATAAAAAGAAAACTCTATTACACTTTTTCTTTTGCAAAAAAGAAAAAGTCTTCAAAACACTCACAAAGAGCCCCTTCTTCGAAATTATCCCCTAGCTTCTAAGCAATCCCACCAGTATAGCCAAACTAGCCGAGTGGCTAGAATACACCAAATTCTACACAAAAATCTGCCTGTGGCATACAGGTGCAAGTTAAAAAAAAAAAAAAAAGAACTTTCTTTTTTTCAGTGGATTCAAACGGAGTTAATAGGTCTCTAAGGGTGCTTTTCCTTCCTCTTCTTTCCTCTCTTTCATCTCTCCCTTTTCTTTCATTAAAAAAAAAAAAAAAAAAAAAAAAAAACAAGTATGCATACGAACAACCAAAACAAGTACGAGGAGACAGGGAGAGAGATCAAGAGGTAGTGATCTAGTGGACGAGGATGACCACAATTACAACCCCAAAAGGCCTACCGGCCCAAACCCCCCCTGCGAAGGCAATCATATAAACCCTGCCCTAGCCCCCTTTAAATTGTATATAAATACTCCCCCTAGCTAGCTAGTAAACCACTCAGAGGCTTCTCTGAGCGTCATTTGTCCAAAACTGGAATAGATGGCTAAGGTTATCACGCGCCAAGGCGCGTGGGCCTACGGCCTATGACGATAAACACAATCAATCAATCAATCTCTACTCTTGTTTTCCTTCTTCTTTTTCTCCTTAGCTTAGTATTTTCTAATACAAGATACTTTACCCAGTATTCTTGAGTGTGACATCTTTATAAACTTGATTTTATATAAGAAAAAAATTCTATAATTTTTTTATTTGTTCACGAATTGAATGTCTGAGTAGAATCATATTTTGTGAGCTGGTTATCGAGTAGTGATTTTGAAAGTGGATATGAAATCTACGCTAAAAATGATCCATTTCCAAGTTACAGATTCGTAAGCGGACTACCGAACGACCTCTTACCCCTTCAACCTCTGTATATTTCATCCCGAAACTCACGAGTGAGCCAACAAGAAGCCATGGGTACTGATTTCTGAAGGCTTCGGGACCCACGACTTCGTCGAAATCTTGGAGTTCTGTTTCGAAAACAATATCATTCTATGACGTCTGCCCTCTCACACCTCCCAGAAACTCCAGCCGTGTGACGTCGCAGTGTTTGCCCCATAAAAGGACGACTATCGCGAACATGCCTTCTGACTCTCACGCATGAAGTAGCAGAAGGTGTAAGTTTAGAGTATGGTAAATTACTTTTGTATGTTGTTCATTTGTTAGACAGAGTGTGAAGTAATGCGTTGAATGGAGATGTGATCTTATTACAGCATTTCCTTGCTCTTTGAAGTGTTTCGCTTAGTCCAGCATGTTGAGAGGCTAGAGGTTGGATCAATCAGTAAATGCGATTTCTGTGTTCTCTGGTAATGCAGCCACAAGTTGTGGTGCATAGTCTCTGTCGAATGGAGGGCTCACTGCACACGCTGCGGTCCTGCAGTTGCGCTGAGCTACTATCTTGCAATCCACTCCAACCAGGAAGAACTAGCGCAGTCAATCAGCACACGAAATCCCGACTCCGCACTATGGGGCAATATGATCGAACACTCTGCAGGTTGTAGAACATATTACAAGCCCCTCCTTTTCAGTAATGTATTGGCTATAATGTACCCTTCACTTCACCTTCCTGTAGATCACGCCGTCTTTGTCACAAACGACCTGTTATCACCAATTATTGCAGTAACTCCTCTGTCGCTTCAAAGCACCAATATATTTTGCCGTTATGGATTCTTTCGAACTTGTATGTATATATGAAGGTGCTCTTAGCTCAGAAAATGGTATCAGTCAAAAAAGCTCCCAAATATCACAAGATCGTTTAAAAAGGCAAACACTCCAGGTAATCATTTCTTTTTTACATATCTCTGTCTCTCAAGCAAGATGTCCGCCCAAAAAAGGTATATTCAGCCAAGTGATCAAGGACCTCGTTAACCGGGGCAAAAATGTCACGGTCAAGTATGCTACCAAGATTGAAACTTGGGATCGTGCCTATCTAGCCGGTAGCGTGCAGGAAGATTTCAGCAAAGCTATAGAAAAGGCAGACATTCCTGCCGGCGCCACGACCGCCATTCCAGCATGTGTGGCTTTCTCTGCAATATTGAGCTTCGCGATTGAATGCTGACGCGATGCTTAGTGGAGAGATCTATTACGCAAGATTGTTGAAAGGAAAGAGTTTCAGCTACTTCACCAAAATTCAAATCCTTCCTGAATGAAGTGTGTCGCCATGGGAAGTTATTACTCCTAGCTATAGATGCTACTGAAAACTACAGTAAATAAAACAGGCCAAATTCCACCCGCTAGATTCCATCCTACTCTAATACCTAATACTAATATGCATCCATAAAACCAATCTAGATCATCCCCTCACTCATTTGCAATCCTATCTACACAAGAATACATCAACGTCAATGAAAAATTAATTATAGATAAAAAAAACTCGAACAATATTAATGATATTATATCTAAGTATAAATATCCAATACCTACTGTGAATAAATATCATTCATATATACTCACAAGCTGAGTAATCAACAAGTAATTATTGAAAAAATCCTCACTGCTTTTTTTGAAGGATAGTACGGATATGGTAATTTGTAAAGAATCATGAGAGGTATATAGACTTACCTTCTCGGCAAATAAGTAGAGGAATTTGAAGGAGTAGCTGATCGAATCGACTTGTATAAAGTATGGTGGTTTAATGGAAATGATGCCATCAGCGAGTCAAATTAGGTGGTCTAATACTAGTGCGTCGTCACTCACTTATAATTATCAAAAAACTCACAAAAGGAACAATAATAAAATGAATCCAAAAGAATATTGATATGTAATCTATAAGCTGACAATTCTGGCCAGTAAAAGTCATGATATTCGCATCTAAGTTCGTAGCTATCTGTCTAGCCACTACTATTTATCATCTTTACTTCCCCTCTAAACCTCCAACGCCTATTCGCTTAATTTACAAAAACCAACGCCTGCTTTCAAGTTCTAAATGTAAAATGTCCACATCATATCTTCTTGATGCGGACTAAATGTAAAAAAAAGGGGTATTTAGTAATACAACATGTAGTTGTAGATCTTGTAATGCGCCATATATGTGATGGGAGGCGACGGGAGAAAATTGTATAATGAAACCATTTGTACCCAGAGCGTACAATTAAATCAGACAGACGCATTTACATGCCAAGCATGCTCATTTGTCTTCTTAGTGGACTTGCACTAAGACTACTTTCTTCGCTTCCATAACAAGCCGAATCAGTATCAATATCCCATTCAGCTTCCTCTTCTTTGTTATCTTCAGTACCATCCCAAGCTTTTTGCATGGCACCGCGAGTGTTCCATCTAAGAGTTCTGGATACACTATCGAACCACTCTGAGGGAGAGCTAACGACAGTTGGGAATGGATATTGTGAAGCGGCAATGGTGACATGATCACCTTGCTTCAACTCAACACGACCTTTCCCATCGAATGAGCAATAAGCGGTAGCTCTGGAGTTACGTGGAATGGATACTCGAAGTAAGAGTGAATCCGAGAGAATCATTGGGCGGAAGGAAAGAGTATGAGGGCAAATTGGCGTGAGGAGAATGGCAGGAATATCTGGATGGACCAATGAGCCACCAGCAGATAATGAGTATGCGGTTGAGCCAGTAGGGGTTGAGAAGATACATCCATCGGCTTGAACAACAGTCAAGAGTTCATTGTCTCCATATAACTCGAGGTTAGAGATGTAAGAGGATGGTCCACGATCAATAACGAGTTCATTAAGAACTTCAAACTGTTCACCTTCTAACGCCTCGTGACCCTGTTCCTTTCCGTCTCGATAAATCGTACATGTGAAGCGCATGCGAAGGTTAACCCGCATACCTTCCTCTCCCATAACCTTATTTAAATGTTCTTTGAATCGATCATATTCGAATCCAGTCAAGAAGCCTAAACTACCCAGACTGAACGATAAAATCGGAGGGACAACACGCTGAAAGAGCCAAGAAGTAAATAAAACAGTACCATCACCACCAAGAGTGAGGACAAGATCAAATTTCTCCGGTTGGCTCCAACAAAGATCTGGTGACCAATATCTCAAGAGATGTTGAAATCGTGGTTGCGACTCAATCAATGCTGCTGCTCCAAAACGCTTCGAGTTGCGAAGTTTCGCATCAACATAAACATTAACACCAAGGTCTGAGCCATATCGTGGAGTGCTCATAAGCCAAAGTGCCAAATCCTTGGTCAGATTAACCAACTGATTATCTCTAGCCTTTGTGACAATCATAACGTTGCGCACAGCTCTCTTGATTGGACGTCTTTGTAATTGCTTAGAAACTTCTCGCACACCAGTAGCCGTTGCCATGAGTCGAGAATGTGACATGAATTCGTCTCCATTAATCTCTTCGAGAACCTTTTCGATATTAACTGCATCGTCGAATCGTTGATGGTAAAAGCATGGGGACTGCAAAGAGGGAAATCGAGCCGTGGCAGGAGTGTTTCGCTGTACCAAGTCCGACAAGGCGGCATTGAGTTTCTGCGACGAGGCAGTACCCGGTCTCTCGGTGAGTGGTGATCTCATATTTGCTAAAGAAAGGTCTTGTGGATTATGTTCTCTTCTTGAAGACGCCAATGCTTTCATAACAGTCTGGCGGGGTACGGCGTCAACGGACAGAGCGTTTTTGCTGTGATTATGAAAAGTTTTGGAAGCGCGAGTAGGAAATACCGGTGATGAAGGAACAGAAGCCCAGTCACTTCCTACAGTTGTTGCAGCAGAAAATGTTGTAGATGCGTCAGTCGATGACTCTGATAGATCATTGTCTGAAAAGTTGGTCTTGATGGCATTTAGAGAAGCAACTTGTACGCCCTGGTCGTGTCGGAGATTGTCCCCGGCCTTAACTTTTAAGTTCATGCCATTAGATCCAAAAAAAGATTGTGCCGTAGCTGAAGGTGTAACAGCTTCATCGAATACCGTTTGAGGAGGTTGTGGGGGATCGTTAGGCTTAGTAAGGGCAGGATGAATCGAAGTAGGAGAGCGAATGCCGGACATTGTGGATGATGACGCCAATTACTTTTCCGTGTTTTAATCTTTTTTCCGTCGGAGATGGGGAGTCGGACAGATTTGTCACAAATGCCGACCAAAACTCAAATGTGATTGGACAATACAAGGATTCTCAAACCAAGCTATTATTATCAATCGGGTGGAGATGACAAGATAATAATAATTGACAAATAGCTCGGGATCGCAGACAGAGTAGGTAGGTAATGAATGCAATGCAATGCAAGTTGAAAGATTGTGGTAGCAGCAGTAGTAGCAACAATTGTACCTAAAAGGAGAAGAAGGAGAGGGAGAGAAAAGTAATCAATACTCCTTCTGACGCAACTCGGCTCTTTGCTCCTCGTTTCTTTTCTTTTTGATCCTCAAAAGAGCGAACAATGCACCAAACAGGGGAGCTGTGAGGAGGGGTTTCCTTCAAAATTGTTTGCTTTCAGTTGCGGAGACTTTTTGTTGTTTTGCTGTGGATTCGGGTTTCTTTGGTTTTGGTTGGCACAGATGGAATGATGATAGAAGCAGATGATTATATCATAATGACAATAATCCACAGTGTTTGGTTCCTCGAAGATTTGGTTTCCAATTTCGGATATAGCGGAGGTAACAACAAGTATGTGCTCAGGTAGGTGGTGTACGGTAATATCGGCCGAATGATGGGGATTTACTCCTGATTGTAAATGTTTATCAATGTGATTCCTGATCTCATGCGGGTTGTAACAGATTATTAATCCCAAGTCCGAGTAGCAGAAATCTTGCCAAGAAATGAAGATATTAATATATACTTTGTATACCTCCCTAGGGCTAGGTACCTAGGTAGTACTGAGTACTCCGTATATAACAAATCTTGCTTTTCACTACTAAAGATCACAAAATGAGCCTTCTTCAGATTCAAAGTTCAATTAGCCCCTCAATTAATTAATCGTTCCACCAATCCTGATCTTCATCAACCTTCATCAATCTTCAATATTGTTCTACCCCACACATAGAAGATAATGGATGTCATTATCAATCCGGATGTGTGCGGAGTGCGACCCCGTCCTGTCTTGACTCCACAAATGAATTAAATAGACTCACCTCGTTATAGTATGCTATTGAACAGCCCAGTTTCTACAAGCTTCTTTCTCCTGTGATATATCCTGCGTCTCGACCGCTAGTTGTAAGGTTGAAAGTGTAGGATTTCCACGCCTGGTGATATGGTTTTAGGAGGTGATAGTGATTCGGCGTGCAGAAGAAACGAGACCAAAATATGAGAAGAAACGAATGGAGATGGAGATATCTGCCGTGTCAAAAGTCGCCCGTGCAGGTATGGTGGACCGATCGGGCTGGAGAGATGGATGAGAAGTGGGTTGTCGCCAAACAAAAAATGCTAGGTATGCATGTGCAAAAATACAACAGTCTAAAAACAGCAGATTGAAGAAAAAACAAGGCAAATTGAAAAAAAAAATGCAGAAGCTACCGGAGCTCTGGTAAAGAAATTGAAAACTAGAAACGATAGGTTGGTCTGATAAGTGAAGACTAGAGAGAGAAGAGAGGAGACACTCTCAAGGACAAGACTTTCCTTTCTATATGACGAGAATTAGTCTGGTTACATTACCTACTTCAGACTCTTGCTACGATACCTCTGCCGCCGTACCTTTACAATATGCTGCTATGTTTTCGCGCCCGGTTACAGCTGTCACTCCATCTCCACTTTGATCGACGAATATGGAGGCGAGTTTTGAGTCTCGAAAGGATCACTGTCCCCTTCACGCTAGCGTTTTCAATCATGGTCCAGGTCAGCATTTAGTATAATCAACCCGGAAATTAGGAACATAAAAGGTACGAAGATACAAGCATGGCGTTTGATATCACAAAATACTGGACCATGGACATGGCAATATCGAAAGGGGTATACCATTTGTTGTTGAATTCGCAGGTGAGAACTTCTCAATATTGACAGGCATCAGTAGACATATAATAAAATTCGTCTAATCACTTTGCGGCTAATGGGCACCCAAAAGAAGTCCAACGTTGCTCCGCAAAATCTGAAATTGCAATTGAGTAACTCCTAGTTTAGTCGCCTGGTTCGAGTCGTAATAGTTGTCGAACTTTTTTGAATCGGCTACCTTTATCGGATGGTCGATGGAGGATGAAACGTCCTAGGATAATCGGGACCCTGACACATTGTATCAGACACCCGATGCACAAATCCTTAATGCCTCAAATGTATTATTTGCTCACATATTCCTCGTCACTGGTACTCGGAAGAATATTCTTGATCGCAACCCACATTGCGTTCATGATTCGTTTTGATATGTGCACCGGCCTTCCTATGCATCTTCACATCTGAGCTTCCCCGTGCCCAGATGAAACCTCATTACGATCCAAGTTTGGACGACAGCGGTAGAATTGGTATCCCGTTTTCAACCTTTCCAATGAAGATCGGTAGCAACCTTTTCTTGTACTGCGGATTTTACGAACATCATGAGACTTGAAACTGCCTCATTTTCAAGCTCATCCTCATTCATGATATCATCCTCGGCCGATACGTGACCTCTACAGCATAGGCCCTTTCCATGCTCGTATATTTCATCCCATTCATCCATATCGAAACTGCCCTCGCTTTCGGCGACCAAAAGTTCCCCGTGTGAAGTGAATGCTAATACATGAATCGAAGCTGCATCTTGACATTCGAGAGGGGTAGGATTTTCTGTGATAGTCGCGCCTTTCTCAGTATTCTTCAAGGCAAGTAAAACCGATGTCAGGGTCATAGATAGCGGTATAGAAGCGGATAATAATGTCAGAACCGATGTTTGAAGGAGGGCTGGGAGTAAGGGAAGATTCTGAATGATCATTAATAAGTTAATTATAGAACAAGAGTGAGGCACACTTACCGAGCTAGCCTGTACCAACTTCGACCAAGTAGTATCATTCTCTGGGGTACTTGTAATCTGTAAAGTGATCTGGATAAGGGTTCGTGGAAAATTGTGGATGAGTATTATTTGGCGTAAGGAAGATTGAAGGACTGCTTCAAGATGTCTCTCCCGGGTACCTAAGACACAATCAGTTCCAGATTCAACAATCAAAAAGTAATCCTATGGGATATACTAGCCTCCAACACCAGCAGCTGGCCTTACAATAACATCTATAGCTGCTTCTTCTGGTAATTCGTCGCGTCTCTGAACTTCAATAGGACCGTTTACAGCGCCAATAACAGTATAACCGTTTTGTGAAAAGCTAGCAGAACCATCTGCTCTATGGAGAGGCGATAGTAGAGCGGTAGGTTCGGTTGAGTAGACCATTTTGAGTTGGCTATATGAGGAGAAGGTGGACGTTGAGTCGAATTTATTTTGGTTGTGATTGAAATCTTTCAAAGGTTGAGCATAGCTACAACAATGGATGGATGCACCTTATGGAACGTGAGATTAGAGATTGATCTTAATTTTTTGTTTATCGTTATCGCAAATGGACGCTAAACGCTACTTAGGAATAGCCTAAAGTCCCTGGGCACTAACCGTGGGGTTGGTACCTGTCGAGCTTGTCTCGTCATGTCATTTCAAACTCCAGGTTTCCTTTCTTTTGTAATCAACAGCAACAGCAATATCAAGCATTCACAAAATGGCTTCAACCACAGAAAACATTCAGCACTCAGAAAATAAACCTGCTACAGGTATACCTAACCTCCGCGATCGTCTTCCAAAATTAGAACCTCGAAAAAAGCGAAATCCGCCATCAAATCCCCTCCCTGTTCCCGAAACTCCAGATCTTCCATCTCCTCCTGAACCATCAAGCTTAAAGTTTTGCAAGCCTACGAGACGGATCTTATCACCTCATGATCATGATCTTTTTCTTCGCTCTCCTGCTTACAAATTGCTTCTAGCATTTGTCTTTGGTTTGACAGATTCAGTCATTGATACACCGGTATCAGCGATCAACAACAAGGACCTGAGCTCCGCCGTTACAAATATCCTCGAAATATTAGACAAAGTTGAAGATGTGGTAAACAGAAGTCCACCGGAAGAACAAGGCGATTCAAGATTTGGCAACAAAGGCTTTCGTGATTTCCTCGATTTAGCTACGAAGGAGCACAATGATTGGCACAAACAATTGGGCATTACGTCCGAAGAAGCTATCACCGAAGTCTCTACATACTTTCTTCAATCTTTTGGAAATCGCACAAGAATAGATTATGGTTCGGGGCACGAATTGAACTTTATGATATGGTTATTATGTTTATACCAACTTGGGATAGTGACTCGTCAAGATTTCCGCCCGCTGGTTCTGAAAGTCTTTACGCGATATTTGGATCTCATGAGGATTATACAAAAAACATATTACTTAGAACCAGCAGGTTCGCATGGAGTATGGGGACTTGATGATTACCAATTTCTTCCATTCTTATTTGGCGCTTCTCAACTTTTACATCATCCCTACATCCGTCCTTTGTCAATTCATCAAAATCTTATACTGGAAGAATATGGCAATGAATATCTGTACTTGGGACAAGTTAACTTTGTCAATAGCGTGAAGAATGTTGAAGGACTTAGATGGCACAGTCCAATGTTAGACGATATATCCTCTGCAAAAAACTGGACAAAGGTTGAAGATGGCATGAGAAGGATGTTTGTGGCTGAGGTTTTGAAAAAGTTACCCGTCATGCAACATTTCCTCTTTGGATCGTTAATACCCGCTGTGGATGGTATGAGCACAGAAGAAGAGTTTGGGGTTCCCAATGAGGAAGATGATGCGGAGGGCGGAGAAGTAGTGGTCATGAAAGATGGAATGAAGCATGTTCATCAAATGAATAGTTGGGGTGATTGCTGTGGGATTAAGGTGCCGAGTAGTGTCGCAGCGGGCCAGGAAATGAAGAAAAGAATGGGGAATGAAGGATTGAGAAGGATACCTTTTGACTAAGACATGATAAGTAGTTAATCAAATCAAGCTTCAAAACATAGCATTATTATAATTTTGCAGGTTTGCAATGCATGTTTGGTTTTCATTCTAGATCTCATCCTGAGCTTGACTCAGTTAGCGGGAAGTCCCTACTAGAAATCCGCCATCTAACATTTCATTCTACACCCACTTCTATTTCCATCAGCGCATTTGTTCAAACATGAGACCTGTCTAAATATTCGGGTCTCTATGGGCCTCAGCAAAGCGAATACTCACAATCATCTCACTGCATTATTCTGCTATTATTCCGCCAGCTATTCCACTGCCATCAGTAAAGCAACTACCAATACAGATAGATCACCGTGAGTCGTAAGACTGTATATTCCTCTTGCATCCCTTTCTATTCCCCTTCTCCTTCCCTTCATTCATTCATCCATCCATTCATCTATTCAAACCCTCAAATCTCCACCCCAATACCCACCCATCTAAACCCAACACGGCAATCAACATTAACATCAACACAACATCCCGCTATATTCCTCCCAAAATGCGTTACCCCCCGCCTGCATCCCGCAGGGCTTCAATCCCACATCTAGTGTCTTTAGATATCGTCTCATAATATCATTTAACATCATATTACTGCTGTATGAGAAAAATATCAGCGGATTTCCGCTTTTTAGAAACTATCTACTATTTATCATTATTTATCACTTACCCATCTGATTACGAGCGAATCTGCACGGGGGTATTTTATATAAAGGCAATGGGAAGAAGGGATAATAGTGGTGGATAGATATAGGTAGGAGGTGCAGGACTTTAGATCTTATTTTCGAGATTGGATGCTATTGGGAAGATGTGCGTGGGTAGTGGATGGATTGGTTCTAGGAGATTGCTTTGTATTTATTTATTTATTTTTATAATTATTATTAACTGCTTCCTTTACAGAATATTTCTTAGATTTAGTATCGCGGGCATTTTATTTTAACCTGTGGTTTGAATACGGAGAGGTGGCTCGCAGAGCTAGAGATGTGTATACTAAATAGGTATGGAATTGGATGCGTGGGTAGATGAAATAGGTGAACTGGAACATCTTATGTAGAAAAGGGTGATGTCAAACTGGTGGGACCATTGAAATTCCATTTTACAAAAAAAGGATATCATTTATTGCTATCTCCCCCGGGATGATTTTCTCATAGATGGGGGGTGAGAACATTAGTTATTTTTTAACATGCAAGGCGGATACTTACCCAGCATTTCATAATCCGAGAATTCTCAAAATGTATGATTTTGGATCCATAAATACCGCTTACATCCTCGTTGAGGAGTATCGTGCATAGATATACGTCTGTTATAGTAGTATATCATCCATCTGTATGCATGCATCGACGATTTGAGTTGAAGTAAACGGGCGGGAGTTGGTGGATATGAGGTTGATGGGTAGATTGTGATACGGGTTTTTGGGAGAGGGAAACGGCTTGATGTGAAGAGGTTTGCTAGAATGGTTGCCAGCTATAAGGATACTAGGGTCGTGGATGAGGACTTGAGGAGTGTTGAAGGAAGAGAATGAATGACGTATTTATGGATGGATGGATGGGTGGAAAGAGAGTCTTCGTAAAAGTTGGTTTGTTTGGCCAGTTTAGATTCAGATGAATCTCAAAATCAATCAGAGACTTTTCTCCGCTAGGGAATGAGTAGATAGAACGTTCTTTGTGATGTAGCTGGTGTAATTAGACCAAAGTTGACTATCAATGATGGTGTTATGTGATGAAAGTAGAGGTTGAGGATGGGAATCATAGGAGGAATATGCTTTGGATACCGAGCTACTTGTCCAGGATTTAGGAGACTATTTCGAGGCTATGGGATGAGGTGCGTTGTACTCTTTGGTTTGGGAGATGTGCTGGGATCCGTTCGAGAAGAATATTGGTTGTAATAAAAGGGTGTTGATAGTTGAGAAATAATTTTTGTGAATATTTTGGTCAAAGCATTATAAGTTTATTCCAGCATTCCAGCATTCCAAGGGGCCTCTTTGAACAGTTTGTGAGATTGACGCCGGAAAGATAGTTTTTAATTAACTGAAATTTTTATATTGTGGATCAATAGATTGAGAAGGGAGACGCAATTAATGAGTTAAGCTCGAAGAATAATAAATTTGGGGAAAGAGTAGGATTCTGTACATAAATAGACATTATATCATTCATTATATCTTTTATGTTCATTCAGTTGATGCGAGGTGTGAATTTGATGTGCCGATTTATCAGATAGCTCCTTGCCTGACTTTTTGTATTTGAGTTGGATTGCTGTTTGCCAGGGGTGGAATAATTGGGTACTTGAGTCTTGAAGTTCTGCATTGTATAACGCAACAACATTTTGGAGTGCGTAGTGTGGATGTGAGGTAGATCTATATGGTGAGTGGTATGCTGATTTATGTATAGTCTGAACTCTAAAGATAGATGGTTGGAATGTATAGAGTATATAGAGGGATAAGTGAGCTGATATTTCAATCCTCACTTCTTATTCCTCGGATACCTTGAGGAAGAAAAGAAAAGAAAAGTGTAATCTAACTACATAATGATGATTATCATGACTCCTTTGACTCCGGCTCATCCCATGGTTGAATACCTTCAGATCTTTATGCTTATGACGATCTTATTTCAGGACATAGAGATAAACTTTGACTAAACTAAACCTTTCCAATCACTGGCTCTAGAAGTGAATGAAGGGTTGAAGTTTGAAATAAGATTAAGCAGGACTGTGATTTCACTGGATATCCATAATATGAGGAGAGGGGAAGAGTTTCTAAAAATGTTGACGCTACAGATGTGTAATAGAGGAATTGGAGAGAAAGGGATGTGGTTGGTATGTATTTGAGATATGTTTAAAGCGGGATAAATAGTGAGTTCGAGAAAGTTAAAATAAAGATTAGGAGATGAGTGAATGCGAGCCGAGACATGACAATTGTGTCTACTTCAGAGTGAATTGTTGGCTGTTATGTATGAGATGGTCGTTAGAATATATATAGGTGTAGAAATTTGCGATAGCTTAACAGATCTGGCCCTAGTATATTTGTATGAGAAGGATAATCGACCAGACTATTATTCTTTCGATACTGATATCGGAGAGATTGCGAATGACGGCCCCAGCGAAGTACATTTCGGGCTACAAACATACTTCACTGAAATGGTCATAGATGCTTGGAGGTGGATATTGGATAGCATCAGTGGTCAATATTGGACCGACGTTTTAGATAGATATTCTTTTGAGAAGAGAACGATATGAATGATTGACTGCTTCAGATAACTAGCCATCGTCACTAGTGGTAGTAGTATCGACACCCCTCCACTCTGAGATCAATGTTTGAACTGAAACTTCAATTTACCTCCGTCTAACACTTCTCAGCTTGGAATAAGCCTGGAAGCAAGTGAGAGATTCATATGTCTAACAAGACAAGATGTCTCCGGAAAGGTTACATTTTCAATATGAGACTCGCAATGGAAGAGGCCTGAAATTCGTAAAGGAAGGGTTGGCGTCGACCAAAAGAGTAAACTCCCATGGGTTCCGAATCTCGACTCCATCACGAATATTGATCGACGTCATCGATCAACTGGTCGAAGAGTAACCACGTTTTATGTCGTCGGCCGGGCGTCCGGTAAGGAGCCCCGTAGGATTCTGCGTAATCAATGCATGAATATCGGCACGAAACTTTCCGGTGTTTCCCGAAAATCTGGTATTCTGCATGAAAGGAGGGAGACATGATGAAATCTATGAACCATCAAGTGTGAACTAAGAAGCATGAAGTAATGGAGTCGGCAATTGAAACGTCATTGACACATTTCTTGGTCGAGTACCGGCCATCGTTTTACCCCGCACCACATACATCATTTATATTATTTGAGATGCTCCTGAGCCACAGAGCACTGCAGGTACGAAATAGAGTATCTTTGTTGCCATCGTCACTTGAGTGGTGAAAGGAGAAGAAAAAAAACGAATAATTGGAATCCAGAAAGAAAAATACGAAGACATGAATAGAAAATGGGATTTGATCATTTTAAATATTTCTTTTAATAACAAAAACTAATTTGACGTGAAATTTGATCGAGGTTGAGTTGATGCGGGCAAGGCCTTCTCGATACTGGTGAGGAATGTAAGAACTGTGATTCCATCCAAGAAGTGAATCTTTAAAGTATTGGGGTCCAAACTCTAGGTCTTTTGAAAATCCCAAATCCCACTCCATTTAATTATTCCTAACTTGAAAGATTCTATGATTCTGGTCAAGATTGTTCGGTGAAGAGAAAAAGAAATGCTCAGCCCGTTGCGTCGGTGGGCGAAGCATGCGCATAGAAGCACGGTATTTTTTGTCGCAGCGGAGACACTATATTTTTGTGAAACAGGCTGGAAGCTGGAAGAACATATATATTGCTCATTTGGACAAGGCTGTTGATACATGATTGTCAGTCAGATGTAGAACAAAAGAGCTAAGCCAAAAAGGCGGCTGCTGTGAATGAGTTGGACAAAATGAGTGGTAAAAGAATTATGCTAGATTCTGTTTGATCGAGGCTATGCAATTTTGCTGAACTTTGGAGATTGATGACTGGATGTGAGAGGAAGCATAAAAAATAGAAGACTGGTGGGATTAGTGAGATTAATCAGAGATCCCGAGAATTTTTTGGGTAGATTTGAATTGGTCCACCTTGTTGGTACTCGGCGGTACACCGTGACAAGCGACTTCGATGAAGGGGTATGCCATGAAAACCTGGGCCTGGTAATTTTTGACTCCTCCTCCTCTAAGCTTTAGATGAATTTCGGGTTGCCGATATCAAAAGCTTGCTGTATGCGCAAACGTATTTTAATTCACCTGAAGTATTTCTAAATGAAGTGTTTATTGTTATATAAAACTTGTTAGTGGGGAATGGATCATAACCCCGTTTTTAGGCGCCTTTGTGCTTATGGCCCCATCTTGGAGCCATATTAATGGACCTTCCTTTCGTTTGAACAAGACCATTACGATCATTACCCTTGAGACTTAAGCTTCTTGAAACACAAATTCAAGCCATTTCCCACCATAGGTAGGTAACGGACTAACCAATAGGAAAATGGGACTCTTTAAACATTTTTAATTTACTTGATCCGGATCGCTTCAAATGCAGGACGTCGGAAAATCATCTTCGGAGGGATGAGATGGCTTTGAAGGAAGGAAGAATACGATAGAGACGGAACTACGCTCAATATTATTTTTTGAATGGTGCATTTGCTGGCTGTGCAATGTGCACAAGGTCCAAGATGAAGAACAAAAAGGTACAGCTAGCTAGCTAGATGAGTATTTCTAACATCCAAAAAAGATGCACAGCCACTCCCACCGTCATACCTATGTCACGAGTACCAAGACCTAAAAAGCTCGGGCTGATTTGAAGCTTGAGTTAAAAGAATGCTTGATCTGCCTTGCCCCAGTAATGGGTTTGTATATCCGGAGCTGTATCGGTATTATGTACGCAGGAGAATAATGATTCATGACTTCCAACTAACAAATTGAAGAATGATCTGTTTTTTGAGATCCTTGATGAAAGCTCCCGTACCTTTCATACCTTGTAAACCGTCGCTGATTGTAGATTCCCCTGAGCATTCCCTTGTAGATTTCAATGGCAAAATTGATAGCATTTGGTCAGCCAAGTAAAAGTGCCTATTCAGCCGTGCGTTTCCACTTCCACCCACTCTTTATATGGAATATTCTACTCCGTAAATTTCTATCGGGTCGCCTAGTTGTCCTGTACTTGGGCTAGGAAGATTGCGCGCAGTCGTCTAGATTTGCTTCCCCCTCCACCACTCAACTTTACTCCACCTACTCGTCATTTCTGAGCTATCCCCTTTTATTCTAATGCAGCCCTTCTGTGTATTGCTTGTTGTTACTTCACCGGCGTCAATTTCTCTGTTTGGTCGTCAATCACAGATTAATCGCCGGCCCTTGTACCTGGGTCTGTGATTCTCGTTCTCCCGCCTGCTAAGTCCCTGTCACTTAACTTTTAGCTTTTAAAGAAGCACGGGAACTAAGAAATTTATAGACAGATCGAGTTAAGAAAATAAAATAAGGCTTTCTATTATTATTCTCCATTTCTCTAGAAAACCAACAACAGATAACTTCAATCTTTTTGATTTCGCCTTTTACGAACTTTCCCCTCCACTAATAACATCGCTTGTCGTTTCTTACTTTTTTACTCGATTATATACAAAGCCATTGTCCCACCGCTACACTCCGTAACTACCACCACTTTCCTCGTCGAATTTGGACTTTTAATTGTTGAAAAATTCAACGACTTGCTTGTTCTGCACTGCTTATCTTAGCCTTAGCGCCTAAGCGTTTATCGCTGCCCCCTCCCCCCCTCCAGCTCTGAAGCCTGTCCTTGTCGATTCCGTACCACACCCCCCAGTTCGCGAAGAAGGGTGCTCCTCTCTCTTCCAACTCCTCTTTTCAATCGTCCATCCCCGTCCCCTTTTCATCTCACCCCATCTTACAGGAGCGCCTGCAATCTATTTTCTGTCAGCTCACCATCGTCACCCATATTTTTATCTTTTCTCACGAATAGAACAGCTTCGTCTTCCCAGTTTCATTCATCCGTACGAGAATTACATACCCGCAAACCTTCAAGAATCCGAATTTATCTCTTCCTCTTCCACATTGCTACGAGACTTGTATCATCTATCGAACCTGTTCATCTCAATTGCAGATTTGTGACCTGCATATAAGACCCGCAACACTGATTCCCGAGGCTGCAACATGACCAAAACCTTGCTCATTACATGTTGACCACGCCTGTAGCTAATTAGGCCTACAATCAAAAGACCACAGCTTTTTATCCAAATCGTATCTCCAAAAGATACATAGCCTCATACATTTTCCACAAGTTATGTCTTCATACACTTCCGTCTCAGCACATCCAGTCAACTCTCAAATACAACTCTCTCAAGAAGAGAACGACCCTCTGCACCTGAACACACACCACATATCCAACACACAGTTTGACCCATCTCTCCTGTCACCATACAATCAATCGCATACATTCAGTAATTCTACCAGCCCATGCAACATTGGCGGTACACCAGTCGAAAGTCTTTCCGAGTACAGCAATTTTGGTAGCGACTTTAGTGAGATCGAAGACGAGTATTTTGGAGTGGATTTCGACGCTGGCGTACAGCAAACAGATTCACTTCCCACAAGCCTCGCAACGTACCCGATAGACGATTATACAAACATTGTACATCAGGCATCCACAAACATTGAGAGTCAAAAAACATCAGAAGCTCTCGCAGCTCCAACATATCCTCCAAGCCCCAAGAATACAAGCATTCCAAACACACCCTCTTCCAGAAGCGGACTAAATGGTAAAGCCCACTCATTCATTACACATCACGAAATAGAAATTGAAAACGAAAACGAATCAAATCAGTCGGGATTTCCTTTTCCAGAATTGACATCGACACTTGATACACTGCAATTGACGCCGGACAATAGCGGTAGCAGTCATACGAGCGCCGAAGGGGTGGAGCCAACAAGTATGGATTTTCGTGCCCATAGTCCACATGTGACTGTCTCGCAGTGGGCTGAAGAACAATCATCGACTAGGCCCGACTTTGCATTGGATATGAGCCAACATGGGAAGCAATTGAACACCGGTTTCAAGAACTATCAATATCCATCCCAAAATTTTGATCAGAGTTCCAAAGTGACCGCATCACGGAATGATGAAGGAGTGTGGAGATCGAATGGTGCAACTGGCCTAACTGGATTGGATCCTGAGAGACGAAAAGTGATCTCAAATGCCGAAATCCCCAATCTGAAAGAACAAGAAGAGCGGCGGCATATTAATGACACAAATGTACTGGTGCAATTGTGGCGCCAAAGAGGCAATTCAACCAGTGATCCAAACGTACCAAGATCTAGAGAATCGACTTATGCAGTGCAAATTGAGCAGGCTGGAGTTAATCTAGCGCCAGTGGATGATGCCGCAAGCATCAGAGAAAATAGATTTCTTGATGGGCAAGTTTACTACCACATCAAAGGCGAATCCCGAACTGATGTAGATATAAAATTGATGAGCCAGATGCGCCAATTCAACGATGCTCCTGCGCTACCATACATGACAGTCAGCGGCTTTCAAGCGCCTCAGACGGCGAATGATGCCATCCAAAAGTTCAATGGAGACGCAGATACCTTCTCAGTAATATCACGTGCAGCAACTTGGGGTACGCGACGGAAAAGTGAGTCAAGTTTAATGGAGTATAGCGCTGGCGAAGAGGGTAATTTCCTCAAGAAATTATCCATCAAGCATGAAAAGAAGGGACCAGGGCGTTGGCATCTTTCGAGCCTGGGACAACTCGCTGTGAATCACGTAAAGAGGGCTCGCAGCTCGTCAAACTTGCAAGATACTTCGACGGAAATGAACCAAAAGCAGAACAATTCAAATAATCTAGCGCCGCCTCCCAGAACATCCAGCTTTGGTAAGAGTAGGAAGCCGACTCCAAGTCTAAACACCGCATTAGCGGCAATGACTGGAACGGTTGCTGCTGTCGGTACAAGTGCGCATCATCCTCCTCACGCCCGCAATGGCTCTGTGGGTGCAGCATCTCCAAAAAGCCCACTTTTAAATCTATCATTCCTCCGTAAGGACAGTGGACGAACTAGAAGCAAGAGCGAGCTGTCAATTCGAGAAAGCGCATCTGCTACAGTATCTGCTATTGGTGAACTCTGGAAAAAGCAAGGAGGCCCACCTGTTCCTACTTTGGCTCCTCAATCGTCGGTTGAGCCTGAGTCGGTCATTTCTACCACCAGGCAATTCCCAGAGCCGATTGACCACGACGACGAGGATGATGAGGATGATGAGCAAGGTGATGAAGGTGACATGGGAACGGATCCTGCACTATTGGAGCCGACCGTACCCACTTATGAAGGTTTCAAAGAACACATACGGCGGCTGAATCCTGACATGGATCCAAAGTTCAATTGGCTTGTGAGTCGCATTGCTCATCAGCAAGAAATTCGATACAAGAATTTACTCGATCAAAGGGTCAAACATATGCAAGCCATCAAGAATCGCAACTGCCCTTCTAGGCCACATTGCATTGCACTAGGCGGAAGTGCTACAGTATTTGATGCTAAGGGAAAAATTCGGGAGAATGACCGCAGTGCTGGCGGGTTACAACTCGTAACAGACTTTTCCGATGATTCAAATCCTGGTGATGGTGCTCTTTCAAGTGAAACTTTCCCCAAAGGTGTCCCCTTACCCCGAACTCGAAATCTTCCAGCAGAATTTGAATGCCAATTGTGCTTCAAGGCCAAGAAATTTCACAAACCTTCAGATTGGACAAAACATGTCCATGAAGATGTCCAACCATTCACTTGTACTTATGACAAGTGCAGAGAACCAAAATCATTTAAACGAAAGGCCGATTGGGTTCGCCATGAGAATGAAAGACACAGGCATTTGGAATGGTGGATTTGTGAAATAGATGATTGCCGACATCCTTGTTATCGAAAGGACAATTTTTTGCAGCATCTGGTTCGTGAGCATAAGTTACCAGAGCCTAAACAAAAGACAAAAGCTGCTATCAAAAGGGCGAAACATCCTGAGATAGCATGGGATATGCTGGACAAATGCCATCACGAAACAACAAAAAAACCACAGGACGAGCCATGCAAATTTTGCGGAAAGTCTTTCACAACTTGGAAAAAACTTACTGTTCATCTAGCGAAACATATGGAGCATATCAGTTTGCCGATTCTTCAACTTGTTGAACAGAAGAATGTTGATGCTGATACGATCATCAGTCCAGTTGAACAAAATTTTAGCCCAATAACCCCAATTTGCGGAACCAAATTAGAAGGTTCAAGTCCTTATGTTATGGAGAATATGTCACCAAACATCCCCATGGTACCACGGATCAGCGCTGCTTTCCACGAACCCGCATTCTACTCTACTTCGGGACCTTCGGCATACGGCATGCACAGCTCGATGACGCACACTCCAATAGCACAGGAAGTCTCAAACGAGCCATTTCCAATCTTTTCCAATTCATACAATGTCCCGCAGTTGAATCAGCCACGACAATTTGGTTCAATGGACTCTGCTAACCTTGGCAATATGCCATCCTTTATCGATACTGGCTTTGAAATGGATCAACCACAGTCAGCTTTTGGGAATATCGAAAATAGCTTCGCTCAAAATAAGGTTGAACACCAACCTCGATCTGCATTCGGTTCGATCGGCTCCAATTCTTTTCCAATGCAATCCAATCAGAGCTTTAACCATACACCTCACTCCGCCATGGAATTTTCCATGAATCAACCTTTCGTCACGACTTCTGCTCCCGTGTCAGCATACCAAGCTTCAAATATGCTAGGCATAACAGATCAAAGTACATTTGGCTTCGATTCTTTGACTGTTAGTCCCATGAGCAACTACCAACAAATACCAATGAGTCGTGCTCAAGGTAGCTCTTCTTCTTATGGTCAATCTCCTCAAAACATGCAGAATTCTCTTCAGAATATGCAATATTACGGCCACCAATGATGATTGGTATATCTTTTGACATATCTTTGACATAAATGATATCTTAGCTTCACGGAGTTGTTTGAATTTTGGGGATTGGAGTCTCTGGCATTTCAGTGAAAATATCCCTTCATGTATTGTAGTTACATATACCTTTTCTTTTTATAGCATAGATACCACCATGTTCATTTCTTTTTCTTCTTTTTTCTTGGTTATCATTCATGTATGGGAAAGTGGTGTTAATTGGGGTATTTTCTTTTACGAATGGATGCTGGTATTAACCAGTATACTGAGGATCAATCAAATATAGTCAGTCCATACATGATTTATGAGTTAGGTGTTAGGTGTTAAGTGCTATCTCTAGTCCATTTGATCATTTCTCACGTGAAATAAGTTACAAAATAACAGCACAATTTCGGTTACGATTGTCCACTGGTCGACACATGATTTTCCTTTGCTTGGTCAAGATATAATTTTTGCTTAGAAGGTTCTCCTAAATTCCTTGGTACCAAAGCCTTGGTAACTCACTTATTGTGGTCTGGATTGAAGATCATCCAGCTGTAAACTTGGTTGACAGGAGTGTATCGTCCTAGTCGCTCACGCTAAATTTTCCCCGCTTTGGCAAGTGCCGACGGGTGTGGCGTATCTTTAAGATAACCTCATAACTTGTTGATGGACTGTATGGGAAATTCGTGGCGAGGAGTGATGTTTATTTGGATTTGCGAATCTTTTGATATGCATGAATGTGTATAATGTGTAATGGGACGTTTTGAAAGTATAGATGAGATCCGAGAAAAGCCTTGGTTGATGTTGGGAGTGTGGGAGGGGAGGTTCGAACCGGCTTTTTAGGCCTAGGAGCTAAGAATGGGAGTGTATTTAGTGCAATGAGGAAAGCTGATTGACCAATGATAATCATAGGTCTATGGGCTACTGTCAGTATTATCAACCTTGATAGATACAGCTTGGACTCGCATCTAACAGGTAAGTACACTCCAAGTGGAGAGAAGCCGTCTTAGTTTCAGCGTTATCCTTCATTCTGCTAATAACGCAGGTCATGTACTTCATGCACGTCACTTTTTGGAAAAATATAGCATCAGTAAAACCAGGTGACTGCCAAATTTTAGTGCTCCCCCAGATTCCAATTTTGTATAAAGTTTTCCACATTCCCATTTCGACGACCCACTTTTTATTCTTCATGAACTTGTTCAATACAATTTCCAAACATGACAAACTCAGTAGATACAGAGCCAAAGGGCCCTCCTCATCCTCATCCATACGATGACCCTCCTCTCTCCTGGTGGGAAATCTTCAGATGCTCTTTCCCTGCCTCGGGAGGTTTTCTCTTCGGTTATGATGCTGGGTATATTAACGGATGTCTTGGAAGTAAGTTCTTGCTCTTCTCTCACTTGCTTGCCCTAGTGTTCCGTTTTTTCCCTTGAGCACTTGGTTCCCAATTCATGCACAATTATTTCATTCAATAACTATAAATGTACATATACTAATCGAATCTCATCAACAGTGGATTATTTCAAATTGGCTTATGGCGAACCCTCAACTGACCCTCTGGGTTTCCAGGGTTACATGTATCCCACCTGGGCCAAATCTGTTATAACTTCCCTACTTTCCGTCGGTACATTCCTCGGTGCCCTAGTCTCCGGCTACTCCTCCGATAGATTCGGTCGTCGTAACACTATTCTCATCGGCTGCGTTATCTACTGTGTCGGTGTCGTTCTCCAAGTCGCTCATCCATCTATTGCTCTACTATCCGCTGGTCGTACCATCGCCGGTTTTGGCATCGGTTTCGTATCCGCCAATATCGTTGCTTTCCAAACTGAGATCTGCTCTAAGAAGATTCGAGGTCCCTGTATTAGCGTGTATCAATTTGGTATTACGATAGGGTTACTCATTGCCTCGGGAGTTAATCAGGCTACCAAGCGAATTCAAAGTAATGCCTCCTTCCAGATCCCTATTGGTTTGCAATTTGTCTTTGCGGCAGTCCTGTTTCTAGGTTTGTGGTTGATGCTTCCTGAATCCCCCAGATGGTTTATCTCCAAGGGGAGACAAGAGGAGGCTAAGCATGCTTTGAGAATCATGCGTGGTCGTCACGATTATGATCCGTATTTGGAAAGAGAGTTTGATGTTATGGTAGAAAAGACGAGGGAAGAGATGAAAAATGCAAAGGGTGGATGGAGAGATCTTTTCACCGGAGGTTTTACTTGTGGAAGTAATCTTTACAGAACTTTTATCGGTACTAGCGTGCAAATGATGCAACAATTAAGTATGTCCTCCTACCTTATACATGGTTGGAGATTATCACTAATGATTTTATAGCCGGTGTTAATTTCATCTTCTACTATGGTACTACATATTTCGCACAAGTCGGATTAACGGGTGCTTTCCTCCTGTCTACTATTACAAACGTCGGTAAGTAATTTTTATTACACAACACATCTTCCTGATACTTAAACTAACACAACCTAGTCAATGTTCTCTCAACCCCAGTTTCCTTCTGGAGTATCGAGCGATTTGGTAGACGTCCACTCCTTATCTACGGCGCCATCTGCATGGCAGTAAGTGAATTCATCATCGCCATCGTCGGCAGCGTCCTCTCGGAAAACAAAACCGCCCAATGGGTTCTCTTCACCTTCGTCTGCGTGCACATTTTCTTCTTCGCAAGTACCTGGGGTCCCACCGGCTGGGCCGTATCAGGTGAAATGTTCCCGCTCGCTCTCCGCGGTCGCGGAATCGCTCTCAGCACCGCCTCAAACTGGCTTTGGAATTTCGTAATCGCATTCGTAACGCCTTATTTAGTGGGTGAAGAAAATGCCAATTTGGAAGCTAAGGTTTTCTATATCTTTGGAGGTACTTGTGCTATTTCCGCCGTGTTTGCTTATTTCTTTATCTATGAAACTAAGGGTCAGTCGTTGGAATCGATTGATCGCATGTGTGCGGATCCGGTAGGCAAGGTTCCTAGAAAGAGTGCGGCGTGGGCGAAGAAGAGAAAGGAAGCGGGTTTGGATGCGTCGGTTTCGAATAATGCGTGGTATGAGCCTAGAGAAGATTTGGAGGCTTTTATGGAGAGGGAACATGGAGCTGAGCAGGCTGCTGCTGGAGCTGAAACTGGAACTGGAGCTGGAGCGGATGTTAATGTTGAGGCTGCACCTCCACAGGTGAGGAAGAGATTGGGTGATTCGGATGTTGGGAGTCCTGCTCCTTCGAATCGGTATGTTTTTTCTTTTTTATTAATTCTTTTTATTTTTTTACCCTTTCGATTTTGTTTCCCTTCATCTCATTCTACTTTCCTAATTTCTCATACGTCTTCTACTCTCCATTCCCTCCTTTCTGCTCCAAACCCCTTTCAAAATATACAATAACTAACACTAAATATAGTTCCAAATAAGGCCCATCAGCCCAAATGGTCTAGACAGCTGCGAGACAGAGACGACAATAGATAATTGCGAGATTTGGTTTTCCTTTACATTTCACACTCACTCGTTGGTACACTTATACTCATATACTTTTCTATAATCTTATATATTACATAAGTAATGTTTAACGAGGTATGAAGGGTTAGACGGGAAATGGGGGGAAAGGAAGTGGAGTTGAGTTGAAGAATAGTAAGGTGAAGATAAGGGCAATGTAATCTTAATATTTACATGATTGCTTAGGGTTTATATAACTTTTATATATTCCTATTGTATACACTCGAGTATATGAACTATATGACTAGTACCTAGTACCTAGTATCCATATAATAAAAGAACATATTCTGTAATTATAGCGATACACACGGTCCTGCTATCTACTCCGTCAACAATACCTCAAGTTAGAGGGAATACCACTTTACTATACCGGTACAAGAATTTGGCTCTATCTATATATAATATCTAATATGTTAAAAGAAATGAACTTACACAGGGAATAGTGGGAAGCTGATAGGGCAGAACTGAGGCTATATTGGTCTAGTATATTAATCACTCACTATCTAAGTTCTACGGAAGTGCGAAGCTCTCCTACAGAGAGCTTCTCAATCTAGTCCTAATAGGACTAGTACCCTGTGCACGTGCTACGCAGGAACCATTCACTTTAACATAAATTGATATTTATATTAATAATCTTATATAAACTTATTTTATCATTGTAATATCGAATATCTGTTGGATTTATTATTAATAACTATATTAAATGATTATATATATTAGATTACTCCTAATCATTATACCTAGTTATAGATCAATCCATCAATCAATCACTCAATTCTCCCTTTCTCTTTGATTACCTAGGTAATTATTCAGATCTTAAATATATCAGATATGAAATATACTTCAATTATATATTTAGATACTTAATAATTCATAATCCAGAATCCAAAATCAATATGCCCCAATTGTATCATACATCTCCCCCCTCCCAAATACACAAAAATAGACACTAGATAAATAAACTTCAATAAATTTAAGAATTATATATACATATACACTTACACACATGACTGACTACCTATAACTAAGCAGGCATATGTATCTGAGACATATACAGCTAACTCACTACATACCTAGTACTTAAACATCCATAAAAGCACTTATAATTTTAAAATTTCAAATTCCCTATTGAAATAATTCATTATTGTATATATTAGATAACCTTATAGGATAGGTGAATCGATATCCCCATGCTTTTACACCGGGTATGATGTATATTTTCAACGCCAAACTCCTCCGTGTTTCCACCGCATTATCATCTTTCTTTCTTTCTTTCTTTCTTTCATCTTCATATATGCATATCCATGAACATCCATAACCATCATCAAAGCGCAAACACCAAAGCCAAGCCCACAGCCACCATCAAACAACCCTGCACACCCATACTTCGTCTCTCCGCCGCCCCAAGCCCCGTATATTGCAACGGACCCCCCGTACTAGTCGCCGTCCCATTCGAACCATCACGAGTACTATTCGTCGTCCCTTCACCATCATCACTATCACTACCTCCCACTACACCATCCAATAAAGTAAAATTGGCACAGGTGATGCGAGTAGTATTTCCAAAATGTAGCGTTATAGAGCGATTACCGAAGAAACTGCCTAGACCAGGGAGTGTGGATGTGAAATCATCGACGTAGGATGCTTGGAAGGGGTCTGCGGTTATTTTTCCGTATTTGCCCGAGAGATCGCCTACTTGACAGGTTTGCGGGAGGGAGGAATTACAGGCGGGTGTTTCGCCGCGGATGAAGGGGTCGAGGTGCCCGAGGGTGCCGGTGCAGTTTCCGTCTGAGGGGACGGGGTGCGCGTGGATGTGGTAGACTGGGTGGTGTGTTAGTAGGAAGGTAGGGTGGGTGTATGATGGGAGTTACTTACGGAATGGACCACCGCTGGTAGGGAGATTGGAGAATTGAATTTGGAATTGAACACCAATGCCATCAGGGTTTGCAGTTGCAGAGACAGAGCCTTTGATGTTACCACGTGGATCATCAGGATTAAAGAACTCTGTATCTGGAAGTGTGGCGACGTAGATTGGACCGACGGGATTGTCTTCAGGGATGGTTGCATTGCCCAAGGTACCGGTTATGGGAAAAGTTGTAGTTTGCGCATGAGCTAGAGCGAGGATTGTGGTCGTAATAACCGACGAGATCATTTTTGAATGCATCTTGGTGGTGGGTAGAGATTTGATTAAATGTGAGACTTTAGGTATCTAGCCAGGAAAAGTTCTTAATGAAATGTGTTGAACTGAAGAAGAAAGGTCGTGATTTGAAGTGGTATAAATATTCGCAAGTAAACAAACACTCAGGTTGAAACGGAAGTAAGGTTAGATTTGAATGGTATAGTGGGTATCCAAAGCACGACTTTCGACTACCAAGGATACGATAGTATTGAAATTAATTGAAGAATAATGATTCAAAGGAACGAGAGGATATAGATAAGTCAGTTCTTAAAGAGGGGGATAATAAAGCTTTATCAAGCACAGATAGTGGATCATACCATCCCAAGGATTCACTCACTGTACAAGAATCACATCCGGATAATGGGATAGAGAGCCTTGTCATATTTTGTCCTACCGTTCCACCAAACTTGTACGGGTGCAGATGCTTTGCAGCAAATTAACTGCGCCATCCTCTTTCCAGCAAATTGGAGGCATATCTTTAGGTTCAAGCGTGGAAAAGAGTGGGTAGAGGTTATACACACTCCAAACACTTTGAATGCAATCGGAAAGCCGTGACCAGTTCCTTACTTTGAATGTGAGCAAATCAAGAGCATTGAGGCCGCATATCAGTAAGGCTGTTTCGAAATTCGGGTGAGGGAAGTTAATGACGCGGGAGATATTTCGGATCTGGCAGGTTCTGCTTGTTTCACTTAACCATAGCGATTCGCTACGAACCCCTAGACCATCATTACCAATGGGTGTACGGACTTACGGCAAAGTTGAATGGATTGATATTCTCAAAATAGTTTGTTTGTTTGTTGTTTTCCAAATTTAATCAAATAAATTCAAAATATATCAGACAATCAAGTTTATACAATCTGACAAGAAATCAATTATGGATCTAAAGTAGATATGGCTTGGATAGTTCAAATCGTTTCATGACTCCGCACAAAACATTAGTAGAGCGTAGAATTGAGCATCTAATCGAGTGGAAATGAATCGTAAAGAGGAGCCTGAACAGGATCAACATGTTGGTGATGTCTATCCTAACTCCTACAGGCAATCAATTTTATTGAGTAACGACATGGAATTGGAATTTGATGTTGGGATTCTGGTTGACGATATCCAATAGCATTGTGAATTTGTGATTGATATGATGTTGTTTTGTTGGTTCGTTCACCATGCACTCTACTCTACAGTCAGTTGAAAGAAGATTTGAGACATGGATTCTGATTTTGGGGTAACGCTAACTTGCTAAGGTTAATTGATTAAGCTTTCCTTAGTTTGATTGTAACCCCTGAACTCCGAGCGTTTAGAACCTTGCGTCAATCATCCATCTGTGCTCTTTTTCAGGAACACGGGCAATGGGGGACGCTTTGATGGGTTTTGCCAGTATGTGGTTTCTAATCCAGATGAGAATGTTACTTAACATGTCAATTGGAAGGCTTTGTATTTACAAGTACCGCGCGCTACTTCCCTTTCCAATTTACCAAAGTACCGTCTGTACCTTCATCTAAATGTTTCGTTTCACAAACATTCATCGTCATGATATTGGTTGGCTGCGCGTACCTGTGTCGGTACTACAATAAGCGAGCGAATATGCAAGATGAAAGAGGCGCAGTAGTGTGTGTATACGGAGTATTCATAGGATGACCGCATATGTTGCCGCCGATATTGATGAAATGGCGAATGAATCCTGTATGGTATTGCATGCTTGTCACCATGTAACCAGGAGTTACCAAAATTTGACTCAAGGTAAGGGAAATCTAAAGATACCAGTTACGCTACTGCCGAGCACATCCGCTATTAATTTTTTGATACAACGGGACAGAGGCAGCGTTTCACAAACAAACCCTCTATCTGAGCGATTTGCAAGATACGAGTCGTCTTCCACGTATCCTTGGCATCCGTTCGTTAAAACAATAATTTGCAACATAAGCTTTCACAAAGTCATTCCCGCCTGTTCGAACTTTTGACAGAGAGCTTGGCTAGGATCTGCAAATGGTATCGATCCAGAAACATCGGACCGTTAATGCATAGATGAGTGGTGGGTAATATTGGCTGGATATAACAACAAATGTTGGTGATGTTCACGCGTTCGATAGAGACTCCAGGAAATGAGGAGGGGGCACCCGAATCGTTGTCAGTATACAAAATATCGGCAGATTCCTTTCGCAGAACAATGCTACAGAACTTCGCCTAATCAATTTCTTACAAAGCAATATAAACCAGCAATCCATGTCCTGATCATCTGACATGTTGGCGACGACCACATGAGTGGATCCTGAGATGAGGTTGCGTGATTTGCTCATGTCTAGATGGCATTGTCTCGTCTTCAGTCCTGAGTCTCATTGTGGTATAATGCCCCAGATTCTAAGGCCAATAGTATACTGGTCAACTTGAGTACCATGGCATTGTATGTTTACCTATTGAGAGTCCATGACTGTGTGTGAAAGATAGGCAGGTTCTGTGAGCAATTGATACCTGAGTAGATGAATAGTCCCTCTGTATGGTTGAAGCAAGGAGGACAAAGTAGTGTAAGTAGTATAGAATATCTAAAACTTCAAATCTGATAAGGCACTGTAAAAATGTGTATCCTCATCCAGCATATGTCACGAGAAAGATCCAGATGAAAGAGTTCTCTAATGCTTCGAATTCAAAGTTTAAGCCTGCAAACAGAAATTGCAACCGCATTTAGATATTTTCATGATGGATGACGTCTTCCAAGTACAAGTATCATAAAAGAATCATCTAGGAATCACATTATGATGACTATGAAAAAGGAAATGATGATTGCTAAAAATAAAGTTGTAACCACTTGAATAAAATCTAGTGGATGAGAATTGGAAGTTGCAGCAGCTTCACAAATAGTAAACGCCAAGACATATTTTTAAGTTCCGACTTGCCGACCTCTCGACGACAAGCTCCAATTCCATCAACCTCCAAACATCCATCCACCAACCACCACCACTACCACCTACCAAATCCCACAACACTATCGCAAACTCCACAGAGCTCGCTCCCCTTCATCCACATCTATTCGCTCGCAAAGAGTATCCTAACAACAAGATGAAGCCCGTCGTAGGAGTAATGCAAGCTTGGTCTTGGTTCGTGCCCTAATCACTACCTAGTATTCCACCTCTTTCAATTTCTAACTACTGCGCAGTATCGTCATCTCGGTGTTTGCCATTATCATCCTCTCTATCATCGGTGCTCTATTCAAGAGCAACAACCACGCACTTTTAGGCGGAAAAGAAGATCCTGAAGATGGGGCTGCGGTTGCCGCTACGGTTTTTGGTGCTGTAGTTGTTTATGCGGTATGTTTGAATGGAATATTTCGATGATTCGGGATTCGATAGGCTTTTATCATTTTGTTCTATTCTTTTTCTCAAGCTAATTTGTATCCCGATTGATAGGTTTTCATTGTCGGCTGCGGTTTCCAAGCTTTCCTGCATTTCCGCGATAATCGAAGAGGAGCTATCTCTCTTTCTTAATGGGCGACTGGCGACTGGTGGCCACTGAAGGTATATATGAGACAGGCATAGAATTTTGGGACTGTTGAAATGGCGTATGGTGTTCGTTAGTTTGGACCATTTTGATCGATGGAGCGTGTATGGAGAGTGGCATGAAATGGAATGATAATACTGGTTATTGATACTATGAACTACCTATGGAGGACCCCAGCAGGATTATTCATGGCGACTCAATGTGCTTCTCGACGGTTATATTTTTCTGTGCCCGGTTGGCATGAAACCTTGTGACTGCAATGGTGACCGTTGTTTCAGTATTCTCCGCATCTTCTTCAGACGCACAGGTTTTAAATGGAAGGCGATATTCTTTGTTGTAGTTGCGAACAATTTCATGCCTTCATCAGGCCTTGCTCTTCCTGTGGTTGTCATTTCTTTTTCAAGACTTTTACTCTGTTGTCGCCACCATCTTGTCGGCACACCGATTACCGCTATTGATATTTCTTCGGAGTATTTAGTTACACTCTTGGCCATCATCATACATATCAATTCAATCGAGCCAGTTTATCATACGAAGTACAATTGTTATTATACTCTCCATAGCTTAGATAGCTGTAGTTGTGAACTTGCAACAGGCCTCTTGAGGGTGCTGCAGGCAGGGACATTAATGAGAATTCATCATTACCTACCAGCTAGTCATGCTCTGTTTCTGAATTGCCCTCAACTGATGTCAGATCATTCCAAATGACACAAAGAACCCAATATAATCCTCCTGTGTGGAGGCTACATAGGATAGGGAACCTCAAGGGCTTTTCTTTCATTGAGAGAGAAGTCACTGTAGCCCGTTCCATATGTATCGCCCTAAAACATCTGAATGAATAAATTGCTCTACAGTTGCTGCATGGACAGACATTCTCAATCAAATAGGGTGATTAGGACCTGGTGTCACATTATGAATGAGTGCATACTGAACAAAAAGTTCAAACTCCTACTCACATAATTCTACTCTTGTCTGCTCAATATATCTCAAAGTGAAATGATAATAACATGTATCTATTTATTCCGACCTTATTTAAGGCTTCTCAAATAATACCACATCTATACCTTCTCCCAACAATGTTCCTGCTATCATCAACTCTCTCCTCACTTTCATGAGTTGATAAGTTTGAATATCTACCTTGTTGGTCTTTCCTTTTCTCACTTTTCTCCTGTCTTGTTTATTATATATCAGTCACTTTTCCGATATTCGGAATATAAATATCTTGTTAACTTCTTAACAGCTCAACTCCCAGCAGCTTTAATATCGTAGACCTTGCTTGACTTCTCTTTTCCCTCTTCCAAAAATAATAAACAAGAATACAATACAATCCTAATTCTTTCACCTTTTCCCTTCCACTTCTATCCATCACAATACAATACAAACAACACTACAACTTCTACAAAATCCACTCTTCCGCCCATCCAATCACTCAATCCCACAATTTTATACCTATACTCCCAATCTCAATCATCAACCCTCACCATGCATATCCCAAACATCCCAAGCCTCCTCAAACTCTCCCTCCTCCTTTTCACATTCCTCTGCATCGCAGCCCCAACTTCTGTGTTTACGGCTCCGGCGGGTGCAGTGGTTGAGTATACGCGTGCTTCTCAGGATTCTCGGAGTTTTCAAGATTCTCATTCTGAGATTAATCTTGTGGAGCTTGCTGAGAAGAATGATGGTTCTGGGGATTTGGTTCGGATTTCTGGGGAGAGTGATGGGATTGCTGATGGGATTGCTGATGGGGTTCGGTTTGTGTGAGTTTCTTTGCGGGTTTTGAAGTGTTCTTTTCGCCTCGTACTGCTATTTTTTTTTTCCTTTTAATTTATTTGTATTCTTGGAGAGATTGATTTGATATTGTTACTGACTATCTAAAATTCTAGCGAGAAGCGTGACGGTTCTGCTGATTCGATTCAACTCGATAATACCATCAACCTCGTTCAACTCCCTAAGAAGCGTCAAGATACCCCGCTCGATCTCATTCAACTCTCAAAGCATGCCATTCCTACCAACCTCTTCCAACTTTCGGAGAAGCATGAAGATTCCCCCATCAACCTCATCGAATTCATCTCACTCACTAACCATCAAACCCACAAACATAAATCCACGCATCCTCGTAATGTCCAAGATACATCCATCAACCTCGTCAAACTCAGCAATCGTCAAGATTCCCCCACCAACCTCATCGAACTCAGCAATAGCGCCAAAGCAAAATATCTCCAAACTAGACAAAATGATTGCGGTTCTTCACCATATCAAAACCCTTCATGTAGTGCTGCTGGTGGCTTGAGTGTTCGGGGTTTTATGGTGGTTGCTTTTGTTATGGTTGCGGTTTTGATGGTTTGAGGGGGCTTGTTCTTGGTCTTGGTCTTGGGGTTTAGGGGTTGTTGGGCTGTTTATGGGGGGATTATGGGTGGATGGATGGATGGGTTTGGGGATATCTTTGCGGTGGATTTGGTGGGATGCTCGATGTGAGCGTTGGTTTTAGGTTGGGGGGTTTCAGTTGAGGGGTTTTAGTTGGTGGATTTTACTTCATGGGTTTTACTGTATGGATTCTACTTTATGGGGTTCATGCTATGGGATTCACTTTATGGGTTTTACTTCATGGACTTTACTTCATGGGGTTCATGGGGTTCGTGGATTTTACTTCATAGAGCTCATTCCTGCTCATGGTATTACGATTTTTACACATTGCTTTCAGCATGGACATTACACTCGCGCAGATTATTTTCATTCAAAGTCATTCTTCAGATGAATTATCATCTGATAGACAACTTTGCTTCGATCCGTATTTAGATTTGAGCAAACACCAATGATGAAATCCATCCATGGTATGGTTTTCACAATATCAAATTTAACATACATAACCTTAAGTGATATCAATGCAGTGCCACAACAGCCTTAATCATAACTTCTACATTCATGCAGCGAAAGTCTTAATCATGTCATACCTAGCTTGATAATTCCAATGTTGATCATCCCATCATGCATATTAGATAAATTGTATAGACAAAAAATGTGATCGCCATGTGATAGAAAATGTGACAAAATGCGGGGTAAGAACCCAATACATCTCCCGAGCGTAACCCTCCCTATTAACTCCCGAGTTCTGTCTCCCTTCTGCATCGCATCTTCAACAACTAGGTAATTAGCCATCTTGGCCTTTTCCTCCTCTCTTCAGATTCATCGTCATTAACCCAACTCCAATCCTCTGCAGAAACCTGCCTTGCCCATCGGCTATCCCAATCCCAATCGATATCCCAATCCTAAATACTCCCATTATTACCCCATCTAGAATATTGAAACACCACACCCCATGCACCTCAAGAATTCGTCTCAATACCCTCACATCATGTGTCATAAAGCCATGTACCCAAATCCGAATCTAGTATCACCAGGCCCGAGCGATTGGGTAGCGGCTCCGTCCTCTGTGTACCGGTGAAGTACGCATGGGATACGCATGGATGCCATATTACTTATATTGAAACCACGATACCACAGTAAGCTTACTCCGATCCCCAATCAATTCACAAATTTCATCCCTTGCCTTCGCAGTTCCACAATCTCCAATTAGTGCACTTCACTGGCTGGATTCCTCGATACCGTGATTATTCAAGCCGTACTTGTGATCTTCCTTTCTTCAATGGCTTCTCGGTGCTTTCATGGAGGCGATACTTATCAATCCCGAAGCCACCGCTTATCTTACATCCAATTCCGTATTTCTATATTCTAGACCCCTAGAACCGCCCGTATTCCACATAAAACCACGAAAGAAAAACGAAAAGCTAGAGCAAAAGCACCTGAACCGTTGTCTCAACCCAAGTCGCAAGCGGGAGACGGGGAATCTCGCAGCTTCGCGGGCGCAGATAGACGAAATATGATTTGTGAGCGATATATTCCCTAAGAATGCAAGAGACCATTTTGAGGAATCGCGCTGTCGAGCTCCATGATTATCAGAGCCGATATAGGCGATATAGGAGAATAAAAAACGTAAATGAATGGATGCGGGAACGATGTGAACTGGTACCCCCTTCTCGGACATTTACGTCGTATGTTGATGCCTTTCGGGTTATTTTGTCTGTCTGTGTAGTGTCGATGGAACCGTGACGCTGAAAGGGAAAAAAATTATTTCTCAATAGGTTATATGATGTGATCTGATAACTACATTGGGCATCACCCATTACCCCAATCCATTCTCTCGCCATCGACGGTTAGTCTTGTGATTATCGGATGCATGTTTCTCATGTTTTTCTCGCTTTGAAATGCGCATCGCTCATCTTCATCTTCAGGAAATAAAATAAAAATTAAGAGAAAATCACAACGTGTAAATCCCGAGGTATGTAAGATTCGGTAAAAGAAAAGATCAATCAAGAAAATCCGATCCTAGTCAGTTGAATCGGGAAAGTGCTTATCATATGAAAATATAAGGAAATCGGTACATGTGGTAGGTAACCTTATACAGAATATTTCTGGTACTCCATGTACTCCGTGTACCATACATATAGTTACATTCGCCTTGGAGTTTCTCCCTAAGCGCTGAGAGTTCGTTCCGACAAACCAACAAACACTGGTACGTACGTGTACATACGTGTATGTACATACATAACATACATTAAGTACCGAAATTATATATGTAGAGACACCAGAGTCCGAAAACCGAAAACCGACAATAAGATCAATAGCCGAGTGTAATAAATCTGAATCTAGAAACGGATGCAGGAAATTCCATGACATAAAAGAACTTATATATTCAATGATATGTATAGAATATGCAATATGCAATATGCAATATGCATGCAAGAAAGATGATTGGTTCTCGCATCTCCCCAAAATATCTGCACGCGTAAGATCCAGTTACACGTGTGGACATACTACATACATAGACACACAAATCAGACGAGATAGCTGAAGATCTGAAACCTTGGAATCAATCGCTTACTTGTAAAAAACTACATATTGACTGTACGGAGTATATATGCTAAAGTCAAGCAGCAGGATCATGCATATGCAATCTTCGCCTACGCAGCAGCCAACACACAACAGCAACCCAACGTACAACCACTGACCATGACACAAACATGTACATACGTGATGAAAAGTATCAACGTACCATCTCACGAAGAACCATTCTTAAGCGCCTGCTCCATCACCACACCCCTGACCCCACCAAAATTTTTCAATTGATCGTTCCAAGCATTTGGAACCGACCCCCGGCATGCAATGTAACCAAGCGCGGTGGTGATCACCCTTTGCTCCTGCCCTTGACGACCTTATTCAAGCCCCAAAAACTTTTGGCTTTCGATAACGTCTTTTCCGGTCTCTTTCCCTTTTCTTCCGTCGGCCGTGACTCTTTTGATTTTCCCTTTTCATTTTCATTCGAATGCCTTCTTTCCCGTTTCTCGGGCCAAGTTTTGTGGCCCACTCTTTTATTCACCTCGTCCAAATATTTCACTTCCGTTGCCGACATCACTATCGCACTATCATTTGACCCGGTTGAAAGATGATGCACTGGCGAATGATAGGTTGTTGAATGACTTGTCCGTGGTCTCTCCCGATTAATCTCGTAATCGTACAATTCATATCTTCGCAGTGGCCGTTCCCTGGGGCTCTGTCTCAGCTCCGTGCTGAGGGGAAAAAGCTCTCTGATAGGCCAATTTCCTGGTACTTTTACGACAACTGGGCCAACGGCTCCTTGATTTCTGACCATTAGTGATTTATTTTGCGGCTGCGCTGTAATGATAAGCGATTGCTCTGAGTCTTCAACAAAGGTTTCCAACATGAAGGCGAGGAAATTGTCGACATCGGCAAGGATCGACATAGCTCCTAAACTGGCTCGCACCACACCCGTAGGCTTACCATTGATTATCTCAGTGTTGTCAGATTCGCTGCATCGGTGGCCAGCTGACCAAGCTCGCTTGAAATGCCAGGGTGCTACCTTGAGGTAACTTGCAATGCCTCCAGGATTGCAAAGCCCGCCAGCTCTTACGTATATGTCTTTCCGGTTGGCTAACTGTTCTACTGTCGAATAAGACACGTAACTACCGTCCGGGCGTAGGATATTGAATGCTACCGTAGCACCCTGGGTAGTGGCGTCGGTGTAAGGAGGGGTATTAGTTGCGTCATGGTAAATTTCGCAAACAGGTCGGCCATTAGAATGATGAATGTTGGAAAGGCCCTCATAGAGGCGTCGAGTGAGGAACATGGTATGCTTGGATACGTTCGTCATCGAGCCATAGAGATCATGGTGCACATCAATGGCGCACCCAAGTGCAATGATTGAGTGAAACGGTAATGTACCATCTTCTAAGCCATCATGAATCGTGGCATCTTTTCTGTGGTAAGATGCTTCATGAAGTACTGTCAGAGATGACACTGTGCCGCCACCAAAGTATTTGCGCCAAGTCAAGATGTGAGCAGATTTTCTGCGAACTATCAGAGCTCCCAGATCGGGAAAACCAAATATTTTGTAAAATGAAAGGACTGTAAAGTCAGGAGCCGCATCTGGATCGCTAAAGTCAAGTTGAGCGGTTGTTGCGAGGCCCGCAGCATCCAAGAGCGAGTAAGTATTTTGGTGTGAAATACGAGTAGATGCCCGTAATTTTTTACTCCAGGAGAGTGGTAATCGACGACCGGTCATATTTGATTGTCCGGGAAATGCAAAAATTCCTGGCGTTTCATCATCTTCCCTTCTCCCGGGTAAAGATCTATAACCGAGTAACCAGTCTTCCACTTCTTGGTCGGTAGTGAAGCAGTGATGCTGTCCATTGGTATGCTCTCGCGGACCAACGAGACTCGTATGGGAATCTTTATGATAGCCGTACCAGAATGATCCTGACGTTGAGCTCTCTAGCGCTAAGTCTCTGAAACTTTCTGCGACCAATTTGATTGCTGCGGTAGCATTTGCGGTGAAGACGAGGTCAAAATGAGCGGGATCGGCTCCAAGGAACTTTAATGCCTTTTCACGCACAGAGTCGACGACAAACCCAGAAAGCTGTGCTGGAGCTGAGGCGGAGTGTGGGTTGCCAAAGAGATTTCCCACCATCTCTTTGGAAAACTTGTCTATCAGAGACTTCGCATAGATAGCTACACGCATCATGATTAGCATTGCATAATGTAGATAGTCTCCGAAGACCAAGGGAATGAATCTGGCAATCCGACGAGCAGAAAGGCCAATTATTGAAAACCATTGCTTAGGATCAATGGGATAACAGGAGTGATGTGGTAACGTCTTACTTGTGCCCGCATGGTCAAGATATGTTTTCCCTGGCCAGATTTAGCGATTGGAAGTTCTATCAGCTCGGAACCGTTGTGTGAACTTACCTCTCATCATAGGATACTCTTCTTCTCTGAAGGCCTCGACCTGTCGGTTGTATGCCATAGTGTTGAAATTCTGAAAATTCGGTTTTATATAGAGACAGTTACTAAAAACAACCGAAAGTAACTGCCCATTTCTATATGTACAAGTTCGAAGGACTCGGAGCAAGATGGGTTAAAAGGAAAAAAAAAAGCGCTCAGGCTAATAGTAGCCTGTGACCTGATAGAGCTTTAAGTAAGCTGTTATTGCATACCCTAACCTGGAGGCACATCCGTGAACAGTCAAGATGATTGCCAGAAAGAGCGAATGTTGGCCATGTTTGGAGTAGACTCAATCAACGTCCCATTGAGCTTCTGGAGCGAACCTGTAGGGCTAGTATTAGTCATCTAACGTACTGTTAAATCCCATCGTTTGGAACCTGTAAGCAGCTGGGGCGTTGTCTTCAGTAGAACTCTAAATGCTTACTGTACTAAAGGGAATAAGCCATAGGCGTGATGAAAAACCCTGATGTGCCGTGTGAAAATAGAACCGATAGCAATTTGATTGTCCCAAAATGGCAGTCGACCGATCATAGAATGGCTGTGCAGCAAGCCCTGGATGGTGCCTATCACAAAGTGGTTCCTTTAGCGGATATAGCCGCAACCACAAAATTTCTAGGCGGCGCCCGTCACTGGCTGCCATTTGTCCAATTGACATGTTTCCTGCGAGTACCAGCTGTAGTGTGGACCAACTCAATCAATATTGGACAGGCTGCGATCTCGTACTCCAACCTGACGATCTGGGTTTTTTAACGGGTGACATTCCATTTTACCTCTTCCATTTGTTAATCGCGTGAGTATTTCCAACGAACCGAGCGCAAAAGATCTGCATAGTTCAAGGAAATATGTCCAATTCAATTGTGAACCATGGTAACTTTGAAATACTAGTAAACATCGTGCTCTATCCATAATCTGTAACCCTAGTCGTCCATGGAATAGATATTTTTCTGTTTGTAGACCCATGAACAGACTATTGATCTCAAGGATCGAGATATAGATTGGATGTGTGACAATTTCGAAACGTCAATATTACACATTGAAAAGCACTTTAGTTGGGATCAGGACGCCTCTTCAAGCAGATAGTTCCACAACGCTTAAGAAACTCCTCTGAACCGTGTATCCTTTGACGATGATTGATGACGTTTCAGAAATATCTCAGCTAGCATGCAGTGCCGACTTTCGTAGTGGATGTAGAGCCAAGGGACATATCCATGATGATGAAATCCTCAGCCTTGTTGGATTGATAATCAATAATGTAGTACAAGGGAGCACAGGTGGGGAATAGACGGGTCCGAGGTTCATGATATCATTGACTAAGTACCAAAGTGCCGTCGTTCCTGCGTTTGATCGTTGATTTAAGCATAAGCGCTTATCGGCGGGGAAAGGCTCACAACGACGCTGTATCGACGAGTTGAATAACGCTTTGCCGTAGAGCAAGCGCTTGCGACAAGCGTCAGTCTGCAGTTGCTAAGTGTTTGATTGGTCGAAAATTGATACACTTTGTGCGAGGTCGGCGACCATGTCATGAGGTCCCCGATTTATATATTGTTAAAGTATACAAAGAGCCTCTCGGAACATTAAAAAAGAAAAGAATATGTTGTGACAGTTGAGAGTGGATTAAGTTCAAGCTTGCCGAAATTTTGTGTCGCTACATCGAATTTGTGGCGATTTCAATCACGTGGAGGTATGAGCTCAATAATTGGGATATCATCGTCGGAACGAAAATGCTATGGGCCACGTCCTTCAAACCTCTCAAAATGTCCGACCATTTTCAACTAAAATGTGTCCATCTCCTTCCTCGGGAATATCACACCGACGGAGTAATGTCCAATAAGACTTGGGAGATATGGTGAGAGATTCGCCAATGTTGATCGAGAATTGTGATGACAATTTCCACTGGTTCAATTCGCATTTAGACGTTGATTGTCGGTCTCAAGTCCATCGAGTGACCCAAAGTCAAACATCACCGGGCAGTATTGCGAACGATCAGGCGTGCTCTTTGGCTGGTAGCAGAACTCTTTTGTCTCTGTAATTAGTAACCAAGACTTCGCCCGGCCGAAAATTACCACCTCCTTCTGATAAGCCAAAATTAGTTACCTCACCTTTGAAAGGTTCCTATAACGGACCTCGTGAAGCACGGGACAGTCCATGTGGAAGTCTACATACCCAAGATAGGCAATGGAAACCGGACTCTACCACAAGACCCTCACGCAGGGAAAATCATGGTAGTCTCGTAAGAGCCCAATACGTATCCCGAATAATTGTAGAGTCTCCATGGTCATAAATTGGCTGAATATTGAAAGGACCATCATGTTCCAAAACCCAGACAGAATCCCAGGACGCCAGCCGTTTGAGAATTTGCTTTGAGCGTAAATGCTGTAGGCACCTGATGTGATGTGATTTCTTTCACTGTAAAACATTTAGTTTCGAAGTCATACATCTGCCTGAGTTGAATCTTGGCATACTCAGCTTGCTCAACCCGATTTTCTTTCCTCTTGTTATGCTTCTCTGAAGCTCCAACAATGATTGAATTTGATCTTTGGTATCAAAGGAACATCTTCACTGCGAAGAGCTACTCAGAAAAAAAGAATACGTCTAATGCGTTATGGGAGCTATCAAATCGAGTGCCGACGTCCATGCTATATGAAGAACTGCTCCCGCCGGCACTTGGCCTGCATGAGATACCTTCGGCGAACGAATTCGGGGACTATTGATATTGTTGAGGAAATTCTGGATGTTTAAGATGCATTGTAAACATCAACGGCACAAGAGAAAGCATGCAGGCAGGGTGCAGTGTCGACCTGATGGTCGATTGTCACTTCTGCTGTGTAACAATCATGCAAGAAATTGATATTCCGTCTGCAAAGGCTGCAGATTGGCCGCTGGAGTAATTTCATCCGGCCACCAACTAACAAGAGGTAAGAAGAATAGAATACTGCATTTTCAATCGTGAGAAATATGGGATACGATCATGAAATTAAATTATTGACCTAGTGGTCTATGATGCCAGGACAAACCAGACATGCCTCGCCAGAAACGACAAAATGCAGACAAGTTGTTGGCCACAGACATTGTAGCAAGAAACTTTTTAGGCTAATACGGACGAGAATACTCGACATACAAAGTAAAATGATATCCAAACTGAGCGTTATACTGGTGTTTATTTTGAGCCGTCTGGAAAGCACAGGACTGGCATAGACAGGGACATGATGACAATCTACTGTAGATATGCATGCAAATCGAGATTGCTACTGCAGCAAACATGACGAGACAGCCCGACTACTCCCACTCCAGCATTTGACTGAATCGATATGCATGGGATCTTGCATGAAGCCCGGAGTCCAGACATCATTCAGATATGTCCAGAAATTCTTTTGCCGGTACTTCCAGTCCATGCTGGCACCACGACTTATGGTCGTGAATCGTCAACGTGAATGAATGTCTCATGTTCATGTGGCTCGATGTCTATAAAATTACCTAAGCGAATCCTGTGTAAGATTTATAGGACTTATCGTGCGTTAGTGTTGTACCGTCGTGCTTTTGAAGCAGGTGCAGTGTCCTGATTGTGATGATTGCCAATGTTTGTCACCTCAGAATAATAACACTATGCGACATATTACGGCGGCGGTGATTACGTCAAAACGGCAGTGTCCATCTACCACCCTAATTCGTCCATGACTGCAGATGTCAATCAGGATGAAACAAATACAAGTTCGAAGCCCATTTTTGGCGTCTCACTAAGATTTCTTGTCTCTTAGCATTTTAGAGACTAAAGCAATTCGGAAATATACGAGATGAGCGTTGAGAGAGGGCTGATTGAAGATTGCACTCTGGCCGAAGAATACCCCAAGAGATGCCAGACTAGAACAGTCTGAAGATGACTCGGGGCAGGTATGTCATCATATCCGACACTATCATGGATGCGAGCTCCAAGTTCATGCTTAGTGTGCGGTCGGATAGCAGTATCGTATTCAGCTTGGGGCTTCTTAAAAGCTAAATTGATTCAGGAACACCAATCGTTATTCGATAAATTGTGTATTGAAGTGGACATGTGGCTATCAATCCACCTGCATAATTTGCAAGGAAAACTGCTAGATGCTCGTGCTGTTCCCAGAGAGTTTTTTTATTTCAAAAAGCTCCTAACTCAGCGGTCAAAAGCTGAGCCTAGGAATTGATATCCCCGCCAGTAGTGGCAGACTAAGGATAGGTTCCGACTGGCACCAAAGTTTTTACCACCGTTTAAAGGCTTTGTGCACTGAGATTACATGGAAGAGCTTGCAACATAATGCCTTAGCTATAATCGTCTGAAAATCCATTCTTGACACATGTCCCTGAACCTAGAAGAAAGGGATGTAGGCAAGCTAACTCGAGATTATGGATATCAGATCCAAATCCGCTAGGTACGATTGTGTGCTTCCTAAAATGGTGTAATGACGATGATTAACTGAAATATTTGATTGTTCGTCTGATCGTATTGATGTAGAGTATGAATGAAGAAAATATGCCGCATGCATCTGCTCTATTCTTTAGAATGATCGTAAATGAAGTCAAAATTCTGATAGGCTTTCTACATCCTCTCGCCTTCCCCTCTGTCATACTGTCCGCGCTCATAATATCGAATGTCTCGTCTCCAAGGCCCAAAATGGCCCCATGTGTCGTGAGAAATATATGTTTCAATGGGTATCCCGCACATGCAGTCAGCTCATCCAGGGGATATCAGGTCTCGAGTCTTATGGTCAATCCGATCAGTAAAACATAAGCCACAAGACTCAGCGTCGTCAAAATAACCACGGCATTCCCACTGGTCCTAAATTTCTTCCTTCCCATACCATCTCCATCAATTTCGCTGAAGAATTGCCTGTTGCCCTCATACCTCCTATACAAGCTGACCATTAAAACCCCGGCTCCATATGTCGCGAATAATGCCCCAATACTGTAAAATTCGGCGGTAAAGATCTTTAATACCACCAAAGCGAAACTAAATTGTCCCAGAGCGGTCCGTATATATGCTCCCTCGAAGGTTCTCTGGGCAGCCCGAATTTCCACAAGTCTGTATGTTTTCGAGAACATGTCAGCCAGAGTATATACACATACTGATCTCCGCTTTCCTCCTTCCGCGGCTCAAGGCTGCCTAGAATAAAAGGGAACAAACTCTTGCGCTGTTAAGACGACGGATCGCGCTCTATGTAAGCGTAAATGTAATCTATCTTCCGGATGGGGCTCCAGAACATTCAGTAGGGAATTCATCATGAGGATAGAAGTTGTACGGAGTAAGGAAATACTCTAGCACCGGTAGAAGTAGATGAGATTGGAGAAATACCTCGAACATGCCGACAAATCGGCCCAATTTGTGAGTAGACATACCGTAAGTAATATATTTATTACTTGCCGGGGTTTTTGGTGGAGGCCTTGCCCGTGTTACGTTTATCAATATGTTTATGGAAGAAGCTCAGAGCGAATGATGAGGAGTTTAGAGCACGACATCCATTGTACGGTGGTAAGTTGAATCATCATATTTGATTGGTGGCAGAATAAAGGCGGTACAGACTAAATTCGTGATATTGACTTATTTCAATACAACTGGGGGACTTCACATATATATATAAGACTACAAGTTTAGAAACAGTTTTTTGAGTCTTTTTATTTGTTTTAACTGTTAAAAAGCAGTGGTATACTCACTCCCGCTATATATCTGCGGTACACGCATCCAAAATGAGCAGAGATGAAGCAATCAGTCTACTTAATCCCTGCCTTTTTGATAATGTTTTTCCCTTTCTGTTCGTTTTGTCTAGGTATCCGTGGAAAACTCCCCCCTCATCATGAGATTACCTTCCGATGCATCCATCCCACTTTGTATCCCCAATAAACCCTCTCCTCCCAGAAAACGCTTAACCTTTCCCCCTTTGCCCTAAAAATATTATAGAAAAACCAGTCTTAAATCCAATCCATTTCATATCGTTTCGCATCATGATGAGCCCAGTGTTCCGAGTAAAGAAATTCCCAAACTTTCTGTGTCCAGATGCCATTATATACAAAAGGGTGCTTTTCATTTTGTTGATGTGTGTCTTCGATGAGGTTACATTTACAATCATACGTGGGCCAAAAGTCCTTATCGACCTCGCTATTTCCCCGCTCACACTTTGCTCCAATCGCAAAATTCACTATATCGACTTGTCGATATATGCCGGAAGAATAACCAATCCCATGCGCCAATAGTCCAGAATCGTAACCGCGATCCGTGATGTGCTGCTTTTTGATATAAATGTATTTCTGGTTCTACTAACGGCCTGCTGCATGTGGCTGGCCAGCATAATAGACCCCGCCTCCGGAGTTGCCATATCCACCATATCCCCCAGCGCTTTCTTCTTCTTCTACAATACGCTCCTCTCCAGGAGCACCATTCCATGAAGCATATGTATCGATGCCAGGTGAGACCTTCGCATAGCCACCAGTGTACGGTTGGTTCCAACTTGTGTAAGATCCAGCGGACATTGGAGTTGCGGAATGTGTGTAGGCTGTTCCGACTGTTGATGCGGAGGAAATCTCAGCAGCTGAGTGTGGATGCGTGGTTGTTATATTAGGTGGATACATTGCACCATTGGGAGCACGGGTTCTCGCAGAGGCATAAGAATCAGATGGGTGTGGAAGGCCATAAGCGGAGTGTTGATTGCTGGCCTGCATTCCTTCTAAATTGCTATACGAAACAGACCGCTGAGGCGCTGGCCATTCCGGCTCTCTTGAATTAGTTTCGGGAACACCATGGCTTCTGCCTTGCCAGCTTTGCGCCGTCGCCATATGCATGTTGGGGGCGGCGTAAGGTGAGAAACCTGGGGTCATTGGAGATTCCTGAGTGTTGGCGGGCCAGTAATGTCCAGATATGTCCGCTGGCGTTTTGGTACCTGGGGAGACTTCGGGTGCCATCCACGGGGTGTGCCCACCACTGTAGTCAAAATTTCGTGATGTAGCTACCACTATTGTCAGTAGAGAACTCTATGGGAAGGCTACTACATACCTTTGTTTTCAGGAGAAAAGCTCGCGGTCCTTTCCGTTTTAACCTGAGCTCCTCCTAGGTTTTGGATTGATGGCATGTTTAAATGGTACGGAAGGTTAGGCTGCATATCAGGCAATTGGCCAGATGGAATAGATGGTGATGATGATTGGGAGGCTCTTCCATTTCCGCTTTGGGCTTTGGAACCTCGGCGCTTCGGTTCCGGCTGAGGCTGCTGGTCAACCGGATAGAAGTTGCATTCCTTTTTTAATCTAATGCAATTTGAGCATCGATTCTGAGGATCTGCTGGAGCTGGTATGCATCTGATCTTGCGGCGGCGACAGTGACCTGCGAGTGTTAAGTTAGTGTACTCATCAATTTTGTTATATCATAAGAGTAAATCGCCTCTGTCTTCGATGGACGAGAACACTGCTTACCACAAGCTACCGATGTCCTATGATAACCCAACTTGTTTCTTCTCTTGTCATTAACCAAAGCCAAGGCAGCCGCATCAGAATTACTAGACGTTCTGATGTTTGGAGTAGACATTGATCGTTTTGATTTAGATTCTTTAGATGACTTTGACAGAGATGGAACCTCGAGTTCTCCGTTAGACGGAGATTGCCCTTGCCCATGTAAAGGTGAGTGAGATCGAATTGGTTCCATGTGATGATCGTAGTTAGGCATCATGTTTTGATCGGCACCTGGATTCATAGTAGGATATTGGTAGGCTATTGAGGATATATGGTTCGGAATTCCTCCCGAGTAGTTGTGGTTTGGTAGACCGGCCATGTTCCAGAGACTGGACTTCGAGTTGAATGGGCCTTGGACAGAGACTGCCATCAATTGAGGCTATTTTCGCGTATATTGTCGAATGCCAGTGAATTGTCTCGTTTGAAAAAAAAAAAAAAATGTTTGTCGCTAAAACTAAAATGACTTTGATGGTTGATACCAAGAAGCAAAACTGATATTTCTGCAGATCGGACAACAAGCATACAAACATTCACTACTTGATGCTTTTCAAATTAACTTAAAAGATACCTCAAAGGTGGATTGGATCCGATGCATTAAAAGAAGCGAGCTGATGGTGGAACTGTGTTTGATGAGCTCGAGTGAAGCAGGCTGCGGTACTTTTTATTGGCGTCGAAGAGTGGTAGAGAGACAGTGGAGCGGCAAGAAATGCATTCAACCCAGTTGCGCATCAGTTCCAGGGACTTCACGAGCCCATAATTATTAATCTTCAAGTATGTAAGATGCAGGAGGATAGGTAAAGCGAAAAGAATCTGCTGTGGCTTGTGGTGTGGTGGAAAGGACTGATTTGTGCCAGGTAATTCCAAGCGGAGAGAAACAATGCTTCTTGGAGGTGATAAGCAGCCCGTGGGAGTCCAACAGCCTCGACGACGAATGAGAGAAGAGGACTTCGCGCCACAGCAGGACAGTCTGAAAATCCTATCTTTTAGGGTTGGACGTTGAGATATCGGAAGTTATAAACGATGATTTCAGTTCTTCAACAGCAAGTTTGTGGCCGAGAGGATCACCAAGAGATGTGAAGAAGAAAAAGGAAAAGAAATGTGACAAGTCTAAACAATTGATTGACGCTGGTTCTTGGAGAACGATTTAAGGTGTGTGGCAAGGAAGATGGAGAAGCTTTCTTCAGGAAGCATAACCTATACAAAGGGATCAACAAATCTTTCTGGAAACATGCGATGACACCAACCAGCTCCACCCCATGGGTATTGGCAACCCGGATCAAAATGAATGCCTGTCAGCTCCAGCTCCATCTACAGCCCTAGCATGCCTTACTATGTGCCTAGTATCCTGGTACCCTTGTTCTTCTGGCGCCATCGTTTCTATTCTGATGTCCTACCTAGTCCACACTCTGCTGAATGCTGGTGGTTATCTTGGTCCGCCAAACCATATGGCACACTCATGGGACATTATCACACTAGGACTAATACTGTCAGGACCCAAAGAGAGACAGTGCTCATTGTGGCTGGATAAACAGAGGATCTAGTGCGGAAGTATACCATGATGGGGGTCAGTTCCGATGAGATTTGGATCATTTTGGGGAATGCAACAACAAGACTCGGAAGTAATTGCGAAGGCCTTAGCTAACGAAGCAGGATGACCCATTTATTCGGTAATTTATTTCTGAGATCTACCATGCGTGGATTGGCTGTATATTGATATAATGGAGAAAGTGGGCTTTCCTTGGTTCGTTGGAGGTGGACTCGAAGTCCTTGAAAAGGGTTTGTTGTGCATACCAAAGGCTGGCACATTCAATGAACAAGGTATTTTCCAGCTTTTACCTGGGTTCGCCAACTACGAAATTGGTCATTTCTATAGCTAAATTCCCTTAAGAATTTAAGAGCTAACAGTTGGCGGGTAGGGACGCTTATTATCCTGATACATGATACATCTGTCAACCAGTGCGCCCGATGGTCCATATTCGGTGCTGACGACTCGTGCGAATCGGCGAGCTCATAGCTTTTTTGTTCGATAGTACAGTATTGTATTATCAAACGTTAGTATGCAGCCACACCAATAAAATTGAGTTGGTTCTAAAAGGCGTGACGAGCCTAAGTTGTAAAACTAAAACTAAGACAAAACCATGTAGGTTCTAACTCCTTAACGAACTGACTGCTCAAGTACATACTTTTTTTTACTCGAAGCGATGATATACTAGCTAGTTAAAGGAAGATTTGACAGCGGTTGATGTGCTCTTTTGGTTGCATTTCTCACTCCCCTTGATTGAACTCTCTATAACGCCGAGTGACGATGATTTGCAAGATGCAGCCGATTCTCCTTGTAAAATGATTAATGAAAATCCAGATCCGAGGAATGGTCGAAGTCCATTAAGATGCAAATTTTAGTTCCGCACTGTCGTGGATTTGCTTCTCCACACAACTATACATAGCGCCCCCTGCCCCTTGAACTTCTATTGTATGTACTGTGTAGGTTGTACCAAGATCCAAATGAAGTAATACCTGGGTATCATTCGGATGTTATTGTGTTCTCCAGAATATTTCTTGTATTTTTCCGTCATTTAATGCACAACCAGCATTTTAGCTTTCTCCTAGATCCGATACCAAAACAACAACCCCCCATTCAGAAACTTCAGATTGGGTATCACGAGAAGGCGTCAACTGAGTAAAGGGCCCTTGGGCACCCTCCATCTCAAATTTTGTCTCGTTTCCTCGTCATCAATTTGTCTGGCCCCGTGTTTCCTTTCTAAGTTTCAACGAAATGCTACAAGGGAAAGCAACCCCGGTTCTAGTCTCCGAGTGTGTCAGCGGCTGGGCGCTCTTAGGAATTACGGAGTAAAAGTTCTGCATGGATCGTAAATACCCCTAACCTCAGCAGACATTTCTTCCAATTCTCCATAAAGACCGAAGCCTTGACCATTTGTTGCTGTCGATCAATCTCAGCAATCATGATCTTCTAAATTTTCTGGGTCCTTTGACTCAGGGTTCATGGTATGAAGTTGGGTCGTGTTTCTATGTGGTCGTACAGCCGTGGTTTTTCTAGTGAAAACACACCTTTACACGTGGGATTTTCCTTTTTCTTGGTTTAAATTCATGCATTACACCTGTACTGTACATCATTCAGCCTGTATCCGGTATAGCCATGTCGCACTTCTTTTTGATGTACACAATGCACAATTATTATCTGGTAAATGGAACATAACTAATCATGGTGATTAGAATTTCAAAAAATTGGCTTTTTACATCACTATGGAGCCTGTACGAACCCTCCAATCTAACATTGATACATGCATCACAACTTAACAAGCGAGCACACTTCTGAAGATCCTTCTAAGCTATGTTTCTTGATAGTCCGATCCCTCATCCAAGCTCTCGGATTCCCACACCCGGAAACCATCACCTATCGTGAGAATCTGCGGCTAATAATTTACTCGTACGCATCGTATTTTTTCCTACAGCGATGGTGGGCTGCAAACAATCATTCATACGTGTATGTAATATCCATATGCTGTTCATTTCATTTGTTTCCGGATTTGAATATTGCTTAATTTGCTACAATATTCTTCGTCTGATCGCCGATGATTTGGAGACCTGCTCAATCAAAAGAATGCATGATATTACCATACATCGTATGTTGTACACATAGAACAATAAATGATTTATTTATAGGATAATCCGAGTGTTACAGGCACATGCAGACAAGCCACGGTGACCACCACACCGCACCTAGGCCATTGAACCATTCTATAGGGTTGCATGAAGCATGAAAAGCGTGTTTTGCTCGTGGGTACCTTTCCTCAGGAACAATCTGAACGGGAAGTATGTCTTGGAGATGTCAAAACCGTTGAGTATGGTATTCAAATCCATCACATTTCTAGATACATGACGAATCCCATATGAAGAAAAGCGTTATGATATTACTTTTTCCCAAGCCCGTCGATGTCCTTTTGTCACTAAAAACGTCGGAATCACAAAACCACCGAAACGCCATTCTCCGAAGGGTAACTTCGGCTTTCTTATATTTCAGCTCAATAATACTAGGTATTAGCTAGGAACAATTGATATCATCCGACCAAAATTACCAAGTTCAGCGACACGTTCAGCAAGATTGAACGATTTCTTTTCCAATATAAAATGAAAGCGGCGACCGGATCGTCGCCCATTCGTGGGGTTTTGGTGGACGGGGGCTTTGACCGACTTGTGTGGGTTTAGCTTGAGATGAAAAAGTGGGAGTCGAGTAGATAAATGCAGCTTTCTTACTCGTGCGTCATGATCACTATATGTGGGGAGAATTTCATCGCAGTCAGCTGTAAAAAAAAAAACCTTCAAATCAGGCACACAGAGACAAATGCGACATCAATAATCATACTACATATACAAAACATACCACACTGACTGTATTGTACTGTGCAGAATCGTATCGGCATATACGATCACCAATACGTCAATAATGTATATAATCGATATATTTGGTAATGATGATATCTTGGTGTCGGTGGTTGGATATTAGATACCCATACGAGGAACAAATGTCCAAATAGCCGATACTACTTCTAAGTTTTCCCACATGGCATGCATGCAGACTTAGTTAGGCCTTCGAAGCCACGATGATGACACGCTATAATAATATCACTAGTATGATTGATTACCTAGTTCTAGTTGGTGTCCGGGTAGAGTAGATTAGTTAGATTGATGTTCTACTAACTATTGACTAGAGCACCATCTAGAAGTTTCAAGCGACAATTTCAGGGATTTTCGCCTTTTCCAGCATCTGAATGGCTACAACGACCGAGAAAATCTCCGACCACATGGTCAAGGACAATAAGTCTGAAAAAAAAAAAAAAAGGGAGAACAAGGACCCCAGATACAATCCAAACTCATTTCAGCCTCCAAGAAAAGTCCTCTTGTACATTGAGCTAATACAACTTTAACATATTTCTCATGCTTTTATGAGGCGTACAAAAATCTGCATCAATCTGCAGTGGGTTGGTTCTCATTTCATTGGATTTCAGCTCTGGTTGAAACAGGTTGGCGTGGCAGATCATGCCCATTTGTAGAAGGTCCAGATGGACCTTCCTTCGAAATTCTTACAGACTAAAATGGATATTGCCTGTCTCCTCTGTCTCCCTGTACTAGCACCTTATCCTTGTATGCCATGAGACTGCGATCACAGTTAGGTTTGAATGGATTCTGGAAAATTGTCTAATTGTCGATCTTTCACGATTGCGGCTTCCTCCCGCATCCCAAAACATATAAAGGATTTTTGCGATGCTAAATTCAGTACAAGACATACACGCCACCCCTGGAGATCTCCAACATCCTTATTTTTCTTGATACTTTCAAGAAGGTCTTTGTACCTTTTCATGACTTTGAAGCCAGAAAAGGAAATCCTGTGGCTTCTCGAGGCTCGTTCCTTTCCTTTCCGGTAATTCTTATCTCGCCCCAGTTTCCCCTTCCGTCAACTTACCTTTCCTCGGTCTGATCTTACGCGACAATCCGACAAACACACATTGACAGAACCTATAGCCATGGATAGTATTGAGTGTTGCAGTACAAGGATTCTAGTCAATAATGGAAGGCTCATCCTGAAATGCTTCAATCTACAACAAACCATCTAAGATTTTTTATCCGATCTCACACCGGCACATCCTGATGTTCAGAGTAAGCCAATGATCACTTATCTCTAGAGACTATACAAATCCCAACTTTCGACCTAAAAATTTTCGATAACAATGGGAATATCATTGGTGAAGGATATATAAGGCTAGATTGAATACTTAAACTGCTGCCTGAATGCGAGGTCAAGGATTACGAGATTCAGTCACGCCCACCTGTCACCAGCTACTCCTCTCCTGAATATTTTGACATGAGTTTTCAACGTATTCCGACCAGTCTCGAAGTCACACCAATCTAGCTTGTCGTCACAGGACATGCGGTTACAATCGCCAATCTTCTCATACACTATATATAGATTCAAAATTGGGGCGACAGCGTTGTTCAGCCTGCCTCGGAAACAAGTCGACGAGGCGAAAAAGACTCAACCAGCCATGATTTGCTACATAACAACATGCAGAGCGCGTCTCCTTTCACTCTATAACTATCTTCTATTCTTTCACGGTCATCTGATGGTGTAGGAGTATTGGATGAAGGATCCAGCTTCAACGGTAAGCCCTGTTGCAACCCCAGCGGATGATGAACCCGGAAGCAAGATGACGGCTGGAAAGCAAAAGTGGATTAAAATACTGGATCATGGAGTTCTTCAATGATGCGGAGATTTGAACGTACGGAAACGTCACTGTTTCAATGGAAGCTCATCTGTTGGAGAGGTCTCAAGCCTCCCCACACGCCATGCAGTTTCATGGCACAAACTGCTTCTCCTTTTTTGTGCGGCTAATTCTCCTCGGGTAATACTCTCATCATCCATTGACAGGAAAGGCGACAGAAAAAGCTCGGAGGCCACAACAGCGAAGTCCTAGACATGCTAAATCTCATGAAGGTGATTTTGATAAATGTAAGACAACGGTTTCAAAACATTGTCTCGACCGTCACTACACTTGTGACGACTTCATTGATTAACATTTATGTCGAGCTTACAAATTCCTTGAAATTTCTGTCACATAACGAGTCGAAAAGAGCCACCAGTCGCACGAACAATTGTGGAGTTGTGAGGCCAGTAAAATGGCTTGTCCATCGTCTTTTTGCGAAGCGATCTATCTAAGGGAGAGAGTCGCTGCGGACTCTACCATTCTCTAAAATTTACTATAAACGAATGTTTTTGATATCTTCGTCTTGATTCGATCTACTTTCTACGTCGCAGTGACATGTGAACATTCGTTTCAGGTCTGCAAGTGGCTCATCAGTCTGCAAATGGTTTGCAGGTTTTTATTCTTATGTTCAACTTCAACTCCCTTTCTACTTCAATAATTTTGGTGAACAATCTACGGGGAATTTCTGTGTACACTCGAAGCAGAGTCTGCTATTCGGGAATTCATAGTTTGAGTCAAAGTACATCTAGGTGTAATGCGAAGTTAAGTTATGATTTCATCAACATTTTCTATCGTTCAGGCGTTAGACCTTTCACAAGGCAACTTGATACGCCAGCTAAATTAGACTAATACATCTAATAGATATGACAACACTAATGGCACAAGGCCTGGCACCCATAAGATGACACATTGATCTGAGGATGTCGGCACTAGACAACGCTTCATCGAAATCTTGGTGATCTGAAGACCGGTCCCCTCCCGAGATCATCTTACTACGATCATCCTACCGCAGCCAACGCAATATTAGGCTTACGCATCGATAGTATCTGGCATCTCCGCATAATAGTACGAGGTAAATCATAAAATGCACCGCAGGGTATCAATATGTTAGGAGTTGACGAGGAATGGTCTTTCTACATCCATTTTCATCATTAACGATAGCGGCTGGGTGAATATTCAAAGATCAAATGAAAGGATGTGAATACCGACTGCAGTCAATAGAATGAACAAATTTATGCAATAGGCATACATGAAAGCTTTGAAGTCTGCGTCTTATAGGGAATACTTTTCATAAGCCGTAGAGTTGCGTATTCTCATATTCAGTTCATCCAAGCTCAGACTCTATCTAGAAGTCTGCATGAGGCTAAGGATTACAACTCCAGCTCTAACCTGGATGTGCAACTCGAGCGGCAGAGGTATCGGCCGCGAGTGGTGTTGCTCTGCATTTACCTCTTCTTTTGCATGCCAAAGACAGGAAATTCACAAAACCGCCGATGCGCACAATGTATCTGGGCAACGAGGTCAGAAACCTGAGGGACAAGGGCGTGATTTGAGGGGGCCTGAAGGAGTTTTTATTTCAACAGAAAATATATTTATTCATACAGATTCTTTCGAGCTTGAGATTTACGAGATCAGAGAGGGTGTTGAGAGGTTGTTTCTGAGTATGAGGAGCAGACAGTTTCTTTGATTCATAGTATCATTATAAAAATGACTATGGTTTTGCTCGCGAAAGCACCGGATACTTTTATTACATAAAAAATAGCAATATCTTTTTTACTCTTGTTTGTGCATATAGGTATCATGCAGTAACGCCTGCTGAGCACCGTAGTTATGTATTTACAGATATTCGTTCACCTTAAGAATTTCTTTGAAACTTCGCTGCTACACTACGCTGGTAAAGTATCCCCAGATATCTGTATTAACTTTCATCGATTTTTTTATAATTATACGACACTTACGCAAGCAGAAACTTGGATAGAAATGTTATAAGTTCATTCTTTTCTTTCTAATCTGTATTCGGATCTCATTCTATCTTTTCAATATTTTCCTCTTTTTATAATATGTGTAAGTCCTTATATTGGACAAGTCATATGTAAAATACAGTGATAGGCTCCTTATAAATAATCTAATGCCCTTTAAATCTCTTCATTCGAATTTCCAAAACGCGAAAACTTAAATCCATTCTTCACCTGACCCAATCCCGATCCTCAAACAGGTCAGTCCCTAAACTATATCCCTTGAAACTCTGACCGGACTACCATTTGAAGGCTCATGATAAATGAAAGTCCTCACACTATTACTCCTGGCTCTCAACGGCCACTTCCTACACTGGACTACCGAATTTTTTTAGTATCATCATCCTTTTACTTTCACCCCTACCAATTTACTAAAAAGCCACAGCACACCCTCCATTCCACTATTAAAATCGTCCATGTTCTTCCCATCCCATTATTACATCTTAATTTTTACCCTATAATTCTTGGACCATTAATAACTCGTATCCCATTAACTTTCCTTTCTCTTCCCATATCTTATTTTCTCCATACTTCTCCTTCCCAACAGCCATCTCCACGTCCATCTACTCATATACCTCCTTAATCCCAGGAACAATCTATCCCTATGCATCGTATTCACAAGCTCGTACCTCTGCTCCGCTATATTCAATTGTGTTTCTCAAAATCGTACACTATCAAAGCACTACAAAAACGTCAACGATGTAAAACTCGAAACCCCTGATTCTTAGTCAAACGCCGTGAATGTTAAAATTAGATCCCTACATGTGAATCTTTCTCTATTGGCTTTGAGACTCTTTATAAATATAATTTACTCTTACATTATCAAGATGGATAAGACCTCCAAGCGTCAAATTCACAATAAATCCTAAAATGGAATGTGCTACTGGCAAAAGCTTCTGGTACTATGTATCTATTTATGCAGAAGCCAGTTGCACCTCTTTTCATATTGCTCCAATCTGAGAATTTGACACAGGATGAGAATAATATAAGTTATGGTAGAAATTATAACAGAGACCTAAATTGCATAGGTGATATTTTCGTGTAGTTGTAGTAAGAGAGTGGATAATCTGAAGAGCAAGACGGAGATCCAGGGGCCAATGAAAAGAGTTCTGAAAGTGTTATTAGCGACTCGAGAAGAGTTGGCTATCAAGGTCAGGACATCACAGGGACAAATGGCAAGATACTTAAACAAGAAAGAAGATATCGACTTACCCATCAAAGCACCACGCTTGCAGAGCTTTGGGTAGATTTCAAGTAAAATTCGATCGGTATCCTGAGCAGTGCTAACCCTCACAAACTGTAACCTACCGCACCATAGAGAGTGTAAAGAAACTCAATCTATTAGATTATGGTGAAGGTTATTTTCTTGTCGTTTAATAAGTTGATGCGGAGGTACTACAGCGCAGTCTCACGGTATTGATATTCACGCTTGCGACTTTAAGAGAACAATCCCATAGAACGAAATTACAAAATAAAAGTTTTAAGCTGATTGAATTTCAATTTCTTCTAAAAATAATACTATCAGAAAAAAAGCGATTTGCCACAAAACCAAGATCTATGTGTATAATTGATAACGGATTAAAGCATTCTGACTTCATCAAACTTCTGGAGTGACCGAGATTTCCACCCTAAACTAACTCATATTTCAGATAATGTTATTATCAAAAGTGCCTGCTAGGTGAAAGTTCCTAGGATTCACTACTACCTCAGATTTATTCCTCAAGTCGTTCAGAACTGTGGTCCCTTCCTTCCAAAACGAGTACATCACCACAAAGCTTCTTCCGTCTCTGCTTAATTAGTGGTTTGGTTCCAGCATTCTCCATCTGTGCGATTATGCTTAGGTAATTTTTAATCACTTTGCACTTCCTTTCTTTCATTAGAACAGTGCCAGGAAATCATTAAAAGGAGGAAGAAGTTCTGTACAGCTCCAGTCTCGTGAATTCCCGTCTTTGACGAACGTGAACCTTATGCTATAACCTTGCGATGTGTATTCTTTGAAGTTATCAACAACAAGGAAAAGAATTGATTGGAAAGCCGTGATATTGTATTTGTGAATTTTTTTTATTTCTAGTTGAAGATCAAGGTGGCGCGGGTGGCTTTGGAGGAGTGGGTGTATGTACCAGAGAAGGCACATCTGTAGTATCAGATGAAAATACAATTACCGGAGAGACTTGGCTCTCAGATCTGGATGTATCGTATCGTGTAAGACTGTGATGAACCTGCGGAGGAACTTCAAGGGTATCCCGGCGAGGTCGTGGACGATCACCATTTGCAGGGGAAACAGAGAATTGTGATGCTGGCGACCGAGGTGACGCGGGTTCGCCAGTTCCTGTGCTAGCCTCGATTTCAAGTCCTGAGATGATACTACCGTTGATACTCGGTGCTCGTGAAGGACGAAGCACAGGTGTAATATTTCCATCGGCGTCGCGGGTATGATTGTACGCTTCCCTGATATGTGACAGCTTTGGATTTCGCTGATCTTCTCCAGGAATTTCTGGGAAGTCAACTGCTTTTCCATGTTTAAATTCCGAATCATCTAGACGAAACTCTGCGGCGGTACCAATATAGTTGCCAATTGTGGTCAGAACATTGGCTACTTTTCGTCTGTTTCCTACATCTGATGACGATTTGACTAGTGCAAGTGAAGGTCGACTACTCGTAGTTGGTGCTATTTCGTGAGAAGTTCTTGCACTGCTATCTGACACACTTTGGTGCATCATTTCAATGCCCCCTGGAGCAATAGATGTTGATGATCCTGGGGCTATTCCAAGACCAATACCTCGCTTCGTAAAATCATGATGCTTTGGAGCACTTAAAATTGCATTCTCATCGTCGGCTTCCATATTTGCTGCGAAGAGACGGTACAAGGAGCCGAAAACAGCAAGTGCAGTTCCGACAATGGGTGCCCATTGACCTACGAACAAGAACAAGTAATATTAGCAGTGAACAATCTTCTCAGAATACTAAGTACATACCGATAGTTGCAATGGGTTCAGTTTGATATGCAACTTGGCGACTGAAAAAGTTCCTCTCACCGAGGATGAGAATAGCTAGCACTGCGCCCACGAATACAGGAACTTCTATAGCGCTTAGGAAGAACCTAATCAAACTGTTGACCTCTTTCATTTGTCCAACGGTGGCATTGTTAGTACCCTCAATCGGCGCGTCGATTGGCTCTTCTTTCCGACCGAAACGATTGTTCCAATTCGTCTCACGAATCTTGTTCCACGTAGACACAAGTGAAAGTATAGCAGGGATGCAGCAAGCGGCCGAGAGAAGCGTAACAGTGTCAAAAGTAAGTTTGTCTGGTGCGGGAATAACGTAGATGTTATTGGCTGATTCGCGTCGCATTGGAGAAAACGGGCCAGAAACAACATCACAAGCAAGGCTACATGTCGAATCATAGGTGAAGTTGCCTAGAGTGAAATGGGCCGGTTGCCCGTTACTATCAGTAGTGCAAGGACTTGTGCTTATCCTGGTGAACTCAACAGTCAAGCTCAATAGACCTTGAAGAGATTAAACATTAGCGGTGCCTCAACAATAATAGTGAGACCGATGCTTACCAGCAAATATTAAGCCAGTCCATAAGAATATGGTATTTCGACCAGGGGTTTCGAAAAAATATGTTCGAGATAACTTTACAGTTATCGGTGCAGCCAATATACCTATCGAGCATAGCTGGAAAGCCCCATAAATATCCATATCAACGGCACCTAAATTTTGAGGTGTCAGATAAATTGGATTAGTAACTTTCCCCTTGAGCTACTCACCATCCACATGTACAGCCGCGAGGACGATGCCATGAATTGCGGCCACAGCGGGGAAAAGAAGTGCGGCTGCCAAACAAGCTTCTTTCAGCCATTGTTGTTTTCGAAAGAAGACGCAGGCTGCTACGAGAACATAGTATCTATAAGAACAAGAAATTGTATATGTCAGGAACTGCCGCTAATTTTGCAGTATCTGCGGATAGGGGAGTGGATCCACATAAGAAATGCTGTGGGGAAATGGATGTGCTTACAAGACACGTGAACCTGGTCCATATTGACCAGATACAGGCCATGCGCACACGACTTGCAAAACATCACTTGTAGCGTTTGTGACGATGTTGTTGGCTATTGTATTGTTCACTGAAGCCAAACGAATCACCGGCATGACCTTTCCTCTACTCTCGAACGAGATCAGTTCATCGACTTGGAATCAAGTCAATGATAGTAGTAACAGCAGTAGTATGTGTCCTCTGCACAAATGAATATGCATCAAAAGTTCTCCTGTATTATACGACATAAGAACAAGAGCAGAGTTGACGTTCTTAAGGCAAATAAGCTTATCGGCCAAGAATGCAATCTTTGCCCAGGTGTCTTGAGGGAATTGAATTCACGGAGTCATCCGTCACCCGCTGTCAGAAATGGGATTGACGCCTCTGTAGCCTCATTGTTCTCAAAAAGTAGGGCTGGGTGGCTGAGGTCTTGGTATACATTGGTGATAGGTATACTCTGGAAGCAATCCGCAATCGAGAAGGCACAAGAAAATCTAGTTGAACTTCGGTGTATGTACGTAAATCTGAATCACCTGGAGAATATACTGCGTAATGTGCAACGACGTCAATGCATTGTGGCTGGTGGTCAAAAATGTGAAAGAATCCAGTTGCCTATCCGAGGGGGAAAGAACTGGCTGGAGTAACGATCAGAAATAGAAATGACTAGTAAGTTTGGAAGAAGACTCTGATTGGTCCAAATGCGAGGATATTGGGTGTGTAACTTTGTACGAATGTGATACATCGAGCAATTATCAATTCATGAAAAAGGTTTAGAAACAAATTAAATTATACTATCTTCATATAACCTTGTTAGGGCAAGTCCTGACAATATCCTTCAACGAGTTGATTAAATGTTAATTATATGTCTCAGGATCTCTCACTCTTCCATGATCCTCTTATCGCTCTTATCTCCTATCGCTTTGTCACTTCATAAAGTCACGTGACACTCGTATTGCTGCTTTCCTTCAGAATTATTTCATTGGATGCACAACTCACTGCACGAATTATATAATTTCGTCACTGCTGGAACAAATTTGGTGTTTCGACTTTTGCCATCATTCATTGCGGTTGCCTACTAGGTATATCTATCCCATATAAAGCCAGTGAGCCAACACAACATCTTGAGCTGGTCTTGAATTTTCATCCGGATTTTTCTCTGCGCTTTCACGATTCTGGGGATATTCGTATCACTGCAAAACCACAATCAAGGTCATCGGCCTTGTCATTCAGGCAAACTTAAGTGTGATAACGAAACGAAGCACCACCAAGATGGGCCAGGAAGCATCTCATGCGCAAATCAATCCTGATGATCCTCCTCATACGCTTCCAGCCCGTTCGATCGAAGGGGTCGCCGAGTTTATCAAAAATGGCCAAGCAAAGAACATCGTTGTTTTGACCGGAGCAGGCATATCCACAAGTGCAGGTATACCAGACTTCCGTTCACCAGAGACCGGCATATACGCAAATCTGGCCGAACTTGATCTTCCTTATGCAGAAGCTGTTTTCGATATCGACTTCTTCCGCGAGAATCCGGCTCCTTTTTATGTCCTGGCAAAAGAACTCTATCCCGGCCAATTCTACCCTACAATATCACATGCTTTCGTCGCGTTGATTGAAAAGAAAGGGTTGCTTAGAATGCTCTTTACACAAAATATCGATTGTTTGGAACGTCGAGCCGGAGTTTCTTCGGAAAAGGTCATTGAAGCCCATGGAAGTTTTGCAACCCAAAGGTGCATTGATTGTAAGACCGAATATCCCGATGATATGATGAAGAAAGCCATACAGGAAGGAGACCCTGCGACTTGTTTGGTTCCACAATGTGGTGGTCTAGTTAAACCAGATATTGTCTTCTTTGGTGAACAGCTTCCAGAAGCCTTTCACAGCCATAAAATGATTCCAGCGACAGCTGATTTAATTATTGTGATGGGTACCAGCTTAAGTGTTCAGCCCTTTGCCATGCTGCCAAGCCTTCCCGCTGATACGGTTCCAAGACTATTGTTCAACATGATTTCTGTAGGCGATTTTGGGAGTAGGTTGGATGATGTAGTTGTTCTTGGTGATTGTGACACTGGTGTCAGGAAGCTAGCCGATGCCTTGGGATGGCGAGCGGAATTGGAAGAATTATGGATATCAGTCGGAGGAAATACGAGGCAAAAAGAGGCTGAGAAAGCCGCAGAAGCTAGGCTCAATATGTCAAGAGACGAACGCCATGAAGTAGACATCGAAAAGCTGACGACTGAAATTGATGAAGCATTAAAGTTTTCCGGCAACCATACGCACAGGGTAATTGCCGACCTTCAGAAAAGCCCGCCTATAAATTCAACACCCTCACCTCCGCCTCCTGAAGCTATGCCTACGCGGGCACCTACGGAATTTACTGCTGATAAGGTAAGATCGCCTCGAGCTATACTTTTACTTTGGGATTCATGGGGTTTTGGATCAACAGTACTGACTAAACGTTAGAGCTCGCTTCTTTCGGATATCACGAATGGAGCAGCACTGAAGGATGCCACAACCATTGTTCGATCGACGCCGATTATTGACGAAAAAGGTGCCACAACTAAGCCAGCGCTTGCGGACTCACATTCCTCGGCCGGGAAGCGCGATGAAAACTCGAGTGTTGTGCTTGATGCTACAATGCCTCAAAATATGCCAAACTCTTTCAACCTCACCACAAACTCTTGATCATGATCAGAAAACATGCTAGCCACTCAAGACCAAGTTTGGAGAAATGACAGATTCAAAAACTTACCCCTCGTTTAACTACTTTATACTACATAACTTCACAAAGTGTAGTTAAATAGAGCCGAAGTGTTGCAAGAGTAGATACCTAGGAATGAAGCAAGAGAGAACCCTGTCAATATGTACGGTACAAGCCAGTATGAATTAATCACATATATTACATCAAGTGGAGGATCATGAATGTTATCCAAACCCTATCATCTCATTTCCTCGATTCAAGTTGTCTCATCCCAATCAAAGTTGGGGCGTGTCCTCGCTGGATTGATGATTTCAATTTTCTGTGTATTGTTAACATTATCGATTTACCCAGCTGGTAAATTATCGTGTTGTGAAGTCGTCTTCCGTACTTCAAAATTGACTGAACATTTAACCGAGAAGATGAAGAATAGGCTTTCATACGACAAACATCTTCTAAAGATGCTCCTTAGGAGAGTCAACCTTTTACTGGTTGCGAGGTCGACTAACTAGTTATTGCTACTTATAGATATTATTCTTTCAAGTCGAAAGAAATGGCATCTTCCATTCCGAGGATGCTCCCGCAAACTAAGAGTGTTCTCCAATTCTTTCACTGTTTCATGGAAATACTTCTTTGTTTAGCAGATTCCGGGCATAATTTTGCAGCCTGGGAAATCAAAACAATTTCCTAATCCTCTCACATCAATTAAATCACCCGAATATTACTTTTAGCGGTCTATCGGACATACAATCAAAACGTCATGACGGATGAAAATCTCAATGAGCCTCAGCTAGAGGATCGGGATCTCGAGTTTTACGACTGGCAACACCCTGTCGATTATGGTGGAATGCCAGGCGAATTGGAACCACCTCAGGACTTTGTTGTGGTTGATGATCCGGGGTTGCTGCGACGTCAGAAACTTTGGCTTCAAACTGACCAGATGTGGCAGAGACCATTATATCCAATATATCGAGGCATAGAATTACTTTCAACGTCAAGCGATTGCTTGGTGGGTCATTGGAGCGCGCGAACACGATTTGGATCAAAACATGTTGTTGTTAAGCAACGCCCTCTAACCGGTTTAACACATTCTGCTAGACCAAATTTACGTGACGAGTCACAACATTACAAGAATATGCAATCTCTGCTACAACCTGGCAGTGGTCATCATGTTGTTAAAATGTTCAGAAAAGCCGTCGTGGACGAGGGAAAAAATACATTAGCTCAGGATGTGGGAACGGTCGAGAGAATGATACTCGAATATTGCACCGGAACTCTTTATGATTTCATAAAGCAGGGGATCAGAGATGGCACGAGGATAAGTGAGAGGCAAGCGTGGGAAATTTTCCACTGTCTTGCGCATAGTGTCCTTATCATGAATCACGGCACCGAGAATCCGGCTCATTATCGCAGAGGAGGACCTGGATTCAACGCCGTGGATATTATTCATTTCAACCTCAATTTACGGAATGCTTATCTCCAAGATCATGTAGATGGACAGCATGTGAGTGGCATCATTTTGAAGGTTGGTTCTTTTCGACGAGCAGTTAAAGTCCAACGACGTCAGGGTGAAAGATATCATCGTGCATTTCATAACAGAGGAGACGTCAGATCGCGTGCGCCGGAACAATTGTACGCGTCTGATATGAGAGGTATGAGACCATGGCTAAAAGATGGCCGAAGCGATGATCGGCCCGGGAGAGGCAATACACTTCAATCAGTTACCTACTCATCTAGAACAAACGTCTGGCAAGTAGGACTGATAATGTTTTGCATCATCCATATGATAAAGGAGGTGGACTGGGACAATGTGGAACGAATTTGGGATCGTAGTACGGAGCGCCTAGCAACTGGAAAATATACTATCGGTAGCAGAGTCCGAAGAGAAGAGGATTTTGGATTTAGTCGGACGCTAATATTGACTATTCGGGAATGTCTTTTGATTGAGCCGTCGGCGCGGCGAAATGCTGCACAATTATTTGAAAAAACAAAGGCCGGTCTTGCTCAAGCTAATCTTGGGGCAGGTCTTAATCCACAACAACCGATTGTTGGCCCTCTACCTCAACAAGTACCTCAACAAGTACCTCCACTTGAATTAAACCTTGAGCCTGCACCACCGGAACCCCGCATGGACCGACCACCATCTGATTATCCAATGCCCGATCAGCAGCAAGTACCGATCGACATTTTTGATCGCCGAGCAGCAGTAGAAGCCGAACCCGACGATTATCTCCCAGCATACGCATACAATGCGCCCGCTGGCCACGCACTTCCTCGATCTGGATGGGGCGAAGGTCTCGAGCGCCCACCACCCAACTACTCTCCTCCAAGACCGGCAGATATCGCACAATTTCCCCCCTTTGTCCCACAACCCGCAGTTCCACAACCTAGACATTTAATCCCACGTCGACCAGTAGGCTTAGGAACACCACCTCAACGAATTCCGTGTCAACCGGTCGGCGCACCACCACGTGTTCCCCGTGCCGGTCCCAATAATCCACCTCCTCCTTCTCCTGTTCCCTAATTCTCCCTAAGCTTTTCAACCCAGCCGTCACAAAAAGCTCCTCATCGCATCTATACCTCTCTCCTCCTCCGAGGATGAGGGTGAGGATGGGGATGGGGGTGAGGATAGGAATGGGGATGGGGGAAGAGGGAAATGGGAAATGGGAAATGGAGAATTGGGAAATGGAGAATTGGGAAATGGAGGATTGGGAAAGGAGATGCGTTTTCGGGGGTGTAGGGGTCGAGGTGGCGGTTGGGGAAGACGGGAGAAGACGTAGATTTATAAGGTGAGCGGGGTTTCTTTTAAAGGTAGATAAGGCGTAGATAGAACATATTTTAGAGTATAAGTTATTGAGATTTTTGTATTTTTATCATGAGGTACCTAGGTGATAGTAATATGATTTTGAAAAAGGATGTTCGTTCTAAGATATGAGATGAGACGAGATGAGAGATGTAGTATAGATATTCAAGAAAAGATTAGATTCGTAATTTAAGGATTTATGTTTTATTTGTATTGGATAAGAATTCTTTATGTTCACTATGATAAATAGTAAGCTTAGCAAGCATTGTTTGAACAAGAACCATGATTGCGTATATCTAAATGGTCATAATATTCATAATATTCATAACTAGCATTGATCAAAATCCGAAGAACTCGTTATAATCATGCGTAATATCATCCATTCTATGACTAGGCAGATAAAGATTCAAAGAACCGCACTATGGCAATCCCAAATAATATTCCAACATCTTTGGATAATTGGGTGTACCAAGACCAGTTACTGGATCCCATCTATTCAGTATCACAAGTTAGCACTCTATCCCCTCACACGCAAGACCAGAAAAAAAGAAGAGAAGAGAAAAAGAAAACTCACCCAGGAACTGCCGAAAATCCAACCGTGTTACATCCGGGATTTGTTCCATTAACAATATCGTTCAACATGCTCGGATTAGCATATAAGGATGGGTTCAAGAAACCAATTGATTTCTTCCCAACATTAATTCTCTCTTCGTTGATACGGTTGATGACCGCCGAGAAAATTGGTGTACTAGCTGATGTGCCTCCGCTGAGTTCGAACTTGTTGCCATTGTATATCTAAATATGAGGTCAGAAAGATGGCGCTGTATTCAGAATAGGTATGAGAGACTTACAGCGATATTATCTCCATTAGCAGCTACATCAGGAATACCTCTTCCAATCCTGTTATAAATACCCCCCGTTTTACCGACCAAGGCACCAATATCAGGCAATGTTTGGATATTATCCGTATCGTTGCTCAAGGCGCTGTAATAAGGATAAGGTGGGTTATGTTTATCAAAAAACTTTGCAACGAATTTAGCTTGATAATCGGGGATCGGATAGATGTTACTGAAACCGCCTCCGGACGAATAGTTTACAGAGTAAGGGTGGCCGGCGGGGTCGAAAACAGCGGACTCGGGATCGTTGACGGTATAGCCGGGATAGACTTTTGTGGCGCCGACGGAGGTTACGTAGGGGCAGGTACCAGGCCAGGTGGGGTTGAAGACGTTGAGATTTGGACCAATGCACCCGGTTGGCCCGTCAATGTCACCCGGATAGTCTGGAGGTTTTTGTTAGTTTTGGAGCGAGAAAGGAAGGTTGAATCCGGAGAGTCGAATTTGGAACTTAACTGGAAACGCCAGAATCACCCGAGGCGTAAAGGAAGGATACTCCTTGGAGACCTAGTTTCAAGTACTCAAGACATTGTCGCTTTTGATATGCGATTGGGAGGTCGGATTCTTGCCCACCGTATGATAGGGAAATCACGTTGGTGGGAGTGAAGGTACCACACATGAGGGAGCCTTGCCATCCTCCAGTCAGGGTGTCAGGATAGGCTTGATCCAAGTACTTATCATTGCCAGTCTCGTTGTAGGCCGTAAAGTTGCAGTATGACTGGAAAATGTTAATGGATTGTTCTCAGAATTCGAGATGGAATTTAAACTTACTCCATCTAATGCGTCCAAAAAAGTGTTAAATCCGAATGTGTAGGTATCATTTTGGTCTGCTTGAACAATGTAGTCATCGACATCATAGAGAGTGATTTGTTGTGGGTAAATAATTGGATAGGCAAGTTGAATGTCGAGATTTGCTTCACCACCAGCGTAATAAGGATCAGTGGTTGATTGCATTCCACCGTCGATATTTGCTGGGATTGGATGTGTACCGTTTGGAATATGTTTCGTGAAATTTGTAAAGAACAAATCTAGATCGTTTTGTGTATAAAATTGTAGCTCTGACTCAAAGATACCTAAGGAATTGTTTGGGTGAGACAAAGTCGCAGGTGGAATATGGTAAAGCGCAGCGATACAAGCTGGAGTGATAGCAATATCACAAGTACTCAAATCGGTGGCATTGGTACCATTGTACTTGTGCTTAGCATCTCGTAGTAGCCCGTGTGTAGTTCTTTTAGAAAGCTCGCGCTCTAGCACTTCGGCGTTTCGCTTCAACTTGTTCTTTGAATGTTCAATTGGTGCAAGAAGTTTGATACCAGGACTGATATAATCAATGTGTCTTCGGATATTCTTGGGAACATGATAAGCCTCGCATGAGGGCATAACACCACCGGTGACTGAATCCTCATACTCATGGTACTCGGTATACAGTAAACTTTCTGCTTCTTCAGCAGTCGCATAGAATGCGAACCATCCTTTGTTATCGGAATGAGTAATTCGTCCAGCTGGAATACCAGAGTCAATCAGCCACTTCCGAACTTCATCTTCTGTTTCTTGACTGGGACGGAAAGCCTCGATGACTTCTTCCTCGGTCCAGTGTTGTCCAAAATATGGAGAAGCAGGGTCAGATCTATATGGAACCGATTAACCTATGCTGTCTTGAGTGGATAGAGGCTCTGGCACTTACATTCTCATTAAATGATCATGACCGTCATCGAGATTGCTCTGTGTCAAGCCAATGCGCATAGGCAATAACTTGCGTGACTCGACACGATCTCTTTTGCTCCATCTCGGGTGTAAAGTTTCTCGCTTTTCATGGACCTCCAAATGGCGTGGCACGACAATTGCACTTGCATGAAGTGTCAGAGCAACGAGGGCAACAAAGCCCGAGATCTTCGTCCTCACCATTGTTACGAACGAGATGAATTGAGACGAGGGATGGAATCAAATTCAAAAGGCTTGAGAGCTTTCTCCATGATTTATAACTTGGCAGGTACAGCTGCAGCTAGTCTTCCACGATCTGCAGACCCTAGCTCTTTGCTCTCTAACGCCATACTTAATGAGGCAGGTCACAGTGGCATTCACGAAGAATGGTCGATAGCATATTAAGATTCGTGCTAACCATTTGATAAGCAGGAACACGGATGAATTAAAAATGTAAGCTGACGTATAATTAATTGATAGCTCCTACATAGGAAAGAGCTTAATGAATGAGGCTACATCTCGAGCATCGATTGAGTAACATCTATGAGCTGGACAAGCTTGAGTGGAGCTTCGACCAAATGACGTGCTTGAGTGTATCGATGTATTGTGGTGGATTGTTTCCTGTAAATGTCCCATTGTTCGTATGACAATATACTCGAGCTGTAAGATTGTGAGTTGTGACGAGCAGTTTGAGTGACAGGGCATAAATCCCTCTACCCCGCTTCCTGATGATAAGTGAACCCTGATGCGATAACTGCTCCATATCAGCAACCCGCGGCCGAGGATTACTCCGTATTATTGCAACGTCTCCTGCAAGGAATATCCGAAAGGCCAAAAACCTTTCTTCATGATCAGGAAGTAGCTGACATGATCACGTGACTCGGGCGGAAATCACACCTTCACACATTTCCTCTCGTTGTACGGAGTAGGATGGGATGGTGTCGAGCGGAATTAATCTTGATCATAAGCTTCTATAGAGTATATGGTTTGCCACGAGAACATGCTTGGAGCTACCAAAAGTTGCAGGATTTTTCATGAACATTATATCCTTACCAATGATGCTACAACTATGTGATTGTGAGTAACTCAAACGTATACTCCCTTTTCCACTATTCTACGAGCAGAGCAGGTATACATTTCGTTTTATCACCTCGGTTTTCCATCCTCGATTGGTACATGAATGGAATCTCGTCGTATTTCTGATCATATTTCCATAACACCTAATCCATGACTGTTGATATATCTCTCTCTATTCTAGCATTAACAAATCCTCTTCGATCACGAAATCCGTATTATTTCTTGTCTGACCGGAATTCAAAGTTCCTAACTAAACTCTATATATCTATACGAGTTGCATCTGTTTGACTTCTATGTTTAATCCAAACATTCAAATTCATCCTCGGTCCATGCTTGTGGAAGTTATCTTTCTTCCATCTTGTATAAGACTTTCATCGTGAAGCAATCAATATAGAGCAATATCTGCACATGTGATCTCGTTGCCGGTAATAAAGGAACTTCCTTAGACAGTTCTGAGCCCTTCAAATGTGTTTCGATCGCATCGAGGTATTTCTTTCGGCCGCCCTGCTGATATTTGGGATACTCTTCCCTTCGCTTGTCGGGGAAAAACGCGGAAATGGAAACACTTCGCCCTGCAAATATTTTGTTAGCAAGTATCTTTAAAGAGGCACCGAATGAAAGGATGTACGTACAATCAATACGATATCGCAGATGACATCCGTCCCGATATTTCTCAGCCGCAGTCTATGCATCATATACCCTTAGCATTCTCGACCAATGTCTAATAATGGCATAGCTCTGCATTAAGATCTATCCACTCAGGATCTAACCACTGGTAAATTTCCATAGAGTCCATCCCTGCGACTCTTCCATTTCTTTTTGGTTCCGGTCATTCCTCAAACACATATCGGATATCCTTGACTGCAGCTCCCGTATCGATGAGCAATGATCAAACTACTTAAATCGACATAATCAATCGTAGGAATGCCATTGATAGCTTTGTTGGCCGCACTTCCCTGCGCCATACCTCGAGGATCGAGGCATTTCCTAGGTATCTATATAATTATTATGGATTTCGTCGAGTATAATCTATTTATTAGCAACAACACATGCGAGTGGTGCGGGGTAAATATACAAATAAGTATGGAGACAGCCAATATATTGCCCTAGCTTAAATTAGTGACTAATGATCTTATCGCGCTCATGGTAAACCTTATATCTATAATTCTAAATGCAGCAACCTCTTTGTACAGCTGCAAGTTGTTGACCGCGCCTCCTTGACAAATCTTCTTTACAATTCCAGATAAGCCACCATCAAAGAGCTAACATACCAACAGAAAGATGTCCTTCAGAGCAACTTAGCAAGGGAAGTGGAATGTTCGCAAAGCTCCTAAATCGTCTGTGTCGTGGCGTTTTAGCTATACGCTCAATAGGTAGCAATGGCTCAGAAAATTAGCAGAACATCTTTAACGACATTTACAAACGATGTCGACTATAGGTTCCTAGTAATCGCAGCTGTTGTTACTTGAGACCGTTGAAAGTAAAGGGATATCTTCAAGGCGAGTATTTCCAGTGTTTAGGTTATAGTGCTCATTCGACATAGCAGCGAACAGAATTCAGAACATCCTCCATACTCAGAACAGATCTTGTGGAACTAATTGACAAAACTGCAGCGTTAACCAACCGACCACATTTTATATAACTCCCTTCAAATCAAAACTGTCCATACACCCAGCTTTGTGGCATAAAATCACAAAAACTAATCATGCGATTTCCCTGCTGGCGCAATGGTAGCGCGCAAGACTTCTAAGTGGAAATCACATCTGCGTTTGAATTAATCTTGGGGCTGTAGGTTCGAGACCTACGTAGGGAGCTACCCTGAGTAATAGCGGTTTGAATCCGCTGCTTGAAATCCATTTTTGCTTTTGTGCTCCGTAAATAGGGGGTGTTTACCGATTTTTTGGATATTGCATGTCTAATTTGGTAGATGGTGGGGTAATTTGAATAAGGTTATCTATCCACCGCACGGGCGTGGTGATGAATCCCCGCTCTGGTGGCTCAATTTTTAGATATGTTATCTATCTTATATTAGAGGAGTACATATTAGTTATGCACTTGGACTCAGGACTAGTTGATGTAGCTATCATCCGTGACTTTTTTTCTTTTTGGAAATCATAGGTCTAATACTAGAGGCTCTCTCTATTTCAATGTCGCATTTGACATTGAGACTTTTTAAAACTAAAACATTTCTTATAGTCAGTGCGTGTAACCATGCAGCCATCACTAAAGCCATAAAGGTCCCTTCATTTATTTCAACAGCCGCGACATTCGCAATCTCTCATAGAAAAAGAAAACATTCAATATTAGATTGGCTGAAGTCAGATATCTCCCATTCCAGTAACTTTGAGCGAATGTTGCGTTACCCAAGTGGCTTTTGTTGGTGGTGAAGATTGTTAGACAATTATTGGCAGATTGATTCCAACATCCGAGCGCACTCAAGACATCCGAGGGTTCTGGGACTAGTTTTCAGCCCTGATGGTGAAATATCTCTTCCCCGAACTTTTTTCTAGGTTCATGATGATTATCGGTGCATATACGAATTGCGAGTCCTGGAGATCATCAGCGTTCATGAGATATAACGTTTTGCGTCTAATTTCACGCCGGAGCAAAGGCGCCGAATGTGCCTCACTGCCATGTTCCAGTCTGGAATTTTCAATCTTTTTGTTGCATGGTGATCTTTGGTGTGAAGGAGTTCATGGTCCGGAAGACTAGGTCAGACATTTCTCTTCACCCCGCTTTCGATGAAGCAGACACAAGGATCGTTTGTAGACTATTTGTGTCCTACATATAAGTGAGCGTGGGATAACTCAGTCAATCTGACGATATTGGAAATTAGACGTCTAGATACGACCACCCATTCACATCTAAAAATTTATTGTACGATCATCTTTTGCACCTGTCAGATTCACATCAGGAAGTAAGCTCGTTACACATGCACGGAGGCAAGATGGCTGACCAAAGTCCTAGGTAATGTCTTTATTAAGTAGCGTTATGCGTCTCCTGCACGCTGTCATCAATGAATCCCATCCAGACCATCTTCCCCGTTCCAATGCCGAAGTGATTCAACTTCTCAACGACTTGACGTCCAAGGAGGAGCTAGTCCTCTCGCATGCCAATTTCATGAAACCCCTCAAAGAGCATGAGGAATTACAAAAAATATGTCTCTTTACCACAGTATGCTTGATAGTTGTCACAAGCATCGCTGAAGATCTCATCGAAAGTGCTTCTGAAGATTCCCCGATAGAATCAGCCCCGGTACGTGAAGCTTTAATGATGATCCATGGGGCATTTGGGAAATTCGAGCCACTAGCCGACAATTTCGAAGCGAAGCCCCAGCCGTTCCAAACGTGTTGCTTCTCATACTTGGCAGGATGCTTGAAGTATTCTATCTTATTCCAACGCCTCCTTTATCCCGAAGACCAATGCGAACACCTTGAATACTTTGCCGAATCCCTCAAGAGCATCAACGGCTTTTCTCTCATAATCGATAGCATTCAGAATTATCCAAAACCCAATTCAAGACATATAACAATTTATGACTGTATACCACCTCTTCATGAAACACCTATATTTTGTCATTTGCAAGCACAGCCCGGAAAGCCAGTCCGTCCTCAATTATATCGGAATCAGAATCCTTACGGCCCAGGACTTCTACGAAACATAAATCACCCTTCGAATGAAGCTTATATCAGAATGAAAGGATATCTTCTCTGAAGATGAACATAAATGGTATGAGCCACTAGCAATGCTTTGATTTTACTAAAGGTGGCCATTACATGTCACACAACATCCGTTCATGGCTGATATTATATCACAGAGGCGCAATTTGAAGGCGCCAGCTGGAAACACAGATACGATTGCATGAGACAAAGCACAAGATCGGGCGCATTTCTCCTTGGAATTGGACTTACGAATTATGAGATACACGATATGATAATGATGAAGAATAGTGCATGGTAGGAGGATTAGCACACGCTTATGATTGAGCTTCGAGACATATTCTATAAATACAAAATAATGAATAATTAATAAATATTTTTACCTCTATCCACATCTACACAACTAATATTCAGTAGGAATACCAAGAATTCCAATTAAACTAAACCAATGATACTCTACCCACTTCCTAGTCTAGAATCTCCTAAACATCCATTCCCCGCACGAAAATACGGAGTACTCCCCCGGAAAAACACAACCCAAAACCCACTACTAAGTACCAGGAACTTAGAACAGCCAGCCGTCTCAGCCCGTCCACAACCCCTCCCCTCACTCAAGTAATCCCAAATCCCAGAAATCGAAAGCATCCCAACTGCAACGTTCACGAATCAATCAATTCCAAGAACAAGGAAAAAGAAAAGGAACCCACGAATAAAAAGAAATTTTCTATCCGCCATATATGCACTCATACATCATTCATACAGCCGCAGCCCAAAGAAGCGGGGTTCTTGAATATCTTAACATCCCGAGTCTTAACATCTTAACATCTAACACACATCCAAAAAAATAAAAACTACCGCAACTCCAATTCCAACTCCAACTCCAACTACCGGGTTTCTCATTTAGGGAAATCCCGCACGTATGTTACGCTACATATGCATAACGAACGGAATGTGCATGCGTGCGGCTGAAAAATATGATGGTGAGTTCTAGATTCTAGACCGCTGGAAAACAACATTTTAATTCTTATGACGCGTGAAGGAAGGATGGTGGTGAGTGGTGGGAAAGCAAAGCAAAGTAAAGCCTTTTAGGTAAGCGGCTTTAAATTTCATGCTTTAGGCATGGTAAGTAGATGCAGGCGGGGGAAGAAAGATAAGAGGAGAGGGGAGAAGAGGGGAGAGGTAATAGGTATGTAGATCACTCACTACGTTAATGTTGGTTTAGTTAGTCGCGCTGGACGCTGTGTATGTGGATTTTTATCGAGATGAGATAGGTTCATTGTAGAGTTATGGGAATACGATGATTTTAATTTATAGAATTGTATGAATTTGCCATCCATAATCTTACATTTGTATTATGATTTTGATGAGCAAATTCAACGTTTGAAGTATTGTACAACTTGTAGAATTTTGAGTGCTGGTGCATGGTAATGGATCTTTGTGATGGAATACCTATATTGTATGTATATTTGCATACTAGTACCTATCAAGTATCTAGCAGCCACAATACATCTGATCAACACAATCTTTGCGGTGCTGCTTCTTCTCATACTGGTCCTGATCCTTATCTTGATCATCATCTTTCATCTTCGCCACGTTGAGAACTTCGTCCAAAAAATTTCCCCTCCCCAATTCATCTCTAAACCATTTCCCATTCTCATCAAGCACCTCGTCTGACATAGGTGGAATCCAAGGCTCTTCCTTGATATTCTTGCTTTCATCAATTATTTGATCTGGAATCTTAATGTTCAACTTGTCACTATCCATAATATTCTGTCTCGCTTCTGCTATCTTCGCTTCACAGAATTCTTTCTTGATAGGAGGATCCCAGTCTTTCATATCATCGTCCTCCCATACACAACACTCATGCCCGTGTATACCTTCAATAAGAAGACAGGGCCCTGAAGTGCTAGGAAGTGCTCGTAGTGCTGAGATACAATGCTGGTGCCCCGGTAACCGCCCCGCGTCGACGCATTTCCTATGGGCCGGATGGTAATGTTTTGAAACGAAACGAAGTGACCATTCGCAGTTGTCTTTCCCAAGATCGCACAATCCTGCAATATGATCTTTTTCAAATGTCGAATATTCGACGGTAGCCATGTTCTTTTTGATCTGGTGTCTCGTTGATAAGATCGTAGGGTTGGTCCTAAGGTCTGAATATGCCGTAGAAAGTACCGGTTGTTCTGAGCCTTTGATCCGACTATTTGCAATCTGCGTGGCGACTTCTCGATCCATATCAGTTAGGAGTAACGCGCCCTTCATATCTCCTCCATCTTGAGCCAACATTAGCTTCTTTGGATCATCACTGCGTAGACGGATATTGCCATTCTCCACTGTCAGTGAAGCCGATTTTGTAGATAGTCCAGCAGTGTTCTCAGAACATCCGGAATCACTCCAAGTATCATTAACATCCATTCTACGATACTTCCTGCGATCTGTAGAGGATTGCGTTCGTTGTGAATGTATGATACTACACCGAAGAGGCCTCAATGTTCCCTTCAATGCGAGATCCAGGATAGAATTTCTGGCAGCCATGTCTAGCTGCTTAAATATCGGCATCGGCGCCGGACTGCTATCTTCATCCATTGGTTTTGAATTGTCCATACATGGAGATATAGGCGGCGTGTACAAGTCTCTGGATAGTGAATTTGAGGATCTTGCCCAAGTTGATGATTGAGGTGGAGGCAACAACGGCGAGAAGATTGGCAGACGATCTTTAATCATATTCTTATGTATGCGAGCGAACAGTGGCCAAGCCTCGGAAGATGATAGCCACTGTTGTTTATCAGTACTGTCATTTCTTATGGGTATTTGGATCGATTTTGTCGTTGCTGGCTTTCCGTCGAGATATTGGCATATGCCCCAAGACCAGAAAGTGAAGTTGCTCCTCCCAGGTAATTTTTGCTTTCTAATACTGCCCCCAAAAGTCCATACTTCATTACCAGGTCCACGCATCTTTGGAAACCAACATACATGGAAAATAGGTACTAACCCCACTACCATGGTTCGTAGGTTAATGACCGGAACGTCCTTCTCATAGCCATTTCTCTCAGGACCAATAAAGAGCCAAAAGCGATCACCAGGTTGATAATCGAAGTCAGAAACGCTTCGAAATAACGCCACGCCGTGAGTATCAATAGGTGTGAACTTGCTCAAAACCATTGCATTTTTGTAGGCAACGCTACCATCCTTTTCAATGTCTTGTACAGGCATAAAACAAACTGAATTTTCTTCATCGCCATTGAATCGTCTCACAGGGATAGCTGACTCATTTGTGATGTTCAGCACCGGAGATTGAACAACAACATCACCTTTCCGTGCCCATTTAGAGGGTCTCGCTATAAGAACATAATTCCGTGTTGCAACTTTGCAATCCATAGGAACTGCTATCAATAGAAATTCTGTAGTTCAAGCTTTGAAAAGCTAAGTATATAGAGAACATTGACGCTAACCTCTTGCTAGAAATTTAGGGATCATTGAGTTTTAACTTCTTGCCATATTTCATTGTCATAAGCTAAGATGTTGCCTTTAACATACCCATTTTATGGGTGGCCCTTGCATGCGGCTGACTGCCCACCCGCACCTTTTTTGGCACCCAAATGAAACCGTTTCGGGTGAAGTGATGACTTCACCGAGATGGATGCGCATCGCCAAAAGAAATACCGAAGGGATGCTTGCAAAGCAAGCCGTGAAAAAGTAAAATTGATCCGCACTCTTGCATTCGCAGCAATTACCGCAAATCTATCCCAGCCTCGGCATGCAAAGTGCGCCTTTTAGCAATCAAAATGATTCTGGTGTGCAGTATTCTTCTTGAATTTGAGAGCCAGGGTCATTTGTCTCTGGCGCTTTGCCCGTTGTCTTGATAGTAAAGTTTATCCATGCTAGTATTCCAGTACTGTGCGATCTCTACGATACTGTAGTTGCCGAATGTTGTACAAAGAATCCGTTCCGACTCTATGGTTTCTTTGACCGGTCCGTATCTACATCTGCTTGCTTCCCCATTTCTCCAAGAACGTTCGCGCCCTTCTCAGCAGTATACTCCTTAGGATCAATATTCAATCTAGCCATCATCGTAGCTACCCACTCCTCCATTTGCTTCTCGTCTTCTGGGTTTGTTTCTTGAGCGAGCAATCCCATCTTCGCTCGATATCTTTGTCTCATATCGTCGACGGTCGAAATATCGAAAGCCCATAATAGCCCTCCACTGAGCATGACGCTTATACTAGCCACATTGATAGTCGCTACGCTCAATGCTTCCAATGCCTCCATAGATCCATCGACTTCGTGTACACGATTACTGGGAGTGTAGAATTTTGGCAGCATCGCGTAATACTTTCTTACAAGTGCTCTGCGAGTAATGAAAGCCGAAAGGGCGACAAATCCTGCACCGCCCATGAATAGGCCAAATTGCCGCCGTGATCGTTGTGAGAAAAGTGAAGAGTCTGGTGCCGGTGTGGGGGTCTTGGAGGAAGATGTGGGTTGAGAGTCGGCCATGGTCGATGGCTTTTGTACAAATACCATCGATTGAGTTCGGAATGGGCGCTTTCTCTGCAATCCGAGAGTATGGCTGGGTGGCAGAATTCGAAATCCGTAGCTAAGAAGTTTATGGATTTGAGGAAGCTTACCATTTTCTGAAAAATTATAGCTACGCGAATAAGGCTTAGCGTGGTTCTACGGAGTACAGCGTTACAGCCTGTACCTAACTTTTAGAATACCTCATCTCGACCTCACCTTACTTTAATTCAAAATTCCCTGTTCTATAACATACCTAGGTAGATAGTCCATAGCAACTAACTGTTTAAAATTATTGCAAATCTATTTTATGCGTAATAGAGGAATGGGATATCAACAGGTGTGGTTTTGGCTAGAACCATACCATACAATTGAGAACCGGAAAAGCTTCAATTTGACAGTTGCAACCAAGCTAGGTACTGGATGGATGTCGAAGAATAGATATGCACTAATGTTGTTTGAGATTCCATCCATCAGCTCCACTGTTGTTATGATAATTCGAATTCTTACCATTTTGCCGTGAATAGAGGGATAAGAGCTGTAAGTCTATATATCATGTGAGTTATCAATGTTCATATCATTATGTCGCAGGAATTATTTATATTTGGATTGGTGTATGTATGGTAAATCGTGGTTTTATATAGTCTTCTCTCCATCTTCAGAGTTCATCTACTCGGGTGCCTTTTTCTTTTCCTTCTCTTTTTCCGCACCGACCTTGGGAGATTTTAACTCGTCAAGCTCCTTGGCCAGTCTCTCTGTTTCTCTGACCAAGTCCATATCCAAGGCGATTTTAATTTCTGGGCAATATTGCAAAATATGCTGTCTGCGCTCCTTATTGTCCCAGATATCTGGGACCAAGGTTTTACCACTTCCTATCAAATGATAACCAAAAGGTTTGTCATACCACTGACTTTCGACGCTGAACGTCGCTTCTACCTCCGGTCCAGGCATCTTTGTAGCGTCCGACTCTAGTAGACGATCACATATCCAACGATCTTCCCACGGATCACCCGGCTTACGGGCTTCTTTTTCGAGCACTTTTAGAATTGGAGGAATATGTCTGAGACTCAATCCTCCATTTCCACCTTTTACGGCCATATTCCATGGAGCACCCACCCAGGAATAGTTTGCGGAAACGTATTCTTCTATATTATGCTTGGAGGCTGCACATATAATTGAATCACTTTGAAACACAAGAAGCCACTCCGCAGGGGCAAGAAAGTCTTTGTAGAAAGTTGGATCGGTAAGAGTCATGCTTATAGTCTCCGGGTCTGTGATGGCGTATTTTCCCGGGAGCTCGGTAATGACTAGTTTCCCGGTTTTAATGTGTGCGGAAAGAGATGAGGAGGCCGAAATAAAAGAGTTGGCCTCGGGTGATCCAACGAAGCGGAAAACCCATGGTCCTGGTAAAACGGATATGAAATGTGCAAGCAGTGCGGGAAGATGAGGCAAAGGGCGCGTCTCGAGGAGGAGTGCAACGCGTGTCTGGTCCAGTGCCGTTTTCGTGGTTGCCGAACTTTCTTTCGAGTCCGGAGATTCTGCACTAGTCTTTGAGTGGGCCGACATCAAGGCCGCTCCACCATTTTCCGATTTCCCGTCATCATATGCATTACCAGTTGCTGCATTTGAAGGTGGAGGCTTTTGCTCTATCGCATTAGAATCACCACCGACTGTGCCCGACCCTCCTGATGCTAGTTTGTCCAAATGGATATTTGATATCGACGACCAGTCGTGTTGTTGGTAAACGACCAACGTTAGCAAACTTCTGCAAAATGTTAGAATTAATGTCTAGACTGTGTCACTAAAATCATTGACAGCATAGACCCGGATTTCCGGGATCCAAACATGGACGGAAAAACCGACAGGGTTGAATCTTATCGCCCATCATCACACAATCTTCTCCAGTTCAAGAAAAAAACGGACTTACAATATACAAATCGCTAAAATGAAAGTCCTGTGTATCCTCCGATTGTGCCATATAAATGGCCCTGATTCGTGCGACAAGGCCATAATGAAAAATATTTAATGAGTGTTTTTGCGATCTCTTATAGAAATAATATGTACAGGTCCGCCGATTCTATATAATGATTGTGGTTTATGAACTCACAACTCGTAGATGATGTAAGGAACGTTAGGTGTTGTGCAGAAGAGACATCATGGAGGAAACGGTCATATCAGTACGGAATTCGGATAGGAGTTTTGTGTCTTGGCTATGTAGAAATCGCAGTGAAGAGATTCAACAATATGGCTTGATAATCTTGTGTAGTAAGCCAATCTAATGTGATGGTAATGCCTGTATTAGTGTGTCGTACCGTTGGGTTGGGGGGTTGTTGTTGAGGAGGTTCCAAGGGGAGATATTTATATGGTTCTTTCTTATTCTGGCGCATGCGATAGGTTACGGATGAACCGCCAAGTTTCTTTTTGATGGTCTGGATATTTTTGAGATTGTGATCAGACTGGGCTCTCAGAGTCTCCCTCAGTGTCCATCCTTGTTTCATACCATGCAAATTGCAATGACATGAAACGGCACACTTCTTCCGTACCAAGACTCGTATTTTCAGCTTAATGCATTTTGACTTCTTGAGTGTTTGCGATGATAAGTTACCAATAGAGGGTGCAGGTCTAGTATTTCTCGATGTCAAAAATCGCCATGCTGTTCTTGAAAACGGCATGATGAACTTACAGCATCGAGGATCTAGTTGTTGTTCAAAAGTTGCTCTACCGCTGACATGTTTGGTATTAGTTTCGATGATGTAAACCACGAGTTTTCTTACTATAAAGTCCTGTGCGGCCCACTCTATTCTCTAATTCTGGATGGCGAGCATCGTCGAAATAACCTGTGACTATGGGATGAAAAACCAGAAAGATTGAGTCCTGGCCCAACTATTGGACGCTTTCTTTGAGTCTGAATTATCGTACTGGTGCATCATCCATCTTCAAGTCTGTGTGGATGAATCCTGCTGGGCTCCTGGGTTTATCGCTACATCGTAGGAGCATTTCTTCAATATAAGCACTGGCGGGGTTTTGCCAATCACTCTGGGGAAAAATTGGACAATTTATACCAATCTAGTAGTAGTAACGCATGTCCAATCCCAGATCTAACGAGATCAGCAGTTGTTTTCTTGGTCCCATCTCTTCACTGAACTGTTTTAGGATTTTATCAGCCCTGACTTTGGCTTCTTCCCTATCCAGACTCTTGGGCAATGGCTAGAGACTACGCGGGACTGATGTTGTTAATACACATATCAATGATCGGAAGGACAGTCCGCTTGGAATGTCTTTTCGACTTTTGGTCAAGAAGATAATCGAACGCGTACACCCTTCAGTCCCGTCGTTCAGAACGATTTTTTCGTAAGAATAATAGAGAAATAGATTGTAAGTATCAATTATTCCATCCTTCATCAAGTCGTGGATGTCCGATCTTTATCATGATCACTAACTATATCTTAGTGGATGTGGCCTGAATTCGGGCCCTGGATTTATTGACGCGGGGTCAAAGGCGCTGTGTTTGTCATCATCCACTCAGTAAAAGACGTCATCGTCTGGCTACGGAGTTACATCAACAACCTCAGTAACACCCATACGTACCTACATTGTTAATTGCGGCCCCATTATCGACATACCTCAAACACAATTAATTATTCAATCGTTAAATATGGCCAATATCCTAATCGTAGGCGCCACTCGTGGTTTGGGTGCATCTCTTGCAAACAACTACGCTGCGCAGGAATCAACGACCGTTTATGGAACCACTCGTGCTGCTGCCGGTCCATCTAATTTGAACGAGAAGATTGTATGGATACCTAATATTGATGTGGCAGAAGAGGGCGCGGACAGAAGATTGGTGAATCAATTAGGTATGCTCGGAGGTGGCGGTGGAATGGTCGAGGGTGGACGAGTCACATTTGATACTGTTGTACGTCCGCTCGCGTTATTAGGTTGCGCGAAAAGAAGACTGCATTTAGGGCGCTATGCATCGGCAGAGAAGGACTGATTGAAACTTAGATCATCACAGCTGGATATTTTGCTACAGAAGACTTTGTCCATGGTCCAAAATGGGATGAAGAAGTGAAGATGTACAGTAAGGACTTCTCAAAGATCACAACACTATCAAATCGTACCTTCGCATTTACTAACGTCTTATCCTATAGCAACGTCAGCTATTTCTCCTCCTTTTATAGTCCGCTCATTGTTTCGCGCCAAAAACATCACGGAAGGCTCCAAAATCCTTCTTATTTCCTCCGAGTCCGGTTCAATTACACTACGACATGAAAAAGAAGGTGGCGGCAATTATGGACACCATGCTTCAAAATCTGCGCTCAACATGGTTGGAAAACTGCTATCGCTAGATCTGAAGGAGCATGGAATAATTGTGTCGATTTTGCACCCTGGATTCATGCGGACAGAAATGACCAAGGGGGTAGGATTTGATAAATATTGGGACGATGGAGGAGCAGTGACGCCCGACGAAGCTGCAGTGAGCTTGGTGGAATGGGCAAAGAAGTTAGATATGAGTAAGTCTGGACAATACTGGGCACCTAGGGGTCCTAGAGATATCGGTACAGCAGATGTAACCATCGGAACGGACCTGCCTACACCTTTACAAGTACCATGGTGATGTAAATGATGGATATGGTATACGATAATTTACGACCATGATAAGAATGATAACACTAATGACAACAAGTTGCATTGTTTATGTAACTCTGTACGTGGATTCTTAGACCGCATGTCACCATTTCAAATCGTATGGCGAGCAGATACTGAAGTGCAGAACAAGGCTAAGTACAAGGAAGCAATTTATAAGTCAATGAGCGGGGGACCAAAAACCTCGATTGACTTCCAGTCGCTGTATATCTCTCACTCTATATATAAGGAAGTTTAACATGTCTAGAAGGTTTTTACGCTTATTATCGTTTGAGTCTCTGTGTTATGCTCTAGTTGGGCGTTTCTTGTTTTCAATTTCGGCATGAAGTATTCTTAGAAGCTTAAATTACTTCAACATCGTTTCGTTAGTAGCATCAACTAAGAAAGAATAAGACGAGTACAATCTTCTATGCATATCGTTTTTTTTTGTTCGGATGCACGATTTGAGTGTATTATGGCTGTCAAGCATTATCTAACTCACATTTATTTTGGGAAGGTACCTCCAGATAATTTTCTTCTACAGTAAATCGCGACAGCCAGAAGAGAGCCTCAGTTGACTGTTTCTTGAGATTCGGGCAAGGAAAGAACTTTAATTCAGGACTGGGGGTGAATAGTGTCTACCAAGCACATATGAAGCGATCATGCATTGACTTAGCGATTTTGCAAAATATATGTGATATTTATGCCAAGATGTCTAGTTGTGAATCTTGCTTGTATCGAATTGACCCAACGGTTTTATTTGAGGATATAGACTTTTTACGGATAAATTCAGATATAGATATTCAAAGACTGCTTAAGCATTACATCCTCCTCAACAAACCTTTTCTCCAGGATTGAACTTGGATATATAGCCTCTACCTGATTGCACTTGCCACTTCTAGAAACTCAAATTCAAGAGCAGAATTTCGATGCATAACACGAAAACGGCCATACATTAGCTTCATCAGTACAATTTTGAGCAGTTTTGTATTCCAAAAGTTACATTTTCGAACTCCAATGCAATCACAATTGTAACCATTTTCTCTCCGCGGGCAATTCACCTGGTCGCGATATCATTAGTTCAATCAAAATAAAACAATCACGTACCAATGCAGTTAAGCAGCGGATCTATATTTGCAATCACAGGCGCATGCTTTGTACTTCTAGCTGCTGTATTTCTTTACTGCACTTTCCGCGAACCACGTAAGGATAGAAACAACTCTATTGTAAATCTCCAAGAATTAGGACAACTTCCAAAACGTCCACGACCGGTACACTCTAGGCATCCAAGACGCTCTCACTCAACACATAATCGGCACACAAAACGCTCGCATTCAACACATAATCGGCACCCAAGACGTCCACGGTCAGCACATACTCGAAATCCAAGACATTTACCTTCAGCACAGACTCGGCGTCCAAGACTGACATCAGACAGTTCTGAAGAAAGATTCAAGTAATCTCATCAAATTCGTCCGTCAAATCTTCAAGATGAATCGAAATACCAAACACGGCCTAATATTTCTTGCTCTCTTGCTTGTCTGTGGAGGAGGCATTGCCGTATTTTTCGTTGTTTGGCTCAAACCCCATAGTCAGAATCAATCTGCTACGAAGCGCGGGGTAGCGGCCTCACAGAAACATGACATCCATATCAGGAATTCTCCTTTGAGTGAAGAGGCTACTGGGCACTCTAGTTTTGAAAATAGCGGGTTCTCTCAGCTATACAGATATCACATTCGCACTTCATCTCAACATCGAAACAGACATCGCTCTTTTTACCCCGAGGCGGATATAGGAAATCTGAGCAGTCACTCCTCAACCGTTCCGATCAGCACACATATTTCAACTAGTGTACGATCGTCGCCCACTACTGCTATTAGTGTTGCTCCTGCTATCGATATCTATTCACCCCTGAAAATGGTAGCCTTAACTACTTTGTTAGCAGCGGGAGGATTTCGAAGCTCTGCCATTTCGTCCTCGAACCCAAGGTCTAACGGGAGTCACGTTTTGGCAACTTCAACGAGTGCGGAACCATCGATCACTTTTGGCAGCGGACGTAAGCACGTTCGCAAATTCTGAGCTTAAGGGTATGGAATATGGAGCAGGGAATGGTAGCTTTTTAGGGTCGCACATGCTAGACTAGCGTTGGGACTTTGTGTAAATATCCAGTGATAGACTTCCTGGCGATGTGTAAATACGTGAATTTGGAGGATTTTGGAACTGGGGAGAATAGTTTCTAGGGTTTTCATAGATCATACGATTTAGATAAATCTAAATTATTTCTACTGTACAATGTTTTATCGTTGTTCTAGTGAATGTCTTGACTGTGTAGGTGACATTTATTAATCATTTCTATGAGTGGTGACATCTGTATTTAGTCGAGTCATATAGGGGAGTCAGGCATTGATCTGAGGTTCCTTTGAATATATCTAAAAGCATAAAGATTACAAGTTGGCATCAAACAGAATAAATGCATGGTCTGGACTGTACCAAATAGAAGACAATCACCCGAAAACATACCTGACTTCTTAAATTTTGAGGTAAAAAACAGGACCTATATTACCACACAATATCATATACATCAACATAGACCGAAGGTCAAGAAATATAATGAATCCTCTGCAGAAACAGCAAACACAAACTGCCGCATACTGTCCAGATACTGTACCATCCAAAAATTGAAAGAAAACAAGGCATTACCACCTCTCTTACAATGCCAATTTCTGAAGCAGTGAATCGTAGTAATAGTACTACTCATGAATCACTAGTATGAATGAAAGCAGTCATGTTTTTGCCGGGTTAAGTATATGAAGAGTCATTATTATTGGGGAGTAAATTGTTAAGGTAATATAGCTTGTGAGTCTGCAGTCGCCGAACTTTATAATTTTGCTGGCGTTTTGGATTCCTTTTTTTCTGCGCAATCTTACACGCCTATATTCACGTATTTACATCCTTACATTCTTGCCGTCTTTTCATCCTCAAGTCGATTTCTCTGCACAGAATCCAAATCCCAAGATCCCACTAAGCATCAACACACAACTCTCCTAACTCAGAATCAAAAATTCTCGAATCCGAGCACAGTCCCGCACCATGTCTATTCACAACAGTACAACCAACTCCACAATACCAATCCCAAACGCAAAGGACGCTAAAGACGATCTCAACCTTTCCCTAGAACTAGTTATGGTACTGGGCATCGTTCTCATTGGAGATATTGCCATGATATTTGTAGTACACAAGACTGAGGGCTATAAAGAACGGAAGAGAAAGGGAAAGCTGCCTGAGAAGATGAATGATGCCGGTGACGTGGAAGCATAGTACTTGTATGAATCATAATATGGCTAGTTCCAGTCATTCTAGTCATTTTTCGCCGAGTTGGAATATTGGGAGTCATTACGTCATGGGTTAAAGGCTATTTAGTTTATCGAAGTCCCTCAATTTTTCAAACTTTACCAACACTTTGATGGCTCGTCAACATTATACTTTCAAACATCAAGTATCAACACTTTATTGTATCGTACTGCTTGATCAATACCCACCTTAAGTATCACTTCATGTAGCTTAGCACTGGTACATTAGCCTGGTTTAAACTCCATCACTTCAAAACGTCCTCACGCTCTTAACCACTCTCACGCTGTAAAGCCTTTACAGCCTTTACATTTTGATAGATTCTTCACGTCGAAACTCCATCCACCACTACACTTCGCTGCACTTCACTACACTGTACTGCAACAAGGTCAAGGGCTCGGGTCAAAAATACCATAAGTACAAACATACAACAAACACAACGCACACCAACAAGAAAATGGGCTCCTCAAATTCCAAACATACCCCCTCACCACCTTCAGAAGACGAAACCTGGATCTGTGCTGCATGTGGAAATGATAACAAACTCTTTCACAGTGACCGTCCGGATGTAGAGAATGTGCGGCACTGCTCGGTTGAGCATTGCAAAACGGCATGGCGATTCGTTGAAAATGAGAACAAATGGGTAGTTACTGTTGAAAGAGATTGGAACGCACCGTACGGTCAATATTAGCTGGACTAAAGACGATACATATGGAGGATTCCTTTTTCTTGTCCTTTCTTTTCTTTGGAAGCTGGTGAAATATTTTTTGATGGTTTGGAGCGTCAAGCTATTTGTTCTAGGTGTGATAGGGTGGAGTGAGACTACCGGTAATGATATGCTTGGTTGTGGTTCTATTCAACGCAGAACAGGATCATCGAGTTGGGCATCTGGATTTAATGGTCATTACGTTTTTTTTTTTCGATCTTTAACTTGGGCTTTTCATTGTTTGCGTGATATTTGGAGCATGATTTGGCATCAGAATATACTGTCGGGAAAGATACCATAGCTTTTGAGAGGTGCGCTTGGAAGAACCAAGTAGACACTCAAACATCTAGAAATTAATCTGACTTTTATCCGCTATCTGATCTTTGAATGTCATATTTGATTTTGTAAACGCTTTTATATTCTATGATATTGATTTCGAGACAGCTCCTGACGGGGAAGACTTGTGGTGACGCCGATGTCGAGGGCTCTTATGAACCGTGAGTTCGAGCGATTTATTTTTGGTCGAGTTTAATCAAAGTATTGGGAGTCATTGCATAATCTTATCTAAGGAAGGGAAATCAACGAGTACCAGTCAACCCAGTGAGACGTCACCACACGAGGCGTAGCTATGGGCATCATCATTCAGTCGATAACAGCATTCCTTCAAAAGAGTAATATGGAGTTAAATCCTTCCATATATAAATTAATCTGGGTGCTAGAATTCGAATAGCTAATCTGACATCACCCTTGGACATCAGATTAAACATGGAGTAAGGTTTGCAAGTAAAAATCACAGTGACATTCTGTCATATCAGCCGCTTCATTAGAAGCCTGTCTCTACAATTAGTCTACTTGATTGCAAAGTCTCATCGACTAGACGATATTCTGTATCCCCATCCCTCAGATTTTCGCATCCAAATCCTCACCCTCGGTCCTTCTCCCTTTTGTAACTTCTCACATTTTGATATGCCCAACCCTTAAGCGATTCTTTACGCCAATTCTCCAGCACAATTCACCACATCCTACCACGAGCAAACCAAATCAAAAACTCAAATCAGCATTTCACAGCACAGAATCCAAACAGAGTTGCCGTACCAGGACCAGCTCATCCACAACAGGCAATTCGAAGCTCATAATATACCAGACAAATGCAATGGGTAGAAATCTTTCTACAGGAATTAGCGCTGCAGCCGAAGTTTTCGTTCTGCTCTCCCTTGAGACATGCTTCTGTAAGTGGGGAAGTAGCTGTTTGAAAGATGGCAGTTTGTGGGTGGCGAGGCCGCAATTGGTGGTTCCTAGGCATGTTCGTCGCTCTTGTTGTGAAATCCATAAGCGAGGAAGATTTTGATGAATTCTGACCTGGGAACATTTGAGTTGTATAATAAGTGATATTTGGTGAATACTACCTTTTCTTCTGGAAGATAGTTTTCCTCAATACGTATCTCTGGGAATGACAGCGTTGTGCTGCATTGGAATGTATTTTCGGCAACGAGGAATGTAGTGGAAGATTTGGTTGTAAAGCAGAATCCAATTGGAGCTTCAGAGGTCCATATTAGCTCCCGATTATTAAATCAGAACATAAATTTTAGATCCAATACCTGTTATTTTAATCCTTATGCTATCTTTTAAGAAGTAAAGATTTTCAGTGAGCTCCATCAATATATACTGTTTGGAAGGCGCATCCTCATTCCTGCCCCTGTGGGCCTGCGTCACCCCAAACCTCTCATTTCTTGCCCGATTTATTAGTATTTATCCAACTAAAGAGCTGCAATAGATCCCCATTTTCATAAATTGTTTGCACATTGCATCTTAATTTTTTAACTATAGTCGCTGCTAGTTCTAATTTGAGCTTTCGTTGTTAATGAACGTTCACGAACTTGTAACTCTGCATTTATCAACTCTCGTCTTTTATCTATACAACTATTAAAATTTCATTCTATCCTCAGCCTAACTGTATCAAGATACCCCAACAACCTCGGGTTCTAGAAGATATCTAATTTCCTCTTTGAAAATATCTATAACAACCAATATGGCAAGCACGACATCCATCACATATCCCGGCTCCATTAGCAATCCAACATACGGTCTTGCTTTCTGCGTCTCAGGATCAGTATTGGTTTTCATACTAGTATTCGTATGTTGCGGATACGGGTGTCTCAAAGAGAAAACTGGAAGCTCAGATCAGAAGGGAAGCAAAAAAGGAAGCTAGAGCACGTCGACAAGAGGAATTCGTAATGATCGACGTCCCGTCGAAGGTTCACTCGGCAAAGTATTGATTTTTGTTTAAAAGAAAAGGCGGTTGGAACTACGAAGACATGTGACCATGGTATTTTTATTCCTCGCCTGTGGATTCACCATTATCAGGTGGCATTTTCAAATGCGAGTGAATTTACCATCTCAGACCACAAACAACCTTGGGAGTTATCGAACACCCTAGCAGACCAATAGACCTCTACTACAACTTTCCTATTCTTAAAGTTCCGGTACCATCCTTAAAAACGCAAAGATTCAAGTTTTGATAAGCACATAGCGATACTCCAACTCAATCATAACTTCCCAACCAAGTTTATATCTTGGAAGCTCTTGATCGACTCTGCAAAAGCTCCCGCACAATGGAGCAGCCATTTTCGAAAACAAGATTTTGGGACATCCCCGTGGAATCCCCATGGACGGGCATACCTTTCTGCCCCCGAAGTCAGACATTCCACGTAATCGCTAGACTTGAGGTCTACAGACCGGCAGCTTATATAACATGGGCTGTAGCGATTGCAGTTTCACTTCCAATTTTTGCATGTATCACGGGGCTTCTTTTAGTCATAGATGCGATTGCTGTTGCTGGGGAATTCATCTACTCAACACTCAAGTGTTGGACTACTACAACGCGGCATGGAATTTCGGACGACGGCGATGATTTGGTTTCGGATCAACTTCCTACAACCAACTATCACCCCTTCACTAGTTCTACTCCGAATATTTCCTCAAGGCTCTCTTCAGCATTCATTCCGGATCTCGATCACACTTCTGTCAGTAGCACTGTTCTCAATGAAAAAAAGCTCCCACTTTGCAAAATTCCTTCGAAAAGCCTCACCTGCATTTATAACGTTGCCAACCTGGCATTCCCACAGCCATGCGCTCAACTTGAAGGTCGCTACAGGAAAAGCGACTCCCAGTTTCCTCTCGACCCTCCTCCATATCATCTGCCTGCAGCTCCATATTATGCGACGATAGCGATTGCCATTTAAATTTCCTGAATTGGATTTCAAGGGAATTCGAGATTGGATCGGTGGATATATAGTGTGTTCTTTTGGAAATGAAGTTTTACCTATGCTGGGTTGACGTTTGATTGGATGGGAGGGAAGAAGAGAGAAGATTTTTGCAGAGAGGGAATTAAGAGCCCATAAGCTTTAATTGTAAAGCATTATGGCTTTTAATACATACGATTTCAGATATGGAGATTCTACATTACTTCTCATTCAGTTTTGCAATGTAGAGCTTGTATTTGTAGAATTTTGATGTCTGTTTTACTAACGTCCATCCATGCGCGTTAGACACTTCTTAGGTGACTTCGAGGTTACTTTTGTCTAGTAAAATTACAACGCCCAAGGGAGACAGACATTCATGGCTTCGATGATCATGAGTAGGAGGAAAAAGTAAAAACAAGCGAAGGATAAATAAATAATACTGCCGAATAAAATGCCTTTGAATAAATATCTTCGTTTCATCGTTCCATCATCCCAACCATTGCCATTCATAATTAAGAGGATACATTCTACCTTAACTCATTTTTCTCTAAAATTCAATCGTAAGATTACATGGTACATATTGCACCTTGAATGGCTACAATAAAGACGCAATGCAACTTGCAGGGGACTTTTAACTTGATTGCTATAAATAAATAGATACAATAAAAAGGAATAAAGCTCCCCCTTCTTTTCCTGCCTTTCTTTTTCAATCCTAGGTATCAAATCAAAGACTAAAACTCATATCCGCATCCCATCCCTACTCCTAAGTTGCCCGTAAAATGATATATAAATACTAAAGTACCCTCCCTTCGTAATGCGTATCCTGACCTTTCTTTTATTTTCCAATACTAACTTAATCTTACATGAATTGTTACAGTAAAGTGACCTAATTAAGAAGTAAAGAGAGGTGCACAATGAGACGAGAACTTAGAGGTATCTTCCCCAACCACAACCCTCTCACTCTCCCTCCTCCGCTCTAGACTTCTCGTCGAGGCTTCTACAATCTCCACTCTCTTACCAGGCGCTTGATCTCCATCTCTCAAAGCCGGTATCGCCGCAATAGCCACAGGCGACGGAGGTTCAACCACAACCCCCGACCCACTACTCCTCTGTACCCAAGGCATCTTACTTGGGTCCAAATATTTTTCGAATTCCCACGTTCCACCCGTGTTAACTCCATCGGTGGGGGTATCCATACCCATTGTCGTATTTGTAAAATAGGATTCTCTTCCATGACTATGATTCGTAGTCACCGTATCATTTCCAGCCCCGGGATTACCACTATCACCACTTCTTTGGCGATAAGCTTCTGCTTCTTTATCCATTCGATTCATGCGTTCCATACCACTATCCCTATTCATACCCATATGTAGAATACTTCCGCTTCCGCGAACTTCGCGCTCGGTATTCATCCATGGTTTGAGTTTCGCAGGGTTAGATGTAATCAAAGCAGCATTGCTTGCAAAACTTAAGGCACTTAATGCGGGACTATTGGGTCGACTATTCATATCCATGTCTTCGAGTTCCTCTTCCATCTCATCCAATTCTGCCCAGCATAATTCATCATTACCACCACTCAATTCATAAACATCCTGTGCCTTTTCTTTTCGCCTTTTTTTGCGCTCTTTGGGCCGAGTGGAAAGACTTGCGAGATGGAATGTAGGTTTGGATTCGATGGGGACCGGATTAGAGTCTTTGTTGAGTATGGTATCTGTTGCATTGTTGTAATTGGGGCTTCGGGTTGTGAAGGTCTTAGACTTGTTGTATCGGGGATCGAGAGTGAGGTTCGGGCTCCCGATAGCTTTGCCTATGTTTAGAGAGACGGTTGATCGGTTGAAAGGGGTGAGAAGGACAGAATTGGTTCCTTTGTCGAAGAAACTCAGTTCCGAAGGGGCTTTGGAAACATGCCTAGATTTTTTGTCTGCTTTGTCTTTATGAGATATGAAAGGAAGAGGTAAGGGAGAAGACGGAGCGGAGCGGAATGAATCTTTCTTCGAGAGACTCCAAGAAATAGATGAGGGTGTGGAAACAGTATTTGACGACCCAGGAGCTTGTTTGCGTTGGTGGACGCGGCGGAGAATGTATATTGTTAGACACAAGGTTAAAGCTATGGAAACGAGGATAGCGAGGACGATAACTGCTATAACTGAGGTTGAGATTCCAGATTTTGAAGGCGATGAAGGCGTTACAGGAGGATCAAGAGGAAAAATAATTGTCGGGTTTGAAGAAGGATAGAAAGTGCTCCAGTTGCGTTGATGAACGGAAAATAGCGAACGTTCGTAGTCGGCAATCAGGTAGGCTTCTTGGAGGAATACCCGTCCAAGTGTGATCTGGGAGTCATTGGCTGCTCGTTTAAGGGGGAAATAACGAGTACTCTTTTCAACAAGTGGGTAATCGGCCCACCAATCGAAAGCAGCGTATGGAAGTGTGATGTTTACCATGGATTTAGAAGTGGAATTCGTGAGAGTAAATATAACAGACGCATTTTTGGCAATAAGTGTGGAATACTGGGCATCGTTGAGTAAATAAAGTTCCGATTGTGTATCGTAGGTAATGCCGAGAGCTTCTTCGAACTCTTGACATATGCTGGTTGGTAAATACAGGTATGGAATGGATGAGTCAATGAAAGCTGGAAAGGACGATGATGGTGATGAGACGACTTGAGATTTCCCACCGGTTGAAGTGATTGTGATTGTGTTGACATCAATGGTTAGGTCGTTACCATTTGTGGCAAAGTCGACAGTAAGATTATTTGGAACGAAGAGAGACTCTTCATATCCGCCCAATGTAAGATTTGCAAACACTCCTCCCCCACTTGCTCCCCCACCATTACGATAATATGCTCCTGCAGTGTAGCCATAGGACAATGACGGAATGTGACCTTGAGACTTGAGGTTAGACATATAACTAGGGACAGGCTCGGTTTTGCCAGAAAAGTTTGTGGGGGCAGGATTGAGACCAAAGAGACCCAGCCAAAAGTCATGAGTGGTAATCGTTGCGAGGACTTGCGAACTCAAGGAAGGAGATCCACTACCTGGGAGTCCCAGCATGATGGTATCACTGCCATAATATCCATTTCCAGCAAGACCAAGACTCGATTCAAGTTCCAAAGCAAACTCGCCTCCTGAATTGATGGTATTTGACAACCTAGAGCCTTTTTTAACACCATGAGGATATAATAAGTTTCCTGTAGTTTACGTACCATGTGGTTGACCGGCTCGAATTATAATTGAGACCTCGTGAGCCAAGGCAAGTTCCTGGGTCTGATGTAGTACACCCATCTGGTGATATAATCCAAGGTTGGTTAATTGCTGTTGATATGAAGATTTGGACGAGTTGATCAGGTGTTCCCACTGTGAGCCAAAAGCTTGACCAGTTTCCGTCAATACCATTCCTGATGACCGCGTTAACAGATGACGTGGTGAGGTAGATATTTGAAGATCGACAATAACTTACCAATTAAGACTTGGAGGAATGTTGAGAGGAGGAACAGGGGTCGATGAGATTGTTGAGGCCAAAGTCTGGTTAAGAAGGCAGAGGAAGGGCAATAGGATGGAGACCAGACACCTCCAAGAAGACATTGGCATTGGAAAATATCATTAAAGATAGTTTCGTGAATTAGTGATTGTTGAGAAGACAGAACATGCTGGCTATGATACAACAGCTGGTAAGGAGAGACAAGAAAGAGAAATGACAGAAACGGGCTTAAACGGGCTCAAACGGCACGAAAAGGGTGTAACTTGAACACAAGTTTCCAACAAGACCTCCATCCAGACGGGAACGTCTCAATGAAAAGTAATGTACGAGGGGAAGGTCGAGAACTTGAAAGGATCAAAAAACGTGCTGTGCATACCGGGCACCAACTATTTGATACTACTATCTCCTGTGTCAGATAATTTTAAGTGCTAGGATCTGCGGATGGGGTGGAAGTAGAAAATACCAATTTCTATCAAATTTGGCTGGAGCTTAGAATGGCTTTTCATAAAGAGGGGCGAGATGTGATAGTTGGCATAATTGATGAGAAGGATTCATCTTTGGCTTTGTCATGACCTATATGTAGCATATAGCTAGCCAATCTTCAGCCGTCATTTGGTAGAAACGGAAGATTCGTAAGATCATAGGTCTGTATAACTTTGGGGCGAAAATCTATCTTGCTAGGTAAAACTGGGTGTACGGATGACGAAAAAAAGGTACAGTAGTAGTAAGATTCCATGAGGTTTTGCTTGGCTTTCACTAAATGGGATGAATTTCCGAGCTGCTCATACAGTATGGGATCTAGAAAAATGTAGCAAAACAAATTAAATTGAATAATTGAAACGCAAACCTGGGGTTTAACGAGGATCTCTTCATAACACTGCCACCAAGTTTGAGCGCAATTCAATCCATTGCATCGGGATTTGAAATCCTGACTGAGGCTCTCACACATTCAACTGAGAAGAAAGCAGTGATATGCTGGCCTTTACACTGGTATTTTCACATTGGTCTTCTTCTTCTTCTTCTTCTTCTTCCTCTTCCTCTTCTTCGAAAATCAGGGGCTTGATTCTAGAAATCCGCGACGATGTAACGATATCTTCGTGTCATTTGATTTCCCACATAAAAGCATGGTCCCCTGTTTCGAAAGGATCGGATTAATCGAAGTTGAATCCTCACGAAAACGTGGAAAAGGGATGATGATGAGTGAGAAACGTAAGACGGTTGATCTTTGGTGGTAATTGAGATTTGAAGAGGGGAAAAGAGAAAAGTAAGGAAAAAAGATGGGATGACTTTTGAAATGGGAAGGGAGTTGCCTGATTCAAAACCCTGGCCGCCTTTAGTGAGAATGGTTGCCACTTTTACAGCGCATTACAGGATAAGGGTAGGATGAAGATAGGGTATCATCAGGTCTCAAGGATGTTAAAAACTACCATAGAAGCTATAGAACCCCTCTACAGGCAGAAAGATTAGTGATGTGATAGGTTAGCTATGTTGGAGAAAGCCTAAAGTTAGATAATCGTACGCTAACTGATACACTATTAAACCCCTTGCCCAAATAATTAAGGTCACACTAATAGAAAAGCTCTCACAAATATAAGCACACTCATCATACACCATACACCATACACACAACATCTCTGAATATATAATTGCATCAAAATTCTTGGAAAAGGTGCCCCCAACAAGCCAACCATCGACCATATGCATTCGAGTAATTCTGTACAACCATTCGCTTTAGACCTGTTATCAGAACACACTTGATTTCATTGCTCTCACATATGTTTGGATGTCGCGATGCAAATACAACAGATATCGTTGTTGGAAAAGAAAACCCTTCCTCACGTCACATCCATCAACATCAAGACCTTAGGAAATGATGGGCTAATTATACTTTCCCCACTCACCGCTGAAGCTTCACGATAACGATCCTGCCATTTTACTGCTAATGTAATTCATCGCATCATCGCACCGTGGTACCTATTTAGATGTATCTCTGGAGATTCCGTCTTACTCCAAGGTATCTAGCGACATGCAGCGATGTCACCTCAAGTGTCTCCGCCTCCAAAAATATCTTTGGAAAAAGAGAAGAGTGCGCAGCCAGCATACTGCACCACACCCACACCTCAATCACGCCTCAATCACACCTTCACCAAGAATTCTCGAAAACGGTCTGTACCGTTATATGTAGTTGCTTTCTTGGTTCCCTCTAAGCTTCGTACCTTTTCCTGCAGGGGGCCACATCTATGGTATGGAACTTTATCAGTATCCACTAGGATCACTGTATTATTTTTCAACCGAGTCTTATTCACCCACCCATCACAGACTGGCACAGCCGCCTTCGCAACCTCCCTTGATCTTTCTTGATCCTTCAACCTCCCACTCATCCGTTCACGAGGTATGCGGGCTCTATATTTGGCCCACGGATGTTGCTTACGATGGATTAAAGTTACCGAATTGAGCAAGTCACTCTCTATTTATGCTGCGAACTCATTAGTGTCAGGCACAGCATCGGCTCTTGCATCAGCAAATAGTTAAACGATGCCTCGCTCGTCAACTCAACCTTTCATTCTATGGCGGAGGGAGGAAACACCCTGGTAAATTTTTGGGATGGGGATCTAACTTGTTACTTCCCAGCTACCAAGTGACTTGATCTGCAAACCTGACTCTCTAATACACTCCCAAATTTCATCTCGAGATTGTTTCGTGATGCAGGCTGGCGAGCTCAGCCCCCAAGGTTTCGTTTCTCTCAAAAAGAATATAGGAACCTCCTCCTCTTGCAATCTTGTTCCTTTCCTCCTTCTCTCGTCGTCTATCTCTTTAATTCTATGTCCTCATAAGACCTCATCCACGGGTTGATGCCCGGAGTATCGTCCCATTTTCAACATGAAAAATTTACTGGGGCCTTTTCTAGGCACCTTGTCTCTTCTACATTCAGTAACTGCATTTCTCAGCCTAGACCAAAGGTAAGACTAATCAATATTGATTCGTGGATTTCCTTCATCTGGTGGCGTTTAAATGTTACATCTGCTGATACATTCTTTCCTCCTAGATGCTGTATTAGTTCGAAGGTATACTAATGAAACCTCATCGTCGCATGAAGTTTCTTCTGTCATATCATCAAAAGGGTCTCCGACCACCACACTCATTCCATCTAGCACATTGTCTATATCTTGTACGGCAACAGTCACTTCAACAAGTGGCCAGCCTATAACAGCCGCAAGAGAAGCTTGTCCTACCACTGTCACTATCGTTTTTACATCTGTATCAGTTCCAAATAATAGTAAAGGTACCACTGAAGTATCTACCTCCGAGAAGGCGACCTTTCCTACATCGACCCAAGCATCAACATTGAAGACATCGGCACATACTTCTATTGCTAGTCCAGAAACCAAGTTGAGCTCTGCAAGTTCTCACTCAGTTTCCTCGATACTTCGATCTTCAGAGACTTCTGCTGAAGCTTTCAGTACATCCTCAAGTACTGCTGTCACTCATTCTAGTTCTATCACCTCAAATACAAATGAACCGGCAAGCTCGTTGACTTCGAAACCACTTAGTAGCAACACCCTACTCTCGACTATCTCTACCACATCCACTGCTTCACATACAAGTATACCGAGTGAACCTTCACTATCAAAGACATCTAACTTATCTTCGGAATCTCTTTCTTCGACTACCTTGTCTGGCAGCACCATAACAACACAGGCCTTTACAGTCATAGTATCCTCAGCGGGTCCAACAACACTGCTTCCTTCCTCGAAAACCGTCGGTTCATCTTTGCCATCCGTGCATACTGATATTTCAAAGTCCGAGTCTCAGATTATCTCTACTTCATCCAAGACAACCAATTCTGCATCGTCAACTCCTAGTGCTACCTCTAAAAGCGAATTAATCACGTCCAAGAATTCTAATTTTGCTTCATCAACAACGAGACTCCCCGAATCGTCTTCAGGAGCAAGAATCTCGGAGTCAACTGCTCTAGCTTCTCTTACTGTGAACCCGGAATCGAGCTTGAAGTCTAATTCGATATCCTCAAAAGCGCCGCCAACTACCGCGACGTCAAAACCATCAGAATCTTCTGTTCAGTCAACGCGCGACCCTACGCCTGAATCCGGCTCCGTGCAATTGTCAATTTCTTCTGCAGTCAGCTCTCTTCCAAGCGCATCTGAGATTTCCCTCAAATCTACGCGTGAATCGAGATCGGAAACCAGCTCGGAGCCTTCAAAGGTATCATCAACTACCTTGGCTTCTCAAACACCCGAGTCTTCCTCAGCTCAGACAACTCATGAAGTTCAACCAGAATCTAGCTTGACATCCTCTTCGTCGGTTCCTACAACTGCTGTCTCGATCCCCAAAACATCTGAGTCTTCCATTCAAACTACAGTTGAAAGTAAATCAAAGACCGGTTTGGAGTCTTTGCAGATATCGTCGACTACTTTAGTATCCAAGACATCTGAATCTTTTATTCAAACCAAGAGTGAATTTAAGTCGTCATCAAGCTCATCTGTATCGTCAGTGGTATCATCAACTTTCTTAGCTTCGCAAACCTCTGAGACATCTTCTTTTCCAACGACACGGGAAGATCAATCGGCCTCATCATCGACTTTCCAAACGCCTAAGGCCTCCGGAAGTTCCTCGTCTCCAACAACACCAGCAAGCAAATCAGACTCGAGCAAATCGGCATTATTAACTTCATCAGCTTCGTCAGTTTTAGGTCTTTCAACCTCAAAAGCATCTCAGGCATCAACTCAAACTCAATCAAACAACGAGTCGAAATCAAGCCCTTCTACAGTTGGAGCTCAACTGACTTCAGTGTCTTCAGGGATCCAAAGTCAAAGCACGCAAGAGATATCTTCAAAGAAACAGCCAAGCACTTTCGACCCGACATCCAACTCTGCCGCTACTTTTCAAGGGCACACCTCATCGCAATCAGAGATTGCATCTCAGAGCTCAGACTTACAAGGACAGACTGCATCGGAAATAAAATTCACGAGCAAAAGTACCAAGGCTCCTACTCAAGGACACCCTTCAGAAACTACCGCTGCTAATACAAAGCCTGCAAGCATTACTCAAAACCCCGCTACTTTTACCCAAGTACCTGAAACTGCTTCTACAAGTGTGAAAGCCTCAGTCAGCGAAAGTTCAAACCATACTAGCTCAGCCGAGGAGTTATCCACATCTATAGAGAGCACGGGAGTTTATCCAGTTAGCACATCCCCATCCAGTCGTCCAGGAAACACTGAGACTAGACAGACTGCCGAAGGAACCTCTCTATTTTCTTCTTCAATTAGCAAGGCTACTACTGCATTACCCACGAGTAAAGTTCGGACTTCAACTGAAAGCTCTAAATCAGAATTTTCGAACACACTCTCCTTAGAAACATCTGCGACTTTACAGAGCGAATCAAGCATAAAACCCACTTCCACTCAAACCTCTGTCTTTATACCATCATATACAGGCATGAATACGAGTGTTATTTCGGGTTGTACAGCAACTCTTTCGGTCGTTGGCCAAGTCTTACCAGCATGTCCACATACTATCACTCTTGATTCCTTCTTTTCCACTTCAAAGACACCGGTTACGGCTTTCCCTACCAGTATTATAGTTTCAACCAGTAGTTCTGCTACTTCAAAGGTGGTTGATACTACTAGTAGTAGTATATCTGAGATCAGCTCTTCTACTTCCAATTTAGCTACTTCCAAGCCAGCTACTTCCAATTTAGTCAGCAAATCCCAAGACGCGTCTACGTCTGTTCCTAGCACTGCTTCACCAATTATTAGCTCAGCTAGCAAATCACCAGATACACTGACAATAGTCCCTGCAACTAGTGTCCCGACAGATCCTATATTTGTACCTGGGACTAAATCTGCTGAGGCAGCAACCATCGGCTCATTCTCAGGATCTACAGTTCCTTCGTCTACCGCGTTATCTTCTAGTTCCAATCCTGTTTCGAACAAATCACCTGATGCTCAAACATCTGTGTCGACTACGAGCAAATTACCTGATGCACCCACTTCTATTCAGTCGAATAGTGTTATTCCTGCCACGAGCAAATCATCTGATAATCAAACATCTGTGCTAGCCACGACCAAGTCGCTTGATGCATCTACTTCTATTCAAACGAGTAGTGTTATTCCTGCTACGAGCAAATCACCAGATCCTTCTATTTCTGTCTCAGCAACCGGTGTTTCAGTTATCCTAGCTACAAATAAATTGCCAGATTCTCTAACTTCTAGTCCGAGGACCACCAAGTCACCTGATACACTTATTTCAAATCCACTCACCACAAAGTCACCAGAATCAACTGCTTCAACAGCTAGTTCTGTGGTTTCACAGGCAAATGCTAGCAGTGGAGATACTTCTGAAACATCTCCAACAATAGCACCTACTAGTCAAGCTCGTACCGAAACCGCTAAGGCTATATCAACTCCACAAGCAACTTCAAATCCTGTGTCTATTCCAGGGACAGAACCTGCTGATAGCGCAACTAAAGTGGCATCTTCTGGATCTACGTCTTCCTCATCATTAGATCCACTAGTGAGCAACACAGCTACGACAGTCAATAATGTCCCTCCATCAACTACATCAAACCTATCATCGTTGGGATCCGCAGTTTCCTCATCTATTGTATCATCGTCTTTGTCTAACCCCGCTATAACTACAAGCAATGTTTTACCACCAGGAACGACAAGCCCTGCATCTGTGCCTCAAACTGAATCAGTTAATACTACCACAAACGTGTTGTTATTGGAATCTACAGTTCCTCCATCGACCGTAGTTTCCTCTGGGTCGAAACCAGCAGATATCACATCTGTAAGCAATCCAACCAACACTGTAACTGGAAGCCCTACATCTGCGTCGTCTTCTACCGGAAATTCTGGAACCAGTACATCAGCCGTAGGGATACCAGTTGGTCTACCAAGTCACAAAAGTGAACTTCCCGTAGGTTCAATCAGAACAGCCGACATTATTGGTACTCAGCCAACACCCAGCAACCCCGGCATTCGAACAGGCGCCACAGAAAAGGGACCTCTACCATCTGACACCAGTGCCACGATCCCCGGTATCCAAGTATCTCCCAGCGGTGTAAAAACCAACCCTGATGTCACAACAGCAGTTTCAAACCCATCAAGCACACCAACAACCATCAACCCATTACCGGGCCAAACAACCATTGCGCCAGTTGTAGTTAATTCCCTAACACTCAGTCAAAGAACCTCTGACTTCGTCATCGGTACCCGAACCATCAAGCCCGGTTCCGAAGCCACCGTTAGCGGGGAACGAATCTCAGTTGCTCCATCTGGATCTGCAATTATAATCAATGGGGCAACAACAAGTGTTACACCCACACCCTCTCCTACAAATAGCGGTGTCAGAACCATTTTATCAACCACCACCGAAGCTCTTCCCGGTGTCGTCGTAATCGGAACTTCAAGCGTAACCGCCGATTTCAAGAACTCCGGCTTCCTAATCGGAAGCGCAACACTCACACAAGGCGGAGCAATAACCGCCGGTTCAACTATCATCACCCTTCCACCTAGTACAACCACCTCACGCCCCTCCAACATAGTTGTAATCGGATCCTCAACCTACACCAAAAACTCAGAATCCGGCGTGCAAATCGGTTCTCAAATCCTGAAAGCCGGATCCGTCATCACCGTCGACGGATCCACCGTTTCTCTATCTCCGACTGGGAATGCCGTGGTGGTAAATGCTAATTCGGGGTTTGTGACTAGCACGGCTAGTTTGCAGGAGGTCGTTCCTGTTAGCAGTTTGATGATTGGTGGTCAGGCGCTTACGGCTGGGAGAATAGTTACTCAGGGTGGGGATATTTTGAGCTTGGCAGCTGGGGGGACGGGTATCGTGGTTATAGGGACTAAGACTGTGGGAGCGGTGGGACAGACGGAGGAGCCGAAGAAGAAGAGTGCGGGTGTGAGAGGGAAGAGTGTAGGGATGGGAATGGGGCTGGGGTTGGTGATGAAGGGGTGGGGAATTTTGTATTTACAGGTTTCTTTTGTGGTTTGGGCACTGTGGTTGTGAGATGCGAAATTCTGGGCTTGTAAGTTTATATGCTTGATAAGGTTGGGAGGTTGGGAGCTGAGGAGGGAGCGTTGAGGTTAGTAATGGAGATTAAGTTTTATATTTTTATTTCTATATTTGTATTTGTATTCTATTGAGAAAAGGAAAGAGATTTATAAATGTGAAAATGAGAGTTTGAGTTTGTAGAAAGATAGGATAATGATGTTATATAACTTGTTACGACAAGTAACAATTAGGTCACGGGATTAGTGATAACACGTGACTCGAGGACTCGAAGAGAGCGAAAGGATCGAAGCTCGATCCCCTCGCTCCCTTCGAGCCATGAAGCATGAAGGTCTATATAATCAAGATGGATTTCCTTTGTATAGAGCTTCGTGCTCAAGACCAATCATTTAGTATACTCTATTATTAGTTACGAATTGTATATCATTATTGTCATTACTTAAGTCCCTGCTTGACGCCTAGTTATAAACCACCTCGAGAGCCTAGAGCACTTCCACGTGATCTAGACGGCAAACCTCGTAACAGTTAATATATAATTAAAGGGAAAATTTGTATTGGTAGTATGAGTGTGATTTTAATTATAAGTAAAGATGAGTTTGGGTGTGAATTTTATTAAGGGATTAAATATCTGTTGGATATATGTGTTGGTGGTATTGATAGTAGGTAATTGACAAAATGCGATTTTAATGAGATTCTGCGCCACTGAAATCGAGCTCGAGGTGAGGATTCCGCAATAAGACGAGATTCATAAAGGGAAGGGGTATTAGAATGAGGAATTTTTGTATCAAGAACATTTATTTTCCGATGGTCATTTTTACCGTGTATCCGAATTAATGTACTTTCAAATAAAGTAATTAGATTCATCTCGAATCAGCTATTATAATGTTGTATCGATGGATTCTATGGATTGTAATCCCTTCTAGTTTTCTATGCTCGTTTATTCCCTGTATATGTAAGATCTTACAGTATCTCTAAATCTCGGTTTGCAAATAGAAATAAACGGGATGAGACGAAATGAAACCGAAACAAGGAGACGGGGTCTCAATTCCGTGATAGGACTTGAGCTTACTCCTTCTTGGCTCTTTTGCTTGCCAACCCCTCTGTCATGCATTGAGCTAGATCTTGTACCGTGGTTCCTCTTTTTCTCTTTTCGGTTTTTTCTTCTCCGAGAACGGTTTCGTTTGCTACGATTCGGTAAACGTCGGCGATTTCTCCGAAGATTCCTTTTCCCTCCTCTTCCTTTCCGCTAGTTGACTCTCCCCCAGAAAAACCGGTTTCCCCATGACACATCTCAATTTCCTCCATTTCTCTTATCCATCTATAAGCTTTTGGTGGCATACCTGTCATTCCTCCACCTACCGAGTTCCATAATCCAGGTACCCTCTCGCTCATTTCCTTTTCCAATTCTCCTAAAACTCCCAATCTTTGAGCCGACGTAAATGCTTGAATGCATAAGGCAGTAAACCCTTTTGTCGTACTGGCAAAACAACATTTAAGACCCGATGCCTTACCAATCTCTTCACCTAGATAATTAGTATTTAAGAGATCTGCCAAATGGGCACCGGATATAGGAGCCTTGGAAAGTTCATGAGGTCCGGAAATGGGGATTGAAGGACGACTCCAATTGTGCTCTTGGTTTGGATCAACGGATGCTGTGGTATTGGGAGTTGTAGTGTCGGTTTTGAGTCTGGGAGCACCACCAAGAATTCCACCGTCGATAAATTTGATGGACGGTGATGTGGCATTGATGTGAGAAGCAACTGAGCGGGCAGTAGCAGGGGCTATGGCGTTGAGGTCGAGATAATAGAGGGGAGATGACTTCGGCGGAGAGAGTGAGTTAAAGGCGGTAGTAATCCGAGTTGCCAGTGATAGCGCATCGCGAGGTGGAACAATTGAGAGGATGTAGTCCGATTGTGAAACTAAGGAAGCATCTGTAGAAAGAAGTTCAATGTTGGATTTTTGAGCGCGTTGGTGTGTATCTTGGCTGAGTGAAATAAAGTGAGTTTATTGTAAAATAAGGAAGTGTTGAAAGAGGAGATCTTGGAATGAATATGTATCCGCAATGAAATTGAAGCATCAACTTTGATGTTCCCAATATATATTGGCTTCTTATCCCACTGTGAACTACTTTACAATGGAAGAACAAGAATGGCCCCTTCATCATGGATATCCGCCAATTCCATTCCAAACATAACAATAACAGCACTTCACATTCCTGTATCTCATCAATTCATGGAGCATTCTCTCCCATTAAGACCAATGTTAAAAATGAATAAAATGAACATCACCGCTCTATTGAGCGAATAGTTAATAGTTTGAGTCATAAAAGATAATACAACCAACCTTCGACCTTCAATATTCGTCACAACACGATAATTATGGGCAATAAGCAACTTTGCCACACCCATACCCATCTCTCCAATGGAAATAATACCAACAGTGGCAAGTGGTGACATGTTGAAATCTTGGTCTAAGAAATGATGCTGAGTATATGAAATCTGGTCTCTAGATGCATATGGACTACAATGAAATTGTTTACCATATGCATGGTTGATCACATGATATGTACGCACAGACCATGCTCGAGTCCTCGTCGCGACTCCAAAAGTTGACGTATTGATCTCACAGCAAAGATTACTTGGATACTTGTGCAGGAGACTACGGCTTATACAGGTCTATATATTGAAGAAAACGTCTTTTAACAACCTATATCATTTTCAACATCTTAAAAATGGATCGAAGTCTTGATGAAATCACTGGTGATCGCCAGGTAAGCCCTGTCAAAACTCGACGCCCAGAAAATGTTGTCTCAGCCTTGCAACACGACATAAAACTGATATCAAAACTGATATCTTTGAGCAGCAGAGAAATGGTGGAAATCGAGGTCGACAAGGCCGCAGAAACAATCGCAATGACTTCCCTCGTGATGGTGTAAGAAAGGTAAGGCTTCTATCTCAATCCTTCTCGGGTCCTCAATCTCGAATCTCGAGTCCATTCGCTCACATTTCACCGCTCCAGGTGCATACACCTCCTCTATCCTCATATACTTAATTCCTCCCCGAATGTTCTCAGATCGCATCGCTGCTTCAATCAGCGCATGACGCCTCGACGGTTCATGGATAGTACGTAAATTGAATAAATAGCTAACCCACGCCCCCTCTCCTTTGGCAGCCAAATCGAGGAGATGATTCTAGAAACATAGACTCGTAAGTAGTAAACTTCAACTATGTCGAAAAGTAACTGACATTACTAGGGAATGGGTGCATGATAAATACGACGATCGAAGTACGCAACTTCCATACTTTTATACCTTTTCGACCTCCTAGCTCACAAATATTCCAGACGCCCGTTCTTCGAATCGCCCGGAAAGACGCAACTATGAAGATGAGAGACCATTGTATGCAGTGTATACTCCCTCGTTACTACATGCTAACATAAAAAAGAAACAGTGCAAAGATTTTGGTCGAGAATGTACACTATGATTTAACAGAAGAAGAATTGGAGGTATGGAATACAGGAAGACACGGAAAGGTTTCTTTTACTAAAATTTCATTAGGGTCTTTTCGAGCGCATTGGCCGTGTTGCTTTTTTGAAGCTCGTTTATGACCGAGCGGGACGTTCGGAGGGGATCGCGTATGTAACTTATGAGGACCCGAGAGATGCGAAGAGAGCCATTGAGGAATTCCACGGCGCAAATGCCAATGGTAAGAGTTTATATGCATAAATTACATATAATGTTTTCTAATACTTTCTAGGTCAACCAATCCGCTTGAGATCTGTTCCAGAAAGGTCCATCAAGGGGTCGTGGAGGTAGAAACCAGTATGAACCAGGAGCAGGTCGTTCCCTTGCCGATCGCATGACTCTTCCTCGTTCTCGTTCTTTATCTCCTCCAGTCAGACATTCCGATGTCAGCAAACCACCACCTGAAAACGTTGATCGATATGTTCCAGGAGATCGAGGAGACCGGGGAGACCGAGGAGACAGAAGGAGACGCTCACGTAGTCCTTTACCCCGCAGAGGAAGAGATGGTCGCAGGCCCGGTGCAAGAAGAGAGAGAGGCGAACGTAATGCTGGCCGTGGAGGTGAGAAACCTGCAAGAGATGGTAGACCAAAGAAAACACAAGAAGAACTCGATGCCGAGATGGATGATTATTTCGGGAATGGATCAAAACAGGAGGAAAATGCCAATGGCGCTACGAATGAAGCTCCAGCTGCAACCGAGGAGCATGTTCAAACTGGGGATGACATCGAAATGATTGAATAGATTTTGTGCAGTACAATAGGAGGAAAGTTTCTGTCTGGCTCTGGATCCTTATGGACTAGATTGTTTATCGCGTTTAATATGGGAATATTCTTTTAGACTAGGAGCAGGTCAATTTTATATATAATTGAATGCGTTCCTGGTCCTCATCACACCTTTAGAAGAATACAAGGGGAGAAGCACTTTGATTTATCATCTCTTCTCACCAATATCTTTAGCAAGTCATGAATTCCCATCTTCCTTCACCATATCCGCAGTGTACATATACCGACAAGCAGTCTTCTCGACCCTGATGCTTGATTTTTATTTATTGTTAGGTAATCTCATTCATACCTCACCTCGCAACTCACACCTCACTTCACTCCACTCATATCATATCATACCAGTATTCTTCTGCACCCCTTCGTCATTATTATCATAATCATTATCATCACGTTATATAATTTGAATAGTTTGCTTATCTTGTCTTATCTTTTCTTTTTCTCGTTTGTTAGCTGGGTCTTATTTATATATGTGATTGTTTATGTCTGGAAAATTTATATCTGTTGTTAGATAATAGATAGATACAGAGGAGCAGAGGGGTAAAGTGATGAATTTTAATATTTGATATGATATTGGTAGAATGTGCTGTAATGTGATATAATATGATGGTGATGATGGTGGTGGAACGATTATTTTAATCTACTTCAAAGAAATGAATATTGATATCTTTTTTATTCTATTAGAGAGGAGAGGAGAGGAGAGGCGAGGGTGCGAGTTTAAGTTTGAGTTTGAGTTTGATTTGATTTGATTTGATGAGAGATTTGCAAGAGATGGATAATCTTGAGATCTTATATAAATTTTACTTTTGTACTCAAGAGTCAAATATTTATTTATTTATATTCTTTTGTACTTTACTATATATACTTACTCATTATACTATACACTATCTACTTCTACTTCTATACACCGTTAAATTTGAGATGATGTTCTTACCTTTGATAATCTTATAATTGTTCTCTATATATTATCTTCTTCAGGATTTAGCTAGTCATTTTCTTCCTCTTCCTCTTCCTCTTCCTCATCCCCGTCTTCATTTTCATTTTCATTTTCATCCCCCTTTCCATTCCCTTTTCTTCTTCTCTATCTATATACCTCTCAAAAAGCGCAATCATAACCAACCACCAATCTACCAATCTACCAATCCACCAATCCGACCTCAAACCCACCTACCCACCAAGCCAAAATCAACTCAAAAGCAATCACGAAAAACTCTTCGAAGGCGACCAATCTTCACGTTTATTACTATAATGAAACTTAATGCTCAACTCCTTAATAGGCGCCACAATCTTCCTAACAGAAAATTCTTTCTTCGGTTCAGGTTCTGGTGAATATTTAGGCCATCGCGTGTGGCCTACCCTCTGTTTACGAATCTGGAAGAATTTTTCTATGGCGTGTGTAAAATCTTTTTGAGGATCAATATTGAGCTGGGCGAACAGTTCCTTTTCTTCTTCTTTAGTAGGGAAGCGTCCTGTCATGATCATGAATCTTGCTGTTATTTCAGAAAACGAGGTTTTGATAGCTTCCCCAGCCACATCGGGAGATTTTTCCGGGAATTTCTTCTGGAGGGAATGCATCTTCTTTTTGTATTCTCCGGTTCCCTTGGGCGTTATACCGGGTTGATCGCGATAGATGTATGAGTATGGCATGTCGATTTTCGTATTGATGTGTTCGTACGTGTTGGCGTTGAGTTGTTTCTGGTGTGAAGAATGGAGGTAAATTCCCGATTCGGATACGGCGCCAAACTCGCCTTTTCGAAAGCTAAGGAAGGGCAAGGTTTCGTCAGAAGCATTTGACGCCGATGCAATGTCACTTTTGGGAAGTTTGTCGATTGTACTAGGTACCACTCCGAATATAGTTCTCCTGGACCAACTAAGGTCAGTAGCTTCACTGAGGTTCAGCTGATTCTTTCGTGGTTCTAGTGTGATGAGTTTGCTTCTCAATTTCTTGTCGGCACTGATACTAGAATCTACTTTGGAAACCTCATCTGATGCTGGGTTATCCATTGGAGGCTCGGATTCGTTTAACTTGTTGGGATTGATGGTAAAGAATTGTATGTGATCACCGCGTCGAGCGAGATTGCCTAATGTTGAATCTTGCCCTTCTTCAATTCTATGGGGAGTATAGTCAAACCTCGCCGAAGCAATATCTTCATATGTCAATTGAGGATCCAAGGATAAAAGGCCTTGTTTAGCGCCCCAACCACCACCACCGCTTACTAGATATAATTAGCCTTCTGCATGCTCGAATGGGAATATAACGAGCTAAATTGAATCAAAGTGACTCACCAACGCGACAAAGAATAGCTCCAAGAGCTATCTGAGTACCAATAAATCTAAGATTCTTGTCATCATCGCCCCAAGTTGACTCGAGATCTTCTGTCTTCTCAAGCGTTGTAGCCTTGAGATTCGGATTTAGGAGCTCTTTTCGGTATATCAAAGCCCACACTCCAATGTTTGTATGCAGTTTACTAAACTCCATGTATCGCGTGACCTGAGTCTCCAGTTCTGAGGAAGCCGGTCTGTTATCTGTATCTTCAGGCCCGAAGGATAGCTGTCGAATAATATTTCCTAGGCCGTTTGCAATGGGTCGAGGTAATGTGAGTGGAACGGCTGGTACAAATATTGGTGGAATCATGGTATTTTCATGATGAAAAGCTTTGATGTGCTGATATTGCTTATTTGCAGTTTGTATGCATTTATATTCACCCTCATGTCTCCGAGTCCATTGAGATATTTCAAGAGTTGAATGTTTTCCGTTTACAAATAAAGTATTTGCCAAAGGGAGACTCATAGTAGTCGCCAATGATTCTTCGCCAGGCTTCCGCCGATTTTTTCCTGAAATTATAAGATGTGACAATTTTTCGGGACTCGTCGTATCATTCCTGAATGATTCGGGTTTCCACACATTTTCCGGCTTTAATAGTTGACTCCGTAAACCATGCAAGAACGAAAATCCTTCAAGTGGGCCAACACGCTCCGCAATAGGAACCTCATGAGGTGAAGGCGCAAGTCCATCAACCACAGCACCGACAACAACAACGTAGTTCGGCTTTTTATCCACGTGATAATATGTAAAACAATCCAAGACTTTTTTGATGAAACCTTCGTCATCTTCAAGCCATTTTGCGAAGGCTGGGGTAACTAAAATAACAATTGCCTCTTCGGCTGAAACATTGGAGAAGTTTGCGAAGTATCGAGCTTGTGTCATGCGGGCACGTCTGGAAATTAATTGCAGGACTTGTTCTTTAGTCTATATAATATGAGTGATGGTGGCATTATAAGAATATCAACCTAGCTTACAGTGCGCTTGGGGTCCGGAGAGATGATGCTAAATTGACGAGGACTCAGGGAGGAAGGTTTTCGCTCGAGAACCACATCAGATGCGGTCGAAACAGAATGATCATGAATGGTTTTCTTGATACGGTGCTCATTTTGAGATTTGATCCTAGATCGATACGGATCTTTGCTGGAAGTCTTCCGCAGCGATCCATCTTGGAGCCCTTGGACGTATGATTTGATATCCTTAGCCAGTTCCCCGAGAAATTGTTTCTCCGGCAACTGTGAGATAATAATTGGCGGATGAGGCGTATTCCCTTACGAGGCTCTGTCGTTGTGATACAACTCGAACTATCCTAGGCCCACTTTCGTGGTCGTCTTTGATATCATCGCCAACTTTGGCAGTCTGTGAGAACGCCCGGTTGGCTACTCTTTGTCTGCCTTGGTAACGACTCACATTGTGAAAAACTCTACTAGAGATCCCCACTCGTCGACAGGAGAGATGTAGCATCTGGTTTCCCATGTCGGGTGTGTCATGGAGCTTTTCTGTTTTCCTCCGGTTGAATGCAAGACAAGAAGTGCAGGGAAGTTCAAATCTTCAGATATTAGTCATCATTTTCACGTGATCATCGACCAGATCGAGCAAGTAGCACAGCAGTGCGAGATTTTGGTTGGAGTGAAGTATGATGAAATCATTTTCATCTCATGGTCGTCAAGCCAACATTCTCTTGATAAGGAAGCAAATCACGTTGGTTAACAAATTTTGCTTATTGTGATGTGAAGACAAAAAGCAGTAATTTGATGAAACGAAATTGGATTTTCGTGATAATCATCAGTTTAAGGAAACCACAGCGAAATATCTCCATCTCCTGAATAGACATTAATAATTAATGTATAAGAAATAACGTTAATTCATTTCGGTACGTCTTCATTAACGAATCATTGACAACATCAAGAAGTTACTTTCGTAAAAGTATCGTAACTCGTAACTTCACAAAAAGATCGTAATTAACCCGAAAAGAACGCGCTTCGCTTACCCACTTGTTTAATTCCTAATTCCTCCTCCAGGTTCTCGTTCAGACCGCTTCTTGAATCATGAATCTCTATTTCATAATAAATGGCGTAAGCATGGCTTTACAGAAGGCTGTTCATACTGCAGCGTGTGCAGCTGTTCAAGAAACGACGCAGAAAGAGGCTCGACCGCAAGATTCACAATTGACCAATTAGAGGTCTGTTTGTGGCTCTCTGCTGGGGGATCTAAAACGTACTTGACCATATATAGAATAGTTTGTGAGATGAACCTGCAGAAAGGCTACACTAATTCCGATTCAAGATTGATGCATGCATGGCGAACAAGAGATGGAGAAATGGTAGGGTAGTTCGGGTAAGGGGTGATTCAATGAACAATGATTGATGGTGACTGGTTAACATCTCAAATTTGCCTGTTGGTACAGCAATAGTCAAATTTGAATCCCTCTTCGAATTCCTAACTGAGTACGAATAGGTGGGATGATCTGGTGACTAGATAGGTAGGTAGGTACCTTTACCAAGAATCCAAGATGAGGGGAGAGGGGTTAAGAAAGGTACACTAGTAGGGAGGACACGGCAGAGTGAACCGATCGCCAGGTATGAACAATCAAATCATATCAATATCCGAGATCCAACGATCTCCTCCATCTTTTGTTCTTTCGTGGGCTATGGTAAATTAGCATAATATTTGAGTTAAGGTTGTTTAGAGTGAGAGTCTGTATGTCAAAACGGTAAGCGATGAAGGAGATGAGGCGTGGGTGGGTGTTTTGTCTCATCAAAAGGAACAATTAACATCGCAATGTTTGAAGACTTGGGAATCCATGCTTGTCTTCTCCATAGGATGTGATGTTGTTCTTTCGCCTTACGCGGCTGAAGGATTAAGCCTGTTGATCGCAAAATTCATCCACCAAGCACTGTAGCGATAGGGTTGCAGGTCAAGAATTTCAATCGGATGGAGTTTCTTGAAGGACCCTGAAGAACTCCGTTTGGTACCAATTAGTAGTGCATATAATCCGGGTAGATGCCATTGCAGCTTGTACGGCATATTAGCCTTTTAATCAAATGACATGAGCCGGAAGTGTCAAAAAATGGTCAAATATAATGAGTAAGATGGCGTACGTTAATAGGTAATGAAATGAATGGGACGAATGGTGATGCAAGACTGGACTGAACCTGGCCTGCCTGCAAGTGTTCAATGTTCAAGTGGATCAAATATTGCGATTTATCCGATTCTTGCAACGCACAAGACTGAATGACAGCTGTGCAGAGGCTGCGCGCTTTTAGCAACACTGCAGTAATGAAAAGATAAGCAGGACCAGAGGAAGCGGTAGACTTGAACTATTCTGCAGTAGCCGAGTAGGACTCTTATGCATATTCGGATGCATATCTTAACGCATATCTTACGCACCCATCCTTTCAAGCAACTGCATAGAATTATTCCTGTCTTCAGCGTAGAAGGATATCCTGCACATGCAAGCAAGGGAAAGGATATCAAAACGCCAAAGCAGTTCAAGTCGTGCGTGGATTTTAGCAGCGCCTTCCTCGGCCACCCCGGAAAAGCTAAAGAAGAGGTCGAGAGAATACAGAGTACTCTTTTAGGATATCCTGCTCGAGGGCTTGAAGAGAGGCAAGAACAAGAACAACTCATCCAGTGCATATCGCTGTACCTAGGTGTAAAAAATTGCATATTTCCAAAACATAAAAATTGATGCATATTCGGCGTCATCATATGATGTCGAATTTCCTAAGATTTGATAATGTGTTATCGGAGTTTTGTTATGTTATGGACAAAGTGGTACTGGAAGAAGAAAAAAAGTTAACATTATTGAATATTCCAATTTTTAGTAAGGGTTCCCATACAAATGAATTTTTATGCAGAGGCTTAAATGCTTGTACTTCCGTACTTTAACCAAGGCGTACCTGGAATGGTCTATTTTTATCATCATGAATCTTCAGCAATTCCAAGTCACGGCTCAATAGAAGGACAATCTGAGGATTCTGAGCATTTCAAAGTCCAACCACCCCCGCAAAAGGTACATTCTACGATTCTTATCATCAGATGAAACCTTGACGGGATCATGGATCATGGGTTATTAACTTATGGTATGGGTAGGTTATGGATTATGGATTATGGGTCAGCTGCTAACTAAAAAGTTATTCAACCAAGAATCCTTTACCTACTCCGTCTTTACAGGACTAGGGACTTACTAATTAGGCTTTACGGAGTAGATACATACAACAAACATACTTTGAAAATAACCACATGGAGTATTTGGTAATTTCCCCTTGATCAAGTTATAAATTTCAAATTTCGTAAATTCGTACAGTGGCCATGTCGAATTTGGTTGGATGCTACGCTGTTACCCTGTACTCTCTCCATCTTTCACCCAGATAATGGCCTCTCATTAATTGTGTAAATTGGTGATTTGGAGATGCAAGATAGAGTGCTCACTGTGCAACGTGTAAGCCGTGTATCTCATTCGAAGGAAGGAAAAAGGACTTTGAGTGATGATTCTCCACGGACAACCAGGGCACCAGGGCAACAGAGCAACAGGGCAACGAAGCCTCAGATATTCTTCCGATGAATCCCTTTCACTACGTCTGGAAAAAGGTACCGGCTAGTGCGTACTGCATTTGTACATCGTATTGCACACTGGATGGATGTAGATACGAAATCTATAAAAAAAAATTGTTCCTGGGCGCCTCGGGAGAGATCCACGTTCTCTCCGGTTTTTCTGATCTATCTGAATAGGCTTGACCAAAATTAGCTACGATAGTGGATGTGTTTGTATCAAGGAAGTGAATACAATGGGAGCATCGTGACAAATGAGTCTGTGACATAGTTCTTGATTTGGATCATGATATGAAATAGGAACCGAGGAAGGAAATGAATGAGGGTTTTGAGATCGTTGTAGGAATTGAGGGGATGAGTGATGTTTATTGTTTTGGGGATATTATTATTATTATTATAGGAAGAAGAAAAAGAAGAAGTAGAAGAAGGGATGATGATGAAAGGACTGAAGAATAAAGTGGACAATAAGAACAATTCATGACATGTTGTTAATTCAATTGAAGAGAGTTAAGATTTAAGATTAATTTTCTTACTGATTTTGATTTTGATTTTGATTTTGATAATCCTGAACGTGAACTTGATATAGGTATTGATTGATGTTGAATGTGAATCTGTTTCAATGTTCGGAAACCTCTTTCTTGAGAGTGAGATACATTACAGTAAATCAGGACTCGAGTACGTACTCACTCTTTGAATGTCTTTCTCACTCTACCTAGCATCGCATCTACCTACATAGTACCTACATAGTACCTGCCTAGTACCTGCCTAGTACCTACCTACTTACTTCCACTTATCCTCCTGGTAAATACTTAAATTCTTGTCAATCCAATCCTCGATTTGGGGGCTTCCTTATTAATTTCTCAGATCCACTTTTCTAACCTCTGAGTTTAAGTGCCTTTTTTTAGCGTGCTTTTCTTAGCTAACGCCAGCATTTGGGACGAATTTCAAAACTCACATACCACCTCTTCGTCTCTCATAGATTCTTATTTTGGTCCTTTTGGTTTTTTGCTCACAACTCTCTCTCTCTCTCTTCCTCCCCCCCTCCCGCCCAACAACCACCTCTTTCAATCCCCTCTTCTTTGGTAGTAGATTCAGTTGCATGTCCATATCAAAGGGCTTTGCTTCTGATCTCTACCGTCCATTCCTTTAAAAACTAACCACATTTTATCACTCCTTTCTCATTGCAATTTTACGAATCACTTATTCCGTCCAATTTCTTCAATTTCACCCACTATCTCCGAGATCTCATCTTTGCAGCCTTCGAATGTATGTCGAAAACCTATTCATTCCTGCCATTGCCATTGCGATTTACCTTTATCAGATCTTGCGCATTTATCCATGTAGATACATTGAAGGGTGTACATGCTAATTAACTATCGCAGATTGGATTATTGTCGTTGCGTCGCCGGTATTCCTACTTTACGATTTGATTCGAATAATTCTCTCTCTCGACTCATCGTACATCTCACCTTATATTTTGGAACTGCGAGCGGTTTCTTCTTCGACAACCCTTTATATCTTACTTGAACCATATGGTATTCTTCTAGGGGTTTGTCCAATTGTTGGTTGTTCGACCCGAATTTAGGCAACATGGCTACCATATCAACAACTGCACAGAGTGAAGTTGGCGCCCCTTCACAACTTCCCACCTTCGTCTTCCCCGCAAGAGCATCTCTATCATCTGCTCCCGCACCATTTCCCAGAACCTCAGGTCGACGTCCGATGTCTATACCTACAGAATTGCCAAGTTTCTCCTTTAATCAATCAACGACATCGTCCGCAGGCCCTGCAATTTCTCCACCAGTCTCTCCATGCTTCGCAAATTTTGATTTATCCAACTCGCCTAGGGCGGCTGTTCATCGCAGAGGTACGAGTGAATTCATAGGTGGAGATGGAAAGGTGGGCTCGAGCGCAGGATTGATGAGTACCAGTCCAACTCAAGGAGACAACGTTCTACCCCCGCCTAATCCAGGAAGACGTGGGCATGCACATCGACGTTCTGCTGCAGTATCAGCGCATGATATCAAAATGATTCTGAATCCTACTGCTCCAAATACACCGTCAATCCCGCGAGTAGGATCCGCCCCAACCTCTCCATCCAATCATGAGAATCAACAAGGTGCACTAGGCCTGGCTAAACCTGCCAGCAATGATGACGCCTCTAACATCAAAATACTCAATCGTGCCCGCGTCGGCTTCTCAGAAAATGTGGAATTTATTCCTAGGCCGGTGAGCGTAGTTTCTAGTGATACATCTAGCACAGTCACAATGCGACCAACTCATTCAGTATCGAATTCTCTGAGCTCCGTTGTGTCTGGGGGAACCGTGACTCCTCCAGCCACTCTCGCTCCTCCAAATAAGGACCTTCTCGCTCTGCCATCGCCCAATATTCGAGGCGCAGATTCGCGGCCCAGAACTGCAAACGCCATTTTAGACCCAATTAAGGACACAGCTCAGCCAGCAGAGACCTCTGCATCTCAGGGACGACGTGGATCCATGCCTCTACTCAATGATATTCAGGCTATTGCCCCTCCAAGCCCTAGGAAAAAGTGGACGTTTTTCGGACACGAGCCAGCATCTGGCAACACTTCACCAAGCCGATCGCGTCCTGTTAGCTCCACATCCATCGATAAAGCAGCAGACACTAGTGCATCCGTTTCCTCGCGTTCAAGTCCCAAAGTTGACATCACAGACATTTACCAGATGCCGTCCATCGAACCTTCATGTTCCCGTAGGTCTTCAATGTCAAGAAAATCTGGCAAGAAGCAAAAGAAGGTCAAATCTTGGGCAGGATCGATACTATCGAGAAAGTCTCGCAGTCGTGGTCAGAAGAAGAAGGGAAGCCGCCGCTCCGCAACACCCCCTATGCGTCCTTACTCGGCAATGAGTGATTCCGCAGCACTTGATATTCAACCTCTACCTGTTCATGCTGAAGAATCTCCTGCTCCCGAGCAACAAGATTTTGCATCGTGGAAGCCAAGGCAGACTTACCCGTCTGATGATGATGCTATGAGTCCTATCATTGATCTGGATGCCGCTCTTGGTCCTTTCAATACCCCTTCCTCTTACGGTGCTGAATGGGAATCATCACAAAAGACATCTTCTAAGAGACGAATGCATAGTGCGGCAGGCATGGGTGGGTTTATTGGACCGGGTATGCATTACCATCGACGAGCGGAGAGTGCCCCTGAAATGGTTCCATTCGAAAATCGATTCGGTATACACCGCCTTGGTAGCAGCTCCACTATGGCTGACGTATTTGAAGAAGATGAGGAAGACGATGAATGGGAGGATACCAAGGCTTCCTCAGACAAAGATTCTTTGGCCAGAACCGAAGATGATGACCAAAATGCCCTTGGTATCGACATCACGGTCGTGGAGACGGAATCGTCCAATAGCGATAAGATTATGGATTGGTCAATTGACGAATCACGAGGCGTAAAGCAAAATGGTAGTGGTCCTAGTGAGGGTGAGCGTAAGAATAGCATTGCGAGTCTGAAATCCGACCACTCCAATACGTCCTTGAAGGATGAGTCAAACATGGAAGAAGAATCTATCAGTCCAATTGAGATTGCAGATGACTCCATTCCGCCTAGACCAGATTCTGGCGCACAGTCCTCGGAATCTACCGCTACTCCCCCTTTCCGCCCTCGACCCGCCAAAGATCTTGCACACGTTGAGATCAATCCTTTCTCGCTACAGCCTGCATATCTTATACAGAATAGTCCTCACTCTACCACTCATTCCTCATTCCCTTCTCCGAGATCACCATTCTCGTACGATACACAGCGCATATCCACAGCTCCATCATCCATTGCAGATGAAAATGCGTTCCACTCGTTACTACTTGGCGAACCCGGGCCAGAATTGAGAATGTCCGTAGATGATGTTCCATCGCTGACAAGTAGCAATTCCACCATGACAAGAGAAAGTGGTGCGAATCCCTGTTACATCTTCCGAGACGGTCAACGTTCGGTCTCCGTTTCTTCTGCTAGCGGCCCAACTAGAAAACGCTCCAGCATGGCCAGCTTGTCCCGCTTAATAAGCACTTCTCATGGCGAAAGAAGCAAATTGTCTATTGAATCTCGTGTCCCTAGCAGTTCCGACATGGAAAAGAAGAATAAAGGAAGCAAGAGCAAACGAATCAGTCGTATGATTCAGTTCTGGAAGCCCAAGGAGACAAAAGAATCTACTTGATCGTTATTTGTGCTTTGCCATTTAACTCTTGCCTGAGCCTCACCCATCTCTACTATATCCAATTCTACATATCTTATGGTGGTCGGATTCAATTTTATGACGCGAACTTGGTACATATGACCGGAATGACAATCTATCCTCATTGCAATGCACATCATTGAACATTGACGGGTTTAATGTTTATCATTCAATATCTCACGGCCAATCAACATCAGGTTGGTCTCCTTTTTTCAAGCTTCTTTGGTTTATACCTTGGCAAAGCACTTTGCACTTTTGAGCGAGATTTCGGCGTTCTTCAGATTTGAACAGGCGCGATACAGAAGAATAACTTTACTACACTGCTGCATATGCATCAAATTTCTCTCCGGGATTGGAAAGACTCTTGCATTTAGGACAAGATGTACGGGTGGCTAGTTTCGAAACGTTCTCTTATTTTAATGATAAAGCTGAGTGTATGGGGTGGCATGAAGATGATTAGTATTTGCTTTGGATTTTGCTTCATTTGCTTTGGCCCCCGGGTGTGCGGGAAGAAAGAGTAAACTTTCATTTCGATCACGGAATTCACAAATAAGAATTTTAAAGGGAGGAGTGGTTACATCTGCTATTGTGGGGCGCAAATATTTATCTCAAACAGGAAACATATTTCTCATCATGAGAGATAGAGTGGAATGATGGGATTGAAGAAAGGGTGGCATGTCTGTAGCCAATAGACTGCGTGAGCACTCTCATACTTAAGTATGGTTGATGCGATTAACATAATGAATATACTGAAATTAGAAATATACATTCCTTTGTCAAAGTGCAAAAGATATTTAAATGTGTGGTATTTGGAAGTGATTTTGTGATATCTTGATATTCATGGTATAGCTAATTGACCATACATGTTTTCGATAGTACGCGTGGATGTTAACGAGAATAACATGATCTTTTCCTATTTGAGACAATTTTAATCAACCTCATCTATTCTATTGCTCAGTCTTTAATTTTCTTCAAGCCAATATAAACATCTTCACCCTAATTGGAAACTTGTGGGAGTGTGAATCCAGCCTTGCCTTGCCTTGTGCACGAACCTCTTGATCTTGACCTCGGCAACCAAAAAGCTAGAGTAGAGTAGCTCAACTTTCAAATACTTATCTCTTGCTCGACCGACAATTCCATAACGACTACTTCGACGTACTTCTCGAGTCATTGTACATAAGTGTTGGCATTAAATGATTGAGAACTTATCTCTCGTCTAGGTTACGTCTAAAATATCTTCTTTTTCGCATCGACTTTTACATTTTACTCGATCTGGAAATATACATCTGAGCACAAAACCGCACATAACACATTACATCGCATCGCATCGCATTCGCTCCTCCAATCCATCAATCAATCAATCAATCACCATGTCTCGCTCCCCCACGAAAAGAATCCTCAGCGAACTAACCACCTACAACAACAACCCTCCCTCCCCCAGCCAAACCGGCATCGTCGCCCTCGCACCCTCACCCTCCTCCCTTCTAACCCTCTCCGCCATCCTTCAATGTCCCACCTCCTCCCCCCCCTCCCTAGGCTACCTCACCGGCCGCTGGCTCCTCTCCATCTCGCTCCCCTCTAACTATCCCATCGGCGCCCCCAAAATTAAATTCGTTACCAAAATCTGTCATCCGAATGTTAAATGGGAAACGGGAGAAATCTGTCTCGATGTTCTGGCGGATAAATGGACGCCGGTTTTGGGGGTTGTAGGGGCCTTGGAATGTGTGGGTGCGCTTGTGGCGGGGGGTGGGGATGAGACGAGTCCGTTGAATGTGGAGATTGCGAGGTTGAAGGGGATGGGAGATACAGTTGGGGCGAGGGCGTTGGTGGGTTGGTGGTGTGCGGAGGAGAGGTTTGAGGGGGTTTTGGAGGATGCTTAGGTGGAGGTGTAGGGGGGGTAGAGAATGGGAAAGGTTGGACAATTGGGAGGGAGTGGTAAAAAGAGCTGGGGGTCAATATCATGCGGATAGAAATGTGCGGATATTTGACGTGAATTGGCTGCAGATTACACTTGAGAATGCGCATATATCACGACGGTATGCGACTCACCTAGAGACGCGTTTCCATTCAAAATGTATCCCACGAAATTACGAGTACAGAATCAATTCAGCGCCTAGCATAGCCATTATCGAATATACCAAGCAACGCCTCCTACCCTACATACAAACGAGGACCAAGAGAAAAGAATAATTTGAATATAGCATTTGGAGTTTCATTAGCAGGGCGTTTAGGTTTCATGTCAACAGTCGGGTTATTATATTGGAAAGATTTACAGAAAGAGATGGTTGATACTTACTATATGAAATTGAGGAGGGAAAGGAAGAGTTGTATTTTCTTGCATATACAATTTTTAGGTTCTAGGTGGTTGGATAGATTGTAGATTTTATGTTTATATATATATTCGGTTATGATTGTAGTGAAGGAAGGATTGTTATATTTTTATATATTTTATCATATATTTACCTGCCTGTTTATTTATTTATTTATCTATTGGCGTAATAATCTAATCAAGCATTAGTTCTGCTACAATCTTATAATCGAAATTTCCGATGAAAATTCACTCTCTTTCATCATCATGGATAGGTAAAACAATCCAAAGGAACAGTTTCCTCCTTTCCTCCCTCTCTCCCTCTCTTTTGCATGGAATAAAAATATGCATTCTCGTATGGAATCCCTTTGATAATATAAGAAAAGTTCTGTCATTGTACTAAGGTAACTGTTGTGTATCCGTATTTAAAAGAGGATATATGTGTATATGTGTATATGTATATGTATATGTGTATATATATAATGTTTGTATTTTATGAAGTAATTCTTTGGTTTTGAAGATGATGGAGAGGGATAGGGAAAGGGGAGAGGATATGGATGGATGGATGGATGGATGGTTTGTGGATGGGGATTTGAAGGTTTTGAGGGGTTTGGAATATGGGAGGTGGGGAGGGATAGGTGGGGAAAGGGAAGGAGGAAAGAGAGCGAGAGGGAATGGGTGGTGATGGGTGGTGATGCAGTGGTAGGGAGCTGGAGCTGGAAGTGTATCTTGGTTGTGGGGTTATTGCGCGAGTTTATCACTTTGAGTAGGGATGGGATGGGTGTTGGAGGGGTTTTTTGGTGGGTGAATTGTGATTTGATTTGTGTATTGTGATTAGTGATTTGTGTATTTTGTAAAAGAGTCATTGTGTTTTGACTCGACTCGACTCGACTCGACTAGGGGTGAAGCTACTGCGTATATTCATACTCATTCTAGTGAATGAACAATATGATATGACTACCTAGGTACCAGCAGAAATCATTCTTGGTAAGTCACAGAACTCACAGATAAAGTAAATGTATCAATCATACCTTCCCCTTCTACTTTTGATTCAGAACAATAATCATCTATGACTACCTACTCAGTGAAATGCTTTCCTCGCATCACAGACTCATAAATAAAGTAAATGAAAATATATCATACATTCCCCCTCTACCTTCGACTCAGAGCCCAGGAATTACCATCCCTATAAAAACTGCTAGAATCTCCCTCAATATTAGCTTGCAGATTCTACGGTCACAGTTCACAAACATCATCGTTCTTAATGATTTATATGAGGAGTATTTAACTATTAGTATCCAAGATTTTGAAGATACATAAGATTTACATTGGCCTGGGGTACTTGTACTTGTACTTGTGCTTGTGCTTGCATTAAGACTTACTTACTTACTTACATCTTTGGCGGTTTGACATCATATCAACCGTATTAGCAAATTCACAAAGACATACAGGTATTCCCCTTCAGCATTCCCATCTCATATACATAAAAAAAAACCTCGAAGCTCTTAAAATCCTTCTAACCTCTAAAATAGCATCACATCGCTCCAAATCATCACCACTCCAAATCAACACACCGACAACAACACCACCATCAACAACGAAACACAAAAAAATGTCAACATACGTCATTATTGGTGGAAGTCTCGCTGGAGCAGCGACTTTAGTGGTTATTATCTGTTTAGTGTATGATTGGTATTGGGATGAGAAAAGGGATGAAGATGCTGAGCGGGGGAATGAAATGGATGGAATGGATGGAATGGATGGAGCGAGTTGAGTATTTGTGGATTTGGGGAGTCGGCGAGCTGGCGATCTAACGAGCTGGGGGGTATGGGCGTGTGATGTGATTATTCTTGTTTTGTTGGTATTGCATATAAGGGATTTGGGAATGGCATGAGGAGATGGAAATAGTTTGGTTAAGTTAAGTTAAGTGTGACGGAAAAGTCGTAAACGGAGTCAATTCAATCACTTAGAATCTAAAACTAAAGAACTAAGAGGATTCTAAGTAAGAAGGTCTTTATATACAGGGCTAGTGCACGTGAGCCACTAGTGGGATAACAACCGTCACGTAACATTAAGTAGCTTAATGACGAGATAATTGGAGGGGCCTGAATTTTGCAGGCAGAGTAGGAACCCAGAATAGATAAATAAATAAATTGTTAAAAGGAATAGAAGTTACCGGTACTAATCACGTGTCGTGATTAGTAATACGGTTACCTAAACAGGCTAGATTAGACGAACCATAAGCAGGCATATTGGTCCCCTCCGAGGATACCAAGAGGAGATTAATATGCCTACAGACGTAGTAATATAGTCAATATAGAGGCCTCTTCCACCCAATCTTTTAATATAAATAAATAAATAAATAAATAAATAAATAAATAAATAAATAAATAAAACAACAAATTCGAAACCCTCCTTATATTTAGTTTTACTCATATATTACAGTCTTAGAGAAATATCCGTTTTTATCAAAATACTCGAATGTCAAACTTTGACGACTTGCTCGTGTTGATTCTGTTATTTTGGATTTTGTTGTTCTTTGAAAGGTTAGTTGAATATATAGATTTCAGAATTGAGAGTATGAGTATGAGTATGAGGCTATACGAGAGAAGAGGTGGAGGAGATATGGAGATGTAGATGAGGTTTTGAGTATAATTAGACGGTGGGTGGTGGGGTGATATTTTGTGCTTATAATTACTAGGTATATTATTTGGATTATGAGATAGATGAGATAGGTTGTGTGAATGGATGGAATGTAGATATCTAATCATAGAAGAGTTTTTAAGTTGGAGTAAGAATATAGAGAGAGCATAAATTAGACCTATATATTTGATAACTTCATAGTTTCTTCAAGCTTGTTGGTAATCTTATATTTTTGTTTTTTTCAGCGCGGTTTATAGCTTCATGTAATCTTGTATGATTTTGAAGTTGTTACTGCAAGCTAGGTAAGTCCTTAATTTCGGTTGACTTTATATCATATCATATTTTGTGACTGCTGAGCTTGGATTTGTGTCTACAGCATTTACATACTTAAGAACTCTCCAAGTATTATTATCTACCCACTCATCTTGTAGAGTCAAATACAACATATACATTACTGACCTAAAAACGGTAAGAGGAATGGATATATTATTATTCTTCTATTCTAGAAATATCGATACTTGTATGCAATTTCACTTGTGTTTATCATGGTATCGTGTTTGAAAAATGATACGGAGGATATTGGAGAGGAGAAAGAGATTTCGAACAGATGGGTATGAAATCTTCGTGCAAGCTGTAGAAAACTCTGATGAAAACTTTGATGAAAACTATTCAGCTTTTTGTAAAGTAGGTTTAGCAGATCTGATGTTTTTGTTTTGTTTTGGGTTGGGAGTTGGAGGAGATGGGTGGATGTATAGACGCAGTTTGTTGAGATTCATTTTTTGTAAGATTATTTGTGATTTGGTGATGAAAGAGAAGAAGATGGAAAATTATCGATATCTGCAGTTGAAGAAAAACAGTACTGTATTCTAAGCGTTTTGAGACTATTAGAAAGAGAAGTTGACTGGTTAAGTGAATGAAGTGACTGCTCAAACAAACCGATATTCTTAAAGTCACAGATATGACTAGCAAATCGGACTTGAAATTTTGATTCAAATGGTATTAGATAGGTAGTCATCAAGCGTATACTGAGGAGGTATAAATTGGATTCTTCCTTAAGATTCCTTCAAGAGAATTCTCAGCATGCACACTCCAAAATTAAAATCCAAACGAATTCAACGATCATCCAGAACAAAATTTAAATCAAAGGTGCCAGCCAGCCTCACTACGTCCTGAGACTTAAATACCTTTTCAGTATTTAGGGAAAATCGCTGAATACCAAGGCTGTACATTATCTCTTCGAAGTTCTTCCCAGCTTTCCCTTCATCACTACCCTACTCCACATTAGAGTCGCTCGTACTTCGTGCCTCTCGATAGAATTTTTACGACTTGGAAACTATTCCACAGCTCCTCTCCGTTCCTCTCTATTGGTAAAAGTAGCCACACTCGAAAATTTCATCCTCATCCTCATCCTCATCGACAATACCTCTCTGCCTGTTTAGCCCAACACAGCCAAAGCAAAACACCCATATCCATATCCCTCAGAATCCCAAGAACTTTCCAGGTATACCATCCTTCCCTCCCCTCCCCTTCCAGTCCAGAATTTCAAACCCAAATTCAAACCGTCCAATTTAACATTATACTAACAAATAAATAGTAACATGGCGAAATTCCCATGGTTATCTTTCCCCCTTTCACCACTTGGGATACTTATAATAGGAGCATTCCTTATTCTACTAAATCAATTTTTGAAGGAAGGAAAGAGAAGAAAGAGAATTGAGAAGGAAATAGAGGCGGAAAGGCGAAATATGTATTTTTGTTAGTCGTGAGCTTGGATAACTTTGTTGATTGGATGGATATCCTCGATGGCTTCCGTGGGTGTTGCTATGAGAGTATTGCCTACTTGGAAGGGAGAGAGAATAGAAAGATAGATGAACAGATAATAAATACGTGAACGAAAAGGTAAAACCACAAATAAATAAAACCTATATCGAAGAAAACAAATTCCAATCAAAAGCCCCTTTATCACCCCCATCCCCACTCAACAAGCACTGATAAACTAGTAAAGCAAGCCGCAAATGATCAAAAGACAAACCAACACCCCTCCCAACCCATTCACGAGGAAACCATACCTTAAACAAACATCTAACCATCCCATCTATCCATCCAAAAACCAAACAAACCGTTAAAACAAATATAAATGATACCTACCTACCTACCTACCTACCTACCTACCTACCTACCTAGCACAAACCCATCAACAAATTCCCCTGAATCACCCTGAATCACCCAACATTAGCAATTTCCCAGCCGATACAACTATGAATCAAAGCTTCCAAGTAGCTCCACCCAATTATAGAAAAAAATTAAGATATTTCTGAAATCTACGAATTAATCAAACCCTATCCAATAATCCATATGTCCATCGCATCCATTCATCAATCAAATTTTGAGAAAACAAGGAGTAAGATGGAAAAAAAGGAGATAAAAAAAGGAAAGGGAAAATGTAATAAAAGAAAATATTTTTTCTTCTTCTCTGTGGTTGTTGGGTTTTTTGTGGTAATTAGATGTTGAATTTACTTCTTTGATAAAGCGCGGCTTCTGTTACGATCGATCTATGGTAGATAGATATTTTTTGCGAATATCTTGTTCCGATTACTAAAAGTTCGCGTTCGGAACTCATCATTTCATATCGTATCGTACGGCAAGGCAATACAAATACAGTACGAAATAATTCAATCATTTGACATCCTATCCAAAGCGCCCTCCTCCTCCTCCTCCAGAATCCTTCTCAAATCCGATAAAAAATTCATCAAAACCTCATCCTCATCCTCATCCTCACTCGCCAATCACCAATCACCAATCCCCAACCTCAAATCCAATCCTCAAACCCCAAATTTCCACACTCGCCAAGCACCCCTCAATCCCGTGCATCGATCCACCACTTCTTGGCCTCACCTCGAGCTCTACAACATCCATCCTCACCTTCACAAACCTACAACTACACAAACACATCCACAACAAAAACGCAACCATGGAAGTAATGGGCGTTCTAATAATCATCATCTGTGTTCTCGGCATCATCGGTGTCGCAATTGGTATTGTGGGGTATTTTCACACTGGACGTCGGTAGAGTAGAGGGAGGAGGGGAGGGAAGGAGGATCGAGATTTATTTGTATGAGCTTATAGTTATAAGCTTATAAGGTTGGTTTGGGTTGGGTATAAGCTTAATGGATGGATAGATGGATAAGTAAATGGATATCCCTGTTGAGGTTTCTTTTCTGGGGAAGAGGGTACTGTATATAGCTATGCTCGCATTTGGCTTTTCTTGGAAGGGAAGGCGTATAAAAAATGGTAATGGGGGTGTTGGGATTTTGTAGTTTTGTTCCGGATTATTGGTATTGGTATTGCTGGCTGGTTGATTGGTTGGTTATGGAGTGAGTGATTGGACTGCAATTGTGTCAGTGGGAGTATTGGAAAATAGGAAGTTGAAGGGATAGAAGGAGAAGAGAGAAGTGAGACGGGTGATGTATAGGGAATTGAGAGATGGGCCTATATTCCTGTATCTGGAGTCAGAGAAACTGACGAGATCAGATATAGAGAGTATATGTAGAGAAATCTCCAAATCTCCTGTTTGTGAGAGGTTACTGCTGCATATAGATATTAAAATGCTATCCTGTGGATTTTGCTGGTATCTTACTTGTCATGTAAGATTATACATATGGAGCCCATACATTGTATTAGTGTAATGTATCCCATTTATTTGGGATAATTAGAGGAAATATTGCACTAAAACAATGAAATTAATATACCAGCTTGCACTCACTTTTACTTTTCATTTTTGATTTTGAGATATATATCACATCTATTCCTGCAAATCTGTAGATGCAATAAAGAACCACCATACAATGTGATGGGTCTGAAGAATATAATATTCTATACACTCTTTCTATATACTCATAAGAACCGAAATCTCTCGAACTGATACAGTGCTTAAATTCGAGAGGATGACTATTCACCTATTCAATAATATCCAAAAACGAGATAATCTTAACATAGGTACACAATAATAATTTCTCGACAAACCGAAGAATTTCATCCATGATTTTACTCTCTATATTTTCTTACAACTTTACAATTTTAGCATCAAATCACTCTTATTGAGATAACTTCATCAAATGATTATAAATTTTATAAACCCTATCTCGATTACAGGACTTCCTCTATAGTTTATTATATCTCATCTATTTATTAAATCTCTTATAATATCAAAATCAAGTCCCTTCCCTTCCTCTCCGTCCCTCCTCACCAACTAATCCTATAACCAAACACTCACCTCCCTCTCTCAACCTCAAACTCCAACCACCAGAAACATTAACCTACCCAATAATTCCATCCATACTATCCCTCTTTTCCAATATTTTCTCCCTCTCCCTAAAAAAAACCCAATAACCCCAAGAAACAAAACACATACCATACCACTCACCACTCACCTCACAATCTAAACCACACCCAAAATTCCCAGAATCTAATTACTTTTATTTTATATATATCCTCATCCTCATTCCTCTACTCTCACCCACTCCATTCCCTCTCTTTACCACCCTATACCACCCTATACAATCCTATACAACCCTATAATTAAACACATCAAACTCAAGTCGACATCTTCCTCTCTCACTTAAAGAAATCCAAAAATCTAAAAAAGAAGCTTACTCTACCCTATATAACCATCCTATAATTAATATATCATCTACCCTCCAACCCTCAACCATCAACTCTTAAACCCAACCTCCAATCTTTAATCAGAACCCCTAATCAAAACCCCCAAAACAATTCCTTCTATTCCTTACTAATCTCTAAATCCTAAACCCAGAACCCAAAAATCAAAAACTTACAGACCCTTCCCCTTCCCCTCCCCACCTCACTCCCCTTTCATCAAAATATATATATTTGATTATAATAAATAAATAGAAAAAAAAAACACAAAATCTTATTATAATATAATACACAAGGTGTATATATCCATACAATTTCAAGAAGGCACTCGTTATTATAGAAATACCCATTAAGTTTGATACAAAAGTTATAATATAAAAATATATAATATAAAATTTATTGATTTCGCAATCACCATCTAGGTACCTATATAAACAACGATTCCATCTATACATCCATTCATCCACCTAACTCATCTCTTTTCCCCCTTCCACAAAACTCAAAAATCAAAAAATCAAAACGCCAATCAAACTCCCAAAATCCCCATCTATAGAGTAGAGTAGTATCACATCCCTTACCCATGCATATAAATCGAAACACCAATCCCCAAAAGAAAAACAACCACAACCCCAAAAGTCACATCCCCCACCCCCTAAATAACCTCATCTCTCTCCCACCCCGCCGGCCTCAAACACTCAATGCCCTTCCCGGGCTTCTCTCCCACCTCCTTCCCATACGTACTAACAAACGGATTCGGATCAACATCCTGCCTCAAATTCCCCAACGTATGATTAACCTCACGATGTTTCGCCTCATCCGCACGAATATAATACAATAAATCGCGCATACTTCTCTGATCCTCCGGCATACCCCAATACTCGATTGCCAGATCTGGGGCTTTGAAATTGGGGTCCGACCACTTAGGGAGGTGGCCGTTTTCGAGATCTTGGATGGAGAGCGTGTAGGTGAGTACGGCTTCTTCTTCGAGGTAGCCGACGAAACGGTGGCAGGTGCGTGGGGAGAGGAGGTAGCAGATGAAGAAGGAGTTGAAGAAGACGCCTTGGGCGCCGAGGATCATGGTGCGCATGAAGATGCCTGGTTCGTACATTTTGAGGAACGTGAGGAGGTGCATGCGTTCGTTGTATGCTAGAGTTTGAATGTATTAGTAAATGATCTCTAGTAACAAAATTTCATCAACAATAAAACAAAACAAATAAACATACCTTCTTCAAGCAAAGTTTCAATCCACCCATTATCCCTCTTCAAACCCCTCAAACTCCTCAAATGTCTCAACATACCAGCCACCATACCGGGAACCCCAGCCACCGATTCCAAAAACACATAACGAATTAACCATTTACGTTCACTCATTTGATAAGGTTTCGTAGCCGCCACTGCATTACTATCGGATGCCTTCTTGGGTTCTTCCACATTATGTTTATAACCCGTAGCGAAATCCGTACACCATCTCAGGAAACGCACCATACACAAGGCGACACGATCTGAGAAGTCTCGAGGTTTGCGGTGTGCGAAGTAGACTTTGCTGCGCATTTGGTCGGCGGTATAGCTGAGTTATGATTAGGAGTTTGAAAAAAGTCAGAGATATAAAGGGGGGACATACGGTGGATGAGGCCAAGCTGGTTCTGTTTTTTTGATTTGTCCATGTTCAGGTTCTGGGAATAGATCTCTACCCTTTACCTGAATTTTGGAACCAGATGTGAAGGCTCTTCTTGATTGTACATGTGCTGTACATGTTGAAGATAAACCATAGGATTGTGCAAAGAAAGCTACAGCTTTTGATAGCTGAGCTGTTGATTGATTTGAAAGATTTCTCTTGGATACCCTTGATACATACATCGAGGTCATCTAGTATGTAAGTAGATTATGACGATAGATTTGTGATACCAGTAGAGGTAAAAGTAGAATCAAAATTTAAATGTTGGAATGTGTTACTGAACAATTGCCACAAAGTAGGATGGAGGGCTAGTTTTTATTTCACTTGAAAAAGATATGTATAGCAACAAAATTATATCATAAATTAACGCATGGCTACCTAGGCTGACACAGCAATGTCTTGTCTCCTTGACTTGGAAGAGGAAGATAACGGAAGACTTGTACTGGTTTCATTAAAAAATTTCAACTACACCGAAGAAAAAACGGAATAGCTGAACCTTTCTTTGTGTGACAATTGACTCAATACTCGTGCACCGCCGGTGCACCGTCAGAGTAATGCGGTAGAAAACAACAACCATGAGCTAATCGTATTCAACGTTCTATTCCCGCCCACGGTCCTACCTTTGCATGATCCAAGCTTCAACTGGGTCGCCGAGAAGAGCAGATTAATCGGAATGTGATATTCAATACGACGCTTGTGAATGGTTGAAAACGTAAAAAGGGATTTGAACCATGAAACGGGAATTAGTAATGCCCGACCGAGACTCAGCCTTGTGGATCATTTGATCACATGACAGCGACAACTCGGGAATTCTAGGATGCCTTCATTATCGTAGCGGTTTATTCCGGTCGAAACGGAGGCGATCAACAATCAACATGAAAGAATTTTGTTATGATCAAAGAGTCATGGGAATAGAAATTTTTCCAGATACAGCTCAAAAAATTGTGGACGACATGGTGACTATAAGTAATTTCATGGGAAATGGCAAATTCTCTCTTATGTATTGAGTGCAACACAATTTAGTCATAATCTTTCGATTCTTTTCATGAATCTGTCGACATGCTAATCAGATATCATGATCGGTACGTCAGGACATATAAAATAACCCCAAGATGCCCCGAATTCACGATATCGCTCCACTTAGTCTTCCTAAATTACAGGACAAATTTTACCGTACGATGGCCTAGATCCTTTCAATATTGTGGGTTTGGACGCCAAAATCTCTGCATTAAGATAGTTTCCGAAGCATTCCCGTTCTGGCTCTCATCAAGTCCCGGGTATCTAGTGGGTAACGAACGTTGGACTAATTGATTGCTAAGAAAGTCCATTTCATGTAGTTGCTGTAGGTTTTGCTGATGCTGAGTCTCAATCAAAGGCTCCTGGAGATAAAGATTGTCGCTATCCCACTGGTTATATTCATGTCCTTGAATATGTTGAAGTTGGTAGTCTGGGCTTTGGACATCGAATTTCGAATTTCCGTGCCAGATTCCCGTCACCCGGTGTCTTGATAGTGGAGCTTCGCATGCGTTTGCTCCTTGAGGTCCGAGCTCACCGACATCCCCGGTGCAGTGGCGATTCTCAAGGACGTCTTCCACTCCACAAGTCATTTCCTGCTCTGTCTCTGTGTTGTCCCAGTACTCCCTATGTGACTTCGTGTTAATGTTAGGCCTTTGCACATCATAACTTCCATGTCTTCCAAATCTGCCGTTGAGAGGACCATTTGCCATTTGATTTTTCTCTTGCTCGATTTCCAATTGCTGAACATAAAGCGACGGAAGTCGAATGAGGGGCGAACGTGGGGTAGATGTAGTATGCTGCATTGGCCGCTCATGACTGCTCGGGAGCCCTCTTTGAAATGGAGGTCCGGTGAAGAATTGAAAATGCTCACTGTTTGAAATGATGTTTGGAATTGTCTCTAAAGGTGTGTGAGTTCTGCCATTCAGATGTGTTCCTCCCGTCAAATGCAGCTGCCTGCCCTCTTCATTCATCATTTCACCCTGAGGCATTGCGTTTCCATTGATATCATTGGTGGTTAATCCTGATTGATCAAACTGGCTGTATTGGCCATGGTGGGATTGGGAACATGGCTGTGGAGACATTGGTTCCGGGACGTGTGGCCCGAGTATGCCATTATCTTGCCTCGCCATGACAGTAACTGGCGAGATATGCCCCCTCACACTCGAGGATCGAATAGGAGCATATTCTGTGCGCTGTATTCCTTTTTCTGGAATACCAGAAATTGATGAGGAGCTGTTCTCTCGACTTTCGTCGCTAGCCTCCCGGATTACTGGAAGGGTAGTTGATGGACGTTTGATTCGAGCATTGCATGCCATTTGTTGACGCGTAAGTGGTGTTGGTATGGGTGCTACTGCTAAATCCGGAGGAAGGTCAAGTGATTGGGAAGGTGGTTTAGAATCTTCCTTCCGGTACCAGCCACGATTTGGATCATAATACTCAACGACAGTTCTTTGGAGCCGATCAACACGAGTTTCCGCTGAGTCGAGAGCCCTTTCCCTCAAAGGTGCCTCTTCTGTTTTCTTTTCCATATGCAGTAGAGATCCAGGCAAACAATCTTGTTGCTGGAGATTTGGGCTTGGGCTGATTTCGTGATTTTTTTGAGCAGAATCAGTGCTTAAGCTAGATAAATCTCTGCTAATCACGGCTGGGCCATCAGCTGTAGACGCGGAGGCTTTATCCCGGGTCTCATACGGTTCTTTACATACCGCCACACGCATATGAGGCTTTCGTCGACTTGAGCTCTCAATGCCTGTATCCTTGAATATGCCTGTTTTTTCCATAGAACTCCGTACCGAGTCTGGTGTCGTACTGTTTTGTCTTTGGCAGTATTGTTCCCTCGCTCGACGTAAGGCCATAGTAGCCCCAGGAGAGTTTTGGGACTCTGACCATGTCACAATGGTATCCGAATACATGTTGCAGTCGGCGACGTTTTTGGAGAGAAACTGCGGACCGTGATCTGGAGTAAATCGTACTTGATTGGGTTGCACTTGCTGACTGCTAGACTCTTTCAAATAATCTCTTCTCTCGTTAACACGTGGTGTTAGAATCTCGCTGTAGTACCGTTGTTGATCATGCTCGCGGTCTCTTCTCAGTTGTCCTTCGTAGAGGGAGGCCCCATGTGTCGAAGTTGGAGAAGTGGGATGCTCGATAGTGGAACTGTTGTCCCTCACTGGTGTCTTAGATGGTTTGAAGAATGCTGCTATTTCATCTTGCGCTCGTGCAGCTTTCCTCTTCTCCTTGACACGACTTTTTGGGACAACAATGTTATCGTTCATACGTGATTTTTTACTAGAGCGCTGAAGAAATTCCATCTCCGAAAAAGCGAGGTCAGGCACTTAGCGAGCAAGTTAGTCTTTGAAGAAGCTGATATGAATGATACTCACATCCTCGTCGTCTGGGCGGTGAAGAAGCCCTGCCATTTTGAAAGATGCCTGGTCCATTGGGAGGGCGCACCTGGAACGATAAGTTCCCGTTTTCCCATACAAGGATTCTGCTCACCGATAAACGATCCAGGCCTATTTTGTTCGATGCAAAATTATCCATGAGATCGTGACTAGCCTTCCTTGCAGCCTTCTTTCGGTCTCCTCTTTTCTCGCGCCTCGTTTTCATTGGCTTGTTGACCATTTCTGCTTTATTACTTTTCATTTTCGTGTCATATCGATCCTCTTTTGTCTTATGGCGTGCTCTTTTCTCAAATGTTTCTTGCCTTGGCTGCACAACGGAGTATTGTGATGAAATAGAGGTCATAGTTGATGCCGGCTTCTTTTGGTGTTTGTGAGACTGTGTGGTCTTTTTACCATCGTAAGTGGCGCTCAACTCCCGAATGTCTCTGGCCCTTTCCTTTGCAACTGGTACCCTTGGAGCTTCAAGTAGAGAACTATCAAAAGATACAGTCTCTTGATCGGGCTTCGGCTTCGATTCTGTGGTCAGCCTGCTCTTCCCGGGTATATGTCCTGTATGGATGTAGTCCGGGTGCTTAGATTTCTCTTTTAGATGATCTAGATTACGAAGAGATGTCAGTGCATGTAATTTCAAGGTTGATGAAACATGCGAGTGATTTTTCACCTATTTTCGGGCTGGTTTGTTTCAAAAGTTCTAGCGATTCGGTGATGTCCTCATTTTGAGTTTGCGCAAGCCAGCTGCGAATGTAATCTTTGTTCCCAGACAGTTCATCTTGATCTTTGAATGCAAGTGGCTGCCTTTTTTCGGCTGATCTTTCTGAAGAATGATCTCGAGGGTGCCTTGGATGTGCGCTATCATGATTGTTATGCTTGCGGAGTTTTGCAGACCCTCCAAATCTACTTTTATGCCTGTGGGCGTGCTTGCGCTTGCGAGAATGATGATTGTAGTCCATTTGAGGGAATGAAAATATTTTCAAGCGCGGAATAAATAGCAATGGATAATTTGGTCCTATGGATCCAAAGAAAGTCGATGGTACTATGAGATTATTAGGATGAAAGAAATGATGAACTTACATGGTGAGTAATTCCTTCTCCCAGCTTTGGGAAGGTACGGTTGAGTAGTGAAGAAATGAAAGGCGCGACTTTTCTCGATTTGCACCTCCTACTCAGAACGAAACGTTAAGGGATTTTCAAAGTAAAGGAAGCAACGACCTTCCCTTCGTAGACGATGTTAACCCCTGCGCAACTGCTTAAAGGGCTTGTGCCTTGATCATATCATCAAACAATCCAAAAGGATTACCATCATGATGTTTCGCTACCATTGAAGACGTCCTCTTGCAGTGAATTTTTAAATCCTTACTAGGTAACTCTAACTCGATGAATTATTCAGGGGATTCAAGCAACTTGCGAGATCCCATTAAAGCTGACCGCAACGGCCGCATTTTATGAATAAACGATGGGATATTGCAAGCATCGTGTGGGTAATTACAGCCCCATCATCCACACATGCAAACATCAAATTCGCAACGGCTCTTTCCAATTCAAATTTCGATAAAAATTGCAATAGTGCTGATCTCAATATCACCCATACATCACCTGATTGAGACGAAATGAAATACAAACAGATGCTGTGAGATGTGAGTTATCACGATAATCAACATACCTTTCGAGGGCCAAATTATTACACAGAAGCGGGAGATTCTGCAGCCATGTAGCAGTACCTTGGAGTGAGATATTCGTTGTATACCTTCATCGACGATATGAGAATCTGATTATCTGGCATTTTCGTGCGACTATTGCCACGACTCCCCGCATGAAAATATACGAATGATTCGGCACAAAAGGCTTGTGTACCATGTCGCCATCCGCCAGATTTGAAAGCATCCATCAAATGTAGACGAGGTCTTGATTGAAGTGACATGGCCTTAAATTATTATGCTTTTTGAAGATTCGCATGGAATTATAGATTTTTAAATTACTTTTCAATAAGAATTGAATGAGTAGGTAAATTCAGATTCAAATATCTGTCGGACGGAGTTGGTTTGAACAGACAGTCCTAGATAAGTTAGATGTGCATCTGGCCGATAGATTTCTGAATTGGTATAAGTTTCTGTGCACGTGGGCTGAATTTGATGCATGTAAGTTCCAAGGGCTGTCTTTATGCAGAAGATCGAAAGATGGCGGGGACATTTTGTAGCGTGATTGTGGGATGGAATGGCTGCATTTGCGTCTTGGGGGAGTGAAGAGAAGCTTAAGAGGATGGGAAGCTTCTAAACCCATGTTTGCCAATTGATGTTGTGAACGAATGGAATAGAGTTTTGTTGATGTTGTATTATTGAAACGGAAATCTCGGGTTGTTTTAAATAAATGAAATAAATAAACGAAAATGTAGAGCTTGTATTCCTATAGATATTCTATCCAAAGTATTCCATTTCATATCAAGTGTTCTTTTGTAAAGCGTATGATAAGACAGTGGGACTTTCTATTCGTAACCCTCATATAAATAAAAGAAATGCTCATGATTAAGATCATCATTTTCCGTCCCACCCAGCATGGAAGTTCAAAGCTGCAAGTTAAAAAAATGTGGTAAGGACCGTTGGCCTGTGTTTGAACTTTGCACGGCACTTTGGCCACTTAGAGCAGCTCCACAGGGACCCTTGATCAACTTTACCCCACCTCACACCCACCTAGAACCCTGGACTGGCTGTGAGATAATCGATAACAATCTTGAATCCCCAGGCTCTTTTGATAAACTGGTGAACGCCGAGCTGTAGTTATTTAATGCAATGTAGTTTAGCTTCATAGCTTAACAGCTTCATGCCACGATATCTTATTACCAATCTAGGCAATACCTGCACGTTGAGCCTTTTTGGCACAATGCATATACGCTGGGATAGGATGTAGGAATCCATACCCAGCCCAGCATACGAGATAGGAGACGCCGTAGAGCTTGTGAAGCTTGGGAAAGCTACCCAGTAAAAGTTGTCCGAAGAGCTCGAGGAATGAATCTAGACAATTTGAGCTTTGAAAGTTCATCTTTCAACCTTTCCGTAGGTATTTAGGTAGTGATTGATAATGGTGAGGCCAATATCAAGGAAACAGGTGAATTGCACCATACCATACCCTAATCCGAGTATCGGAGATCTGCATCTGATCCAGCGGAGACCTTCCATTAAGATAGAAGAGAGTAGAATTGGTAAAAAAGTCCAAAGGAAGATCTTTTATATCAATCGTATCCCCAAGCACATCGGAATGGTTCTTAGGTAGAAACTCACTAGAAAGATCATGCTAGAGGAAAATATTTGCTTGTTCCACCAACAGAAGAAGAAAGTCGAAAGCTAGCAGGGTTATTGTTAAGCCACGGACTTCAGACACTCCATTTGAATTTGAGTTATCAAGGAAACTTACGCCTTCAACCGATGTCTGCGTCATGCTTGGCTGGCCGAATGTTACACGGGAGTGTGAAGTGAGAAAAGAAAAGAAAGGTGTGAGTAGTTCCTTTCATATTGTAAACCAACCGAAAGTAGAAATACCTAGTAAATTACATCGCATTCAATTGGTTTTAATACCGGTAGATGATCGAATAATATAAAAGAATAATCGAGCTATCATATGTCGTTTGATACCCAATGTGGGATGAAGCTTGAGCTTGTTTTAGTTTTTGTTCTTGAGAACTTGGTAAAAGTACCTGGTACCTACCTTTCCTAACACCTAGTCGAATAGATAGCTCGGTCAAAAACTAGGGTGGACTGTAGGGGGACCGGGTGCCGTCAAGGTGGGTGAATGATAAAATGCAACGGATCAATCAAAGGTCGAGCGCAGCCAAGGAATCTCCCTACTTCTCTTAAACGCTAGTGAATCTTTTGGGAGGGGCAATAATAAATTAATGCAGTCTCTTTCAATTCCCCCGCTTTGCGCTTAAGGCAGACCTTCCCTACTTCCAGACCCAAACCGAAACCCAATCCCTTTCTTCCTACAACTTCTTCCATTCCCCTTCCATCCTCCTTACAACTTCATCTAAAAATACCTTCCTTCGCGATTTACTTTCGCATTCTTATACTCTACCAGGTCGCACTGTCCTTTCAATCGTCCGATTGATAATATATCTCAAACGATCTGTGTTGCTCAACTCAGACCGATACCTCTACCCAAACAAACAAAGAAATCTCGATATTTCACCTCAACTCGACTCTCTAATTCTTCAAGAAGTTCGTCCGATTCTCCTGCTTGTGCTCGCTGACTTGACTGTCTTTGCGATTTGATTCCAAAATTTATTCCACATCACATCACCTTCCTATTCCATACGTCCGTTTTGCGGATACCTGTTTTGCCTCGATGTATCTTTCTTTGTGTGATCCGTCCGTTTCTCGTATACACAACTCCCGCCTGAAATGGCGCGATCCTTTTTGTGTGAATGCGTGCGGACATTGAGACTTTCAGCCAGGTTTTCGATAACATTCAATCATGTCTAAATTATTCATTGGGTAAGTCTCACCATTTACATTCTACTCCAAATCATCACTTGACAGATTGACTAACATTCATCATTAGTGGCCTTGCTTGGCACACAGATGAGGACGCTCTCCGTAAGAAGTTCTCTGAATTCGGAAACGTTGAAGAAGCAGTATGTCTCACGCTCCTTTATCGATAAGCCCGACGTGAGGATCAGAAACTGATGCAATTAATACAGGTTGTTGTCAAGGACCGCGACACTGGTCGTAGCCGTGGTTTTGGCTTCGTTCGTTTTGGACAAGGCAGCGATTCATCTCCAGAGGCAGATGCTGAGAAGGCCATTCAAGAAATGAATAGCGTTGAGTATGATTATCCCATTAGGCTTGCTCCTGATCTAGTACTAATATGCATAAAGATTCGATGGCCGTACTATTCGTGTCGACAAAGCCTCCGAACGTTCAGGCAATGACCGCTCTGGTGGTGGTGGTGGCGGATTCGGTGGTGGCCGAGGCGGCGGTGGATACGGAGGCCGTGGTGGTGGTGGTTATGGAGGCGGCGGTGGAGGATACGGAGGTGGTCGTGGATACGACAACAACTCCGGTGGTGGTTACTCCGGAGGTGGTGGATATAGCGGAGGTAAGACTTCTTTCAAAAGATTTCTCCTCAACGACGCATGAATTATACTGACACATGATAAAATAGGTGGTGGCTACTCTGGTGGCGGAGGTAAGCAATCCAACTAGACAAGTCTGTCGTGAATATCTGAATAGCATTTACTAACAGTTGAGATGATAAAGGCTACAACGGAGGTGGTGGTGGCGGTATGTTGCATCACGAATATCCCTTTTTACAAGTATACTAATTGTCCATAGGTTACTCTGGTGGCGGCGGTGGTGGATACTCCAGTGGAGGAGGATATGACCGTGGACAAGGTGGTGGAAACGCTGGCCAGTGGGGCAATCAATAAATTGCTTTTCCGGTGGACGATGTTTTTCCTCAATCTTTCAACCTTCGAAAAGAAAAAGTCAGTCCTGGGGAGGTTTCAGCAAAATTATGTTGTGTGGTGAGCTTTAGGATGTTGTCGTTCTCGATGGCAGCCTGATTTTAATCTCGTGGTTTCTGGCAGCGGTTCTGGCCTGGCGAGCTATATGCTTGCATGGAGTTCGGAGGGGGTATCTTACCTTGCTCGATCACTATTTCTTTGAACATTTCACGAATGTTTTTTCAATTCTGCCTGTATTTTCGGCTCTCGGTCACTTTGATCGAGGTCTCTTTATGAAGGTCTGCATCTTTGCAGGCCTCTAATGGTCTATGGCAATAATATCCTAAGAAGAGAATGAATGATTGGCTCTTTCACGCATTACTTTTCGGTCTCTTCTTGCTCATCCGTGCTCTTAACCTTTTTGAGCTCATGCTCTATAGCCTTTGAGTGACTTGCTTCTGCTTCGACACCTCTATGCCCCATAGCTATCTTCCGAACTCTATTTGCTAGATCCTTGACATGCTCATCCCCGCTCTCAGGACTCAGCTCATCCACTAGATATATCAGCATGACAATCCACCCTGAGAGTTTCACACGTATAACGACTGGAATCGTTTGACAATAAGTGCAACAATAGAAACCACCTACAGGCAATATCCAAACTCAAAAGATAGTCCCTATTTAGCCCACTGGGGCCCTCACTCCTCCATATATGTTCAGCCAATTTCTGCGGGTCTTGCGGTCCGGTAAATTGCGCATTGTCGGGCGTTCCTATATAGACCAACGTTCTGATACTCGTAGCCCCGCCACTCTCATTGTCTGAGTTAATGAATGTGGAAGAAGAGGGATAAAAAGGTGTATAGTGTATAGTATATCCGTTAATCTCACGTATATCGAGATATTCGCGCACTTCGGCAACCTTGGAGGTGAGGATTCGATAGGCGGTTCCCCATACTTTTGGAGAGGTGGTTTCGGAGGGGATCGGATGTGGATCGTGGAGTGTGAGCCAGTGGGCGTGCGGGATGAGCGTTACGACTCGTCCTGGGGAGGTGGGTGTGCCGCGGTGGTCTTCGCTGGGGATGAGGGAGAGGGGTGTTAGATGGATCGGGTTTGTGTTTGGTTTTGGGTTCGGGGAAGGAGATTGGGGTAGGAGGGAGGTAAGGGGTGAGGTTTTGTCATGGGGTTGTGAATTTACCTAGCCTGGATGGTTGTTAGCTAATTCGTTGGTTCTTCATCAGATACAAGATATCAACACAAATGAGCATCCTCAAACTCCAAAACCATCTAAACTGCCAAAAGAACCACATAACATAACATAAACAAAACCATACCTGCCAAAATCTTCTCACATATCCAGTCACATATCCCGGAATACGACGATCTAATCATTCATCACAAAAGGTTGGTCATTAAATCCTACATCTAGGTATTCGGTGGTACTTTTAGAACAGAAGAGAGTACGAGCAAGTACGAGGAAGTGTATAATGCTGAACGAAGGGAGGTTTACCGAAATGTGGCGGGGGTTTCCATATTAAACTTCTGTATTGTTTTGGAAATTAGTTGGAATTTGAAATGTATAACTTTTGTGTATAATTTTTGGTTTGAGGAAAGAAGGAAGGGTGGTTATTATGTACCCATATCCGAATATCCAAAATTCGTTCTCGGAGTTGCTGTAGTCGTTGAGGGCGTTGGAGCCCATGGTGTTGGAGGGTGGGTTAGATGTTGGGATGATGATGATGAGGTATGATGATACATGTATTATTTAATCGAGGGGTAAAAATAAGGATGATGTAGAACGGAATGTTAGTAAGGGTAAAGCCGATGCTTGTTGGTACCGAAAATACTTAGCGTTTTGCATTATTTCCACTTTTTCCTCGAGATGAATGAGTTTATTGACTTTACTTCACGCAAAGGGGGAATGATAAACATATGAAGCATGAAGATGATCACATCAGACTGTTCAAATCTGGTACCGAGTTTACCCGAGTACGATGTTTTGTACCAAGGCGAGCAGAAGTGACAGTTGTTATGACAAAGTTTTTTCCAGCGAGGTTTGCTCACCGGGCGCAAAAATTGGCACATTAGGTAGGTATTGGCATTCCCATCTTGTGATTTTGGAACAGGTGGATGGGTTGGTGAGTTGGTGATGAATCATTCAAGTATCCCCAAACAGCGACTTCAGCCTGCTTTCTGTGAATTTGAATACCTACTTAAAGAAAACTCATTTCATACCAAACATCTTTGCTACTTGGGCTTTCAGCTCTTCTCTTTTTGCGATACTTTTCACATCAGATTAGTTTCGTAGGAATTCTTATTTGATACATTCGGAAAATATCTGAAATTAGATCCACCATCATAACGCTGCGCTCGTGTTCAGGGAATCTTTAACCTAGTCACTTCGTACATGCTCACGGCCCCTCTACCCGCTCGAGCTCGCATTCGCATCGTTAGTATCTAACATCAAAGCCTTACACCTCCATACATATTTGACAACTCAAGAACAACCTGTCGCGAGATAAATCCTACAATCGACATACTCAAATAATCAAAATGGCCTACAATAGAGCATTCAACCCAGATTCGCTGCCTGCGTAAGTCAATCCCCCCTTCTGAGAACAGAACCCCGCTGAACCAATAACCACAGATTTGCAGAGCCAGAACGAGTACAACTTCCTGCTCCCTGAATCGCATCGCATAACTATCACTAATTCGCACAATAGAAACACACGCAATCACCAGCCGTTCAATCTCCCGTTCATAGCCAAGCGCAACAAGCAATGCACAACGCGCAATATGAAAATCGACCTCCCCCTCAAAACATACACCCAGACGGACGAAGACCTGATGGCAGAAGATTCTCTCCGCAAATGCACCCCCCAGGCAATTATGGCGTATCTCCACCAAATCGAGGCTACGCAACACCACCTCCAGCGCAATTCCAAGCAGGTAGAGTTGCGCCTCAGACTCGACCAGTGCAGCAAACAAGACCTACTACTTCGCCTGCTCCCCCTGGCGCAGATCCTCAATTGTGGCCTCTCTTCAAGGCCGTTGATAAAGATAGTATGTTCTTACCCATTCCTCTATTCTGATACACAAGCACCAAACGCTTACCTCCAACTTTTTTCAGGAACCGGTGTCCTCACAGAGAGAGAGCTCCGCGCCGCTCTTGTAAATGGTGATTGGACAGCTTTCGATCCATACACAGTCAAAATGATGATTCGCATGTTCGATACGGATCGCAGCAACACAATCAATTTTGATGAATTCTGCGGGCTTTGGGGATTTCTCGCCGCTTGGCGTTCATTGTTTGATCGGTTCGATAAGGATCGCAGTGGAAATATTAGTCTGGATGAATATTCAGAGGCTTTAGTGGCTTTTGGATATAGATTGAGTGATAGTTTTGTGGGGGTTTTATTTAAGGCATATGATAAGAGGAATGAGGGCGCGATTAGTTTTGATTTATTTGTGCAGAGTTGTATTAGTTTGAAGAGGATGACTGATGTGTAAGTTTTGTGGTTTTTCTTTTGGCCAGGGATTCGGATACTGTTGGAGGTTTTGATTTCAAACCCTGGATTTTCGAAACGTTCACGGAATGGCCGCTAACATGGTATTTGGAAATAGCTTCAAGCGTTATGATGATGATCGCGATGGTAAGATTTGTTATCTTTATTCCTTGATCGCAATTTTCTAATTCTTCTGGATTAGGTTACATAACTCTCTCCTTCGAGGACTTCCTCCTGGAGATTATTCGACAGAAGTACTAACTTCATCGCCAATCAATAGCTAATGGAATACCCCTAAAGGATGGGGAAGAATGTGTAAACAGGAGTCTTCCGCTTTGCAAGGATTAGGAAAGAGAAATCGTTGAAGTTTCAAGCTTGCGATTACAAAATTATAAGTAATGGCGAAGGATAGGAGATCTGGAAGTGAGGAACGTGATGTGATGTGATGTGATGTGTCTATAGAATTTATATAGATACTCATTGTAAATATGATACCCATGGATTTTTGCATTTTTGGTCTTGTTTTGTTTTATTTCATCTGATCGTCATACTTGATGTTTTCGTCTAACACTAGGTACATGCAGCGTGGTAATATATCTCAGCGCGCATTTTAATTATAATCTTACATTTCTAGTTAGGACCGCACTTAAAATTCGTTGGAAAAGTTTCCCAAACCACACATATTACTTACTACCTTTGCTCCCATATTTCTCATCCAGGCAGGTAGGTGTACCCAATTCTTCCCAGGGAAGAATATCTATCTACCTTCCACCCATTTACGTGCGTACGGCTAGTGCCACTAGCTAGCGACCTTGCGACCTCACTCCCATGAATCTTGGGCACACCTACGATGGTTTCCCTCAATGGGTCGATAGACCCAACCCCTCTTTATACCTGACAGAGCATTGTCAGTTGTGGGTAGGATGTGTACTGGCTTTGGCTTGGCTTGGTTTGGCTTGACTGGGTATACTTTTATAATCTTGTTTCCGCGATCCCTTAGCGGAGTCGAGAATTGGAGAATTGGAGAATTTTAGTGTTGGTTTGTTCCTGTGTGGTGGGGTGGGTGATTAGAATCACCATGTGGATATCCTCGAAACTCTCTCAGCATTCGCACTGCTCATGTAAACGAAGCGAAAAGGATACTCGGAGTTAAACACGGGGTTCTTGCTATATTTTCTCCATATCTGTTATATGTATATTACTTGCCTGTTTTGGTGTGATTAGGATATCTTATATCCTTCGCGCTTCTTCTCGAATTTGTGTTTGTTGATTCAGACGGTGTTCAATTTTACACGTCCTGTGATAATGTTATATCGATGAGCATCTACAGTAGATTCAAGTGAATACACTGCAGTCTCGGAATGAAAAGTTCTGATCGATGAGATCTCACTCTCTATATTTATCGATGATGGTAGATAGATGTGGGAAATATATCTTGCTAGAATTGTTCTGTGCCGTTAAGGTGATGGCTTTAAGTCTAGCAGGTCATTCAATCTGGGCACCTTAAACCTTCACAAAATCTGTACCTCCTATCGAGCTTTTGAGTCTAGTCCACTCATGGCTTATTCTTGATTATCAAGTCGCCTATTCGAACTCAGTAACATAAGCAATCGTCCTGCTAATTTTTGATGGCAAACTCCAAAACACTTTTGGTCTCGATCTATATGCTGCGGCATATTGCTTACTCTTTTGGCTAAGTGTATTACAGCATCAGTCATCATTCACCTGGGGATTTATTATGGCTTCATTGTCTGGCTGCAACAGTGCTTTTTAAAACTTTGCTTTTATTAGATCTTACTCAATACCGTTTGGATACGTGTTATTCGATGGCGCCGTGTTTATCCTCATCCCATCCCCTCGCTTAACACTACATCTCCACAAATAATCAAACACGGAGTCCACTTCAGAAATAATTATCCAAAGGTTCATACTGAATCACTACTTGTCATATTGACTGGAAACTTATATTACTTTCGTCTTCTGGCAGAGTAAGTAGCCACAAACCTCTGCTCCAGATGTAGATGGGTTTCAGTGGTACTTTGATATACTTTGTTTCTTACTTGTTCATGTATGTACTCATTAGTATCCCTTCTCTATTTACGGGGCGCACTGAGTCAGCTCTCTTCTTGTTCAATATAGTCACCTCAGGACTTGATTATTATTGCTTGGCAATCATCTGTCTCCAGTTAGGCAATGAGTTATTCTCAATTCCTCTTATGCTACCGTACCAATTTAGAGGTCAGCGTGTCTTTGAGAGATACAAATCAAGAAGTCCTTGGCTTTGAAATTACTACTGTACTATCATAGTTCTCACAAAACAAGTAATGAATAATACAGTCACAAATGCGAAAGAATGACCTTGTGCTTTTGCAGATGGCTATAAAAGCTCCATTCACCTCCCCTTTCCATCTTTCAAAAATCACACAACCTTGCAAACCTTACGAAATACCTACAGAAATCTATCCAGCAACAGATTATCACGCAGCTTCTAAGTCAGTTAGCAGCACCCATCACAGAACTACATACTACCTACCATCCACAATGTCCACCAACGCACAAAATGAAGTCCCAGGAAGCACCAAGCAAAGGGCAGTTCCAATCCCCGCCAGCAAAGGCAGAGCAAAAGCGGAACCGAATGCGAACCCAGCAGCAGCATCCCAAAAAGAAACAGCCAAAACAGAGCCAAAAGCTCCAGACACTTCCCACAAAAAGGAAACAGACACATGTCCTCGCTGCTGAGCAACCGGATTCCTTGGCGCATGCAACACCTGTTGTTTCGGCATGGGGATTGGATTGTAGAAGAGCTAGTTTGGGTGGATGCAACGCCTGTTGTTTCGACATTTTGGAATGGGGATTGGCTTGTGAAAGTGCTAGTTCGGAATAATGATGGAGTTAGTTTGGTTCTTCTCGTTTCTCATTTCTGCGAGATGTTAGTGCGGATCGGAAATTGTTTTGAGTCGCTAGACGAGCGGATATGATGATTCTTATTCTAGTCGTTGCTCTTTGAATGCATGTAATTAATTGTGTTTTATTAAGTCCAGTTTGTATATTTGAAAATAGATTCCAAATAATTACATCAACTTTGAGTAATTAAAGCTTCGACAAATAAAGTCTATATAAATTATATAACGTAATTAGAGTATTCTCCAATTTTAGTTTTAGTATTTTGTTAAGAAGAACTTAAGAATATCAATATTGAGTATTCAAATACTCTGATCCCGACATTCTTTCAAAGACTTTTAAATCAGAAAAATCAAATCAATCTAAAGTATTAATTATACACAAGATATTGAATTCAAGAACCGTTTGAAAATTTATCTTCTTAAGATCGGATTGAAAATTTAAAAGACCTTATTAAAATCTTGAAGAAATAAAAATTTGATTATTCGAACTAGTTTCAAACACTCAAATAATATTATTTAAAAATCAATGTAATATAAAGTTGATGTGACGGAAACCCCTGCTTTCCTCCCACCCTTATTGTATAAGAAACCTCAGGTACATTAATCATGTCCACACATGATACGATTACTCGGGATTAGTATACGATTTAGGTGGCCTGAGGATCAGATCCGGACAAGTACTAGGTATCAATGGTTATCGGTAAAGCAAGATCATTGGAGGGGTAAATATGACTTCTTTTTGCCTAGCCATTGCGGCTAGGCCATTCATTTGTGTGTATATAGAGTAGCTATTCCCATCTACAGGTGCTCTTCACCTGTAGATTCTAAGTTAAATACAATTGCTGGTCTATAAACACCCTTTTGGTCACAGTTTAATACTCGGGTTTATATTTTATATTCGGGTAGTCTAATTGAAATAATAAAATTACTTTGAAAACTAAAAACAAAATTTAAATAAAAAGAATAGAATAATTTTAAGTCGAAGATAGAGTGAAGATCAATAATTAGATTTAATTTATAATTTAAACAATCTAACATAATATTAAAAGATAAAAAATTCAGATACATCAATCGACTTCAACATTTATTTCAGCTATATTGTAGCCGCTCTGCGCAGTCTAATTACCACAGTGTTCTCGCCGCCGCGTCTAATTGTAGAGGGTATCAGTCCGGAGTAAAATAGGACTTTTCGACCTGTAGCACCACCACAAGCTCTTTGAACCTTTCAAACTCATGAACAGTTTCCGAGACTCGCCATGATGTTGAGAAGTCACTGTCAGCCTTGTGATGACCAGGCAGTGCTGTTTAGTGCGACGTCGGCACATTAGTTGATACCTCTAATCAAGCAATGAAGGTTCCCTGGTCATATTTACGGTAATTGCAGCGTATTATTAACCTTTCATAATATAATTGAGGCTGTGACTGCTGAGCGCGTGGCTGGGTATGGCCGACTACTACCGAAAAATTTATGTTTTCCCCAGATATTGTACTTCCAATTGCACAGTACCCTCTCATGATCAAGCGTAGCAAAAAGTGGCCGATCTTTGCCAAAATTCTCTAACGTCTCTTTCGGCTGACTTCTCTTTCGACTGTCTCTACGAACTTTGATAGAAGGATCAGCCTCTACAATTGTTAGCCCTGGTATCTACAGTGAAACCGCTTCTTTAACTATCGCCGCCGGTCGTTCCTGTTCTTTCTCGCCTGAAGGGTGGGACTGCTTCCTGAATCGACAAAGGTCTTCAAGATGAATAAGCCGTTCACGACTCAACTATATAAGTACAGACCTCCCGAGACCCCCGAAACTATCCGTGTTATCGTCCTCCAACCAGCTAAAAACCACAATGAGCCTCTGGAGTGCAACATCATTCATCAAGACCGCCACGAAATCCTCCTCGACATAGGAGATGAACAACATTTCGAGGCTGTATCCTACACTTGGGGGGGATCAGATCTTTCTTGCGAAATTTCCTGTGATAAAAAGAGCGCGTTTATGAATATCACGCACAGTGTGGATTCACTTCTGCGGCATTTCCGAACAGAGTCTTCAGCCCGATATCTGTGGGTGGATGCCATTTGTTTGAACCAAGCAGATAACGACGAGAAAAGTATTCAGGTGTCCCTCATGGGAGATATTTATCGACAAGCCCGAAGAATACTTGTTTGGCTTGATGACGCCTCTCCGGAGGATGATATTCAACTCGTCTTCGCTTTTCTGAAACGGCTTACCAGCATCAAGTGCATTGCTATTTCAAAAGAAACCATCGAGAACTTGAACAAAGATGTCTTCAAACATTCAAACATTACCAAAGTTCAAAAGCTCCTGCAACGCCCTTGGTTTCAGAGACGATGGATTACTCAAGAGGTGGCGCTGGGTCATGACAGTATCATACAATGCGGCCCATTCCGAATATCCTGGCACTGGTTCGTCGACGCACTTAGGAGGCTTCAGATCGCTTCGGACAGGGGCATCATTACACTTGAGCCAGAAGCTCTTGATTCTGTGCATAATGCCTGCATGATCTACTCGCATGCTAACGAGCTGCTCACACTTATTTGGGATTTTCATAAAAGCGAGTGTTCTGACCCTCGCGATCGAATTTTTGCTCTTCATAGTTTGGTTGAAGATGTTGTGCCCAGTGCCGCATCCGAGAGTTCTTTGAAGCTTGAGAGCTCGATTGCGAGAAAGGTGTTTCCTGTTGATTATACGAGCACCTGGATCGAAGTGTATCGTCGTCTCGCACTTGACTGTGTGGCGGTCGGAAATTGGCATGTTCTCTTGAAGCACTTGTTCGCTTTCGGTGCGTTGTGGGAGCAACAACAGAATCCCAGAATCCCTTCCTGGATCCCAGCCTGGAATAAGGTGCGAGATTTTCCCGATTCCATGGCGGATGTGCCTGTATCGGTATCCAGTTTCCCGTCTCTGAGGATGGGAGAAAACGACCGGAATGTGTTATTTTTTGCCAGAGGGGTTAGAAGAAAAGTAATCTCCATTTCTAACGAATGGCCACCCGCCCCGGAAATGAATGTCGCCCAATATATGGATACCCCCCCCCACCATGATATTTCGAGTTCTTGCCTTCGCTCTAGCTAAGGGATTTGTGAATCTAAGCATAACCGATTAGGAGATGAAGAATCTCCTGATCCTGGAAAAGAGATACGGTCGGCGTATAAGATCGGGATGGCCTTTGTCAAAGTTAGCCAACAAATTAGAAACATTAAGTCGAAAGCAAGATGTATCTACCGGCGAACCTCTTGTGCTTGGTATCCTCGAATTGATGAAAACCTACTTTCTGCTCAGGTGGGAGGATGATATTTTTGGCATCGGGAGAGGGGACATACAAATTGGTGATATCATGGTTCAAACTTCTGACACTGCATGGTGCTTAGACTTCCTTCCCACATTCTGTATGCGGCCTGTGGCTCAATCTTTGCCATTATCCGATCATAAGTCTAGCTGCGGCGCAGAAGAACAGCGGTCAAAACGTCAAGAATGGAGAATGACAGGCCCTGCTTTTGTCCTACTTGATAATGGTTGGCTGCCGAGGCTTGAGAATTATATTGGAGGAGTGATGGTTTGAAGAAGGATATTTTTCATGTAAAAAAGATTTGCATTTGGTGGCTGGTGGAGAAAGGTAAAATATTTAGCTCAAAATTAGACGAAAATATATGAAATGAAGACATGATGATATTTAACTTGATTTTTAATACCTATTCTGATATAATATAGGAGTATTAAGCTACTTTGACTCGAGTATTAGACTCCAAATCAGATATGAGTATGATAATCATTGAAGCTCTAGACATTCAACTCACTATTAGACGAGAATTAAAAAGCAGAATACTGATTAATTGTCAATTGAAAACTGAGACCGCAATTAGACGATAACAAACAGATGATAACGTTACGCCAAATCAAATATATATTACACAGATAGCATTCACCTAATTGGAGCTTTCAACCCCCAAATTCGATCGGCATCTACGGCTATGCCAAATCTAGGCCTGTTAGATTCCAAATCGAACTTCTCAACTTCATTTATCTGCAATAGTACTACATCAGCAAGTTATCGGCATACTAGACCGTCTAGACGTGATATTTACTCACTCCGAGACGCTTTAGGTTCATATGGGATAATTCTGCACGGCAGATCGTAGCAAATAGACATGCCATCGAGATGAAATCCTCAGCACGACTCCGATTAAAGCCGAGATCCTATTTGAACAGTCCAACTACTCTGTTCATGAAAGAGGATCCAATCCGAGGGACCACTAGTCAGGTAAAGCTTTACGGGGCTCTATAACCCTTCAATCCTGTAGAGGATGGAGCTACTCCGTGAAGAAATTTCAAGATATTTCTGAATGTAAGATCTTAAGTTGAAAAGGAATAGAATCAAAAAACTCCACTAGGTTTAAGCGAAGCCATTCTGACCATTCGGAAATCATCCTAAAGCTATGTTAGGAAAGGCTGTCGAGAGATAATAGTTCTTGACAAGCTAAATTCTTCTAATATAAGTTGAAAAGTGATATCATCATGCTCGGCAGCTTCGGCTCGGTAAGCAATTTGGATGAGCTTAGCTTTCCCCACTTCCAAACCACACCTGCAGAAAATGTGATTATTTTAGCTTCCGGCCTTATTAGCGTTTCATTTTAGTGGCTAACGCTTATTAGAAGCTGCATGCATATCTTTTGCACCTTCCAACCAAGATCTTCGACTCCCAAGACATCCCAAATTTATATCATACAACCAAACTAAAGGAGAAATGGACCGTCATAATGAAGCAGTTTCTGCCATTGCCTCTTCTATTAAACAATTTTACGATAGGAAAGAGGCGTTTAGATTATATCATGGATCGACCAATAGTACACGAGATTCGAATCGGCGCAGAGACCGCATGATCGATACGAGCAAATTAAATCGAGTGCTTCATGTAGACACGGAGAAAAAGGTAGCTCTTGTTGAACCAAATGTACCAATGGATAGTCTTGTTGCGGAAACTCTTCGCTATGGTCTTGTACCCCCGGTGGTTATGGAGTTCCCTGGTATTACCACTGGAGGAGGATTTGCTGGTACTTCTGGAGAGAGTAGCTCCTTCAAATATGGCTTCTTTGATCGCACAGTCAATTGGATTGAGATGGTTCTTGCAAACGGCGAGATCGTAACGGCTTCCAAGAATGAGAAGCCGGATTTGTTTTATGGTGCGGCATCGTCTTTTGGAACGCTAGGAGTCACGACTTTGATTGAGTTGCAGCTAATTGAAGCGAAACCCTATGTCGAGTTGACGTATATAAATATTAAAAGCATGGAAGAGGGGATACAAAAGATTGAGAAAATTACCAAGGATTCAAACGTGGACTACCTTGATGGTATCCTGTTCAGCAAAGAGACTGGCGTCATCTGTTCCGGACGTTTGGTTGACAAACTGAAGCCTGACACACACATACAAGGCTTTGTGAAAAAATCGGACCCTTGGTTTTATCTCCATGCCAAGAACTTACATGATAGGAGTTACGGATCAATCACAGAAGCTATCCCTCTTGTTGATTATCTGTTTCGATACGATCGAGGAGGCTTCTGGGTCGGCAGATATGCATATAGGTAAGTGGACAGTTAAACTTTAACGTTGGCGGGGCACTTACTCTTGCTAATAGATACTTCATTACCCCATTTAATCGTATCACGCGTCGTCTACTCGATTACTTTATGCATACGCGAGTGATGTATCACGCGCTACACCAAAGCGGGCTTTCCAAAAAGTATATAATCCAGGACGTAGCAATTCCATATCCCCGCGCCACGGAGTTCGTCAATTACCTAGACAAGGATTTCGGACAGTGGCCCATTTGGTTGTGTCCGCTGCGACAGGACGGGCTCTCCAGCGAATCGCCGCTGGGACTCCTCGCTGAGAGAAACGGAAATTCATCTACTCCTAAAATGTTGCTCAACTTTGGGGTTTGGGGACCAGGCCCAGATGGTCGTGATGCATTCATAACATGGAACCGAAAGTTTGAACACAAAGTTCGAGAGCTGGGTGGACAGAAATGGTTGTATGCTCACGCCTATTATACCGAGGAGGAATTCGATGAGATTTATAATCGTAAGGAATATGACGCTCTTCGTGTCAAGTACCATGCAACACATCTTCCTAGTATCTACGATAAGGTCAAAGTTGATATCGAGTCGGAACGCAGGGAGTTGCAAGGATCGTGGAAATTGTGGCTGCTGACAATCTTCTGGAATATTTGGCCGTTGAGTGGACTGTATGGGGTGTTCAAGGCACTGTTAGGCGGAGATTATCTTCTCCCGAAGACCCGCGAGTCTAGCAAAACAGTGAAAACTAAAGAATAAGGCAGCCAAAGTCAGATAATCCAATTGTGTTGTACGAAAGGGGTACAAACTATGCATTTCTTATTGGTTCATGATTATCATCAATATCTTTACTAACAAACAATCCGCCGCTTTCGCATCGATGGAAACAAAGGTTCATTTCTCCCTGATAGGAAGCTGAAACGTTGCGCCTTCAACCTCCTCACCCGTCTTCATCGTATCAACATCTGCCTCCTCCCTCGGTTCCACCATATTGCAATTACTCTTGCTATTTGCCTCCTTTCGAGCCTTGTATCGCCCCCATTTTGCGATTTTCTTTAGCTCTTTCCTCTCAATTGGAGTTTGGAAACCCTGGACATCCACATAATTAGGCAATCTATAACAATAGTATCCCAGATCCTTACCAATCAGCAAGGAGCGAATAAAACTTACCATCTCCCTAGCATCTAACACTGCCATCCTGGCCTTCTTTGCTACCTCCTTTGCTTGAGCCTCTGCCTCTTTGGCTTGAGCCTTTGCCTCCTTGGTTTGAACCTCTGCCTTCTTTACTTCCAATTTAGCTTTCTTCTCTGCAAGTCTAGCCTGCTGCCGGATTTGGGTCATCTCCGCTCTGGCTTTCCTCTCCTTACTCCAAGCTTGGTCTTTGGCCTCCCGCCTCGGATTTTTTTCCCTCTGCGTGTACACCATCACTCTTCGCTTCCTTTCATCCTCTGCTCCTGGTCCCGTTAATTTTTTCAAACTCTCCAACAGCTGCTCGATCTATACAATGTTGTCAGTGAAAGGTATGGATATGATCATATTATCAGAGCCCTTCCAATAATTTCGAGGTAATGCTTACCGTCATGTTTCTGCTGTACCTAACATTCGAGTGCCTCGCTTTCGTGACGCTATCTTGATCCTCTTCTCCGACGCCTGAAATGACTCGATCTTGTTCTTCGGATTCCGCCACGATTGTATTTTCTTTTCCGATTTTTGACATTGTGGTGGTGTTGGAGCTGTTAAGGTTGCGTTCAGTCTGGAGGAAACTGATTGTTGGAAAACGAAGAAGAAATTATTTGATCGTAAAGTCAACTATATGCAAGACTTCTCTGAAATTCACTATTATCCAACAAGGTAAATTTTGTGCAATATCCAATAAGGCATTGAATCCAATGGCGTGATCTAGATTGGGTCAATATAATATCATCGGACAATAGTCACTACCTAAATCATAGAGATTAGACCTGAGTCTTCGAAGTACAATGGTTTTGATCTGGCATCAATATCACTTGCAAAAAATTTTCCTTTTTTTTTTTTTTTTTTGAAAAAAGAAAAAGTATATACTAAATTTCAAGCCTTTGATAAATACCAGTACCATTAACATGTACCAAAACAGCATGATTATCTATTTTCTTTTTTTTTAAAAAAAGCCCCTACTTTTGGTAATTCGATCTTCAACTCTTGCACATGATCGGTGATATCCATAGACTTCTAAGGATAGTTTTTATTAGTTTGAGCTAATAAAGCATTGCTTGTGTAGTGACTAGAGGTTGAGTATTTCTTGCAGTGTGAAGATAACATTACACGAGTGTGTTCTAGATTGCATATCATACAATGGCGTATACTTGAAGTAGAATAATGAGAACTGTCTCAATGCCCCTCCATGTTCCATGTCATGCTGCTGCATATTATTGAAGGATATAGAAACCATTTCGACATTCATTCGAGATCTGAATAGCAAAAGAGTATCTTAGATATGAGGGAGAAACATTTATATAAGGGGTGCAAATAGATTCTGATGTATATTATCAAATCAAAGCAATTTCAATTTCAATGCTTTTGTTTTTGTTTTTTTTTTAGTTTGAGTCTTGAGCACACCAATTTTCTAGTTCTAACCTTATCTAACAACATAGTCTTACCTAATGATGCTTACCCCTTAAGTCCGTCGGAGAAACCAGGCACAAATCACACTAAGAACCACACTATATCCTAAATACGTTAGAGCCTACCATTCATCAGGCAGCCCAGGCTTAAACAAATTATTTCACACCCCGCAGAATTGGTCACCTCTAATCAGTGTCTTGAGCTTCTTTTTCAAACCGCAAGTCCTTTCACTTGCGCTCACCTTAAAAGCTCCATCAAGCAACGAAAGACTCCCCAGATGCTACATGACCAGCTTGAGGTCATTGTTGAATCTTGGGGACGTCAGTCGTGAATTCAAGAACAAGTAAAAAAAACTTGTTGCGACTGGGAGAATACCGCGAAAATGGCACTCGCAAACGGCGCGTCAAAAGTCATGCAGAATCGCTCAAGGCCTGCAGTTGCAATCCCAAGAGGCATCGCTCCTGCTCTGCCTCTCTCCTATGGTAAGCTACAACAAAAGAAACTAGCTAGCCGGGAAAAGACGAAGGAAATCGTTGCCCCATCCTCGACGGCTCCAGCAGTTCAAGTGTCCATCACTTCGGATTTTACCACAAATATAATTCCTACCCATGCCGATGAGCCTGTTGCTGAAGAAAAACTTTTCGAAGTAATCAAAGAGTCCCCCAAACGCATCCCCGCAGCAGTTGTCGATGCCTCATCTACGTCGGAATCATTGGATGGATTTACTTCTACGAAGGGCGAAACTACAATTGGTTCTGCTACTACTGAACGTGGTTCTGCTGAGCGCGAAGACGAGGAAAAGTTTGCCAACGTGATTGAGGTCAAAGGTGAGATAAGGAAATTCAATTTCAGCCTTGCGATACCCGTAAGCCCAAGAAGTTGTCCACATCGCTAATTATTTACCTCTTGCAGCAGTCGAAGAGGAACAGCACTCTGCCCCATCCGAAACTCAATCGACCACATCGAGATCAACATATCAATTGCCTCCACCATTTGTCCCTGCTAGCAATCAATCCACCATGTCCTCCGACTCTGCTCAATTCCCACAGCAGGTTGCGTTCAATGGTCAACATCCAATGCACCATGCGCACCCCAGCAGTTCAAACCCGGTATTTGGAGGATACCCCGATTCTAATAATTCATCACCAGCTCCACCTTCGAGCACTGGCAATATTCCACCTTATGCTTACGCGCAACAAAGTGGTTTGCGTCACGGTCCCCCTCCAACGAACGGCGGCCATCAACACCACATGTCAAACGGATTCTCACCAATGACCCCGGTATTTCCTCCAGGATATTATCACCACCAAGACGGCTTTCAGGCCGCTCCAGGTGATGATTTTCTTCGCAGACAAATACCACCATTTGGCCCGTCCGAAGGTTACTCGCCGACTGGCCCTCAAATCGCCGAGAGCCCTCGATTTAATGGCTTTGATCCAGCTACTGCGCACAACATTCACGGGTCTCGACCATCGGCACAGATTGATCAAGAGAATGGTCTAGGTCCTCATTACGGCCATCATCCATCTCCAATACCACCCATGGGACCACCACCTTATCGTGGAGTTCTCGGTTACCCACGTAAAGAAGAGATTCCTTGGGCAGGCGGCAATCGTCGAGATCTTTGGTTTCACCTTCGTGAACAGTTTGCACAACCAGAATTCTCCGACTGTGTTCTTGAGCTACGCTACTCTGATGACCGCGCTGCTCCTCTTCGAATCAGTGGTCACAGATTGATCTTTGCTCGCTGTTTCGTATTGAAAAGTCTCATCACATCTGGAGTACGAACAAACGCTGATTCACCCCTACCTATTCAGAATATCTTGATCGAGTCGGACGATCGTTACTTGCGTTCTGATGCCTTCTCGTTGGCGGTTCGATATCTTTATGGCGGACCTATATTGGACTTAGATGCAATGGCTCGCTTCCCAGCTCCGTACATTGGATCAGCTCCCGTGCCATCAACACCAGCTGACCGTTTCGACTTCACGCTTGGCTACATAGCAGCAGGGGTTATTCTTCAGATTCCTCAAGTTTGGAAGACTGGCTGCGCTATTGCGAGTCAACTAATCACTTGGGATACCGCTGAGAAAGCTCTTGAGTTCGCTCTTGAAGGGGGTATTGATTGGTCATGGAGCTCAGGCGCCCCAGATGTCAACGATGTAGTCGGCCGAAGCATTTATACGCCATGTGCTAATATGCTCATCTACAACATAATCAACTTGATCATACTCTCCTTCCCTCCCAATTTCGAACTGGATACAACTGTCTCGGACATTCATTTTAATGCTAGGATCCCGTATGTACCAGATCAACGACCAAATCCCACACCCTCACGCTTGAGCTCCATCAAATTTGGCGATCACCCTACTGAAGAGAGTCTTCGCTCCCCTTCTTCAGATCATATCACTGTTACTTTGTCAAGACTACTACTCAACTTGCCATTCGGCCCTTTGAAGCATGTATTGGAGACTGGAAATGGTGGTGTCATTCATGGCCACACAACTCATTTACTTCGACGAAAGGTCATGTATACTGTCATCGAGGAGCGTGAGAAGAGAAGACAAAAAGCATTCATTAGTAAAGTATCAGACGAGGAGCGAATTAAGAATGGACGTCAGTGGAATGCAGTTGGCTGGAAAGAGGTTGTTCTCCCGTTTGATGATCATCGCAATGAAGATGTCCCATGCTTGAGGAAGACTTGGGTGGGTTTCACACATACTGAAAGCAAGTAGCCTTGGTCTATTAACAGACTCGAAGAGTGGGCTTTTGTAATTGATTAATAAAGGTGCATTGGCGTTGAATTGGTTCACTGGAATGAGGGCAAATGATATATGTCTTTGCATAAAAAATGGGCGGATGGGACTGGTGGTCACTTCTTCTGGCCTACCTATTTTCTTGAGGGTTGAGACAATTACTTGCCTTAGTTGCTAGGTGAAGATGATCACTTTTACGAAAAAGTTTACGGTAGTAATGAGATATGTATGACACGGTTCATCAAACTACAAAGTAGTTTAATGAATAAAAAATGAAGTTTATACCTTTACAGCTTCTGACCTGATGTTCTTGTAAATCTTTGCAAGACTTAGTCTGTGAATGCCAATGGTTTTATGGTACTTTCGAGTACATGATTGAGAAATGTACAAGTATGTCCTAATGCAAGTGAAGATATGACGACTGGTAATGATACATCAAATTCCCGATCCAGAACTGGTTATAGAGTATATTGTGCTGAGTGTTGAGATGCCATTAAACGAGTTGGAACGAATTGAGTTGTTTAAACTGATAGATGGATCAATATGCCCCATATCACACTGGCTCGTTTTATTGTATTACCGCAAGATCGTGGAGACTCTGCGATAGACACAAGAGGTTGTATTCTCATGTTCTCACGGCGATGAGGATGGTAAAAGGTTCTTGTACGAAGGGAAGTGCAGATCAATAAAAGAGGGTCTCGCAGGGATTGAAGAGAAAAGTTTGCATCACGTGCTCACTAATTTGGAAAATTCGGTTGTGGGATTGTTTGCCCTAGGTCGCCAAAATTTCGAACCCAGCAAGTTCAATACTGCGACAATTCCGACATCTCGAATTTTAAGACGACGACCAACGACAACTTGATCGCAATCCCGACAAAATGGCGATCAAGCACAACCAGCAAATTGCCCACAACCGTATGTCTTCTCCGCAGATCAATTAGGATTACGAAGATGCTGATTATGGATAGATTTCCGAAAGGATTGGCAAAGACGAGTTAGAGTTCACTTCGACCAGGTAAACAACGCGCAGATGGGAATCAAATAAGCTCTGGAATCGAATCTAACAGTCTAAATAGCCTGGCCGAAAACTCAGACGTCGCAATGCTCGTCTTGCGAAGACAGCAGCTGTCGCTCCACGACCAATCGATTTGTTGAGACCAGTTGTTAGATGCCCAACCATCAAGTACAACAGACGTGTACGAGCTGGTCGTGGTTTCACCCTCGCTGAATTGAAGGTGAGAGAAATAGGAAATCTTTGATTTTCATGAGTATAGTTTTCTGATGTCATAAATAGGAGGCTCAAATTCCCCGCAAGCTCGCCCCTACGATCGGTATCTCCGTTGATGCTCGCCGCCAAAACCTCTCAGTCGAGTCCCTCAAGGCCAACGTCGACCGCCTCAAGTCCTTCCGTGCCCGCCTTATCCTTTTCCCACGCAAACTTGGTCAACCTAAGAAGGGTGATTCCACCAAGGAAGAGGTTGCATCCCTCAAGGAGACCAGCAGCCGTGTCAAGAACACCCTGCCAATTACCACCGTCGAGGGTGGATTCTCAGAGATCAGCAAGTCCGACATGCCAAAACCAGTTGAGGGAGGTGCATACAGAAAGTTGCGGGTTGCAAGAAGTGACGCTAGATTGGCCGGTAAGCGTGAAAAGAGAGCAAAGGAGGCAGCTGATGAGGCCGCTGCTGCTAAGAAATAAATGGCATGAAAGGTTCATGGGTCTGTTTTATATTCTTGCGGGGTGCGATGGATGGATGTGGGCTACAAGAGCGGTTCAAAAAAACTGCATAGGTGTACTCTCATGAATTCAAACGGCTATTGCACAAAACTAATGAATTTTCAATAAAATGTTTTGCATGTGAGGTGGTTATTTTGGTCGTGAAAGTATTTTACTTTGAATATTTAAGTGAACGAGTGAAGGGAAAGCATACAATATCATTCCAAATGCTACGTTGATGATTTTAGGTCAGCTATCCACCGAAACCATACTGTGACGGATTTTTCACTAGGAATTGGACATGCGACGTCACAGCACGAAAACAAAAGATTAAAGCCTTTCCATAGTCCTACATCTAGGACCAAGTCTTTAAACCGCTTTTCACATACCACATGCTCGTTTGATATATCCACCACAGACTAGATAGCCAGAACCTATCAAACTAGGTATATATATATATATATCTCCCCCTCTACCTAATCCAAATATCTCATATAAAAATCAACGTTCTACTCCCACTCTGCTTTGTTACTTTTCGTCTTGTCTTATCTTAAGCGTCCTTTACATCGTCTGATGGGATGGAGTAGTAATTTATAGATTTATAGATTTATAGATTTATAGTAGGCTTAATTTTGGATCTTTGGATCTTTTATTGGGTATTGGGAATTGGGAATTGGGAATTGGGAATTGGGAATTGGGAATTGGGAATTGGGAATTGGGAATTGGGAATTGGGGATTGGAGAGTTATTGTTTATAGTGGATGGGATGTTAGTAGATGGTATTTCTATGGTTTAGTTTGGTTTAATTTGGATGGGGTTAATGTGGTATTTAATGGGTAGGTTGGTATGTTGGAGTGATGTGATGTGCTGTGCTATCTATACTGGGTTGGAATTGTCGTGTATATGAGGATTAGCGTTTATTTCCATTATATTTCTATTTCTACTTGGTGGATTCGAGATGTATAATAAAGCACAAGAATATATAAGATGAGATTGTGATGTGCAATGTAGAGTTGATGTGGATATTCATAACGTCTGCTTTTAGTTAAAAGACAAGGAGGGTAGGTCCGCTAGGTAATATTCTTTATTTAGCTGACTAGATGTTGAGCTGTTTGTAGTGGTTAGGATATACTGGTGTGGAATGTCTTTCATTAATAATAATAGGTAGCTGATTTTTGGATTTTTGGTCTTCTGCTTGATGCCTGTGTTCATATATCTTTAACGTGAGTACCTAATTAGTAGATCGATAGATAAACACATACATAGTCTATACCTCGAAATCAAAATTTCCCCTAAAAGAATTTCCCATCGAGACGAATCTTGTCATACATTCATTTCCCGTTCTCCCATTCACATCTTCCATCTATATAGGTAGTTGTAAAGTAACCTTCCTTCCTCTCACCGGCTCACCATTACAAATTTTCAAAGGTTCAAAGATTCCTGTAATCTTAAAACGAGAATGATAATATCAATAACCACTTCGAATTAATCAATATACCTTGCATGCATGGGAGTAAGAGAAAGCCGTACTTGATATTTTGCTGTTGTGCGTGGAGAGGTGTTAGATTATTTACTGAAGTTTTGTTATAGAATTGAAATGTAGATTTTTGGGTTTGGGGATAGTAAGTTTTAATATCTGACGAGGAATTCTGGCGGCAGCTAAGTGTATGTATTTTAAATTTTTAATTAGAGGTGGTTTGGTAGAACAAGTTGAAGAAGAACGGGATTGGATGGGTTTGTTGGAGTGTGTGTATGCGTATGTAAAGTAGGATATATTCAAATAATCGTCAATTTCTGGTAAATATAGACAGAAGTGTTGAATCGATACGCACAAGCTGATGATGTTATGAGATGAGATCAGGAATGATGTATACTTTATATATACCTAGTACACATGTACGTCTAGAATGCTATAGCTGTAGTCTACTTACCAATAGCAATGGAGAGTGAAGAAAACAAACAGACGACACCTATTCACGAATGAAAGACTTCTCATATGAGCAAGTAATGAGAATAGAGGAGTGAACGAATTTCTATCTAAAGAAACATAACCGTGAGTAAAGGGCGGCTCTTACGAAACATGAAGAACATTATCCCGCTGGCCCTCTGCGCCGGTACTGAGCTTGTCGGCGCGTTAGAGGTTCACATTTTAAAATAGCGATAATGTCCTCGGTGGAGCAGGTCATTATAGGAGAAGGAGATGTTGAGATGAGAGTATACGAAAGAAAAGAATCCCCATGGACATGAAGATTGAGATACTATCACCTAATTTCAACAATTTATTTTTCATAACATCTTCCATGAACTCCCACAATGCATTCGGAATTTTACCCTCTTGCTTGATTTCGCGGTTTCATGAACGATGATAGGGCTAAGAATGATGTTTATGTACTATTCCCTAGTTCAAAAAGGTTCTATAGTCTTAATCGATCATTTAAGCTTGTACAAATATCAAAGATCATTCGTATTTTTGAAGATATATCCTATAATAATCAAGTCTAACTTGAATATTGATACAGCAAACTTTGCCATAACATAATCTTCGAAAATCCTAGAATGAATGCACTGGGCTCGCATCAACATGTTCCGTATCCCAAGCAAGCCATCACAAGATATCCGATAAGGAAGTACTAGCCAGACAAGGCATTTGTAACCTTCCACTACAAAGCCCATAATAAAATTGGCAAAACCTGGTATTAAGATGGTACCATGCTATGACCCACGCTATGCATACTAAATCAGCACTCATGAATAACCCAAACTCCATTTTCGAACCATTTTCACCATTCCCATCTCCAACCCCATCTCAAGCCGGTCTCCTCCTAGCAAACTCCTCCAAATCCGTCCTGGTCGCCACCCCCAAAACAAACCTCCTCCTCTCATCCGTCACAACCGCAAACTCCTGTTTCCCGTGTTCCCCATTCTCGCCCCCATTAAAAAATAGTTCCAACTCCTCTAACGGCGTATCCATAGTAATAACCTTATAAGCCTTTCCCTTCCTCTTAAATTTCACCATTGCTTTCGCTACCTCGTCTGTTTCTTTTACTTTGCCCGTCTCGAGTAAGATGCGCAAATGCGGGATCGAGAGATATCCTAGTAGTGCTCGGGTATCTGGGGTTATGACGGTGAGATGCGTGTAATCGCGTTCGAAGGCGCTCATTAGAGCGTAGGAGATGGGGTCAGTAGGGTTACAGGAGAGTGCGGAGGGAGGATCGAGATCTTCGACTGTGGCCTGGAGGGGGTTTGTGTTAATTTACATGTACATGTTTATGTGGATGGGTTTGACTGGTGATGTCAGGAATAGTGTACTTACGCCTCTATAACGATTTGCCAATTTCGAGAGCGCCGGTTTGAGTGATGAGGACATATCTGCGGAAGCTGGGGTTGTAGTGGTTGCTTGATTGGGTATAATATTCGACATTTTGTTATAAGTGTTGTTAATGAGGTATGTTCGCAACAAAGTATTTTATGGTGGGGAGGGAATTGGTGGGGTAGATCGTGATTAGGCGGGTGTGGAATTTACGCGGGAGGGAGAGTAAATCTTTAGATCGTGTCCCTGAGTATTCCCATTGTTTTGAGACATTCTAGAAGCTTTTCCCCTGAGAAGAGGTTTGAGAAAAGCATCAGTCAGTTTAAGAGATTGACATCACAGAATTGAGAGGGGATAATGATGCAAAAGATGCAAAGTCCCTGGCTATGGCTATGGCTACGGCTACTCATAAGAGGAAAAGCTCTCCGACCTTGCAGCACTCTACAAAGCAATTGAGGATCTCTTTATGCTAGAGAATAATGTAAAGATTCATATCATCATACAGAAGTTTTTGTATTATATTATCCATAACTCAACAGACAGTCTCGTATTTAAGTGAATATTCCATTCTCGCCCGAAGAATTGAACAGTGCCAACCTCGCACGAGAATAAAAGGATATCATCTAGAACTTGAGCCGTATACAGATAATTATCATTGGCCATTAAGAATATTACTTCACGTCAAATTGCGTCAATGGTGTCTCATCCATAATCCGATTTATCCATTCAACCCAACATTCCTGAATTTATTTAACATCGCATTGTATCGCATCGCATCGCATCACATTGTATTTCTTTTCTTCCTCATCAGCAAACCACATACGTCCTCCTCTCAATCAATTCTCAAAATGCCTTCAATTTTCCCTTCTCAAAACACTCTTCACGATGTATTCCACCATCCCCATCCCTACGGTCGCCGATCCGAACTAGCAATTCAATCACCTACCACTCCCGTATCCAAGCGCACCCCACTTCAAGCTCGTTCAGAGCTCTATACAGCTTGGTCCGTCGTTGACGATGCGAAGAATAAAGCCAATGCATTGAGTGCAGAAGCTGCAAAGGAGTTTGAGAAAGCTAGTGCGAGTGCCCAGGCTAAAACTGGTAAAATTGAGTTGTATTCGCCAAAGTTTTATGCTGCTTGTACTTTTGGTGGATTACTTGCTTGCGTGAGTGACTTTTCATTTATCTTATGATATTAGGGGTTTTGAATTGCAGATACACTGTCTATCTGTTTTATTTCCATTATGAGGTCTATTCCAAGGTAAGATACTTTGGATTGTACCCAGGAACTGGAGCTACGATTGACTTTCGCTTGTGGGATATACACCATTGAGCGAAGGATATTGGCCTGCTTTTCAATCCGTTTCAGTCCTTCACACATATATCTAGTTTCCTACCATTGGAAATTATTTTGCATGTTTGTACTACCTGTTGAAAGGACGATTAGCCAACTCTTCAGGACCGGGCAATTGCCCAGATACCGCCGGGGTTGAGTGTCGGACTTGTGATCGATTGTCTAACACTTCCGTCGAAGGCTCGATAGATTGGCATCACAAAATCCTACTTCCCTCTCATTACTTATGTCATATATAGACTTAAATATGCAAAACCCTCCTAACCTAAATTCCACAGGGTCTCACCCACACATCAGTCACCCCTCTTGATCTAGTAAAATGCCGTCGTCAAGTCGACTCCAAAATGTACACAGGCAACTTCCAAGCCTGGGGTAAAATCTTCCGCGCCGAAGGATTCCGTGGCATCATGACCGGATGGGGTCCCACATTCTTTGGATACTCCGCCCAAGGAGCATTCAAATACGGTGGATACGAATTCTTCAAGAAATTCTACGCTGATCTCGCCGGTCCTGAAAATGCATACAAGTACAAAACATGGCTTTATCTATCCGCCAGTGCATCTGCAGAATTCATTGCCGATGTGGCACTTTGTCCTTTCGAAGCTGTGAAGGTTCGAATGCAAACTACGATCCCCCCTTTCGCGAAGGGTACTGCAGGATGGTCTTTCTCAGATTATATCAAAAGAGGATATGCTGGATTGTACAGGGCTTGTATCACTCTGGGTCGTCAATTCCATATACCATGATGAATCGCATCGTCCGAGACGATTGTAGAAATGATTTATGATCGTCTTCCAGTCAAAAATCAGATTATGGTAAAGCTGCTCAGACTGTGTTTCGTTCACGGGTGGTTATTTGGCTGGTATTCTCTGCGCTATCGTTCACATCCTGCCGATGTTATGGTAAGCTTCTCATCCCTTTATCCTCCCCACCCAACTCCTAACTCAATCTCACAGGTATCCAAATTAAACGCAAGCCGACTTCCCGGTGAAGCATTCGGTGCGGCTACCGGACGTATCTATAAAGATATTGGATTCCGTGGACTCTGGAACGGTCTTCCGGTTCGTATCGTTATGATTGGTACTTTGACTGGTTTGCAATGGATGATTTATGTAAGTTTCTCTTTCCGAATTCTTTGGTAGATGGATGGTATTAATCGTGGCGATTATAGGATTACTTTAAGATTTTCATGGGATTGCCAACGACGGGTGGAGCTGCACCTGTACAAGTTGTGCAGAAACGAAATATTGAATAGGTATGGTATGGTAATAGTGTAGATGATTGAGATCTTTTTGGAGGATTTGAGCTGGTTGGAGGTTGAGGTTGGAGGATAGGATTCGAATAAATGGGTCTCCGCTCAGTATCCGTAATGCAACGGACAAACATGTCTCATAAATTTGCTTGTGATATCCTAACGTAATGTGTATGCGTGGGCCATTTGTACTGTGTATTGTAAGACTTATCATTCACATCTGATATCTCTTTTTACTTAGTTAAAATATTATATAAACTGCAAGTGAACAATAAATACATATCAAGACCTCAGATATCAGCATTCATCCAAGATTTTAAATATTAAATATTGTATATTAAATCCTTCTATCCTACCTACCTACAGAATAGATAACTAACATCAACTACTCACAAAACCATCCTAAAAAATAGTAATAAATATAGGGGAAAAAACGCGATCACATCTCCAGGATAAGCCCTCCCCTCTTCCATCCCTCATTTCCTTATCTCCCCTCCTTATCTCCCCTCCTTTATCTACTATCTCTCCACAAACCTAACAATCAAAAAACCAAATAACAAATACAAAAACAATAACATAACATAAACACTTCCGACATGCAACAAAAGATTCCTTAAATTATTAATTTTTTATTAATTTGCCTCGTAATTGGTCTATTGGGTTTGATTCTTTGCCTAATGCGGATTAGACGGATTGGAGGGATTGGAGGGATCTAACTCCTGAATAGGCGACTTTGTATTGTATGTAATGTAGTGTGGTGTGGTGTGGTGATGTGGGATAGGAGGAGAGGGGATGGGATGGGGTGCTTATCTTTGGTTTGTTTGTGGAGGAAGGAGTTGGGAGTTGATAATATGTATGTATGGCTTATCTTGTTTGGTATTTGTTGGAGATAAGGATGGGATGGATAGGGATGGGATAGGGTCTTTTGTATTCAGTATGGAGTGTAAGTGTGTGCTCCATAAATGTTTGTAGGGATATTGAGATGGTTCCTGCACGTATGTGGTTATGGTTATGGTTATGAAGTAACGACCTAGTAACTTGCTCTGTGCTTTACTCGATTTTGTCTGTGCTGCAGTTGAAAAGTTAAAAGGGTTAATTACATCATAAGTTGTCTGATCTAGATCCATGGTTGTGAAATTCGGATGAACTGCAGATAGGTACCTATTGATGATGAAAGGAAGAAAGTGAACCAAGGAAAAGGAAACGGGACGGGAGAAGACTTATTAGGTCTAAATAGGAGCCTAAAGAAAGCACGTGTAGATAATAGCCCAATTCAAATCTTGTTGAAAGTTTCTCACTAGAGTCATTTTCTCTCACTATCTCTTCTAAATTCTTCTCGCAAAATATTGTTGCAGTTGTTACTAGATTCCAAGGTAAGTACCAGTCTAACATCAAGTCAAGTCAAGTCAAATTCCATCTATCTCGTTAAAGGAAATGTGCTTTCATGAAGTCATTAAGATGCTTGAATGAATGGTATGACCGATTGCGGCGTGTGAAGTGGGCTGAGAAAGACCAAGGATTCCTTTACGCATTATATACTACGCGCGTTCCCATTTCTTTGATCGCATAGTAAAAAGTACCTACTTACATTTTTCGCGCAGACTTTACATCTACAAGAGTCTAATCGCAAGAATAATTTGAGAAATCATCATAATGGCCGAACCTGAAGTTAGTCACGGTCGCGGAGGTATGTTCTGTTTGCAGTCGCAGTCAAACCATTTTAGTAAGGAGAATTCTAACGTCATAACAGGCGCTGGAAATATTGGAGCTGATTCCACTCCGTATGCATTTACTTCCTCCTATCGCAACTCCTATGCATTTATGATCCAGTATGAGGCGAATGTTTTCGACAAATAAACTAACAGGCGCAATAGATATGTAGATGGTGAAATTGTTCGCCAAGGACCAGCGGGAGATCATGGTGATGGAGCATTTAGCGTCGGTCGCGGAGGAGCCGCAAACATCGGTTCACCTGGTCTCCCGGCTACTAAACGTAGCGATGCGGATAGCATTCCAGAAGCTGCATTAAGACCCAGTACTGATGGTGAAAATGTGCACTTTGGGCGAGGTGGTGAGGGTAATGTGGTTAATACGACGAAGCCGGGTGTAGAACATCCAATTGGATTGGCTGATAAGTTGAAGAATAAGTTGTTCAAGAAGAAAGCTCAATCTACCGCTAAATGAGTGGTTGAGAAGGAGGATTTTGTTTTGAGAGCTGTAGAGAGGTTTTTGGATTCTTTGGTTTGGCTTCACTGGGGAGGGTTCGAGAACTTTGGTTGATTATATTTGAGGGCTTGATTGTTAATTTTCGATATTGGGGAGGGGAGTTTTCATATCCTCCTGGAAGGATAAAATGATACCCGATTATGACTTGTGTATTGGATTGAGGTCGTTCGACTTGCTATTTACGAGAGAGAAGTTGTGCAAATAATATTCTTTTACTATAAGTTTCTAGTTTGGCTTGCATCTACTAATAAGTGAAATATAATAAGTCAATTATCTGCCGTGTGTAAATAAGTGGCTCTTGTAACGATACTGTACTAAAGGCAGCGGCTGCCTAAGGTTCGTCGGTTGGTAGTTATAGGGAAGGCTTTATCACTGGTATTCACTTGAAAGTGAATTCGTTACTAGATCAAATAGAATGTAGGTAAACTAATTGATAACTAAGTTGAGCACGAAGCTCCTAAACTATGAAACTACTCTGACTATATAATGAACGAAGAAGGGAGCCCCCAGGAGCTTTGAGGGCTCCTAGGGCTCCTTATCACGTGATTTCTGATGGTGCGTGCATACACGATCTTCAGGTGACCAAGATCATATACTAATTCGATGAAATCTGATCGTGTTTGCACAAGGCCTAAGCTCTCCTAATTAATCAGTTTGCTACCATCGTAACACCATCAATCCTAATGGTGAATCGTGACAGCTCTCCTGACAATAAACATATACTATTGGTGGAATAGGAAGCACTTGATATTTGGAAATTAGATATCAATTTAATAAGAAAAGTGTTTGAGGATTATATACTATATTTTGCATGCAATCTGCATTAATTTGTGGACTGACCAATCAAAAGAAAACATTGAATTAAGATATTTTGCTCTATTTACATCACTTGTGAATTGACCAATGAAAGCATAGAATTAAGACAAATTAACAAATGAGGTTTATGACTGACCAATTAAGTGAACTTATGACTGTTGGTTGGCTCGAGCTTTTCACAGTGGCTGTCGAGCCAACATCTAAAGATTATCAATTGTTTTGGTTGAAGTTCTTCACCAACCAAAACATTTGTTGTTATAACAATTGAGAATCGACAATTGTTAACTCTAATCCCGAATACATTTACCATTAACTATATTTTACCGAAGGGGCTCACTTTTTATAATCTTCATTCATTCTAAACTACTAGGTACTTCTTGAACTGTTTGACATCCTCTACAACTACATTCAAAATCTACAAGGCCTTCTCAATCAAATCTTTGGATTAACTACAAACATATCCTACAAACTTTCACCTTAAATAAATCCAATATCTTACCAACCTACTTCTATCCAATCCCTTTATCGCAGACGAATTTCATCAACATTCGAGTTTTCAAACAGCCATTTTGCAATTCGAAATTTATATCTGCGCGCGCATATTTCTTAGCATACTCGACATTTCTTGAATCATCGGCCCATTGCGCCTCTACCCCGCTGTTCAGCATGGCTCCGAAACATGGCCTGAATGGTTCAAATACGTCTTTGACCAAACGCGCAAGGGCAGAACCTTCAGAACCTACATCTATGAGCCCTCCTGCATATGTGCACGATTCAATATCCTTCGAGATCAAAATCCCGGTTATGAATACGAGTAAAAAAGCAAAGGAGTCAAAACAAAATGCGGAATGGAGATCGCAGGCAGAGGAACATATATCACCATTTCAAGGATTTAATGCTTCTGAGAAAGAACTCAATTATCACTATACTGTTGTGCCCAATACAGAGTGGATGTCCATGAGGGAATACAAGAAGTTTATACGTAAGTTTTATCCAATCACTGACTACTGCAATTTTCTCTAATACCATGTCTAGTCCAAGGCGATACTTATAAAAACAACCAATTTGTCTACGTAAAGGGCAAGACAGAAGAAGGCACGGAACCGAGGGACTTTTGGACAGCAAGAATATTACAGGTTAGAGCTAAGGATCCGCAGCATGTTTATGCCTTGGTAAACACTATTGGCCCTCGATGAAGACTTTTGGCTGATTGGTTTCAGGTTGCCTGGATGTATTGGCCAGAAGAATTACCAGCAACAGCCAAAGCTGCGGGCGAGACATCGGTAAAGCCAGGACGGAGGAAATATCACGGCAACTTAGAACTCATTGCGAGTAATTATTTGGATGTTGTAGACGTATTGACTATTGCAGGAAAGATAGACCTGGTGCCGTTTTCTGAAAAGCTTGTTGACAACGCAGTGTCTGAACCAGCGCCTGGCATGTTTTACTGGCGTCAAACGTTTTGTAGAGCCACTCAAAGACTTTCGGTGAGTGTTATTTCTGTGTATCAAATAAGCCCAAACTAATTATTTTCCTCTAGGACTTGCCGGTCTATTGTCTTTGCAATGGCCACTACAACCCCGATGTTCGCGAGTATGAGCATATTTGCGACAATAAAGCTTGTCAAATTCTTTACCATCCGCAGTGTTTGGTAGAGGATGCTCTTGCCAAAAAATATTACGAGGAATACCCTCAAAATGGGACAGGACCAAGAGCGAATGGAACCAAGCCTAAAGACAAAAAGAAAAAGGGTGGAAAGTCGAAAGAGAAGATCTACTCAAAAACCTTCAATGGACAATTAGTACATGACCATGATGAGCAGACTCCACCAATGATTAAAATTACCGACATGAGATCGAATCCTCCTACGGAAATCCTGCAGCGAGTTACATGTCCAAAGTGCTCAACTCTTTTTGAATGAGAATTGTTTCTCAAATTTGTGGCGTTTCATGCTGGCATTGCAACTTTTTTTCTCCGATACATACTCTTACGATTAACGGACGCAAATTTTTGCCACTCGATCTAGAAAAATCCATTTATCACGCTATGGGAGCAGCTTCAACTCGAATCTTGAAGATCCATTACATAATCTAGCACATACATATGTGTTTTTCTATACTTGTACATACATCCCACCAACTTCCCATCACAAACTTCATTTTAGGGCATACTTCTGCGAGCTCATTTCATAAGGACAGCGCGATATTTCTGATTGGTTTCTGAACATATCATATTTTATATTAAGGAAAAAGCGAGCTGCGTGCTAGATGGATAAATTGGCGGTGTTTCTTGAAATGGTGGAGGGACGGCATGCTTCGGACTTCTAATACCCGGCTTGTTTTAGATTACGCCATTAAGGCGCATGATGTTTTTTTTTTGGTCTTTTTGTATGGCTTTTACTCGTTGGTTTGCACGAGCTTTATTTTGCTTTACTGCGCTTGAAGGCGGCGGGAAAGGGAGTGGGTATACACATATTTTTTATAAGGGGTTAAATTGGCAGGGATGGAAAAACGAGAGAAGAAACTGGACGTGAGCATAGTGATTAATTGGTAGTGCTGCACTGGAGTGGAGAAGTCTTATTATTGAATATGGAAACGGGGGACAGGGATAGGGATGGGAGAAAAGCATATGTTGAGATTTGCTGAGAGTACATAGGTGTGAGTCTGTTTGAGAATATGGAAGGAGAGAAGCTGTGAAGGATGGAAAACTATGAGAATGTGAATGAGAATGAGAATGAGAATAGGAAGTAATAAACAAACATATTTATATTACCCAACCTTTATTACTCCTAATGATTCTATAACTGGTAAGAAACTCAAGTATGTATAAGTCTTTATTATTCCTTGGATATTAAATCAGTAGTTTTCTTATAGTATTTGTTCTTTTATATATCATATATATATCAAATACATCCAACGTAGGAAAACACCCCAAGATTGAAATTGGAATTCAAATGTAATTTGATATAATATATCAATTCCTTTCTCGAATGGATGGATGGATGGATATATATATCAAGAAAATGAGTCAGTTTACTGTGGAAGTGATTGGAGGGAGAGTAAAGAGTAGAAATGAAGAAATGAAGGAATGGAGAAATGGAGAAAGTTTATGATGTAGATAGATTATGTAAGGTTTCTAGAAGATACAGATTGTGTTTTAACGTGGATGTGGATGTGGATGTGGATGTGGGTGTGGGTGTGAAGAAGGGAGGGTGTGTGGTGTTTGTATTGGAGGAAGGAAGAAAGATGAAGTATAACGTTGGAGTTTGGAGTTCTTGTGATTTGCTGTGGATGGTGTATGGATTTCATTCAATTGATTGAGTTTTTTTTTGGATAGGGTATCAGTAGGTGTTTTGAGGAGGTAGGATGAGGTTGGTTGGTTGGATGGATGTTCGGGGATATTTCTTTTCATTTTTGTGTCATGCAGCGGGGACATGCAGCGGGGGGAATTGAGAGATGTTGGACACACGGAGTAGCTTAGATAGAGATTGTTGATGAATGAGCAATTTTCAATATTGTATTTTTATGTCTATGGTGGTTAGTCTAGGGATTTTGAAGAGATCAATGATATGGTAGAGAGTAACAATAAGAATATGAGATGACCACTTGATCATAGCGCGATATCATATGAATGACAGCCAACTTTGCTACCATTATGCCCGACTCAAAGAACGAGGAGTCAAATAGGGTCTACCCTGGCTCTTCCCCGTCATGGAACCACTAGCAGCAGAGAATCAATTGACACATCAATCTGATTCAAGGAAGCTCGTATCTTGCAGACCTGAATGCCATAGACCTACTATGGTAGCATAATCTCCCCAAATTATCCGCGAAGTCGAGTGCATTCTCAACCGCAGCAGCGGCTCAAGCCCGTCTTCGCCCTTCCCCAACCCAAACCTGATCCCCATATCCCTCAATCCTCGAACAACAACCTATTCTTAATCCAAAAAAGTTAGTCCACATCCCAAAACTTTTGTTCCTTAAACCACCAAACCACATCACACCATTCCATAATGGAAAAGAAACTTCAGAACCCCACACTCAAAGCACCGTCAACGATCCCACACCGACCCCAAAAATCCGCTGCATATGACGATGCTACACGGATAATTGGCGTGAGTGTTTTTGTTAGGGATGTCAACCTCATACGGCTCTTCCTAAAGATAATTTTGAGGGTATTGATCTCATCATTGTAGTTTTTTTGTTTTGGTGGTGGTTGGTTGGTTGGTTGGGGATGGAAGGAGATGGAGAACTTACGATGGTTGGGAGGTAAATGATGTGTTGGTGAGAAGTGAGTTGAGATTTTCACTAGCTGGTTTGGTGTAGGAGATAGAATGCGAGGATTGAGCTGCTTGTTAGCGATGTATAAAGATATTGTAGTTGACGTTTAGAATTGTAACTCGACATATTGTCCGTAGGTAGAGACTATCGCGACCTGTCGGCCTTCAAGATTTCCCCTAACCATCACATTTCACCCATCTGACGACTATCGATTCAACATCCACATTTACTTTGTTCCCATTTTCACTTCTCAATTGAGTAAGTCTCAATCGACCGTATTGCTGGGCGAACAGAATGTGCTTCATCGTCCCTAAATTATGGTGATGATTGATGTGTGTGGTTCATCATTCCCGCAATCATAAGAAAAAAAAATTGTTTTAGCTCGCTCAAGCTTTCTGCGCTAGTTTCAGTGGTCTCTGATTACGTAATCACGCACACCCAACCAAAACCCTACGAGCAGTACTTCACGTGATGAAATGTTTTGTTGCATATCTGGAGAATGGGTGGAAAAGGTCCTATTTAGGTATTGTCTCTGCCTCCTACCTTAAACGTGACAACCACATGACCTCATTACCTACATCCTAGCATATCCTAAATTATTTTCCTCATCCCCGAGATAGCGATGCTTAAATCGAAAAGGTAATGCTTAATACCTAGGTCCATAGTAGATATGTAACGCCAGGGCGCAGATATATGATCTAGACTCAAAGCTCGTTTCAAAATTCATCTTTTTCGGTACTTCCCTTCTCTTCCCTTCCCTTCCCTCCCGCAACTAAAAATTGACAATATGATTGACATGGCATCTCGTCCAAACCGATGCTCATCCCATCCATCCTACTCTATCCTATCCCATCCTATCTTATACTTAACTTCTGTCTGGTTTCGTTTCATAGGTATCTACACAAGACATTGTTTCTTTTACTGACCTGGGCAGTCACTACTTACCTTATCTCATCCCATCTATTCCATACCGGTACTCCGTACTTATCCCATCATTCATATATATCACATCAATCAATCAATCATTCATCCACTCACACACAATGGACCACCCCCCTCCCCCTCTTTCCATTCCAATGATTCCACTCCACTCCCAACCCCCCGGAAATTTCAGTACCTCACCTCACCTCCCTCCCATCGCCATCGCCAAAATCACAGGAGACAAAAGTTATCACATCACATCACATCACATCATCTTGCTCAAACATTAAACATAAAACATCGAATATTAAACGTAAAACACCGAACACTGAACATCAAACATTACCTACGAAGATACTCAAGGATTACCTTACCGTCTGTATGGAATAAACAGTAAACATAAACCTCACCTCAAAATAAAATAAATCATGAGTCAGCAAATCACGAATCACAAATCAACCACCGTACTATTTATTAATTACAGGCTTTCGATATTTAACTTTTAGGTACCTACCTACCTACAGATCACCAGACCACTTATGGAGTATTTACAGCTCCATAAGTGCTTTCCTTCGCATTGCATGAAAAAAACCAAACTTAAGCTCCACAGCATACTCCATCCATACGGACATGCATACATACATGCATACTAGGAACTCCGCAGGTGCAGCCTGCAGGTAAGGGTGCAGTCCACAATAGCCGGAAACTTCGCATTTATTTGCTCGGAGTATACGGGAAGGAAGGTATGTATCTAATAGGTATTACTTTTAAAATCGCGCACTGTAGAATCGCAAGCATAGGAGGGAAAAATGACGAGATTTAGAATCTTTGGATAACTTGGTAAACATTGCTTTCTGTCTGTCTTTCTTTCTGTTTGTCTGCTTGTCTGTCTGTATGATCTTATCCTTTACTCAAGTAGATGCCTAGGTAATAGCAATTAAAATCCAGTCCAACCGACCGACCGATCCATTACATCGTTTCATATCCTCCACCTCCATCTCCATGAGACCTCATTTCCTCTCCCACCGAAATACACGAGTACTAATCCATCCAAGTACCGCCAGATCCAAATCCTAATCCAAATGAAAATCCAAATCCAAATCACGCAATGATATCCATTGATATCTTAAAGAGAGTATGGAGATGTAAAAATGACAATTAATGAAATAGGCACCAAAGAGAGAGTATGTGTAGGAGTCCGCCCTAAAAGAAAAAAACTCCGGGATATAGCCAATCCATGGATATCGACCGACCAAACAAACAAACAGACATCTTTCCCTCCCACCATACAAATGAAATTCCAGGCCGTAATAACTCCTCCACCGGGGTTTTCCATGACAGTTGAAAGAGACGTAAATGTAAAGATTATATGCAATAATCGTGAAAAGAGCGTAAAGAAAGGTTTCATCAAGTGACGAGTGGTAATAAAGTATGTACATTGAAAACAGTGTAAAGGGCAGGGAAAAGTTGTAGAATAATGAGAAACCGGTCTCGAATATTCTAGATCCATACCGGTCCTATGGTAGGGTTGACTTCGCCGAAAGCACTCATGAATAATCCTTGGATTTCGCTCATGTAGTCTTCGGCTCTGAATTTAAATAATCCTCTTGATATCAACTCTTGTTCTTCCTCATCGACAACGGCTAAGATTTCCTTGGTGATACCATATTCTTCAGCAATCTCGGTGACTTGAGCGAGTTCGTTGCCGAAAGGATGCGGCTCAGCAGCTGCCGCTTCTTCAACATTTGCCGAAAACATATGTATTGTCGATCTGGCTGTGGTAGCGCTTTTTGGTGACGACATTCTTGCGATAGAGTTTTTGCGCGAGATGATTTCGTGGTTCTTCTTAGTGTGTGAAGGGGCTCTTTGTGGGATGCCGGGTGCTTCATCACGAAATGCGATTTCAATCGACTTTTTGCCAAAGTTAAATGCCGAAAGATTATCTCCTGCTGGAGTTATTGGTGATCGAGATTCGATCGACAATGTGTCGGCCGAAGTTAAACTTGTCGAGCTAGTCATCCGTGAGGTATCTGAATCTTCTCCAGAATGAGTTGATGCGGTGCTGCTCGAAGCAATTCGTTTACTGGCATCTTTTGGGTAGAGATCTGGAGCATTGTATGACAACATATTGGTGGTAGAAAGAAGCTCAGTTGGTCCAGAAATTTGTGAGCGCTTAATAGTTCCATACGCAAACTTGGGAGCCATGGATCGTTGCGCAGTTGGTGAAGGAGGACCGACATCGAGCTGCTTCTTCGCCTTCCTCGTTGTAAATGCGCGTGCAAGAGACATTTTTGCTGATATGGAATCTGTTGTCCGGATAATAGGAATTAAGTACTTTTTTGCAAGTGATATGGTGGGGGTATTTGTTAGCCCCGGTAAGATACTCCGGATTTGATTTTCCGACGGGTAATCTTGAGTAGCGTGCAGGAGATCGATTGACCGAGATGGATACGTTGATCAGATGTATCCTGCAGATGAGCTTATGGTATATTTCTGGTTGGGCAAGAAATATTATTTGAAGCTCTAAAGTATAAAAGCTTTGAAAATGTGTGTCGCGCGATGATTATTTTTCTGTGGGAATGACCTGAGGTTTGAAGGAATTACTCAGTGACGCAAATCTAAGATCGAGGCGGGCCGATATTCAAAAAGTGACTCCTTGAGTTTACTTCTGATTTGTTGGATAGAAGTGAATATATGTACTGGAGAGTTGATTTGTCGCGATGTGTAATAACAATAAAATAGTGAATTGCTGCTCAACGCGTCTCTTTCTCAGTGTTCAAGAATGACTGTTTGGAAGTGGAAGGCTATTTTAATATCTCTGGGGCGTGTAAAAAGTTCGAAAGATTACTCAAAGGGAGGGATCGTGGGATATGTGGATATCCTGTTTGTCGATAATGAACGTGTCGAACAGCCTGTATCCAGCAATCAAGCAAACTTTGAAGGAATGTATAGTCCAACACTCTTTTCGTCACTGATATCTATCTTATCGATCCTGCGATGACTGAAATAATAAAGGGCTTTGGCGTTGTAAGATGTTGAGCAAAAGAAGAGAAGAGTAAAGGAAGGATTCGAAGGAGGTGGAAAGCCAAAGCCTACTTTGGTTAAACGGAGTTGTCAGAGGCAAAAAAAGGTAAAATGTAAAAATGGCGCCAAAAGGTGCTAATTCTTCCTTTTGATCTTTTGACCGAAGGCCAAAAGCAAAGACAAGCACTCCTCCAAGGTTATACTTAAGAGACGGGTTCGTTCACAAGGATTCTCTGCTCACTAGGATCATAACCAACATGCCGCTAAGGGGGAAGGGAAGTTAATAATTTTTTTGTATGCAGATGATTTAAACCGACTACAGCATAGTGAAAGAAAGCCCAAGCTTCCACAGGGCATAAATTAGTATTGATTGGACGATAATGGGAAAAGAAAGCACACAAAAAATGAAGAAAACATGATATACTATAATACTCCCGGTACGTACACTAGAGAATTATCCCCTACGAAAAAAAAAGTAATCATTCATCCAATTATATCAACTCAATCAAGTGAAGCGTGTTGGGCCGGAGTTATCGTTCTCCTCTCCTCATGATCAACAATTAACTCCCCCATCAGGTAAATAAGCCGATATCATTATCTGAGCGCTAATAAGTCATGAACAATTGTAAGCTTCATTCATTGTCAGCCCAGCACCTCAAAAGCTAACAATAGAGTTCGGTCCATCTCCTCTATTTCATGCATATACCAAACCCCATCACCGGACATTCATTCTACAATCACAGTCACAATCCAAAATCTACAAATGATGATAAATTCCGGTCTTCTAAACGCCCTGGTCGAGAAGGCGTAGCGCAGCCCGCGCAGCCCACGCAGCTCGCGTATGTATGTGGGTAGCTCAAGTGGACCAATCAGTATATCGACAGGGACACGTAATCTCTGATTTGACCATTTCAACCCATCTGATGTTTCACCGTTTCAGGTACATGATCCCTCGTGGAGAAAAAGGGTATGTTCGATTAATTGTCTGATTATCAGTCATTGGACATGTGTATGGATGAAGCATGAACATGGTGAACAAGGTAAGCATGGCCAATGCGAGAGCGGACGCGAAGAATGTGGATTGGATTGCCATGAACGTGCGTTTTATGTGTGCGAATCGCGAAAATGGGGATTTGTGAAAGGATTGGAAGCATGAAAATAGCTAGCGGTACCGGTTGAATGTGAATGAGAGTGAGAGTGAACTTCAATGAAAGTGGGACGTAGATGGGGTTAATGATTATACACAAGCCCTTGAATAACATATTATATTTATTACTCCTCTTACGCATTAAGAGATAAGATTAATTTTTCACTTCGCCGTCTATCAGTATCTCTCTAGCGGCACACTGCATTTATTTTGCATTTCCCAACTTGTCTACCTACCTATTTAATAAATGAGCCTATCTTCGAATTAACAAGCGACACACTACACACTGTACGTACCTAAGATTGTAACTTTAGAAGGAATGGGAAGAGGCAAAAAGGAAAAGGAAAAGGATCAATTATCTAGATCATCTGATACAATGACATACTCCGTAGACACATCGAATCCCCCATCTCATAATCCCGTAGCCTATTTCTAGCATACAAAAGCCTAGATGTACCAAAAAGCCTCGTCATCCATGTTACACTGCTGAGTGTAATTATAGCTATAGCTATAGTTTCCGCGTACGCAGGTAGGTATGTCATACTGTGCAGTAAGATAAGTAAAGCCTAACTAAGCCTGTATTCCGTGTTTCGCAAGCCCTAAATAATTAATCTGATGCCTAAGAACACCGCCAAATCTCTATTTCTATTTCTTTCCACTTACACTTCCATATCCATATCCATATCCATAACCATATCTATTCACTCATCCCCCCTACAACAAAGCTTTATATTCCATCATTCTAGCTAGGTAGCTCCGACAGTGCAACAACAAAACTAACATCAACTGACAGTTAAACGCCATTTTACATTACGCACCACACGTCGCGATTTGACACTGCGCAGTTCATCCCACATACCAAATCTTATTTCAATCGTCCATTCTAGATCTACATCCTAAACGGTTTCGAGGACTCTGACTCTGATTCTGACATTGATTCTGACACTGATTCTCCCCGGATCCGGCTTTTCCACCAAAACAAAAATCCCGTTACGTGAACATGTGCGCGGTTGCATCAGGCTGATCATCTTACTGTATTTTTCTTACTCTTTTGCTTATTCTTTTTTTTTTCCTCCTTCGGGACGGAGGTTTCGAGGTTTCGAGGTTACGGAATATGATATGATATGATATGCAATTCGTATCGTATGCTGTATTACAAACTACGTGTGCTTGTGCTGTACAAGCTATATCATTTCATCCATTCCATACAATTCATACAAATTCATCTACATAAAATCCGATATAATATTACATCTTCCGTTATGATATAGAAATCCATCGAAATGAGATGAGATGTAGCAGACCATGAAGAAATGCTTCATCTAAATTTGATTTCCCGGTTTTTGTTCGCTTCACATCGTTTATATCCATCCTTAGTCATTCCGGCGAGGTTTGATCTTCAAACAAAAATCTCCGTGTGAAACTTCGGATGGACTATGGGGAGGGATCTACATTTACCGTTTGAAATAGAATTGCGAGTGAAAAGATTGCCGGAATTAAATTATTCTGATTTGGTGTTTGGATTTCGCGTGGTCTTTACAGATAGACATGTGCTTATTTAATCATCCTCGTCCATAGACTCAACTTCACCTCCATCGCCTTCTTCAAGCTCTTCGTCATCATCTTCCGACTCGCTATCATTTTGTACTCCCACTAACCTTTCCTTTATTTCTCCTTCGATAGGGGCCACTCTATCCGCAAATGCGCGTCGCACACCGGGGTTGGTACTGCAGTCCCAAACTTGTACGAGTCCTTTACTGCCTGCTACAGCCAGTCTGAAACTAACCTCTTCGTCTGGTGCAAAGGTTGTTGAGAAAACCTTTCCAACATCCAAATCTCGTGATACTACCATTGTAGGTCCGGTGGGCTGTATGTTCCAGAGCTTAACTTGCTTATCTCCTGATCCGGTAGCCAAAAATCCAGGAATAGTAGGGTTTATATCGAAGGCAGAGACAGAATCGTCATGTGCTTGTAGCATCCATACTGGTTTAGTGGCAGTGGGGTTTGCTGGTGCTTTCCGGATATCGTGGAAGTGAATGACACCACTTTCAGTTGAGACATAGAAGTAATTTGGGTCGTGAGGGTCCCAGCGGACATTCTCAACGTCACTTTCTACTCCCCATCTGGGTGCTTTCGCATCTGGGGCTCTCATATCTGCAGCTACCACCGTTCTATCATAACTACCACTCAGCAGAACAGTGGATTCCTTTGGATGCCAGGCTAACGAGCATACTTTGTCTGTATGATGTGTGTACGACTTCGCGCATGTGGTAGTGTGTAAATCCCAAAGCTTAACTGTCTTATCTGCCGATGAAGAGGCTAGTAGGTTTCGGTGATGTCTATTGGCAGCTAATGAGAGAACTGCATCCACGTGAAATTTGTCATTGGCCTTTTTCGACTTCTTGTTCTTCTTCTTCTTCTTAGCTCCTTCATCTCCACCTTTGTTTTGTCCACCTTGCCCTAGAATAGCATTAGGATACATGCAATCGACTGTATCTAAATCCCAAATCTCAATATCCGGATCGAAAGTTCCAACGGCGACGAAATTCGCCCTCGAGTCCTTATCAACACTGGGTTTTCCGACAGGCAAGTCGAGCCATTCCAGACATAATGGTATTGCCGGTAACATTATATCGTGATGTACGTAGAGGTTATCAGCTTCATCTTCGTAAACATACACCTCAAGATGTGCAACCTCATCCTCTATCTTTGCCGCCAGTAGCATATTGTCTGTTGCCAATATTTGAAGTTCTTCCCTGTCCTCGTCTTCATCCTCAGCATTCCCTGCCATCGTAATATATGGATCCTCTTCATTCGATTCGTGGTATGCAAGAGACTTTACATTTCCAAACATACCCATGCCCTCACCACCTTCCTTGTCCTCTTCAACATCATCATCGTAATGATCCAAGTCGTATTCTTTTAAATCATCATCTTCCTCACTACGTTCAAAGTCAGCGAAATCCAGTATATTGAGAGGACCAAACGAACGCTTTTGACTTCACCCCTTTTGAAACGGCTTCATCATCTGAGCCTTCATCATCTACCATAGCATCTGGATCTGCGCCATTTTCTGCTGTGTTTTGCGCTTCCTCCAAATCCTCGTTCGCATCATCCAATTGCAACTTCGCGAGATCAGCAATCCGCTGAAATTCTTCCTCGTCAAAGTTGTATTTTGTTGGAAAAGGAGCTGCGAAGCCACGAGGGACCCAAGCTGTTGCTGTGATCATAGACATAGTGATTTAATATTACACCACAAATTGTACACAAATGGACTGGAGCGGGGATATAAAAAATAAATTGTTCCATTGATCAACTTTTTTTTATCTTAGCGTTATCTTGACTGTGATAATGCGGCCGCTCGATGCCGCTAGCGCCATCTACTATCTTCTCGGCCTTTAGCTTCAAGCTCTAAAACACGACAAGCCATGAATTAATTATCTTTTAAAATTCCCGAGGCAATTTTATTTGAGATCCTGATGACTTTGGGATTCCAAGTCGACAATAAACTATTATAGTTATTATACTCTTCTCTCTCGTCCAAATTAGCTGCGGGCATCAGAGACGTGCAGCAAAACTTTGGAGAAAGGTGTTGATTCAGTCCCGCTCAAAATAAACAAATAAATATCAACACCTCGACACAAAATGGGTCGCGAAGATGGAGAAGCTAGTCCCAAGCGGCGCCGGTTGGACTTTAATCCTTTAAAATCTGATGATCGTTTCACAGTACCTGGTCGACCTTCTCCTTCCCGCGGCAGTAGCAGACCTCCCTCGAAATTTCAAAGCCGATCAAGCAATGGCTCGGCGATGCCACGATACACTCCTTCGGCCCGGTCTGTCCCTAAGCAGAATGAATTTGATGGTCCAGAGCCACTTGTCGATGAGGAGGATTCGAAAGCTCTAGATAGAGATTGGTATGCGGGTGATGAGATGGGACACACCTTTGGAGATGATTCGCATAACCCATTCGGCTCCTATGACAATTCGTGGGCAGAACAGCAACGAGAAGCAGCTTTGGTCGAAAAGAAAACAGGAAAGCGCCAAAGCGCCCGCGCTCACCAAAAACAAAAAGATGTTGATGCATGGGAGACAAATCGGATGCTTACCTCTGGTGTTGCACAGCGAAGAGACTTTGGCGATGACTTTGAGGATGACGAAGAGGCTACTAGAGTGCATCTACTCGTACATGATCTGAAACCTCCGTTCTTAGATGGAAGAACGGTCTTCTCAAAACAATTGGAGCCTGTGCCTGCGGTGCGCGATTTTCAGAGCGATATGGCAGTATTTAGCAGGAAGGGAAGTAAAGTGGTAAAGGAGAGGCGACAGCAGAAAGAAAGACAAAAGCAGGCTCAAGAAGCAACTAATATGGCTGGTACGGCCCTTGGGAATCTTATGGGGATAAAAGAAGAAGAAGGCGATAGCGCGGCCCCAATGTTGGGCGAGGAAGAACCCCAAGGAAGTAGTAAATTTGCGCAACATATGAAGAAGAACGACGGCGCTAGCAACTTTAGTCAGAGCAAGTCTTTAAGAGAACAGAGGGAATATCTTCCCGCATTTGCCGTGCGAGAAGATCTTCTCAGGGTCATACGAGATAACCAGGTCGTAATCTGTGTTGGTGAGACTGGATCCGGTAAAACTACCCAACTCACTCAATTTCTCTACGAAGAGGGCTATGGAAATACGGGTCTGATAGGATGCACGCAACCCCGAAGAGTGGCGGCCATGTCCGTAGCGAAGCGTGTTAGTGAGGAGATGGAATGCAAATTAGGAGGCACTGTCGGTTATGCTATTCGATTTGAGGACTGTACGAGCAAGGAAACAGTGATAAAGTATATGACAGATGGTGTCTTGCTAAGAGAATCACTAAACGAGCCAGATTTGGATCGTTATTCCTGCGTTATCATGGATGAAGCTCACGAGCGGGCGCTCAATACAGATGTCCTTATGGGCTTATTCAAAAAGGTTCTTGCACGTCGTAGAGATCTCAAGCTGATAGTGACATCCGCAACGATGAACTCTAAAAGATTTTCAGATTTCTATGGCGGAGCTCCCGAATTTTTCATTCCCGGACGTACTTTCCCAGTCGATATTATGTATCACCGCTCACCCGTGGAAGACTATGTGGATCAGGCAGTTCAGCAAGTATTAGCTATTCATGTATCCCAGGGTGCAGGTGATATATTAGTGTTTATGACGGGACAAGAAGATATTGAATGTACTTGTGAGCTTATCCAGGAACGTCTCAATGCTCTCAACGATCCACCGAAGCTTAGCATTCTACCCATTTACAGTCAAATGCCTGCAGATTTGCAAGCCAAAATCTTCGACAGAGCTGCACCTGGTGTTAGAAAGGTCATCGTAGCGACAAACATCGCTGAAACTAGTTTGACTGTTGATGGTATTATGTATGTTGTGGATGCTGGATATTCGAAGTTAAAGGTATACAACCCGCGTATGGGAATGGATACTTTGCAAATTACGCCGATTTCACAAGCAAATGCATCTCAGCGTGCTGGTCGTGCGGGTCGTACCGGTCCAGGAAAAGCTTTTCATCTCTTTACTGAAGCTGCTTTCAAGGATGAACTTTATATTCAAACCATTCCCGAGATCCAACGTACAAACCTCAGCAATACTGTTCTATTGTTGAAGTCATTGGGAGTGAAAGACTTACTTGATTTTGATTTCATGGACCCTCCACCTCAGGATACTATCACAACCTCTTTATTCGACCTCTGGGCGCTCGGGGCACTTGACAACATTGGGGAACTGACGGATATAGGAAGGAAAATGACGGCCTTCCCTATGGACCCTTCCCTAGCCAAATTACTAATCACTTCTGAAGAATACGGCTGTAGCGAGGAAATGCTCACCATAGTTTCCATGCTCTCCGTCCCCAGTGTCTTTTATCGTCCAAAAGAACGTCAAGATGAATCAGACGCCGCACGCGAAAAGTTCTTTGTCCCCGAATCAGATCATCTGACTTATCTGCACGTCTATTCGCAATGGAAATCCAATGGGTATTCGGATGCTTGGTGTACACGTCATTTCCTCCATCCAAAATCCCTTCGTCGAGCAAAGGAGATTAGGGAACAGTTGTTAGATATCATGAAAATGCAGCGCATGAACATGGTCTCTTGCGGCACCGACTGGGACGTTATACGGAAATGCATATGTTCGGGTTACTACCACCAAGCAGCAAAAGTCAAAGGAATAGGAGAATATGTTAATTTACGCACTTCAGTCACAGTACAGTTACATCCTACATCGGCTCTTTATGGACTTGGATATCTACCTGATTATGTTGTTTATCACGAGTTAATTCTCACATCAAAAGAGTACATGTCGACTGTCACATCTGTGGATCCACATTGGTTGGCGGAATTAGGCGGTGTGTTCTTTAGTGTGAAAGAGAAGGGATATAGTGCGAAGGAGAAAAGGGTTACCGAAGTCGAATTCAATAGAAAGATGGAGATCGAGGCCAAGATGGCTGAAGATAAATTGAGAGAGGAAAAGCGAATAGAGGCAGAGAACAATAAGCTGGCGAGGAAACCGATGGCCATCACCGATGGAAGCGGTCCGGTAGTCAAAAAAGTCGCTGCAAAGGGTGCTGTGAGGAGGCCTGTGGCGAGAAGACCGGGAAGGGGGTTTTGAGGTAGCAAACAGGGCGTGTTTCATATAAATAGGCATATCTGGATATATACATCCTTAGAATAATTGAATGTATCAGCCCCTTGAGCATAATGATATCACACATAAAATTTGCGATGGGCATTTTCTTCCTCTCGTTTGGTTTTCTTCAGAAAGGAGAAGGCAGGATACGCGCGACTTCCTAGGATGCAACGCACTAGTGTGGAGAAATAACCACCCCACATCAAAATTAAACTCAACTGAAATATCGCTTTGCTACATCTTTGATCTGATCATAAACTTATTGGGATACCACTTTTAATGAGCATCCAGAATAAAGCAACGCACATGCATGCTGCTTAATACTCAAGTCAAATTTTAACATCCTGCTCTTTCTTCTCTGTGTCCCTTTGCAAAATTGGCATTAGATATCAACATAGGTATCTTATGGTATCGATGGTAAAACTTGGAATATTGAGAAGTAGTATTTTATATACGCTCTAAAGTTTCAAGCCACCTGGGTCTATTTTCTTATTTTCATTCTCTTGTACATCAGTTTGCCTGCCTCTGCACATAAGTTCGCATAGAGATGAACTTTTCCTGGAAGCTTTCCTCCTTATAGCATCAATGTGGTGCCTAAATATTTATGGTGCAAAACTTATTTTCAACACAAGTCGCTCCATTGAGACGCCTTCAAAGGTCAGCCTTCATTTAACGATATGTCTACCGAAACTTCAACTGTCCCAAGCTGCTCACAGTCTCACGTTATTAAATCTGCCATCTACTCCTCTGGGTGCAAAAACTCATTTGACTCTATTCTTTCCACCAACCGTTTCTATCTCCGCATCAAAGGTTACTTCTCCGGGCCTCATCCCCGATCAAGCAGTCAAAAGTGGAAATAATAGGGGAAGTACATGCGTCCATAAATATGTGCCGGAGAGGATCTAGAACCTGATTGTATATGCAAATATGATTGACAAGGCATATACTGTGTCTTGTATGCTGTGCAAACAAATCTTGATGATCATACAAGGTTCTCCAGCTTCCAATTTAGATCAAGTAAGTGTCGGCAATGGAGTCGGTCTTGGTATACTAGGGCTTGTGTAATAGGCTAAATTACTAACGTATCATTTTCGATTTTTTAAAATAAGTTTTTACCACGAGACTTCCTTTTTCATTTCAAGCATATGCAATTTATGATTGATATGATCAAATCAATTCTAATTCATATCAAAGTTTTGATATCTTATTGATACTAGTGAATCGGGAAAGTAGTCTTTCCATTCCGGAAATATGTAAGATCAATACACGAGTCACGACTCACATTGAGTCTTTGCCAAGTTGGAAGCCCTTCAGTCTTCGGATATTTGCAGAAATTTGACCGGATGATTGATTTTATATGGCAGCTCCTGTATCACGACATAATCCTTATCTGAAGTTGCCTCATACATTAAGGCGTGGTTCATCAGCATTAGTAACCATGTCTGACCCTTTTACCTTCTTGTAGGTACCGTGCCGCATCACACCTACCCCATGCATCTTACGCATCCTTTGCATATTGATAAACCTCAAACTCAACTGCTAATTTTGTTCCCGTAAATTTTGCTTGCATTCGTAATTGTTCGTCATTGGCAAGTCAGAACATTCTCCGTTATCCCGTCTGAGGCTGTGAAAGGTATGTGTCCGACTGGGATCCCTCTTGGAAGTATTATATCAGCTAATCGTTGCACGGGTGTCAGACGACGCCAACCTTCGGATTTCTCTTTGGTGAATTCAGCCCATGTGGCATCTTTATTAATTATGATTTAATAAATAATTCAATATATTCACTGTGTTCGCTGTATTCTTTGCTACGGCTGGGTCAACTCTCTCCGGTTTTACGTACCCGCAGGGCACGCTTAAATTTACACCACCTGCCCAAGTTCCATCTCGTTCCTCCACTTTATACTTCCATGATACAACAAATTCATAGATATCAAATATGTCGAAATTCTTCAGTTCCGTGCTTCTCATTTCCATCGTACTCTTCGTCGCCCACGCGGCTCCAGCAAGCGCCGCAGCAGGAGGCTTCTTAAGCCAAAGTCGCTGCGATGAATCTACCTTTCAATTTTACGACGTAATCGAACTAGGTCCTGCTCCTGAATACAAAATTACCGTTACACCCAATCTCTCAGGTCTCTGTCCCGGCTCGTCCGGCCAAATGACGAATTCCACCTTGAATTTGAATACATGCCTCGCAAACAATGATGCTCATCTCCTCGTACGTCTCTTCCTCCCTTTGAATTCGAACTCCCTAGACTGACATGAATGAACTAGTGGCAGAAGAAGTACACAAACTCTCCACTCCCCTCATTTCTTCTAACATATCTGCGTAGTGGCATGTTCCAAAGCTCCTGCGGCTGCACACTCCAAATGCCAAATCTCTGCTGCGGCTGCAGTAAATCAAACGGCGAGACAGTTGACAGCGGAATCTGCATCGATCTCAGTATGTTTCTTCCTTATAGCATTAGAATTTCCCTAACATGTGCACCAGATCAAGGAGTCGCAGCAGCAGCTGGAAAGTTGAATTGCAATACTCTTCCTAGCAACGGTTAAGCGTATGCAGATTATTTAGCGGAGAAAAGCTTCACGAGGTTCTTGCATAGCATTTGGGCTCATTGATTGAGTTTTGGAACTGGCGGGTTTGGGATTTCTTGGTTTCTCGGGGGTTTGGCGTGGGACTTGACTTTGACTGCGGGTTGGGAAATCTAGACAGACATAGCACGGCATAGTACAGTACACGTATTGAGATTACATTTTTGCGGAAATTATGAGGTTTCTTTTAGTACACGCTTTGGTAGTTGCTATTTGAATTTTCGTAATTTCTTATTTTATTTACTTCTTTCATTTGCGATACTTCTTGATGATGAAGGGGATGCAATGTGAGTTCTGTGGTTCATGATGTAATTCTATTGTGCTTTGAATCTTTGGTCTGATAATTGGTGTCTTACATCTGAAATGTGGATGGTTAGGCTACGCTCGTTCATATGTAATGTATAAGTTCACTTCCTCGGCTTGTTTCTTATTTGGTAAGATATATATGTACCTAGGTATAGAGAGAGGGGTATTCATTAATGCCGGGGATTGGCAATGAATTGGGTCCAGGTTGTGGGAGGGGTTATTACTATGTATTATTTATTGTATTTGGGGGGAAGAGTGATTGTAGTGATGTATAGTTCATATCTACTAGATATAGTTTATTATTGTAAATTATTTTAGGTAGGTGTATATATCTTTTATTTGTTCTAGCGCTAGAATACAAAGTTGGATTGTCGATCGTGGGGCTAGGTGTTAGCCACAATTTTGGATTTATATGTGTCACTATCTAGGTAATTTATATTCTTAGAGAGTTGTTAGTATGTTGGTAGTGTAGTGGGGAGATGAGCTTAGTTGTGATGTTAGGGATGTGATGGGTGCTAGGGATGTCATGGGTAATATCAAGATTGAATTGTGAGGGGTGAAGTTGTAGATAGCATGCTGGTATTGAAATGCATTCATCTTAAGATTACAATTCTGTTCTGGGACGTGATGGGTTCAAAGTCTCAAAAGACGGCAGCAAGCTTAGGTCAAAGGAACGGGGTGAAATCAAGGAAAAGCTATAGACGACCATGGTGATACGTAATTTGTAAGCATACACCCAGATACCCCGCGCATGTAATTCTATAAGCTCTTAGTTTTTCCAATGACTTATCGGACCCCTAGAATCATCTATTTCTACCGTCTATAGTCATTCTTAATTTTATAATCCTTATTCGGTCCCTCCACACTATATTCCTGTTTCCACTCTTCCACATTCACCCCCTTAAATCTAAACTCATATTCCACATCATACGTATCGGCAATACAAAGATGACTCGACTTAGCCCTCCATCCCACCTTCTTTTTCCCCTGCTCATCACCAGCCTCAGGAACCAAAATCTCCATCTCATGAAACAAATAATCTACTCCTAGATTATCATCAGTTTTTCACAAACCACAAACTAAAGCGTATCAGTATCCTCTCTATATCGATACACATATCCTCCTACTAGCTCTAAACGTCATTCCGGTAATCCGTCCACCGAAATCTCCGTTCTTCCGATATACAAATATTCGGAATCGAAGGAGGGAGCGGTAGGGAAACGGGGGAGGAATTTTGCGGTTCCCGTGAAAGTGCCTGAGGGAAAAGTGGAGAGAGAACTTTTGAGGGACCGCGAGAGCTTCCATGTTCCTTGGAGGGAACGGAATATGGCTTTGGAGACGAAGGCGCCGCGAGATGATGAATCGAATGTGGAGTTGACGATGGAGAGGGCAAGCGCGGCTTGTTCTTTTTGAGCATCGCTTGCTTGAGAATAGAGATAGCGGGATGGGAGGACAATCCCCGTGCGTGCTTCTGGATCGTTAGTAGGTTCTTGCCGTTGAATTCCTACAGCTGTAGCGAATGATTCCATTAAGTACACATAATCACCCATTGGAAACTGGGCAATGCGTGGATCGGTGCGCAGTTGAAGAAGTTTGTTGAGAGTATCGTCTGTTTCTAGGGTTTTTTGTGCTTGTGCGTCACCGGACCAGAGTTTCCCAAGGAATCGAGCTTGCATTTCCATTACGCCCCAATAGGGACTTCGGTAGAAACCGACGAAGCCGAGGGACGGGATCTTTGCGCTGATTGTAGAATGTACATTTAGAGCTAATGGGAATTCACTACTTGATTCGTCGAATGAGAGATGTTGGAGAATTTCTTTCGGTAAAAAATTGAGAGATGGTGACGCGTCAAAACCAATTGCCAAGATTACTGCGGCAACATCGTCAATGATTTGTTGTGCTCCATCATCCTCAATAATAATGGCATTTGGTAGGTTGGGATCTGCACTCGTTACTGTTCCTCGGATGGTCTTGATGTCTCCAGATCTGACAAACTCTACATAATTTTCGCTAGCTGTAAGTCGTGGTGGCTCAGAGCGAACGTCTCCTGCTATTGCTAGATGATCTGTACCGATTCCACTTTGATCAGTTCCAAGATAGTTGGTCATGAAATTGTTCGTCATTTTGGCTACTTCTGGCGATATGTGGCCGGACGAGTTTTTGAGAGGTCCGGCAGGCTTCCGTCCAATATTGTAAGTGACCAGATCGAGGGGTAAGAATGTTGGTGCTGGGTTTGGTATCTGTCAGAGGCCTTAGCACAAAATTCTAGTCCGTAAGTATCTATCAGGTACCTTTTCCTCGGAAGATGCACTATCAATCGTAGGATTATTTGGTAATGTGAGAGTCATCACCCAAAATGGTTGCTGAACCACATTGTATATCTTGTACTCATTTGCGTTTGGAATCGGACGTTCCGTTGAATTCACGGAGGAGGATACTTGCAAAGCGACTGCTGCTGCGGTTTCGATACCAGACATTTGACCCCCGACAATGACAATATTCTTGCCTTTGGGTGAAGAGAGTTTTCCATTGTCGGTCAACAAACTGTTGACATCACGAAGCTTTGAGCTGTGCCAGACTGGGGCTGGAAAGCCTGTAAGAATTTCAGGTATTTTAGGTTTTCCGAAAAACCCGGTAGCCACTATAACATGGTCAAATTCATAAACTTGTGGTGATTCAGTGAATTCGGCGGATTCGTAACGTTGAACATGCACATTCCATTTCTCCGTCGTGGCCGGATTAGTTTGCCAACCAGATGGTGGCTCGACCTTGCAAACTTTGACACCAGTCTTAATCGAGTATCCAGGGTACATTTTGACATAGTCCTCAAGATATATCCCAACCTGCCATGCTTTTGGACAAGCGAGGGATGAAGCAGGCCATGCCAAATCACTAAAACTGACGGTATGACGGCTTTGGTTCGTACACATATCTGGATTCACTAAACCATCGTCATCATGGGAGACGGGCCATAGTCCACCTATTCTATGCGACTGCTCAAAGACAGTTACGTCAAAAGTGCCTTTTGGATGATCGTGAGTGAGTGTTTTGGCTGCTATGAGTCCCGAGGGACCGCCGCCTAATCATTGCTGGTTAGCTATGTTAGTCTCAAAAGAGAAGAGTTCACCCACCAATCACACAAACAGTTTTCGTTCGTGTTGCCATCTTAAAAAGTGTATAGCTTGCCCGCATAGAAAGTTGAGAAACTCCAGGTTATCAAACTCGGTATTTCACGACTCAGAGATGACTCAACCGAGGAATGTGTCACCGGCTTGGTAATATTTTCGATCACGTATGCGTAGTCCCATGCATCATATCACTCTCCTTGTAACCACAACCGTTAGTACTTTTCGCTGCACATCCGATACCAACATAAATTCTGACATGCATGGAGATCACGTTTTTGCGATTTTGCGTACTATCACATGATGTGGGGTAGACTCGGACCCATCTCAAGATGTCCCCAAGACAGTCTAGCTTTAAAACCTGACTACCTCTTCGAGCTTGCCCAGATCTTTCCGCTTTTCAAACAAGGAGGTAAGCTAGGTCGTAGGCTGGCTGTCATTGCTTTGAGCTTCCCAACATTTTACAACCTACGATTCTCCGAAAGTGGTGTACGTACCGCACTTTGAATTAATCCATGGTGTTGATCGATTCGAGTCAGTCATTCTGTCACAACACTTCCGGCAGACTCGATGTCTAAGAAATCTTCTATGGAAGTTGTAGTGTGGGGGTTGCAATACTTAGTACTAGAGGGGCGCTTAGAGAGGGGTAGTTATTAACCTTACTTGGAGATCGTGATTTATCATTGTATCCAAGAAAACAGGAGGTATTTTTGGCTTAGTGATGAGGCTAATTTAGCTAGTAGCAGCTTTGGAGATGTCTATCTTGCAACAAACCTTCCTGTAGTATGGAGATGGTTGAAATTGTGATTCCAAATCTTGAGCGAATGCGAGTGCCAACATCGGGTGATGAACTATCTATCGGGATTATTTGCAACGAGAAACTGTTGTGCTTGTTTGTGTTGACTGTGTTGACTGGTACTCGACAACATCTTTGTCAATAGTATGAGTTGTAGGAGAATCTGTACCTTGCAAAAGGTCATCAAAACAAACGATTGGAACTGTGCGTCACAGGTCGCATATAACGTTTGGGCCAACTCTTCTATTGGCCCCATTTCCCCGGATTCTGTGGGTTATGGGGGTTGGCAGGTCTTGAAGCTCTTAAGAAGTTGATATGAAGTGTCATAGCGCATTTTAATTGGAATTAGGCTCAGAACTTACTAGCTACTGTTAGTTATAACATCTACTGATGCTGCTATATAGTCCTCCAACCCCGCCCTGCTGTTTTCTTTACGTCAATTGACACCACGCATAACACTACTTCGACCTTCCGAATCATGGCTTCAAACAATCTGCCTAGGACCTCTAGTAATGCCGACGAAGAGAAGGAAGTCGTAGGGTTTCATGAACATGCTCCGTCTCCTGATTTACCTCTAGACCCAGATGCGGATTTGAGCGACGCGGAAAAGGCTGATATTGTAGGTCGATGAACATCCTGATAAAACTCCAATGGTATCCTGATGATTTGTGTAGGAGCGCAAGCTGGTGCGGAAGCTTGATTGGACTTTAATACCATGGGTAAGCAAATCCCTTGCTTTGCCACTGCTTTTCCTGTCTAATTTTGAAAGCTTTGTGTTCTTTACCTACTCGCTTTCCTTGATCGTACGAACATTGGAAATGCAAAGATTGGCGGTTTACAGAAAGACCTGAACAACATGTCGACTGGGATGTATAACGCCGTACTATCCATCTTCTTCGTCTCATATGCACTCTTTGAACCTATTACGAACGTGATGCTTAAGAGATTTCGCCCATCCATATTCGTACCAATCATTATGTGAGTCTCCAACGAGTAATTAGGAACCTTTGAATAGCAAAGCCCGCGTGGCATGGCCAAGTCACTAACATTGTCATAGAATTTCCTGGGGCTTGTGCATGACGTTCATGGGCCTTGTCGAGAATTGGTCTGGCCTAATGGCCGCCCGGTTCTTCCTTGGTGCCGCGGAGGCGGGGTTATTTCCAGGAATCAGTTATTACTTATCCTGTTGGTACAAGCGATCGGAGTTTGGTGTTCGAATTGCAATTTTCTTTTCCGCTGCTGCTGTATCTGGTAGTTTTGGTGGACTTCTCGCCGCGGCTATCGTGAAGATGGACGGTATTGGTGGATTTCATGGATGGGCTTGGATTTTTATCCTGGAAGGAATCATTACTGTTCTGGCCGGAGTCGCTTCGTTCTGGCTGGTTCATGATTTCCCTGAAAGCGCCAGCTTCCTTTCTGAAGTCGAACGAAACAGGGTCATCCGTCGCTTGCGAGTCAATCAACAAGCCGCAGGGCATGAAGCCTTCAGCTCAAAATTTATTTGGCAAGCATTCAAGGATTACAAAATGTGGATCGCTATGATATTATATGCGGGATGTTGCATGCCGCTATATGCGTTTTCTCTATTTCTTCCTACCATTATCACTCAACTTGGCTACACAACAACCAGAGCCCAGCTCCTCTCCGTTCCACCATATGTGGCTGCCGCTATCTTGACGGTTGCGATTGGATTTATCGCTGATCGTACATGCCAACGAGGCTTCTGTAATATCATCGTGTCTTTTCTTGGTATTGCCGGTTTCTCCATGCTCCTAGGTAGCGAAGAACCGGGTATTAAATATGCCGGAACTTTTCTCGGAGCTCTTGGTATCTATCCTTGCATAGCTAACAGTATCTCATGGGTCTCCAATAATATTGAAGGCTCCTACAAGCGAGGTGTTGTCTTGGGAATGATGATTGGCTGGGGTAATTTGTGTGGTATTATCAGTTCGAACATCTATTTTGACAAACCCAGATTTATTTACGGCCACTCTATTGTTATTGCTTTCATGGTTCTTTTCTTGCTGGGTGGAAGTGTCTTGATGCGTCTCTTATTGGAAAGAGAAAATAACAAGAGAATCAGGGGTGAGAGAGATGTGTGGGTTCAGGGGCTCAATGAGAGCGAGAAGACGGCTCTGGGAGACAAGAGACCAGATTTCTTGTATACTTTGTAAATTTATGGGAATGCGCTTCGGGAATGAGGGTCTAAGGCTCGGAACATAAAAGATGTGGATGTCGCTTGACCGGTGATATTGGAGACGAGGTTGGTACTTTATGCAATGCTGGACATACATGGGTGAATACATAAGTCTGTAAATGATGGTTTCGTCTTACAGCACGTTCGCTCTGCTTGTCCGAATTTGAATTGGAGGGGGAAAATTCATGTATAGCATGCCCTCGAGCCACTGGCAGTAGGCATACACAGTAGACATACATAGTAGATATACATCTCCACCTGTATCATTGCACTTAATGAGAATAGTCTAATATCACAACACAATATTCACACATTTGGCCTGTAAAACCATTGGCTTGAGTCATGTTCACCTTGAACACATCGCTACCCGGGGCCTTTACTTGTTTACTTGCCCTATCCCGGCGCTCTTGGTTTTAAGTTTCGATGTTGTAATTCGGGTAGGGAAGATCCTACATTGACATGTTGCGGCAGACTGGACGAGACCAGGCTGTGATTTCAGAATATTCTGACCGGACCACCGTGCAGGTTTATAAGAAGGAGCATTAGCTCAATGATTGGTGCTTTCGTACCAATTGCAGTAGATTTTGAGGATGATTTTGTTTGGTCACCAAAACTTCGGCGACGACGCCAGGATTGATTATGTAATCCACTTTACGCCTGCCGCGTCGTCGCGTCTCCCCTACCCAAGCAACATTTCAATTGCAAATCCAAACCAATTCCCCATCGCAACAAAAAGCTGTTAAGGATTCTGCCGTGATGGGTAAACCAAAATCCACTCCAGTTAAGACCCAAAAATCAATATCTAGTTTCTTTACTCCAAAATCGAGTCAAAAACCTCAAAATTCAAGCCCGCCACCTGCTTCCAATGCCCCAGAAAATCTCTATGATGCCCAAAGCGACCAGGAAACAAATGAAACAGCGGAGATCACTGGAAATAGTTCGAAGCGGACATTGGAGGAAGACGCAAATGGAGGAAATACCGGAGCTACAGAAAGACCATCCAAACGTGCAAAAAATGTTGATGTTGAGGAAGAAGATGGCGAAGGCTCTAGTCTGCCAGCTGCTAATGCTCGAAAGGCGCCGTCTAGCTCAATGCTAGGCAAGTCCAAACCATCTACACGAACGAATAAATATATGTTCTCGGGATTGAGTCAATCAGTAGCTGCGGAACCTACAATTGAGGAGGAACTCGAAGAGGAATCGGAGAAAGCACGGAAGGCCGACTTACACAGGAAGTTTGTCAAAAAATTGGGGCATCCAGATAGCATTAAACGGAGTATACCTGAAGATGATGCAGCCTTAGAGGGCGATGAAGATATGGAGGATGAGGAAGAAGCGCCTGCGCCTGTGAAGACTAAGAAGAAGGGGGCAAAGACGGGGAAGTTGACTCCAATGGAGTTACAAGTTCTCGACATTAAGCGCAAACATATGGATACATTGCTCATTGTAGAAGTCGGTTATAAGTTTAAATTCTTTGGCGAAGATGCAAGAACAGCAGCAAAAGTGCTCAGCATTGTGTGTATACCGGGCAAATTTCGATTCGATGAGCGTAAGTTGTCCGTTCTTGAAACTACCTGATGATGTTTCTGACGCAACCTAGATCCTTCAGAGGCGCATCTCAATTACTTTGCATCTGCGAGTATCCCCGTTCATCGACTCCCCATACACGCAAAGAGGCTCGTGGCAGCGGGTCACAAAATCGGTATAGTTCGACAAACTGAAACAGCTGCGTTGAAGAAGGCTGGAGACAACCGGAATACTCCTTTCGTTAGAAAACTTACAAATGTTTATACTAAAGGCACATACATTGATGATATTGAAGGATTAGATTCGACCGATGCACCATCTGGTGGTGCCCCTGCAACGGGCTACCTCCTCTGCATAACGGAAACAAAAGCTAAAGGATGGGGAACGGACGAAAAAGTTGAAGTTGGCATATTGGCTGTTCAACCGGCGACAGGAGATTTCATATACGACAATTTTGAGGATGGCTTCATGCGGAGTGAAATCGAGACACGATTACTACATATTGCCCCTTGCGAATTTTTAATAGTTGGGGAACTTACAAAAGCCACCGAAAAGCTTGTACAACATCTTTCAGGTAGCACTACCAATGTTTTTGGCGATAGAATCAGGGTTGAGCGGGTGGAAAAACCAAAAACTATGGCTGCCGAGTCGTATTCTCGTGTGGCCCAGTTCTATGCGGACAAATTGAAGGCTCATCAGAGCAGCAACAATGCGCGAGAACAGGAGCTTTTAGAGAAAGTTTTGAGACTTACTGAGCCGGTCACCATTTGCCTGTCTGCTATGATTACCCATATGACCGAGTATGGATTGGAACATGTGTTTGATCTCACCAAATACTTCCAGTCGTTCAGTGCTCGATCTCACATGTTACTAAACGGAAACACTCTCACAAGCTTGGAGATTTATACCAATCAGACAGATCATACCGAGAAAGGGAGTCTCTTTTGGACTCTGGATAAGACTCAAACGAGATTCGGACAGAGGTTACTGCGAAAGTGGGTTGGTAGGCCTCTTCTCGATAAACAGCGCTTGGAAGAGAGAGTCGCTGCAGTGGAGGAATTGAAAGACAACGTCAACACTCCAAAAGTAGACAAATTAAACGCCACTCTCCGGGAAGTTAGATCAGATCTAGAGAGGAGTTTACTCCGCATATACTATGGCAAATGCACTCGACCAGAGCTTCTCACGGTTCTTCAGACAATGCAAAGAATAGCTAACGAATTTGCACATGTCAAAATACCCTCCGATGCGGGATTCGACTCGGTCCTTCTCAATGAAGCTGTAGCATCCCTTCCCGAAATCGGTGGAGTTGTGATATCCTTCCTTGAAAAGATCAACGCACAAGCCGCTCGAAAAGACGACAAATACGCCTTCTTCCTTGAAGAGTACGAAACCGAAGAAATAGGTGAGCATAAATGCGGCATTGGAGCCGTGGAGCAAGACCTGGAGGCCCACCGCAAGGAGGCCGCCTCCAAATTATCCAAGAAAACTCCCGTCACATATGTCACCATAGCTGGAATCGAATACCTCATAGAAGTCCCCAACAGCGATCTCAAAAAAGTACCCGCTTCCTGGGCTAAGATATCCGGCACCAAAAGTAATTCCCGTTTCCACACACCCGAAGTCATCAAATTCCTCCGCGAACGTGATCAGCACAAAGAATCGCTCTCCTCAGCCTGCGACACCGCATTCCTCGCCTTCCTCGCCGAAATCTCCACCCACTACGCCCTCATCCGTGATACCATATCCCAGCTCGCTACACTTGACTGTCTCCTCTCGCTCGCAGCCGTGGCTTCCCTCCCCGGCTACTGCAAACCCACCTTCACCTCCACAACCGAAATCTCCGTCGTCGGTGGCCGTCACCCCATGGTCGAACAACTCCTCCCCTCAACCTATATTCCCAACGACACATCGCTCTCCACCGACCCCGACAACACCCGCGCCCTTTTAATCACCGGTCCAAATATGGGCGGCAAATCCTCTTACGTGCGCCAAGTAGCTTTAATATCCATCCTCGCGCAAATCGGCTCTCACGTACCTGCTGAATCCGCCCGCTTAGGTTTATTAGATGGTATATATACACGTATGGGCGCATATGATTCATTATTTACCGCACAGTCAACATTTATGGTAGAGCTTTCCGAAACGGCATCGATACTCAAATCGGCAAGTCCAAGATCTCTAGTTATATTGGATGAGCTGGGACGAGGAACTAGTACGCATGACGGGGTAGCAATAGCAGAAGCAGTGTTGGACTGGGTAGTTAGGGAAACGAAGTGCTTGTGTTTATTTATTACACATTATCAGACATTGGCTAGCGTGGCAAGAGGATTCGAGAAAGGAAAGGAGTTGAGGAATGTGCATATGAGGTTTACTGCTGAGAGGAATGGAAAGCAAGTTTCTAATGCCAATGCGGATAAGGATGGCGAAGATGTTAATGAGGAAATCACGTTTTTGTATGAAGTCGGAGAAGGCGTTGCACATAGATCCTATGGTTTGAATGTGGCACGGTTGGCACGAGTCCCAAAGGCAGTACTCGATACTGCTGCGTCTAAATCACGGGAGCTCGAGGCCGAAGTGAAACAGAAAAAGCTATTGGGACTTTCTAAGATGATTTCTAATGTACTAGAGAATGATGTCGACCAGCTAGAGCAGCTTATAATTGGTATGGAGCAGCTGTAAAACAAATATATGATACCAGGTCAAAAGATTATATAGCAATGCAGAACCAGCATACCCACGCAATTCTCAGCTCTTTAACGCCCCATTTCCAGTTAAAATAATTGTAGAATGTAAGAAAGAGCAGGAAGAACAGACTTCCTCGTAATATGCCTTTGATGATAAAAGTTTGACCACAACTACGGCCTGCTATAACAAATCTTATTCGAAAGTCGAAACGCCTCAAGCGGTAATATATAGGAACGTGTTGTTTGAAGTGTTGTAAAAAGTGAGAGATCCCAAACTCACATACCAAAATGTGGCATGTTGACATTCGCACTATGGGTAATGGAACCTGAAAGATGTAAATGATTGCTAGGTAGACGCGAGTCGTGGCTGACCGAGTTGAAGTTGCCATGAAAACCTTGAACAAAACCATTCATTGGCTTGTGCTCCTGGCTAATTTGGGAGAGATCAGAATGGTCACCCCCAAATGAGAAAGATCGCGGGTGGTGGCTGTAAAGCGGGTTATACATTGATGCATTCTCAAAAAACATCTGAGCTGGGAAGCCATGGTGAGGGGTTGAGACGGTTCGACGGCCCTGGACGTCGGATTGACCATTGTCCTTGGAGAACATACGCATCGCAGTAGGTTTAACAACCGGTGTGGGAGAAACATGGTCGTCGATGTTCGTATTAGTGAAGCTATTCGAGGCGCCATCCGAAAAGTCGAACCTGTGATCTTCCAATGGACTCTCTGTGCGACCTGGGCTAATCTCAGGAGCATCTTGAAAAACGCTAAAAGAACGCTTCTTAGCTCCCATCTCTTCCATGGTCATTCTGAACTCTTCATCTTCCTCATTACTCGGAGTGAATCGGGCGCCAAATGCCAACGGGTTGAGAGTTGGCGTTGGCTGTAAGGCAAGTTGACCAGCAGGCTGACGCATTCTAGCGGGTATTTGTCGCTTCTCTGGGCTCCTAACCGAGTCCCTTGGCGGTCGACCAGCTCTTAAACGGGGGACATTGACACTGACATCTGTCAAGGCCGCTTTGCGAGTTCTGCGTTTCTTTGGGGTAGGGTCTCGAATCTAAGCGTTCTAAAGTTGGTATGCAATATTTTAAAATGAGAGAGCTTGACGACGATAAGAAAACTTACAGGGCTAGTCTCTGTCGAAAGAGGACCAAAAATATTTCTGGAAGTCCGGAATGCTCCATCTGGGTGGTAGGAGATTTCAGTGGGTTGGACCTCTGCAGAAGCGGCCATCATCAATTCAAGGATTGAGCCATCCTTTCTCTGGTTTCTCATTCGTTTCATTTCAGCTGTGGCAGAATCGAAGAGATCCATGCCAGGCCAGAACACACCCTTTAACTTCGCACTGTCTGAAAGTTTCTCGAGAATTTCGGCATCTGCGCCTTCCTCCTTCAATGGCGTGATAAGACTATACGGAGCATGGTTAGCATGATACGTTTCTCAAATATGATAAATTTGGTGCTTACTTGGTAGAAACTGATGCCGTTTCTACTGCCGAAGGTGTCTTCTGAAGCGTATAACCTGGGATCTGACGTCTAGAAGTGGGCGTTGCATATACAGCACTGTGATCCCACTCGCTTCCCATATCAGAGTTAGATGTAGACGTATTGTTACTCATATTGGTGTTTGTTGTAGTTGGCCAAAGATGCATTCTTGGAACAGGAGCTCGAAACATGGGTGCCAAATTGGCCTCATTGTCATGAATATTTTCGTTTTCTTTCTTGACCTTTGCTGGCCCAGGCTATTTTCTCATAGTCAGCACACTCGTATATGTTCCATTTAAAAGTGTAGATTACCATTGTTTTGCTATTCCTGACCTTCCTGTCCTTGGCAGCTTTCTTTTGATCTTTTGAAGCGAGTCTTTCGGACAATAATCGTTCTAGATCATAATTGTCATACCAATCCTCAAAATTGTCCAGTTGAACCTTCGCTGTCAATTCCGACGCAGCTCTGATTTTAAGCTTAAAATAATTGGATAAATGGGCTTTGGAAGAAGTATGGGTAAGAAGATGAGATACATCGGAGAATTGAGGATTCTTTGGGCAAATACTGCAATGCAGTGGAATATTGGTGTGGTTCTTCGACATTTCGGCTGCAGCTATCCATTCAAAGCAGTTAGCAATTGTGCAAGTGCAAAAGAGTTGAATGTACATGAATAATGGCAGGCTGGCGAACAAAACGAACAGAAAGCCTCTGCGAACGTCTAACTTCCGTAGGTGTTCAATTGCTCAAATGGCAAATATCAAGCGAAAGAAGAAGCATTGTTTTCTGCCGTGCGTCCAAAAGTACAATACTTTTACATTTCAAGAGGTAACAATCGAAGATTATGCGTAGTGTGTTATGCAGAAAGATTGAGAGGCATCAAAACTTACAGATTGTTCTAAATAAATGCTCCAGCTCTTAATTGTCGATGGGAATGAGCAAAGGTAGCAAGTCGTCGATTACTTCTCCAAATTTGTGTGAAGAAGATGGTTTCCTCAAAATAGGACAGTCGAGAAAGAGAGGACTTGCATATGGTGAAGAGTGATGTGTGACGGAAGAAAAGGTGACAGCGATCGAGCATCAACTGTATGATGGAGTGGAAATGCGGAAGGAGCGTTGATGGACAATGGAGCTCCGGCAATTTCAGAAGAGGCAGTCGCGTCAGAGAGGTCTTGCCAAACCAAGCAGATATAGCTTTTACAGTAGAATAGAAAAGAATGTAGTATGCGAGCCTCAAATTATGTGTACTTGTATGGATATCTTATGACAGATATCCTTGATCCGGAGCAGAGTGGTTCATGAATATAGATATGAGATGAAGGCCAACAATGAAAGTGTTCATATAGCGAAAATCCCGATTTCTGCTATGGAAGATTGAATCTACTTATTATTACTGTTGCGCCGAAAGTGTAGAAGTTAAAATAAGTATATAATAAAGAATGAAGTAGTGAGAATGGGCCAAGGTGGAATGTATCTCTCATGAAATCACCATTGAATGAAAATGGTAGTGGTGGTTGAAAATCCGCGGTTGAGAATCCACGGTTGAGGATTAAGGATAAGTTGAGATGGGGGACGGGTTCAAGTCACCAACAGAAGTCTTCTCTATCATGTCCCGTCTGTATAAACTGCTGCGACAATTAAAATGATCAGAACGACGAGAATGACAGTAAACAGAGGACAAATCTCAATAATATTTGTGTAAGCCAATAATATATAGAGATAAAAACCAATGGTCCATTTACTCGAAGAAATTGGCAGTGTAAAGATAGATATCGGAGATAATACTTAATTTACCACCAGCTGAATGAGAATATAGATCCTAGGAGAAACTCTCACCAGCTCCAGTCTCTTCCTAAGATAGTAATACAGAGGACAGATCTTATCTGAATTACTTTCCAGAGTCCTCACCTCATCAGCCAATATCTCTTGTCATTCTTTCTCATTACTACTTTACCCTTCACTCCGGGTTATATAGCACCTCCACTGACATCAGACCCCGTTATGTAAAGTATACTGGAGTAAATGTTGCTTTTACTTTGATATTACCTAGTATGTGCCACTGATGAGTGAGTGTTCATGCTAGTGTCAAGTCATGAAACTCTCATATCAATGAATTGTTATTCTCCTGCCTTGTATCCTAACACCACTATTTATTCGGTATGAGGTTATTAGATGGCAGGAGTTGAGGTATATAGAATTGACTACAGTAGGAAATAAATGAAAGATATGTTTCTGAATACTTGAGCAATTTCCATATCCAGGTGCGAATATTTCGTGCTCAATAATTTACATTAGAAGTTCTACCACTGGGCTCGTGGGAAGAGCTCCAGATTCCACTTACTAAAAATACCCAAAGTGAAAAGGGTCTGATCAAGGAATCAACGCGAAGACGTTCACCCTATTCATAACTCATTATATCATTGAAGCAGAGGGGATCCTAAGACTGCCCTAGCACTCGCTCAGTAATTCTCTTCGGCATACAACTGGACGAAATTAGCTGGCGCAAAGCACAATTCTTGGGGATGTGAGAGCTTACTAAATTGGATCAACCTCGTCGACGCCAGGGAATCCTAGGAGAGACAAGCCGGCCATACCAAAGCAAGTGTGGAAGACATCAACCATATCCCCCGGTCTGTCGGCAAAGCCACCTTCCTCTGTATCCTGACACTTCAGAATGAAATTTGTGAGCTTTTCGCCATCGATCCAATGCAGCCTTCCGATCATGGCGAGGCTCGTCGCAACCCACCAGCTATAACAAACATCTTCTTTTTTCTCAGGTCTACCATTCAATCCGCCGCATTCTACTTGCCTCTCACTCAACCATTTACCCAGTTTATCGATGTTGACCACATCTATCCGCTTCGCAATTGACAATGCGCCTAAGCAGGCAAATATCTGTCCCGAATGTGATTCAGCTCCCGGACTAACCCCGTAACCCCCATCAAAATTCGCACACGAAACGATATAATTTACTGCCTTGTCAACATTCACTAGGTGTAGAAAATGTAGAAGTGAAAGTGCATTCAGCGCTGCGTAAAGAAATCTGGTATCTTCCTCGCCCCACTCGTCTCCCGCAAAGGTTCCCGTATTCTTATTTTGTAGATCGGCGAGGTCTGCACTTAAAGTCAGTAATGGTATGGCCCCTCGAATCGCAAATATCAAAGCACTCACATTTGCCGACTAAATATTTGCCCTCGCCATTCAAGTTCTTCTCTAGATCTTCAACAGCATCAACCATCACTAATATCTGCACGGCACTAACTGTGTACAGCAAATGGGCGTCGTGGCCTGGCGCAGCTCCAAATCCACCATTTTTATGTTGGCAGCTCAAAACGAAATCAATTGTTTCCCGTCTCGGTAGCGCATCGGGTCGGCCAAGTAAATGGAGTGCGGTGAGTCCCCAGTAGAGTCCGTTTATTCGTAAATGTTCTGTGTGCCAATATTCGAGCTCATCTTTGCGCTATAAGTAGAAGATGTCAGCAAGTGCGGGGATGCGAGAAGGATGGATACTTACGGAGTCGAGACTCTGTATGTATTTCACATGGGGTTCGATGGCGAGCTGAAGTTCTTCTGGCAGCGCAACAGAACCTGCTCGTCCTGGTCCAGAGACGAGAGCCATTTTTTATAAAAAATTAACAAGAGGTAGGAGGTACTGTTACTAGTGTGGACTTACGAAAGCCAAAGCTTGGAACTACGGAGTGTAGCTCCCCTTCGGAGAACTAGCTGACTAATCATATGCAGTCTTGATCCTCACATATTTTCGGGCTCGTTATGATCAAGCAATTTGGGAACAATGACTTGGTAAGTATAAAGTGGAAGACAGGATTTCCTCGTATAGCTCATGTTTGGGTACAGAACGTTGATGTTTTAATTTTGTGTAGGTCCAGAAGCTCCCTCTTCCAACCTCTTTTCCTCCGGTCTATTTACGTAAACTCCCACAACCTTCAAAACCCTTATTGCAACAAAACCTATTACTCCCAGGCCAATCTATCCGTACAATTCTCAAAAATTGAGTCTTCTTGTCTTCCCTCGGAAACCATTCCACGTCTCGAGAATTATTTGTAGGATTATCTTTATCGGACAAACCCAACATCTTTCGCATCATCTGGTCATTGAAATGTGTTCACAGTATTCTTCATTAACAGCTACAAGTGTCTCATACTGCACGGAACAAGAATCTTGATGGTCTTTCTTCTACCTATTTCCAAGTGTTATGAGCTATTAGAGGTGTTTAGGACGAATGATCAATCCAGCTAAATAAGTTTCATCGTGAAACATACATAGTTCGAGCAATCAACCAGTTTTTCCATGACTTGTCTGGTGTTTGGAGAATGTGCATACCATAAGTCTTGCTACACTCCCTACAATCAACCGGCAAGGCCATAGGAATTGAAACTGTTGTGAGTTCAAACTCATCAACAAAAAGCTTGTTCTTCTCAATTGGTCTACTTGGACAACTTTCGGGTGTAATAAGTTCCTCGTGGGAAGCGGACAACATTTCTGTCTGCTTTGGGTGGCAGTCCAACATGAGGTGAGACAAGACCATGTCATTTATTCTGAATTGTTGCAAACCAAAGCTGGAGGACCAAGACTTGCCAGAGTCCATGTTTACCCCTCATATTGTTGAAGAGGTATGCTGGCTCATCCGTTTCACAGACCTTGTGCATAACAGCGCCAGCCTCCAAGTAGGAATCATTTTCATCGTCGATTTTTCCAAACCTCATCTCCCTTAAAGTCTCAGCTGAGGATCTGAAGGTCATGAAAGCAAGTCTTGGTTGGACTGAGAGAGATGATGGCTCTTTGAGTTTGACATCTGATTGTAGAATGATTTTCTTGCCGTAACACTATGAAGGAAGATACGTCGTGATGATAGTTCTCCAACGTTGTTTTAAGCAATTCGAATTCGTTGCGGAGGTTTCCGGAAGAATCGGAAAATGGAGCGAATGTTATTCCCGAGACATTTACCGGATTGCATCCTAGATACCGAATGCCCCGCCCTACCATAACCGTTAAGGATAACATCGTCCGTCATTGAGGGGCACAAAGCTATAAAAATACTAGAAAATCTCATCATATTTCTAGATCTTGATCATTTTATACTTAGCAAGATAAATTTGAACTCCTTTGGCTTGTTCACTTAGGCACTATATCGCAGCCATGGTTTTCTACGAACCTGGCGTTACTGATCACAACCTCCCACGGGATCCATTCAAAGTCAGAACTCTAAGACTTGCTCGATACTGGCTTTTGTTAACAGGAATAACAGGCTTGTGTTGTACCTAGGCCTATTGGTTGGATATCTACCAGATCCAAAGATGGCAAAGATAATCTTGCACCATACAGGTATGTATTTGTATTTCAATTCCTATTGTACCATATGGGTTGAATGCGGAGGTTCTAGATAAGGAGACTGATTCCAGATAGCCAGTTCAATAATCTGACCTTTGACCCGCCATATGTAATGTTTTCAGCCAATCAAACCATTGAAAATATTCGAAAAGACACCACTATCAATGTTGAGCAGACAGGTTCATTCGTATGGAACATGGCAACATGGGATCTTCGAGAAGCTGTAAACACCACGTCCGAGCAAGTCGCCTACGGTGTTGATGAGTTCGTGCAAGCCGGACTCACAAAGATTCCGTCAACAAACCTTAAACACGTTGTTCCTATGGTCGAAGAGTCGCCCATCAGGTTCGAATGCACGTATCATTCTACATTGAGGTTGCCAGGAAATCCTCCTGCGGGAACTGTCGATATCATTATTGGCAAAGTCGTAGGAGTTCATATCTCGGATAAGGTTTTGACGGATGGATTAGTTGATTTGAGTAAAGCTCAGCCTATTGCTAGGTGTGGCTACTATAGCTACGCCGTGGTAAGGGAGACTTTCGAGATGAAGCCTCTTCTCGGAAAAATGTCCTATGGGCTAGAAGGAAATGCAGCGAGCAATGCGAAAGAACATCGTGAACAGCAAGCGGGGCTGAATATCACACAATGAGGGCGGCTTAAAATATAAACTTATTAGGAACTCCTATAAATTGGCCTCCAATCCTCCATGTCGGGGTTCTTCTTCCATGTGGTAGTATTCGATCAGATATATCTTGAATAAAAGTTGCTTAAATAAGCGGAGTGAGTTAGGACGTAGTGAAGCGTGTTTTAGCGATATTCCAAAAGTCAGCCAAATCCTCACTAAAGAGAGCCACAAAATCGGGAAATGGTAAGAATGTCGGATCTAATCCATTATTTAATATTGACACAGCGTGAACAAAAGCTGACACTCCTCGATCTTCTTACTGTGCTTGATCCCCCTCGCCCAGAGGTAGCAGGGTCCATTCGAAGAAGTAACGAAGCTAGAATTCGAGTCATCTTACAAAGTCATTGCGGTCAAGATCACCAGATTCTCAATGTGAATGTAGATGAGAGCTCGGCGTTAACCTCACTCGAAGATACCTTTTTATAGCTTGCGTTGATAGAAAATCCCTCCACGAGGCCGTAAGCTCACTGGGAGCGTTTCAAAAACACAGGAGTTGCTTTGGTCACAAACTAGAATATACAATCCGTCTTTCTCGAACGGCCGCTAAACTATTGAAGAGAAGCCCGGAGCCAAGTGGAGAGCAGTACAATCCTACCATCCACGAACCTGTGTCTGAGTGTATGCAATCAATTATTCAATAAAATTCATCACGACACGGCGCTCCAAGTTTAAAATGCTAAGATTCATGGAGGAGTTCATTGGTGTCCCGGACTAACATTCAACTAATATGTTGGCGCCTTATAGCCGTTGTTTCAAAGACTCAAAGACCTCACTGCTGTGATTGTTAGCTACAGTACTGCAGGTAAAGAGGCTGCTGAAAGTGCGGGTTTTGTACGTATATATAGGTTGCTGCACGAGCAATGGTTCTGCTGTCAGATCTATATCTGCATTGCATTATCACACAGCGCTTGCTCCTGGGACAGTAGCATATTAGACCGAACCGCGCGGATCCACGTCACATCTCACCATACCTTTGTATAGACGTAGAATGCTAGAGTCAGTGTCTGTCCATGCAACCACCGCGCGAAATTAATTTTTGAAAAGGTTCCAAGTTTCAACGATTGATCTGGCTGGCTCATTCGTAAATGGAGGAAAAATGCTCGAAATGTCAGCTTGCGGTCAAATCGAGTCAATCAGTCTGTATTCCAGACATCCGCCATTTTGACAATTCGAAAGCTAGTCGTTTCCATTCTCGGTTTCTTCGACCAATAAGGAAGGCTTCACGATTCTTGCTAAGCTTTTGAAAAGGAAAACTATACTACACTTCTAGTCAATTTGAGAAGTGCAATAGCTCAAACATCATCGACACGGCCCCTCTTTCAAGAACAGCCCGCAGTGCGCAAATTCATGAGCAACTTATCCAATAGAATAAGGATGCCATGGTGGTAATGCATCCAAGGTGGTAGCGCAGCGACGCTTCACCGACTAATCACAAAGGAAAGGAAAGCCAAACTGAGAGAAAGAACCCAGGGGTAGTGAGCATATTTATGTTTAGTAATAACCTATTACTGAAGCCGAGGAAAAACTTCCTTTCTATGACATCACCTCCAATTTTGACAGATAACTGCGCGTTGTCCAAAATTTAGAAGGTCTCAGACGATGCTGCACAGTCGATGCAAGATTGACAGTCCCACAGCTTGGTAATGGCCTCCATATATACGAGTAGAATATTCTAAAGCGTGCAGCAATCGCTAACGGTGACAAATCTCGCAGTCTAACGTAGGGCGTTGGGCATGGGGTGCTCCAAAAGCTTTTCCGATGGGGAATGGTTAAGGGGGAGGTAAGCTGGGTCCATGCCGCTTTAGAAAAATATTGCGTATAAAGTCTTACTTAAGGCGGCGTCTCGTACGGGAAACGGGTTGTTCTCGAGTCCGAAGCATTTAACCAACGGCGGATGAGCGGTCATGGAATCAATCAATAATTTGAAAACATCTAAAAGCTTTATAAGCATGAAGGTAGGGCCTGGTAAGTGTTCATTTTTTATTATTATATAAATTCGTCATTTTGTGCCTCGATTGCGTTCGTTCCAACCGAACCAATCTCATCTCCAGAACTTCATATCTTCTTCACTCATCATGCAGTGCGACGAGGAGCCACGCGCGCCATCGCAAAGATTCTGGGACCTATACACCCCTAAACCACCGGCGGTCCTTTCCCAGCCAGTCAAAGTGCCCAAAACATCGACTTCGCGATTAGAATTGAGTTCTGCGCCTCTGCTTCCACCGACTTCAGCGAGTCGGGAAGAACCTAAGACCGTGCTCTATCTAGCCTATGGCTCCAACCTCTCTGCTGAGACGTTCAAGGGAAAACGCGGCATCAAACCTCTAAGCGCAGTCAACGTCCATGTTCCTGCAATCGATCTCACATTCGATTTATGCGGGATACCTTACGCGGAACCTTGCTTCGCAAACTGCCAATACAGAAAAATCCAACCAGGTTCTCCTCGATCAAAAGACTATCACAAGACAAGATGGCATAAGGGGTTAGTTGGTGTAGTCTACGAAGTGACTCTCGACGACTATAGAACCATTATTGCTACGGAAGGAGGCGGCACTTCATATAAGGATGAACTCGTTCAATGTTACGTTCTCCCGGATGGTAGCAAGACTGTGGACCCGAATCCCAGTGGCACACCGTTCCAAGCACATACTTTACTCTGTCCGTTCGACAGCAAAGATCCAAATCGCATTTGTCGACCAGATCCCAATTATGCGCAACCATCCGCGCGATATTTGAAGTTAATAACGGATGGAGCTAAGGAGCATAATTTGCCGGAGGAATATATTAATTATTTGTATGGTATAAGATCATATACAGCTACAACTATAAGACAAAAGATGGCGCAAATATTAATTGTTTCCTCTTTACTACCTTTTCTTCTGGCGGTGATGGGACTGGGAAAGATTGTCGCAGATAAGAATGGGAAGATCCCGGCTTGGCTAGCTAATATAATGGCTGCAATTTTTAGATACGCTTGGGTTGCATATGATAGCGTCTTGAAGGATATGTTTGGGGATGGAGAGAGGACAATAGGAGGGAAAGCTTTGACTGATATTGAAGAAATAGATTTAGAAAAGAGGTGGGATGAGAAGAAAATGGCTCGCTCCGGTGAGATAAAAGAGAGTATGTAAGCATAAGTATCGGATATTGTATACTAAGTAGAGGGTTGGGATATATCAGGTGCTATATCCGTACCTAGTAATATTATAGATATAGAGACAATCACAGGTGGATCATCCCATTGCAAAAGTTTGTTGCATAAATGAGTTTTCAGTATTTTGTGTTGGGTTGCTTCAATCCAAGCAAGAAGCAACCCAAGTAATATGATAGTATCTTCTAAACATATCCTCACTTCTCAATCCACCCTACCCAGTATTCGTCTGAAATCACCTCAATTTTTAACTAGAAAGAGGGGAAAAAAAGTTAGTCGTAGTTAATTAAGCCATATTTTCAAGAGCAGCTTTGGAAGCATTGCGAACAGTTAGCGAAAAGAGAGATATGAGGGACGTTAGTGCCGTGTTGCTCTTCTGAACCCAAAAATCAAAAGTACTTGTCCGATGTTCCAAGGCATATTTATATGTAATCCTCGTTATCTCAGCGTTTAAGTTTGATAGGATGAAAGGGATGGTGGCTAGCTGCTCGATGATGTGCCTTGAAGTTATTGGGGAGATTACTGTGAATATGCAGCAAAAGTATTCGGTGAGAATTGAGCAGCCCATATAATACTTGTCTAAGCGTCTTGGTTATCAAAATCCTACTCCTGTTCTGACGCACTACCTTATCGCTACCATCATTCCCGGAGGATAGAAAAATCCCCCTCTACAAATAAGAACCTCAGTCACCTCCAGCCTTTCTACCTACAACATTCACCAACCTCATACTTAGACAAGCACCTCTCTGTACCTCCCGAGCGGCGCGTCGATGCAACTCCATTCCCTCTTTTGAGCCTTCTGCTGCTACATTGACTAATTCCTTCATCCCATCCATGTGCATTAATGTCCATGCATACGCAATATCGGCTTCGGGGTCGAGTAGCTGGTCTTCGAGAATTGTTATTCCTCGTTCTTGGAAGATGGTTCTGAGTTGACGTATCCATCTACATGATGTTAGGGTTACAGTATAGTAGTATACTATTACCATTTTGAAGAGGGAAAATAATGAGGGGGAAATACTCAAAGTTGGGGAATCGCTTCAATGGAACTTCATATACCCATTTCTTTAAACTGTTGAGATCGTTGGTTGATATATCCGGGCTAGTAGATGTGCAGCACATCTCGCTGAAGTCGTTTTCTTTCCACTGAACGTAACCTCCGGGTTCTGGAAATATTTCAGATTGATTCACAAAGAGACTCCTCCGGAGCGGGAAACAAACTTAGCAATGTCAGCAGATTTTCTAGAACTGATCTTGGATCTCCGTCTCGGATCACGAGGCATAGAAGACTTGCGTGAATCACATCATATTGCCACCTCAAGTTCTGTGGGATGGATTGGAAGATATCAAGGATATCTAATTTGACATTTGAGGGGAGCAATGCAGACGGAGGATACTGAGCAGCTGAGATATCAAAACCGTCTAATTGTACATATGTGCTTGATTCCCTAAACTCTCTTGCTAAATCTATGAGCCAGATTCTTTAGTTTTGTTAGTAATATCTTTTTCGTGTTACGAGACATAAGAACGCTTACCCGGTTCCACACGCTATATCGGCAATCTTCATCTTTTCCTTGATTGGAATACTTGGATGCAATAGATGACCGGCCAGTCTTTGCCAAAGCCAATGTTGCATATAGAGACTTGAATTTTTTAGCTTCTAGTTAGAATATGGTTGAATGATTCAGACTCACCGAGAGGAGCCCAAAGTACTTCGATCAAGGAGATACTCATCTTTGACTGCTGAAGTCATTTTGTCGTTCGATTTTAACTTCTAGATGTTTTTTAATGTGTGTGGGATAGTTCACGGTGGGTGAGAATTATTAGACAAAGAAGTTTAAGTAGTCCATACCTGATTGACTAGGCTGTTATAAGCTCGATGAGGGTCTGATGATGTCTCGCAACGCCCGGGAACATATAATATTATTATTCTTGGCACTAGATGGATGAAAACGATGATGCGAAAAGAATGTTTGCCGAAATTGCAAGGCTAAGGATTGGCGAAGCGTGATTATTTTCCTCTAGTACGTATTATAATAGATATAGATAGTAAAGTAACATTACCGGTATAAACAAATTCTAGTGGTTTTATTTCCGTCGAAGTTTTCTGAATTTAGAAGTCAATTGTCGAAGTCTCGTGATCTAGGTTACACAAGCAAGCATAGGGCGGAATCTTTTGTGACACACTACCAATTGGATTCGTGTGTCCTTACCATTGAAATTTGAAGCATGTTTATATGAACAATCCAATAACCAACACAGATTTACCTAGTAGTGTTGCTTATTTCCATTTCTCTGGTATCCCATTATGGACAGAATGCCAAATGATGCCTGCCCTATTAACGAATCGGTACAAGAGGTGGACGAAAATTCTTGGGTTATTGGATACAGAATACTTCTTACTCGACAACGCTTCCCTTCATCCAAGTACACGTGGAATGATGGCAAAGGCTTCTTTTACGTTTTTTCCGAAGCACCATGCCCACTACCGGCATCTCGACCCCTGGCAGCCACGACCCACATCGAGATGATCTATGATGCTGGTGGGGCATCAGCAGTGTGGAGCATCGGTGATGCCTTCTGCAAAGTCAAAATCCTGGATCCTGATGCCACACGAGAGCACGTTACGTTAGACTACCTTTACAAAAGACGTCCCCTCAGTTTTGCAATTCCAGATGTTCATTACCATGCAGAGAATGACGGTCGATACTATATCATTCTGGGTAGATTGGCTGACCAAACTCTGACTGAAGCATGGCTTATTATCGACGAGACAATGAAGCAACACTATGTTTCTCGAATCGCGGATATCTGCAAGGAGCTAGCAGTATGGCAGGGCGATGGTATCGGCGGCGTTGATGGCAAGCACCTATCGGATCATTTTCTTACTCAGCTTCAATTATCCGTTGACTGCAGTCCTCGAAGCCTATTGAATAGTTGCAAGGAAGTAGAGATGGATTGGTCTACGATTATTTTCTATCATTGCGACTTGGGGCCTGGGAATATAATTGTGGAAGCCGTAGAAGGATCAATAGGAATTATTGACTGGGAAACAGCCGGATTTGTTCCTAAAGAATGGGTAAGGATAAATTTCTGTATTTCAAGCGGGATGGACCTGCCGGGAAGCGATCAAGGTTCTAGAGTGGATTGGAGAAGGAGGTTGCAGAGATAATTGGAGAAGGAGGGGTTTCCTGAGGTTGGAGAGCGGTGGATGACTTGGTGGATCAATGAAGGCTAGGTGGTGGAGTATCGAAAGGCTACTAAAAACTACTTTTGTTTCTTTTTTTCCAGAATCCAGCAGGTAGTTAGGTAAGTAAGTAATGTAAGTGATTACGGTGGATGACTTGTCCATCGCTAAACTAAAAGCTGGAAAAGAGAGCAAAACGAAACGGGAGTTCCTTCCTCCATATCATTTCGGCCCTGGTAGTATTGTTATATCTGCAATCAGAACAGCTGAGACTGTCTATAGGGCGCGCTTGAAACTAAAGTAGGCGCAACTCGAGATTGACAATACTAGGTAAGATTTTGAGGACGAAAGACAAGCAACCATTTACTAGGGAGATCATATTAGACCATACTTATACCTTTTCAGGAATTGTTTTTGATTCCAAGAATTCAAATCTATCTTATGGTGTTATAAACACCGGAAGCCCAAGCAAAGATGAGATATAGGAGATATCCATTCAGTAGGCATAGGCACCTGCACCCTACCTGGGTGTAACGATACTGTACTGGAGGCAGCGGCTGCCTGAGGTTCGTCAGTTGGTAGTTATGGGTTAAGGCTTTATCACTGGTATTCACTTGGAAGTGAAGTCGTTACTAGATCAAGTAGAATATAGGTAAACTAATTGATAACTAAGTTGAGCACGAAGCTCCTAAACTATGAAACTACTCTGCCTATATAATGATCCCTTCCAGGAGCCCTAAGGAGCCTCCGCTCCTGGAGGCTCCATCACGTGATCCTATATGCCTCAGGATACTAATCCTGGGACAGTTATCCTAGGATACTTTATCTCCTAGGATAATTTGCCCTGGGACAATTATCCTGAGACGATTTTCATCCTAGGACGAATACTATCCTAGCTCACCCTGAACTCCCGGGACACTTGTCCTGTTCCATTGTGGTTGCCTAGAACGCTTGTCCTAGGACATTTTATCCTAGGACACTCGTCCCAGGATTTCTAGATTCCTTATCGAAGTGTTACGATGGCGTAACATAACCTGCATCAAGTGACCAATTAGTTAGCAGGATCATGTGATAAATGTCACCTGATCAGAAAGCCGACCGACTTCGTGAGAATCGATCGGCCCTTCAAGAGTCGATCGACTTTCAGAACACGAAGGTCTATATAATCAAGATGGATTTCCTTTGTATAGAGCTTCGTGCTCAAGATCAATCATTTAGTATACTCTACTATTAGTTACGAATTGCATATCATTATTGTCATCACTTAAGTCCCTGCTTAACGCCTAGTTATAAACCACTCCGAGAGCCTAGAGCACTTCCACGTGATCTAGACGGCAAACCTCGTAACAAAATCCTATATAAATTGAAAATCAAAATTTAAATCATTAGTATCTCAATCAATAAAATCGTGAAAAATCTGAGATTTTTAGAATTTATTACTATATAAATAATAATTCTATAATTAAATTTTCAAGTTATTAAATTTATAAACAAGAAAGTTATAGAGATTGATTTTCACCGTTTTTGGTGTAAAAAAGTGGCCGAGAAGTGGGGTACTAGACTTACAATACTCGGCAGATATACTTATACCCTTTGATATTTTATAAAATATTTACTTTCCCCCATAGAAATAAAACAAAATAATCATCCGGCAGATCCTACTCAAAATAACCTGGGGTATACCCTACCCTCTACTTAACCCTGGCATCCAGCACTACATGTTAGTTCAGTTCAGAAATGCATTTTGTAGCAGCGTGTGTAGCAAAAGCAATTTCTGATTAGCTTTCTCTTTCTCATCATATGCTTCCAGTATCTTTGAAAGAGGATGAAGTTGTAATCCTACAGATTTATTTGGCAGGAAAGCGAAGGATATGACTGGGTGTTAGCATGAGGGTGTGAGAGTTATACTTGACCCCGCCCGCTCTCAATTCGGAGCTGTAATCGACAAGATGATTTGCTACCGATATAAATTTTGGAGTCTCACAGCGGTTCACGCCGTGTTGGATCAGGAGATATTTTAGAGGTGAAGGGTTCCAATCATATCCTTATCCCTTGCATTGCATCCATGTTTCTGGCTTTGATAGCCAATGATGTTACATTAATTGACTCTCTTTTGATGTTGCTTTTTTGAGCGACTGAATTTTATTATTGCAGAAAAAAGATGCTTTTGGTTTATCTCTTTTTGTCAGAAGATTATTTTAGATTTAGGTACATATATCACTTTGTATATGCTAGGCAGCAATACCAAAAATAGTGGGACAATATTCATCCATTCGAATTCATACCTAATATTATTCGCGGCACAGCTGAAGTTTCATTGCATACTCTCAAAATAACAATCTGAACTCCATTCACAAGAAACTGCAGCATGAGTTCAGATCCAGTCTCTAGAGCTGTACCAATTGCAATGACAGTAGGTGATATACACGTGTCACCACCTTCGAAGAGGAGTCCCGATCAGAACCAAGGGGATGAGAGCTCGAGTAGCTCTCAAGCCAAGCGTCAACGCGTCGCTGAAACAACTATTCTTCAGCTCCGCGATCTCAACGCAGATCAGGCAATTGCTTCTGAGAAAACACTTTTCACTTCTTTCGACTGCTCAGGAGTGCCCCAAAAATTCAAATATTCGGAGTCAGAAATCACCATTCTAGAAGTCATTGGACCCAGAGACCATTCGATGGTGTACCGCATTTCAGCTGGAGGCAGAAAATTCGCACTTAAAATAGTACGTATTAGCACATTATACAAAGACGAGCCGCTTTTCTAATCATTTTAAATAAAGCATAAATACGAAAATAGCGATATATCACTATCCGGTATACCCAAACTTAACATCTTCTTCGAGCGGGAACGAAGCGCTTATAACAGACTTTCGCGGGCGAGCGAACTGCCACCTGCATCAATACCGAAGTACTATGGATACATCAACTTTACAAAACCGCCCTAAGTAAATCGGACAGGGACAATACCTCGAAAACTATTCCGATCGACGGTGTACCGACCCGCAGTGTACACTGATTTCCTGGTGGATGAAGTGCCCGATGAAATGGTACGAAAGGACCCCTGGCGGAGTTACTTTATGAATGAATCCGGAAACTGCATTCTACAAGGCGTGATTCTGGACGAGATTGTGGCAGCTCGAAATATCGATATGTATGGCAATGATACATCAAACCTCAACATTGCTCGATCTGGCTGAGAAGGTCTTAAAGTTCTGCATCTGCGGGGCGTCTTACATGGTGATTTGAAGAATCCACTTAATGCTTTGATCAAGCGCTCAGGGGACCGTGTTATTTGGATTGATTTCAGTATGAGTGAAGGATGCGATGCGAATATTAAAGATAAAGACTTTAGAAAGAAAGCGCGTCGAGAAATGCGCCAGTGGGATCGTTAATTTGAGGTTAGGAAAGTAGGAGGGTGAGTCCGGGAATGCATTTAGTCTTTCATTTTAGGGATGTTGGGGGATGATAGCTGATAGGGTTTGAACGAGAGTTAGAGGGAAGTAGGATCTTAAAGGAGCTTATTACGAACACTCTATACATTAATGGACATTAGCACATAAGGGAAGTATTGTCCTACGAATATTGGATTACTCAAATAGGTATCACAGTGAAAGCCTATATGGTCGAAAGTGCACATGCGCATTTTCACAGTCCCTCGAACCCCCACGCCAAAAGAATACCATTGACATGGTATTGATTTCCACTTTGAAAAGCAGCTCAACAAAGGCACATAGAGTCCTATGAACCATCCATGGCAGTTGCCCTGTGGTCCGTGTCTTACTCCCATTCAGGTATCAGTGGAGCCAAACTACATATTGTCCTACATAGAATAGTGGCCACATACTAGGTTCACCAGTGGTTCTCCAGGTAAACTTGATTCCCGTTCTTACCTTTATTGCTCGGTCTGGGCTGAACTCGTTGTCATAATCTACCCTGCTGGCGAAGTAGGAATGGCATAAACTTACAGGAGGGGTATGGAATGAATGCCGGGGACATGGCCCAGGGCTTCACGGATACCGGCACGCAGTTGGGGGATTTCGACTATAATGTCTTTGGCGAGTGCAATAAGCGCTTAATCCGGAAGGTATAGGCTATATTTTGAGGTCCCATGCAGAGTGGTTGTGATGGATTTCAACATTCATAAGATTACACTCCCACCCATATACCTACTCCAAATGAGCACCATGTGTTGTCCTTGCCAGTATATTCATTGGCCCTTGAATTCCTGTCGCGCGGGAGTTCCTAAGCGTCTTGCTCCTTCCACTTTCGTTCAATTCTGCATTATCAACTTCTCATCTCTCCCGAGATCCGATATTGACAAGCAAGATCTTATTCCCAAGATCCCTAAGCCCGCAATGCAGCTTTTTAATTCTATAAAGCGTGGTGGCCACATATCAGGTCTAACATCCGTCTGGTCTGGTCCGTGTGTTATGCATATCCGGGACGCAAGCCTCTATGTAGGTACAACGATCAGTTAATGTCAGTGAAAGATGCAGGGTACGACTTTACCACATCCGTTGATGATATATAACATGTGCGTTGATGCATACATGTTATAATCAAATTGGAATTGCAGGATTCCAAAATTGATAATGTATCCTGCAGGATCCAATACTGTACATGTACTTTAACGAACTGAGGTAAGATACACCAACAGAACCTCACCGGAGATTTCTCTTTCGACCTTTTTAGACCATGATGACATCAACAAAGCCTGAATATTCCATATTCGTATGGCCACCTTTACCTATGTTACGGCTAATTCAAAATCAATACCTTTCAATGCTACAACGGAAATCACACGTGCATTAAAATTTCGCAAACCCTTCTCTTTACGATTTGATATACATGTACAGATCATATCGCTCATAAGATTTTCTACTTCTGCCCCGCATCGGATCTCCCCACTACTCCATTACCCTAGGTACATACGCTATGCAGATCTCTCACCTGCTCAATCATTCGACTTTCACATCATCAAACTTTAATAGTATACCAAGTGTGGGGTTCAGCAGGTCTTAGTGTGGGGGTCTGACGACAGCCCTTTGAGACCGAGGTTCCTTCCATATCTCTCATCCAAAATCATCATTTTCCTCCAAAACGTGATATCCACTCTTGCAAATCATCCGCGTGCTCTGAAAACGTGGGGGCCGTATTTGTATGGGGAATTGACATCCGACACTAAATACTAAGTACATACTCAAACGTGAGATGTTGGAAATTGATGGTAGTGATTCTAAGGTATGATTTGTTGAGGCGGCTGCCTTCATTGTCATGTTTTTGTACGTAAGTGATGAACAAGATCTGAGGTATGGATAGTCCCTATTCCAGTCGTCCGAGACTGGATTTAGACTTTTATTTACTTCTGTTAGTTTTGGTAAATTCTTCTTTCAATTTCTTCCATTCTCATCTTCATATTTCTCGAGACCATCATCAATTTATAAGATTCTGTTAAATGCCAAACGCGATGACTCCCTCACAATCTCATGCAAATGGAAATGGCATTGTAACTGGACATCGTCCATTGATTCAGGGAATATACGTCCCAACCGTGGCATTCTTCCATCCAGACACCGAAGAAGTTGACATCATAACAGTCGCCAAACATGCTTCCAGACTTGCCACTTCTGGTATTGCAGGTCTTCTTACCCATGGCTCAAATGGTGAAGCAGTTCATCTCACACATTCCGAACGCTCTCTCATCACATCCACTACACGTAAAGCTCTCGATGAAGCTGGAGCATCATCCATGCCTATCATCGTAGGCTGCGGTACTCAATCCGTCAAGGAAACCATTGAACTCTGCAAAGAAGCCAAAGAATCAGGCGGGGACTATGCAATTGTTCTACCACCCAGTTATTACGCATCACTTCTAAACCCACGAAGCATATTGGATTTCTTCACACAAATTGCTGATGCAAGTCCAATTCCCATCATTATATACAATTATCCTGCAGCACAAGGAGGATCTGATCTCACTTCCGATGTCATTCTTACACTCTCTGCTCATCCCAATATCGTGGGTGTAAAACTCACATGTGGAAATACGGGAAAATTAGCACGTATTGCAGCATCTGCCAAATCATCTTTTCTCACCACAGGCGGATCTGCAGATTTCATCTTACAAACCATGGTAGTAGGAGGTCATGGAGTGATTGCCGGATTAGCCAACTTGGCACCTAAAGCATGCGTAAAAGTCATGAGACTTTTCGAGGAGGGAAAATTAAAAGAAGCGAGGGAATTACAAGCAATTGTTGCAAGAGGAGATTGGGTGGCTATTAAGGGGGGTTTTGTTAGTGTGAAGGTTGCGTTGGAGAGATATTATGGATATGGTGGATTGCCTAGGAAACCGTGTGCGTTACCTGAGAAGAAGACATTGGCAGCAATGAATGATGAGTTTGCAGAGTTATTGGAGTTGGAGCAGACTCTTTAGTTTTATGATAGATGGATAGATGGACGGACCAGGGTGGGGTGAGATGGGAAGGAATTGAAAAAAAAACTAAAGAAATAGAAAATGAACTCTCGGGAACCCATTGTAAATCGCTATTACTAGAAGGCCAAAAGAATAAAATCCAAACAGCATCAACAGCTTTAACAAACACCCTTCGCATATCCACCTCATAATACATAACCCATAATACCCCATTCTTATCACCAATCCATCTCACTCCATCCCAGTTCCTACATTATCATACATAACCATTCATTAAACACCAGACCAAATATTTCCGTATACACAAACAAAGTCACCAATAAAACAACCCTCCCGGAAATAAACACTAGATATTACCACACCATTTCATTTCATTTCAAATCAGATCTGATTAGATATCATATCATATCTGATTTACGGAGTACTCCGTAGATCACATCTATTTATCACTTTAGCCTATACTGTATATACTATATATATGTACTCTACTCGTGTGGCTGTGGTTATTAGCTATTAATACTAATTAGGTATTCGTAATTCGGCTCAGTATACTAGGCACTTGATTGCTGGTTATATGGGTAATAAGCCATTATCTGTGTGTTGAGATTACTTTTGTGCTGTACGGAGTATGCTTGTGGTACTCTGGGTTTTGGGAGGAGAAGGGAAGGTGGGGAGTGGGGATGGTGGGGAGTGGAGAGAAAGAAGGCTTTCTTTAGTGTAGGGGACATAGCTGTGAGATTCTTTTGGGCTAAAGTTGAGATTAGGATTAGGATTACGGTTTATAGAATGGACGATGGAAGGGTGATGGGAAGTGATAGTAGGAAGATGGGTAATGCGTTATGTAAGATCTTATGTAAACATGTAAACACGTGCCCATAGAAAATTAAGTAGAAGAAGAGAAGGCTAAAATCTTACACGATGATGCAGTACAGATTCCCTCACAGCTGTCATGATCAAAAGACCCTTGCAAGCAAGGTTAAAACTAAAGCTAACCCTTGACAGCACCATCATTCTACAGACTGGTCGAGTTATTCATATTTGTATTTAAGCGATGGTGATATGACTCATATTGAGGATTTTGTTGGTGGAAATTTAGGGAGGAGATGGATGGGAGTTGGAAAGTGGTGCTGGGCTGTGCTTGGTCGGGTAGATGTGGGGTGCGGGGTATATAAATTAGTTCCACACGCAATGAATGTGCCGGATTCCGATGTTGATATAGGTAGTAAGGTAGTTAAGGGTTTGTCACGATTCATTAATTCACGTGACCTCGAGGACCTTGAGGACCTTTTGGACCTTAGGGTCCCAAAGGTCCTCAAAAGATGATATAGGGTATATAAACATTCATTTAGTCTCGTAGTTAAGGAGCTTTGTGCTCAACTTAGTTATCAATTAGTTTACCTACATTCTACTTGATCTAGTAACGACTTCACTCCCAAGTGAAGACCAATGATAAAGCCTTAACCCACAACTACCAACCAGACGAAACCTTAGGCAGCCGCTGCCTCCAGTATAGTATCGTTACAGGGTTGTTGTTACAATGTTTGAGGCTTGTGTTGTGATTATTTACCTCAATTTTGATTTTACTAATGATTTGGAGTATTATTCAATTATTTCTTATTCTCTTACTTTATAAGATTAGATTAAATTCTATTTTTATTATTAATTAGACTAAATTGTTAAATGGCTTCTCGAAATCCACTTTCTTCCCCACCCCCACGCTCGTCTATTAGGCTTGGTGGATCTCGATACGGGGAGTTATCTAATCGATTCCATATCTACCGTAGGTAGATTAGAGTACAGAGTAAGTACTCCGTACTAGAGGTATTTAGCTTGTAAAAAAACTAGCTATCGCTTGATAGCCTTTCCTAATATGATCTTAGGGTAATTTTTGTATGATCTTTAAATGGTTAAGTAGTTTCGCTTAAACCTAATCGAAATTTTCTGATCCTATTCATATTTATGTTAAAAATTTCTTAAAGATAGTGTTACGAGGTTTGCCGTCTAGATCATGTGGAAGTGCTCTAGGCTCTCGAAGTGGTTTATAACTAGGCGTCAAGCAGGGACTTAAAGTAATGACAATAATAATATGCTATTCGTAACTAATAGTAGAGTATACTAAATGATTGATCTTGAGCACGAAGCTCTATACAAAGGAAATCCATCTTGATTATATAGACCATCGTGGCATGCGTCCCAGTGCTCCCAGTTGTCCCAGTTGTACTGGGACAGCTGAGCCTACTGGGATCCTCATATCACATGATGCTAATCACGTGATGTTAGGTATGTGAGATCCGTCGTAACACTATCTTCAAAAGGAGCAAACTCTCTTCAAAAAAGATAAGGTGGTGATTATTTTAATTATTTCTATAAAGATAGATCCTTTTGGTTAATATTAAAGATAACTAGCTCAATTGATAAGTTAAATGTCACACTCAAGAATACTGGGTAGAGTATCTTGTATTAGAAAATACTAAGCTAAGGAGAAAAGAAGAAGGAAAACAAGAGTAGCGAGTTTTCCTGTGATTAAATACAAACGGGGCATGCCACGTGACCCGAAGGTGTGAGGCGTCACATTAAATACCTCTATTGTATAGAGTTTCTTGATCAATAACCTCTAGGATCTTAAATATCTATAGTTAAGTTCTCTTATATAGATTGATACTTTTCTTTTATATTTTATTTTAAGATAATTTATACAGGGAGATAAAGATGAGAATACAACTAAGATATGTATGGGTTATCTGATGAATCGAGGAAGATCTTTTAGCTTTATTGTATTTACTAATAGTCCCGGTATTCAAACAATTAAATTACCTTACTTAGAACGAGTTTGAAAGACTAGTACTCGGGGAATAAATCTATATCTTTGTTTTAATATGGAATGAGAGAAAAACTTTAAAATACGTCTAGGGGAGTATATGACTATTAATTTTTACTATTTTCTCTGCTGCATTAAACAAATTCTTCCACAATAGCAAGGCGGCAAATATATCTCATCTCTATATCCGAGAATTTGATAAAGATTCATTTTTATTTTCATGAGATAGTTTGTCCTCTCTTTTGTTACCTGTCGAGCTATATTTCCATCCGTTAAAGAAATCGCTTGTTTTCATTATTTTCCACATTATATTATTAGCTCCATATGGGAACCCAGCTACAACGGCTGTCTCTCTGGGGAGGTTCATTTTAAACACAGTAGTCCATCTCTTGCGGCCAAATACTGATGTGATACACGCCCTTTATTTGAGCTGCTCAGTCGTAGGTTGGAAAAGATTCTGATAATCACATATCCCCTATGCAGCCCACCTCGCTTGCTGTGTCTTAGCAACGGTCAGATTATCAATACTAGTGGTCAATAGGCAAATAGAGCACGCAGCAAGGGCTCTGATCTTAAGGCTTTGTGGGTTTGCCCGCTTGAGTATCTTGACCCCTCGAGTACAATGTGTTGGATACGCAATACGTCAGGCCAATACAATTGGAGTTGTCGACGAGCATCCACTCATTCCAAATGACATCGTGGCCACTGATGCAAATACTCTATTACCTCATTCTCTTGCAATGGTTTCCTGGAGGGCTGTCAGATTTTTCCTCTGAACCAAAACCTCTTGCCCAAGTTGACTGAATCCCACAACACGGTCAACTTAGCTTACGTGTGTTCCTTTGGAAACTGCGTCTCATAATTTACTCTATCCCAGCCCCAAATCATATATCACTAAGTTGAGTACCCCACTTTCGGACCACCCCTCTTTTGGACCACCTAAAAATATATATATATATGAATTTTAAACTTCAATAACTCAACCACTATTCAACTTCAATACAATCCCCTGTATTGTCAGTTTCATAAATACTATCAGAGTCTTTTATCTCAATTTCCCGATCACCAGCTTCAATTTGAGCTTGATATATAGCTTCTATCCCTGCAAACCTCGAATTTGGACTAGTTTTTACCATCCTTCTTTTTTTAGGTATAATCTCTTCTAATTTTTGCTCCAATTGCTTTATTCGTTTCTTGGACTGTACAAGTTCATAGTCCTTAGCATCAAATCCTTTTTGAATCTTTCGAAAAAGCAGCCGGCGAGTTGGAATATCGGTCTCATCAACTTTCTCCATTATATCAGCATATTTTCGAATATCACTTCCTTTTTGAGGGGTTTTCCATGCAATAAAAGATGAATGTATATTCCATTGAAGCTCGGGATCATCATCTGAAACAGGATTTTGATATACAACCTCTTGATTACTGTTTTCGAGCAATAATCTGGACAAAAGAGGTTTAGCGCGGTTTTGAGGCCATAAACCTGAAGCCTTCCACCCAGAAGTGATATTTCGAAGTGTTAAAGCTTTTAATCTAGCTTTCTGATAGCAGGCAAGAAAGTTTCTTTTGCCAATGGGAGTAGAATCCGTCAATGAATCGAGAGTATTGAGGTGGTATCGATATTCTTTTTTCAGAGGTGAAAATATTGATAAATCAAGAGGTTGTAGTACATGCGATGTATGGGGTGGTAAAAATAAGAGGTGCATATTATTCTTGAAGCATTCAAGCATAAATTGAGTGGTTTCATGGCTTCCATGCCCATCCAAAACAAGGAGTCTTGCTTCTTTCGGTCGAGTTGGTGCTGATTGTGGTATAAACACCTCTTTTAGCCATTCCAAACCTGTAGAATCCGTAGTCCACCCATTATCTGTAGCAGTGAACTCCCACCCTTCATAGTTATCAAGTTTAATGGGAAACCATTGTTGTTGAAGTGTTTTACCTTTGAATATAACCAAAGGTAAAAGTGCTCTTCCCGTAGCTGAGATACACTCAATAAAAGAGGTCCACGTTCTTGAACCGGGTTGCTTTTTCTGAATAAAACGTCGCTTTGAACTCCCAAGTACCATACCATTGAGACCTTGGCCTTCCATTATACCAGCTTCATCCATATTCCATCTGTTTTCGGGCTTGATATACTTAATTGCTGGTAAATCCAACTTTTCAAAGAACTTGCTTATAATTTCGGTAGTTGCACCATTGATACAGGCATTATCGATTTTATATTGCCTTTTAGTCTTAATCTCTGGGTTTCTTTCCAAAAAACTATGTATCCATCGCTTGCCAAGAGATAAATCACCTCCTTCGAGGTTGAGAATGGACTCTCCTAATTCTCGTATTTGACGATGGGTAGGGCTAGTTCCTAGGGCTTCCTGTACTAAAATCCAATTTGCTAGAGCTCTCTCCTGCACAGGAGCTATCTTCTGTAGGTTTTGTGCACCTTTTTTATGTGAAAGGTGGCCATTTATACGGTTGTGTAAAGTGGTGCGGGGAATACCATATTCTGAGCAAGCCTTACGCATAGACATGCCTCCTGCAATCGCAAAAAGTGCTGCAGCAATATCATCTTCAGTATAAGGCTTTGTCATAGCTTAATTGATAATGTATTAAAATCTTATATCAATTGAATAAGTGGTTGTTGATTTATTAAAGATGAAGTTGGGAGGTAGTGCTTAAAATGGGGTAAGATTTTAGGTGGTCCAAAAGAGGGGTGGTCCGAAAGTGGGGTACTCAACTTACATTCAAAGTAAATTCGAACCTTTCGTTCGTGGTAGATGTATTAGCTGTATGTGCGCCGGCCGCGACTACCTTATAATATAATTATATATGGCGCCTAATTCTGCCTGTCTATCCATATCCATGACCGCCTACAAGACAGCAAGATATGAAATCAGTAACTTACCTACCACGGAAAGATTTTGATATTTGAAGAAAAATAAAAAGTTTCATATAATCAAACATCAAATGTTACGAGGTTTGCCGTCTAGATCACGTGGAAGTGCTCTAGACTCTCGAAGTGGTTTATAACTAGACATCAAGCAGGGACTTAAGTAATGACAATAATAATATGCTATTCGTAACTAATAGTAGAGTATACTAAATGATTGATCTTGAGCACGAAGCTCTATATAAAGGAAATCCATATTGATTATATAGACCTTCATGCTTCGTGGCTCGAAGGGAGCGAGAGGATCGAGCTTCGATCCTTTCGCTCTCCTCGATCGAAGGGCTCGAGAGGCCAAGCCTTCGAGCTCTTCGAGTCCTCGAGTCACGTGTTATCACTAATCCCGTGACCTAATTGTTACTTGTCGTAACATTAGTCAACTAGTCAACTAATAGTCAATCAATAAATAAATAAATAAAAAACTATAAACTTCATCGCCTAATATACGGAATTTATAAGGTTCATAAAGTTTATAAATTCATATTGTAAAATGGAATAATATAGATTTGTTACGACGGCTATCTTCTACGCAGCGTCACATGACTAAACCAAGGTAACGTGATTAAGTCACGTTATGGACCGCTGCGCGGTCCTGACTAGCCATAGGCATGAAGGTCTATATAATCAAGATGGATTTCCTCTGTATAGAGCTTCGTGCTCAAGATCAATCATTTAGTATACTCTACTATTAGTTACGAATAGCATATTATTATTGTCATTACTTTAAGTCCCTACTTGACGCCTAGTTATAAACCTACCTCGAGAGCCTAGAGCACTTCCACGTGATCTAGACGGCTACCCTCGTAACAAGATTCTCTGAAAGAAGGATGTAATTATAGCCCTGAATGAAAAGTTTGTGCTATTGGATTCCTATCTTATCTTATCCGATCCTATAGATTATATCCGTAATCGCCATTAACATTAGAGGTAGGTATCAATCATATCATATGCATATATTATCCTCCATTTCATATTCATATTCGTATCCCTGTCCCTATCCATTCTCCACCAGTCCATCCAACCAATCCATTAATACCAAAACCCATCCCTTCCTTCCCTTCAATATTCCCCACCATCAAACTCCTCCAACCCCTACAAAACCAGAGCCATAACCCCGAAAACACCCAAAAACACCATCTGCACTTCCACCTTTCCACCTCCACTCTTCCCCTTCGCACTAGCCGTCGCCCCCGCCGCGCTACCCAACGCAGAAGCACTATCACTAGCCACAACCGTCGTAATAGTCGCCACACTCTCACTAACCGTACTTGCACTCCTAGTACTCGCACTTCTCGTCGTTCCCGGAATCGTCGTCTGCCTGGTATCCACCTCAATATCTGTACTTACAACTTGACTTCCTCCAATCGAAGTCGTGATTGTCCTTGATACTGAGATTGTTTGAGAGGAAACGCTGGCGGGGATGGTAGTTGCGGGAATCGTAGTAGCGGGGATGGTGCTAGCTGGGAGTGTGGTTGTATATGTAATTGTTACTCCGCCTAAAGCAGAGGCGGGAATGGCACTTCCAATTCCACTGGCTGTGAACTGAGTGGGCATGGGTAGAGTTGCTGTGTTGGGTTTGGCGGCTTCGTCGCTACTATAGATATTTCCCGTTGTTCCATCTTTATCTGTATAATCTCCACTTTCCAAATTTGCAGTAGCGCCAGATGGGGAAGTATAAGAACCTCCTACTACCGTTCCATAACTATCATCTGGGAGATAATAGTTGGTTGTGAATTGGTCGTAGCAGAATGGAATATTCAGAGAGTGCATGGTGAGACAGTTTAAAGAAGAAACGCAGCATAGTGAAGGCGAATCACGTTTTTCGAAAATGACTTCTGAAGAGGAAGGAAGTGATCGTTTGTTCGCAGGCAAAGATGAGAGAACAATATCTTGGAATAGATTCACGAAATCCGAATCTCCAATTTGTGGGGTATTAGCGTTTGTGGCGCCAGCGGGAGAACATAAAGTATATCCTTGTCGACAGTCACCACCACGGGATTCCAATATGGATGGTGCTGCCAATGCTGCAGGCGCAATAAATGCGAATAAAAGTTGATGGCGCATATTAATTGTATGATGTGTCGTCGTTGATTAGAGGTGTATCAAATGTATGATGTACAAGGTAAATAGTTTGCGTATGTATGTGCTGGGTTTAGAGGAGCTGTGAAGCTGTAAAAACGAATGAATGTGAGAAATGGGATAAGTGGGTAGGTAGAATTGAACAAACGGTCGATCAGAAAGTAAAGTAGATAGATTAACAAATGTATATTCTCAAAATAAAACTTCACAATGTAAAGAATGTCAGAGAATGAGATGATAGATAGAACGAATGACGGTGAAGTTTTCCCAGACTTCTTTTCTCTCACAAGATACAGAATTTGCAGATGCGACAACGGTTGAAAGAGAAAGAGGTTAGAGAACAGAGGACAGAGGACAGAGGACAGCAATCAAAAGATTTGAGGAAAGAAAGGGAAATTTTTCAATTTTCCGTGTACCAACAGGAAAAGCAAGGGAAGTAAATACTTGGCAGTTCGCGTTGGACCAAACCGTGGGGAGTTGCTGAATCCAGTATAGTACTCTGCATGGTCGGGATACGAGGTCGAGAGATAGGCCTATAGGCTGACCTGTGCCTTGCAGAGGTCTTGCATCAGGTGTACAGAGGGAAAATTGTTTGGGTGAGAGAAAAGGGAAAATGTGAAACTATAGTGAAGTTTTCGATTGTATAATTGGTTGGGCTATTTGGTTGGTTATGAGATGTTGTTGATTTAGTCATGCTAGATCAGTTGGCTTTAATGGGCTTATTTTAGTGCATTATGATTATTTTTAGGTTTTGATCATGAACTCTAGCGTTTGATAGGCGTCTGATGTCTGATATTTGATGTTTGTTATTCATATTGGAAGGCAATTGAAGATAGTAACAGAATCAACATTTTCCTTAACTTTGAGCTTTATACTCTTTCTATCCTTTTAGATAAGACTTATATATAAAAATAGGTAAAAATACATACTCATAATAAACAGACCAAAATGCCCCCATCACGACCTCTCTCAATCCAACAATCAAAATAGCCGCACAACCAACCCACCATCCAAAACCAAACTTCAAAGACCATCCACAATTATTCTCCCCTTCCCCTCAGCCGTTATACCCGTTGAACAGAACATTAAATCATCAAAGCGAAAACGAGCACTGTTAAAACCTAACAAGTAACTAAAACTTCATCAGACGAACGAACTGCTTCTTCTAACCTATCGTTCTATCTAGTGGTCAAAGCACAATCATCCAATCCCGAGGTCTACGAGGTACCTAGGCACTTCTAAAAAAACATTCACTATCTGATCGCACTGCCACAATATCCTATTCATCAAATAATTCTACTTTCTATATTTGCAGACAAAGAAACCTCTAAGCTATTGATGGGTTGATGTGTCGATATGTCGAAGAAAGTTGTAGATATTCATTTTCTAGCTTCATTGATCCTTGTCGATTTACTATCTCACTTCCAGTATTCCTCCCTCCCCCTTTACCGATCCAATGCCAAAACTAACTCAAACCCGATGCCTTCGCGCTCCCATCAAGAAAGTAACGTGGTAAAACAAGAAAGCGTGGGTATACATGAGTCTCATCTATTCTTTATAATCTTCGTGGCTCGTCTTCTTCTGTCCTTTATTCATCCACTGCCCCTCCGTATCTATATCCGTTGCCCTGGTCATCCACACCCTCCCGCAACTCCACCACTTCCCTTAACTCATCCACTGTCCCGCAACAATGGGTAATATCCTCAGCCTAAATCCAATGACACAATAACTTCCCCGGGCTCCTGCTGTACATTTCCTCTTTCCTCTTCCGCACTGACTTCTACTCATCATCTATTTCTGCCCCGAGAAAAACCATGAACTTCTCTTCGTGCTCCCTGTGCTTCCAGTCTCGGAGTTTTGCAGGTTGCCGATGGTCGGAATCTGCCCATCACCACCACCTCCTCTTAGTGGTTTGGCAATCCTGCTGCCCGCACCACCAAAGCTAAATCCTCCAGTGGGTGAGCCTAGTCCACGGGTACTACCTGCCTTGGCGGCTTCGAGTCGTTCTTTTACGGCTGAGAGTTGTGCCTCGAATCTAGAGTGGTATCAGTAATGTTACTGATGAATAAGGAGAAGAAAGATAAAGGGAAGGCAAAACCAAAACCAAAAGCAAAAGCGAATAGGGGGACCGAACCTGTGACTAGCAGTCGTCAACTTCTCCTGAGAATCCTGCAGCAGACTCTCCAAACTCTGAATCCGTTCATTTCTTGCAATCAACTTCCTCTCAGCAATAGCAACTTCCTTCTTCAAGCTCCCGTTCTGTTCAACCAATTGTCTTTGAACATGAGTTAATTGTTCTAGATTTCTCTCTAGGAAAGCCATTTTCTTTTGTTGGGCTTTGTTGTTAGATGAACGGAGAACATTGTTGTATTGTTCGCGGGTCTCATCGAGAGAGATTTCTAATTCAACAACACGTTCACAGCGATTTTGCAAGTCGCGCATCAAGCTCTTCTTCATCACATCGAATTCGGCGATCTGCTGTTGAACAGTCTTGCCACTCGCCGAGCTAGGTGCTGTGCCGTTGGTTGCACCGCCTGACTTGACTCTTTGTTGAAGGTCTTCATTTACAGCCTTGAATTTTTCAATCTCAGCTGACTTTTGGGCGACTTCCTTTTTAAGATCTTCCACCAATTCAACTTTGATGTCTTGATTGTTGGCATATGCCTTTTCAAGACGTTCCTTGATCTCAGCAACATCCCCTTCACTCAAGTTACGCTCGAGGAGGTCTTCATATTCTTGCTCGAGGACCTGAAGTCGTTGTTCTAACTCCTCCCTGCGCTTAACATTGGCATCATTCGATGATGATCCAAACATGGAGAGTTCTGCTTGTCGGACAATGCCCTGTGTTTCGACCAATTTTACCCTCAATTCTTCAAATTCATCAGGAGGAATGGCTTCCCCTGCAGAACTTTGCTCATGAAGAGAGTCAATGTGATCAATGACTTTTTTGATGGTTGCTTCATTCTCGCTGAAGACATCCCCACCGAGATCAAATCCAGCCATCATCTGGGCCATTTTCTCGGCCTTTCTCTTCTCCTTTTCATCCAAGGCGGCACTTGATTCTTTGGCACTCATTTTGACATTAAGTAATTGCTGCTTGAGTTCATCGAGCTCCGCGGTCAGCTCGGCATTGGCTTCTTTCAGACTGTCCATGGTAATCTGTGCCTCTTTACTCTCGAATGCCAATCGCTCAAGTTGCATTTTAAACTCGTTTGCTTCACTAGTAAGCTTTTCGTTATCCTTGTTGACCTTGGCATCTCGTTCTTTTAGGTAAGTGAGTTCCTCCTTGGTATCTCGCAAGGTCTTCTCTGCAGCGGCAATTTGGGTTTCCTTCTCGGTGATCTGATCTTGAAGTTCATTTTCGCGTCTCAGGAACTCTTCTCTCTCGTCTTTGTCTATCGGTATACCTGGAGTAGCCGACCTTTCTGTCAGCGGTGTCTCTGCTCGGCTTTCCATTGCCAAACGAGAAGGTGTAGAAGGCCGAGGTGCTCGAGCAGCCTCAGCCTTTGCCCCACTAACGCCTGCGAGTGGGGGTGCCCATTGCTCCTTTGGTACAGATTCTCCCTTACGCCACAACTGAACTTCTCCCTCGAGGGTAGAAACATAGGTTTCAAAGGTAGTGACTTGTGACTGGGCTTTCCTAAGTAAGGCTTTAAGTTCTGCTGGACTGAGCTCCGCGTTGACCTTGGCTTTATTCTTGATTGCCTTTGCTCGCATACCAAATCTCAAAGTACTCAGAGTTTCTTCGGCATTGTAACTACTAGGCGAGCAGTTGATGATGAGTGTCGTTCTACTATTTCCTCCCAAACTCTCTTGTAAAATTCTAGTAAGTTTCGAGTCTCGATAAGGAATATGCGATGATTTGCCGTCCGTCAGGTTGTTGATAACCATTCCAAGAGCACTCAAACTCTTGTTGATCTTCTTTGCCTCCTCCAGAGTCTGTCCACTAGCACCAGTCTTCCCGACCTTTTCACTACCAGCCAAATCGACCAAGAAAAGTTGACCGCTCTTTGCCGATCCGGTTTCAACGTTCTTTTGTGTAATCGTGATAACAAATATAGAATGCGATCGAGAGGATTCTGCATTCATGTTGGTCGAGGCTACAACTCTTGCATCCCCTCCTCTTTTTAAAACCTCATAGACTTCTTGGACGCTTGAAACATAGACCTCTAATAACCCCTTAACGTAAACACCTCTATTCTTCTCTTCGTGGATAGGAAGATTGTCATTTTGCGGCTGTAGCAGATCTCTAATACGTTCCATATAAATTTCCATATAGCTGACCCTTACTGTATACTCGATCGTACCCGGACTGGACAAAATGCTGGCGAATATTTGCTCCACAATTCTCGGAATAACACCTCTACCATCGTCGTTGTCGAGGTTTGTTCCCATCATCGTATAAGACTTTCCCGCTCCTGTCTGACCATATGCAAAGACCGTTCCATTATAACCGTTAAGGATATCGTCTACTGTAGGTTTAATAGAGAAGTCGAAAATATCTTTTTGCCGTGAGCTCATGCCAAAAACACGGTCGAATGTGAAGGATCCAGCCGCTCCATTTGACTATCCCTGTGATTAGTAGAGTATAACATTCTGGAGTAGTTCGACGAGACACCTACATCAAGGGCGCAAGTGTCATCAGCCTCGAATTTCACAACCGGTTGAGCACCTTGTTCATTTTCAATGCGATTCTGCGGCCTAAACCGACAGACAACCTTAATAGAGTTCGACATGATCGCGAGATGGTTGTTATCCCGGAACGACCATATGTACAAGAGTCGAACTCAGAATTTATGTTGTCGTTGGCAGGTTTAAAGAACGTTGGTATTGAAGTAAATACTTTGTGGTTAGTGGTTGATAAGGAGAGGTTGTTGACACACAGTCGCGCTAAAGATCTTCGCGTAGTAACTCCAAGGCCAATGCAATGTCGGAAGAAATTTGTGTCAATGCCATGCGACCACGACTACACAAGACTGGTCGTACCCTAAATGACTCAAGGGAAATGCTTGTTTGAGGAGTAATAACATTTGACTTGTTATATCTGTTGCACATTACCAGTCTACTGAGTTTTTTATCCGTGAATCTAGAAAGGAGAAAATGGGTTGGAAATTTCATGATTCATTCTGTTGAATTCCCGTATTATTGTTGTTACCATAGGTACCGTGTGACATGCATGTATGGTAGTAGTATCCTGCACGAAATGCTATAATCGAAATACTAGGTATATTGAATAATGCTGTATGGAATGGGCCATCATAAATATTGCCCTTATTGACTGACTCCTTGTAGAAAAAAACCATATAGACAGATTGAAAAGGAAACTCCATAATAGATGCCGTCTCAAAAACTCCAGAACCCCGCCATTTCATCATTAAATAAGGCCTAACTCAAATACGACTACCTATGAATCACACTGAATGTGCTTCAATGTAATCCTGCCATATAGTTATTCGGAAATTTAGAATCGATTCTCAGTTATCCTCCCAACTCTTCTCAACAGTTTCCCTAACACGTTTTGTATATTCTCTCCTGTTATCTTTGTATAGGTTGGAAGCTTCTACGTTGGCAGGGGAGCCAGTATTTGGATCATTAAGCAGACTACATGAAACTTAGTATATAGACTCGGGAATCAATGGACCACTTGCGAAATATGTATGTACCTTTGAATACTCGTCAAAACTGCCGCAACATCATATGTAGGACTCCACCTATTTTGTAGAATATCTAAACACAACTCTCCGGTTGCATAAACATTAGGGTGGAACATTTGACTGATGAACTTGACGGCGGGCGGCTTGTTTGGATATTGTTCCTCGAAGGTCATAACAAGTCGGAAAGTTCCATCTTCGAAAGGAGTATCTGCTGGGCCGATAATGACAGCGTTCCTAGTAATTTCGATATTGGCATCAAATTCTTCAACGTTGAAATTCTGAAAAAGAAATACTAACCAGAGCATGACATTATCTGCAACAGGAGATGCCGAAACACCAGCAGGAGGGTCGGTTTGCATGCGCTATAGATGAAAGTTAGATTCCCTTCGAATCATGATCTTGTGCCCCTCCACGAATTGCCACTAACCTTGAAATCCCGCATAAGACGACGACGAGCAGCTGTAGACATTATGGCGGATTGTGCGAATGATAATCAAGAATCAGAATGTGGAGTTTGTTGAATCGAAGTAGCTTTGAATGAATGGGGATTATTTTTGTTTGGAAAACAGCTTTAAGGTATAGCGGAGAGCAAGTTCATGAGATGGTTGGTAGATATTAGTATCCGATCTGAAAGCCGGCGGCGGAAGTTTGTGTGGGTTCCCGCAATGATGGCGAACTTTGTGTAATAAGTGGTGTCGGGAAGTTTTGATTGGAAAGAAAGCACAACTTTCTAGAAAGAAAAGTAGATTTGTCACATTAACAGTTTTGAGGTTATACGAAAAGTAGTGCAAAGCTTCACGATACTGTTGGATTTTCTCCAAGTTATCATTATTGACAATGGGCCAGTATGTATGTACAGCTAAGGCACAGGCTTAGACCGCTTTCATTCAACCCCTTCATGCCAGTGCCACGCATAACAAGGACCCTTGGGCCTTGAGTCATGTTTATCGTGAAGTCACGAGTAGATTGACATTGTACGCTAGCTACTAAATTGGCTTAGTCATGATTTTATTCTCCACCTTTCAACTGACCTGGTCCGAGCTTTCAACTTGGGGTAAAACAAATGGAATACATTCCGCCGCTGTTAACCGCGGGGCAATTGACTTGAATAATAATCAGAAGGTAATTTGATTTTGTTTCCTCTTCCTTTCCTTTCTTTTCTTTTTCATCGAGTTTTTTCAACTGTTCCTCCTTCACTTATCTGTTTCTAAAATCATACCCATCATGTTTTCATACACTGCGAAATCCTCGATTAGGAATTTGAGGATGGCATCCCCTTCATCAAGGTTAGCACAAGTTCAAAGACAATTCAGTGCAAGTACCTCGGCGAAAAAAGAAATTCAAGATGCGTACATTTTAAGTGCATCAAGGACACCTACAGCAAAAGTACTTCAATATAATCCAATTTATCGTTTAAAATTAATAGAACTAACTTGAATTGTAGTTTAACGGATCTTTTCTTACTGTTAGTGCCCCTCAACTGGGCGCTGTAGCCATTAAATCCGCCCTCGAGAAATCCAAAGTTCCGGTCGAGAAAATCACAGATGTATACATGGGAAACGTGCTACAGGGTAATGTGGGACAAGCGCCAGCTCGACAAGCTTCTATATTCGCGGGTCTGCCTTCAACAGTCGAAGCGGTCACTGTCAATAAAGTATGCGCATCTGGATTGAAAGCTGTTGTGTTCGCTGCACAAAACATTCAACTCGGCCTCGCAGAGGCTCAAATTGCCGGAGGAATGGAAAATATGTCCCGAGTACCATACTATTATCCTCGAGCTAGCAGTCTTCCTCCATTCGGGAATATACAAGCTGAAGACGGACTCATTAAAGATGGATTATGGGACGTTTATAATCAATTTCACATGGGGGTATGTGCAGAGACTACAGCAAAGAAGTATAATGTTACACGAGAACAGCAAGATGAATACGCTATCCAATCATACAAACGGGCGCAAGAAGCATGGAAAACCGGAGCTTTCAAAGAAGAGATCGCCCCTGTAACTGTGAAAGGTCGCAAGGGCGAGACCATTATTGACACGGATGAAGGTTACCTGGATGTCAAATTCGACAAAATACCTTCATTAAAACCGGCATTCGTTAGAGATGGGACTGGGACAGTTACCGCTGCCAATGCTTCAACATTCAATGATGGCGCTAGCGCATTGGTGTTGGGAAACAAAGCCATTGCACAAGAATATGGATCAGGATCTAGAGTATTGGCACGAATTTGTAGCTCGGCAGATGCTGCAGTTGATCCCGTCGATTTCCCTGTTGCTCCCGCCAAAGCAGTCCCGATTGCTCTGGAGCGAGCAGGAATCAAGAAGGAAGATGTAGCAATTTGGGAATTTAATGAGGCATTCGCAGCCGTAATAAAGGCAAATGAAAAGGTTCGTCTCACTCAATCGGATTTTCGAAGGGAATACTAATACAATCTAGATCCTCGGACTTGAGAACGCAAAAGTTAATTTACTTGGTGGAGCCATCTCACTTGGCCATGCTCTCGGAAGTTCGGGTTCACGAATTCTCACAACATTATTACATCAATTAAAAGTCGGAGAATATGGTGTTGCGGCGATTTGTAACGGTGGTGGTGCTGCGACAGCGATCGTTGTACAAAGAATTGATAGTGTTTAAATATGATTTCAATAGCATGTGGACCAGTAATTGGTGCGGAGTTTAGGTAAAATAAAAAAAAGTCCATCGTATTTGGATTATTTCATATTTACACTGTTAGTGACTAGATTGAACGTGAAAAGGCAATGTCTCAATTAAAAGTCGCTTCTCCTTGTCCTTTTTCAGAAAGGGGGGGATTTTCACATGTCAATGGAAACGAGCCGAGATCCCGCTTCGCTTGTGACATCATCATCATCATCAACCACCAACGCGACAAGGCAGTATTTTATTTCAACTTCCGAATCTCTCAATTAAGCACGATACACCAATTGTCTTTGTAACTGAAACTGCTTCTGCCGATAGATAACTTGACTAATATATTTCGCAATTGCAATCAAAAGTTGTTGAAGGAGAGCCTCTATACCATCTAAGATGGATCATCCAAGTAAGTTTGTGATTCCCTACATTCTTAACCCTTAGGTTACTTCCTGTCCTGCTGCATTCATATCACATCTATCCTTCCCGTCACGTCTACTTTAAATCTCCATTTTCCTTTCCATCCCTCCTGCCACAAAATCACACCACTAACACAACCCATCCAGAATCACAAATCGTCCCCATAATCCACACCCTCTGCTCCGGCAGTCCTTCCGCTCAGAAAGAAGCTCTTGAAACTTATTTCACCAATGATGCATCTTTCTCACATCCCTTATGTTCTGTGCCTTCGTTTTCTACGGTGAGGATACCGGTTCTTGGCGAGGTTGATAGTAGATGGGTGCTTTGGTGTGTTTATAGGTGGTATAAGGTGCTGAGTCCGAGGATTGTGGTGGAGGTTGATGGGGTTGGTATGTTTTTGTTCTTTTCTAAAGCTTTGAGTTTTGGCTTGGTTTTGGTTTAAGAGGAGGAGAGGGAGAAATGATATAGCAGACTAATCTCAACCAACGACAGAATACAACCCCGAAACCCAAACCCTCTTCCTCCAAATCCACCAAATATTCCACCTCTTCTTCGTCCCCTTCTTCGCTCCCACCGTTTACCTAACCACCATCCTCTACCTCACTCCTTCTACAGGCAGATTACAATCTCATAACCACAACTCATTCGAAGGATCATCAACCGGCGCTTCAGAAAGTAGAAGAAGAACAAAATACTTGATAAAACACCAAGAAGATTTATATCAAAGCACGGAAGTGGTGAAGTTTTTCTGGCCGGGTGGAACGAAAGTTATCAGCGCTTGGAGATTGTTTGCTACGCTGCTTTGTATTTCTGGCGCGATAATTTTTGCCCCCTTTACGTGGATGCAGGAGTGGGGATGGTTTGGGAATGGGTGGGATGTTAAGGAGAAGAAGAAGGAGAGTAGGGGCGAGGTGAATGGTGTTAATGGTAGCAATGGGGTTAATGGTGGAAGAAGGGAAACCAGAAACGCTAATGGAGAGGTGAGGAAGAATAGGTAGGGCTGATTGGGGATATGAATTTTCATTTTTGGAGGAGGATAGTTTGAGACGCCTGAGTGAATCTGTGGTACAGTAACGAAGCGATTTCTCGGCGGGAGTACATCACCCACGGATTGGTAAGGGGTTACTTCAACGTGTAACAAGAAGCCATTTGCATATAAAACGAATACGAAGAATGAAGAGTTTATAACGAATGGCATGTTTATTGTATAGATTTTATAATTATAATTTTACACGCTCATGTATTAGTTAACATATCTTTCCATCTGTTCATCCAATCTTATCGATATTCTCGAAATCAATCTAACTCCATATCCTGCAATCCGAAACTGGTCCCTAAATCCTGTGGCTTGATACCACGCCTCAATCTTCGCCTACGCATTGGAGCTTCGGACTCGGAAGAACCACCACTTTCATCTCGTTGGCCGAGACTGGTTTGGCTAGGCTGTCCAATCCTCCAAGAGCGCACCGCTCTTTTGTATCTCCGTCGTAATTTTTGAGATGGTCCACGGACTTTGACTTCTTGTATTGGGGAAGCTTCTTCTTCTTCTTTTTCAGTTCGTGTTCTTAGGCCCCGGCACAACCTTCGTCTACGAACTGAAGCTCCTGGTTGTTGAATGTCAACAGCTTCATCTTCTTGAACGGAAGCAAGCAGTCGGGAACGTTGTAATCTACCTAAGCGAACCATTCTTCGATTGTATTGTTGTAACTTTTGATACGAGTTGGCACGATTGCGATTAACAGATCGTTTGGATCTTTTGTAATAGTAAACCGAGGTTGGCACATTCCATCCAACACGAGGTAACTTTAAGTTGGAGGAATACAAGCCACGTCGCTGAAACTTTTCGTCCTTCCGCATTTCAGAGAACATGTCATGAAGGGGATAAGGCTCTTCCTCAATCGGAATTTTCTCTCTTATGGCGGTCTCGCAGTTCTTAACGTTATTTGCCATCATCGTCCTTAGAGTTGTACGGTCGTTAAGAAGAACCCCGAAAAGCCACGTTGTCGCTCACGGCTCTCACGCCGAATGCCCGATACCTCTCCCTCACCAGCCGCGATGCATCGTTCCGGATCATCCAGTAAAATTTGTTCTTCCCAAAGCTGTTGCTAAGCCAATTCACGCGGACAGAGACAGTTGTTAGGATTCGTCTGTCTTCTCTCTCCAGAAAACGATTCGCCCTGACACATCTGAGCATAGCCAAAAATTCGCTAAATCTTCGATGATTGAGAAGATTACAATCGTCTAGAGGCTCCCAGTAGATCGGATCGCTTGGGTCTGGCGCGGGCCCATCCCGCCTCGCTTCACGGACCATACTCCAATAAGACTTCTGCTTTGCGCCACCCTCTTCAGTCTCTTCCAAATGGCCAAGACATACAATAGCTCGCGACATATTCAAACCCCCATGCAAACTCCATGATTCCTTAAAAGCCATCAAGTCGAAGAGCCTTATACTTTCAAATGAGTTGAGAATCTCGAATGCCTCGAACCACAAATCGGTCTCCCATGAACCAGTTTTGCACGTGGGCGCTTCATGTATTCCTGCTCTACATCGAGGGTGTATGTGCTCAGCACCTTCATATTCTGTAATCATAGGCGTCACTGCGAATTCTACCATTCGAACGTTATCGCGCAAGTAATCGCCCCAATAATTAAAATCACGGAGGAATCGCTTGGGACTATCCCAATAGAAAGTAAATTCTTGAGCAAGAGCCAGCTTGACCTCCGCATGAACTCTTCTACTGACGAGAATAAACTCTCTCCCCGGCATTCTATCGTCGTCGGTGACGCCATTTCTCGAATCGATGAGCGTGATGTGCGGAAATGTATAAAGTGATTTTGAATGATTCAATAACTGTACACTCATATCTTGGGTTTTCGGTTCGATGATGGAATAACGATAAATCTTCTCGCGTATCTCTATCGGGAGATCGAAGAAGTTGACCATCGTTGCGGTTTTAAATTTGAACGCTTTCGTCCCTTGGATATTTGAATGAATTCAGCAACAAAATCAAGAATGTTTTATTGTCAAACTCCAGTTCAGACTTTGAAAACTCCGAATGCTGATGTTCAGTTGATAATGTCCTTCAGATTCAAGCTGAAGAATCTGTTGATATTTGCTGTATATACACAGGCCAATTGACAATACCGAATTTCGTTAAGGTTTCTTTTGACGAGGTCGTGGCGGTAATAAAAGGGGGAGAAATGTAATCGATGCCGTATTGTTGCTTATTTGAGCTCGATATTAATAATTTAAGTATGAGTGATTATGATGATAGTGAATACCGTGTCTTGATATAGTCGATAAATGTGAATAATCCGTCGAGGTATTAACGAAAATGGATTATATTGATAAATGTAGGTAGGTAGTGATGAATTTGCATAGTATGCGGACGAGATTAAGGAAAAGAAGAATGAAAAAAGTGCGGGGTGGGCGGTTTATGGGGAAGCGAATATCTGCGCACTAGTTAGACACTAGGGTATGACGGATTGCTCTAAAATCACTAGTACATCAAACTAGGTAGATAAGTACTGGAGATGATAGGTAGAATGGTAATGTTCAGATATAACAGGGAATGTATTGTAGAAAATTGGCTTGTGGATTGAGATGGCGAAGTGAGCATCCGGTTGGAAGATACAGGCTCAAGAGTACGTAAAAATTGGGGAGGTTTTTCTCTTTGATTCTCCAAAATTTTATGAGATATGGTTAGACTAAGAAGAGATGTATTGGGTTTCTTGAGACCAGAAAGAGCATCAGATTGAATTGATTGATTCTCTAGCTAAGCAGTTAAGCTGCGAGTATATATTCAAAAATGAAGGAATAAGGTTAGGTATTCAGCCTTCGGAATTAAAGTGCTTTGAAATCAAAATATTGAAAGCAAACAAACAGTATACCAAAAAGGAAAGAATGAATTAAAAGTTGAGTTTTGTTTGCTCCTTATATGCATCATGCAATACATATGCATATGCTGCCAAGATCCCAGGAGGTCAACAGAATCGTATACTTCGAAGAGCAAATGAGGCATTAAGTAAACGTCGACGTACCAAAAAAAATTCAACTATGTAATAGAGGAGTACTTACTGGATAAGAAGCTGAAGTTATATTATCACAACAAGAGATTGATAATCAGATTCAACGGGACGAGCGTCAAAATGGGGGAAATTCTAATAGGGAATCATCTACTAGTCGATGCTGTAGTAAATGCGGAAAGACTGGTCATAATTCAAGAACTTGTCAAAATGATATAATAGATCCTAGATTATTAGATTCTTAATAGTTTGAATCAATTGAATAAGTTATGATTGATTAATTAGAATTTGAAGTGGTTAAATGAATTCTTAACTAGTCAATTCTTAATTAGTCAATTCTTAATTAGTCAATCTTTCCTGCTCTTTTCTTTTCCTGCATTCTTTATGGTGAGGATATTACCAGAGCCTCAAAAGGAACTAGTTGAGCCTTAACTTCCAACCGCAAACTTTGAATGACCTTTTTCAAATAAACATACCTATTATTTATTCCTGGTGCAATGGATCTCCCAAGACCAGGGTCATGATCATGTGTCTGCACCTTACGAACGAGAATGACATTTCTGTGCTCAAAGGGCACAGTCACTGCGAGGAAAATGCTCGTTTTCTACCAACATATCTTGTCTCATTATCTCGTTATCTCGAAATGTATGATTGATCACCTTTTGGGCGCCCAGTAGGCGGGGTGCGCTTTTCTTCCAGGAGACTAGAAATGTTTAAAAAAAAAACGGTCGTAGGGATGAAATGCAAGTCACATTCACATTAAAAACCCGGCCACTGCCAAATAGGGTTGTATACGGATGGCACAGTGTTAGGGCATTTGTTAAGCGAATATTGGGACTGCAAATACCCAGGTTGGATCATATTGGCTAATTACCACGAACAGACAAATTACAAATCAGATCTATACGATCCCGAAAAATGCCATGCATTTCCTCTTCAGTCCAAAAATAAGCACACCAGGATGCCGATCCTCCATGCATACCCCATTCTTCCTGGGGTCCAAACTTGGATCAACTCCTCCGAACTCATGGGATAGTGCTCCATATTTCATGTTATTGAAATAAGCTGGGGAATATTCGGCTCCACGTGCCACAAATTTGACCTTGTGTGTGCCAAATCACTCATTGCAGAAAGATCACCAATGTCAAGGCTTATGAAACAACGTATACGAGTGTAATTAGTTCTTATCCTTTTATTAAAGGTAAGTTTTCTACATATCTCAGTGGAAGTAGAATTAGGATAGTTCCAAGATGTGCTGTGCTATTGTAATATTTCAAGTCAACACCCTTCCACCAACCTGAAGGATGGTTTGAGTGTGTTGCAAGTAGCATCCTTAACCTCAAAATGACTTCACCATTAGTTCGAGTATTTGAAGTATTTGACACATGGTGGAACAAGATTCTTCAATTCCATTCGCTTTTGTCTACCTATATATTATAGAATTCTTCCCTGTAAGCTGGTCCGCAGTGAGTCGACGCGATATATTTGTACTTTCTTTTGTAGTATTATCTTTGAAAAAAAAAAAAAAAAAGATTGAATCATGCCACTACACACAAATGCAATAGCTGCTGATATTATTTGTGTCCTTTTCCCGGGGTTTTCCGGATTAGCTGTAGGATTTAGATCATATGCACAAAAACGACTTCCGGGAAGTCCATTTCGCACTGATGATTATCTCTTATTTTTGGACAGGTAGATTATTTAGCAGAGATTATATTACGCTAGTAGCCTAACTTTAAGTAGCTTATTGCACTTTCAACATGTATTATGGGTATCTACATACATACACTTACCATTATTCTCCCATAGTCTCGGCAATATTCCACGCTTTCATCTGGGCAATAATTGAACCTTGTATTAGTACCATGGCAGCTAGTCTTCCCACATACGTACCCATCTTTAAGGAAATCTATTCAAAGGCCTACCTTAACGCACTTGGACCATTCTCAAGTAGTGAGAATAGGCAGAATAGTCCGAAGAAGAATACAGTGGTGATAACACCTAATGGCCACAGTGAGGATGATAGTCAAGTGCCTAAAAGATCGGAGAGACTGGGTCGGAAAGGATGGACGGAGTTGAGAAATATGAGAGGGGAGGATGTTTTCGGTGGGAATAAAAATGAGAATGGTAGTGTAATGGGACTGGGAATAAAAAGGGGATATGAAATGCATGTTTGGAGTAAGCCATGAGGTATATACGGAGTGAGTAGGACCAGGGCTAGTCATTAAGGAAAGGCCAACCTGGAAATTTTATCTGGAAGATGAGAAGATTAAAATGGTGCGTATGATGAATTATGTTACGAAGTAGGACTATAACAATTTAGTTCATAACACACTGTGCTGAAAAAAGAGTGAATAGTATCTTCATCCAGCATCGCAGACTGTGATCCATAAATATATGAGTGGGACTTCTCAAAGTCAACAGTAATCCAATCATTCAATTGATACAAAACTCCAGATTCGCCTCAAAATCTCACAATGATACAGCATCTTCAACTTCTCCAAACTGAAGGAGAAATTTCAACCATCCTAATGCAACCCAATCATCCTAATGCAACGAAACCCCTTCATGAAAAGACATCTCAGCTCAATCCAGTTTCTTATCGTCAGATACATACTCTCACCCGTCTGCCCATGAGCAATCAAGCCGCTGAGCTTTAGCACCAACAATGAGCCTTTAGTGCAGCTGATTCAAAGTGAATGCCTGTGGAGTTGATACACAGAAAAAAGGTATGGAAGCCCAAATTTTAAGACAGCGACTATAGTTTTATGTTTCGATCTGCTGTTTTTATATATTCTTGGATTTCCAGGAGAAAGTAGGAATTATTGGATAGATGACTGGTGGGAGTGGTGTGGTTATTTATATATTAGAGTTAGCCTGCATGAGAGTGAATATTGGATAGTGAGATCTAGATTTGTTGGGAAGATTTTGTGGAGTAGAACTTTAACAAGGCAAATGATTGTGAGGAGGTTAGACAATCATTAGGACATGATATATGAGGATAAAGCTTAAGTAGAGATGATTCACAGATGATATTGATAGGGTATCTTAACATGATAGAACTAGCTGAAGGATTCCAGCAAAGTTATCAGGTTGAGTACGATTAATAGAGTACCATTCACGGAAGAAGGAAAACCTTACTTTTCTATTGTTATTTCCAGCTTTGAATAAAAATAATCAATAAATCCAATGTTTGCACAACAGGAGCTTAATTGAGTCGTAGAATATGGTAGTTGTATAGCAAACAAATGAGTTCTTTGACATCAATATTTTTATTTGTGAATCCCCAAATTGCAAGAGGCTGTTTGATCCAGCTACAGGAAGCCAGCAAATATCTGATCTTTGACTGATGTACAACTCCTAGTTTTATAGAAATATCATCCTCATACCCACTACCCTTCCTAAAATCAAACCCACGCTCCCAAAAACCCAATCATAATGAAGAAGTTCTTCAACAAAGTCCTCCACCGCAGAAACTCTTCAGCTACTCTCTCCTCACCCCCTCCACCTCCATCTCCCCACCCAAACTACAACCCCCAAGACTGGCTCCACCGCGCCCGCACTCTCGACTCCCTCGACACCATACGCAATCTCCTGACAGAAATATTCAGCGCACCAGAAACCTGGTGGAGCCAATTCACTTCACATTGTGAAAATATCCTCCGACCAAAATACAAACATTTAGAGAGAGGAGGTGTGCCTAAGGATTGGAAAGAAGAGAGGTGGAATATGTATTTACTGAGCCGGATGCAAGAATTAAGGAGATATTATGGGGTTGAGTTGAAGAGAACGTTTGGTAATGGGAGAGAGAAAGTTATTGTTGGTACGAGAAGGATACGGAAGACGTAGCACCCACGGATTACGTAGGTCCTGTATGTCTAATTGTATTCTGTCTAAAGAGCTAGCTACATATTGAAAGTAGTAAGTCTTATATAGACTTACTAAAAGAGCTAGTCTCTTTCGCGTTCGCTTAGTTCTTTATTACAGTAGTAATTGAATTGAAGTCATTCACTTCGTTCACACAGTTATGGGGGCAGGTGAGATTAGGAGGTGTGTTGATTGGATTGTGTTTTGTTTGGTGGAGTTGGAGGGAGGGGTGTGAGTGTGTTTGGTGAGGTTTGGGTTAGGAGGAGAGGGAAAGGGAAAGGAAAGGGAGAGTTGGAATTTGGTGGACGTCTATGGAGGGTGTTTGGGTGTTTGGGTGGTTGGAAGTGTTAGTTTAAGATCGTTTCAGAGGGGTAGGTGGTTTTGACTACTATTTTTGAATATCAATCCACTTTTAGATATGAAATTTCTCTAATTCAGGATTTACAATGTTCTGCATGGCAATCTGAAATCAGCCATTATTTTGAGCCTTGTGCCCTGTTCATATTTTGTATCCATTTGGGACATCATTGTTAGTCGAGACGTTGTAAAAAATGATTTGATCAAGTTACCTGGAAAGATCCGTCGATTTTCGAACAATTTCCATTTAAACACGCGAAGAAGGAGTTTGAACAAAGATTGTAACAATCATCAAGTTTTTCTAAATATTATCATGAGATTTTGATGCAATCAGTAGTAAAGAAGTGGTCAAACAGCTGAAACCCATAGATGATTCGCTAAATGAGTAACCCCTTTTATGTCATTTCAGCTTACACAAACCACATTTGGCGTCATCCACAAGTAGACGATCAAGACATCAACCTCTGTTTATTCCGCATTTCTATTTAAATACTCTTCTTCACCCCACCGATGAAATAGCAATACACTCATATTGGGTTACTCCAAAATGCTATAAAATTGATCTTGAGACTACTATACCGGCAAAGAACTAATCAACATGCCCTACGAACATTGCGTGCCGCCTCCCTCCCCAAATCCCAGTACCGTCACCTCGAACCTCAACCTCCGCGGCAATCATGACCGCCCCAAAAGTAGCATCACCAACAATCCCCCAATTTTCCAACCCTTCAACTCCACCCTCTGGCTCCTCGACACGGAACAACAATCCACACAACACACACACTACCAAAAGCTCCTCTCCCGAATCTTCCACGCCCCCGATTCCTGGTGGGTAGAATTTCTCCAAATCTGTAATCTCACTCTACAACCTAAGTTCTCTTGCTCAAAAACGTCTGTATGGAATTTCTACACCACTTCACAGATTATATCCATGCGATCTGAATATTTGACTGGTGGTAGAATGTTTGATGATACGAGTGAGAGATATGTAATTGGTTGGTTTTTTGTATTAGGGAGTTGAGGGATTGGGATATGGAGTGGAATATGGATTTGGTGGGTTCTTTGAGTAGTTTTAGATATGGAGATGAGAATGGGAGTAGTGGAGATGGGTTGGAAGTTCGGAATGGGAGAAGAAATGGAACGCGCGGTGATAGGAGAGAGGGGAGATAGAGAGAGCATTTTGAAAGACCTGTTGGTAGGAGAATATTGAGGGGTGATTGGTCTTAGATGTAGCTTGCTGGAGTGGATATGCATATGGAATGGGATGATGGAGTAGTCTCGGGTGAACGGTTTTTGTCATGTTGCTAGCGGCGTAGAGCTTTAGCTGCATTGGCGAGATTTATAGAGTAGCTCCGGTGTTCAACTATTGGCCTTTTTTGATGTTAGTACAATATACGTTGAAGCTCGAGAAACATCTTTTAAATTTCAACTACGAGATGAATGACTCTCCTCCAATCCAAATTCTAACAGTATCAAACATCTGATATTTTTAAAGTCAGATTCCAATTTCGATGTTAAAGTCTAATGCGTAGATAAATATAGAAACTCAAGAGACGATTAGCCGGATAGAGGTATCTTACTTTAGTTGAACTTACTCCGGACTGCACTATGTAGTAAGGTCTTATATGAGATAGATTCATAGGAATAGACCAACACAAACCTCAACAGAGGCAACTGATAATCAAATCATCACTCCGCCAAATCAATACAGTATACACCTGCAATATTTCGCTGGAAAAAAGTAACAAATATAACTCGTAAATTCGTGACTATAGTACATTCTGTACATGGATGGTAATGACGCGACTTCACCACTTCCTTGTCCCGCATTTTCCTATTTCCACTGCCTCGGTCATCTTCCTTCCAAGCTTCTACACACTTTTACCACGCAACCTCGTACTGGACGGAAAACCCATATCTTGAGATCCCTCCCATATCAATCACGAACGCCATGTCTTAATACGCCATCATGAATCAGTTGAAAACGACAAGTCCTCCTTTTCCCGCGTTCATCCTTTCCTCGGTCTAACGAAAATTCATTTAATCCACCCCATACTTTTACGTCCCCGTCCCGAAGAAATACTCATCAAGCAAATTGATCCCCGCCGGTCCACCATTTGCCCCTACACCTCCAACCGTCGTTACATCCCCCAAGTTCTCTCCAAATCCCATATCAAACCCACTAAAATCCCATTCATCCTCGCCTGGCCCTCCCATACCACCATATCCTAGACCCGCATAATTCAAGAACCCAAGTCCAGGCGTATTTTGGAAATCAAAGTTGTAAGCATTGCTGTTGCCACCAGCTCCATTGCTAGGATCATATTGATTATACATTTCGGCATTTTGGCTCTGACCTGGCATTGATGTATATCCCTGCACTGGGCTTTGTTGGGCAGGGAAGAGGTTTGGATCAAGGTTCATGTTATTGTCTAAATTACTAAATGGAGGTGAGGCGGCGAAATTTGGTGAAGGAATTCGTGATGAATTGGCATCATTTCTGTATGCATCAAATTCCGTCTTGACCGCATTATTCGAACCAGTGCTATTTCTTGAATTGGGTCTCTCACTGACAAAGCCACCCCTCGATTGGTTACTTCCAGAGGCCACCCTAGAATGTCCTTTCGTGCCACCTGGAGGAGGCTGAGGAGTAAAAAGGTCATTGAGACCCATGTCGAATTGAGGTTTTGGACGATTAGACTGCGGAGGTTTCCGAAGTCGAGAACTATTGGCATTGAAGTAATCATCAGGTTGTGACTGTGAATGATGTTGGCCACCAGGATGATGAGGACGTCTGGAATGGAGCCCCTGCTGAGCCCCGGAACCGAAGCCGGTAGTGGACATGCACATCTGAACTGTAGCTTTGGACATGCGGTCAAAGGCATCTCGACATGCTTCAGCTGGAGGACATTTCTCTATCAAATCACCAAGAACGGAAGTTGCGGCCAGGATTGTGAAGTCAACTTCATCCATTGTCTAGAAAGATAATTAGTAACCATGTTCAGATTTGAGGAACAGATATAAGCCTACCAGTCGACTTCTGACAACCTTAGAATGCCAAATAGCATACAAGAATGAAATTCCCGCCATGAACAGGTGATGCGTCGCCAAGAAAGTATAATTCACAAGTCGCACCCTATGCAACTGTCTATACAATCTCAACACTCTTTGCCCCGCCTCTGCAACCTTCAAAAAGACTCTTTCTTCATCTTCCCTCAACTCTACATTAAGTATACTGGGGCTTTCCACCTCTTCACTCGTACTAAATTCTCCTTCGAACATCGGCGGGACACTCAAACTTTGTCTATACAGCATGATAACACATTGCCAATAGTTGAGCTCCAAGAAGTCTGTGGAGAATTCGACTCCCATCTCCCGTTTGGTAGGAGCTGACGTCTTCCATTCCCAGAGACGTTTGTCGATATCAATACGCCAAGAACGGAAACTGTCGAATTTCACTAGGAAAGGGGATGGCAATTGCGTGTGCATAAAAGGATTGCGCATATTTGCACCACCTGCTCGCGCATGCAATGCCTGTTGATGTTGTAATACTTGTAATATCTCAGACTGTAGCAATCTAAGGCGGAAGTAATGATATGCCACGTGCTTGTAACTTGTTCCAACAACCTCCGGGTCTTGTAGGCCAGCAGGGGTAATATATCTGTCATCGAGCAGAGAGGGAAATTCAGTTGTAACTACTTGATCGGTGATTCCAAATGGTCTCCCAACACACGTGGAAACAAGCCGATCAAACGAGTATGTGCACCACCACAATCTCCTCCTGTAATCCCGAATATACTCACGACGACCTCGTTCTCGCATCGCACGTTCACGCTGTAACCTTGCAGTCTCCGTATCTTCCTTCTTTACCCCAGGCGCCTCCAAAATTGGAAGTTCGATATCCTTTCCATCTTCATAATGCAGACCCAGATCGACTGCTAGCCGGACCGCTACTCCAATAATGTACCATAAACCAGGAGCCACAGGTCTTAGCAGCGCGAATCCAGCTAGAAGCAAAACAGCTTGAAGTTCCTCCAAACCCCCACCAAAACCATCGACTCTATCGACCGAGGAGCTGAGACAAGATTCGAGGTGAACAATTGCTGAAGCGTGATATTCCTCTGGCTGACTTTGTTTTCCACTGGTTGCGCCATTTGACTTGTCACCGTCGACATTCTTTCCCGCTCCTGATCGAACGCCTGTGTCGCCGAGGAAGATTCCAGCACCAATTGCAAACACAATATTAAGCATATAGAGTTCTCGGGGCGTCCTAACTCTATTCTCTCCAGTTGCGTATGCCTCCTCGAACATTTTCATGAATTCTCCTCGATGTAATATAGGTATCTGTGGATTTGCATGCTCAAAATAGAAGTCCACCAATCTTTTCCCAACGTCCTTGTCAGGGAATGGCACTGGTTTAATTGTAGGTTTTGTATGCAAACCAAAGAATGAATCACGCATCGAAGTTCCCCCTTGCGCAGCAGTCTTCGAACTTCCAGGTGGTCGCGAAGGCCTAACACCGCTCGTATCACTAGCCGCACCCGAAACGGAAGATCTCACCGCCGCAAACACCACTCTTGCAAATGATATACCGGAAGTCGAGCCCAAGTATCTCTTGTCTGAAGCTCCCTGGACTGAAACACTCTCAATATTCGACATCATTTTGTCCACCTTCTCGGACTCATCCTGCTTCTTATTCCACGTCACATCGTCTTGCCTTTGCTTTCGCACAAGCGCCGTGTCTCCATTAAATACCGACCTGCCATCATCGCTGGGAGTCTGTACAACCGCAGGATCTGTTCCTGGCTTTGGGGAATGTTCAAGGACTTCGGCTGGCGCAAACGCGATGTTATGTTGCAGTAGTAAGGATTCGAGGTGCGCTGTTCTTGTCTCCAAATAGTATACATAGCTGCCAAAATCATGTATTAGCCCTCAACACGCCAATTAATCCTCATGACAAAAAGAACGTAAAGAAATTCACCTCCTAGGAATTTCTCTCTTGGTAATCGGATCATAGCCCACACATCTATGCCCTGCCTTCTCACAACTTGCACAACTGGGCAAATTCTGATCGCATCTATTCTTTCTCAATCGGCATCTATTGCAGGCGCTCACATTGCGAAAACTGCTGCTTTGTCCCGCCTTAGCACCCCCAATTCCCTCGGCCTTGACTAGTATTGGTTCCGCAGGCACAATTTCATCTGACGTAATTCTCGGACTATCACTCTTTGCTACCGTAGCGGATGTACTAGAAGGCTCCGGGGAACTATGCCTTGCTCGTTTGTTTGGGTAACTACTTGAGTTCGCAGATGGGGAGTGGGGGTTCATCCTTCTAACTGTCTTCTCAACTTCGTCGGCTGCGCATCTGTGTGTAGGGTGGAAAACGTCGAGGATTTACTTTGTTGTTATAATCGAAGTCGCGCATGCGATTGAGTATACTGGCCCGTATTACTGTCTATTCCCTCTCATCCTGCTTCTTACTCAACCTCCGACTTTGCGATTGTGTAATGATAAATCTCAAAGTGATACTGCAGCTTTGTAATCTTTCTGGTCCCTTGGCAAAAATCGTCAGATGTTTCGTTATCGCACTTCCAACAGAAGGTTTCTTTCCATTATTTACAGAATCATTATATATCAAAGTATTGAATGAGAGCCGCGTTCTCCTCTGTAATATGCGTGGGGTTTACCTTTACTCGTGATTCGAAATGTACAAACTAGATGTAGAAAAGTCCATGGATTGAACATTTCGTTGCATCTACTCGAGTACCTAGAAGGCCTAAGCCAGGGTAAAGATTTCCGCTAAATATCATTGATAGATAGCCGATGGAAAGAGCTGAATGATAAGAGCTTCGACCAATTGAATACATTCGTTCAAGATTATCTAGTCCATCTTGTTTGTACACGGAAGGTGGGTGAAATAGTTTATCAGTATTGTTGACTCGATAGCATCTAGTAAAATCCTTTGGCACGGGATATCTAGCCCGAGTGGAGTTTGATTAAAAAAGGCCATCACAGACGGTAAAGCTCAACCAAGAGAAGGGACAAAATTGCACATATCATTCATGCGTTCATTCATGTATTCACATAGTAAATTCAACGTAAAAATGTTTGAGAAAATTAAATTAAAACTAAATAGCTCATATCGTCGACAAATCTTAAGACTACCTAAACGCCAGACCTCATGCAAGGCAACCAAGACTATATGTTAATTCTTCCAAGCCAGCCAAAAAGTTATCTGCAATTGAAATTGCGTCCTGCGCCCCATCCCTAGTAGGTAGTGCGATATTGATATCTCCCTTTTATCGAAACTCCCCTCATCCTGCGAGGAACAAAACCGTTTTCGCAAACAACCCGTATCTGTGTCCCCTATAGCTCCAATTGCGCCCCCCCAAAAAGAAAACCCAAATATAAAATAGCATCATCGTGATGTGTAGCGCTCAAAGGCATAGTGGGGATATCTAACATCGAAACAAGAACCCCAAAGAAATGGCCCATAATGGCCCAAAGTAATTTTTATACAGATGCCCTCAGAGGAGCAATCTTAAAGAATTGAAGGAAAGAAATTTCATAAGTCGTGAATCGATAAGAATGATCAAAATATCATCTAGTTATCAGCAATCGTGGTCCTTAGCTCGGCGCCAGCGGCGATGCCAGTATCTGGAGCACAATGATCAAGCATTTCGTCATTGAATGCTTGCTCTTGGTCTTCTTCGCTCTTCTCGTCAACATCCATTCTTCCGCCCTTGTCAGTCATGTAGAGACTGATTACGGCACCGATCATTGCAATGATAGCACTGCACCACCAAGCAAGTCCAGAGTACCCCAAGTTGGCACCGGCCGACAAGAGGAATCCTGCGACGGTGGGTCCAAAGGCTCTGGAAATACTGGCTGTTGATGCTGCGACGCCGTTGATAGTTCCCAACATCAAAAGTGATGGTGCTGAATTGGTCAACAGAATAGCATTGCTTGGGTAAGTCATGGTTGAGAAAGTACATTTCCAGATGACAACCGCATACAACCCGATAATTTTAAGATTCTCCGGGAGCAAGACCAAGTATGGTGTAACAATGTAGAGGATCGGGTAGGAGATGGACATAGTTCTGAACAACGTCAAAGCTCCAAGACGTCGAACAACAATTGGGAATAAGAAGATTGTAGCAATCATGGAATATAGCCCTTGAACCGAAAGGACCACTCCGACATCTGAGGAGCTCATCCCATATGTGCCGACGAATTTAAAGGGTAATTTAGGTTCTGGGAATGGTGGAGCATCCTCCTCTCTTTTGTAGGAAAGCATTGTTGGGAGCATGGAGTCGAAAGTCATCGTGTGGCTGGAAATCTCGGGTTAGTTACTCAATTCGTGTGCTTGTGCAGGAAAAACGTGGAGATGGTGGAACTTACTAAGCTAAAATACCATAACCGATAATATTGATGACGACCTGTCTCGTAAAAGCCTTCGTTGCTGCAGGTTTAGTTCTTGCAGGAACAACGAATTGATCATGTGCGTTCAAATCCAAGGGTTCCTGCGGGTCCTTGGAAGTCGCAGTTGATGAAAGTGTAGGTGAACCTTGGGTTGTTCGATATCCTGGTGGCTGATCCTCTGAATCACCAGTCAACAATGGAAGAATCTCGTCCGACTCTGCAACCTTCTCGCATCGACTACTCTTTGATTCGGCGCATCGTGTGAATTTGCTGATGATCCATTTTCCGGCTTCCAATCCGGGGTCCCGACGATATTTCTTTTCCGAATGCGTTTCCTCCAAAAATAAGAATCCGACAATTACTCCGAAAGTTACGACAACTGTACAGACGAGGTTGGGAAGAAGGTAAGGGAATTTTTCCCAAATCGATCCATGCTGAAATGTTCCTGGCCAATTGACTACGGGTCTCGCCAGTGCACCTCCAAGGGATGGGCCTAATATGGATCTACAAATTGTAATATTAGCATAAAAATGTTGAGAGCTTACGAGAGCTGAGAATTAGTTCAGACTCACCCGAGACACCAGACAAATGGCATGATCGTATAGGCGCGAGCTATGACTTGTTAGAACGAGGCTCCCAAACCCAAAATGATAGATCACTTACGCTGATGTTCCTTCACCGTCACCATCTCGGCTACCGTGGTCTGCAAAACGCCAATGTTTCTAGAAGAAACAATTCATCAGAAATTATTGCCTCAACAATAAAGGGAGAGACGGAAACATGGAAAGCATACCCGTTCAAGAGACCGCCCAGCGCGCGTGCCAACAATGCTGTTGGCAAATTGGGCGACAATCCAAAGATTAGCATACTCAAAGCCGTACCCGCAAGCCCGGTAAGCAGAACAGGTTTTCGTCCGATTTTATCGCTCAATCGACCCCAAGCCACCCCAGAGGAGAATTCTGCGAAAGCGAAAGCCGATGTGACCATGCCGCAGTACATGAATACTTGGGCATCGTTGTCGGTGATGTGGAAATCCTTGACCATGAAATATATATAAGGGAAAATGGACATAAAAGCAATTGGTTCGCAGATTCGACATAGTGCTAGAGTAGGGATTAGTGATTGTGCAGTTGGACTAGTGATTGCGATACAGCAATACAGGCCACAATGAGATCGCACAAACTTACCCAAGATTATCATCTGCTTCAAGGGAAATGGAGGGGTCCGCCTCCGCGCTCCCGTCTGTCCTGCCGCGGAATGCATGTCCGCTACCTCTCTATAGAGCTTCGATGAGGAGTCGAAAAGTTGAATTGGTTGTTTTTCTAGAGTGCCGTAGTAGATTTAATTGTTTAGAATGATTCGACGAGAATGTGAAATTCTGAAAAGCTCGATGTTTCAAAAGGTGGGAGTAAGTTTTATATATTGTGATTCATAGGATTTGCTTTTATGTTGTGCAATCAAACTTTATATGATTGAATTGGGTAGATGCATAAGGAAATGGATAGTTAGAGAAAAAGCAAAAAAAAAAAGGTGCAGCAGCTCTTTTGCTTTATTATGAAAGAAGAAAATAACACAGTTGTAAAATGATGAGTACCAAGGTAAGAAATATGTAGCTGACCGCTGGATGGAGACCTTTAGAAGCATAATCAGATGCAGTGGGTAGCTGCGGCACCGACTTTAATACAATTCTGATTATGCTACTTCATCAGGCGGTGACGAGGGTAGAGAACCTGCTCTATTATTACAGTCGTGGCTCATTCTCTCCCATGCTAAGGCCATGTTGAGCGTTGTCTCTATGGGGCGTTTACAGGTTTGGGCCTCTGTGCTAGAAGCCGTGTATCTGACGGTACTACCGTATCCACCACGCTCCGGCATTTGTCTCCGTGACCCGTTGGGCTAAAGATGAGGGAGAATTTAAGAGGGACGATTATTCAGATATTGTTTGCAGGCCGCTACGGAGTACTCACATGGAGGGAACCCTGCCCTGTCACGACTTGGAAGTTGGGTGGATTAGGTCTTGGGTCCAGTAGTATCGTGGATCAGGGAAATAAGATGATACTGCCTCGACTAATTCGCAGGGGCCTCTTTTTTTTTTTTTTTTTCTTCCCCTTCTTGTCTCTTTCTCTTTTTCTTTTATTTTTCTATTACTTTTTTTGACTTGCGGCAGCGGTGTGAATGGTGGATGAATATATAAAAATATAATAAAAATGCTGGGACTTGAATAATATTATACGATCGTATATTCAAAGAGTTTTTATAGTTATGCCAAACTAGGCATGAGATCTTCTATAGATATATACAATATACAAGGGGAAACTCCAGATGGAAGGATTCGGAGCTTCCAAGGTTGTAAAAGGGAAACGATATGATGTTATCATTGCTATATGCACTATATTATTGGGTGAAGATCACCCCGGATAGTACTTCGACAAGGCAGGGGAGAGAACCTAGACAGGTCATCAAGGCTGTGGTGTCTGCTGTAGTCATGGCCGGAAACGTGTGATAACCGTATTGTGTTATTCCAGCTTGTACTCAACATACAGTAATCTTCAAGGGCGTGATAATATATGCCCTTGGACCTTGGATGATACTCTCACCTTCAGCTTTTCCCCTCGTGTTCGCTTTTGGTATTCCGACATTGCCAAGCTTATCCAAAAGAGGTGCTTCATGCGATGCTTAAGCCTAGAAAAGATTCAGATGTTTCATTCATCGGCAATGCTTTGCTGTAGAAGTCCAAAGTCGGAATATACGTTGGTATAGCCTTTCCAAAGTAAGACGTCTGAGTGGTTAGTGCGTGTAATCATAAGCTGCCCGGGATTTGTTCCCAGGTCGATTATTTCCTCATCTATACTTTGAGTCGCAATAGAAGGCGCTCAGCGGAAACACCCACCAGCCTTAACGTTCCAACTCACGACAGCTGATGCGAATGACATTCCGAAGAGTCCAGGTGTCGCTCTCCTCCAGGTTTCTTTATGGGTTCATTCTTCCATGAAAAGCTTATTGCATTGCCTGCTCTGCTGGTCATATACCGAAGTGGCTGTATTAGGCTTTAGGATGTGTTGCGGGCAGCTACATTATTCGCGCGGTTTCTACACTTCTTTTGCATTTTCAATTTTCAATATTTCGAAAATTACCATCATTAATCATTCGGACACTGATATCACCCTGTATTTACCCACGCCATTTCAACGGCTAAAACGTCAGCATGTGCTGGCGAGGCGCCGAGAGTTAACTATTCCCGAAGACCAAAAACACCATGCGCAAAATTATTATTAGTATATTATGTCGATTACTGTATTTTGACTGACAGGCGGCTCTGGGTACTGTAGTCTGTAGCTCATCGCCATTGCCTCCTCAGAACGCTGCTACAGGTACAACTGCGGGAAGTGGTTTGTGTTACATTGAAACTAGACATACTGGGATAAGGCATGGCCACCCTGCCTGCTGAAAAGACAAAGACTTGGTTTGGCCGATTTTATTGGCTAATACTAGGGGTCTTGTCCCGAGACCAGAGCAGTGGAAAATGAGCCCTGTACTGGCCCATGTCGACTCTCTGCCTAGCTTCTGTTTAGGATTTTATGCCTCCCGCCAACTAGTGAACATCCTCGAATACATAGTTAAGATTTCTTTGAAAGATTAGCAGACCGGGCAGCCGGCCGTGCTGATCAAATGACTTTTATTATTTTCGATTAGAGACTTAGTGAAAACTAGTCAGGGGGAGTCTGCCGCATTACTTAAGGAAACGGAAAATACATAAAAGGCTGATTCTTGGGATGATGGAATGATGGGATCCCCATGGATTAAAAATACACGAAAAAGACAGGCCCATGAAGGAACTGTAACATAAGTAAGATACCCGGTAGCTATCCCTTGTAGCACAGCTTGCCCGCTTACTCGATCGGAGGGGTGTTCGTATTTGTACCGTCGAAATGTAGCTTGTACAGATACCTACCTATCTTCGATAAAAGGCACAGGTGATCTAACTTCGATTTCTAAGCAGATGTTGCAGGATTATTAAATGGGTGGAAGAAATTGGTATCTTGGCGAAGCAGTAACGCAATGCTTGATATATTCAAGGTATCGATAACCGATCACAGAGTCATACATATACGTATGTGTCCCCTTAAGCCTCATGTTGGTGAAAGGGTTAACAGTCATACTAAGCGTAAGCTGCGTTTGGTAACTTTGACTGTCGGGGAGAATTGGTATATGCCAGTTGTAAGTAAGGTAATCAATCTATCTTCTTTTTAGCTCGACTCATGATACCTATTACAGTAAGTGGACGAATTTTCTTGTAAATTGGAACAAGCTGCAAGTAGCACGACAGCAAACTCGGATTTATTCTCCGAGCAAGCCTCTCCATCGATAATGGGTCAAGGATCGGGTCTCTTGGACAGATACCGTTGGAGCCGCGGAATCGGGGGCATAGGAACATGGATTAGAGAAGAAATGAAAGCTTCGAAAAGTTCCATTCAAGACCCATACTAAAGGAAATGAACCTTGGCATCTTTGCGTTCTTAAAAGTTTCTAGGGATCATAAGATGGAGCCAAATGATTCAATCAACAAGGTGAGCCAGGTCAGTTTTAAAATGGGTCAAACAGCAACTAGAGATCAACAATTGGGTCGATTGGATTGGATGGCTACGTCGAAACCAATTCGCAGGAAGAAAAACGGTCCTTGCCACGTTTTGTTATAGCACCCCCATTTTTGTGATGGCGATCATTATAGGGACCTCGTAGCTGGGAAGTTTGGATGGAAGGGTTCAAGAATTCCAAGATCCAAGGAGGTTTAGCCTTGGTGGAGCAACCTCAGCTGCATTTTTAAGATGAAAGGGGCTCAAGCAAGAGCAGTTTGCAACTAATGATCTAGCGACAAAGACCGGAAAAGATGGTGTGCTTGTTCCAAGATCGAAAAAGGAAACAGACCAAAGTGGCTTGATTGGTATCAGAAAGTTTCGCGGAAGTTGTTCCTGAAGCCGTAGGAGGCATTTCCGAACGAATGATATCGTGTATTGAATCAGTTACCATCCAAATTTTTCTTTTCTAGTGGCGTGGTTTAATATCTGGTGTGGTCGTGCAAATTTTGACTGTGCCTATCTCGGACATTTCCTTGACGCCTGCCGGTGCAGGAAAGTTGTTCCGGGCTTCCCATTTCCTTAGCTTTTTAGGTGAGTGTTACACAAACAACTCACTGTACAGTGTACACGCATTTTTGACGCCGAGGGATTTTGGCGAAGCGATGAAGGGGTTGATGGATGGGGTCGAAATTTTCAAGTAGCCGCGTGGTAAAATTCTAGAAGGAAAAGAAATGATCCAATACTATATTTCTATGGATCCATCGTTCCACAGGATAATAATACTTTCGGGCTCTTCCTAACCCTGCCGCTGTCTCACAACTCCATCCTCTTCACCTTATATTCGTAAAGTATCGCCTAGTGAACAACAACGCTGTTCCCTGAACAATAAAGAACGATTTTCAATTCTCATCCACATTCAATTCCCGGAAATCAATATCTGTGTGACTAACTTTCCATTTTATTTGAAAAGGCGAGTGGAACTATCATCATCAATCATAATCCAAATTGATACACCGCCTGTTGTAGGTTCTCATTTCTTGCGATAGGATTCCTGTTCTATGTTATTCAAAACACATACTCAAGCACGCCACGATCCAAGCGGTTGTTTTGATTTGACGGTAACTGCGCTTTACGGGATTTCCGGCGTCGAATCCGGTGGCACTGTCTGTATGTGTACTCATGTTTTCAAGTACTTCATTTGTTCATGTTGCGTTTTGGGAACCTCACCTAATTTTCGGAGACATATTTTCGATATCGCTCTGCTACGTGATTAGTCTGATAATTTTTTAACCTCGGACACAAAAGAGAAATCCTAGGACCCGCGGCCACCACTTTTGGGGAGGATCTTGGGAACGTGACCTTCTACAGACCTACTTCACTGCTGCAATGCTGCAATGCTGCACACTACATGAAATGAATCTGAGATTTGTCGCGTGGTACTTAGGCTTTGAAGTCAAAATCATAATATCCACTCAAAGATCTATGTGTTTCCTTCATTTCTTGCCAATCAAAGGAGTATTCCAATGTTTGGGGAATCTTACAAGACTAAAAAATTTCATTTCATGGGTTCAGGAAGTCTCCCGGAGCATCGTCATGCGTTATGAGTCGCGGCGGCTACGCACATTTGCAGCCCACATCATCAGCAGAACCGAAAATTTCAATCGGTGGATTGTGATACGTCAAGACGTCGTTGACCGTGTGCAATATTAGCTAAATGGCATTCCCGACATCGCGTTGAGATGCAACACGAGGAGATAATTCTCAGCCAATTGGGCATCTCAAGTATCTGAAGCATGCGCTGTTTAATCTCATTTGGATATTGGCTATATTACCCTGCTCATATAGCGATATCATACGCAAAATGTATCTTTTGTACTTATACACTGGAAAGTTCATGCACTTCAATCTCTACAAATTTGGATGGCTTGCAGATGCAAGATGCACTCACTAGGTTAGTTGCACTGCATTTACCCATGCATTAGCATGTAGATTGCATATGCATCGAAGGTCACTTCTCCCGCGCTCTCTTTTCAGCCCCGTGTCACAACCACGAATTTGCACCATATTGGCTAGAATTGAACCCGAAAATGGGGAATTGAAGTACGATTTAAACACAGTTGGGCGCCATTTTCATGGAATTATCGGTGGTAAAGAATTTTTTCCGGTCAATTTACAGCCATATTTCGGCCTCTTACTGAATTGAAGTCCGCTATAATGCACCAATTTCTCCGTGCAGGGTGGCGCTTTCATCGCCCTCGGTCAGGCGGGTCATTGCTGGGTGTGTCAGGCCAGATAGCTTGGAGGCTATTCTCTCCTCTTTCTCGCCAGGCTCTTTATCCGAAGTCTGGCATGACCCCCAAAAACGCAAGTAACCGTTACAGCGGATGGGCACAGCCTTACAGAAATCTTTGAGCACACCGCACGTCATACTTATGGTTACCAATTATACCGAGTTCATCAACGATCTTGAACCAATCATAACTTGACCGCAAGGGCTGCACTCTTCTCACCGAGTTCTTGACCGCACTCACGTCTCAGTGCCTTACTCAAACTTTAATATAGCACCTAACTATGTAGTGGGGGTATCGTATGTGGTGTTTCATGGGCAAATTTTAGTCTCAAAGATGGCTCGGAAGAATGATTCCATCCTTCCCCACCTGCATCGAAAGATGATTTCGTATGACAGCCCAAGAGAAAAGGTATGCACCCAACTCAAGTGATGTATTCAAGGACCGGTAACGGGATTCCTTGGAGATCCCCAATCTTGTATCACACGATATTTTATAATTTCTCCCGCAATATGCCGCATACAACACTACTAGGCATCGGGCTCGTTAGGAAATAGACGAAAATGGACAGAAATGAGGATCATATGATTTTCACCTACAATCTGCAAGGCTGAGCACACCAATACAGTAGCGGCTTGAGGCTTTGCCCTGCATGAAGGATGCTCACCATATCATCATTTACATTGACGCCTATGCAGTAATGGCAGAATTGAGTAATATCGTAATTGCAATTGCGGCGGTATTAGTGGTAAGTATGAAAATTAATAACCAAGGGAATAATGCAATGATTTCTTTGGGCTAAACCCCTGACAGCTCTTCTTTCTTTCCCACACGTTCTTATATTCTGGTGGACGATTAGCGTAGTATTGTGGTTGTAAGCAAGGCCCATTTCTAATCAACTCAATAACAAGCCTCTTTGGAATCTTTCCAATCACGTGACTGACATGAAAAGATTTGCATGCCTCAACTGTGTGACTAATCATCAGCTTTAAGCCTGAGGCATAAGTCCGAAAAGCGGATTTACCACAGTGTTCCATCGGATCGCTTCATCCTTGAAAAGGACTGCATCATTCAGCATTTGGCGGGGCAATCAGAAGCCTAGAACCACCAAAAGAGTCATAGAAAACCCCTCAGGACACCAGGATTTGATCAATATTTGTCAATATCACCATACAAGGAAATTTTTTTCAATAAATCATTCCATCATACGATATTGATAAATATATAATTTCTTCATCGGCTCGTTCCTTTCAATAGTTCAGGGTCGGTCCATCACAGCGGTAATTAAACTGGTAAGCCGAATAACTAGTACGCATTAGTCAACATGGCCAAAAAGCAAGCTGCTGGGGAGAATAGCAGAAAGGCCGCAGGGAACGCCAAGAAGGCTGAAGTCGCTGCAGCGAAAGCGGCAGTTGAAAACAATAAAAAGGCTCAAGCAGAGGCCGAGGAATGGAATAAGGGAGCAAAGAGCAATTCAAAGGCGTGAGTCCGAATGGTTGATTTCAGTTCAAGCTACCCCGCATATCACCCGACCAATGTGCTAACGTAGGATTGAACGATAGTGAAGCTGCAGCTGCCAAAAAAGCAGAAGCAGATCGGAAAAAAGCAGAAAAGGATGCTTTGTTGAAGGCTGAGGAAGCTGATACGCCTTCTGGCCCTAAGAATTCGAAGAAAGCCGAAAAGAAGCCTGCCGTTAAAAGAGGTCTCGACCTATCACAACTTGATGACTCTCCTACTAGTGCTAGCCCAAAATCTGCTTTGAATGCTTCTGGTATCGATAACGCGTTGGATGCATTGGCATTGACATCGAATACGAAAGAAAAGGTTGACAGACATCCAGAAAGGAGGTTTAAGGCTGCTTACGCGGAATTTGAGGAGAGGAGATTGGCTGAAATGGATAATGATGGTAGCGGAGCGGGATTAAGGAAGAACCAAAGGCAAGAGAGGATCAGGAAAGAGTTTGAGAAGAGTCCTTTGAATCCTTTTAACCAGGTCACCGGAAACTATGATTCTACAAAGGACGAGTTGGAGGAGATTAGGCAGGGTGTGAAAGCCAATGTCGAGGCAAGGCTAGCAGGCAACTAGCTATTTCTAGGCTTGCGGTTGTCATATGTGCGGCGACTTGCTACATCTTGTAGGCATAACTATTGTAGGTTTGGGCTTTTTGGCGATTAAAACGATACCAGCAGCGCAGGCAAGCAGCCAGTAGTGGTAGAGAGAGAATGAATGATATCCATGATTATATGCAAATTTCACCTGTGCGACTAATCGTATTCAAGACAAAAATTGGCCGGGAAGTAATGTACAAATGGCATTGACGTTTCTCAAACCCGTGAATAACCTCCTGAAATTTAGCCATGGCAATAAGAACTTCACCGCTTTCACCTCCTACCCAAGCTCTGGATCACAAGCCAGAAACACAACATAGTCTAAGTCAAGTATAACAACAATAACAATGGCGCCACAACAATTATCAACTTTACCTACGGTCAGAAAACAAAATTTACTTGTAGAATTGTCCGTTGATCCACTCTTCCCATACACAGAAACCAACCATGCTAACGTGAATCCACCAACTCAGTTCAAGTCTAAAATACGCATGTCCGCATGGCGTATTCATGAGCCTCACTCCAGGGGACCCCACCCTCTGGTCCGGTGTTCTCTTCGTACGGAAAGGTAAATCTAAGTCTCATGCCATGCGATCTGCCATTCCTGCATCTTGCTCGCGCGGACGCGGCTTCGAAATAGTCAACCTATCACATCATGTTAGATCTCAACTAACCTGCCTTGTTGTTTCTTATATTAGGCCCATATGCGCCTTCAATCCTGCGCTTCCATATCTCGTTTCCCCCGCAGTATCCAGCTCTGCCGCCTCTAGTGACTTTCTCGACGGACATTTTTCATCCGCTTATTACGCCGCTCACGACGTATATGTATAGTACGGATACGCAGTCTGATGGCACGGTGAGCGCGACAGATGAGGAGAGGTTACCGCCTGGAGGGTTCTCGCTGAGAGATGGATTTCCGGCTTGGTTTGGGAGGAGAAGTAGGAGGAGTGTTGAACAGAGGACTCCGACGAAGCCGGATGGAAGCACGGCCGGCAGTATAACTATGAGTAGTCCGGGGAGTGGTATTTCGTCACCGGACAAAACGGCAGATGGCATAAGAGTAGGGGTTTATGAGGTGTTAAGATATCTGAGGAGGACTTTTGATGATGAGCTCGTGCTAGATAAGGTACCTTTGGAGGCGGCTGGTAATCCTGGCGCGTGGCACGCGTGGAAGTCGTATCGCATCAAGATTGGGAAGATGGCTGCAGAGAATAAAGACACCGAACTGAAAGATCCGACGTCACCTATAGTAGCACGCGCACCAGGAGAATGGAATTGGGATGGTGTATGGGAAGCAAGAGTTAAGAAGGGTATAGAGGCCAGTATTGCAGATACAGTATTATATGGGTTAGGGGCAGATGACTTGATACAGTTTCTCAATTTTGACAAGGAGAAGGTTGAGCAAATCAGAGAGCAGATCAAGGAGAGCGCGCATGCTCTGGAGCCACAACGAAGGAGCGTGGCATGATATCACAGAATATCGTGGACATTTTAGCATTTTCGTGCGGTTTAGCATGTTCTACGGACTATTGTTTCTAGCATTGATACCCCCAGTTGACCCAATATGACTTTTAATTCTTCTTTATGTCTTGATCTGGAATTGGCGTTTGGGTACGTATAAAGGGAAAATTTCGGACGGTTTGGAGTATACATACCCGGTATTGGTACATTTGTCAAGTGATTGTCTTCACACAACACGGTAGCGATGCTCGCATTAGGAATCTATGAATTCCTAGGATTCAAATTCTGCGGGGGTAAATGCTCGATAGCGCATATCAAGTAGTCAGATTTCGTTATCTGTATCTTCAGCTATAGAAGGGTCGTAGACGGTTCGGATTCAGTAAGGGATTGTTAGCTTGATGAAGAAGATAGACTTGCACCATGTTCAGCGTAATGCTCATCAAGAAGGCTAGGTCCTAAAAGACCTTCTGATGTTCGTACTTGTACATTCGGATTCCGGACTTGTTTGAATCCAGAACTCGAAAGTCATGTGTTGATAAATTATCATGATGGGAGTTTTCTGGTGTTTTAAGCAGAACTCTTTGGGTTTATTTTAGTTTAGAGTGAAGACGTGGGAATTTTGTTTCACTGTTGTGGGATTAGAACCCTCTTTTACGTTTTTCGAAGGAAATGATCATTGTCCCGTGTACTTCTCCTTGTTATCTCTTGTCTGTTGACCTTTTAATTCTTAGATTCAATTGTTGATTTTCGTCAGACTCCTAAAGATTCGCCTGACATTCTCTGGCCAAATTCCTAGTGCTCCTTCCTTTACAAAAATGGAAGTATCGTTCTTTTCCGAAAGTTTCATAAAAGAGCCATGCCTTCCTATTCCATATGTTATTGCCATAGTAGGATCTTCCTCGGTCTTAAAAAACTGTTCCTTTCAACAACATTACTGTTTCAAAATTCTTTTGGCTATGATTACAGAATCTTTTTCTCCCATTGGCGCACTTATAATAGTGCCAATTGTTATCCTACTATCTGTTGTATTAATTGCATTGAAGGCTTGCAGTATTTGGAGGTGGATCGTTCGCTGTTGCCACTGGCCTAGGAGGACTTTTCATTCTTCCAGACTGATTCGGAAATCGAAAAGTCGACTTTCAAGCTTTGATAATATTTACGACGGCTCCTGGAGTGATTTGGAGACTACAAGGTCGGGCGGTTCAAGCTTCGTCAGTAGAGCATCTAGATTAGACACTTTTATCGTTCCACCATCAGAGACGAATTCAACAAGCTCATTATGGAACACCCCAACTCGAACCGCCTTGAGATTCATGAACCCGAGGAGCCCGCACCGCTACGAATTATCAAGCGTAGCCAGACCGTCGCCGGTCGCCCTTCGAGCTCCGGATTTGGAGGCGCAGACGAGTGGGGAGTTTTTGAATCCACGTTCGTCAATGAAGACGAAGGAAGTCCACCAACAGCAGCGGGCAGACCTTTAGGGCCTTTAACTATACACAAAATAAGGAGAGGCAGGGGTAAGGGCAGGGGCAGCATTCTGGGCGACAGCTTGTCTATAAAAGTTGTGGACGTTGAAAAGCAGGGTATAGGCAAAAAAAAATCATACTATTAACCTAAGCTGATTCTTACAGTTTGCCTTGAATTTCCAAAGGACGATTTTGACCTTACGCCTAAAGCTACTCATCAGCCAGAACGTGCCGTAAGTGCGGGTAAATTTTTGAGGACTGAGTTGCATCGTGGCAGTTCTGAAAACGACGTAAATAGGCATCCCATTCAGCAGCCTTTGGATGGATCCCCTGAGATACCTAAGAGAAAGCATTCCAAATCCAAATACTCTCTTTTAAGGGCATTCGGTGGTAAGCGTAGCGACGATTTGAATTGTAAAGCTCTCAGTCGAAGCGATTCTTCAGCCTCAACTAGGACAATGAAATCCCAGAATACCCTTCTTCGCAGGCTTTCCCACAGGAAGTCTACAGCATCCACAATCCAATCAATCGCTTCCTCAGTACCTTCAAGTCTTGGGACTGTGGAGCTCTCTCATCCTTTTGATACAAATCGTCAAGAGATCATTGATTCTACGGTCAGTTCAAGGGAATGTTCATACTACGATGGAACGGTTATAATCTCGAGCCCTCCAACGCCCACAATCGGCTCAAGTAGAGACGATAATCTGGTCCTATGCCCACAAATTTCCGTCACTCCAGAGAGCGCTAGTGTAAATGCAGGTGTTTGCACACTATGGGCTGCGGTCGAAATTACAGGCGTACTTCGAAGAGCTGACGGTACATCGACTTTAGATGATGCGGGTCGTACTTATAGCACACAAAACCTTACTCCACGTTGCTTAGGTAGGTAAAAAAGTCTCACAAACTTTTGGGAGTATTCCCACTAATAGCTCTAGACCTTAGAAGTTATGGCAGTCTCCATAATATTGCTGTTGAATTTCAACCAGGACCAGATTGCATTATAGTCGACCAGCCAGAGGATACCTTTCAAGCGAAGACCATTCGGGTGAGTGAGACTCATCTTATGTTGGTCAAGATTCGATTGAACGAAGTCAAGGTTTCAGTTTCGCATGCGAAGGAAAAGTCATCGGATGAACTGATCGAAAATCTAAATGAGATTCTGGGAGACATCAGCACTCAGTATCTAACTGTAAAACTTAACTATCGCCACTCGGCTTTCTTGAATTTGAGACAGCAGGCTGCCGAAGGAGAGTTCAGGCTTTTACCGCAGCACACACTGTTGGAGACGAAAGCTACAGCATCAATTAAGCGCCATAATCCAGCATCTGCTTGGTCACCAAGAAACTCTGGTGCTATGAATTCCGCGGTAGGAGGCTCTGCGCTTACTAAGATTATCGAGAAGCACTTTTCGGCCGAGAAGTCTAGGGAAGCACTTCAGAAACTTGCGGATGATAGAACAATAATTCCATATCCCCGTAGAACCTATGGACACTCTTCGGATAAAGAAAATCGGAAATCTACAGCCAGCCCATTATCGTACATAGATCCGAGTAATAATTTACTTTCCCATTCATTTTCTATGACAGCCATTTCAAATTTTAACGCTCGGGGTAGCCCTGTTTCAAAACGACTGATTTCACCTTATGATCATCCATTGGACATGGTGGATGGTGAAATGGATCCGGCTCGGAAGATTTGGTCACAAATGCGAAGAACCTCACGACCCGCCCGTAAACACCCTCGAGCTAGCATCAGCGATGGAAATTACTTCAGTGCAGATCAAGACGCGCTATTTGATTGTACTCCACGATATGGAGGCAGCTTAAGAAGTCCAAATACCTCGCTTTTTGAACCGCCTGATACTCATTTTGATACGTCGCATGAAGTAACACCAAAAGCGAAGCAAAGTCGAGCCTCAAGAGTCAAAAGTACTAGTACGACAATAGATGATAATAGAAATCACCTTATGGAGGTAGCGTTGAGAAACAAGAGGAGTGTGGGTCAAGAAACCTTGAGAAGCATGGTGCCTAGCACACATAGTGGCAAAGGCTTTGGCATTGGACGGCAGGGTGGTGTTATGGGGGCGGTGGCGGGAGTAGGGCTAGCAGGTAGGAATTGGGGGCAGTGGTTACCTTGGGGAGGAGGTGAGTAAGTTTGGCTTGGTCAAAATGCACTTTCATTGTTTAATCTTTCGTTGGACATTCAAGATGGCCAAGATAGTTGTATTGTTAGACTTTTTATAGGGTTCTCTCGCTACTTTTTCTACGATAATTAATGTCTTCTTTCATTCATGCATTCATAAACACATTATCAATGCCTATGTACTTTTCCAAAATTGAATGTCTATTTTGGTACAACTATTGAAAGATTCACTTCTGATAGTAATCATGACACACTCCACAATGAAACGATTTCGAGAACTCCAATACCTCATATTGTCATTTCGGCCATCTTGGCTCGAATATAACAACTAAAATCATATGCTTTTTCATGTTCAGACGTGTCTGATTTTATTTTGCGTTTGGGAATACGTCGATCCTGCATATCTAGATCTGTCCAGATTTTCGTTATGGCGCCATTTCCTCACGCTATCTGGCAGTTTTTCTTTGAGAGTATGATGATAGGGATTCTTTTCCGTATCTTTCTTGGTTATTTCTGCGGGTGAGATCGGAGGGATCCTCATATGCATTGTAAATTATTGCAGTAGGGTATGTGATGATTAGATTCTTTGTTTGGTAGTAGCAAGATTAACTATAGTAATGGTTGGTGGTTCATGAATCTTGGGTCATGAATGATGGATTAGCGGACGGAGGTCACAAAGTTTCTCCACAATCATTCGGATCATGCATTTGCTAAGTTTAGTTGTGGCTGTGGTATATAAGAGACTAGATGTCTGTGCAGTCGTCCAAGTAGTGATTTCTATACGTTTCTGTGTCTGAGTATGACGGAGTGTTAATATTATTGCAAATATTGTGGTTGATTGGTTAGCATATTCTTCATGTGTTTAGTGTCCCCGTAGAGTTGTGGTCACTTCTGTAAAGGCATGTTTATTGTTATCACTGTGTAGGTTATAACGGCGAAGAGACTAATGTTAGCTTCTGTATATTGTTTTGTTGCATATCTTAGCATCCTAGGCATTACTGGCTTCGATCAATTTAGCTCCGGCAGGCATGTCATTATGTTGCATATCTTAGGATTCCTGGCATTGCTAGCTTCGGTACTCCGTATTGAAGTGGCATCATTGGCTGCCCGGATGTTAGACAAAACGCATTAGCATATCATTCTCGGCTCTGGTGGCTCTAGTAAGCCAAGGGTGGTGCTAGATGGACATAAGATCGTTAGTAAATTGCAGTTTACCTTTGGTCAAGCATGAAAGGAGAGTTGGTAAGATATACACGTATTACTGGACTCTTATTCGGTGATTTTAGATCTAGAAATTGAGTAATCAGTATATTTGAAAGTAATAGGATATTGCGTTGAATGTCTTCAACAATTTGAAGCATTGTTAGATAAATAATCCTGAAAGATCTGCGATCTTTAACATAAAGTAAAGTCCCCCGATAATTATCACCTCAGAGCAAATCATCCAAAGAAGCAAAATCCCAATACCTCTGCTTCTAGGAACACAAAGTGGTGTAACTATAAAGTGAATGATACTAATACTAGATCATGACGCCATTCAATTAATTCAATTCAGAACTTTAGTTGCAGACTAACTGCATCTAGTCAAATTAAGTAAAAAATCAAGCGATCATTTAAGCGAGTTTAGTTCCGTGAGAGGTGAATTAGTGCTCTTGGAGATAAATATCTCTTGATGTCAGGGACATCTAAATTGGGTTTTTTGGTAACTTTCAGACTGATAATTAGGTTTTAGGGTGTTCGTACGTATTTTTCAGCAATGATAAGCGTTGGTTGTGATAGAACTTATTATCTTTGGGGAAGCGCCAGTAAAACCTAAGATCATATGTCTTTAGTGATATTATAGATAACTCATTTAATAACCCAACTAATTAGGTAACTTATAAAATGGATTAGATGAACATCATCTTTCCTTGGGGAAGATGTAGATAATCAAAAACTATACATCGCGAGGTTTGATTTTTCTTTTGGGCATATGAATACTTATCTGTTGAATAAATACACGACCACATCCTCTTATTTACCAAAAAATTACCCTAGATTAGTTTCAAACTTGAGTTCTTCATATATTTATTGATATAATATGTGTAAAGTTTTGAAAATCAGACATCGATCATTAGAAAATGGATTGCAGTCAAAGGAGGTGGAAGGTAGGTTGCTATCATATTGCATATTAGATAAAAAGACGGCGGAGAGAAGAAAAAACCTTGTGAATGCAGTCGTGATACAGAGACATAATAATTTTTGTTCTACATTTGGATCGTGCTATGAAGAGGATTTGGGTGAGGAGAAGAAGCTCGCAGTTTAGATGAGAATATTACTTATCGAAGTTCACAAGGAACGTAGTATCCTATTAAATCAAATGCATACCATCTTTTACAATATTCTTCCATTCCTCTCTCATGACTATGAAATGAGAGGTAGTATATATAAGGAACCAAAAGGCCACACATTGCCACTCGAGCTAGAACAAAGTTATACTTCGCAACAGAGGCGTTGATGAATTTCTATTAGGTCTTCTAACTCCTGGGTAATTACTTTGATGACCTAGTGATCAGAAGAGACGAAACCTAGACGCTATGGGATACATTGATATTTGATTTGAAGATGTACAAAGTAAAATATACCTAATATCTTACGATATAGCCCGCAGGTTTAAACTTATGAATCTTTTCAGAAGTGCAGATGAGGTTATTCTGGTGAATCTATATTGTTATACATACGATCTAAGGGAAGTGAATCAAGTGATACATATACGACTAGATGGCTATTGGTTGCAATGAGATGTGACGATTAGACGAATTCGAAGTATACATATGAAGGTGTACCTAACCACAATAATAATGGGAATGGACCATAGAGCTAGCGAGACGGTACAGTGACTCAATTGATATATGAATATAATATGACCTGACTTTAGTAGTGAATTAAGATACTTAGTAGTATTGTAGTCAAATCAGTCAGCTCACTTTATATTATCCTGAGAATTTTGTGATATTTGAAGAATACTCTCGCAACAGACTTTGCATTCTTTCTTTATAAAAGAATCACCTCGTGTCAATAAATTGCAACCAAACCAAATCTCTCAAAATCTCAAGCCATCCAATTCATAGACTGAAGATTCTACTACACACCAGTAAAATACTTTCTTATATAGCGTCGACGTCTTTTGAATATACTGATATGCAGAATTTAGTGAAAGTCAAGCATTTGCTCTCTGTCAAGGCCTTCAAACAGCGTTTGAAACGACCTCAGCCAGGTAAAAAGAAAAAACATGCCCCGAATTTGGAAAAATGATTCTGAACTGATATAGATTCCCGAGTACAAATTGATTCCCAAGTACAAGTTGATTCCCAAGTACAAGTTGATTCCCAAGTACAAATTGATGCTCCTGCCGGTCCTACTTTTACAATCTTTCCAAATCTTCCTCTCGAGTTGCAACGCAAGATATGGGGATTTGCAGCTATCACTCGTCCTCGAGTTATTGAAGTTTATTCCCAAAGTGGACGAAATACGGATAAGCGGGTATTAACTTTATTCCTGATCTGCTTGGGACGTCTTGGTCCTAGCCATCGATATTACACAACAATATCGCCAATCCCTACCAGTCCTTTGCACACCTGTAGCGAATCTCGAAACACAGCTTTGGGAAAGTACAATTTTCATTTTTTCCTTGGTCGGCCCTTCTACTTCGATAACCTTCGGGATATTCTCTGGCTGAAGAGCGATGCCACATTCGATGCTGTAACATTGCGTGCGGGAAATATTACGTATATGACTTATGATATGCTACATAAAGAAGTCCAAGCTACCGCCATGATCGCAAAGCACCAATTCCGTTTCCTTGCCCTCAGCTACCAATCCTGGGTAAAATCACCGGCGGTGCGAGAGAAATACTGTGGGATGGGACGTATTTGGGATCATTACGCACATGCAGGAACCACAATGGAGAAGATATACTTGGTTTATACCGAGCAGGATCAACGAGATGAAGCTGTAAAGGATGCGGAACATATACATCTCTGTAGAACAATTAAGATGAAATATTATTCTAGCATGGTAATCGATTCGACAGAAGATGACAAAGTATACTACAGGGGCTTTTAGATGAGAAGAAGATATGGGCTAGGATTTGACGTACTTCCTGTCCAAGCGATTTTAGATGCAGATCTAGAGCTCATCCAATGATTCATCTTATCCACTAGGCACATCAAAAGCTTTATGCATTATCATTCCAACCTCAACATTTATGAGCCTCAACAAGCATCAACAAGATTCAACGAAAAAGGAAATAACATATGGACATAAAAGAGATCTCGATAGCAACAAATAGGATTCTTCACTTTAGTCAAAAAACAAACCAAAAAAAATCATTGATTTAAAAGAGTACAAGAATCGTATCTATCTGTTACGAGGTTTGCCGTCTAGATCACGTGGAAGTGCTCTAGGCTCTCGAGGTGGTTTATAACTAGGCGTCAAGCAGGGACTTAAGTAATGACAAATAATGATATGCAATTCGTAACTAATAGTAGAGTATACTAAATGATTGATCTTGATCACGAAGCTCTATACAAAGGGAATCCATCTTGATTATATAGACCTTCGTATTCCAACATTGGAGCGATGGAGCTGGGGAGCGAGATTCGAATCTCGCTCCTTCGCTCCCTCGCTCCCTCACAAGACTATTCATGTGATCCTATAACACGTGATAATAGTTTATAATGTTACAACGTAACAGAAAAGTGGCCCATTTTAGGGGGTGGCCCAAAAGTAAGATACTAGACTTAATTACTATATATATATATATATATACATATATCACCACATAGTTATATAATATCATCCCGATTTATAACTTAGTGGTTGTTATACTCATCAATAGATATATATATATACATATACATCTATACAAACAAATTGTTGACCTCCTGGGATCTTGGCAGCATATGCATATGTATTGCATGATGCATATAAGGAGCAAACAAAACTCAACTTTTAATTCATTCTTTCCTTTTTGGTATACTGTTTGTTTGCTTTCAATATTTTGATTTCAAAGCACTTTGATTCCGAAGGCTGAATACCTAACCTTATTCCTTCTTTTTTTTTTGAATATATACTCGCAGCTTAACTGCTTAGCTAGAGAATCAATCAATTCAATCTGATGCTCTTTCTGGTCTCAAGAAACCCAATACAAATTAAGAAATTACAAATCCATATCAGAAAAAGATAAGCTTATCTTTTATCATGAATTATAATTTAACAGCTAATCATCCTCATACTACTCCTCCCCCTCACTATCCTCCCCAAAAACCGCCCTAAAAACCGCATCCGAAGCCTTCTGACCCTCTAACGCATCATTTCTCTCCGCATCAACTACTACAGGCTGCTCATCTCCTTCATTCTCATTCCTAATTACCACATCCCCAAGATCAAAATTATCATCCATCTCCTCTTTTTTGATTTCCTGTTCTCGGAACCCTGTTCCAGTTCCAGTTCCATTTCCATTTCCATTTCCAGCTTCAATCATCATTCTTTCGATTTCTCTCCTCGTTACCAAATCCGATGGCGCTTCTTTTGCCATTCCACGTTCTTCTTCTGTTGAAGGTTGTACATGTTTTGGTGGTTGAACATTGAACCTTTTACACAATAATCTCGTTGGGAACCAATCTTTCTTCTCCCTAGTCATCGGACCATACATACCCATTTTTGCAGCCTGTTCTGCTGGATCTTCTTTGACTTCTGGTTTACTCAGAAGATCTTTTGCTGCACCATCTTGTCCGGGTATTATTGTACTTGAAGAAGAACTCGTGAATCTGGTAGCCATTAATCCAGTCATTGGTTTGAATATCTTTGCGCAATTAGCGAATTCTTTTAATTCTTTTAGCCAATCTTCTTTATTCGTTAGCATCCCCTTTTCCGGTAATATCGTTACAATACCAGCTTGGTGTTCGAGGTAAGCACGATAACGAATACGTTTTGCTTCATCTTCACCATAGACGCTTGAGCAACGCATAAGTGCTGCTTCAGCAGTATATTTGTCGATTTTAGGGATTTGAGAGAGAAGTTCTTGTTGCCGTTGTTCAAGAGTCATGGCATACCCTTCAGGAATTTCGCCTAATGCTTGGGGTAGATTGGATCTCCCAGAAGCCGCAGCTAATCGATCGCGAGCAGAGCTGGAAAGGAAATCGAATACAGATTTCCCAGGTAAAGCTGCTTCCCCAAGGATAGATGCTCTAGACTTAGGATCCAGTTTAGATAATTTTGCTGCTTCTGAGGTGGATAGATATTGTGAAAGCGTGGATTCGGATTTTGATTGTTTGGCGGATTTCCATCCTTCAGGAATTGTGGGCGGTGGATATTTTGAAAGTGTTTCCGACATTGATGTCGAGTCATTACTCAGAATAAATCCATCCAGGGGTAAGCGACCATCGTGACATTTCCGTAGCCCAGCAGCTGCCTTGGCCATAGCAGTCTTCTTCGATATAAATACAGGTTTGGATTTCAACAATGAATTCGCCGCTGGTGATATTGGTTTCTTTTTCTTTTTATCTCCCCCAATTACTCGATTGTAGGATATTCGTGGTCCAATTTCATAAGGATCTTCGTCGTCTGAGCCGGTATCATTAAGTATACCAATCCCAATGCCACCCTTCGCAGGTTTCTTCTTCTTCTTTGAAAATTTAGGCCCTATTGAAAAGGATCGGTCATCGTCCTCGTCCTCCGATTTCTCTTTCTCAGACCCAAGTCCATTTATTGGGGTCAACTTTGTTTCCCCATCGAAACCTAAGCCCTTATGATCATCCTTTCGAAGAAATCTAATCATACGGGTATTTTCAGGCGCAAAGAGATATGTCGCATCGGCATCTGTACCGGGCCTTTCCATTCCATCCAAACGAGCTTTTCGCCGTACCTTCGGGCCTACTCCCTGTCCCTCTTTCCAACCCATTTTCTTCAATAATTTTACACCCATCGTCTCCCCTTCAACCTTGAAAAGATCAATAAATGCGCCTTTACGAATTGCATCATCTTGCGTAGAGCCAAGTCCGGCGAATCCCTCTGCCGTTTGTACTCGTTGCGCTTCTGCAGCATCTGCAATATCTTCATCATCCATAAAATCCTCTGGTCTTTGCTGCGGTGCTTTCGGGGCACCTTTACTTCGATTCGATCGAGAGGAAACGAAAGTCGAGGGCGTCCATCCTTCTTTAGATCCTACAGTGTTGTAGTATCTATTATCAGTTAGAACTATTACATTGAACAACTGTACTTAACATTGAAATATCTAAGGTTCTTACCCTGCACTAAAACCACCAGTGAAAGCACCATGTAATCTTTTCAAACCCCTCTCATCGCGAACTTCCTGCTTCCACACTGGTACATAAGACCCATCATCTCGTACATCTGCATCTCGCGGCGGTAATGGAGTTCCGTATACTACGAAAGGTGATTGTTGGGCCTGTAAATCTGCTTCGTATGTTGCTCGCGAACGTTTTCCGGACATGGTAGAAACGTGGAGATGTGAAGATGGTCTAGAACAATATTGAGGAATCTGAGAACAGAGTCGAGGCTGCATCCAACTCTTGAATAAGTCAGCCTTGTCAAGTTTATTTGGTGAAAACGGATAAATTTAATTGGTTCGATAAACGCGGAGGGATCTATCAATATCACTGTGTTGGTTTCCGAGCATTTTTGATTACGTAAACGTTTAGTTTTCAATAGTTCTCCAATTAGAAATCGCAAACGGTTTGGGTTCCCGCTGTCAATTTATTTTTCCGTCTATTCTTTCTGGAAACATGTTCTACGGGATTTGCTATTGTCGATCGTGAATTGTAGAATTGTATGTAAGATGGATCACGAGCATTTGAAGAACTCGGGGGAGCAATATAATTTACAATTTACAATTTATAATTTATATATGACCTCAGATGTTGGAGGAGGGTATAAGGAGGGGTACAAGGATTGCATTGAACTTTACTTGGTTCAATCACCAATCGAAGGGAAATTCAATAGTTTTCGGGTCAGCTTCCTCTTGGTTACATGGGTTGGTGGTGATTGGGATCGATATGTGATATGATATGACCGGCCATACTTTTAGCCTTACCATACAATACCTACATAAGGTACTCGCAGGTTATTCAATCGATTCTTCTCATCAATTGAAAATTGAAAATTCATAGGATTCATCATTGCTTAATTACCTAGGCCGTAACTAGTAGCATTCTATCGAACGTCAATTCATATTGGAGATGAAGATTTGGGTGGTGAACAGGATGACATCGCTTGCTCGTATAGTTGTTATATCATTCTCATTATTATCTGTAGGAAGTCTTGGTACCCAATGGATTTGCTTTCGTGCCTAGAACATAGCAGGGAATCTGGACACTGTATGTAGTAGTGGGATGATAAGTTTTGTTTGCTGCGGTTCAGGCACGAACAGAGAAGGGTATTAGAATTCTATCTATTGATCAGCCTTACCAAGCTAGCTAGCTATATTATTTATTCATGTGAAGACTCTTATTAGATAAATGAATCCAACTTGAATCTTTTTCTCATATTAATTATTATATTATTTATTAACATCTCATTCATTTTCATTCATTCATTCATCACAGCCGTCTTTAAACCTGATACTCTCATTGATACCTAGTAGATAGATAAATATCTATACCCATTTCCATTCCTACCAAAAGACTCATTTTAATCCATTGGTAAAAAGTGTGATGGCTCATATATTGAAAAGAAAAAAGAAAAAGAAAGATAGCGCTTGTAACCCCTCCAACATCTTGTTTTCCAAGGTACTTTTACTAGGTTCTGGGTATAGGCAGGCTCTGCAACCATCATCCCCCCAGATTCTGCTTGCGCAAACCCAGCCACCAGACCATCTTGGAATTATTATGTAGGCTCTCTCACAATTGTACCTAACCTTGCTCTTCCTTACTCCGTACACTTACACTTATTACTCTTACCCTTTCCCTTTACACTGCCGCTTTTTGTTCTTCCCCTTCTCCTTCCTCCTCTTCTTCTTCTTCCCTCTCATGCTTCATTTCAAACATCCGACACGGGAACCTTGAACTCATCACAAGCGCACTGCTACCCAACCTTGACCTTGATTGAATCTTATCCGTTCACCCATCAATTCCCATTCACCACCACGAAATCTTCCCATAACAACAACAAATCAGCTTGATATTACTCTTACGAAGTCTCCCTTATTTTCAAAAGAAGTCAACAAAAATAAACCAAATTAAATTGAAAAAAATTCATCCAACTTCAAGAACTTTACAAATCAATACTCTTTTAAGGTGACGTTGCTTAAGAATATTGACTAGGGTCCCGCTGCAGCTGGCTCCGGCTCCCTGCTCTTCGGTTGCTTAATTCATCCATGGCGACAACAACTTCCGTTTCGCCCGCTACTGTTGAGCGAAATACTTCACGACGAACTCATAACAATTCTATACCAAGTCGTTCTCAATCAACAAGAGTTAAGAGTAGTACGACGGATTCACCGCAGCGATCACATTCACATTCACATCACCATCGCCCCTCGTCACGACATGCGGCTTTAGAGGAGTCAATACCCCAGGCGAATTATGAGACTGCAAACGTCGCGCAACAATCAAGAAAAACATCAAGCAGAGACGGTCCGACTCCTTCTAGACACGAATCCACGAGAAGTGCAACAAGTAACCATCGATCAACTCATCACAGTCGACAAACCAACGACATGGCAACAGCTGCTGCAAATGGCGGAGGCCCAGCCCCCGTGGTGACACCACAAGAGTCGAGAAATGCTGCACATAGGGGAAAATCGAGAACGACGATTCCAGCACAATCCGGAAATTGGATTTTAGGCAAGACAATTGGTCAGGGCAGTATGGGCAAAGTTAAGCTGGCAAGGCAAGCGGAAGGCGGCGAGCAGGTAATTTTTCCTTCATTCCGCAATCCAGATCTTAGTCATGTCTAATGAAGGTGTATAGGTTGCGGTCAAAATCGTCCCACGAGGATCCACAGATGATAACCACAATCAGAGTCGAGCTGATAGAGAACGAGCCGATCATTCGAAAGAAGTTCGCACAGCCCGAGAAGCTGCTATTGTTACCCTTTTAAACCACCCCTACATCTGCGGCATGAGGGATGTTGTGCGTACGACTTATCATTGGTATATGCTGTTTGAATATGTCAACGGAGGACAGATGCTTGATTATATTATATCTCATGGGAGATTGAAGGAAAAGCAAGCTCGGAAGTTCAGCAGACAGATCGCCAGCGCTTTGGACTATTGTCATCGGAATAGCATCGTTCACAGAGATTTGAAGATCGAAAACATCCTGATTAGCAAGACTGGAGATATCAAGATTATTGATTTCGGCTTGAGTAATTTATTCGCACCACGAAACCATCTAAAGACTTTCTGCGGTAGTCTTTATTTCGCGGCTCCGGAATTGTTGCAAGCAAAGGCATATACAGGACCTGAGGTTGATGTTTGGAGTTTTGGTATCGTCTTGTATGTCTTGGTCTGCGGCAAGGTACCTTTTGATGATCAAAGTATGCCGGCATTGCATGCAAAGATTAAGAGAGGGATTGTAGATTATCCTAATTGGCTAAGTCCAGGTCAGTTCTTTTCCTGTTTTACTGATATAGTACTAATGATTGGCAGAATGTAAGCATCTTATATCAAGGATGCTTGTCACGGATCCAAAGCAACGTGCGACGCTACAGGAAATCATGACCCATCAGTGGATGATAAAACAATACGGCAGTCCACCTGAAAACTATCTACCAGTCCGAGAACCCCTTACACTTCCTCTTGATGACGATATCATCAACAGTATGACTGGCTTTGATTTTGGCCCACCCGAGCTGATCAAGCAGCAATTAACTGATGTGATCAAGTCCGCTGAATATGGTCATGCTGTACGTTTGGCAATGCAGGAACGAGAAAATTCGGGTCCTCCTCGTGATGCTGAGAAGAAGAGAGGAGTATTCGACTTTTACAAAAGAAGGAATTCTACTACGAGCCGAGATACCTTGACGGCGCCGAGCGCAGAACTGCTTCAACTTGGCAATGACCCATGCAATGCCTATCACCCTCTTATATCCGTATATTACCTTGTTAAGGAGAAACGTGAGCGTGATGCACTTGAAGCCAACCCGGGTGCAACCTCGATGCCACGGGCTCCAGGTGAAGCTCCCCTGCAAGTGGCAGAAATATCAGCACCAAAGCCAGCATACACAAATGCTACAGCTTATGAGATGCCTGGTGAGAAGGCCACAGGAGGTCGATCGCGCCCACGTGCACGAACTCATGGTGAGGAGGAAGTCACAGAAGGATTGAAGAATATGAAGATTGCTGGCTCTACTGGCCCTCCATCACCGGCAATAGTCGAGCCTGTAGAACAGACTGCCCGAAAAGAAAGTACTGCCGCTGGTATTCTGAGAAGATTCAGTACACGAAGACGCAAGGATCCTCCATCGTCTGACAAAACTGGCAATCATCTGGCCGTCGGATCGCCAAATGAGCCATCAGCAATCCGAAAGAGCTTCAGTGTTCGCCGGCACCGTGAGCGGGATGGTGAGGGATCTCTCCGAGCAAGTGGAAGTGAACGCCAACATAGTGATCTTCTCACTCCAAGATCCGCTGAAAACTCGGGTGCTTCTAAACTAGGACGATCGACGAGCGTTAACTCCGCAGAATACAGGCGACGGGAAAAGAGACGTGGAGAAGGAGGAGTGGCAGCAGGAGTTGCCGCTTCGGAAGCAATGCCATCTCGTGTTACTTATAAAGATCCTCCTCCAACTAGTGGTTCTGACCATTCAACGACGAATGAAAAACCAGCTCGCGAGGGCGAAAGGGCTGGCCTGAATCCTAGGGCCGCCACTATGAGAGCAAAATCGTTGGGTCATGCAAGAAGAGAAAGTATACAAGCTAGACGAGCTCGAAGGGAGGAAGCTAGGGAAGCAAATGTACCGGAGGAGACTGATGTTGAAATGGGCGACGCTAGTGGTCTCTCAACTGAACGAGTCGACACCGCAGAAAATGTCAAACCCGTCTTTCTGAAAGGGTTGTTCAGCGTATCTACCACATCAACCAAACCCGTTCAAGCTATACGCATGGATATAATCAGAGTACTGAAGCTTCTCGGAGTTGACTATACAGAAATACGAGGCGGTTTTAGTTGTCAGCATACCCCTAGTATTGACTTGAAGAAGGTTGTCGATGTACCTCCTAGCAGCCACGGCAATCATACTCCAGGGCATAAAAGGAAGATCAGTTTCGGAGGTTTCATGGGAGGTGGTAACAGTGCGGAAAGAGATCGTGAGGATTTCCGAGAAGCAGAAAGGTCACCTCAGAACCCAAGAACACCACGCAGGGCTCGTGGCCCTGAAAATAGCTACTCAAATTCAGATGCGTCTGATGAAAGTGTTACCAGACAAGGTGATTCATCAGCTCGAGCGGTGGGCGAAACCAGCACACATGTTCAGAGTGAACTTGGTGGTAGCATGGTTCTTGAGTTTGAGATCTTCATCGTCAAAGTTCCTCTTCTCTCTTTACACGGCATTCAATTTAAAAAGCTTCGTTCAGGAGGAACCTGGCAATTTAAGAATATGGCAGATCAAATCCTTCGCGAGCTTCGACTATGATAATTCTCACGACACATTTGGACACGAACACGCTAGTCCTATGAATATTGCTATTTTAGTTGTAATACAGGAAACTTCCCATTAGCTGTTCTTTCTTTATTTCGCTCATACAAAAATCTATGGACGGATAAGCGATTGGGAGAAAAACATACATGCATCACTCTTGAAACGAATTCCTTTTGTTAAGCGAAATTGACGAAGAGATGGCATGCATTATCACAAATTTTTGGCCATTTTGTTTTTACCGAGCACACAATTTCATTTGTTTTCTTCCACTCAACTAGTGTGCCGATTTGCTTGCGGAACCAATTTGAGGTTCATATATGTAGTAATTATGGGATAAGAATTCTTTCTTCAGGGGGAATAAGGGATAGCATTTGAGATTTGGGATTTCCTTAGTATTTCGGAAAGGGTTTGGACTTGGGATATGTTATCGTGGAGGAAGGAGATATGAAGGGGATAAAAGTAGTTGATTGGCTAAGTAGGGGAGTGTATTTGGGGGACATGAGCAGTCAGTCGAGTGTGGGGAGGAAAGAAGGAAAGGGGGAATTAGCTGTGGATATGGCAAGGACAAGGATAGATATTTCGATACTGTATTCCTTAATTTGATTTCCTCATGCAGACTGACAGATTTCTCCTCGGTTGAACTTTCCTTCCCATGGTCCTTTAATTTTTACTTTTGATTTCATCCTAACCCTTTCCTATATCAAGATGTCCACGAGCTTGGTGTGTCAACCATGCAACCCAAATTTCACAAAACAGATACACCACAACACAATCATCATGGACACTCCCCGTCACAAATTTGGTCCCTGGACAAGGTCTTCAATACCACATACTCCCGAACGTACATCTTCTACATCGAGCAACTGGTCTTTTCGGTCGATATCGAGTTCCTCGAGTGAGTCGACTGGCTCGTCAGCTTTTTGGAGAACACCGAGGAGGGATAAGGTGAAGGAGAAGAATAAGGTTGGTGGGAAGGATGGTAGGTTGAGCAGATGGAGGATGAGAATTTGGGGAAGGGCGTCTTGGTGGAAGGGGCTGAGAATGGTGATGGAGAGGTGGGGTGGATGGGAAATTTTTGGTGGATGGAATGGTTGGGATAGATTGAAGATACTGGTTAAAACGAAGATGAGGACGTTGGAGAGGAATCTTAGGTATTTATTTTTGACTTTTTTTTTTTTTTTTTTTTTTTTTTTTTTTTTTTTTGCTTTTTTGGACATGATATGAATAGCTGGAGATATGTACTGATGAATAAATGCAAAAGTACCAGGTCCCGACGGTTCTTTCGTTTCTTCGCATTTCTGATGGGTATTTGTCTTGTAGCGACATGTCTTCTTTACTTTCATCCATCATATACATCTTCCTCCTCATCTTCATTACCGGAAGTTCACTCACTAGGTTCATATATTCCCATCCAACCCTACATACCCGAAGATGAAAGCACCATAAAAAAGAACGCCTATAAAAAGAAAACCGATCCAGTCCAATGGTTAAAAGAAAACTCCAACAATCGCCACGCCATCACCATCGGTCAAAAAACATGGAAAACCAAACTCACAGAATGGAATAATCCCCGTCCCAAAGCCGCGCTAATTTCTCTCGTCCGTAACTCCGAATTAGAAGGAATGCAACAATCGATGCGACAGCTAGAAGCGCGCTGGAATCATAAATATCTGTATCCGTGGATTTTCTTCAACGATGAACCGTTTAGTGAGGAATTTATGGCCGGTACGAGAAATTTGACGGATGCGGAGTGTTTTTATGAGGTTGTGCCGGAGGAGTTTTGGTCCTTGCCGGAATGGATTGATGAGCGGAGGTTTATGAATAGTTTGGATTATTTGGGGACGATTGGTGTTGGGAAGGGTTGGATGGTTAGTTATCATCATATGTGTAGATGGAATAGTGGGTTTTTTTATCGTATGCGGATTTTGAGGGGGTTGGATTGGTATTGGAGGGTTGAGCCTGATGTGAGTTTTCCTTTTTTTTTTTTTGGTTTACCTATTTGTATCATTGATAGGATGGGGTTGATGTATGAGTTTTTGAAGTTGATTCAAAATAGAAGGGATTGGAATGTGGGAGTTGTGCAATAAACTAACGAATGACTCGATAGGTTCACTTCTTCTGCAATATCAACTATGATATTTTTCGCTTCATGCGCGATAATCACCTCAAATATGGATTCAATATGAATATCCTCGACGACGCGCGTTCCTTCCCATCCCTCTGGTCTAAAACCCGTGCCTTCGCCAATGCGCACCCGGAATTACTTCATCCTGAAGCGGATCTGAACTGGTTACTTGATGGGGGCGAATATAATAATTGTCAATTCTTTAGTAATTTTGAGATTGGATCTTTGAGGTTTTGGAGAGGTGATGATGATGATGATTATTATGATGGGAAAAAAGGAGGAACAAAAGGAGCACATGAAAAATACTTCAACCATCTTGATCGTACGGGTGGATTTTTCTACGAGAGATGGGGTGATGCGCCGGTTCATACGCTGAGTGTGGCGATGTTTTTGTCGAAGAGGGAGGTTTGGTATTTTAGGGATGTGGGGTATAGACATGGGATTAATAGTGTTTGTCCGCAGGGTAGAGAAGGGAGTTGTGCGTGTGAGGAGGGGGGAGTGGATAGAGGGTTTTATAAATTGGTGCCGTGGGAGAGTCGGCAGCGGAAACCGGGGGATACGTGTGTGAGGGGGTGGATTGGGCGGGAGTGCGTGGCCAAGAGGGAGGGGTGGAGTAGGGAGGAGGCGGTTAGAGGGGGTGGGGATGGGTGGCGTGGGTATGTGGTTGGGGGGTTGGGGGAGGGGATGGGGGATGGGGAGGATGGTGTGAAGGGGTGATGGAATAATAGGGGTGCAATAGGCCGGGAGGGGGAGCTGCAAAGGGAAACTGATGGTCCTCCAGACATGAATATACATTGAGTCCTGATGTGTGCGAATATTATAATAATAACTCCTTTTCATCCTAATTTTAATTCCTTCCTCATCGATCCGTCGCACTCCACTGGGCAGTACGAGACTGCTGTCAGTTTGTCATAGGCATTTATTTCTAACTTTTAACCCGGTTACCTGTAGGAACGAGAGACTGTTAAGATTAAATCAAAGAATTATGCGCGAGTTCTCTCTGGTTTTTCAGTTCTATGGTTAAATTGAGATGGGGATCGCACTGGACTGGGGAAGTAGAATGGGAAAATGATGGGTGTGTTGGATCAGTGGGTTTGATGAGTTTCGGTTCAGGGATTTAGGAGGGGGTGAGGGAGTGGGAGAGGGGAGAGGGAGAGGGAGAGGGAGAGGGAGAAGGAGAAGGAGAAGGAGAAGGAGAAGGAGAAGGAGAAGGAGAAGGAGAGGAAGGAAAAGATGGAATATGTAGGTGTAATATTTTAATCAATGATTTATCATTTTGATAGGTAGTTAGGTAGATTTGGGAAGTTATGGTGTTGATTCATGGATATATAGGGAGGTAGGTATGTATATATGTATATATGTAGTGAGGAATCTAGATGATGGTTGAATTATGAGGTTAAGATGATTGTAGTCTACATTAGACTATTAGTAGATAACTATATGTAAGATTATAATAGTTGGCTCTGGGATTTCGTTTTGGATTTTTCAAGGGATATTATACTAGGTAGGTATCTGTATGGAGTAAGATGTTAGATATCTATTTAATAAGAAGAAGGGAATTCGGAGAGAATGAATAGATAATTGATAATTTGTATAAAAACGACTTTTTGTACCGTACCTGTACCTATACTAGGTAATTGATTAGAGATGATTGGTTAAATAATTGTCATCCAATATTTCACATCATCCCATACAAAACCTTCTATCATCATCCTAAAAAAGAAAAAAAACTTATCCACAAATTCCCACCCCAAAAAACCCCCAATATCCAACCTAGCCAATCAGCACCCATCTATTTGAATACCAAGCCCCACCCAACCAATCACCACTCGTGTAATTCAAAGCAATGGTCAGCAATGGTCATCAATAGACAATTTACACTATCGTTAGCATTGTTAGTACTGATGATCAGTCAATGAATCAAGTTATGGCTAGATTATTGCTAAGGAGGAATTTATGTATATATAGTGAGGGTAGGTACATCTTTTTATGATGATATTTTATTAGTATCCAAACTTTCAACGCGGAATAATAAATAAGAAAATTACTTTGAGTTTGTTATCTTTGGATTTTTGGATTTTTCCTCATATCGACGACGAGACGAGTTTAACGACTATCAACTTTGAAATTTTGAAATTTTTAAGACTTCAAAACAAAAACCTGCAAATTTAATCGAAATGGCTCCATCAACTTGCTGTAAGAAGGGAGATGGTGCTGAGAGTGCTTGTGTTTGTGGTATGATATTATTTATTTTTATTTATTCTATTATCAAATTCTACCCCCCATTCCTTCTTACCTACCTAGGTACTCAACATCACGAATACCATCTCCATTTTCACAACACCCATTCCAAAACCTCACAACACACATTCATCCAAACCCTACATACATATGAAATAGGAGACTGACTCTTTCAATAGCAACCCAAGCAAAATGTTCCTGCGGCGAAAAAAAGGCCCTAGAATGTACATGTGCCAAAGCCGAGAGCGAAAATAAAATCGAAGGCGCTAGATGTAGTTGTCGTATGTATTTCCCTCTTCCTCTATCTTCTATCTATCTATTCCTACATCATTTCCTCTGGATTTAAACATCTCGAGCATTTAATTTAGGAGTGTGTTTTGTGTTTTTGTGATTCATGACTAATATTATAAAATAGGTGCTCGTGCAGCGGGAGCTTGTACTTGTGAGCGTTCTGCGGAGGAAAATAAAGTTCCTTCGGGTGAGCTTTGTGGGTGTGGTGCTAGACCTGTTGGTATGTTTTTTATTTTTGCTTCTTTGATCCTTTGTTTGAGGGGAGGGGAGGTTTTGGGTGGGGGATATGATATTCGAATTGGAATTGGTCTAATAGTGATGTTTAGATGCTTGTACTTGTGAAAAAGCTACAGATGGTGGATTACTTCCTACTGAGACGGATTTCACTACTAAGGCTTAGATGAAGGTTCTTGGTTGAGTGGGAATTTGGAGGGGCGTTTGTGGTTTGAGAGTTGGGTTGGATTGGGTTGGACGGATTCAACTGGATTGGCGTTGAGATTGGGGATGGGAATGGGAAGGATGCGTATTT